TGTCCTTAATAAGGGACGTTTGACTTGTCAAAAGAGTATTTGTCTGAAGCTTAATGGGCGGGTGATAAGCTGTGCGACTTGTTTCACTAATGTGTAATTATAGCTCAAAACAGAAAACATATTACGTGAAGTCCGACAAGAAACCAACACTCAGCTATGTCATCTGGTATGCGTTGGCTGTTGTTTTTATTGCCTGGAGCGGGCAGCCATACCTTGAGGAAAGACACTCATCATGAGTTGGTAATAAGACCACATTATTCGGTCCTGTTGCCATAGCCACCCCTCAATGATATTAGCCGCAATGCGATGTTAGCAGCACTGGAGCTACCCATAGGAGATTCATCGTTGGGCTATGGTGTATACCAAGTGTTTGACAATCTTGATCTTCGGGTTCTAGAAACCCTTAATACAGCCAAGAAAACAATCTAACCATTTGCTTATCATTCTTGACCTGGTAAAATGACGAGGTACACTGCCAAGGGCCTTTTACCCTTGGTTGTGATTCGAGGAATTCTAGTGACATGAGCCAGCCCAGCACAGACACCCGACGAGTTAGAAAACCCAAAGCAAGGCTTCAATGGCAGCATCCAAACCGACTGGGTTGTTTAGGTACCTGACACATGATCGTATCATGCAGGTCTATGGGCACCATATGGATGGATATATATGATCAAGTCGCAATCAATACTTATAATTAGACATGATTTCTGAAGCGCTTCCCATCCATCACCCAAATGCCGGTATTAGCCAATTGTCGGGCAACAGCTTCAGAGCCCAATATTGTCACGCTCCATTCCATCATCTGGGCGGCACTGAACCACCCCGACGGGCGCCAACTCTAGTGCTGGATAGCGCTGATATATAAGGGGATAGCGCCTGACGACCCGCTGTAAGCGACCCGCCACGTGACCTCGACACGTCTCATGCCCCGGTCCAAGTACCGTCCCTTTGATTGCAGACTGGTAGCGGTACCCTTACCAGGGCTATACTTGTATCTTGCCTTGGACTTTTGAACGAATCTCGACTTTCTGTCTCCCTTGATCGACTCTTTGTTTATTCCAAAAGAATAGCTGTAGCCACCTATCTGTTCTTCTACGACAACGTCGACCGAACCTAACGATCTAACGCTATCATCCCCACTACTTCCACTACTAAGGAACCTTGACGGAAGGGCATACAGACCAGCGGTTCGTCCTGACGTTCTCCTCATGCGACAACATATTTGAAGACAACGCCGTCCCAAGAGGTGACCGAACCTCTCGCATTCGAGCCATCGACGTTTCACTCAGCTGCGCCGCTTGTATCGTGGTGCACCAAGGCCCATGGTAACATAGAACCTAACGTCCAATATCGTTTTGAAAGCCAAGCCAGGAAGCTACACAGGCAATCGTGGGCGTGCAAGCCTCGTTGAGGCCCACCCAACCGTCGATGATGGTACGTCTCATTATTCACGTTGAACGAACGTCCGTTTTCTTTCCGCGACAATCGTAATTGCTGGTATTTGGTGAAACTGCGGTGTGATGCTTTATTTTGTTGCGAGTTGTTAAGTCATCGTCGTCACCTATGCTGATCTTAGTTTGTTGTCGGTATAGACATCATCTCGACCCCGCGGCGATGCTGGCGGCAGTTTTGCTAGCAGACGCGGACATTCTAGCCAGCTTTCCATTTCCGATCCAAGTCACCATGTAACAGAAGCTATCGGCACATTGTACGGCGATGAGGACGATTCAGGATCCGAGGGTGGTCGACCCATGAGTCTCAACCGACCGCTGAGCTTCATTGGAGGCCCAACACCATACCAAGAATCACTTCCACGACCGCCTCCCGATGGCCGATTTCTGACTGTTGATACTCGAAGAGCACTCAAGAGGACCGATTCCGAAGGCTCCGCTACCGAAATATCCCCTGTTAATGGCGACCCGAACAAAAGACCTCATCAGCTCTCTCCAAATCAGCGAAGTAACTCGTTCGAACAAGGACCTAAATCGCCATTGTCTCCTACGCTTTCACTTCGCGATGTTCAAGCCGACTCTCAATTCTCTCTGACCAACATTGATAATCCCAGTGACATTGCTCTGGAATTGAGTAATTTGCAAGCGCTCAGGCGGTTATCCATGGATGTTGGAAATAACAAGGATCCGGATATGCCGCCCATGTCTTTAATGGCTATGCCGACAATAGCACCCAGCGGCGACGATGATGAAAACGATCCCTCAAGACTCCTATGGGTACCTGCAAGAGTCCATCCAGAACTTGCCCCTGGTGAATTCAAATCGTTCCTTGAAAATAGAGTCCAATCCATAAAGCGAAGGTCTGGCGACTCATTTCTATCTGCCGATACCGATATTAGCGAAGGCGACTCGGGAATAGGGGGACTCAGACGGAAAAAGTCCATGCTGTCTCGCCAAATAGATAGTTCCAGCGATCGCGGCTCTGTCGATTACGTTGATGGCGCTGACCGATTGGACCGCAAACGCTCACGCGGTCACAGCCATGAACTCAGCCTGGAAGAGCTCGTCAAGGATCCTACAAAGGCCGTTCAGAAATTTGCCCAAGAATCTCAAATAGCACCAAGCGGACCTGAGGGTAGCATAGATGACCTACCAATTCTGCCGGCTGCCCCTGGGATGGGTCTTCGCAGGTCAACTCGAACAACGTATCGCAAGGGCGGCAGTATACGCACTGGACCCCTTGCCCGTCGATCTGGACACCGCCAGCAACCTAGTGGGGACTTGACATCTGCTCTGGAAGCTCCGCCGGGCCATGGTCTTTCACGGGTTCAGTCAGAGCCCGTAGCAGACAACTACTCACGGCAGAACCAAACAATGAAGAGACCGCAGAACTTGTCTCAGGAGTCGTTGGAAGATTTTGAACACTACGATGGAGCCTCCCATGGAACTAATGGGAGCTATACAGACACATCTCAAGAGCAGCTACCTATTCGATCATCACCAAGTCTTTCAACAGTCGATAATTCGTCTTATAAGGACAGCCAAGACCAGAACCAGCAGAAATTCCCAAAGCGATCTTCTTCGCAGAACGCCAAAAGCCATCCGGTCTCTCAGAGGATGCCTGAACATGAACCACCGATAGAGGAAGAACCCAGTCGTAGTAGCCGACGAAGCTTTAGTCGACAGACTGCGCCGCCACAACCTGCCACACAGCAGCAAACGTCTCGATCTTCTTATCCCCAAAGCCAGTCTTTGAGTGACAATCTTGCAGCGAACCCTTCGCTCATCCCTGGCAGTGGTGCAACACGAACCGACAGTCTGACTTTTATACCGACACTGACTCCAGAAGAGCGAAAACCAGACAAAAAGTCCAAGAAAGATAAGGATGATGAGGCAGGCTCGACCAAATCTGGAAGCGCTTGGAAATGGTTCAAGAGCAGTGAAGACAAGGACAAGAAGAAGGACGAGAGCAAGAGATCTAAGACCAAATCTCTTGGCGATAGGGGGCAAGACAACGCACGGCTGGACGTCATACAGACGTCGATCGATAAAAACGCACCCAAAGGCCGCGAAAGTCTTGTTCTTGACCGTGACAATGTAGAAAGCAAACTACAAGAAGAGCGCAAGAAAGAAAGCCACCGCAAGAGCGACTCAAAGAGGGACAAAGACGGTAGCATCTTCTCATCTATCTTTGGAGGCAGTAAGAAGAAGGAAGAGAAAGAGCGAAACTCGAAGAAGACTCAACACCTCAAGGTCCCCGAGGAGCCAGTGTACAAACCCTTAGTCCCTGATGTCGATTACCACTGGTCAAGATTTCCTCTACTCGAGGAGAGGGCGATTTATCGAATGGCGCACATTAAACTGGCCAACCCACGTCGACCACTGCACAGCCAAGTTCTGCTGAGCAATTTCATGTACAGCTACCTGGCTATCGTCCAGGCCATGCATCCTCAAATGAACGTACCGTTGTCGCCGCAGCAAAAACGACTGGAGGAGGAAGCTCGAAGGAAGCAACAAGAACAAGAATACCTGGCTCAACAAAGATCGCAGGAAGAGCAGGATGCTCAAGAAGCCATGGATCAATATGACTTTGACTATCATCGGGTAAGTACCACTTGAATCTTTGTTTATCTAGCGCGTCACTAATTTGATGTCAAGGCTGCGGTACAATATGGCGAGTCAGGCAGTGGAGAGGTTGATTATGTTGACGATGCTCAGATTTATGAGGATGAGCACGGAAATGATAACAACCGCCAAGACTATAGCTACGATGACCCTGAGGGGTACGGCCCGGGGGCTAAAGAGTACTACCACCAGTACGAGGACAACGATAACGATCGTCGGCATGATGGGCGGGATGACATGTGGTGACAGCCCGGATAGTCACGGAAAGCTTCTTTGCTGAGCCGATCTTTATATATGTTAACTTTATACTATTCTCACTATCATTAGTTGCCGAGGCAAGTGTCTATGGCAGCGTGCAGCGTTTCAGTCAGCCTTAGCATATGGCGGAGTTCCGGAAGACGAGCGCGCGCGGAAGGGAGTGGGCGTAACAGGTTTGCAAAGACAGACTTTCCAGACTTTTATCTTTCTCTTTTGTGAAAGAAGAATGATGGCGAGCTTTCGGCGTAGGATATAATGTTGTGTACATGGCCTCCTCTCTCTCTTTTCGGCCCTTCCTATGCCCTGTTCGTCTTTGCAACAAATCTTTGGTGGAGTTATTTCTGACGTTGGGAGTACTGGGATAAGCGTTTGTATTCGGAGAAAGAGGGCGACGGAATTGTGTGGCGTGGAAAGGAGAACATCGGCTTGTGCTTTGGAAGGTATTGCTGGTCATGATTTACTACTGGTGAGATCTTGGCCTGATAGCACGGAGGAGGAGTGACATGAGGTATGAAGGCGTAGGATATGACTTCATAGAGATAGAATTGTTGGAGTATGATATTAGGAGAGAAACAGATGATCAAATCAATAAATGTAATACGGAATACGGAATAGCCTTGCATTAAATCCACCGTGTCAAAAACAGATCCTGTCGAGTTGCACTCTTCAATGATACTTGACTCCAGGCTGTACCAAAGATGGGCCCCTATCGAACCATTCTTCTTCAGCCTCCCTATCAATTTCCTGATATTGTGAATGACCCTCCTTTTCGGTCTGAACTACCATTTCCAAACGATGTTCACTATCAACCACTCTGACTGACACAGGCGTACTCCAAGTCTGAGAACTCGAGACGCCTGCACCGACACTGCCTAACCCATCTAAAGCTCTCGAGCGAAGCGCCAAAACAACCATCTGTCCAAAGCTACCCCAGCTCGAGCTGTGCCACGGATGACGAGACCACAGCACTATAGCCGTGTGAATGAACACAATCAGAACATGAAGGAGCAGAACTGAGAACGCAAAAGGGATTGTGCGGCTGCTTTTCCAGTCGTAGCCGTACCCGCCAACAAAGTATTCCCAGAGAACGACAGAATCACCCGAGGTTGGTTTTCGATCAAGCGAGGACGGTGACCGTATATTGTAATAACTCGCATTTGTAAGTGATAATGTGTGTGCCAAATATGTTGCCAGAGAAACAGCAAGACAAGCGTTTGTCAACTGCATACGACAAAATTCATAGATGTACTGATGTGGTGAGTATTCTGTGTTCAATCCCCACCTACTTGTAGCATTGAGCCAATGTTTGCTCATATTGTTGAGATTGTCAGCCCTAGTAGAGCTTCCAAAATGGGCTTCGATATCCAATAAGGAGGCGTCGAGCTGGGTTCGATAGACAGATTCGCCGTGCTCCAACCATGTATCAGCTTCGACCCATCGGGAGTATATTCGACATAGTGAAAGGGAGACCCAGTTAGGTTCGGCCCATTGATTGAATAATATTGCTGCGCTGGTACGATTGTCTGTTAGATCCAGGAAACCGGTATTGAAACGAGGAACATCTAGCGTTGAGCTACGCTGTTGCCTCTCAGGAAGCGGCAACCTCCCGTTGCTCTCTATCCCACTATTGAGGAATGCCCTGGTGTGATTTTTATCTTCAGCTTTCAGGACCAATTTGTTGTCAGTAATGTTGGAATTGAATATAAATGTTGCTGTGTCCGTTGTTGTTTCGTTCTGTGAACACTCAACAGCAACGATCGGCTGCTTCCATCGACTTGTTGGTTCTCGTCGAAACTCCTTCCACTTCTCTGCTGCTGTCAAGTTTACCCTTGTATCCCATTCTGGTCCAAAACGGTCACCTAGGACTTTCTGTCGAGGTTTTGTGAATACATTCTTGGGTTTGTCCCTCCAACCATCATGACTCCCTGATAGAGGCCCCATTGGAGTCGTTGCAACCGCCAGCGATTGTTCCGCGCCGTCTGGGCCATAAACATATAGCAGAGCATTCGAAATAGTTCGTTCGCCGTAGAAGAACGAGACATTGGTAATTTGCTGGGTATTGTTCTCTTGCGCATCGACAAATACACTGACAAGTCTGTTCAGAGCATCATCCATAGAATCCTGGGTCCAGTATTGATACGCATACGTAGGTCTGAGATTTGTCTCCCATAATGGCCCGTGTAGAAAGGGAATGTTTCTTTCTGCTTCCTTGGGCGCGTGGATGTGCCATAACTTGCTTCTTGGAATTATTGCGATGGCAGAAAGAGGTACGGCTGCAACCGAGATTATGATACATATGATGATAAGGATACCGGTGAATTGTATGCATATGCTGGCGCGCTTGGCCTTTGTACGAGGCCGTAACAACGGTGTCCATAATTCCAAGCTAAAGAAGTAGGAAATAGGAGAGCCTATAAGGAACGATGATGAGAGGAAGCCGAGCGGAACACCATTTCTGTCTTGTAGCAGAGTATATCGTATCCGATGCATCAAGATATCTGCTAAAGATACGATGATAAGTGTTTCATGGCCCTTTGCAGCAAACTGCAGGTAGCTCAATTGCTCATCACTGACATCCCCCCAGCAAAAGTTGACGCTATACAATGCAACAAGCGTCAAAGTGATCGCGACTGAAGGTAGATGGAAGAGGGCCAAATGTGCTAGAACTGACAATATGCCAGGCTTGCAGACTTTCTTGGGGGGTTCTGAAGCATGAAGAGTCTTGGGTGGGGGAGTGTTCGAATCTTGTGTTGAAGGACGGCTCAGGTTTTGTGTCGAAGAATCAAAGTCTTGACCGATGTCATCGGCTTCCTGGACAAGATCGTCAGTATAGTTACTGGCAAGCGTAATTAGTGCATTGCATACCTCGGGTCCTGTGATTCTATCTAGAGGGACAGAAACCTGACCAGATATCTCTGAGCCATTGTGGGACATATTAACGCAGTGTAACTGGTGAAGAACGGAATTTCAGAGATACACGAGACGGCAAGAAAGTAGAAGTTACGAATCCAAACAAACGATGCAGAAAGGGGGACAATTGAATATTTACAGATCAAGTCACTGGTGTTGAAATGCACGGAAACCCCATAACCACCCATTCAATCCTGAAAGCCTGACGGCATATCACATCATTGATTTTACATCATAGAGCCTGAACACGTCCAGCCTATAGATAGACGACCTCTCTTTATTGTCGCCAGAAATGAGGTGTATTAAGGTCGAAAGAAGCAATTTGCAGCGCTGCACGTTCTGGTTGCCACGTTTGGAGGTTCTTAGGTTACATGACAGCCTGATTGCCAAGTTTCAGGATAATCATGGGGGATTTTCATGATTAGTCGCCTCTTTACCTCGGAGTCGATTTTGATAGGTAGGATATATTGTACTCAGCTCTGGTAATTCTGCAGGCATAAAAGATCCAGCTCAGCACCTGACTACCATATTGATCTAAGCAATAAGATGATGACACGAGAATCCATCACACCAGACAGAAGGGAGCTAACCCAGGAACCACCCGATAAGAAGCAAGTAATCGATACCGAGGCAGACAAGATGGAATTTTTCTGCCTCAAATCATGCTACTCAAAACACCAACACTGATGTGATAACGTCGGGGCTGGAGCCATAGCCCCGGAAGACATACTAGTAGTCGTCACCATCAACGTCTTTTTAACTTTTTGGCTTAACTTGTCAACTGTCAAACTGATAAATTCAGTAAAAACCGTTGATCAATTGCCTCAAATGTGCCGTGACGAATTTGTAAGGAATGTGTATTTGGTTTAAAGTTGAGGCTTACACCGGCCGGTCCGGTCTAACGAACGGGGCCTCTCCGTGGTGTACTAAATTGCCACCAATATTGATAAGATACTATGTACATAGAAACACACAGACCTCATTACTCGCGTGTGAAAGCAAGTCATTTCCCGTGCAAATCCTCCTATTACTCGTACATGAGATCAACCCCTTTCTCTCTCTCTCTCTCTCTCTCTCTGTTGTAAAATCGTATAAAGCTCGAATGATGTAATAAATGTTCGTATCGAATAGCCATAACGGCTGAAGCGGATATGCCAAAAGGCAAAGCAGAGTAAAGCAAAACGTAAACTTGCACTAGATCTTTTAACTAGCGCTGTTGTGTCGATCCTGACTTCCTCGGCGTAGCTTGAGTCCACTGAATATTACGCGGCTCATTGAATGTCTTCGCCCCTCTTGTTGAGGAGAAGAAGTAATTTGTGTGACGAGCTCATCGACGCGATCCATGGCATCAATGAAAGTATGGAAATCAGCGTCATCTTCGTAGCAAAGGTTTTCGTCTCGAAGCGACATGTACTCAATCTCGTGGGTGCTTAGAGTACTTTGATTTGATACTGTTGAAGATGTTCTTCTTGCCTTGAAAGGGCTGTTGTCTTGGTTGCTGATAAGGCTAGACATGGTTGGTGAGGTAATAAATTGGTGACAGATGTCGTTTTTGAATTGTGGTACAATTGAAAATACCAGCTGTATGAAATAATAGATACTTCAATGTCAGAAGTATAGAGTATTGATTGATAGTGGGAACAGAGGAGATGAAATTGGAAAAGGAGGAGGATCCAGGTTTAATATATGATATGAGCTGTACTAGTCCCGTAGACCCATTGTATGTGGAGGGGTATTCCCGAATCTATTGAAAGCCGGCGCCGCCAACAACATGACGAGAGCTGACATGTTGTAATTCCATAAGACGTAATGTAGGTCATGGCAAATCAGTCGTTGATCGTCATATTCGCTTCCAAACGTAGTACCAATCATTTTTTTCGCCTACACAGGTACGTGACAGGTCCTCGGACTGCCGGACCATACATGTAACGCCATCAAAAGCTACATTCCTCGGCATTGTCAGCCAGCATGGCGTACAACACCCGTCACCACACCTTGCGAATTATGTGTGTACTAAGTTAGCGTTGCGTATCCGAGTTGGTACTATGTACAGGTACAGCTGACGACGGCACCACGGGCGGATGGTCGGATGCTAAAACGAAGTAATATTTCTAACAAATGACATCTTTCTTATACAACTGGAGTGAACTCTTTTATTTCTTCTCCTCCTCCTTCTTCTCCTCAGGCTTGGGTGTTGGCAACTTGAATGACTCAGGTGTGCGGTCCTGTCCAGCTCCAACAGGCTCCCAAGCGCTGGAACCACCCTCAAAGTTACGGAAAGCCTGGGTGAGTTCCAGAGGCTCAGTAACGATACGCTTCTTCTCCTCGTCGTATCTAATCTCGGTGTAACCCGTCAAGGGGAAATCCTTGCGCAGAGGGTGACCCTCGAAACCGTAATCAGTCATGATTCGTCGGAGATCGGGGTGACCGGCAAAGAAGACACCGTAAAGGTCGTACACCTCTCGCTCATACCAGTTGGCACCGTCAAAAAGCCCAGTGATACTGGGAACAGGAGAAGCCTCGTCGGCGTAGGTCTTGACACGGATTCGGGAGTTGTGGCGGACCGAAAGAAGGTTGTAGACAATTTCGAAACGGTGCTCGCGCGTGGGGTAATCGGCAGCAGTAACTGTGCTGACCTGGGTGAACTCGGCAGCAGTGTTGTCTATCGGGTTTTAGTAAACTTTCGAAAGTCAATTGACGTCGTACTAACACTTCAGGAAGCTGAAGACAGGGTAGACACCCGACGGAGAGATGTAGATGGTGAGTTCATCCTTCCAGACGGAGAACTGCTGGACGTATTTGGGAAGGCAACCCATCAACCAGGCACCGTAGCGGTGCATGTTGTCAGACTTGCTTTGGTACTTGTCGGCAGGGTTGACGATAGGAGCCTTGAGTGTGCCGATGTGGTCGCGAGGGGCCTTTCGCAGGTTGGGGCTTTCCTTGGGCATTGCGACATATTGACGAGCCGTGTTGGACAAGCAGCGGATTGCTTGATCGTTGCGGACCTGGAAGGAGGGCTTCGCGGGTCGGAGAGCTGAGGCCAAAGCCCTACTTCGAGAAATACTGGTCGCCATGGCCGGTTGTGTGACGATTCGAGGCCAATTGACGATGGAGGAGGTCGTCAAGACGAAATACCTTATGGTGTTTGTAATGATGCTGCGAGCATTGGCTCGAGAATCTTAGCGGCAGAACAGTGAAGGAGAATTACCGTTGTTCAACCGAAGATAATCTTGTACCTTTCTGTTCACCCCACTCAGGACAGGCAAGAGGTACTCACCTATTGGATGCCAGTCTGGTTCAGCTTCGATGACGGTCATTCCCTACACGTGATTTGAGATGTAGACTAGCCTATAGAAGGCTTAGCTTGGTTTCCCATCTTTCACTTTCCCGCAGCCTTGGATGCATACCAAACATCGCTCCTCTCCTTGTACTCACATTGCCATTTCCGCCCATCGTATTTTGAACTTTACATTTACTACCACCTTTCAAATTAATCACAGGCTATCATCATGGCGCCCCAAGATTCATTCATAGACGATGAGGAGGATACCTGGTACGCCTCACCGCCCACCCGCCCGGGGTCTGCTGCCCGCAGCGCACTGGTCCTTGGGTATTGTTAGGTACTCGAAGCTGACATCTTGACAGCCCTCTTTGCATCGAGGAGTTTGATCTCTCCGACCGAAACTTCCGACCATGCCCTTGTGGCTACCAGGTACGACCATCATGCCACCTCGTCAGCTGCAGCTGACCTTCCGGCCACGTTTGACTAACTCTGGAGCTACAGGTCTGCCAGTTCTGTTTTAACAACATAAAAAATAACATGAACGGCCTATGCCCTGCTTGCAGACGACCTTATGACGAAAAGACGATACAGTGGAAGGTTGTCACAACAGAAGAGTATGATGGACACTCTCTTGCCACGCCGCCGTGCTAACAAACGCCTCTAGAGTTGCCGAGTTCCGTGCCAACATCCAGAAGAACCAAAAGAAGCGGGCTACTGACCAACGCCAAAAAGAGCTTCAGAAACGAGAGGCAGAGAAGGAGAACCGCAAGAATCTCATCGGCGTACGAGTTGTCCAAAAGAATTTGGTCTATATCACAGGCCTTGCTCCGACCGTCAGGGAAGACGAACTGCTAAAAACATTGCGAAAGCCCGAGTTCTTTGGTCAATATGGCAACATCCAAAAGATTTCGATTAGCAACCGAAAGAGCTCGGATGGCCAGCACCAGTCACTGGGCATCTATGTCACCTTTGAATATCCCGAAGAAGCGACACGTTGCATCCAAGCTGTGCATGGGTCACATAATGGCGATCGAGTCCTCAAAGCCCAACATGGCACGACGAAATACTGCTCAGCCTGGCTCAAAAATGAAAAGTGCAGCAACCCTGGTTGTATGTTCTTACACGAACAGGGTGATGAGGAGGACAGCTACAGTCGGCAAGACCTTTCATCGATGAACAGTATCGCTTCCCAACGACCCCTCCCTGCAGGTGGATCACGGTCTGCTTCCCGGCAACAAGCTCCTCATCCCACCCCGCCACCCGTCGTATCTCATCCTATGACACGCTCTATAAGCAAGGAGGGATCTGAGAACGGTGTTGACGGATCAGCATTACCTTCCTCAGCTAACTGGGCACGCAATCCACAGCGGAGTCGTAGGGGCAGTCTCGCTACTAGTGGTGCCGCGTCAAGCCCTGCTATCTCGGCAGCTCAGCCTGTAACCGCTGAGCCTGTTCCGGAAGAAGCAGTTGAGGAAGAAGAGGATGAAGATGAAGATGAGGAGGACGAGGAAGATGAGGAAGACGAGGAAGAGGAGCCTCAACCAGAGGAACCGGTGGCCGGACCCTCTTCATCCCGTGCGATGGAACCCGAATCTCCTGCACCAGCCAGGAACCTGGCTGAGAGGGGGCTTAGAGAGATCCTCAAGGTGCTGGGTAACACTCCCTGGCCTCCTTCGTCTACCGCTGCAGCAGACCAGTATCCGCCCTTGTTCGATCCTCGTGGTGGTGAAAAGCGCAGAGCTATGCGAGAAGAGGAGGATTCGCGTTTGAGTGGTGAACAGGAAGAGCGTCCCGAGGCCCGCGAGCCATCCGAAGGCGAGCCCGAAACTGGTGGAAGTCTTGCTCTTGGAGGCGAACCGGAGGACCGTGACACATCCAACGACATTAGAGGTTTCGACCGTCGAGGCAGCACCCAGCCTCCTATCCAACGACTCTCCACTGACGGTCTCTTTGGACCTGCCCTCACCGGAGCCTCGCCCTTTGGCCAGAGCCCGGGCAATCCTGGCTCGCGGTCTATGACACCCCAGCAATTGTTCCTTCGATCTCAGAGTGGCTTTGGTGACGCACCACCCGGCATTTCCAGCCAAAGCAATGCCTTCCAGAACCAGAGTCAGGGCCAGGGCCAGGGACAAGGCCACAACCGCCAGTCGTCCCGATTCAGCTTCGCCAACGACAGCGCTGGCTCTGTAACCAACGTCAAGGTTTCGACTAACCCGCGCATCATGGCCCAACAATCTTCCATGATGCCCAACACCTTCCAATCCCAGGGCAACAACCAGTTCTACGGTGCTTCTATGCCTGGACCTCCTCCCGGCCTCAAGTCGACCGGCACTCCTCCCAACATGTTTGGCCAGTTCGGTGGACAGGGCTTTAATGCGCCAAAGGACAACTCGAGTGAGATTCTTCAAAGTTTAATGGGCCGCAATCGGGCTGGCAACAACCAGTCCCATGATGCGGGAAAGCGTGAGTTTATGATTTCTTCTTTTTCAAACCAGTACCCACCATCCTCTACCTCCACCCCAGCTCCTGCTCCTGGGCTCCTGCCTTCGCTGTATGGTGGTACACCTAGTGCATACCAAGACATGAGCTCTAAGCAGAAGAAGAAGGGAAAGAAGCACAGACATGCTAACACTTCCTCTTCAGGGGGGAGTGGCCTAGTAGATCTTGCAGACCCGAGTATCCTGCAGGTGCGAATGCAGCATCAGTCTCAAGGCAGCGGCGGAGTCGGACAGGGCTTGTTTGGTGGCCAGAGTCAAGGTGGGTACAATCACAACAATATGATGTATAACAACAATTACGGGAGGTGGTAGTTATGATATCTACTGGAGTTTGGGACAGGGAGGCATGATGCTTGGCAACCTCCCGTCGTGACGTATTTTATTCTTTATGCACAAAAGGGGGGCGTTCTTCGGAAATCAGGTCACGGGCAAAAAAGCGCCTACTATTCTCTTCAGGGGGACACGGGTTACGAGCGCATTTTTGATTCAGCACATTTTCGCGAGATCAACACAGCTCAAGGAGGTCAGCTTCGCATCAGGCGTCATTTTTCTTTTTGGGAAAACGGAATGAGATACGAGAATACTTCAAGTCTTTTCATTCCGGATTTTGCCAGTCCTTGAGCGACTGTGCATGGGGGTTCACGTCAGGCAAGCCATCATCGTCTTCCACAAACCCCCTATGTATGTTAACAGCGTCGAATCTATCCGCCCAGGTTTGGCGGTAATATTGGTCAGAAAGCAATACCCTCATTCTCTCCAAATCGCCTCTTCGCCTCTTCTCCTCGTCCCCCTGCGGAAGACGATGGTGCTCGCCGTAGCATGACCCTGTCCCCAAAATCTTGTATATAAATGGGGTGGTGGTGTTTTCGTAGTGTAGTCGTGCTTTGCTTTTGTTGCATCTACATCAAGTGACTGAGTCTATGCTAACTATCGTTCAGATGATGAGCTCCCGTCTTTGGACGAGGCTACGAACTCTGTCGATGCGTTGGTTTCGGACGACCCAATCCTTCCTGCGACCACTGTTGAAGGACGTCAATCCGTGCCCCCCGGCTTGGGGCTACCCCCTGGGCTTTCACCCATCTCGAGACCGCCATCCACCACGGGCCATACAAGATTGTTCAACATTGGACCAGCGTTGCCTAAGATGCCACCGCCTGGCCTGTCACAAGATGCTTCAACTCCAGACCAATCACCCAGAAATCCAATGCCGGCAACCCCTGTCTCGGAAGCAAAGAAAGCATCTAAGTCTTTGGCAACCGAGAGCGGGCTTTTGAAAGAGATCACGAGTCAACCGCAACCAAAGCAGACCAAGGGAAGCATCTTGCAGGACGAGGAATTCCCGGCTTTGGATGCACTGAAGAGCAAGAGCCGACCTGCTACGCCTACACCCAAGCCCACTCCAAAGGCCAAACGCAATGCAGAGAGAATTGTGGATAGAATGATGGCCAAGGCCGGGGCCAGCAAGCAGAGTAGCACAACAGAGGAACCAAAGGTTGAAGATCCCAAGGTCCAAGGTGCCAAAACTCAAGAGTTCAAACAGGAGGCCAAGGTCTCAGAGCCAAAGCCTACAATTGAGAAGAAGCCTGTTTCTCTCAAATCTCAGACTGAGGAGAATTCTGCGCCCACCATGTCTGCTAAAGTATATGGCAAAACTCCTATCTATCTCAACACCCAGATCGAGAAGAATACCGCGCCCAAGCCTGGCGAGTCATCCGCAACGACTGAGAAGCCCAGTACAGGAAATGCAGCTGCTTTCCCCCCATTGCCTGCCCCTTCATCTGCCGCGACCTCGTCTCCTGTCACACGGACAGGGCCAAAGACACTGCGAGTCGTTGCCACTCCTAAAACGGAGGCTCCTCCTCCTGCATCCCCTGCCTTGACTATGGCATCCGTCGCTCTATCCGGATCACGAGGGGTGTCTGCTAGTTACAGACCAGATACGCCTGCTAGCAGCGAGCCAGTTAGTGACAACGCATCGGTTGTATCTGCTTCTGTAACACACTCTCGTGCGAGCTCCCCACCTCCTAGCAGGGTTGGATCAGCTGCGGTACGAACCACAACAAAGAGCCAACAACGCAAGGCACGCAAGGACGTCTTGAAGCAGGAAACCAAGATGATTGCCGAAGTGCCTAAAGTTGAGGCAGAAGTCCAAGCTCCGATCATTGGACGAAAGAAGAAACAGAAGAAGGAAAAGCCTGCCAAGGCACCTCAGTCTGATCCTTCTGCCTCGGCAGCCCCAGAAACTGCGAAGGCCGATGTTTCCACTGCCGAATCTCCCCAACCAGAGCCCCCCAAGGAACCCGAGCAAGAGCCAGAAGAGAAGCCCCTTAAAAGTAAGGCTGCTCAAAAGAAGGCCGCAAAGTCCAAGGGTAAAGCAAAAGAGGTCGAACCTGAGCCTACTCCTCAGCCCCCATCTCCCGCCCAGGAAGCTACTCCCGAAACCCAGGAGACCACGGAGAAGCCAGGGCCCAACCCCGCATCGGTTTTCACTGAGATTAAAAACGCTCTTTGGGCATCTAGCGTGGATAAGCTGCAGCTTTTCAAACCTATTGCCAGTGGTTCATCGCGAACCGATTACAACGCTCATAACAACGCCAACAAGGCCGAGCATTGTAAGGACTGCTCTTGCAAGTGTGGTGAAATTCAGGATGATGATCTTGCGGCGCTTCGTGCGGGTAAACCTGTACGCAAACAATTCCATGTCGATGGTAGTCGCATGCTCATCACCCCCAATGGTGATTGCATCCGCGGCCTACACCCAGAGGAAGAAGATGCCTTCCTTGAGCTGCAAGCTGCCATTGCGGACACAGCAGAGAACCCCGGATCGTTCATTGCCCCTAGACATCAACCTGGAAGCGGGGCCTTCTCTTTGATCAAGGGCAGAGCCGTCCCCAATGGACGTCCCAACATCTTTCCCACCACTGCTCAGCTCCAATCTCAAGACCCTATCGGAAAGCTTCAGAGAGAAGATGCACTGAGCTACATCAACCAATATGTCCTGCCTCGCCTTAACCTGGGAGCCACTAACATGGGTTTCCCCAAGGGTGCATCGCCTACTAAGGATGCGGCTGCTGCAAGTCTTAACTCCCTTGCCCCCTACTTCTATGGTCCTGATGCCGCTGCTGGGGTTGGCATCTACAGCCCCCCTGATGGAGCGCGAGCAATGCAGGATTTCAGCTCAGCTGGCATGTCGCCCGAGGAACGTGGAAAGAACTTTGGAATGAACGTCGGTGGTATGCCCTTAATGAGCGTCGAGGATGCCGAAGGTGCGCTGGCCACTGCCCGACGAGAAACAGAGAAGCTGGAGAAGGGATTGAACCAGGTTATTCGCCGCAACCGACGGCTTGTTCTTGGAGGTAATAATTAAGAAAGTCATGAAAGTCACGTCACGTAACAGCAGGACAAGATATGATGGCGATTTGAGTATCTGTTGCCCGTAGGGCTTGTACGATATTTACGAAAAGGGCGTGTCAGTGTATTTGACGGCAAAACGATATGCTTATGATGAAGCGATAACGTCAATGTTAGAGAACAGAGACTATGAGTGCAGTGTAGGCGAATCAAAAACATCATGAAATAATTGGGTCACTTTGCCTTGGATTAGTAACGTCTTCAGCAACTAACAAATCAAATTGATATATATGGGACGAATAAATCAGTATGCAAATCATCTGGGTATTAAACATGCATTAGGGGACTAATGGGAAGTTGCGTATGTTGATCAATGGAGACCTTTGAAGGAGGCATACACTTGCAAAGCACCTTCAATACTTTGAACCAACCCGAAGAATATTGTCAACACAAGAACAAGAACGGCTACCCAGAATGTATACCTGTTGATTCGGTATTAGCGGATGACAATGTGTGTTGGCAAGATTTGCTATCGAGGAGCGGTACCATTGGACGCCGTTCCGTCTATCATGCCACCATTGCGACAACGATTTCGGCTGTGCTTCGTCAAATACCTGCTTCAACACGACAAGACGATCATTCCAAAATCTAAACCTTTCAGTTTGCCGATGGTCTGTTTTTAGTTGTCCACACTGGATAACTCGTTTGTCAAGGCCCGTGTCGGACAGCTGGGAGAACCACTTCCTTGTTTCCACGTCTGAGGATGGGAAGAGGAGTGCTAATGTCTGCAACGTCTCGTCCGCAAGACCTTTGGGTAGTAGGGAGTCGGAACTGCCAATAAGTCAGTGGACTTACACATTGAGTGTTGGTGAAGAATCGTTAACCTCTGCTGTTGGACATATAGGAACGAAGCATGATGGAAGATGTGCACACGTTGATCGTCATCGGTCAATCGGAGATGATCTACCAAGTTATCAGTCCATACGATATCCAGCCCTGCGATGCGGCACAGGTTGCGAGCAGTGAATATCTTCTCCATCTTAACATTCTCCTTGGACACCTGGGCAGCTCCAGGATCAAAGTAATCTGACACAGAGCTCTCCAGGGACCCATGACTCCAACGGAGATGGCTTCTTCCAGAGAAGCCGTACGTGAAGCTGCAGAAGCTCATCATCAAAAGCAGGCTGGCGGCCAAGTCTATTGAGTTGTCGAGCATTTCGTCTTCATTGTCATGAAGTGTTGTGAGTTTCTCTCTCAGCTCCTCCTTGATATCATGGCGCAGCATCCCACTCTTGAGTTTGTGAATGCAGTCGACCACATCACGGTGTGATCTCAGAGCCACGTATCGCCCTCCGTTGTGAAGAGCCCTGGCACATTCTTTGTTGTAGTATGTCCAAAATGATTGCAGGTCAAAGTCGACGCTGTTGAGACGCTGATCTTGGTGCTGGGAAGCCCAGTACTCACTGGTTATTGTTGTTTTGGTAAGTTGTGGTAGCGGGAGATCTAGCAGGCTCGAATCGAGCTCCGTCTTGTCTGTCATGGTTGCAGTTTCAGTCGTCTTCTGGTCTGTTTGGTTTACACGAAAGATTATAGCGACGCTGGCGGACTATAAGGCGGGTGAGGGAGCCAACCCTGTTCGGATGCATCATGCATGAGACTGTCTTGTCATTGGCGGATGCTCCGCCTCATCCTCATCAGCGCGATGAGCCTCTACACACAGCCCCCAATATCTGCAGCCGAATCCTCTCAATCAATATCACGAGCCATATTATTCATGACTTGAGAAACCATATTTCTCATGACTTGAAACCATGATCCTCTTTACTTGAGAAAGATATCATGAAATACGTTGAGCCATGCCGCTGGAAATCGTAACATCCCCTCTGCGATCCTGGGAGAGCAGCATCGCCATACTTAGTGGCAGGTCAGCAACAAGGCCTCTTGCATGGCCTGAACCGGAGTTGTCTACCGGCCGCTGTATAGGCAAGGTCGGCAAAGAGCTATGCTGGGTGGCCAAAGGCCCAGCGAGAGACGCATTCGCGGTGCTGGCTCCAAAGATTAAGGCCTACCTCGAGAGGTCTGTCGAGCCAGTATCGAGTTGGGTTACATGGTCTATCTATATGTTCGGCAAGTCAGAGAAGAGTGCCAGTCCAGCCATCCTGTTTTGCTGCGAAGTTGTTGCGCATCGTAAACAGGTGAGAAGTGCGATTAAAGACAGCGACATTCTCAACGAGTTCCCTGGTATCAAGACTGCCCACATGCCTCGACCGCCTGACTTTAATCAGCTTGTTCAATTGGCAGATGATAGCATTGATCATCGACCTGTCCTTGCGTCCCTTGCAAACAATCCATGCGGGATGCCGTTATTCGTTGAACAAATTATAGACGACGGAACTTGTTACAAACAAGCTACCGTTGGTGGCATCATCCAGCTGTTGGACAAATTCTACTACACCACAGCAGGTCATGTACTTAACCCCGATATGGCCACGAGCTACACGGAGGGCGAAGTCAGCGATGACGAATTTGAGATTGATGAAGATGATGACGATGATGAGATGGACGAAGTGGCATCAACGGCTTGTGAGAAAACGTGGTTGACACAAGCCAACGACGTCGCCATGAGCCCGCGGTACGCAGGTTCGACTGAGAGTAAGATGGTCCAGCCACCGTTCTCGCCGGGCATACAAGATATGCAAGCAACACAAGAGGAGTCGAAATGCAAGAGCCGTCGGATTCTTGAGGAAGGACCTTCACCGAACATTTCCCTACCTCCACAACCTCTAGGACATGTCTATCTATCCTCCCTCGACGAACCATCATCTGATCTCGACTATGCCCTGATCAAGGTAACCAACCCCATTCACTGCACCGCGAACAAAATCACCTCTTCCTCCTTTTCTGCGAAGGGTGAAGCCAAGATCCAGCGTGTCGTCACAGACGGTCCTAAAGACGTCAAGATCCTTAGCTCCACCTCGAGAGGAACACTTACAGGAGTCATGTCAGGCACTCCCATGTACGCCCGTCTCCCCAACTGTAATCTGTACCAGGATGTCTACAACGTCCTCTTGGACTCGCGACTAGAAGCCGGGGATTGTGGCTCCTGGATCATTGACGTCGAGTCTGGGAACTTGTACGGACACATTGTGGCCGGGTCCCCGGATTCGGGTGCTGCAATTGTGATACCTTTTGCACGCGTATTCGAAGACATAGAAACGCGAGTAAAGCATCACCCTCGTTTGCCCCTCTTCGGAGCCACATCTCCATACAACTTTGATAAAAAGCTAGACCTTGCTACGCATCTGCAACATACAAATTCAGATACGGCATCCTCTTCTAAACCGCCATCGAAGTATGACCAGGAGTGGACCCGCGACTTAAGAAGTCGATTTGAGAAACAGTGGCGGATCAAACTGTTGGATGAACTGAAACTATCACGGACTGGTCGTCAAGCTACTATTGAACAAGCAGTTTCATCTACTGAAGATGAATCAACTTCGCTCTCTAGTCAGCCTAGAGAGGAGGAGTCGGTTCCGCCGTACACTGCAACTGACACTGGAAAAGGGTTACTGCTGCCGACCCAAAACCGGAAGATAGTGCAGACACCACTGTTCCCTCGATCTCCGAGTTTAAACGACCGGGATGCTAAAAAGTTCCGCAACCTTCTGATATCCCTCTCCTTGACCCCAACGAAGTACGAGAACCCAGGATTACTCGACGAGGCTCTGGCCAGCGTCCCGCTAGAGAGACTCTACAGCGAAGCTGAAGAAGAAACCATGTTCTTACAGGCCCAAGCAGAGTCATGTGGCGATGGACGGTGGCCCGAGTGGGGCTACAGTGATTGCATCATCCGGGCATTGTTGAGATGGTTCAAAAGGTCATTTTTCACTTGGGTGACCAATCCAGCATGTTCGATATGTTTGTCTCCAACCATTGCTATGGGGTTCACTGAGCCACTCCCAGAAGAGTCAGCTTGCGGAGCTCGTCGCGTCGAGCTCTACAGATGTTCAAGGCAAGACTGCCTAGAATTTGAGCGATTCCCCCGATATGGCGATGTTTGGAAACTACTTCAGACCAGAAGAGGGCGAGTTGGTGAGTGGTCGAACTGCTTTACGATGTTGTGCCGGGTCATGGGTGCCAGGGCACGGTGGGTATGGAATAGCGAGGACCACGCATGGACCGAGGTATACTCGGAATACAGGAAGAGATGGGTTCACATTGATCCATGCGAGGAAGCTTTTGATCACCCAACATTATACACCGAAGGTTAGTCATTGCACTCGAGATCCCCCCAAGCATTACCTACCTTCTCAAGATACAGCACTGACATTTCGTAATTAGTTTGGAATAAGAAAATGGCATATGCTATAGCCTTCTCTATCGAAGGTGCCACGGATGTTACGCGACGATATGTTCGCAAGGCGAAGTATGCGGCGGAGCGAAACCGTTGTCCAGAAGAAGTCCTGCTGTACGTCATGGATGAAATCAAAAATATCCGCCGCGAAAATATGAGTAAGGAGGACAAAATCCGACTGAAAGAGGAGGACAGATGTGAACAGCGGGAACTCAACAACTATATTGTCTCGAGTGTCACCGCTGACTTTATGGCCACGGGATTGATTCGTGTCGAGGGTTCGTCACAATTGCTCAAGTCACCGGGAGGATCAGCGAGACACAATCAGAAGCAGGGAAGTGGAGGAGTGGCAGAGGGACCTTTGGTTATCCCTTAGGTCGTAAGCCTGTTGGACTTACGTACCTATATAAGTGACCAGGATTTGGAATTATATTACAATTTGGATAAGACAAGCGGTGCAGACTACCGCAATTCCTCACTCAGGTAGCACCCCGCTACAAAGAAGGGGGAAATTAGTTCGGTATATATATAATAGTCCCTATTATCAAGATGATCTAGCAGGTTGTAAGACATGCGAGACCCAGGGTAAAGGTTGCTTCGCTTGTGAGATGTTTCCATTTCGACCAGCCGTTAATATTAATATACAAAGGATGTTAATGTAAAGCATATATTAGTTGATAAACTTAAGATATAAATAAGAATTAGTTGCTAAAAGCATAAGAGACGAAATTTATAGGTCAGTTTATGCAATTCTGGGTCTACTCTTAGATTATTTATTTTTATAACCTAAAGCTCAAAGACCAACCTTTCTGCTGCCCACTAGATATGTTCTTCACGACGTTTCTTCCGCGAGACATCATGTGATGACCGTCGACGGTCTGCACCAAGAGCTCTCCTAGCATCACTAGTAACCTGCTTCCTCCCCTCAGACGACAAAGACTCACGAAGTCGCTCCATAAGTCTGTCAAGAATCCACTCAGTCTCTTCCTGACTCCCCATAAGCGGACTCCGATTTCCCACCCAGGACCAAGCCGTAACATGTTCCGAATCTGTCTTCTCCTCGGTACCTTTTTCAGGAGACTCATCGGCTTTCTTGTTGTGGTGATGTCGATGGTGGTTCTTGGGTTTTGGCTGGGCTTTTAAGTGCGTGTCGGCACTGCCTTCGTCTTCGCCGATGAGTTTCAGATACCATGCCCATTCTTCAAATGAGTATTTGTGTGGCTTTTGGGATTTGAGATGTGCGGTGAGAGCTTGGATTTCGGAGATGAGGAGGAAGTGGAAATTGGTTCCTGTTGGTAGATCCTCGTGAGCGTCTCGTAGACGGGATAGTGAACGTCGGACTCGAGTGGTAAAGGTCGAGTTATGTCGACTGTGGTCCGGTCGCTCTTTATACGGACCTTCATCCGTCCTAGAATCTCTCGACCTCCCTCGTGAATCGTTTTTATCAGGTCCTTGTTCCATATCAATAAAAGCTGCGGCGGCATCACCGCTAGAATCTTGAGCCGAAGGCATCTTTTTGGTTTGCGAAGGTTGCGCTGGCTCCTTATGGTCGGGAAACACATGTCCAAACGTACAACTGTGAATAATATACTTGAGATCGTCCGAGAAACTGCCCTCTTCCCCAGGAAGAATAGTGACGTTTCCTAGCCGCAAGGTTCCGTCACGTATAATCTTGATGATCGTGTCTCCGGCGTTGGATATGAGAACAGTCATGGTAGGTAACGCAAGTAAAGACCAAAAGACGAAGAAGGACTTGCCAGCATTAGAAGCAGGAGTCACGTCGCCGTATCCGATAGTGGTAAGAGTAACAAAACAGAAGTAAAAGCCGTCAAAGTAGTCCCAGCCTTGGTAATTCTCTTCACACTTGACAAAGATGTATGCGCCCAGAAGCCAGAGGAGAAGCCAGGTGCCTGTGGATATTGCCATGGCCATCCAGCGACGACGAGAGGATGTTTGAGCCTGAATCTTGCGCATGAGCTCGAATTCTGCTTTTCGACGCTCGAATTCCGTTGCAGGCTGTTGAAGATCCGAATCTGCACGCTGGGGCATCTGCTTTTGTGGCTCACGGATAGGTTCGAGCATTTCGTCTTCACCTTTCTTGGTCATTGTCCGGACTATACGTCTACGTTTCTTCTCCTCCATTCTAGCATCGACTTGGCGTTTGCCTCGCTCGAGAACAAGACTTCGAATAGAACCGACGACCAAACCTAGACTGATAACACCTACCAAGGCGTAGGGCATCATCAGAGCTCGGCCGAGGTTGGTTTCTGCTCTGAAGTCACCGAAACCGACTGTGAAAAGCGTTACGTCTGCCCAGTAGACAGCATCAAGGTAGTTCCAGCCTTCTATGTTGGAGAATACAAGGGCACCGAGAAGTAAGTAAAACAAAAACATGATGGTCTGCAGCATGAGTGTTCGTTGACTGGGCGTGAGGTTAAAGTCTTTGTTATAATGGCCAGTCCATGCACCATAAAAAGTCACCAACATGAGCGAAGCGTCAACAAAGTAGAGAATAGCAGCCCACATGCCGTAGTAAAAGGCCTGCGACCAGATAAGTTCATCAGCAGGATACTTGAACCCTTCGTACAGAGGACCAGCAGCTGTAGCGAGGAGAGAAATGAGCAGGATGGCAGAGATGTACCAGCCGATTATGGTGATGGGCTGAGCGATTGTGAAGCGAACACGGCGCGTCATGTTTAGTAGGAGAAACATGTTTGAGATGATAGCCATGGCAAGCTGAATAGCGTTGATGACGGTGAGCCAGATGGGATCGGCGACAAAGGGAGCTGTCTTGACGATTTGACCTGGAGGTCGATGCTGTCTCCATGGTCGGACGAGAGCGCATATACTGAAAGCTGAAGCAACGGGACCGAGTGTGCCAGCGATCATGGGGAATGCCGACGAGGCAAACCACCAGCGGCTGAATAGGTCAGAAATATGAGAGTGATTTGTTATGGAGAGACGTACTTTGGTGATAGATGAGCCTTGTCATTTTCTATACGTTTCTCGTGAGAGATAGTCTCTTCGAAAGCCTCAGTCTCCTCCTGAATATTCTCTCCAAGATTGCCGTCGTCCATGGGAATGTTAAAGAGGTAAAAGCGACGAACGTAAAAGAACAGGGGACATTTCCTAGTTTTGTGATCCCTCAAAAGAATGAATGTTAACTAACAGCAGATATGTCGACGGTCGTGCAACTATTAAAGATCCCCAGTAAATAAAGTAGATGAGAATCCTTGGCATGGGGAAGAAGACATGACATGATCGGGCATGACGTCTAAAATAAAACCACTAAAGCCAAAGCGTTTAGGAATCACGAGCTAGACCAAGTTTCCTACATCTTTGGGGCCTGTCAGAGACAAGCAGGGTCATTCGTTCAGTGTTGGATGCTTGGTCTAACTGTTTGGGTAGTGGAAAACAGGGCGCGGCTATAGCGGCTTTGGATCTAGGAAAAGACGGCAAGTTACGATCGTACTATATTTTATTAGTGAGTGGCCTTGAATTGAATCTCTCTCTCTTTGTATGCCGTTCTTTGACTTATATCCAGCTCTTATTCCCGTGTCATGATTCTGGCCAATGACATACTCGAATCAGGAAATGCTCAGTTCCACCCCAAGCAACGATCGATCAGTCTTTCTCTTTAATCTTGCCTCATCAAGCCGTTCAACGTTGCGATCAAAGCCAATTATTTACTTCTTGTCAGTCTCTACTTAATCGAATTTCACTAGACCGTTATCTGTCCAACGAGTAGACGTGGCTTTATACCGATTTCGTTGAAGCATAGCTCAACCTTAAGCGCGTCATATAGCCCTTCCTTCAAGGGTCATGTAAGTCATTCAAACATTGCCAGCTTCATCCTAACTAATAGTCATTCAGTTCTCAGTGACACGTGATATCGTGTCTCTCGTGCATAAGTAATGCGGTAGCAGCATGCAAGGATGCCTTCCTATTCACGCCCTTCGTCGCCTTGGTCATAAACGACTCATCGACTATCTGCCCAAACATTCGCAGAGGCTATATAGCTTTCAGAGTCATGAGCGTGTTAGTGTGCGATGTGGCTCATCTGGCCATGTGAGCATTGAGTAAACCAAACCCCATCCTAACCATCATACTCATAACTAACGTTGCCCAACAGTCTCATAGACATTGCTGAACAGCCAAACTCTCCCCTCTTCATTTACCTACCCTCCTCTCCTTTTAACAACAGCCAACCAGCTTCAATACCCAGATTCCTTCAGGGCAAGCCGCTGGCCACCATCAACTACAGATGGAACTTCTTTGATCGTGATAACCTTGATCATATCTGGCCAACGCCTATCCACGACACCTCCTTCGCCTACAAGTGGCTAGTAGAGAATCTCGCACCAGAAGGCATCAAAAGGCGCGACATCTACGTCTATGGATCTCACCTAGGAGCAAGCCTCGCCACGTCTCTAGCACTTACGGAATCACAACCCCACAAGCCCTTTGGAGTGCGAGGCCTGGTGTCATACAACGGCATCTACAACTGGACCATGTTCTTTCCCGACCATCCAGTGAACACCCCCAGAGAATTCGTCGGAAATCCAAAAGCCCATTACAAGCCTCCGGAGGGGGCGTACATACACCACCTCCAACAAATGTTGCCGACGCTCTTCAAGTCTACGGCAGATACGTTTGACGTGTTTGCCAGCCCATCCCTCTTTTTCCACAACCCAGGAATAAATGTACCTATGTCTTACCACCTGACAGAAGCCGAGAGTCTCGCCATCGAAATAATGACCAACCCAGAAGGCGAGGTAGACCCTCCCCTCCAAGCACCTCGTAGATCGAGTCTGGTTTTCCCACCCCGCAAGTCAACCCTCAAGCTCCCCGAGACACTGCTGCTGTACGACCTGCTTCCCGTGTCGCCGCGAACCAACAAGCCCAGGTTTCAATGGGGCAACAGCCTCGAGAAGCAGGCAAAGGAGCTGGCGGAGATGATGCAGTCCAGTATCTACAAGGTCGAGCTCCCAGAGAGGGGTTTGTGGGATGATGATATTGCTTTTTGGGAGAATGAGCAAGCTAAAAGGGTCAATGTCGAACGAGCTGGATCAGAGAGTCCGATGATGGAGATGGGGGAGAATGGGGAGCAGCTTGTTGAAGAATGGTTGACGGAGAGAATAGCACCAAAGAATACTCAGGTATCTTGATTGAAACTGTATTTGTATCATGTAGAACATATTTGTATTATAGTCTTGATAAATCATTGATTGTCGATAAGAAGTTGGCTTGATATTTAGTGGCACAGCATGGCACAGCACTAAAAGACGGCACATGGGAAAGCTTGACTTGACCAGTAGTGGAGCCACCCTCCCTTGTTTGGTTGTATCGTATATCGAGTCTAGAACGAACGGCTGAAGCACGTTGTCAGCCAAACCATATCACAACATCTCACAAGCGTCGATATCTAAGACAGACACCGTTCATTACAGTAGACATTAAACACTGTGACGGTATGACTCGAGGAACAAGTCATCAAACAAGCGAAAAGACTTGACACTATCTATAACTGAAAAAGGGTCCAAAGCTCACCTGTCACTGAAAGCTCAGCTGTGGTTCACCTTGGCCGAGATGAGAAGTGGGCCAGCGGCTAAACATGCACGTTGTCGTCAGTTGTAAAGTTAGCGGACAAGGGGTCACAACTTGTCACAAGACCCCTTGATTCTTGATACTCGAGTATTACTCTCAGTGTCAGTTTCATCTCTTATTATTCCACAAGATAAAAGACATTAACAGCAAGAGATGACATGAAAGGACTCTACAGCACGAAACACTCATACAATAAGGGGCTTCCACTGTCCGGGTTATTTATCCGCAACTTACAGCCCTTCTACCCTTACAAGCCACTGTTACACTGGACCCACCCCTGGTTTCCCTGGAAAATGCTTGTTTTTCAGTGGACGTCTCAGATTCTTGATCCCTGGACAAGGATGCTTCAGTTGAGATTGGATGTCACCCACTCCCTCCTCTCTCTATTGCACGACACATTACTAACTGACCTACGAACTGACCATGGCTGAGCAGTTTCATCTCCCGTCTTTCTGCCGCTATCTTTATCCTTAACCTTTCTTTCTACATCATCTTCCTTTTGACAAGACACAACACCATCACCGCACACTTTCTTATCCACAACACTCATAATGCCTGGAATTCGTAAGTTACAAATATACAACTTTACACTGCACCTCTAACCAAACCCTCCCCACAGCTCTGCACGCCCTTGACAACTTCAAGGCCAAGCTCAAGGCCGCCTTCAAGAAGAAGGACAACAAGGAAGAAGCCAAACCCGCCGAGCAGAAGCCTACCGAGACCAAGCCCGCCGAAACCACACCTACCACCACCGAGCCTACCAAGACCGAGGCCGCTCCTCCCGCGCCAGCTAGTACGTTGATTTATAACAACACACATGCTTCGTTCAGGACTGACACATATACTCTACAGCTGAGCCTGCTCCTGCGGCCGAGCCTGCAAAGGAGACCAAGCCCGAGACAGAGGTCAAGCCTGAAGCTCCTGCGGCTACTACCGAGCCTGCAAAGACAGAGGAGGCTGCTCCTGGTATGCTACAATACGGACAAACTTGAAGAGCTGAGAACTGACATTTATAGCTCCTCCTACTGAACCCGCCAAGCCCGAGGCCGCTCCGGCCACCGAACTTCCCGCTCCCGTCCCTGAGCCTGCCAAGACGGAACCCGCTCCGGCTGCTGAGCTACCTGCTGCTCCCGCCGTCCCGACTGCCCCAGCTGCTGAACTGCCTGCTGCTCCCACTGCTCCTGCCGCCGAGCTACCTGCTGCCCCAGCTCCCGCACCCGCTGCAGCCCCTACAGAGCTCCCTGCTGAGGCTCCTAAGGAAGAGGAGAAGAAGGATACCCCTGCTCCTCCCGCTCCTGCCCCCGTGGCCTCTGCTTAAGCAAAGGGCGAATGCTTCTTTCTTGGAGATAGAAAGATACCTTATGGTTCGAGTAGATTGCGTGTTTGTGTTTCCAGTTATTGCCATTAAGGCATGTTTGTTTCAGTGATTTTGAACATGGCAGGTTCATCCTGACCATGTATGTCCCCTTTTCTCCTAGCAGTTGGCTGGATACCCAGAGAGAAAAGTGTTGCGATGCTCTGTTTCAAATCTATACCCGCTTTTCATATCTAATGCAGAAAGGACTATCTATACCATGCTCCTCATAATCCGTGACACACGTCTAGTATATTTTCTTTAGAAGGACTAATGCGACTTGTGGTCTCATGAATCTCTAGCCCATGGCGCTTTGGTGACAGTGATTTGTGCGTCCGTAGACCCTGCGCCTCTGGATGGCCTTGCAAGAGACCCTGAGTTAGGACCCGGTGGTGGCATACGTGAATAGGGAATGCCAGGGCCTGACGATGGTGGCATTCTTGTAGCTTGAGCCCATGGCGCGGCTGTTCCAGGTCCTGAGGGTGCTGGTGGTGCCATCGCTGGTTGGTTTGCCATATGAACGCTCTGAGTTGGGGTTGCTGCATCAGGGTCAACGTCCCAAGAGAACAACGACCCGAATGGAAAGTGCTGGACAACGGGAAACTTTGACAACACTTCAGCATTGAACATCTTGATCATGCCCTTGTTGATCTTGCCCCAACCGTCGCGAATGCCCGAGATGTCGAACAGAATCGGACTATGTTCCCAAAATGGACCCTTCTTCACGTCGTTGATGAAGCCAATGGCTGAGAAGTACATGTTGACTTGGCGTTGATCCTCTACTACGGCTGCCTTTGTAACATCGCTGGGCTTCGGAGCACCCTTTACGGATCCCTCTAAGGGCATTGGTTCGTTCTCATTGATCGGTCGTGTAAATTGTGCAGAGCCAAAAATGTAAGGCATGAAGGAGTGGTCGTCGAGGCCCCAGACGCCATGTGAGCCGGCAGGTTCGAGGGTATAGGTTAGAATAAGTTTCCTCACAACGTTGAGGTAACTGGAAATGTCAGCGGTATACTTTGGATGTGTAGACAGGCAACTTACGGTTCAATAACCTTGAGGACAATCTCGCGCTCAATCTCTCCTCCTTGTTCTCCATCCTTGAAGAAACCCAACTTCCATAGACAGCCGAGGAAAGCGACAAAGCTCAGTTCATGTCCCGTTCCATAGTCTAATCGCTGTACACTGCCGAAACCACCAAGAAGGTAGCTTGAGACCTCCTCTTTCGCCTTGCCATCGCCCACTTTCAGTGTTTCCCCTAGCAGCCCCTCGTCAAGCAGCGCATCCAAACGCTCCTCAAAGATAGCATGCCACTTGCGAAAACTAACATTTCCAAATCGTCTAGGACCTGGGTCAGGCGGTGCTTCATCGATAAAGCTTCCAATCTTTTCCAAAAGAGCTTGTAGAGTATGAACGGACGGCGTCGTTGCTGGTTTCGAGTTGAGGGGAAAGGTGCGGGGGAGGGGCGATGAGGTTTGGTTTCGAGGACATAGAGCGCGGTTGAGCTGGAGGATGAAAACGCCAATATCGCGGTAGGCTAAGCTGGTGAGAAAACGAGTGACGTCGGGGCCTTCGTTGATGCGCTTCGAGGGTATCGTGAAAGCTGGCGGGGAGCTCAGGTCGAGAATCTCAAGCGCATTGAGCTTTGGAGGGGTTATGGACGTCATGTCGACGATGGTGAGACACCACGGTCGCAATTATAAAACGGTATGTTGAAGAATAGAACAGAAGTTTCGTTCGAGATGTGGAAGTAAAGTGGGAGAATTGGAATTTAAGTGGATGTTAGTGTTTGGTTGAAGTTAGAAACGATTTAGTCAGCTATTGGTCTATGGACCTTGTAGAAGTGACCATCATGAGATTGGATGCGAATGACAAGAAGCGGATCTCGACCATGGAGGGGCCCTAAATTTAGGAAACTTTTATCTAAACTGCCTATTTCCGAAACACCTGCACTAGTGGCTCTCATAAGTCAATGTAAATAGACTTTCTATCACATTGTCGAAATGTTTGTATTTGACTGTTGGTTCTGGAGCTGTTGAAATTGTCTCTTTGCCAAGTGCCCCACTTTGTATGTAGGTAACGCGCGCCTGTCCAACATGGTATGCAGCTCTAAGTTCTTTGTTCAATACACCTTTACAACTCTGTTCACACTTTCACGATTCTGAATATTACCCGGCTTGAAGGACATCATTCAATATCTTACTAGCACTCTGATCAACCTATAATTCTCGGCGTGCTGCCGCGGCACGTTGAGTCAAGCTTTCACAGCACAATAACAAAGGATCAACATGGCGCGGCTGCGCTCCAGAGGTAGCGCCTCTGTTGCTCCAAAAGAGCATGAAATGACACCACACATTCGATTACATGAAGGGATAAGACATTCACCAAGATATTCAGTCCCTATTCGAAGTATTGATACTAGGAGTAGTCCATTTGTGAAAAGAAAAACAGGTCTACGATCAACTTCGTCGGCAAGATCTCGAACTCGACCCTCTTCGAGCAAAAGCCAAGTCACACGATCAGTGAGAGGAAGTGTACCAGATCATGAGTTGTCTCCGCAGTTCTCTCCGCAGTTATCCCCGCCTCCTCCACGGAAACGTCGCTCTGATGCTACAGATCAGGAGCAGCTCCCAAAGCGTCAGCGCAACGCTAGTCATGGGTCTGCTGGAGAAGAGGAATTGCCTCAGCCAATCCAGCAGAGCGAGGAACCAAATAAAGACGAAGAGGCAATTCCTCAACCGATCCAGCAGAACGAGGAGGCAGATGAAGACGAAGAGGCAATTCCTCAACCAGGCCAGCAAAACGAGGAAGACTTACCTCAATCGGACCAACAGAACGAGGAAGCAGACGAAGACTCAGAAGCAATTCCTTCAATAGACTTTCTCAATGGCATCAATAAGAATATTGGGGCCTTTGTCGTGCCAAACGAGCAACCAAGTCTTTTGTCCAACACCAGTGTCGAGGATTCTACCAAGAATGACGATAGCGCACTTTCTCATTTTGACACTTCACATGAGATCAAAGTCGAAAAACCAGCCATCGCCGACACTACAGTTCAACACAGAAGTAGTACGGTTAGAGCCTTGACCGAAACAGAGGATATATTGCTTGGAACAGTTGCACCAGAGGAGACACCTCAATCAGCGCAATCGGTTTTTCAGCCTGAGTCTTCGCCAGGCTTGCCTCCACTAGAGGATATGTTAGACCATTTCGAAACAGTTCGTGCAGAGGCACCTCAACCAGCGCAACCGGTTCCCCAGTCCGGGTCTTCGCAACAGCATGAGTCTTCCCAGCAGTCTGGGTCTTCATCAAAGGGGCCTCAACAGTCACGTCGGCGAAAGAATGGACAGCGGAGGAAAAAGGCGACGTTTTATGAGCTTAACGAAGGTCCAGAGCTTTCGCTAGAACAATCAGCACAGCCAATCTCGTCGAGGAATTTCCAAGTCGATGAGAGTATATATGACGTGCCTGACTCACCCCCAAGACAATCAAATCACACCAAGCTTGTTGAGAGGTCACAGAAGGCGCCTATGTCAACAGGTAGAGGCAGCCCGAGGATGAAGCTAAAACAAAGAAGCAGCCAGTCTGGTCAGCGAAGGAGCAACGTTTCTATACAGTACCAGGATGATGAAGAACAAGAAGAGAATTCCCAAGAAGAGGGTGATGAACATGGAGACGATGAATTCGCCTCTAGCGACGACGAGCTTGAGCTTCAAGAGCAGCATACACCACACCAGGATTCACTGGTGCTTGATACACCACCGGCCGATTCACAGGCCGCAGATTCCACACATACGACATTTATAAAGCGTATATACGTCCAAAAGCTCATGCATATAATGACCCTCCAAGGCTGGATGGAAAAAAGATTCTGGAAAAATGAATTTCTCGACCATGCCGCAGACAAATCAGATGAGCTGGCTTCCAAGCCCGATTGCCCTGTTCTGTCAACAAGAATTCTAGCCCAGCTGTTTGACCTCCATGAGTTGTGCAAGGAGATTCCTAAAGCACCAAAGATTGATCAATTGGCATATCTACGCGAAAAGGCGACAAAGTTCAGTGACTTGGTCAGCAATCTTCACCAGTCCATTGATTCGTTCATCGGGAGCATCAATAACTTCATGAAAAGCGACGACCCAGAACAAGTACAAGTCGGCTCCAGTCGTGTTACGAGACTACGCAGGCGAACCATTCCCATGTTGGTGCTATTACTGGACACAACATTCGAAGCTGGATGTGGACATCCCGATTGGGATGGTAAAAAGGCCTCTCAACAAACCGGAGAGTTCACGGTATATCTGTTGGAGCCGCTAGAACGGGCTGCGGGTTGGGCCGGCAGAGCTTTACAGACGGTGGAAGGATGGTACGAGCTTCATCCTCCAAAGAAGGAACGTGATGAAGATACAGTGGAAGAGGCAAAAGCGAACCGCGCTGCATTTCGCTCTGCCCTAGCCATGCTCAAGCAAGAGTTAAGGAAAGCTAGGAGAGGCCTCGAGAAACCCAGACCATCGCCTGCGGCACTAATGCTAAGAGATGAAGCTATTCGAAAGGAACGTGAGGCCAGAGAGCAGGAACGTCGAGAAAAACAAAACCTTCAGATGCAGCGCTTCAGGGAGTCGATTCAAAGGATCGATCCGTACAGACGGTCGACTAAGGCGAGGCCTTTCCGACAAGAAGTGCCTGTTCCTTATCGACCAAGTCAACCACGCCCTGCCCCCTCTAACATGGTTCTCAATCGCTTTCGCAATTCCTCTGGCGTTAGCCTCTCCTTACCCAGCGCAACCGCCCCACCCCAGCCGCTGTCAGAGCGGGAGGGATACTACGAGCGACATGGATGGCATTATTGGGAAGATGATCGGATCTTGACCTTGATCAGGACCACGACCCATCCTAACTACGAAAACTTTCAATGGATGCTTCCTGATCGGAGCACTGACGAGATAACAGAGCGATCGAGATATCTGAAGCTGGTTGTACGCGATAAATATCAGCGTGATGGGATTCCGCCTCCCGGATTTTGCATGGATGAAGATTGATATGCCGGCTTGAAGCCAGACTATCGGCGTTGGGATTATGTGATATTATGATACCCGGGAAAGCTCGGTTGATATGTGTTATGCGATTCGAGCAGGAGTTAATATGTTTAGAAGTATTCATGCATGAGTTACATGGTGTAGATGTATCTTGTTTCTGTACCCAATTCGTGACAGTGAATTGGGCACCGTCAGCTCCGTGTTGATTTGGTGACATCAAATCGGATCGGAAAGAAGCCGGTTTTAATGACCAGTAGTCAAGTTGGTGTAGTGTTTCATGCTTCTTGCCATGTGTGTGATAGCTGAGCTTGAGCTTCTACCAACTGCGCTATGCCACATCATTGAATCCCAATGAGTATGTAGCATCGACTTTCTATCTGTCACATTTCCTTATAGGGAAACAAAGCACTGATGAAAATCGCCAACGCATAGACACGGACTCTTTGACACTTTAGAGTAGTGTACGCTAATGCTTGGCTTGAATTTGGGTATCATTGGGTTCTTGTCAAATCATCACAAGTCTCTGGAATTGGTTGAAGCGCCACCACATGTGATACATATGGAGGGTGATCAGATACGCTTACCCAAGGAAAGCAAAGCGTGGAAACAGCTCTAGATCATTTGTGGTAAAAAGTCAACAGATCATTAGGTTCTTTATTTTAGTTGTTCCTTTTTACGCGTTTTATACGCGATTCTGGGGAGATTTGATAGATTCAAATTTCGCCCTTTGTCTTGGCTTGGTGATTAGGAGAAAGATGAGGCTTGCCTCCACTACTACTAGTTAATAAGCGAAGGCCTTGGGTTTCTGAGAGATGATAAATATGGACTGTACGGATACCCAGGTGGTGGCTCGCATTGCATTGCCGTGCATTGCATATAGTGCTTTAGTTAGGCGAGGCGGGCCAACCTGTGATCCTGTTTTTAGAAGACTCTTGCGAAAGAAGTAATACTAACTACAGATCATGTTGTTAATGTTTTCATCCAAGACACTTGAAGAATGTTTAGTTACAGAGTAATATCCTCCCACTCGTAAAAACAAAACAAAAAAACTACCCTGAATCTCCATGGGGTGAGCCAGGAACTGACTGGAGTAGCAGCAGACCCCTGACCTGAAAGATGGACAGTGAGTAGAACCCCTGGAACGGTCGCTACAGGCCGGCCGGTCCATCAGGGCCCTGATCAAGGGAAGAAGCAATGTTAGTGGCCGGTGAGAGTGGAGCTCTCATGATGGAAATGGGAAGAATAGCTCAGTGATGGGATCACAAGGCAGATGGAAGACATGGATGACCGCCCCAGAAGAACTAAAATCAGGTATGTATCCATTCGCAATCTAATATCCCCGTCCCATCAACAAGAACAAGACAGCTCAGCTTTCCACCCTTTTTTTTCCTATCCTAACTTCTCCTTCCTCTCTCTTCTCTCTCAGAAGCCAGCGGATATCGACAGTAAATAAAGAAGTCTTTGTATTAGTCTTCTTTATCTGCTTCATTGCAAGCTTTCTTCCTCACGTTCCTTATTTCTGCTAATTTTACCTTCCCCTCCCTGCTCCTTGTTATCTGAGGAGCTTCTAGCAAAGCGTGGTTTTGCTGGATAAAAAGGAGACCACCCCAAGGTAAGATTAACCCCAATTCCTATTCCAGCTCATAGCCGCATACCCTTGACGTAGCTTCATGGCTTGTGCCGGTTTATGTTTTGTTGTCTATTGATTCTTCAAGCTATCGTTGCTTGATAGCTGATTTGTAGCTTTTTGTGCGACATTCTTGATAAACTCAATTCAAACTGTCCTGGCTATCCAATTTACTAACATCGTCGCTCTCAGAGAATACTACTTTTAATACCAATTCATTACCGTCGAAATGTCTGAAACCGAGAGCTTCGACGTTGTTCAGCACGAGGAAGCTGTTGCTTCTCAGTCCGATGCTGCGGCCACTACCGAGCCCGAGCCTGAGCCCGAGAGCCCCAAGACCGCCGCGACTCCTTCGTCTCCCGATACACCAGTCAGGGAAAAGGCAAAGGAGAGCCCTGGAGCGAAGCCCACGCTCAAGCAGCCTGGTGCAGCCTCCGTGACTGCTACTCGTCGACCTGGTGCTACTTCTTCGACGGCCAAGCCCACCACCTCCTCAAGCACCGCCCGTGCCCCAGGAGGTCTGAGCAAGCCCCCTACTCGTCCTGCTGCTTCGACCATTCGCCGTCCCCCTACCGCGACATCCATGTCGAGCCACCGAAGCCGTCCCAGCATGAGCGCTAGCGAAGATGACAAGAAATCCACCACTTCCTCTGTCGCATCCGCTCGTAGGACGAGCTCCATCATGTCCAGCCCCGCCAAGACCGCTGAGAGGCGAACCGTTGGAACTGCCGGTTCGACAACGGCTACCCGCAGACCGCCGTCTACAACGACCACTACCCCACGAGCTGCTACTGCTAGCCGAACCGCAGCTACTCCCACCGCTTCCGCGACACGAACGACTGCTACTCGAACAACTGGCACGACCCCTACCGCCAACAAGCGACTTTCTACTTCGGGATCCTTGACTGCCGCTTCCCGAACCGCGGCTCGACCTGCTCCTTCTGCAGAGGCTGCCAAGGAGATCGAGGCGCTCAAGGCCAAGTTGACAGAGGGCGAAACTGAGATTGAGGCTCTCAAGGCCGAGGTCAAGACTTCTGAGGAGAAGATTGCGGAGCTTACCGAGAAGATTAGCCAGGGAGTCACCCCTACCGAGTCTGGCGACAAGCCTGCCCAGGACAACGATGAGGCAATTGCCAACCTAAAGTCTGAGCACGAGGCCGCGATCGCTGCCCTCGAGAGCCAGGTTACTGAAGCCAACGAGAGGCTCCAGGCCGCAGAGGGTGACCGTGAGCAGCTTCGAGCCGATCTCGATGCCGCTGTGAGCGCCATGGAGGCTAGTTCGACAGAGCTCGATTCCTTGAAGCAGCAGCTCGAGACCGCTCAGGCTGAAGGCGAGGAGAAGCTCAGCTCCAGCCAGGAAGCACTCCAGAAGGCCATTGAAGAGCATGCCACCAAAATCGAGGAGCTCAAGACCTCCCTTGAGGCTGAGAAGGCTTCTGCCATCGAGGCTATTGAGGCCAAGCACAAGGAGAGCCTCGACAAGGATCAGACTGACGCTTCCTCCCACGAAACTGCTTTGGCTGAACTCAAGGCCAGCCACGAGGCCGCTACAGCTGAGCTCCAGAAGAAAATTGACGAGTTGACTTCTTCGCAGTCTGCTCTAGAGTCTGCCAACGGTGACAACCTTAAGGCTGAGGAAGAGGAGCAGAAGGCCAAGATCTCCGCCCTTGAGGCCGAGGTTGCGGATTCCAGGGCGAAGCTTGAAGCTGCCGAGAATACTGCCGAGACAGCCAAGTCTGATCTCGACTCTCTGAACAGCCAAATCACTCAGCTTCAGTCCAGCTTGTCCGAGAAGGAGTCTGAGCTCCAGAGCGCCAAGGAGGATCTCGTTAAGGCTCAGGAGGAGGCAGCTTCTCTCAAGGCTGCCGCTGAAGAGGCTCAGAAGTCTCTTGCTCAGAAGGAAGACGAGATTGCCAAGGTCAAGGAGATGCACGAGGAGCGCATGAAGAACATTTCCCAAGATTATGAGACCGAAATCGAGTCTCTTCGAGGCGATGCTTTCTTCAAGCGCAAGTACGAGGAGCTTGAGGCTCAGCACAAGGAGCTTCAGACTTCTTCTTCAGAAGCTACCGAGGGTCACAGCAGCGCTCTTGAGGCCGCTAAGGCTGAGCACGCCACCGCTGTTGCAGCCCTAGAGGAGAAGGAAGCTGAGTACCAGAAGAACCTTGATGCTCTCCGTGCCAGCCATGCTGAGGAACTCGAGGCTTCCAAGAACTCAGCCTCTGGAGATCACGATGCCCACATCGCCGAGATCGACACCCTGAAGGAGAATCACGCCAAGCAACTCGAGGTGCTCAAGTCTGAGGGTTCCAGCACCCATGCTGAGGAACTTGAGTCGCTCAAGGCTGCTCATGCTAGTGTTTTGGAGGCTCTCAAGAAGGAGTACGAGGAGGACAAGGAGAAGCTGGTCGCTAGCCACAAGACCGAGCTGGCCTCTACCAAGGATGCCGGCGAGACCACACATGCTACCGAGATTGCCAGACTTATGTCGGAGCTTGACAGCGCCAGAGAGTCCGGTGAGAGTTCTCATGCTGCTGACTTGCAATCACTCAAGGCCAAACTCGAGGCTGAGAAGGAGGCAAGCGACAAGGAGCATGCCGAGGCTTTGGCCAAGGCCCAAGCCGGGATTGATGCCGCCAAGACTGTTGGTGATGAAGCCCATGCTGCTGAGATCGCCAATCTCAAGGCTGAACTCGAGGCTACCAGAGATGCTGCCAAGCAGTCTCTGGAAGCTGAGCTTGAGGCTTTGAGGGCTGAGCTTGCAGAGAGCAAGAAGGCCGGCAGCAGCAACGATGAGGAATTGGCTACCATCAAGGCTGAGCTTCAGACCGCCAAGGAGGAGCTTGAGAAGGCACGCGACTCCAACCAGCAAGCCATCGAGATGGCCCGCTTTGAGCTTGAGAAGGAGCACACCAACGAGGTCGAGAAGCTCCTTGCCTTCAACAACGAAGTTATGGAGCACATGAAGAAGGAGGGCACTGATGTCAGGAAGGAGCTCGAGGAGTTGACTGGTGCTCACACCAAGGCCATTGAGGATATGATGGCTGAGCACAGAAGCAACAACAGCCACTTGGAGGATCAGCTTGCCCAGCAGGCTGCTGCCAACGCTGATCTCCAGACAGCCCTGAGCACTGCTACAGAGGCACTCGAGAGGGCCCAGCAGGATGTCGAGGAGCTTTCCCAACAACTTGCACAAGAAAAGACCGAGCGATTCACTGCTCTTGCCGAGCTTGAGGACGCGAGAAACATCAAGCCTGACTCTGCCGAGGCCGATGCTCTCAGAAGGGAGCTTGCCACAGCCAAGAAGTTCCACGAGGATGCTCTGGCCAGCGCTGATGCTGAGGTCAAGGCAGCACAGAGCGAGCTTGAGGCTGCCAAGGGTAACCTGACAACCGCCCAGGGCCAGGTAACAACTCTGACAGGTGACCTCAACCTTGTTCAGAAGGACCTCGAGGCCTTCAAGGCTGAGGCTGAGGCCAACAAGAAGACAGCCAATGCCGACTACCAAGACCTCAACGACAGCATGACCACGCTTATTGAGGACGCCAACAACAGGGCCAAGGAGCTTCAGGCCAAGCTGGATGAGACTGTAGCCAAGGTCGAGGATAGCGAGAAGAAGGTTGAGGTTCTTGAGGCCCAGCTCAGGGTGAAAGATGCCGAGATTGCAGAGGCAAAGGTATGTTTCCGTGGTCGAATATTACTATGAGTACACTGACTTACATTGACAGGCCAACGCTGCTATTGCCAAGCCAAAGGGTCTTTCAGCGAGCAGATTTGCGAACGCGGAGGGCGACGACGCTGCTAACGAAGAGGCGGCGGAAGGTGAGGAAATTGATGACCACTCCTCAGTAGCACTTGCTTCGGTGCGGAAAGCCCCTGCATGATGCACTCTCCCAATCCTTTCCGCGTCATGCGACTTTTTGTCAGCGCAAGGCTAACATGTGTGGTTTACAGATAAGTAAGGCGAGGCTCACAGCTAAGCAAATGGATACCCTTGATAGGGAAATGAGGGATCGCAACTTGCAGTGAGTAGATACCAAACTGAGTTATGGTTTCATCGTTCTAACGGAATGCAGGTTATTGAAGTCCATCACGGATGTCAAGTCACCAAAGCTGGGTAGTGATCATCACTACGAGCAGCAGCAATTCGACCAGCAGCAGTACAGTTAAAGGGGGCATGCATGACATCGGATTTCTTTTTCGTTTTCTGTTGTGTTGTGTGACTTTTTTTTAACTTTTTAGTTCTGTGTAATACCCGCGGCTTTCCTGTAGAGCTGCAATTTTGCTTCTTGCTTTTTTTCATCACATACAATATCATGAACGAGAGAGTTCTGGGATATTGGAGGGAAGGGAGGGAACAAGGTGTTTAGACTGTCGAAGACTTGACATGTAACTGGAAAAAGAGATGGCATGGAGTAGGATGTTGCCGATGTTTGGGAGTTACATATAATTATGTATGACATTGTCGAGAATTGACGATACCCTGGTTCAAATGAAATGCTTGGACTTTTGTGCTGTGACCTTTCTCGAGATTTGTAGTGTCATCAGGGCCAGGAGTATAAGAGACGAAATTACTAAGTCATTTTTTGTAATTTAGCCTATGACTTTAGGCCATTTATTTTTATATCCTAAAACTAAGAGGCTATCTTTTTTGCTACCCACTATCTAGATAGAGTGTCTTGCTATATCGTAGCATCGCATGTGATACGTATCATTGGGCATTGACTCTTCAATGTTTAACGGTGCAAACCTTATCATTCTAATGCAGAGTCAAGCTATAAGCTCCGTCTAACCGCTTCGCTTTGACACTGCATGCATCATGTCTTTACCAATGAGCCAATTGTGCCGAATAATTCTCCCAAGAGCGGAGACTCCGACTCTCATGCATTTGGCTGAGACGGAATGACGTTGGCCTAGTTGCGTGTTATATGCAGCTATCAACTTGTCCCCTCACAACAATTCTCTCATATATCTCAACATTTCTAAAGTTCAAAGTCGTACAAGATATCTGGGTGATATATATACAAGACCCCCGCAACTTGTTCATCATCACCCTCGTTATCTATACAGCAGACAAGATGGACGACTACAAAATCGACAGCAAACCCATCGCCAACAAAGATTCAATCGTAACTGGCCCCCAATGGCGTTTTACATTGATCAACGACATGGTTCTTCGCTACGAATGGGCCGAAGATGGAGTCTTTGAAGATCGTCCATCAACATTCGCTCTCAATCGTGAATTCCCTACCCCGAAATTCACAGTTTCTGATGAAGACGATCAGCTAGAAATCAGAGCTGATTCTTTTCATGTCACCTACAACAAGAAGCGTTTCGACCGGTACGGTCTTGTTATTAGCTTCACCAACAAAAATACCCTCTGGGGCGCTGACTGGCGATATGGAGAGACGCCTCAGAATCTTGGAGGTACGGCGAGAACGCTAGACGAGGTAAATGGTCGTTGTGAGTTGGAGCCGGGTATTCTTTCCAGGGCTGGATACTCGGTTCTTGATGATAGCGAGTCCATGCTTTTAGATCTTTCTACTGGGTTTGCGGCGCCTAGACGGTCAGGTGATCGCATTGACGGGTACCTCTTCTCGTATGGCTACGACTACAAGGGTGCGATGAGATCCTTCTTTGCCATTTCTGGTAAACAACCTGTTCTTCCACGCTGGGCACTGGGGAACTGGTGGAGTCGATACTATCCTTACACGGACGAGGAGTACCTAAAGCTCATGGACAAGTTTGAAGCCGAAAAGGTTCCTCTGTCTGTTGCTGTTATTGATATGGACTGGCATCAAGTCCATGGTGATCATATTCCTCACGCTGGATGGACGGGATATACGTGGAACAAGGAACTGTTCAAAGATCCAAAGGCTTTCACCAAGGCACTGCACGATAAGAAGCTCAAAGTTACCTTGAACGACCATCCTCACGGCGGTGTTTATCATCATGAGGATCAATATGAGGATATGGCCAAGGATCTGGGACACGATACTTCCGCCAAAGCGCCGGTTCTGTTTAATCCTGCTGACCCAAAGTTTATGCATTCGTATCTCAATACGCTCCATCGCAGTCTTGAGAAAGATGGGTGCGACTTTTGGTGGATTGACTGGCAACAGGGTCCGTACAGTCGTGTACGCGGTCTCGACCCTTTGTGGCTCCTCAACCACTACCATTTCCTAGACCACCAGAAGCAAAACGGAGTTGACGAAGCCATTATCTTCTCACGCTTCGGCGGACCGGGCAGTCATCGCTATCCTGTCGGATTCTCGGGCGACAGCATCATGACATGGGAATCTCTCGAGTTCCAGCCCGAGTTCACAGCTACAGCTTCCAACATTGGATACGGATGGTGGAGTCACGATATCGGCGGCCACATGGGAGGATACCGCGATGACGAGCTAGCTACACGCTGGGTACAATACGGTGTATTCTCACCCATCATGCGACTTCACTCCCAGATGGGCTTATTCACGTCCAAAGAGCCCTGGCTGTACCGATCTGAATTCGCAGAAGTCATGAAGACATTCCTCCGGTTCCGCCACCGTCTCGTTCCGTATCTCTACGCCGCCAATCTGGACTCTGCGCATCGAGATGACCCCGTCGTGCAGCCTCTGTACTGGAAGTTTCCCGAAAGAGATGAAGCGTATGGAAAACCGAACCAGTATTTCTTTGGGTCGCAGCTTGTGGTTGCCCCTGTTGTGAAGCCGCGCGACAAGAGGACGAACCATGGCGCGGTTGATGTTTGGGTGCCTCCTGGTCGTCATGTTGATATCTTTACTGGTACTGTTTACGATGGTGATCGAGATATGAGGATGTTTAGGAGTATCAAGAGTCTGCCTGCTCTTGCTCGCGCGGGGGCTATTGTGCCTCTTGATGCGAACCTGACTCCACGAAATGGAGGCGAGAATCCCGAACATGTGGAAGTTCTCGTGGTCGTGGGTGAGAATGGCGAGTTTACTTTGGTTGACGAGGGTTCTGGTGAACAAGAAGCAGACTCCGATTCCACGCGCTTTGAGTACGTCCAAGACAAGGGTCAATTGAAGTTTTGTCCCGAGGGTAAAGCATGGACGATCAAGTTCATCTCCATCACGGAAACATCAAACAACTTCAAGGTGTTCAAGCGCAATGAATTCAGCGACGTTGATCTCGATGTCAAGACGACTATTGAAGACTACCCCAGCGTTCCTGGTCTTGTAGTCGAGATCCCATCTACCACTTCTGGACCAGGAGACGTGGTTATTTGTCTAGGAGATGGCCCACAACTGAGCATACTTGATCCATTGAAGCGTGTTCAGGATCTTATTCTGGATTATCAGATGGATATGTGGACCAAGGAGAAACTCTGGGGAGTTGTCAAGGCGTCTCAACCTACGTCGGTCAAGATTGGACGGTTGATGAGTTTAGGGTTGGATGAAGAGTTGCTTGGACCTGTTATGGAGCTACTTATGAGTGATAGTCGATATCAGACATCTTCCAATTGATGAGCTCTTAGTTTGAGCCTATACATTAGAGTAGAATAGAATCTCAGTACACCTTAAACATGATGTGTCTGTCACTACCAACCTGACTTTCTGTTAACAGGATGAATTGATGAGGCTCCCATATTAATTGCCCTATACATCATTTCAAGTACACCAATAAATGCAGTATTAAACTGACGGTGTAATAAGCAAGCGTTTAGATAACGTTATGACAATACGAAGTGACAATCGGGCAAGTGGGGCAAACTCAATTCCAACATCGTCACTTTCTTCCTGACCTCCATTCAACCCATCATGACAACAAGACTCCGAAACGCGAACCCGTGCGATGGATGCGCATTAAGACGCGTTAAATGCGAACAAGGGAAGCCTTGTCATGAGTGTCTCATTAGAGGCATCGAATGCACGGCTTTGAGGACCAGAAAGAAGCGTGGTCCAAAGGGTGGAGTGAGAACAACTACCAAAGACAAGGTTGAGAGATTCCAGGAGAGTATCAAGAATGATCAATCTTGTACTATTGAAACTACGACTCCTAGGCCATCGTCTTTGCCTTCCTATCGAATACCACTTCCTGAATATGCACGTATTCTCAACATTTCCAAACGACCAGTGTCATCCATATGGATCGTCATCAACCCTGAACATCTTCTCACCAAAATATCTGAAAACAGTGAGGATTACGAGTCTCATGCTCTGGCAGCAGCACTATGTGCCGCAACTATAGCCCAGCTCCGACTTCCCGAGCATGCCGGGCCGCTAAACACCACATCTTCACACCAGTTCGCCAGAGAGTGCTTACAACTGAGGGAACTTTATGATTATCGTGAGAGTTACAGCCTCAGTTCTGCCCTGATACCCTTTTTCATGCATGTTTACCACTCCAATGGAAACAAGTTGCGTACTGCTGGTTTATTTTTGAGAGAGTCTGTTACCCAGGTTCAACTTATGCAGCTTGGTTACCCTGAGACGTATGCCCATTTGAGTCAATCAGAGCAATCACTTCGTTTACGGATATACTGGCTTGTTCTTATCACTGAGAGGTATGAAATTGGTTCGAAGTATATCGATTATTTACTAATGCGAGATCCAGAACATACTCTGCGCAGCATGGCTTGCAAGCAGTTCTCCAAGTCATCGACGTCTTCCCAGATATCCAAGACGACATGGCCGACGAGCGCCGCCTCCAAGCCTTTGTATGCCTGACGAGACTCTTTGCCTATCTAGAGAGTAACCTAACGGCATTTTCCTCAAACCAACCGCCGCTCGAAAGACAGAAACTGGTATCATACCAAGCGGCATTATGTCTCGACTCGCACGATCACGTAGCTCGGGAAGCCCAAAGAGTCGACCTGTTTGTTACTCGCCAGTGGATTAGACTTATTCTGTGGGAGTACACGGCTCGTCATTTCGCCATGTCGTGCTATCCAGACGATGAAGCATTTTCATTGTATTTACCTGTCAAGATTGGACATAAGATGCTTTCTAATTTTTCAATGGTGACGAATGCGGCTATAAAAACACATGGATACGGCATTGTGAGTAGTCTGACCTTGAATTATTCAATTGGGTAGGATCTGATTTTTGATACTAGGAACTCAAAGTGTTTCGACTAGCAGATGCAATGCTTGATATTATTGCTTGTACGCCGTTTTCTGCTCATGGGAATGGTATGCTTGTTGGTGCAGGAGATGTACTGTATTCGTTGCAGCATGTACTACATTCCGTGGGTGGGAAGGACTCAGGATTTCTACGTAAGATACAGAATCGTATGTCACAGCTTGAACTTACGACTGGATCATGGCCATATCTTGCTTTATCTGAAGCGGGAGAGGTGGTGGAAGAGGTGGAAGATGATAATGGGTTATGATTATAATGTCCTTCATGTTACGCGGAAAATAATATAGTCAGTTTGGATGTTATTGGAGCAACTAATAGGTACTTATGACTATAGCGACTGCACTTGATGAAATGCTGCACAAAGATTGTTGAGCAATGATCGTGAAAGGGTTGCATCTGCAGCTTGTTGTGACACTCGCATTCCTGTATGGGAATAGCTGATCGGATATCATCAGTTAACTCATCCCCTGTGGCTTAGTTGGCTAAAGCGTCCGACTGTTATTCATAGACAATCGGGAGATCGGAAGTTCGAGCCTTCCCGGGGGAGTTATCTTTTGCCTTTTGCATCATTTAGTCAATTACTGCCTCTTGATCTCATCAATCTCATTGCCTTCTTTTCATTTTGCTCCTTGTTGGCTCTACCATACTTGTCGTTGCTGTCAATGGCCATCGTGTGGGAACTGCAAATTGAATTCTTTGCAGCTTGATCAGTCCAATTCAAATCGTTGCCCAGAACGTTAAGCTATAGAAAAGTAATGAAGTTAATGGAAGTTTCCCAATAATAATGTACCTTGAGACACTTCTTTTCTCATAGAGGAATTATGTAGCGACTCAAACTTCAATTGCCATGTTGAAATACGTGTAGCCTGTAGGGTAGTGATTTTCGCAGTGTTATGCCTCGGACAACTCTTACACAGCCAGAGCTAAGCTAGAAATAGTGTTTATCTGCCGCTACAGTGAGCACTTAATTTCACCAGATAAAGACACAGCCAATAGTAAAAGACCCACGATCCACTTAACCAGGGACAATCGCCAAGCCTAACTGAAACTGTCGATTTGCAGCGCTGTAGGGCTGGAAGCTTACTCAACGGCGACGGTTATGGCTGCGCCTTGTTAGAGATGCAGAGCGATGACGGTAATTGTGATGAGTATTTATAGTATATAAGAAGACATTAGAACTGCAGTTGATAGAACCAGATCATTCATTGTTGAAGACAGCTTCATACAATTACTCTCAATCATGGCGAATCCTACAAAAGACAATTTGTACGGCTACGATGCCAACAAGATCCTTCCAATTGTTACAGCTGTGATAATTGGTATATCATTGGTTGGACATTATATACAGAACAGGCAAGCTACTAGAGTTTCCCTTATACAGACCACATGCTAACTTATATAGTCGTTATAAATTCTGGCGAGTTACGTTCTTCATGTTCTATGCCAGTCTCTTCTTCTGCATCGGCTGGGTCATAAGAGCCATCTCAGTACGACAACCAGACAGTCTTCCCTTGTACATGATATCGACCATCTTTATTTACCTCGCACCACCAATATACTCTGCCGCTGAATACAACACTCTTGGACGACTGATGCACTACTTGCCCATGCATTCCATCATCAACCCGAACCGCGTGGTCTACATATTTGTGTTCCTCGGCTCATTAGTCGAAGTTCTCACTGCAATTGGAGCATCGTGGATCGCAGCAGGTAATGGGCGTCAGGATAAAGATCGTCTGAGTTCTGGTGCGACGTTCATGGCTGTCGCTGTTATTCTCCAAGCAGCAATCGAGATTGGCTTCATTGCCATGGTAGGCATTCTTCACAAGCGCTGTTCGCGGGCCAATATGCTACCTTCCAACGTCAAGACGTTGTTCATTATGCTTTACGGCACTTCGATGCTTATAATTATTCGCTGCGTTTTTCGCGCCGTCGAGACATTTGAACTTCGGGACATTCTTGCAAGCGGCGAGGATAACAGTAATGCACTCATGAAGCGCGAGTGGCCTTTTTACGTGCTGGAAGCTATTCCAGTAGCCCTGTATACTTATTGGCTCAATATTATCCACCCTGGACGATATCTGCCTTATGATCAGAGACAGTATCTTGACTTTGATGGCAAGACGGAGCGTATGGGACCTGGTTGGTTGCACAAGCGACACTGGGTTATGTATGTGGCCGATCCATTCGACTTTAGTAAGTACTTCCCCAACAAGAGCATAATATTGAGGTGGCTAACATTTGATGCAGTCGGAATGTTGTCGATGGAAAAGAGAGATGCTTATTATCTTCGACCGCATGAGTGGCCCGAGACAGAGAATTGCTTTGCTCAGGGTAAGGGTTCCAATGTTAAGCCGGGGAAATATACAAGGGTTAAAGGGGAATTGCAAGAGTCTGATGTCTGATGTAATGATCAGGGATGTTTGGTTCGTGTTTGATAAGCCCATATTTACTGCTTGTTATCTGTTGTCTGGTTAGCGATACGAGATAGATTGATACCATTATTTGAACTGATACCATCTCACGAAGTGAATAATTACAGTCTACAGCATTACCTGTTAACTACTAATGTAAGCAAAATATACAGCATGTGAAAGAGACACAAAGATAAATTTAAACTATTCAATAAGCTTATGTGGTATTCGAGATTCTTCTTGGCTCTAAATTCAGGACATTTGGATCAGTAGCCCCTGTAAGTTGAGCGGAGTTTAAGTGACGATCAGTGACTTCATCACTACCGGATGCGGTCCCACATAAACTCCCGACAATGACGTCGCTTGGCGAAGCTTTGACAGAATCTTGGCTGCGTCTCTTTTCTTGGCCAAAGCGACCTATGGAGCCAAGAGACGTCATGCTTCAATCACAGGTTATTACAGTGCTGTAGATAACTAAAAAGAATCAATCCTAACTGGTTAAACCCCTGACCCAACTATCACCATCACTGTTACCCTCTGTCAGTCTCACAATCAGGCCATCAAAACTGTTGCACCGTTCGTTTAAAAGAACCTTCCTCTCTCAATTAGTTTAAACTTTGCCACTTGAATGGATCCTCTCCCTAGAACAATTTGAACTATCCGTTCTTGTCTTAGGTTCCCAGCTTCTCTTGTCTTGCCTGTCACTGTCTCACTACAATAAACTCAGCTCATCATACTCTTTTCCCTTCTCACTTTTCTTTTCATATTGTACCACCACCACCACCAAAATATCAATAAACAAAACATCCTCCAATCATGCCTGAAGTGCGAAGGGGCAGTGCTGCTCCAGTATCAAACTCAACTCTCCCATTACAAGAGGAATCCGGCGTTACTCGTCCTTCACAATCTCATCAATCTTCCACTGATCGCGTGCGCTTCAACATCCCCCAAGATTCGACATCACCAACATCACCAACATCACCAACATCACCACGCGAACCCCTCGACTCAGCTTTTGCACAACTGCCTAGAAGAACATCAGAAATCCCTAGAAGGAGTTCCGATGCACCTCGACGAAGCTTATCATATGCTCAACGTCCCGTAGCTGAAGCATACTACGATTCTCGAGCAGCTACAGAAAAAGAATACCGACGACGAGCCACAACTCTCCTAGAATACTACGACGAAAATCCGCATTTGTTACCGCAGCTTCCGTTTACTTGGCATCATGGTTGGAAGCGCTGGAGACTCTTCATCTTTGCATTCCTCGTCTTTGTCGACGCATCCGCCGTTCCCATAGCTCTGTACTATGGCTTGAAATATGCCGGCGACGTCGAAGGCTGGATCATCTTTGCTGTTGTGACGACCATCTGGGGTGGTCCCACGTACGTGGAATTCGGAGTCCGGACCCTCCGGTTGATCAAGGTGGACAGGTTCTATCGACCCCTGGGAACGAATAGCCGCTGGTGTTTCGATATGCTGACGTACTCGTCCACCCTTACTATTTTCGTCGTCACGGCTTTGTTCATCATTGGTAGCGCACCTCATAATGTGTGGTTGAGAGTCCTTTGTATGCCTGCTCCGGCGATCCTGTACTGCTATGGCGGTACCCTTTTCCTTATTACTCTTTACCATCAGATGAATTGGCCTGCACCTTTTCGAATTAGCTCCACTGCCAAGGGCGAAAAGGTATGTTTACGATTCAAACAAAATTCTCACAATACTAATGATTTCCAGGTCTTACCAGGTGCTTACTACTTTATCGAGGATGTTATCGCGGTTAATGCCCTCGGTGGCCGGCCTTACCGGGAGGCTCTAGCAGCTCGTTACAAGGCTAGCCCTCGCTTCCAACAAATGGTTTACAAGCAATCATGGTTCTGGTCGATCCCGGCACTTGTCCTCGCCGTTCCCCTCACCGTCATCTCCGTCATTCCCCAGGTCCCGGCTACTGGTGCCTACGGTGTTGCATGGGCCGTTCCATTCCTGTGGGCTGTTGTCTGGGGTATCATCACTATCAAATGGTGCAAGAGAGACATGAAGCGAGAGAGGGAAGAATGGGAACAAGGTGTCGACCCAGAGAAGGAGATTAAAAGAAAGGATTCGTCTATTGAGACAGCTTAAGGAGGAGGAACATATCGTGGTGTTTGAAAGCAAGCATGATGGCAATTGCAAAATTTGACCTTTGGCGTTTTGGAAATTAAGAGAGCGACACTGATAATGGAAGATCGGAATGAAGTCTGTCCAACAGCAAGAGTTATTCCATTACATATGTACTGTACATTACGATTGATAGCATACGAACATGAAGTAAACGGTTATCATGAATCCAAACACAATATCGTTCCAGACCCCAATGTCAAAAGATAGTTACTTTACAAAGCCCACCATTTAAAACACGGGCACCTGTCACTCCATCCTCTGACAGCTTACACAGCCCCAGTCACGGCATCATACATTCCTCCGCCTAGGCAATTGAGGTCGGTCGGTCGGACTTGGGAAAATTGAATACCGACTGAGGTTACTTTCGTGATGGACCATAGATAAGTCTCCTGACTTTGGCTTCCGATGAAGCCGAGCCGTTGGGTTTGTGCGTCGACGTTTAAAGTTAACGCATCGATGAAAACAGTCTGAAACTCAATCTTGTTAAAATCATATTTCTTATCATTGGACATGCTGCAAATAAGAAATTCCCAAATGCGGAAATCGCGATAATATCCTGAGGTTTTGCCGCCTACAGAAGTCAGTCTGCCTTTTAAGCTTCACTGCAATTTTAACCCTCTCCAAGGTCTTGTATGGCACCAATGATAATACCAGGTTGACTTGATACATCATCCTTAAGGAATAGAAACTTTGGGCCACTAAAAGCATAAGGGACAAAATTGGTAGGCCAGTTTATGTTTAGAATGGACTTCTTAGGCTGTTTATCTTTATATCCCAAAACTTGGACGTCAACGTTTCTGCTACTACTGACTACCAGTAGCGTGGTATATTTGCTTCCTCTGATACTGTTCTTAAGACTCTCCAACTATATCTCGATCCTATCTCCCTAGATACAAGTCTTCCCCGTAATCCTACCAAACTCCGTCTCCAGATCTTTCCACACCTTATCAACCATCCCCTCCTCTCGGTACTCACCCAGCAGCTTAACAACCTCATCCCCAGCACTCTCCCCATCCCAATAAAGACTATACACACCACTTCCCCTACTCCCATCAACACCAACCGCAACCCCAGCACTCTCAACACCATTATCACTCTGACCCAACTTATCAGGAAACATCCCACTCCAACACAACCACGCATGTCTCTCCCCACACTCCTCCTTCGGAAGCCACGACCTCTTGACAGCCATGCTGATCTTGAACCAGTACTTCATAATATGCATCATGATCCCGTCTCCGCTGCGGATGAGATCTGTGTCTACGGAGCCGGGGAAGTTGTGGATGAATGATACCTCTGGTGCTTGACGAGCCAGCGCTTCGAGGGAGAGGGTTAGAGTGGAACACATGTGGCCTCTGCAGCGGTGGATGCTTGTAAAAGGAATGTTGCGGCATGCGATGTCGTCTGCGAAAATTTGTCCTTCGTGTGTACCAGCCATGACTGTTACGACTCTTCGTAGAGAAGATGCCTTTTGGAGAAGGGGGAGAAGATTGACTGTGAGACGAGCGCGGGAGTAGTGTGAAAGTGCCATGACCATAGGAAGTCCTTCGCTGGTATCTTCAAAAGTAAGTATAAATAACTAACATGTCAGAACGGATAACTTACCAACCATCCTAAGCGTCCCCTGGCTCATAAACAGTACATTCAACGCCGTCTCCTTACTCTTGATATCTCGACACACTTCATCGGCATTCTTCAACAAGCTCATGTCCTTTTGTATAAAGACATAGCTTCCCTCAGGGTTCAGGTCCTTCAACTCAATCTGTAATCGATCACCTGCTTCTTGAGACCGACCGATAAAGTAAATCTTGGGTCGAGGAGCATGTTTGGCAAAAGCTTTCAGGGCTGTTTCACCGATACCTGCTGTTGCACCAGCAAAGACAGCGACGAGGCCTGGTGGTAGCTTTGATGCGGCTGAAGCGTTGGTTTGATGGATATTGGAGAGGGAAACCATGATGAGAGGCGAGGAATATTATGATTCTAAAGTCAGTTTGTGTGAGACCAAGTCCTCTTTATATAGGAAATGACACTTATCAAGGAGTATGCTTGTCTGGCTTCTTAACATGTTTGATCACTTACACGCCAATAGTCTCCCGATCTGAATACGAAAAGTGGTTAGCGTCATTTCCCGAAAGGGTCAACCCATCATCATCATTCTGGAGATGAAAGCGAATCCGAGTTGAAGAGGAACAGAGTTCGGATCCGAGAAGCCTCAGAGGATTGTGCAAATGACGTATACGACTCTGTTTCGTATCACTTGTCAATAACCTTTCAGTGTCTCGCCAACAACGCCAACATTCCCTACACGACACACATAAACACTCACGGCATAAGTCATTAATTCAAAAGAGCCAATATATTCAGCCGAGTTCATTAAATATGCAAAGAAAAAAAGAGTTGTACGCTGTCTCGGGAGTACCAGCCCACTGCTCGATCCCTTGTGATGCAAATCCCTCCCCCATGTATCAAGATATCCGGATATTGTCAAGAAAAAAGGAAGAGGTTACAAAAGAAAAACGCCGTTATCCTCAAGCCTGACTAGAACCAGGACCTTCAGCCCTACCAGAGAGGCCTCGAATGCCAGATTTGTTGTCGTTGTGTATCTGCTAACCGTTGGTACCAAAAAAGAAGTTGATATATAGAACGGGCGAACAAAGGAAAGAAAAAATGTGTTTGGATCGGATATGTCCATGTCTGTGGTCTTGTATCGTCTCATCGTTGATGGGCCAAGTCCATAGCCGCACCATGCATTATGAAAATACCGCTCATGAAAGTTACAAATCTTCCAAGACGAAGATATAATGTCGTGATCCCCCTTTTACAGCAACCCATCATGTGCCCCAGTTCCTCCTCATACAGTCCACTCGTCTCGTACATCTACAACTTATTGCTCAGGACGTGGGGGCTCGGATTGCCATCCATTGATATAGGCCATCAATCCCATGCCGAACAGAACAACACCAATCATAGAGGCATATGGTAACGCAGCTTGGAGGCGTTGATCTTGACCACGCGCACTACTACTTGCTGGTGTGATAGTGCTGGCCCGTGATAACGTTGGGACGTCTATCGATTCGTCGACGGAAGGCTCGACAGCATCCACAGGTCCGGCGATGCCTTTAGGTACGACGGAGTTTGCGGTTGACTCAACAACACCATTGGTGTTTGCGTCTCGCTTTCTGGAACGTGATCGGGCTCTCTCTTCTGCTGCTTCTCGTCGTGCTTCCTCGGCACGCAGCTGAACAACCATCTCAGCCAGGGTCTTTCTATCAGCGTCTCGTTCAGACTCAGCAGCCTCGCATCGCTGCTTCCACTCCTCCATCTGCTCCTTCATACCCCGCATCTGGGTTTCCATCAGGTCGATACGGCTTTGGAGAGCTGTGGCTGTTTCTTGGGCTACGTCAACAGCAGGTGTCTCATCGATTGTTTCGACTTCAGGAACAGCGGTGATGGTCTTTTCGTCTTCCGGAACTTCAGTCACTTCAACCGAAGGTTCCACTTCTTCAGTTACGGCCGATCCGTTCATGTGTACGGTAGCTGACTCTTCTAATCGTTTGGCCAACTCTTCGGCTTCTTCTCGGGCAACTCTCTCCTTTTGCAACATCTCTTCCAGTTCACGCATACGGGCGGTTTGTGAATCGATGTCTCGCTTAGCGTTGTTTAGCGCCTCGGTAAGCTGGACAATCTGGCTGAGATTATCAGGCCGGACAGGAGAGTTGGGAGGCCCTGACTTTGGCCGCTCAGTTGGGCCACGCTTAAGCGAAGGGACATCAGGCTTCTCGGGAAGAGGTTGTTGTGGTGGGGGGGCAGGAGGGTCTGAAAACCGCGCTTTGGGATCCCGGAAAGGTGCTCCCATCCCATTCACTACGGGCATGGGCTTAGAGGGCTCCATAGCCTCGGGCTTCTCGAGATCCTTAAGGTCATCTTTGGATAATAGTGTATGGACGAACTGATTAGTCCGACCTAGGTCCTGTGCCTGAAGGCGAGCATTGCGCATTTCGTTCTGAGAAGTTAGTTAAGGAAAGTCGGGAACACGGACTCAACATACCGCAAGTCGCTTCAAAATCTGATCGGTCGCAACAGGTGTAAGAAAGAAGGGTCGTTGTTGTGGCATGCCGTTGGCCTGCACATTCATTACTCCCCCGACGCCATTAGGCATCATTCGGCCATTGCTGGCTGCAGACGCGTTACTGTTAGTACGGCCCCGCAACTGCATTGGTCCAGAAGGCATCATCATGGCACCGTTCGCTGGGTCGAGATCGCCAAAGTTCATATCCATCACATTACTAGAAGCGCTCATGAACCCGGCATGCTCAACCTTGGCGGCCACCTTGTGGTGAACAACAGTCTTTTGATCCTCGCTAACAATGTCGATACCGAGTTCGAGGTGATCAGAAGTCTGCAACTCATGGGGCTCGGATTCACGATTTTCTTGAGATAGACGGGTGCCGTTAACAAAGGTTCCGTTTGAAGACTTGACATCGCGGATGTAGATCTTGCCATTTCGTTCCGCATATATCTCAGCATGTTGTCTTGAAAGCACTTTACTGTCAAAGAAACCGTTGGTAGGCGTCGGAACTGTTTTTTGGTTGGTCTGTCGACCGATTCGGAGAGTTTCGGGCGCAAAAGGAACGGCAATCGTTTTTCGTTCAAATGTGCCGTTCAGAGATAATAGGTATAGTACGGGTTGGCCAGGAGGAACTTGTTCACCTGGCATGCGCATCATGCCTTGAGGGGCCATTTGAACCTGGCCACCTTGTACAGGTCCATGGGCGGCCATCATGCCCTGAGCTCTGCCTTGGGACATTCGAGACATGTCTTGTTGTTGATATTCCCCTTTCCCAGGAGGCCAGGAGGTTTTCGGTTGGGGTCGTTTTCGAGGGGCGCCGTTGGCCGACCATTGGCTCAGATCGGTAGTCGAAGACAAAGGAGTGCCATTGGCGAGGGATCCGTTCGAGGCAACTGTGGTAGCGGAAGAATTCGACGAGGTTGATGAGACAGATGAGGAAGAGTTGGACCGACTAAGTGGCTTGCGCGGCGCGAACATGCCCATGCCACCTCGGCCTTCTTCTGAATTCATTTGATGATTCCCGTTAATTGCACCCCATGCTTGTCTCGAGTTGGAAAAATTTGGCGGGTTTGCGACTGCGGTCATGAGGATGGTTGAAGTTCAGCAGCTTGCGGCCGATAGACGCAGTTTCGTGGTATATAAAATAGATAGATGCCGGATGGAGGAGAGACGTGTGCAACTCGCGCCCAGGGGGTCGATGTCACTCCACCGGCGGAGGAGAGGCTGAAGCGATGCTGAATAACAGAGACCAAGAGACGTGACAGATTTAATGAAACGCACTCGAATAATCAATGCTTCAGTGTGGCTTGACGTTGCTGGTGGACAAGAAAAATCATGAGCTCGTGGCTGGGAACAGGTTTTTGGAAATCAAGATAGACGATCGGCGATGACCCAAGAGTACGGCGGGACAGGGGTCAAAAGGCGAGTCGGGCCAGCGACGGCCAAAAAGGGTGCTTAACTCACCAAGCACGAGGTTATCGCGATGTCGAAATAGGGTTCAAGTCGCTAACGATGATAGTCGTCGGGCTGAAGGGTCGTGGAGTGAGTTGATGAGAGGTTGCCGTAACAGTCAGTGACAGTACGGGGGAGGTCTCGCTAAGCGCTGCTTGGCGTGTTGGCGTGTTCAAATTTGGAGCCCCCGGTCGGCCTCAGCTCAAAGCACAGCACACGGAGTACAGGAGCGCACAGTGGAGCACACGCCCAAAGACTCTGTCTGGCATGTGCTCACTGCTCGCATAACCCCAGACACACGAGAGCAAAAGCGAGAATGTCCAAGACGGTCTTGTAAGTGAACTGAAAGCGTCTGAAGAAAACTTGAACAAGACAGTCTCTATGCGAGTTAAACCGTGCTGTGGAGCCAGATCTTGACCCACGAAGGGGACCACGTGACGTCTTCGTCACAGTATCTCTGGAGTCGTTACAGATATACGCACTGTAAGTCAGAAATAGTCCATGCTTTTCAATCACGCACCGACCTTTTCCCGAACACTTGGTCCACTTGGCTAACCGACCAATGACAGCATCCTTCATAGGTCATAGGATTTGAGGAAGTCGTCGTCGCAATAGAGCTTCATCAGCAATTGCAATTCTTTGCTTCAAGTTGTTCAATCCCGCAAACCTCGTCAACCATAGTCGAGACGCCGCTGTTAGCTTCAACACCGACACTCCGCATACCGAATTCATATCCTCAACATGCCTCCTGTCGCTCCTATGAACGTTGGCCAGCACGGCCCCTCCACAGCCGATAAGCGTATGTTGAGCCGATATCGTCAATTGAGAGAACATTCGCTAACAGAGAAACAGTCAAGATGGGTGCCATGATGGGTGGAAGTATGACTTACTTGCTTCGTTCTTGAATCTATGTTTGAACATTTCTGACATTTTCCAGCCGTTGGTGTCATCATGGGCTTTGTCTTTGGTTAGTCTTGTAATTGCTGTCTGCATTCACAGCTAACAATGTTTAGGAACCGTCAACATTTTCCGATACGGCGCTGGTCCTAACGGCATCATGAGAACCCTTGGTCAATACATGGCTGGTTCCGGTGCGACCTTTGGGTAATTGAAGGTCCAGCCCTACCGAACTGTACAGCTGCTAACCGAGACGATAGCTTCTTCATGTCCATTGGCAGTGTCATTCGATCTGATGCTGACCCCAAACTGCACGACATGTATATGCGAGCCCAACGCCGACCTATAATGCTGATGGCAAACCCCGCTTGGAGGAAATCATGAGACCAGCAACAGATCATACGATACGAGAGCAATACCCAGTCGACTTCGACGTTCACCTTGTACAGTCTGGCAACTGATGGCCGCATTCTGTAAAATATATCAAGTCTATTTCGAAAATGGACCAATCTTATTGTCAAGCTCCCAGACCCACAACCAACAATGCAGCGGTCCATTCAGTGACGGTTGGATGTCTCACTGCTCCAAAGGTATTTTATCGTCCTGTGAGACCGACAAAGCACCGCGTTTGTTAGGTTCAAGTGACCTCAGTATCTGTGTTGTGAATGCAGTTAAAAGATTACACAGCAATTTTTGAAAGGCGGCGAGTGAGCTGTGGCGTTCAATATAGCACATCAACCGTCCAGGTTACATTAGCATACAGGACATGATCGACACACCATTACCGTAACGCGACCTAGCATATTGGCATACCCCACGGCGCCCAATACGAGGTTTCGACAACCGCGCTGTGGTGTTGTTGAGCTGGAAACTTTTCGGCTGCTGAAAGTTTCCTCGTACTAGCCTCTTTGGTTGATTTAATGGGATGGCGCTCAATAACCAGCCTTTTCTGCATATGCAATAGGCGGTTGGCAATCCTGCTTTTACACAGTTTGCGCCATGCCTCTTAGCGATTGGTGTTTGCCGGCTTGACGGATTTCCTTCTTAGGGACAACTGAGGGCCAACGCTCACGTCTTACAGCTTATGCACATTGAACTACATCGTGCATCGACAGAATATTCCCTGAGGATTGATTATGCTGTTGCATTCTTTTGAAGTGTTTTATGCAGGAGTTGCATAATTTGTTTGCACCAACACGTCTAAAGCTGACATGCACACTTAGCTTGACTCCTTGTCATATCCTGTCTGCCCCTACCAGATTATGATCGGTCGATCACAATTGGCGCTTTGATGATGTGAATTGCTCAATGAGGAATCCGCCGCCTTGCGCCGTTACGCCGTCAAAACCTTACCGAAATTCTCAGCTGAGGTTGGACTGCATCGCACGCCAATTGGAATCACAGACGATCCCCAAATCGATGCTGGAAACTGCACTCTTGCTGTATCACGATTTTCTTAGTTGCACTCAATGCTGTTTAGTGCTAGAGGCTGCCCAGCTCCGGAGCATAACACCAGCGCCTTGCACTAACGATGTCAAGATGCATTGTTGGCTGGCGCTAGCTTATCATGTTATGCTCCAACAACAATGTCAGCAGCACAAAGACAATTTCGTATTGTTGGTCCAGTTGTTTACTGCTTCGACACCATTGGGTCCAGACTGTTTCTTTTACGTACCCGGGGATAATCAACATGCTTAAAACTTTCGTATGATGGTCATGCCTGTCTGACAGTCATTTCCACCGGGCCAAAATCGGAACAAATACGATCTGGGGGTATCCTAGTTGCCAATCCTCCCGCCGGCACGACTAAGATCGGATCATCTAAATATACGACACTCGAAAGATGGAACAAATCTCGTGTCTGTTTTCTCAACGTCCAAGGCTGAGGCATCTAAGTTACCGGACATTCTGCCACGTTCGATGTCCCCTTGACAACCTTCCCTTTACGTATGACCCAGTAAGGACTTGAATCCCAACCTGATAGGACAATTATGCTTCACGAAATATGCTTTTGGTGTGCTCACGGTCATCATGGCTTGCAGCTTGGTTTGACTCACTAGAGTCCTGCCATGTGGTCCCATCTCACTAAACTTTAGCCTTCACAACACCAGCACCACCCTCTTGTTTGGACAGCGGCTGGCTGGCTGACTACCTTATCCTTGATAACCTACAGTAGCTCAAGATTGGCCTGTATGCGATCGCCCGGCCCCAGCAGAAGAGGCTTTATTTCGCGGGTCTTCGGCACATACCTTGTCCTTGTTAGAAGCGCCTCATGCTGTGGCTATTGAAGGGTTGGCTCACCCATAAGCCTCCTGTCAGGGTGAAGCCTATATAGACTGGTGTTGCTTCCCGCTGGAGATATGAGAGCTCGTCTTTTACTCCCAGAGATTCCTGAACACCTCAGCTATTCAGTATGGGGAATACCAATAGCAACCAGTTTAATTTAGGGGCTCTGGGCCAACTGTCCCAACTTCAGACCAATGGGTAGGGCAGAGCTATCACTACTTATATAGACATGTGCTGATCTATTTATAGAGAATCTACATATGGGACGCTGGATGCACCAGACTTGCCAACTTTCCTCACTGACAACCCTACTCCCAATGGCTACCCATGGAGTACTATGAACACTCGCACAAACTATTATCAGGATCATCCCAATACTGGTGTCATCAGAAAATACGACTTTACCGTCAATCGGGCCAAGATAGCCCCTGATGGATATGAGTTGTCTACAATTCTTGTCAATGGACAGTTCCCTGCCCCCCTTATTGAAGCCAACTGGGGTGACACGATTCAGGTCACTGTTTACAATGAACTGGAGGACGAAGGCCTGTCTCTGCACTGGCATGGAATTCTCCAGAAAGGCATGCCCTGGGAAGATGGCGTTCCTGGTGTTACCCAATGTCCCATAGCGCCGGGACACTCATATACATACTCCTTTATCGCGGACCTCTACGGCACCAGTTGGTATCACTCGCACTACTCTGCTCAGTACTCAGCGGGATTGTTCGGACCCATGGTTATATATGGCCCTCAGGAAAGAAAAGACTACGATATTGATATCGGGCCTATCCTGCTGAGCGACTGGTACCACAAAGAGTATTTTGACCTTGTGGAAGACATCATGAAACCTGGCGCTCCCGGCATTGTCTTTTCTGATAGCAATCTCATCAACGGAAAGATGAACTTCAACTGCTCCAAAGTCCAACCTGGTGACAAGACACCTTGCAAAAATAATGCTGGTATCTCAAAGTTTCGCTTCAGACGTGGCAAAGTGCATCGCCTACGCCTTATCAACCCTAGCGCCGAAGCTATACAGCGCTTCTCCATCGACGGCCATACAATGACAGTTATTGCAAATGACTTTATTCCAGTCGAACCCTACAATACAAAAGTCGTTACTCTTGGCATTGGCCAACGTACAGATGTATTAGTCAAGGGCAACGGAAAATTGGAATCGTATTGGATGCGCAGTAACATCTCTGCTAACTGCAGTCTGTCCTTTGGTCCGGACGCTCTTGCAGCTATCTACTACGACAACGCAAATCACAAAAAGGAGCCCAAGTCAAAGCCATGGAATATACCTGATCCTGCGACCTGCGCCAATGATGATCTAAGTATGACAAGACCTTTGATGAAGCTACCTCTACCTCCAGCCGACAAGACCCTTGAGCTTGATATAGATTCATTCAAGAACGCAAGCAACATCACACTCTGGTCGCTGGGTGGTGTGGCGGCAAGGACAAACTACAACAGTCCAACCCTGCTCCTGAGTAAACTTGGGAATCACACTTTTGACAAGGAGTGGAATGTGATCAATACTGGCAAGGCAAAGAGCGTCCGGGTTGTGGTCAACAACAAGACGCCTGTCGCGTAAGAAATCGATAAAAACATGTGATTCTTCACAATTGCTGACACTGGACTTGACAGGCATCCCATGCATATTCACGGATTCAACATGTACGTCCTACACGAAGGACCAGGCGAGTGGGATGGCACAATCATCAACAAACACAATCCTCAACGGCGTGACGTCGTTCAGATCCGGGGTAAAGGGCACCTCGTCATCCAATTCGACGCCGGGGGTAATCCAGGTATGTCTTCCCCTGACTCAGCCTCATATTTCACCCCTCGCCAAGGTAACATTTGCTCACACACTGATAGGTGTCTGGCCGTTCCACTGTCATATCGCGTGGCATGTCTCGGCAGGATTACTCACACAGTTTCTTACCGAACCGGACAAGGTTGAAAAGCTACGTATACCAAACGTTGTGGCGGAAACGTGCCGGCAATGGGGACACTGGACTTTGTCCAATATTCCGGTACAGATTGACAGCGGACTGTGAGCGAGATACAATTTGGTTAAGCGTTGTTGTTCTTCGCTGGAAGTTTATATACGAGAAGGGCATATTCCGGCGGTCGTATCGTATTCTCATAGTGATATGTGTCAGCAAGAGCGGGAGCCTGATATATTTCAGGACATATTTCTAGTTTCTTTAAAATATACGATGATATGTTTATGAAATCACTTCAAGCCATAAAGCGTATACTTTCCGTTTCGCTTATCTCACTGAACCCCTTGTCCTTGTCAGCAAAGAGGATGGATGGCATGCAGAGTCATACACCGTAGGGCAGAATTTCGTATATGCCGGAACTTTTGACACTTAAGTCTTACCGCCATATGTAGCTCAGCTCACTATGTTACCCAACCCAAAAGCCGGATGATTTTGAAACATTTCTTTTTAGACTAACTGACGTGATGACTGGCCTCAGCCAGAACGAATCATCTAGATAACCGTATACCTAACGCATTTCGTCGTGACCAACCTATATAGTGGGCAGCAGAAAAATTGGCATCCTGGGTCTTAGGATATAAATATAAGTAGTCTAGGTCCTAATAAATATAAGTAGTCTAGGTCCTATACTCTGAGGAGCATAAATTGACCTACTAATTTCGTCTCGTATGCTTCCAGCGGTCAATTTTTCTGATACCCTTAGGCCAACATAAAAAAAACTCATCTAGTTCGTCTGCCAGCAGTGTTTGCGATGGCAGTAATTCGTAGCTCTTGATTCCCATATCCTCTTTTTTTTTTTAATCTCTTTTGTCTTTTTTATCCTATCTAGAATTTGGACTTGCTCCCTTCCTCTGTGCTGGGTTCTGCAGGTGCAACAGTGGGCTCATCCTTGGGCGTGTCTGTTTGTAGTAGTTCTTCTTTCGATGGCTGTGGTTTTGGGGGCTCTGTGACCAGTGACTCTGTTTTGGCTGCCTCGGCCTCGATCTTTTCGAGGTTCTCTGGCTTGAGTTGCTCGGTCTTTGGTGACTCCTTATTCTTGTCCTCTGGAGTCGTTGTAGAAGCGGGGGCAGCTGCGGGCTCTGGATCGTTCTTCTCAGTCTTGGATTGCTCCTCTTCGATCTTGGTTGGCTTATTATACGAAAGCACATCCTGCTTTGTGTCTTCTTGCTTGACATCAGTCTTGACATCAGTCTTATCCTCGCCATCGTCGATCACAACAGCTCCGACCTCGGCTGCCAAGCGCTCAACCTCATCTTGCACAGCCTCCTTCTCTCTACCACTGTTCTGTCTGTCTGCCTCGGCATCACCCACAATCTCTCTCCACAATGCCTCGAGCTCGTCGTGCCAGCCGAGCTCATCAGCGAACTTGCGGATACCTGAGTCGCAGTCACCCAGCTCCATAACATCGTCGGATCGACTGCCAAGCTGACCAACCTGCTCCATATTGAAGAGAACACGAGGCTTTCCCTCTTGCGCCAAACCTGGAAGGGCAGCGAAAGGGTACACGCTCAAACTTGTACCAACAACCAAGACCAGGTCTGCCATTGCGACTTGGAAAGTATTGTTGTCAAAGGCCTTGGGTAGCGGTTCACCAAAGAAGACAATATCAGGCTTGACGAGCCCATCGCAACCTTCCTTATCGCAATGAGGAACCTTGCCTCCAAAGACGTGCTCCTTCATCTTGTCGTCCGGGTACTCTTCCTTGCACTCGATGCAGCGCTGCTTTGCGAAACTTCCGTGGGCCTCGATGATCCTGCCTGAAGGTACTCCAGCTACGCGCTCAAGACAATCGATGTTCTGAGTGAAGAGCATCTGGAGAAGGTTCTTGCGGGCGAGGAGAGCGATGAAGGCATGCGATACGGTCGGATGGAATTTCCCAGGATATAATTCGTTGGCTAGTACGTAGAAAGGCTCGGGGTGCTCGCGAAAGTAGGAGATATCGAAGACGGCTTCGGCGTAGGGTAGATTGAGACGAGCAAGGTTGGCATAAAGGCCCGTTCCAGGCGATCGAAAGTCGGGGACTAGTCCCTTGATTAGATGTAGGTCAGAGTATTTGTATATTCTATATACTTACTTCCAGCAGCAGTAGAGATACCAGCGCCAGTCAGGACCGTAATATGCTTGCAGCGGCCTGACTTGATGTAATCTGCGACAGCGGCCAAGCTCCGCTCAGTGAGCGTTGCGGGCGGGCCGCTGTAACTCATGGAGGACTCTTCCTGACCCATTTTGCGACGAAGCCAACGAGGGACGCGTGGTCCTGGCTTGTTTTTGTTTTTTCGTCTTCGACCTATCTTGGCGACGATGATGGTAAAAGTACGATGCTTTTACAGGTGCAGATGGCGCATGTACTTTGGGAATTGTAGGGTGGGAGTCAAGCCTTAATCAAAGGTGGGGGATATCAGATTTACATCATTTTTCACTTTGGCGCTTATCGATAAGGTTACTGTAAGTGAATCATACGGCGGACATTAAATTGCCAGGCAACAGAATAGAAACCTAGGAACCTTTGTACCTTGGCAAGTATAAAGGTACCAGGCAGACAATAGAGTTAATATCCACCACGTCATGAACTTACTACATAGCCACCTGGTCAAGGCATGTTACTAACCTCCCGAAGTGGGTTGAGTTGGGCAAACAGATATCCAGTCATGATTAAGTAGAAACAAATGCAATTCAAATTGTACATCCCTCATCTATAAGCGAAAGTGATTCAGTAACGAGTCAGCCAACCCGTCCGCTCCGTCATGATAAAATCCCAGGCTCATCCAAGCCTATTCCAGTCCAGTCCAGCCAGTCCTGTTCGTCAACGCCTAGCAATGCCAAAATACCCTGACGCCCTTTTCCTTCTTTCAACATGACCCATGAGACAATTAAAATTCTTAACCGTGGCGTTCACGTGCAGCGGCGAACTGCTCCTCCTGTAGACGAGCAAGCTCTTCCATGGACATGCCGCTGTTGGCAAACTTGTCTGCCTTTTTCTCACGACCCTAGAAACAGTTAGTAATAGTCGCTTATGCCAAGAAAAGAAGCAACATACCTTTTGAACTTCCTTATGCTCGGCTGCTGCCTCGAGGACAGCAGGAACCATGTCAGTGAAGCCTAGTTGCTCTAGAGCCTTAGTGATGTGATCGCAAGCGATGGTCTTTTTTGCCTCCTTCTCTGAGATTTCGTTTGCCTCTGATGAGATAAGGGTGATAAACTCGACGCAACATTCTATGAGGAGGTCACGAGCTTCTTTAGCAAAGGCCACGCCTTGTGAGGCGGGAAGAATTTCCGACACAATCTTTTGTACAGTAGCTGTAGTCGTGTTAGCTAAACCCTTATGTGCAGCAGATGTGGACAAACATACCTTTGGGCAGGGACAAATCCTCATTGCCTACAGAAGAAGATTGTTAGCAACGGTTCTCATGTAAGAAATGAATAGCCGACCCAGTGTGCCGCTGTCATACTTCAACCAATACTTGGTCGATGCTGGAAGAGGCATGGTGAAATAAGAGTGATGTGGGGATTTGGGAAGGATGCAGTGTATTCAATATTGAGTATGGTGGTTGAGATGGAAAGGACCATATGAGAATAAATCGCTTGGCCTTCATGAGTGTAGATGATGATGATAATGATTTAGAAAATAGAAACAACAAAGAGAGGTCTTGATTAAATAAGAGAAACAAAGTGAGTCTGATTCACAATGTCCTTTCTCCTAGCAGTGATGCAGCAGTGGTGATGCTCATCACAGACCAGATTCGGGTATGCAGAAACACGACAGGAAACGAAACAAAAAGAAATAAAGACACCAGAGTCAAGTCTTACCTCCAAACTCGTGATCAGACATATTTTCGAAAGAGTTGTAATCTGTGAATCAAGTGGTGATAAAGAGTGTTTGCTGGGACAGATTGTATACACCAAGACGACGCGGTTGGGTGTCGATGACTTGCAGGGCTGCAACGCGATGACAAGTGTAGATCAAACAGCAAAATTAACAAAAAATGACCAGAGATTATGAGAAAGTCTTGTAATGCCGGTGACGTTTATAAAGTTTGGTGCTGTGCTTGTGTTGTTGTTTGTGGTTGATTGTAGTCGTCTTTCTTATATCTCGTTGATGAGCTTCAAATACGAATAGGTCAAGGCTGAAGGACGGATGGTTACTCAGGCCCATGAGTGGTGGGGCAAGCCTCTTTTGTATCTGAGAGCTCTTGCTTTGCAGCTAGAAAGTGACCCCACCTTCTGCAGCACCAGCACAGAAGCCTCAGGTCCCAAGGGCGCGTCTTTTTTCAACGCACGGACCAATCTTTCACGTCTATTTTAGAACTTCCATCTTTTGAAAATTTCCTTTTCTTATTCCTTCATCAACACATTCTTTCTATCTTTTCCTTCATTCCTTTCCCACCACAAACATGCCAGAAAGCTCCGATTGAGCAACGGCTTTGCTCTGCTACATGATAGCGCCTATTGCGCTTGTTTGCTATACCTCGAAAGCACTCGCTTTGCGCGATGCTTTCAACCACTGCAGCTGCCAGTCTTCTGGGTAAGTTTTTTCTATCTACCTACCCACCACATCGCATGATGAGATATGTTGTCGCCCCAGGCTTAGGAGGTTCGACAAGCCTCCTGTGCTGATTGACTTCGTCCTGTGCCAAATGGACAAGAACTGATCGATCGCAATCACCTTTGTTTCCAAGCTTGATCTTCGACTTGACCGGTCGCTAACCAACTCAAAGTCTAGGCTACTTCCTACCACTCATGCCGCAATGTAAGACTCCATTCAGCATGTAGCCCTCCTTCGATACGCCGTGATGTTCTATATTTTAATTAGACTCGGATTCTAATGACGTCAAAACCATTTCCTGAGCGCATTCGACTGCACGCTTGTTTTGGACAACATATTGGACCATACACTAATATGCAATCAGGCAGTTGCTGCTTAGGCTATCGGGTTTGGTCATTCAACACCGTCACATGCGACTGATCATCAGGTAAGAACTTATTTTACTTTTTTGTACCCGCGAAATCAAATGCTATGATGAAGAAACTTACATTCCATGCTAAATCCGAAACTCTATGTGGAGCAAACGTATTTTCATCTTTCGACTGACTTGCATTTGTCTTTCTACCTTTTGTCTATCTACATTATTTTCAAGACATAAGCTAACATTGCTTGAGATATACAGAAGTTCCACGATTCCTTTCCTACCAAGGTCCACTCTATTCCTGGTACGCTTCAACCTCTGGTGAGTTCCATCTGCATAACCGTTAGTCCTTGATTCGACAGCATATCGTGAAACGTACGAGAAGAATTTTCCGCTCAGCTCCTTAAGCGGGTCTGCGACAAACTTGGCCATGACATTACCAGGTTGTTCAGGCTTGAGCAGGATGCCCTTCTCCTTGGCGTCGACAAATGATTCGTACTGCGCCTGGTTCATAGATTCCTTGCCTCCTGACCTAATGACGCCTTGCATCTCGGTGTCTACTCGACCAGGTGCAATGGCAACGCTTGTGATGTCTGGCTCTTCAATGGCAATGTGACCAGAGATAGAATTGTATGCAGCCTTTGATGAACCGTAGCTTGCCCATCCAGCATACTCCTTTGTTGCTGCTCCTGATGATACCCACACGATGCATCCCTTGGACTTGCGTAGCTCTTGGATTGCAGCTTGTGCCTGGTTTTGTCAGCGTAGTACACGAGTGTATATGATTGTCCATCTTACCAATGCGATACCACTGAAGACGTTGATGTCATAAACCTTCTTCCACTCTTCAAGAGAAGTATCAGCGAACTTGTTAGGAATCAACATGCCGTGGTTAACAACAAGACCGTCAACCTTGCCAAAGGAAGACACAGCAAGGTCGATCAGCTTCGAAGGCATCTGATCAAAATGATTAGTTAAGACTGTCAAGACGCTTCTTGGTCACGTACTTGAGGCTCAACGATATCACCAGCGATGAACTGAACCTGATCAGGAAACGATTTCTTCAATCCCTCCAGAGGCTCAGATGATCGAGCTGTGATAACGACCTTATGGGATTGCTTGATGAGGTATTGAGCGATGGCAGCGCCAATGCCCTTGCTGGCGCCGGTAACAATGAATACTTTGGATGCCATTTTCAAATAATATGTCGTGTAACGATGTTTGTGTTAAAGTTGAAGATGAGGAATCGTACCTTGGCAGCTTTGAAGCTTCCCATCACATCAGAGTGGGGGTTTTGGAGGGGTCAATTTTTGGAGCTTCCTTTTCAAATTTGTCTACCCTGGATCCTCAAGGTCACTCACGTCATCGGTTCCTTTGTTGGTAATAACCTCCGCCATCAGCGTCGACGACTCTCGTTATTTAGACAATACATCCAATTAATTCTTAATACTCCGTTGCTAATCCATGGCTTCGACGGTGATTGTTGGAGGTGGCATAATCGGCATCGCAACAGCCTTCTACTTATCCGAACATCAACCAGGCTATACAATCCACCTTGTCGACTCATCTGCCCAATTATTCACCTCGGCGTCAGGATACGCTGGGGGCTTTCTAGCCAGGGACTGGTTTCATAAAGACCTTGAGTCTTTAGGAGCACTTAGTTTCGATGAGCATGAAAGGTTGGCCGAGCAGTATGACGGGCGCCAGAAATGGCTGTACGCCAAGTCTGTCACAGTGAATTACGAGCTACCCAGAAGGAAGCCCAAAGGTCTTGGAGGGAAGGACTGGTTAAGTGAAGGTGGTAGTCGTGCGGGTTTAATAGAAGAGAGGGTTGAAGTGAAGGATAGGAATAGTCCACCTTGGCTGAAACGTGTGAAGGGCGATGCTCTTAGTTTGGTTGACAATGGTGAAGGCACAGCCGTCCTGTAAGTGACTGAACCCGTGAGATGTACATGTGACTAACAAGACGTGACTTTAGTGACCCCCTAAAACTCTGCCAATTCCTTCTTGAACGGTGTCGAGAAGCAGGTGTCCGGATATATACTCCTGCTATTATTCGACACGTAGGCGCTGACTGCCACGACGAGCTGTCATATGTCCATATCGGCTACACGGACTGTTCTTCAGAAACGACGATTCCGGCTACTAGGATACTTGTATGCGCTGGGGCATGGACACCGAGTGTTTTGGAGTCCATGTTTCCGGGGTCACATATCAACATACCAGTCATGAGCCTTGCAGGTCATTCACTCGTGGTTAAGAATCCGGGAGATATAGGCGATACATTCCACTCTGTGTACACCAGCACGGATACCTTCTCACCCGAGATTTACGCCCGGCCAAACGGGCATATCTGGCTCGGCGGCGTAAACGCATCAATACGACTTCCGCCGTTGGTAACAGGTGCAAGGCCTATGGATTCATCGCTCGAACAGTTAAAAGACCTAGCGAGGCAAATAATCGATACAAACGGCGAGGGGTTGGAGATAGTACGTACGGGGCTATGCTTCAGACCTGTGTCGGAGAGAGGGACGCCGTATATAACAAGGATAGAGGATGTAGATCTACGGCAAGGTTATAGCACGCGGAAGGGAAGAGATGGAGGTGTTTATGTTGCGACGGGGCATGGACCGTGGGGAATTAGTTTGTCGTTGGGTACGGGGAAAGTTATGGCTGAGATGATGCAGGGGAGAGAGTTGAGTGCTGATATAAGTAAGTTGGGATACAATCCGTGGTGATCTTGGACATTGTATCGGCATTGGATTACTATAGAAAACATTCATCGTCCAAATTTCTGAGTCACGAGTGAAAGAAGTTAAGATATTCGTACATTGGGACAGATGCTTCAGCCAGGGCATTTGGGTTCATATTAGACAAAGCGATCACGTAGCTTCTTGATATCTTCGCTTCCAGCCCTGCAGCACCCACCAACCAGAATGGCGGGCCACTTTCCTCTACCCTCTGTAGCTTTGACGACATCTTCAAGCTGGCCTTCCCAAGATGTGCGCCTCTGGTTCTCAGCACCATCGGGCATCTCCCACTTTTGTGTCGTCGTGTTGTAGACTTCTCCGTTGGTACCATCGGGATACAGCACCAGGGCAGGCCACTCAGTAATCTTGCCCTTTTCCACCATGCTCGAGACAGTGCTCTCAAAGATCTGCAGCAGGCTATCCAGCTTGTCGACCTTTGTGCAGTTGATGCCAATACCCCAGGGGATGTTGGCAGAAACTTCAGGGTCCAGCATGGCCTCCACGGCAGCCTCTATGGAGTTACCGTCGGGGAGTCGCAGGTCCTTCTCTGGAGAAAGAAGAGCGGTCCAGTAGGGGAGTTTGGACAGCGCTGGTGTTGCGGCGAGGGCTTTGCGCATAGCGATAATCTCATCTAGACGAGGGATAGTCTCGAGCGCGACGTAACCCAGTCTCTTCTGGATATCATTGACCTCAGAAAACACCCCCAAACGCTCACGATGCCACGATTCCAAATCCTCCAGAGAATCATGCTTATCGTCGTATTTCCCGCTGTACTCCTGACCAGGAATCATACAAGCTCCATAAGGTCCGATACTGAGAGCGACACAGCCCTTGTCCCCGACAGCACGCTCAGCGATACTGACAGAGTCGTTCAAGAAGCGCGGGACATTCTCACGAGAAATACCCTCTGGAAAATCCTCAGTATGAGTGTCTGCGAATCCGTGCAGTGAGACTTGGTATGTTGCAGTGAGGAGCACGTCAACGGGGACAGCGCCGAAATCGGACTGGCATGATTGAAGAGTGGGTTGGTCTGAGACGAGCAGATGAGAAGACCAGAGGGGAGTTGATCGGGAGAATGTAACGGAGTATTTTGACTCGAGGGAGGTACCGAGACCGCCGTCGAGGATGAGTATTTTGGAAGGCATTTTTATGGGAAGTTTGTTGGTGGTTGAGATTGAATTGAGTCTTTAGTTTTTGCCCCTCATATGAGAAAACTAATGAAGATAGTGGAGAGCATCGGGTTTAAGACAATTGGAAATGTGCATCATTTAGATAGCTTATGATGCAAATATCCACACGTAAAGTCTACAGACTACATCGGGCAAGTTACGACATTATCTTAGAGGTTGTAGTATACTATAGTTGTTTCGCGTTGATGGCTTCATATGTTATGAGCAGGACGACAAAGCCAGAGAACCTTCAACATTGGAGCAATACTACGACAAAAATGAGCTGAATATATTTGTCAAAGTCCCCTTTTGATTATGTATAGTTGAATGGTCTTCAATGTCCGGTCACCGCGAACACGATCATCTGATGGTGTTGTTCAAGTGTTCGCTATGAACACGATCTTGAGAACAAAGAACGCCAAGTCAACCCCTGTCAAAGAGTTAATCTGAACAGCATAACTTTTCCTCGAACAACTTGTACCTCTTTAGCCAGCTAGAATCACTACTCAAACAAAGGGAGTATCCAGTTTATAAGAAATTCACCACCTGGCGGCCATGTCTATTTTTACTTCTCTACTCAAACAGTTCCAATTTAGGATCTTAACACAAGACAACCACCAAAAACAAATCACAAACACAATCACAATGCTACTTTGCCATTTTCAAAAACTTGTTCAATTTCTCTACTCAAATTGCTCAAAATGTCTTCCTCCCACACCAACCAGGACTATCGAGCAGGGCTGGCCCCTCGATCCATGCTCCGACCAACACAGATGTTTCTTGAACATGAAGATAAAATTTACCATCGTGTTCAAGAAACACCTGACTCTAAAGGTGAGTCCGATTTCGAGGATTTCCCCATGCGTGGCAGTTCCACTGATCTCGTGGTCGTAAGACGCCGCGTTGATAGGACTATGGAACTGGGCGTCGACATGTATAGTCCCATCACCGCGGGTGGTAACAGCGGTTGGGCACTCATGTTCCACGATCCATTCTTCGGATTGGCGTATCGTTTTCGCATGGCAGGCGGGCCAAGTATGGGCGAACCCTGGAGGTTCGAGTTCGAAATTAGAGAAATTGGACAACCAAACACCTTTCCCACACCCACTAGACGTCACTTCATCAGCATGATGCGAGAGCATCAGTGTCATCGAATATACGCCACTGCCAGAAGAACCCAAGGTCAGTTCTGCCAGCAATGGGTCATCGACGTGATCCGTGACCTGGAGTCGCAGGGCCTAGTCCCACCAGGTAGGGCAACACAACTCTCAGAATCCCTCGAGACCGATCAATACCCCAATATCCAAGTCTCGTACAATGACCAACTGTCAACAATCGAACAGGAAAGGGCCAGATTTGGCGGCAACCTATGGGTGTTCTTGACTTTTGGCGGCTCTCGCAGGAGAGTCAACGTACTAGACAGGATTGAAGGTAGCTTCGTTCAACAGATGCTGAGAATGGGCCTGGACCTCGATGTTCACATTTGGTTAAATGACCAATTTGATTAAGTCGAGGCCATGCTTCTTGCTGCAGCCGTTGAATAAAACTACCTTAAATCCTGCCAAGTACATTCACTATCCTATGAGAGTGACCAAAGGCCCAGAACATCAACCGGGTATCACCAATCTGGTCCTCTCCTGTTGAATTGTTGATAGCTAGTCATTACGAGACTTAGGTATCGGCGTACTGATCAGGCATCGACAGGATACTGAGAATTATTTCGAGAAGAGAAGACACATTGCTGGCAATGCCTCTTCAATGCCCTTGACTGGGAAGGATGTAGGTTTTCGATTGAGGTGATCATCCTTAACGACCAACACCATAAATCTCCAACCTCAGAGTAGTGGCATGGAGACTCAGGGCGCTGGTCGCTGAGGATAATGATGGTAAGTGTGATGAGGGTAAGTGTTTGAAGAAGAAGATGGTGGTGAGTGTTTGAGAATGATGGAGGACATAGAGGGCGTATTTATCTGTTTTTTTTTTCATTTTTTTTTTCATAGCCTGTCGAATCTAACGTGTTCTTTATTCTCAATCGTGTATTAAACTAAACATGTACTCGTGACTATGATGTTTTTGACAAACATTGCGCTCGATGCGTGGGAATTGATGGTTTGATCAGACTAATGGGTCCGTGTTTACGATGACAACAAAGGAATAGAGTTGGAAGGAGGCGCGGCGAGGAATGAACAGACTGTATTGCTTTGTAGATCATGACTTGGCGGTTGGTTACCTGTACATTTTAAGCAATTGATCGTGTGTCTTTCTTTGTAGTCGAGGTCAGATGATGAAGCTTAGACGATACTTGATATGGAATGAATAGACGACGTGGCTTCAGTTCTTTATTTTACTGATGCCAATGCGTCTGCCTCATGTTGTATTGTTGTTGTCACTTCCATCGATCGCAAACAACTTCAAGGTCAGATAAGCGATAAGCTCAATGCCATCCTTGATCTCAGCCAATAACATGTCCTCAACACGTTGCGCTGGCGTCGCTGATCAACTGTAACTGGAGCGATTACTGGACAAGCTTATTTAAGGTTGGCGTAGGTACGTCAGTAGCTGAAACACCCTAACAGCCTCCATAACAGTCGGGTCCAGCCCAGCCAAGCTTAGCAGGCCTCAGCTTGTGGTCGAAGCTCCCTAAATATTGGTCTCTGCCAACGTCATCCTTTGTTCTCACATTCATCCAACAACACAAACAAGATGATGGACTTTTCCGATTTCGAAATCATTGATCCAATTGCCGAGTTCGGTCCTGAGAGTAGCGATGACGAGGACACCCCTCAACCATCAATCCCTCATCTTCAAGGCGGTCATCCTCCGTGGCAGGGCCATGAGGGTAAGCTAGTCGGTGTTGTTGACATGGGAAGGTAAGAGACAATTCATCCATCAATTGCCCGCCACGTCAAGCTGACAATTGTGTCTACCAGCAATGGCATTCGTCTCTCCATTTCCGACCTTTCGAGCCCAAATGCTCGTATGCTGCCGACCGTATACCAGTATCGCGCCTCCATCTCGCTGTACGACTCTCAATATGATCCCGAGACTGGCGAACAGATTCCCATCCCCAACGATGTCATCAAGTCTGTCGTCTCTGTTTTGAGTAGATTCGTTGTCATCTGCGAAGACTTTAGCTGCAAGAGGGAGAATGTCCATGTCATCGCGACCGAAGCTACGCGTGCCGCCAAGAACTCCAAGGAGTTTTTGGCCGCCATCAAAGACAAGACCGGTCTCACAGTTGAGCTTTTGCCCAAGGAGGAGGAGGGCCAGATTGGCGCCCTCGGTATCGCCAGTGGCTTCTCCAATATGGAAGGTCTAGTCATGGACCTTGGAGGTGGCAGTACTCAGATCACCTGGATGCTCAGCTCACGCGGTCAAGTCCGCATCAGTCCAAAGGGAAGCTTCAGTTTCCCATACGGAGCTGCTGCATTGACCAAGAAGCTCCATGATCTTCGAGACGGCAAGAAGAAGGATGAAGCTGATGCCGCTGTCAAGGCATTTGAGCAAGAAATGATTGCCAACTTCAAGGATGCTTACAACAACCTTCAGATCCCTGAGGAAATGGTTGAAAAGGCCCAGAAAGAAGGCGGATACCGCATCTATCTCTCTGGCGGTGGCTTCAGAGGATGGGGATACCTGCTTCTCTATCTTAACCAGACAGATGGCAGCTATTATCCCATCTCCGTCATCAATGGTTACACGGCCAAGCGCAAGCAGTTCGAAGATACTGAAGCCCTCAAGCATGTCGCTCATGCCGCCAAGGACATCTTCCGCGTCTCTGATCGCAGAAGATCGCAAGTCCCTGCTGTCGCATTCCTTGTCAATGTCCTCTCCGAGTCTATCCCTGGAGGTATTAGAGAAGCGCACTTCTGTCAGGGTGGTGTACGAGAGGGTTTCCTGTTCCGACAGCTACCACCTTCCATTCGGGCTCTTTCGCCTCTGGAGGTTGCAACTGGCTACTTCGCGCCAGGCTCGCGACACCTCATCCAGCAGCTGCTCAAGAGCTCCATCCCTAAAGCTTCCAAGAAGAAGGCGTTTCCAGAGGACTTTGGCGAGCCTGTCGTGGATTCGTTTGCCAATTCCATGTACCTCCACATGTTCATGTCCAAGGAAACCGCCTCGACGACTGCGCTGTACTCGACCAGCGTCGGAGTCATGTCTGCAATCCATGGCGTTTCCCACCAAGACCGAGCTAGACTGGCGCTGATGCTCGAATCCCGATACGGCGGCGAACTTCCTCCCCGAGAGTCGGAATTCCGCGAATCCCTTCGTGAAATGCTCACGCCCGAAGAAGTCTGGTGGGCGTCTTATCTCGGTAGAGTAGGACAACTCATCACAGCGCTCTACCCAGCAGGCAAGATCCACAAGTCTAAGCCGCGTGTGGTCTTTACTACGCAGTGGTCGTACGCTCTGGGCAAGAAGAAGGACAAGGAGGGTCTCCTGCTTACCATCTCGGTGCAGAAGACAAAGAATGACCCTGCCAGGACCAAGGAGACGGTCGAGGAGGCGGCCAGCGACGTGGAGAAGATCGGTAAAAAGAAGAACTGGATTGGAGATGATGAGCCTTGGGGTATGAAGGTTAAGGTTAGAGTTGTTGAAGAAGGGATCCTTTCTGAGGATGGTGACGAGTAAGATGGGATATAATGATGGAGTTTCTTTGTTTGTGGGTATGGTGTAGGCAACTAATTTGCATGAATTGAAATGTGATTTCTTATGAAGACTTTCTTGTGCTCATTGACGTGACACTCGTCGCGTAAAACTTACCATTAATGCTATAGAAAGGTATCGTCGCTGCCTGATGTTCGGTTGTAGATGTGTCGTGTGACGATTGCCGCCCCAACGTCCATCATTAAGACAGATGTTGTTGAAGAGCCATAGAGCCCTATCCACAGATTTTGCTTCTCGCAACAGATCATGAGGTTATTCTTGCAGTAGAGTAAGTTGCTTTGCTACTTGAAGAAAGGAGGTTGGAGGATTGAGAGTTTCAGTATGAGGTGAGGATGGGACCCACTATCATGATGTTTGGACTTCAGCCTCATCTCCCTCCTCTGAGCCTGGCACTGTATGATGCCAAATAAAGTCACTTGATACGACACATAGGATTACATGGTTCATCAATTGAGGTGTTCAATAATCTTCATGCATAGCAGGGAGCGACCTCGGAGTTGCTCTACTGGGTAATCATGGTCTCCCATTCAGAGGCCACCTCCTCTTAAATGAAGCTCCAGCTAATCAATACTGCAACAACAAAAACAACAAATAGATCGCGTAAAAGAAACAGAGGTGGTATAAATTAATAACTTCTGACGTAAGGCGCTCTCTCTAATGCATCGGCTTGGGCCCTCCAAATCTCGGTCCCCATCTGGATGAACTCAGCCCCAAACTCTTCAATCATGCTTCCGGCATCTTCTTCACCAAGCCGATGCATCTTGGCATAGTCCTCCTCACTACCAAACGTCGCAATCTTGTACTGTTCCTTCCACCCTTCCACAAGACTCTTGACGTACAAACTCTCTGCTTGTACCGCTTTGGCCACGAGGTAGAAAGACGATCTCGTACGGTGGTGCTTGTAATGCTTGTATAGGGAAACATCAGCGATCTTGCTGAACTGATGGATGAGATGGAAATTGCGCCAGCTATCCAGCTTGTGCATCAGGATGACCATGGTTCCGCCCACGCTCAAGTGCTCTAGACCTAGAGTGATTTGCGTCAATTTCAGGCGAGTTGCCTCACCCCATTCGCGCCATTCAGCACGTTCGTGAGTTCGTAGGATTTGGCCGTCGCAGAAGACGAGATCATACTTCTCATCGAGCTTGAAGACCCGTTCCAGTATGAAATTGTCGCGATCGGGGAAGTTGTCTGGGATGTCTTGTTGGGTAATGCCAATGTCGCCGGCTAGCATCGTGATATCACGAAACTCAACGTTGACGTGCTTGTTCTCAAGTCTGATCTCGTGGCCACCTTCTTCTACGGGGAGACTCATGGCTCTGACTCGGTTGATATTGGGACACATGGCCATGGTTTGATCAATGAAACCTCCCGGTGCAGCGCACATGTCGAGAACACGTTCTGTTCTGAGGGAACCTCGTGTTAAGGCACCTGTTGACTTGTCGAGGTCGACAGCGATATTCTTCATCATCTGGAAGAAGAATTCACGCACCCTCTCATTGGCCCCGTCTGCATCTTGTCGTTGCTTCTTGAAATATTGATCCCCCTGACTGTTCTCCCAGCCCTATCAAGCAAGTGATTAGCTACTTTTCATGATATATGATATAGTGGGGAGCGAACCTTCTGTCGCAGATCTCGGAGGCGACAATATTCCTCGGAATTATCGGCCAGATACTCTAGGAGAAGCTTTTGGGCCTGGAGGTTCAGCCCAGAGCTGTCTTTGTTGGTACCGACACGTCTTTTGACATTTTTAGAGTCGGGTATTTTGAAAGACTGGAATGACATGATTGTAGCAGCTAAAAGCCAAGAGAATAGATATCTGCAAGCTGATGTCTTGAGGGTATGTTGAGGTAAATGCGAGGTTTCTGAAGGGAGAAGAGGGACATTATATATCGCGATTGAGGACGAATATCACATTGACTATAGGTGCCTGTTTGATTAATACACTTTGGTATTGTTTGTTGGTTTGCCTGTTATTCAGAGTGGCTGAGGTTGTTGGCGTTTGCGAAGGAGTAAAGTCGGCCTCCAGGAAAACGGCCTGCTAAGCCACCCACTTATACATGGAAATGATCTGACAAGCGTACATAGCTTTATTCTAAACATCTTCAGAACTGCTATTCTTTGGAGGAGCAATCTTGTTGATCTTTCGAAAACCTTCTTGTATCTCAACCTTTCGGAAGTTTGTCGAATACAAATAATAAACAACAAACCACTGATATAAACAAAACAAGCTAGAAATGTCAAAGAAAATAGAACTAAAGATAGCAAAGGAGACTCACAAGGCACAAACTCCAAAACAGCCACAAGCAATAGTAAGATTATCCAACATTGCCACGGGACCTTCAGATACCTCTCCAACAAAACCAGTCCTTCGCTTCTCGTGGTTTGATTCTTGGTAGGCGCTTATATCCTCTCTCTTGACAAACATGACAACAAGAGCAGCTAGCCACATTGCTGTTGAAGCAGCGAGAAGTAGGCTGTACCACATGGGTGGTCTGGGGTTGGTCATGCTTTGTGGGCTGACTGGTATTTTGACAGCAAAGAAATGAAGGGCACCCTGTGATTGCGTCAGTAAGAAGAAGAAGGTTATAGTAGAATAGTGTGATCATACAACTGCGAGATTATATGCCGATGCAGCAAGTAGACCTTGACCTGGATTCTTTGAAATTATACCGGCCGCAAGTCCTATAACCGCACACGAGGCAATCCATCTTCCGATATCAGCTTTGAAAGCATCATCGTAGAGTATCTTGACTTTGTTTGTTTCCTTTTCTTTGCCTAGAATATCCCGGAAGATTTCGGCTAGAGGCATAGGGCATATTGGACTTGACATGATTGGTGTAGTTGAGTGAAGTTGCGAGTGCAGAGAGAGAATAAACCGACTGACCAACCAACCGATGCTGACATCATTGTCTGAGTTATGGAGGCTGTTGGCCTTGGCAAATACATAAGCCTAAAGACAGGTGATGATCAACATGACAGCGGCCAAGGGACAGGGAATATGTGCACTGCCACTTCCAACAAGCTGAGCTTGAAACTTGGCGCGTTCCTTTCTTCCCTGCCATACTGTTGGTCAGCCTTCGGGTAAAATAACTTTGATTGCTGGTCGCGTAATGCTCTTCTTTTGGGTTTGTAGCAAGATAACGTATGTCTTGGCTTTGTGGGTTCAAGACAAGATTGCGTTGCATTCCAGTTTTGCCTTGGCTGGTGAGTGACTGTGTTTAATCACATGCATTGTGTTTTATTAGCCATAATGGAAGTAGTGAGAGGTCCTTGCTTGAGGAGATGTTTGATGTTCCTAGTCAAGCTGAAAGAGTGGACTGCAAGGATGATCATCCACGGAGTCGGATATCTTTTAACACCCGATCCGATGGATGTTCAGATATTCTAGAAGAGTGATTTCGATCTGAGTTCAAGCATATTCTAATAAAATATTTTGCGTCCTTCTTTCCGACAATGTCATAAAAATAATCTATTATCAATCTTTGAGGAGAACCCCATCAAATAAAGGTAATCTATCATCCTTGACACTCGCCGAAGTAATCACAAGTATAACTTTATCAACCTCATACGATCGTTTTTAGTGTCGACTGCCCTGACAGTAGACAAACAACAATTCCAATACAATCATACCTGCATACATAATAAACAATCAAAATCAAAACCAGTATAGAATATTCATCCCTCATCTCGAATAATTTACCCAAAAGGGAAATATCCTGCGCCTAGCCGGACCGATGATCCACGCCTTGTCATGTCAAGGCTTAGCTCCAAGGCTGAGATTAAACAACATCACAACTACCGGAACTATTTCCATCCTCCGTGTCCGTAAAAAATATGATTCCGCTCTGACATTAGTGCTTATCCTATTACAGCTTGGCTCTGCTGCGGGTGAAGTCGCTGACGACGCGGGCCCTCGCCTTATGCATAACCTTTGAGGTATGATGGGCGCTTACTGCATTGAAATCTGCTTACTTTACACTCTGTGAAATACTTGGCTCCTGTAAAGAGATTAATTCCGATTGGTTATGTTTCATACAGACGGGACATAAGCCACTGAAAGACTCGCAGTTACCTACATTCTTATCTAGACGACACCTCAGCACAGTTGCAGTGCAGATGAAAGTGGAAATTGGAGTTGCAAAGATGCAGGTCTTTGTTTGTCTGAAGTGGTTGTCACACAGCCCTGTTTATTGCGTGTTGGTTGGTGATACAAGAAACCACTACATGTTACATGTCATGCTCCCTCTTTGTTATCTATAAAACAAAACCCCTTTTCTCGTATAAACCCATATTTAATTACACACTCCCCTTCATCTTTATACTATCTTTCCGAAAACAGATCTATACATCTTGCTAGGTGTATCAACAAACATCATGGGCGACAAAAACGAAACTTGGGTGCCAAACTACGACAACTGCGATAAAGTCACAGATGCATGTGCTGTCGAATACACCATCTATGGTGACTATCTCTCGGGAGGCGCCGCAGGGTTCTTCGCAGTTTCATTCGTGATTCTCCTCCTTGCACAGATCTTTCAAGGCATCCGCGCAAAGACATGGTCATACATGATCTGGCTAGGCATAGGAACCATCTTTGAAGTCGTCGGCCACATAGCACGCTTTAGTCTCTCTCGAAACCCATGGCAGCAAAATGTCTTTATCATCTCCTACCTCACGCTTCTCCTCGCTCCGACTCTTGTCGCCGCTGCTATATCCGTCACCTTCAAACACATCGTCATGTGGTATGGAGCAAAGTGGTCGGTGCTCAAGCCTAGGTTGTATCCTCTCGTCTTCGTCGGTACGGATTTTCTTTCAATTTTCATACAGGTCATCGGTGGTGGCTTGACGGCTTTGGAGACAGTGGGCAAGGGAACCAAGACGACAAAAAAGCTGGGAGAGATCCTTGTCACTGGAGGTGTTGCGTTTCAGGTTGCCAACATGCTGTGCTGTGGAACTCTGATGATGATATACATTCGACGTCGAAGCCAGTCGTTGAAGGGTAGGGATTTATTGATGGGTGCTCCTGGTACTGCTCCTCCTTCATACGTAACCGGGGGTCCGACGCGTGACAAGGTCCCTGTTGCTCGAGAGGAGGCGACTATCAAAGAAGCCAAGAGGGTCCGGTGGTTCTGTTATTGTCTGGGCATTGCCTACGTCTGTATCATCCTCCGATGTATCTACCGGTAAGAGCTCCCTGCATCCTCGATTATTAACATGGCCATACTAACTTCTTGTCTAGTATCGCAGAGACCATCCCAGACATCGCAAGAGATGTCCTACAAAACGAACCGCTATTCATTGTCTTCGACGCAACAGCCATGCTTATATCCATCGGACTCATCACAATCTTGCATCCCTGCTACTTCTTTCCCTACCTGGGCCTAAGCAAGATCAAGAAGAGCCAAGGTAAGATGTATGAGGGTATTCGGATGGAGAGTAACTCTGCTCTGGTCGGACGACAACAGCAACAGTCTCAGCAACAGGGTTACGCCTAAGGGAGACACATAGAGGAGATAGAGAGAGATGGCGCACATTTTCTTAGCGAGCGATGATCTTTGATGGAGTTTTGTCTAGTTTGGTTCAATATCGTGTATAATAGATTAGTGTCATAACATGGAGTCTTTGTAATTCCATTGCATTAGTTCAAACTCTCCTCTTTCATGTGACTGAATTCATCTTCGGATGATTGAGCCGACACTGCATTTATTTGCTCACATTGTCCAGCCAATAAGCCCGTTACAGTAAGACAGCCACATTTATAGCCGATGTCGCACAGTTTTTGCGCCCTACAAGTACAACAACAACTACGAGTTAGGAAGAAACATGCAGTAAGCACCTTCCAATTACTTGCAGGGCGTCATTTAAAGTATATAGAGGGCGTAATCGCCATTCAATTGAAGGAACAGTGGTGATACTCGCTATTCAATACAAGTCAAAGTTGATATTTATTACATACATACACTTAAATCTTCAATGTCCCAGACATCAATTGAATTGGTACCCAACAGGGCCGAATCACCACAGAATAGTCTCGACCAGGGTTTGGAATCTCGAACCACAGATGTCGAGTTTTCGCTACCTCGCGCCGATGGTGGAAGAAAGGCTTATTTATTCCTGGCCGCATGCTGGGTCGTCGAAGCAGTAACCTTTGGCAAGTTCCACCACAGTATTGCTACAGACCAACTGGCTAACAGCATTCATCATAGGCTTTGGTTTTTCATTTGGTGTTTTTCAAGAATACTACAGTCACAATGAGCCGTTCGCAGGGTCTAGCAATATTGCTGCTATCGGAACTACCACCACCGTAAGAAACCAATTCACATATCAAACCTCTTCTAACATGATCCAGGGCATGCTTTATCTTGGAGCCCCTTTCGTTGTCATAATATGCCGTTTCTATCCCCGTCAAGCCCGCTGGTTCACCTGGGTAGGCCTCATAGTCACATCCCTTGCCATGGCTGTGAGTTCCTTCTGTAACACAGTACCACAACTCATCGCAACTCAAGGCGTTCTATTCGGTATTGGTGGCTGCTTTGCTTATTGTCCTTGCACTCTCTACATCGACGAGTGGTTCGTGCAAAGAAAAGGCTTCGCATACGGTATCGTCTGGAGCGCTGCTGGAGCTGGAGGTGCCATACTCCCTTTACTTCTCCAAGCCCTTCTTGAAAAGTACGGATTCGAAACGACTGTGAGGATCTGCTCGGGAATTCTGTTTGGAAGTGCGGCCCCGCTGGCCTACTTTGTTAAGCCCAGACTTCCCCTTTCATCCACAATCAATAGGAAACCTCTCAATATGCGGTTCCTCACGTCCAGAGTGTTTATGCTACACCAGTTGGCAAATGTTGTTGAAGCGACAGGATACTTTCTTCCTACCATCTATCTACCAACATATGCTCGAACAACATTTGGCACTTCGGCTGTTCTATCAGCTCTGACTGTTATTCTGGTTAACATTGCTACGACAGCAGGCTTGATGATCATGGGCTCTCTCAGCGATAAACTCGCCGTCACAACATGCATGCTCATATCAGCAGTCGGTGTGGGGATCTCAGTCCTACTCGTCTGGGGACTCTCAGCATCTCTACCAGTTCTGTACGTATTCTGCGTCATGTACGGCCTCTTCGCTGGATCGTGGGCTTCGATATGGCCTGGTATCATGAGAGAGGTGACACAGAAATTTCAAGACCAAAACGAATATGTTGATCCTGTCATGGTCCACGGTCATCTTTGTGTGGGTAGAGGGGTAGGAAATATCATTTCTGGACCCTTGAGCGGCTCACTTATTAGAGGCCAACCATGGCAAGGAAAGGTTATCGGGGGATATGGAAGTGGGTATGGAATTTTGATTTTGTATACTGGGTTGACGGGTTTGGTAAGTGGTGTCAACTTTCTATGGCGCTATATGAATGTTCTATGAGAAAGACAATCTTTGGTCACGGCTCTACAAAAGTTGTTTTCATTTGGAGTAGATAATTGAAAAGAAAGATAATAGTTATGTCGTATTTGCATGTAGAAGGAAGAAATCTAAAAAGTTGTTGTATTTATTTGGAATCCATTTGATATCTTCAAGTTCCAAGGCCCCTAGCAGATCAATTCTTGCTTCAACTCTATGACGAATCTAGTTGAGACTAATGACCTCGACATTTCGAACTTGGAAAGTAGTCGCTACAAATTCAAGTCAGTATCAAATAGCTAATCTCTCAGAGAGGAACAACTTGCGAGTCGTAGGTCCAGGCGAACCAGAAGATCCCTCAGTTTGATAATTCACAATCCTGCCAAAAGTTAGCTTCTTATACTACTCTTCCAGTTCTAAACTCACAAACGAAGTCCAGCACCGATGTAGTCCCTCCCATACTGTGTCGTCTGCTCAACCCCATCAAGGAAGAACTTGACTCTCACATCCGCCCCATTCTCATCTCTCAACTCAGCACGAACAGAGTGCCACTCTGTAGGGTTTGGATAATCCCTATCGAGTGCAGTGACTTCATCTGAAGTGTTGAATGTGTTGAAGGAAATCTTTCCAGTGCCTTTCCACTCTGCAATATCAATCTCCGGAGGCCATCCGCTTGCGGCGTTGAGCCAAAAGGCCGGCCACGTTCCTTTATCGACTGGGGCGATGAATTCAGCATTTATGTCGTATCCGCCGCCTGCGACGACGGTAAAGGTTGATTTGGCGTGGATCGCGCCAGACAGGTAGTGAATAGGATCCTCTTGGTCGTCTCTTGGTTCGGCAGTTAGAGTCAAGACGCCGTCGGTGACTGAGACGTGTTCTTCGTCCATTCGCGCGCCGCCATTATGTGTAGGACCCCAAGGGTAAAGATAATTCCAATAAGTATCTATTGAGTTGAATGAGTCTGGAGGTATCTCTGTTACTGCGCGCCGTTCGATTGGAGGTCGTAGGCTGGAGCATGATACTGCGGCGCATTGAAGCGCAAGGAGAAGCCTTTTGGAATACATTTTTGAAGAAGTGGAGAAGACAAGTTTCCTTACGATTTTAAAAGCAGTAGAGATCAGTTCACTATTTAAACAAGGACTGCTGAGTTGAGGAGTCTGCTATATCTCGTACAATTATGGGCACGAGGCAGTTTCAATGGAACGTCGTCTGGGATCTTGAAACAAGATCGCCGATGATTGCCGAAACAAAGTCCGCGGACAAACAAAACGCATCAATGAGTGGCCCGATGGTTATATGGTACGAGATTGAGCCATTCGATATAACTCTTGAAGCTATAATGCGTTCTCTAATGGGTAGCAGAAACGTTGGACCTCCCTCTCAAGTCTGAGGGTACAAAAATAACCAGCATAAGTGCCCTAGTCTAAATAGCATAAACCGACCTTTCAATTTCGTCACTTATGCTCAGTAACCATTTGTTCTGATACACTGGAGGCACAGTAAGTCTGTCATAGCCTGTGTTTATTTCCCAACCTTAATCTTGAACATGGCTTGATTTTGAGATGATAAGATAAAAGATAGTTTTATGTGCCTGCAGTAAGTTTCTTATACTGTGGATATAGACTTTCACGGTATACCTTATCTCGTGATGCTGAAGCATGCATTTTGTTGTCTGATGAAAACGCTACTGTACGAACCTCTACATCATGGATGTTCAGTGTTTGCTAAACAACCATCTTGTCCATTAACAATTCAGACAAGTCCCGAAGGGTTGAGAATAATGCGATACCTGATCTTTGGAATCGACTTTCCCGTATCGCACTTTCCCTGCACTTTTGCCCACTGCGCTGTCTGTTTCTAGGTAATAAGGTGCACTGATGCCTTCTCAGTGAAATTCCTTCGTCAAATTCTCCCTTATTCATCTTCACTATCTAACTTTCCTCCAAGAGCATGTTCTGCGGTAGGGTAGCTATAACAACACAGCAACGACCGAACTCTATTCTATAACGGGCTTATGATAGCTGATAGAAGAAACTTATGCTTAAGGTGTACGCACAGCAACTACTTTTTCCTCCTTCGACGCTCGGTCCAACAACATCATGACGCCTATCAACTTGCCCGAGTGTGAAGGTCCATCATTAGGACCCTTTCCATATAACATTATCGACGAGTTCCGATTTCTAGAGGTTTTAAATTGCGACTCAAAGCACGGCGTGATCGTCAAAGCAAAATGGAGAAATCAGCTCTATGCCATCAAACTTGTGAGTGAACCCAGGCAAGGACAAGCTAGCTCCTCACCCCTACGGTCCGCCCTCAGTATACCAACCCCTCTGGACTTTCTCAAGCCTAGCAGCATGGGATCTATTCGCTTTCCAATGGCATATCATCTTGTTGTGGAACAGAGACTACGAGCATCTGGAAAAGCGGCTGGTTAAGCCTCGGGGAATGCCCGACTCTTGTCCTTTCACAGCGTACACATATCCCTTCTCGTCAGAGGAAGCTAAAGAGAAGGCGACCCAACCGTACGGCCCGTTTCTACCAATGCTGAATCACTTTGGATATCAGCTATTTGCAATAGAACCGCCAAGATGGGACCCGCTAGAGTACTTAGAGAACCGTCAAGTGGAGAAAAGGGAGAAGAAGCGAAAAAGAAAATAGGAAGAAGTTGATCAAAGTCCTCCTGAAAAGCGTTTTGACAAACTGCAGGTTTGAGTGTACTAGAAATTTTGGTAGCTAGAAGCGTAAAGGATGGAATTATTAGGGCAGCTTATGCTTTTCAGATCAGGTTTCTTAGAATACATATTCCTATACTTTAAAGCTCGGAGGCCAACTTGTCAAGGTAGCGTAACCATATGTTCATCTGATTCCACAAGCTCGAACGCTTGGCTCGCCCATTATGAACTGTCAGCCGCTGTGAAATAGACAATGACAGACAACCGCACTGTTGATAAATTATCGAGCTTGATTATCACACTGTCTATTGTGCGATCGGAAAGTCGCTACTTAGACCAGGCTCTTAGGCCAGCAGTTATTTTTGCACCCTCATAGACTATACTCACCAGTTTCGCCTCATGATGTTGCCCGCAAGACTTTCTACTGTATTCAAGCCTGGTACAAACTAAAAGCTGTTTCATTGGCCCTAACTCAAAGAGCAATCTCCTCTCAGTACAACTAAAAGCAGCTGCTTGTTTTCGTCCACTCCATGCCACGATATTGTAGTCTCAGTGGTCAACAACTGCATCTTCTGGAACTACGTGAGATCAATTTACAACAACCTCAACATCCAATCAGAGCTTCGCCTGGTTAGCTCAATCGGTAGAGCGTGAGACTCTTACGAGTACGCAATCTCAAGGCTGCGGGTTCGACCCCCGCATCGGGCTGTTCCTATACAATGATACGATTGATTCTCTTTTTTTTTGGTTTTTTGTTCGTCTTCATCGTGGAGAGAAGGCTGTGGGTAAAAGGTTTGATCTGTGGAGGTCAGTTGAGACATACACTCACTAGACGGTATGTGATGACGAGTCGAGATGTGTATTGTATCGTTCATTCGGTTCAATCATAAAGCATATCATTAAAACTGCAGATGCGCTGACCCAATCTTCCCATGCTCATGCAGTGCCCAAACGTGGCTTCTCATCTACCTCACATAACAAACAAGAGGTCGGTGTCTAGGGAGATATTAGCGAATGTACGATACCACTGGGGCACCGACTTACCAATGGGGTGACTACTCGAGAGCTGTGGCTTCTGAGTATACTTTGTCTCGAGAATATCGCGGACACTGTTCAGCAACTCAACGTAGCTCTGCTTAGGATTGGCCTTGATAGCTGAAATGAAAGCCCACGACATGGCACCGGTGGCTTGAGCGTTAATCGTAGCGTCGGCCCTGGAAGAACTGTTAGAGAAATTACCGATATCACATGTTTTTACTCACGATGTCTGATCGTCTTTGCTTCCGGACCACATGACAACATCAGCAGGCGATGTTCGAGTGTCCTTGGTTCTCTCATATGCTTCGTCGCCGGTAAATGCAGACTTGGCCAAACCGAACACTGAACTAGCAGCCCCAGCAATATCTCCACTAGAGTATGATTTGAAGGCGTCAAAGAGACCTGAGGCAGCTTCTTTGGCCAGGTTGGGTTCCTTGAGAGCACCCTTGGTTGAGTAGACGTATGGAAGATCCATGACAGTGGCGGAATGACACGAGTCAAAGATAGCAGTGAGACGAACACCTTGAACCAAGGGCTTGACGACACGGAAATGGATCTCGTCGTCAATGATGGGGCCGGCCTGGGTGTGATCGACGGGGTAAATACATTCATCGTATCCGTCATCCTCATCGCCATCTTCGTCTTCGACCTGGCCACCGTGACCTATACAGCTATGGTTAGGCGACGTCTTTATATGAAAGGCATCAACTTACCGGAATAGTGAAGGAAGAGAGCGTCATCAGGCTGAGCATTTTGCACGAGCCAACCCATAGCGCGGATGATGTTCTCTCTGGTAGGAATCATGACTGGATCTTGTTGATCATCGGTCAACAAGATCATGTCCTCTCTCTTGTAGCCATAGCGCTCGACCAAGAAAGCGGAGACGTTGTGTACGTCGTTGATACATCCTCGCAGCTCTCCTTCTTGGTTAAAGTAGTTGATGCCGATGAGAAGTGCCTTGCGACGACCAGTACATCTGGAGTATTGGAAAGTATAGCCTTCGGGGGCTCCATGGCCGAACTGCTGGGGTGCAGCGGGAGGAGGAGGTCCTGATCGAGCGTGTTGGGCGTGATGGTGAAGGCCCTGTGGGAGAGGAAAGCCGTAGGCGTCGAGATGAGGAGGGGGAGGATAATTCGGGGGAGGGTATCTTCGCGATCCGGAATTATCCCCGGAGTAACCGCCGTATTGTTGCTGGGGAGGAGGAGGTCCAGATGGAGGACCGTATCCATAGCCATTACCGCCGCCTCCTTGATACCCTTGACCTGGAAAGTAGGACATGTTGGCCTGATTTGTGGAAGATGATGCTCGAGAAATCGATATGAGGGAAAGGGAGAAGATGCAAGAGGGAGCCTTTGAGATTCCAATAGTTAGGTGCAGAGACGAAACAGTAATGGGTCAGCAGTATAAGCAAAGCAATCAATGAATGCCAGCCTCACCTAAGTCTTGCAGGAATGAGCTCCCCTCCATCCAGTGCTAGCGGGCGCTAATCACTGCGACATCCATGACGGAGCTGGAGGGGACCTATAGAGGGGCAGAGGGGCAGCTCTCCCCGCCGGAAGAAACGGGCCTGATTCTCCAGCCCTGAGCTCCCCTGAAAATCGTCTGGCTGGTGAATGTTCTGGAGGCCGCTGGAGGGGAAGAGACGCCAAGAGACCTGGACTTTTCTTGGCGCTGCAAGAGCCCCTCCCCCTCACCGCAGTGTCAGACAGGTGTCAACAAGCAAATGAGCCTGTGAATCATTCATACATGTCACAAGGGACACAATATTGTGAGACGACATGAAACCCCCCATGGTTGATATTGGGGGTTTTCTTTCTCATCGACTGATGCCTCATAACAGCATCATGGGCGGCCTCTCGGTTGTAAAGACAAGTGACGCGGCAAGTTAATACCATTCATCAAATTTCCCTTGCAGAGCACAGCATACCAATCGTAAATTATGACTGTTTGGATCTCTGCTTCGCCACAACGGACAGCGCTTCAGAGCCGCCTTGAGGTGTCATGAGCGTTTGGGGCGATTGTCAGACTGAGGGAAATCCGGGATGGATCTCTACTTCAGTTGACTCCACGCTTTTGTTGTGGAGCACATCCTCCAGCATCTGTCTAGGGATCAACATATCCTGATATGCTGTGTACAGGCGCTGGCATGAATTCCTAGTAATCAGTGTTTCAAATAGCAAGCTGGAAATCATGTTATCCAAAACTACAACACAACAAACCTCTATCCCAAACACGAGGCATAATATCGCACTGTTTCTCGTAAAGCTCGAGGCACAAGCTTCAAGCCGTCGAAAAGTACTAAGTTAGCTGTCCCGTTGAGCGTTGGCTGCCCCGCCGGACCGGCCCGCAGGGGTCACCAAAGGTCCACTGATTGGTCACGTCGTACGTAGCAGGTCTAGTGGATAGACAGGTCCCTGAGCTTGAGGTTGGGTGTTGGGTGGAGGGGTAATCGGACATTGGACGGCATTGTACTGTTTACTTTGGCGGCTCTCTCAGTCGATGAATTGAAGTGCGACAGTATCAACAGATGCTTAGTGCCTGTACGACGAATAATCTCCTGCCTATCGCTAACGGAGTAACCGGAATCATTTCCACACAGTGATATTCACTGCGCTCTTTCCTTTCTCAGCAGTGAGACGCTTCACTCCACCACTCATGCACTGTCGGCACCTGCCAAGAAACTCTGCCGGCTGTCGATAACTGCACGGGTCGCACCTATCCTTCCCTCTTCTGTTTTCTGTTCGCACCTCAGGCCCATTCTCCATTATATAAACACAACCCGGTCGCTCTCTCTTGGCCTTTTCTCTTCTCATCTACCTCTTTCCCTTTTTCTTTCTCGCATTTCTATCCCCTACTAGCAGACTTCCCATCTCGAAGTCGCCCATCATGTCTTTCTTCAAGAAGATCGCCAAGGAGTTTGAGAACCTCGGTATCGGCGACAAGAAGGAGGAGCAGCAACAACAGCCCCAGCAGCCTCAGCAGCCTCCTCAGGACGGTAAGCTCCTCTGCTCTATAATCTCAATGGTGTAGTTAACTAATCTTCCCCAGGTAACCGCGCCTACGGCGACAACGGATACGCATCTCCTCCTCCCCAGCAGCAGTACGGCGGCTCACCGGGTTACGGTGCTCCTCCTCAGCAGTACGGTTCGCCTGCTCCTCAGGGATACGGCGCTCCCCCTCAACAATACGGCTCTCCCGCTCCCCAGGGATACGGTGCCCCTCCCCCTCAGCCCGCCTACCAGCCTCCTTCCGATCGTCCTCCTCTGCCCCAGGGTTGGACTTCTCAGTTCGACCAAAACTCCCAGAGATGGTACTACGTTGAGCAAGCTACTGGTCGCACCCAGTGGGAGGCTCCTCAGGCTCAGCATGCTCCTCCTCCCCCTCCCCCGGACTCTCGTCCTCCTTATGAGTCTCAGCCTTCTGATGGATCTCGTGGCTACGGCGCTCCTGGTGGATACGGTTCCCCAGCTCCTGGTGGCTACGGTGCTCCTCCTGGCCAGTACGGTGCTCCTGGTGGTTATGGATCTCCAGCTCCTGGCGGCTACGGCGCTCCCTCACACTATGGTGCTCCTCCTGGCCAGTCTCCCTACGGTGCTCCTCCAGGCCAGTCTCCCTACGCTCCTCCAGGCCAGTCACCCTATGGTGCTCCTCAGGGCCAGTATGGTCAAGAGGGTGACCGCGCCTATGGTGACAACAGCAACAACCCTTACGGTCAAGGAGAGAAGAAGAAGAGTGGCAGCTCTGGTATGCTCCTCGGTGCCGCTGGTGGTCTCGCACTTGGTGCTGTAGGTGGTGCCCTGATCGCCAACGAGCTCAACGACAGCGATAGCGACGAGGAGAAGCATGCCGCCGCTGCCGCCGCTGCTGCTCCTGCCGCTGCCCCCTACGAGCAACAGCCTCAAGTCATCAACAACTACTACGGTGCTCCTCCCCCTGAGGATCCCTATGCCGACCCGTATGCCCAAGATGGCCCACCTGGCGTTCTGCCTGCCACCGATGCAGATGGCGACTCTGTCTCTAGCAGTGACCGAGAAGACGTCCAAGAAGCTCGTGAGGAGTACGAAGAGGCCCTGGCTGCTGCTGCGGACTCGGATGCCAGCAGTAGTGATCAGGAAGCTCTGGAAGAGGCCCGCGAAGAATACGAGGAAGCCTACGAGGAGGTGTATGAGGACTGAGCGATAGAAAACGAACTATGAATAACGACACGTTTACGGCTATTTCTGACAGGGTTGGGTTGAAGCCACACAGGCTTGGAAGGTTGATGGATTTCCTTCACTTGTTAATACCTCAGTAGTACAATACCAGAGAGCATATTGTGTATTCATCCTAATTGATCTGTGAAAAGATACTTTGTGAAAATATGTCTGTCTGTTACTGAAAGTCGACTAATTTGGGTATAACTAGGCGTTAGCCCATGCAACCATGCTAAAGATGCAGGGAAACAGACTATTACTGCAAGAGGTAGTTGCCTTCGCTTATCGGCACAATGCCAAGAACAGGGTCCTCATTTGTAAAGTCTATGTTGGTGTGTATCACAGATCACCCGTGCTGCCAAACCTCGGGGTGTTTTGAGGCTTTCATGAAATCTGCTGAATCTGAAAGCACTTTGAGCTTAAACATCCTGAGACACTCGCTGCAAGTCATGTCAACAACTAGTACCAGAAAATCATAGCTACAGTCCACTATGTTTAATGGCGCGATTCTGGGCAAAAAGAGTGAGTTGTCCGTATCCACGCTTGGCATTATACAGGGTCCATGAGTACAGCCCCTCGTTTCCTCTTGGCAACGCATTATCGTGATCACTTCCTTCATACGGCGCATGTGAGCGACGTTTAATTGACTCACTCAATTTTCCTGAGCGGATGCTTGCTTGCGTGCTCCATTTCCCACATGGTAGATTGCGCGGCCTTTATGCAGAAATGAAACAAGCGCATAGTACCTCAAATTCCCACATGGATGGATGTAGTAGTAGACGGTGAGAGAGGGATCATCATACACGAGCACAACTATACGTTGACCACGGCACAAATAATGCCGAGTGAAAGTGCTTGTCACATTCAAGCTTTCAAGAAGCGAGTAATAAGCACTGAGATGGAAAGCTTGTTCTGTCTATGCTTTTATGCTTAGATTAATGTTACTGTTGTAATCGGTGACATTGTTCTTGGCGTGCTGGGTCTCCATGATGAAGCTTGTGGATGTGTATGTACAGGTGCTGACACCGACAACAGTCATGCAATATTTATAAGATATAAATCATAAAATTAATAAAATGAACTAAAAATGTATCTAAGGTATGATAAATGTACCTAATCATGTTTGATTTTCTCATCTTTAGCCCGAGCCATCAAGATTGACAAACAAATGTGTTGATACAGGGTAACCTCATAACCACCAACTCCACAGTTTTAGCCGCTACAACTTGACATCTCCAACTTCACTTGACCTCATGAAACTCATAACTCGTACTACCCTTCAACTACTACGCCCTTATCACAAACTACAAATACTCCAAAGAATGTCTTCAAGCAGAACGTCTCCTCAGCCTCCCCCCTCATTTACACTTAGCCCCTCCGAAATCCTCAGTCAGACAACAGATCTCATATCCTCCACAAAAGCTCTAGAAGACTCCCTTGTCGCTTCTCTTACACCCTCTACAGCTACATTCTCAAGTCTCCTCAGGCCAATCCTCAACGATGATCATGCAGTTTCCAAGAAAACTCTCCTAATTCGTCTCTTCAGCTCCGTATCTGAGGATAAAGAGCTTCGCGATGCTTCTCGCACAGCAGAGGAAATGCTCCTCAAAGCCAATTCAGCAGCTCTCATGCGAAAAGACGTCGCAGCCCTTGTAAAAGCAGTTTATGACAAGAGTAAACATAAAGAGGCGCTCGGTGAGGAAGATGCGTATATGCTGTTCAAAACGCATAGAGCGTACCAGAACACAGGCGCAGGTATTGAAGACGAGGCGCTGAGAGAAAAGTACAAAGCTGCTGTACAGGAGCGAAATGAAGTCCTCATCGCAGCCAAAAAGACAATTAGCGAATCCGATGATGGCATCTATTTCACCCGTTCTCAACTCAACGGCGTACCCTCTTCAGTCCTCGACGCGATGAAAGTCAACGACAAAGGCGAGCTCAAAGCAACCTTCAAAAAGGGTCATCTCATCTCCATCATGAAACATACCACCAGAGCCAGCACAAGAAAAGCATATCACATCGCCAAAGAAAGCCGCTTTCCCGAGAATGTTGCCCGTCTGGAGCGAGCAGTCGAACTGCGCAACAGCACGGCGCGAATGCTCGGTTTCAGAACCCACGCGGAGCTCAAAATAGAGGATAAAATGGCGAAGAATGTCGAGAGCGTTATAACGATGCTTAACAAGCTGCGAGTGCAATTGAAGCCTCTTGCTGATGAAGAGATGAAGAAATTATTGGAGATAAAGAAGGCTTACATAAAGGAACACGGTACTGATGAGGCCGAGGAGGACTCGGATAAGTTGAACGCGTGGGATTGGGCATTCTATGCGCGTATTCTCGAGAAGGAGAGATACTCTGTTGATTCACTTCTTATATCGGAGTATTTTGAAGTTAATCACAGTCTTGAAGGCATGCTTCGCATATTTGAGGAGATTTTCGGCATGGTCTTCGTTCCTACCGATGCCCCGGTTTGGCAGAAGGATGTCACCGTTTACGAAGCCTGGAACTCGGAGGATCAAGGTGGTGGGTTCCTCGGATACCTCTACCTTGACCTGTATGCGCGAGAGGGTAAATATGCCGGCGCACACAGCTCTCTCATCCAACCGGTAAGCATTCATTTCACAACTTATGCTGTTTAGACTATGATCTTAGTTCATTTATTATTATACCCTCAAGTTTAGGGGCCAACTTGACTGTTAAGCCACGCTCGATACTAACCCAGAGCATAGGGCTTCATTACTTCAGACAACAAGCGCCATTATCCTTCTTCATCTCTAGTAACATCCCTCCTTCATACCCGCGGCCGTCCAACTCTACTTCTACACTCCGAGCTCAAAACAATGTTCCACGAGCTTGGCCACGCGATCCATAAGCTCGTCACCCACACAAAGCATCAACACGGCTGCTCTCGCGACTTTGTCGAGATCCCCAGCATTCTCCTCGAGAACTGGATATGGGTACCCTCTGTGCTGCGTCGTCTCGGAAAACACTACAGTTATTTGAACGATGAGTATCTCAGCTTCTGGGAGACCCAGAAAGGTGATGAGGATATAAGACCAGAGGAGGAGTTGCCGGAGAAGTTGGCGCTTGATCTTGCGAAGACAAAGCATGTCAACGGAGCACATGCGATGCTGCATCAAGTTTTCCTCGCCTTGTTCGATCTGACGATTCACAATGCTGATGAGACTCACCCCGTGGATACCACCAAGCTTTGGAATGAGAGCAAGACGGAGATCATGGGTCTTGGACGAGCTGATAGTATTGGACAGGCATCATTCGCACATCCTTTCCGTGGATATGATGCTGCGTATTTCACCTATGCATTGTAAGTTTAACTTTCCGATGATACTTTCTGGTGGGCAGCAGAGAAGATGGCCTCCTAAGTCTTTGGGTACAAAAATAAGTAACCCAAGGACTATGGTCAAAGTAGCCCAAACTGGCCTAATAAAGCCGTCTCTAATGACTTTAGAGCAGCGTTTCTCAAGCCCCGATAGACGCCCTTGCTAACACAGGCATCACAGATCGAAAGTATACGCAACCGACTTGTGGGTTAGCCACTTCAAGACCGACCCGATGGATAAGAAGACTGGCTTGCGATATCGTCAGCATGTTTTGCAGCCTGGAGGTAGTCAACCTGAACTCAAGAGTCTTAGTAACTTCCTTGGCCGTGAACCAAACGACGAGGCATACTATTCAGAAGTCACCAGCACGTCGGGGTCTGAGAAGTCTGCTGCTTTGTAAAATAAGTACTATAACACGACACTTCTATACAACCATAAATACGTCCGTTCATGGCCAGATACCAGAGGAACCGCCAAGGATAAACGAAATAGGAGAAACTGTTATCTATGTCGAACCAACAGCTGCCACAAAATGGTATTTAGTCAGGGCATCGCGAGGCAAAGTACCGAAATGGGGCAAAGGGCGTAGTTAAACGATTCCCCAATGCGACCAAGAAACTATACAAAGGGCAGCTTGTCCCAGTGGTCCAGGAGTAGGCAGGTTGGCCAGTGGACTGCCATAAACGGCTGTAAAGTCGGGCACCAAAGTGAGAGTACTTGCCAACCCAATTGAGTCTAACGGCAGAGGTACTATCTAGCTTAGCCAGGTGGATGGAGGACTTCTGACTGGTAGGTGCCTGGGGTTTGAGGTTACTATCTTAGCGGTTAGAGCTGAGCAGCGTCCTGGAGCGAGGAACAATGAGAAGAGAAGACTAAAGTAGAATATAGTATGAGATGGAAAGTTTGTCTCATCGTCAGTGCTCGAAGGAGATGTGTCAGTAGAGTGTGGGCAATAATACCTGCCTGAGTGGGTAACAGAGTAAGCGATTGTGAAACTGTTTATGTTAGCATTTCTGGATGAGAGTATATAATGGTATTTATAGAAGGATATGATGGGATGGGATGTCTGTTATTCATAGGATATGATGGTGAGGGACGTCTACGCCTGTCCTTGCGTAATTTCTCTTCAAGGCCATCATCCTGTTCATTATCGTCACGCTTCCTCTTTCCGGCTGTGGTTCTAGGCTGTTCTCGCTTTTCGTAGGTTCGTCCTACTCCACGCCGCGATCCTAGGCAGACCTCTTTCCCACTACACTCATGGATTTTCTATTACCTCGGGAATATGTTTAATTTCTTTCTCTTCAACCGCCAAGAACGCGCCATGGGCGCCTATCTCCCTGATAGAGACTCAGAGGATGATCAATTTGACCTCCTGGGGGAGCCTGGCGGCGCCTCAAGGCCAAGGCGAGCTAGGATGGCAACCACGTCCGTCCTGCCCAACGGAGCCGAAAAGGTTCCAAGAAGATAAGAAGACCTGGCGTTTCATCCTGACCTCTCATGTGTTCACTCCACTAGCGAGCCTGCTGAAAACCAGTAGAGATAGCCTTTTGGAACTTATAAGAGGTTTGTTACACCAAGGCGTATACAGATGTTAATTGTGTATGGGCATGTCGTGTTGATCATGGCGTGAATCACAGTACTAGATAGGCACCCAGAATTTCGGATAGGTTGAAGTGAAGCCGTTCTTGATTTAATGGTTGATAGAAATATTAGATCATGTTTAGTTTATGTGTAGCCTAATAGCGCACTAATTCGTCTGATCTGCTTCCATATCCAACGCTCATACGCAAAAGAGGGTATCATGACTAGATCTATCATTACAAGACTCATTCAATGCACCAATCTCATCCTTGGAAAAGGCGCAGCTTCAACATCCACAATAATCAACCCCTTCTCATTTAAAGTCACTCCAACATCCGTAATGGGCGTGATCTTTCTCGTATGCGCAACTTCTTGTCGGCTGACGCGCGCTTCATCCCGAGGAATCCACAAAACAGGTTTGGGCATCCATAGCTCCGGAGGCCAGTAATTAGACATCTTATCATCGCCGGCGTAATCGACATCGGGGGGTTCTTCGAATGGAATGAGTTTTCGTAGGGCGATAAAGTCTTCGTATACTTCGGGGTGGAGGAACCGTTGTAAAAAGGTCGGTTGCTGGTCTGGGTTTGAAGGGTCACCGGCCAGAATCCATCGATCTAAAAATCGTTTCAACCCTGATTGTTGAATCTCTTTCTTGACCTGTGCCTTGGCAGTTGTCTTCATCCATTCTGTCACCATCAACTTGACACCACCCCCACCATCAACGCCCCTTGAGCCCTGAGGCCCGTCCTGTTGATCATCTTCGTCATCGCTCGGAGGTTCTTCAGCCTCTTCTTCGCCAAAGTTAAGGTCTGCATCAAAATAACTGGCTGCAGTTCCTCCGTTCGCTTCTCCTGATTCTGCCGCCTCTTGTAACTTCTGTTCTGCCTCTGCTTTTTCCTGTTGTTGCAACTCCTCTTCCAGTGTCAAAGTCTGGGGCAAATTCTGTAGCAGTGGAGATATCGAGTCTCGGAGAGACATGTGAACAATCCCTGTAAATATGAGGAATATGAGCATTAGTACCATAGGCGGGAACGCAAGCTTGAGAGCGAAAAGACCGATCATGCAAATTTCGGCCAGGTAAAGCCCGACAATAAGTTGAAGAAGAGCGTTGGGGTAGAACAAGCCCATGCTGTCCATTTCCGAGTCGAACACGTAAAGGATGTTATAGCGGTAGATGAGACGCGTGAAGGCCATTCCGGCGCAAGCGAAGAGGAGAATGAGAGGAGCGATACACGTGTAACAAAACGCTGCCTACTGTTAGCTGTGTTAAACATTGATATTGAATACAAACATACCAATGCATGCCATGTTCGTGTAGATCGGAAAGATCCCTCCCCAGCGAGGAGGACGAAGGTTGTACCAAATCTTGAAGCGTGTTCGAGGGTTTTGTAGGCCTCTGCCAAGGATGTAGTGCCGGAATAACTCAAACAGATGCAAGAGACCCGTAGCGCCAATAGCTAAGCATTGAACGAGAATGTACGAAAGGTAAAAGTTGGAGGCCTTCGGGAGGTTTCTGGCGAGGAGGTCGGGCGCCGACATTGGTTGCTTAATGATGTCCAGGACAGCAGCCGAAGCCGCCGATGTCAATGTTGTAATCAGGAAAACCTGTACCACCTGGAAAGCGAAGTAAATATTTTGGGTGAAAAGTTCAACCAAGACTAAAGAAGGGATTCCAGCTTGGACACCGCAGACTGCAGGGGTTATTAGCATAATACGTGGACAAAAGGGTAGTAAACGTACATCTCAGCATCGCAGGGACAAGAGACATCCAGAACGACAGAGCAATAGCAGGAATGAAGCCCTGGAGAAAGCCAAGAATAGGCTTGGGCAACAGTTTGATCCAGCGCAGGAAAAATATTCCGCTTAGAAAGTCGATATTGGATATGATACCAATCATGGCGGAAGGAATAGACCAAAAGATAATAGCGACGGCGACTAGACCCATGATAAGAAAGCGACGGATGATACGTTCCCACCAGCGCATTCGGAGGGATTTCCAAACCACCTCATCTGGCCGAACGCCCAAAAGTCGAGGAGCAAGCTGAAGGGGACGATGATGGGCCACAATTTGGTGCGCAGCCTGAGCAGCCTCCTGGGTGTCGAACTCGATGAAGGCGGCTGGCAAGGTGTCACCGTCGCCACGACGGACTTGACGTCGAAGCTTGTAAATCTCATGGTTCAAGTCTTTTAGTCGCATGCGGCACCAGCGGATTGTGTCAACGCGTCGGAAGAAGTTTTGCATTGGACGATGATGAGGTCTAGCTTTCGCAGGGACCCATTGGGCGGCGACAGAGCCCCGAACGTCTGGGAGATCTGGGTTGAGTCCATACGGGTGGACATATTCAGGATCTTCAGCGGACCTTTCGAGTAGGTCGTGGGTGTCGTGGCTCGTTTGGGTTACTTGCGGATATTCGGTTTTGAATCCTTGCTCCTGGGTTTCGTTCTTTGTGTTCTCGTTCTGCGAGATACCGATACGCGGGAAGTCGGATCGAGTTTGTTCACTGCTCGGGTCACTTCTATAGGACGAACTCGATTCCGTGGAATCTGGTTCAACTGAGGAAGATGTTGACGATGATTTCTTGTTGAATTGCTTCTTCCGAGCTAAATGCGCCTTCTTGATCAATGCAATCTCCGCCTTTTCCAGTCGCATTGCCGTGTCCTCCCTCTCTTCCACAAGTTTGATGAGGGCCTTGGCAGTGCGTGGGATCCAGACTCGTTTTACTGAGTCGCCGTAAAGCTTTCGCAATCGGGCTTCATCAAGATAGCGATCGGGTATCGAAGTGATGAGAACCGTCCTAGACGAAAGCCGTTTCGAGTAGTGGGGCGAAGAAAGATATGCTTGACGAATGCCAATGTAGTAGAAACACTCTCGAGTGATGGTAAATAGAACAAAACCTGATCTTGTTAGAACTGAACCACAGAAGCAATATCACAGATGGACACTCACCAAAGAACATGTATGCAACGGCAACATGGGCAAACATGCGCTTATTGTTACTAATCTTGCCAATCGTCAAGATATCCAATTGACTAAGTTTGTTACCACCAGTGATGTGGACTGGAAAGAGGATAGGCCAGGAGATCAGTATGCCGACAAGGAAAGTATTTCGCAAGACTTTGAGATATCGTAAAAAGAAGAAGCCATCGAGTGAGCCATGGTTGAGGACAAAGGTATCTGGGGTCTTGAAGAATGGCTTCACCCAGTCGAACCAACCCGTGGGAAGCGGCGGAATGTGTTTGCTAACAACAGTTAGTAATATTCGGGAGCCATTAGGTGGCTGTCCTTACTGAGGCGATCGTAGGCTGGGTATAGCCCGAGGCGCATAGACTCGACTACATTTGACGCGAAAAACGGAGAAGAATATAATGCAGACGACGCAGTAGATGGCGACGGGTATAAAGGTGCCACCAAGCGATTGAAGCGATGAAGACTTGGAGGCGTTGTTGGTACTTAGAGTGCCACCACTGGATCCATCTCGAGTAGAACCAACTCGGGAGTCGTCACCTTCCTACAAATGGTAAGCAAGGTTGCCACTTGAGGTTGAGATAAGGTTAAAGTTGAAGGAACATACCAGTGGTATATCGATCGCTCTAGTGATCAGAGAGTGCCAATTGGAGGACATGGCAGTAGCGGATGCGCAAGATGCGCGATAGACGCGATTAAAGACGCTCAGATGAAGTGGAACTCGATTGTAGAGCTGTGGACAACAATTGAAGATGATTGCGCCGACGCATTGTTACCTTGCGGTCAAACTTGGAAGGACCGAGTTGACAGACATTGGGAGGTATAACAGTTATTGTTGCCAATGCGACAGAGATCGTATAGATAACAGTCCAAGATCTGCGCCAGGAACAAGACGAGGCGGAGGCGATCGATGAAGTCGTAGTTGATGTGACGTTGGAAGTGGGATGTTTCTTCTGACGAGTTCAAAAGCGGGCGCGCCTGACAGATAGAGACAGGGCTCTTGTAGCGATCCCTACGGCACAGTCAACCAATTTAGGGGCTCCCGAACTACCCCTGTAAGTGATGATCGAGACCTTTTTTACTGCCCACCTGCCGTGAAGAAATGTCTTACAATTCCGATCATTGGAGCCCTCTTTTCGATTACTTTTTAAGGTCTCCTACGTGCACTAATTCTGAGTACCGGGTCTTGGCAAGACACGAGAGAGAATAACCGAGGCGAGGCGGACGTGGCTGGATTTTAAGAGAATGATACTCTGGTCGTATTGCATTTCATCTGATGGTCAAGCACCAATAAAATCTTTATCGTAAGCACAGCCCAGACAAGGGTTAAATCGCCCCTGGAACAAACTAAGAGGTGATAGAAAAGCAGGGATGTGGTATCTAGATGTCAAAAATATGACCCAAATATTACCACTCTGACATGTGATAGAATGGCCAGTCTATTTCATCACCTACTGCTTCAGAACCGAGCCTTTTGTCACCCTCAGTTACTGACAAACGCCAACCGAGAGCCTAGATTCGGACCCATTTCCCATTCCCCACGTCGCAGATCGAAATAAGAAGGACCCTTGTTTTCAGCTTTGACAGAGTGTTTTCCGGATATCAGATTGGTTTGACAGGTTAATTGTCAATAACGCTCTTGTTAATGCTAGAGTCAGATCATAACGACTAGAAACAGGAACAAACATTAAATTTCTCTTGCCAATTCGTGATCGGCTTGGGGTTGAAAGATGGACGTCCAGATACCCTTTTGAGACCACGCATATGTGGTCGTCTTTTCGCATTTTCCAATATCCCTGACTGAATCCAAGACATGCCTCCAAGGTATCAGAAAGATCAGTCGCTGAGAGCACACAGGACAAAAACCAGCAGGCTTACCTATTTCTGCATTAGATTAGTCTTTTTCGTTCTTTATTTTTGTACCCTAGAGCTTACTGGCAGCATCATTGTCTTCCATTTCTTGCTGATCGACCCCGAATCTTGACCCGAGCAAATGCATACCGTTATGACCAGGGCATGATCAACGTAGCAGCCTTGCGCTCTCAACCTAATGTCGACCTCATTTTGGATAGGCCCCGAACCATCAAGCTCATGTGGAGGCAGTCTATAAAATGGAACTAAGTCTTCCAACACAGGTCCCTCTGTAGTCTGTATTTGTGCCTGCCGAGGCACCGTAGTAGGTCCCTGATATTGAGAGTTATGTTATTGACCTGACCTCGTGATGTATGTCGTATCCGCAGCTTCAGTTGTCTAGCACCTCAACTTCAAGTTCAATACAGTGTTTCAGCAAGTGTTATTAGATAACGACGTGAATTATTTTGGCTGCAACTTTAATTTGGCTGTTGAATCTCATCCACGTTGCGCTGCCTATCACTGCAGACCTTGGCGCTTCAGTGATTCAACGTTGGTTAAGAAATGGGCAGTCACATCCCGTTCGTCTTCATCGTTTGTTCTTTCCAGAAATACTCTTTGTTAATCGCTCCTTCCTCTACAACACAACAGCTTCCCCACCTAATCATTATCCCCTCTTAGCTATCCTTGAACTTCCAACTACATCTCCACGTCCGCACCAGCGACCCTACGAAATGGACGACAGAGGTATCCTAAGACTCAGAAGGTCTGCGCGGGTTCTGGGCAAGCGTTCCAGAACAGAGTTCGAGAATGACGGCACCGCGCCCTCTCCTACGTTATCGGTTGATCGCACTCCTACTTTGCCCATCGATCCCACACCTTCCTCCCCAAGTGTGCGTCAGGCCACCCGAACTATCAGAACTGGAGAATGCCTTGCATGCGGAGAGGATTTTCCCCGATCAACAATGCTATCGGCGCCATGTACACATTTGTTCTGCAAACCATGTGCTGGCCGTCTTGTCAGCGTGGCAATGAACAGCGAATCTTTCTTTCCAGCGCGGTGTTGCGAGAATACGATCTCTGTTACTCTCCGGAATCACTTCTCGAAGGAGGTAGTAGCCCAATATGAGGCTAAGCGGATCGAGTTCGAGATACCTCGCCTCGAACGTGTTTATTGCAGTAGTCCGCCGTGCGCTGCATTCATCCCACCGGCACAAATCATTTCAGGGGTTGCTCACTGTACGCACTGCCTGACTAATACATGTGTCGCATGCAAAAAGAAAGCGCACAATGGATTTTGCCGTAAACTTGGGGAAGAAGATTTGCAGAGTGTGCTTCAACTGGCTGAGAGCACGGGATGGAAGCGTTGTGGCAAGTGTGGCCATCTCATTGAGAAGAGCGCTGGTTGCAACCATATGAGTAAGTTGGGACCTTTTCACTCTTCCAATACCTGAGTAGTCTACTGACTCTCTACAGTTTGTCTCTGTGGCCATGATTTCTGCTATAACTGTGGCAAGGATATTAGGGGATGTGTCTGTCACCGTATGCCGCCCCCGGGCGTGATTGCTCAACCGATGACGGAAGAAGAGAGGATCGCTATAGAAGGATGGGATGGCTATGACGACTGGGGAGAATTGGAGGACGAGGTAAGCATGAGAGGATTTAGTACTTCAGAAAAAGAACTAATGATTTGCAAGACGCCTTGCAATCACCGATGGACCAGACTGCTCGAGCCATCGAATTGTCAAGAATGTGGTAAGACAGTACAGGGCTACAACATCTTCGTTTGTCGCGCATGTCAACTCGTTGCTTGCCTCGCATGCCGTCGCGAACTTTGATGGATATGATTCCTTGTACACCCAAGATCCCAACTGCAAGCTTGGCCTGGCTAGTGGGTAGCAGACGAATTAAACTTTAAGCTTTAGATGACAAAAATAAATAGCCTAAGAATTATGGTCTAAGTAGTATAAAGTGGCCTAGTACAAAGAGAGACGACTGTTATCTGAGTCCGGTGATCATGTTTCGTATCTTATCGCCAAGCACAACAGAGCTCGAGAGCTTATTCTAGGGTTTGAAGATGATCTGGAAGTGGATATACTCAGTGTGCCAGAGAACTTGGCTACTGGGTAGCAGAAAAAATGGCCTCCTAAGTTAGTGTATAAAAATAAATAGTCTAAGAACTATAGCCTAAGGGGCATAAAGTGACCTACTAATTTCGTCTCTTGTGCTTCCATCGGTCAATTTTTCTGATACCCTGAGGCTTGGCCATTAGACGCATAAGAGATGACATTGTTTTGGGCCAGTCGATGCTTTCAGACCGCGCCTTTAGGTCATTTATCTTCATTGCCTCGATCTCAAACATGGATCTTCCTGATGCTCCAAGAGATGATGCCGAGCTGGTTGTTCTTATCTTTAAGTTAGATCTAAATAAGTTCAAGCATCAACTTTGATTAAACATTTTATCCAAAGGTATAGATAGCCACGCGTCTATAAAAGTTCAAGTAAAAGACTCTCAAAATGAATTTCTGTTTTCCCAAGAAGATAATCCGACTTTATCTTTACCTACTCAGTCAAGAACGTGCCAACATAGTCGTCAACCCCCTACTCTCGAAGTCGAACCAGAGCAGCGAGCCGGAACAAACAAGATGTCAGCTACGAGGATGAACGAGAACCCCGATCCCATGTCTAAGAGGTCTGGATTTGATGGCGACGATTATGATCGTGACATGGTTCGTCTGATCAGACTACACAACAACTGGGAACCTACTAAAGTCCCTCGAAACCCTCAAGTTCCTGAAATTCCTGAAGTCCCTCGAGTCAGGAAGATATTTTGCGCGTCCTGCCGCGAAAGATTTCCACTTCCTGAAATCTTCATAGCAATCTGTGACCATGGGTATTGCCGAACGTGTTTAGCTGAGCTCGTGGAAAGGTCGTTCGAGAACAAGTATCCCTTCCCACCGCGTTGCTGTTCCAAGCCATTTGCGATCGACTCAATCCGACCTTTCGTTGCCAGCGATATGGAACGGGCATACGCGAGGAAGCAGATTGAACATGAGACACACAATCCCATATATTGCAGCAATATCACGTGTCAAACCTTCATCCCGCCCCGCGCCATCAAGTCGGATGTAGTTCACTGCCCAGTATGCGTGGAGCGAACTTGTGCGAAATGCAAGAATACAGCACACCAAGGCCCTTGTCCCAAGGATGAAGCGCTGGATGAGGTTCTGCACCTTGCAGAAAGAGAGGGCTGGAGGCGCTGCCCCAAGTGTATGTCCATGATTGAGCGGGAATCGGGTTGCAACCACATGAGTAAGTATAACTTTTTAAGAACCTATCTTTTTTGAAGTTATTGGACTGACATGCTTTAATTTATAGTGTGCCGATGCTATTATGAGTTTTGCTTTCGCTGCGGAAGGAAATGGCCAGGTCATAATCGTCCGTGTTGCCCTGAGGGAATCTACCTTGAAGATATCACTGCGCTGGCTCTCGATATTGCTAGGGCGGCTTGCGATATCGCTGTAAGGGTTGTGAAGAACGCTCTAATCAAAGGGCCGCCTTGCTTGGATAGACTGTGGATTCCACTTCGAAGACTGATTGACAAGATCAGAGTTCGTGATGATGAGTTATTATAGTCAGGTTTGAGCTGCGACGGATAGCCATGTTTCTATCACAGATGAATCCCCGAAACTTAAGATCTATATCAGAATACATCTGTGAGCGCAAACCTGGAAATTTATACTATTGCAGTTGTTTTTTGGAGTTATCGGGAAGTTTCAAGGAAGGGGGTTTTAATGTTCATGTCGAGTTGAACGTCTCAGGAGGTGGCATGTATGGGTTTTGAACACCACATCAGGATAAAAGAAATGCTGGACGCTAGAAGCATAAGAGACAAGATTATCAGGCCTGTTTATGATAATTAGATTGTTGTTCTTAGATTATTTGTTCTTATATCCCAAGACCTAGGAGGCTAATGTTTTTGCTACCTACTAACACCATATCTGTTTACCAGATTTTGGAAACATCACTGATATGTACCTCTAGATAACCGACTCTCACTATTACCTGTTTTATAAGCTGGGTAGTTGGGTTACAGACGTGGCGTAACTCTCAAATAACAACAGTGAATCACGAAGTGCGAGTCGCCTTGCACTGCTAGACAGCTGCCCATTATCCATCTGCTCGTTCCCGCCCTCGCCCTCTGGCTTCGTTCCTTGTAATTCCTCATCTGCCACTTCTCCCTCTTCCATTCTTTTCTTCCTCATGCTTCCTCACTCCTTTCCCCTCCACGCAGATACTGAGTTTTTTTTCTAGTGATCACCTCCTTCCCCTGCGCGACACTATGGATGAATCACTCATTCTTGCGCTGAGTCTGGCGGAAGCCGTAGAGGCTGACGCAGCGCTCATCGAGGAATTCATGCAAGAAGACCAGATTGCTCGTGACCGCATGATTGCTGAAGCGCTGAACGAGGATCGCCAAGCGACTATCGAGCCAGTGTCTCACCAACCTGTCCTTGATGGAGAAACGTATAATACACTGAGACGTTTCAATATCGTCCCTTCCGAAACGGATGCCGCAAATGTGGAAGACGAAGAAGCACAGAATCTGGTTACTGATGCCGCTCAGGATGATCAGAGTGTTCAGCGTATCCAGGTCGCTGCTGGCAACCAGGAAGCTGGCGACAACCAGGACGCTGGCAACAATCAAGACACTGTTGACAACCAAGACACTTTCCATAACGAGGACACTGTAGATTGCCAGAATATTGTTTGTGGTCAGCTCACCCCTGAGATGGAGGATGGTGATGCACCTAACACCAATACTCTCGAGGAACACCCTCAGCACTCGACTACTACGGACGGGCCAGCCAACGACCAGCAGACAGAAGACGACCAAGTGCAAGTGGAAACTCAAGAACAGGCTCGGAATAATACAGATGTCCTCTTGGCCACTGTGGAAACATCCCCTGCTCCAGCCCCGTCCTCAGAGATGGTACCTATCCCAGACATGAAGCAGTGCCTCTCCTGCCAGGACGATTTCTCCGACGCCCATACCTTCCAAGCACCGTGCTCTCACCATTGGTGCCAACCATGTCTTGTCCTGTGCATCGAGAGCTCTCTGAAGGATGAGTCTCTCTTTCCGCCCAAATGCTGCGAACCTCTTCCAGTCGAATCATGTTATTCTATCCCACAAGACTTAGTCAAAAGGTTCCAAGACAAGACCTTGGAGTTCTCGACTGTTGACCGGACCTACTGCAGCGATGCTGCATGCGCAACCTTCATTTTCCCTCAGTCTATCAAGGGAGGAATCAGAAACTGCACCCGGTGCGAGAGACAGACTTGTATCCTCTGCAAACAAGTCCGGCATGAGGGGATCTGCTCGGAGGATACTGAGGCCCAAGAAGTCCTGCACCTCGGACAACAACAGGGCTGGCAGCGATGTGAAAAATGCAAGCATCTCATTGATCTCAAAATAGGTTGTTACCATATTTGTAAGTCTACCTATTTTTTTCCAGGGTCCTTCCTCCCTTTTCTAACCGGTATTTTCAAGCTTGTCCTTGTGGTCACCAGTTTTGCTACATCTGCGGTGCTCGTTGGAAAACATGCCAATGCCCCCATTGGAACGAAAACAGGCTCGTAGATGCTGCTCCAGGCCGTGTTGCATTGGCCATGATCCGCATCAGGGACGCTTATCAAGAGAGACAAGCGGAAGAGGAGAGACAGCACCGAGAGAGAGAGCGCCAAGAGAGGGAGCGTCAAGCTGAAGCAATACGACGTGAGCGAGCTGAACAAATACGACGTGAGGTTCAGGAACGAACGTCGCTTCATCCGGACTACTGCTTTCATCAGAGTTATGTACGAGTGGAAGGCCGGCACGAATGCGCTGAACGTCGTCAAACTCCCGGGTCATTCATCCTTGAATGTGACGATTGTGACATCTACGTATGTCATCGGTGCCGCGATGCCGGAGGATCCTGGCAATTCGAATAGGTTGAAAGATTGGCTAAAGCGGAAGAACTTAGGTCAGGACCGGACTGTGGACAATTTGTTACACAAGGGGGGATTCTTATGCTTGGACACTTTTGCGTTTGATCTCTCGCCATCTGGAGATCGTATCAAGGACATTTGCTGCGAGACAGGAATCATCGTGACTACGAATACACTGGCAGGTCAGGAGTACACCTTGCCACAAAGTCTGTATACAACAGATTTAGTCTACTCGCTGCCATATTCATTAGCTCAATAATGACTTGCTTTGTCTTTTACATCTCTACATTTACAACGTGCACGCCCTTGTATCCATTGGAAGAATCAGCCGCTGGAAGAATAAGGGACGAAATTATCAGGCCAGTTTTAGGTTTATGATTACCTAGACTTAGGCTATTTGTCATAAGCTAAACTTGAAGGTGGTCGATGGGTAGTGATGATGACTTTTCACCCCAGCTGCTTTGTGCTGAACGAGTGGAAAGGCATTCAAAATATATAGCTGACCCTTTCAAGCGCAGAAAACTGGCACAGAGCTCACAGGAAATAGGTTCAACCGCACCCAGGAGGGTTGTAGTATTTCTAAGCTACTGAAAGGTACTCACGCAACTTGATTATGTATACACAAACAGGTGTTCTGCCATAATCACAAAGTTGCCTGTTCCCCGTTTCTAATCGTACAGTACACTATCGTTTTTCTACAACTCTCTTGCGTAACGAGCCCCGACCCCCAGGTAGTGTTCAGATTTACCCATAGAAGTGAAAATGCCAATCAGTCGCTGCTGGGTAGGTCATCTTCTGCTCATACACCACCAATACACCTGTCATACAGATACTCGCCACAAAGCCGAAAAACTACTCGTACACGACGTCCAAGTTCATAATTCCCACAGACTTGGTAGGACCGGCCACAGTGTACAAAGGATAAAGCAGTCAAACCGCCCTCCCGGCTCGTTCCTGTTTTCCATTAGCAAGTGTTCACGTTTGTGATTGGGGGGTAGCCGAACAAGAAGAGTTGAGTCTCGCTTTCCGGATTTGTTACTGTTGTTTGTCGGGCGGAATACGGGAGCCTTTGGATCGAATGCGTTGCCATTTGCAGCGCAGGGGCATGATGTGCGGTTGCGATTACAACGGTAGCAGCAGTCAGGGCAAACTGGGCAGATATTAGTCAGGATCCGGATGACTGGTTCGTTCAACTTACAAGAGTCCTTCTCATTGACACGCTTGCAGAGATAGCAAAGACCTTCGTTCTTTGATGTGCCCAAGTCCACGCCGTGAACTTGAGGTGGTATCTTTTTCGGAGATGGCGTTATGTAGGCAATCCCAAACTTCCTGGCGAAGAAGTCACACAAAGTATTTTTGTCAAAGAATCCCGCGTTTACATCAATAGTAATAGGCTTTTCGCAGCAGGCAGGCGGAAATGGGATGTCGTCACGAAGAGAAGACTTGACCATGCCGCAAAGACACTCAGCACAGTACTTGTGATCACAAGGGCACATGATCAGTGATTTGGCGGATGAGAGACCACAAGTGAAGCACTTGACAGTTTCGACCTCTTCGGGGATCGGTGCAGCGTCAACATGAACATCTTCGGCATTCAGCACAGGGACTTGGCCGATAAGGGGAAGGCTGGCCTCGATGGGCTCGCCCTTAATTTCATCAGGGTCATTTTCGAACGATATCAGATCGTCGTCATCCGGGCCAATACGACAGTGAGGTACGGACTGGATTGGCTGAGGGTCGTTTCGGAGGAACGACCAAGCTTTTGAGGTGTGCCTGGCCAACTTTGTTTTAGAGATCTCCTCAATACGATTTCCAAAGTCGCGTTTCTTTCCTGGAAACACATGTTAATTAAACATAACTGCATACAAATGAGCTCTCAAGGTACCTTTGACCACAGGTTCGGTAGAGGTACCATCTATTTTGGGCCAAGACTTTCCAGGACTGCGCGTAACAGGTTCGGCGAGAGTAGCAGCAGTGGTATCCAGAGACTCTTCTTCCTAGGAGATCTCAGATTGATCACTTGCGTCCAAGTTATCGACTCAGATAGAGTTTGATCGTCTAGAAGTCAATCGTCAGCGAGGTAGTCTTTTTTGTCTGTAAGATAATTTACTCATAGTACTCTTCGCATTTGAGGGTGGTTGCATGCTTGTCAGCAAGTGTTGGTTAATCAGACGGCCAACTTTGTCTTCGTCCCATTCCGCAGAGCCTAGGGATACATTTTTGAGATAAGGTCTAACGATGTGCAACTCGGTGATTTGTTGCGGTGCCTCATTATCCTTGTCATGAGATCTTTCCCATCCATCGAGGAAGATCAGCTGAGACATGATCGCCTCCTGCGCAGAAAACGCGGTCAAATCTGCCATGGTGGCGGAGATAGTCAGTGTATGTCGTTTGAGCTGGTTTGAAGTGCTAATGAGGGCGAGGTATGGATGGGAGGAAGAAGATGGCGAAGACGGGATGGGATGATGGAAGAGCGGAAGACGAATATGGGGCGGGGTAATATAATTAAAGCTTACTTCTAAGCAAGAGTGAAGGCGCCCTTGTTGGTATTTGCAGGTATTTGCAGGTGATGATCATAAAATGTCAAGATGAAACAGCGGGGGTAGGTGCTGATGAGGGAGGAGAGCGGGGAGAGGGAATGGGCTACGCCTCGACTGCTAGCGATGAAACTGGGAAGACGGGCAAGGGACGGTCTGGTGAATATTTGGCAGCCTGAGGTTCGATACTACCTACTACTTACTTAACAGGTGGTAGGTAATAGAAGGGAAGGAGCTGGGCGTCGATGGACGGACTTGCTCACAATGCGGCGTCGTCGAGAAGACAGCAGAAGACAGTGGAATCCACTATAATCTTGCAGTGCCTTCTGTGGGTAGTAAATCACGAATATATCAGCATCAAAACATATAATGAGTAGGATTTGATGCATCCTGGGTTAGGGGTGAGGAGCCCTAGGTAAGTGTTGCACTCTGAAATAATTAAATATCGAGGTTATGTAATGACCAGCAAAAGGAAATATGCAGCAATGGATGCTATACCTAAAGAATCTATGATTGTGAAGCAAAGGTTGTTGCTTGGTCGTATGCCTTCATTCAACTGCTGATTGTCACAAACCCACACAAAGAATTATCCGGTCGATAATAGGGGCATCAAAATTCCATGCCATCCATTTTTAGTATTACTTCTCTCAAGTACCTGTGATAATACAAACCACCCATTTCATCATTGTTAAGCACAAAACTGTCCACTAGTATACACGTAGTCAAAGCCAAAGATAAATCTTTCTGTCCATTGCCATCCTATTTTGTTACTTCCTTACGCCTTTTAGTCCATTCTCCAAAATCCCCTAAGTCATCATCGTTTTTAACGCCATTCCCAATGTCAAAACCTCATGATCTTCGCCCTGTACCCCCGGGAGTTGTTTATCCAAGCCCATTAGTCCATACACAGCCAGTTGCGCTGACCGCACCGAATACTCCATAGTAAACGTCACTTCACGCTCGATCTCAACGAACTGTCCCATCAGACCCAAATTTTTGCTTCCATCGGGGATCACCTTTGGTCTATCGCCCTTCTTGCGCGTGAGGAATGGACTACCGATCAATGGCATCAGACAAGGGATGGTGATGGAGCGCTCGAGTGTCGGCTGAAGGGGAAAGGCCATGAGGTGGAGTAGCTCCGTCAGGATCTCAGCGCCTGTGCACTCGAGCATTGGTTTCCTGACATATCGACCCTGTTGATCGGGGAATAGACCATAGCCCCAGAATACAAACACGCCGTCGGGCTGGTCTTTGACATACGGTTGCTGGGGAATGGTCAGGGAAAGCATCCAGGGACAGTCACGAAAAGTCAATAGAGGTACAGACCCCGTTAACGTGCCAGTCCATTTGCAAAGATGCTCAAAGAAAGCTGGGTCACGAAGGGTGACGGTGAAAGAGAGCCAAGTTGACTTAGAAGGCCGATCAAAGAAAGCTTCCGGGTTGCCAAACGTTTGTGGACGCTCCAAAGCAAGCCTGTCCCAGAATGTCCACGAAGGGTCAAGCTCGTGGGGTGCTGAATCGCGCAGTTCCATTGTCGGAGGAGGCTGCTCGTTTGTGCCATATCCCATTCCCGAAGTCAATGAGCCAAGCGTGAGGAGGACGATGTCGTCGGGTCCCAACGTTAACTGCACATGTTTGCCGTCTTGATAGGTCTTCAGGGCAGATACCCGAAAGTCAGGGCCGATATCCTCAATTTCCAAACCGCTGACCAATATTCCTAGACAAGTCAGACAAACATTTCTTTGAGCCGAAACAAAACTTACCGTGACGAAATTCGACATCTGATGCCTTTAGATATTGTGACAATGGCTTAATAATAGCTTGAAAATCTTCCTCGGGTGCCTGCTCAACGCCCGACAGAGTTCCCATGTTGGGAAACTCGTGCATCATTCGGTGCAGGCATCGTCTGAACTCAACAGCACTACACCAAGGGTGAAAGCGATTGAGGGAAGACCACAGATCCCAAAAGTTCGTCTCAAAGAAATCTGGCTCGAATAACGCTTGAATCTCAAGCCCTTCCAGCTCCTCTTCTGTCTCGAGAACGACCCTCATCAAGTCGCATTGGTTCTTCACACTCAAACCCATGGTGCTGACATCGACTGCCTCTGGCTTTTCTCTCCCATTCTCGTCAAAGACCTGCCTCACTAACCTTGATCCAGAGGCACCCAACTTCTTACTTTCCTGATTGAAGCGACGAAGCCTGGCAGCTAATGTCTCGCCCTCTGTCTCAGAAGGTACTTTTTCTAGCATGCCATATAAACAGTGATACGTGAGGCTCATTTTTCGAATCGCAGATACCCTATACCCTGTGTCCCAGGACGGCTTCGAGAATGACGCTATCGATCCGCCCGCTTTCGAAGACGCCTCGAGAATATGAATGTGGCTGCCCGGCACATTGGCATCATCAATCAAAAAGACAGCGGCAGCCAGTGAAGCGATGCCGCCGCCGACGAGCCAGATGTGAGGGCTGTTGGAATAAGAGCCATTGCTGATATCCGGGCTGTTGCTGAGGCTGATTACACCTTTATCGTCGTCGGTAGTCACCTTGGGATCGTCATGGTTATCCTCCATACCCAATGTGTTGTCGTCCGTTCTTATCGACCTTTGACCAGGGAGTCTGGCAAGCGAGAAATAAACGCAGGATCCTTGTCGATGGATGAGTTGTCGTGCTTAGCGATGCGAATTGGCACACACGTGTAATTGGTGAAGGATTTTTTACTGCTTGCTTTTTGTCTTTCGACAATGCTGATAACAGTCTAGCTTTAATATTTTGCAGGAAACCGCCGATTGAATATCCTAGGAACTAAGATCACGAGAGTATGGCGAGAATTTATGGCTGGCTTTCCCTGTTCTCAGCACGAACCAAATCACGGCCCGGTCCATCCATTACAACGAGCAAATAAGGGCTCAACCGCATAACTTATTACGCAAATTGGCCAATCTCTGACGACCTTTCTGATCTGTCTCAGGGTTTTCTCAGCCTCAAAAGGTGGATTGACTCAGAAGCGCTGGCTTGTCGAGGGACGAGGGAGAATCGTACGATGCGTTGGCGTGATAGTGAGTGGACCGAGCATCCATCAGAAGCGGACCGTAACTTGCTACGGGGAAAGGGTCTAGACATTGATGCTTGGCATTTGTTGCAATGACAAGATATATATGCGGTGAGTGCTTGGATCTTTTGCAATCTTTGACAGCGATTGACAGACCTATGTTACGAAAGATGGTTGGAGATATGTTGAGCTGCTAACCTCACGAATGTCATGGGAATAAACAGCAGCCAACATACTTTCGGTCTTGATGTGCACTGTTGGGCTACCATAGCGCCACTGATCTAGCCCGCACGATGGACGCCGGTTTTTCGACTACAGACGCATACTGACGGAAGCCACTCAACGTCTTTTTCATGATATGATCCTCCGTTTACCGGCCCTCAGGGTCTACGGCCCCGCAAGAAACATTCCGGAGTGGTGGACCTTTAACGGCCGAGCCAAGACCATTAACGAAAGCAAGGGTTCTGATGTAAAGACGATTCTTGCATCATCGACAAGGTAAAAAATAATCGATTTTACTTTCTGAAACAAATATGTCGCCCTTTGTGCATCATTATATCGTGTTTGCGCAGGTCCGGGTAGATGCCGATGCAGCCAGCCGTGATTTACCGGTGCAACTCGTGCCCGGCATAGCTCTGGGTATTCAAACGCGATGGTCATGGCATGAAGAACTGATTCCAACAAGCATTGACGACAAAGTTGCTCTGACAAAAGGTAAACCTGTCTAGCCTGTCACAAGATGCCAAACAAGCTTGCCTGAGGATTGGCAGTCTTGGTCATGCGAGTTCCCTGCCTCTAGGTCGCGCGAGAAAATAAGACGTCATTTCGTTGTACAAGCCGGAGATCTCCTTATAATTAACTCTATCTCTTCTGGCAGATTGTCCATGGAAAAATATGGCGCTGCGACAATAGAAGTCAAAATTGACGAGAAACAGGATTGGTAAAGGCTCGTCTCACTTCCCTAGCCAATAACAATTACCTCGGCATCTTCCGAAGCCTCAGAAGATGGCGCATCAATAGCCGATGTAGCTCGACATTCCAGGCCGACCTCTCCGAGACGAACCTCACCACCAAGAACCAACGTCGATATATCTACCTGAACCCCTTAGATCCTCGGCCCAGAACCTCAAATCTTATCAATCTTTGCTTTCACTTTGTTAAATCCCTCTAGCTTCCGAACCTTGCACTCTGCCCATTCTAAACTCCACAATGGCCTAATTAGCGCAAAAGATTCTGCGCAGAAAGCCTCAATGGTGATAGTATCATGGACACCGATTGATAAGAAACGGGTCGGCACGCCAAGACACAATAACTTGCGGGACCTTTTACGTACTAACAGGACCTAGCACGGGCAAGACCGGCTCTTTTTGTTCCGCCAAATTGAAGACAATTTTGCTTTCGATTTTTTGGACTTGTACATACGTGTTCATCAAACAATGTACCAACCTACCAATGCGACGTCTACGCGAACCAATTGGTAAAGTTACGGCTCTGTCCCGCCCAGATGGAGATCGACAACACATCCCAGATAGGACCCAAACTTTTCTCTTCTGTGTTGGCCTGAAAAGTCGACAGCCAGGGTGTCTTTGGACAAGCTCTCCACTTCTTCCCGCCAACGCGTCTACAAGCTTCCGAACCAAAGGTTTGACATTTATGAGGAAGCAAAATGCTGCGCCTCTGGTACAAGTCGAAAAGAGTTTGCTAAGCTGAAGCTGACACACGTAATGCCAGAGATCAATACTCAACTTGGTTGTTGTGATTACTGTTTTGTCAATGATTACACACGCCCTAGGAATACGCCTTGATAGTCGCTATTTGCGTATTCGGCTTTTACGATTACGAGAACTTGAGATTAGTGATTACCGGTACTGTACAGTACTTACAGTGCCGTGAAGCAGCGCAGCCATCCCGCCATGTCACTACCCGCCCAGCCCTGACATCAGCAATCAAGTGAAGTTGTGATGGTTCCGATTTGATAAGGCAGACGGCAAAGAGGAAGGTTGCAGTCGTTTAAGCAGAACAATTGATGTATGTAAGACAAAGAACGCAAGTCAGCAAGCGACGGCCCGTCTGCATTATCTGACAGACTGTAGAGCCAACAGGATGAAGCCCGACGGCCCGTGCTGGGAACAATATGTATAGATAACATATTCTTCTTGAAGTCAGTTGACAACCTTTACGGGTATCACAACAAGGAGACTGACTGCATCATGGTGGTAGCCGAAAGGGAATGATGATTGTCAAGGCTGTCCCTGTAGCCCACGCGGTCGATACGCCACATCACTAAACCACCAATGGGCAAGCCTTAAGAAAGGGGCCTGATTATAAGGCACACCAAATCGAGTACTCTAACCAACACTGCAAATTGCACCTCTATGCGACAGGTACATGTTAGTAGGATTGTAACATGGAATCCTGCAGCTTTGAAGGATTGAAACAGGGTGTTAGATTGGACAGTTTTAGTCGAAGGAATTGGCCAGTAAAACGAAAGCAAGGAAAAATAGAAGCTTTAGGATTCTATGATGGCATTTGAAGTTTTTCTTTTTTTGCTTTATGTCATTCATTTAGTTGACAATCAAAAATGTAATTAATTTCTCCAACTTTATGAACCAGACTAGAAAGGATAATAAAGAGAAAAAGGATGATGCTTCCACGCTAACTTATAACCAAAGTAGCGCTCGGTTTTATTGTCCTAATTTTCTTTCTTTTTAGAGACCTCTCCCGACCGACAGTTTGAGAATATCCCTCCACTTGGTTCCGGCCTGTCTCCATCATTTCCCGCCTTTCTTGACATCCCATCCCATCCATCTCCAAGCTACCAAGGTAAGTGGTACCTAACCTAACGTTGGACTGGACTAGGTTAATCTCTCCCTCCACACCCAACCCAACACCTCTTTCTTAACCTTGACCCCCTTTTACCTCTTTCTTTTTTCTCTTACCTCACCTCTTTTTTTACCCTCTTCCCTTACTTCTACTCCTCACTTCCGCTCACGTCAGAGAATTACATTATTCTCTGTTGTAAAGTTGAAGTTGGTGTGTGGTCGTTTATTCGTCCTTTTCACTTTTTTTTCCCCTTCTGTGGCTGTTCTAATTGTCAGCTCAGTTCCAGGGCCTCAACGCCTTGCCCCTCCACCTCCCACCGCGTTTTGACTTTCCGCCTCGATACTCTCGTCGCAGAAAGGACTACGACAGGACTACCACCTCGAGTAAACGTAAGTGTTGCACTGCGTCTCATCTAAGCCTCACTCCTACATAATCACCTGCCTGTGTCCCCCACGAATCCTTCCATCTCTATCTATCTCATGCCGCCTTCAATGGCTTCTTGAAATACCCCTACTGCATCCTGCAGATCCTGACTGTTTTGCCCCGGACTTACACCTGCGCTTAGACCAGTCTATCCGAGATCAATATCAATGTGGTAAACGACACCGCCGAGTACTCCTTCCAAACCAATTCGAATCGATTTCAACACGATGGCTTCGATACTTTTGCCGAAACGCTTCCGCGGCGAAACTGCGCCTACCGAGAAAACAACCCCATCATGGGCTTCCAAGCGACTTACGCCCATCGCCCAGTTCATCTCTCGCCTAGCATGCTCCCACCCCATTCACACCGTCGTCCTTGTCGCCGTCCTCGCGAGCACTTCATACGTCGGTCTGCTCCAGGAGAGCTTGTTCAGCACCGATCTTCCTACAGTGGGCAAAGCCGATTGGTCTTCGCTCGTTGAAGGAAGCCGTGTCTTGCGCGCGGGTCCTGAGACTTCCTGGAACTGGAAGTCTATTGAGCAGGACTCTGTCCTTGAAGCTGGCGCTGATGCTGACCATCTCGCTCTTCTGACTCTCGTCTTCCCCGACACTCTCTCAGCCGAATCCTCCAGCAATGCTCCTCGATCCAGCCATGTGCCTGTTCCTCAGAACCTGTCTATTACACCTCTTCCCCCAACCGAGAACTCTTTCACCGCCTATTCCCAGGACAGCATCCTCGCCTACTCTCTTCCTTACGCTGAGGGTCCCGAGTTCCTTGCTGCTACCCAGGAGATTCCCAGCGAGGATGCCGTCGAGACTGAGACACAGCACGGCCGTGAGAAGAAGACATGGATCATGAAGGCTGCCAAGGTCAACACCCAGAACAGCGTTATCCAATGGGTTAACAATGCCTGGACTGAGTTCCTTGATCTCCTCAAGAACGCCGAGACCCTCGACATTGTCATTATGTTCCTGGGTTACATTGCTATGCACTTGACCTTTGTCTCCCTCTTTCTGTCTATGCGAAAGCTGGGATCCAAGTTCTGGCTCGGTATCTGCACTCTGTTCTCCTCTGTATTCGCCTTCCTCTTTGGTCTTGCAGTCACCACCAAGCTGGGTGTTCCCATCAGCGTGATCCTTCTGTCTGAGGGTCTTCCTTTCTTGGTTGTTACTATTGGCTTTGAGAAGAACATTGTCCTTACCCGCGCCGTCATGTCGCACGCCATTGAACACCGACGTCAAATCCAGAACTCCAAGTCTCGCAAGGGATCTCCTGAGCGTTCCATGCAAAACGTTATCCAGTACGCTGTTCAGTCTGCCATCAAGGAGAAGGGTTTCGAGATCATGCGCGATTATGCCATTGAGATTGCCATTCTTGCCATGGGTGCTGCTTCTGGTGTTCAGGGCGGTCTCCAGCACTTCTGCTTCTTGGCCGCTTGGACTCTGTTCTTTGACTTTATTCTCCTCTTCTCTTTCTACACTGCCATTCTCAGCATCAAGCTCGAAATCAACCGCATCAAGCGCCACGTTGACATGCGCAAGGCTCTTGAGGATGATGGCGTCAGCCGCCGAGTTGCCGAGACCGTTGCCAAGAGTGACGGTGATTTGAAGGGTGACTCTTCTCTTTTCGGTCGCAAGAGCAGCAGCGTTCCCACTTTCAAGGTTATGATGATCCTCGGTTTCATCTTGGTCAACATTGTCAACATTCTCTCCATCCCATTCCGCAACCCCAGCTCTCTGTCCACTATTCGTACCTGGGCTAGCAGTCTCGGTGGTGTTGTTGCTCCTCTTTCCGTCGACCCCTTCAAGGTTGCTTCCAACGGTTTGGACGCTATTCTAGCTGCTGCCAAGGCCAACAACCGACCTACCCTAGTGACCATTCTCACTCCCATCAAGTACGAGCTCGAGTATCCTTCCGTTCACTACGCACTTGGTTCTGCCATCGGTGGAAACGGCCCCGAATACACCGATGCTTTCCATCACCACTTCCAAGGATACGGCGTTGGTGGCCGCATGGTTGGCGGAATCCTCAAGTCTCTCGAGGACCCCGTTCTTTCCAAGTGGATCGTCATTGCCCTTGCTCTCAGCGTTGCCCTCAACGGTTACCTCTTCAACGTCGCCCGCTGGGGTATTAAGGATCCCAATGTTCCTGAGCACAACATCGACCGAAACGAGCTCGCCCGTGCTCAGCAGTTCAACGACACTGGCTCCGCTACTCTTCCCCTTGGCGAATACGTTCCTCCTACTCCCATGCGCACTGAGCCTAGCACCCCCGCCATCACCGATGATGAGGCTGAGAGTCTTCAATCGACTAAGGCTCGATCTGCCGATCTGCCCAACCGACCTAATGAGGAACTCGAGAAGCTTTTGTCTGAGAAGCGCGTCCGTGAGATGAGTGACGAGGAGCTTGTTTCCCTGTCTATGCGCGGCAAGATTCCTGGTTACGCTCTTGAGAAGACCCTTGGTGACTTTACTCGTGCTGTCAAGATTCGACGTACCATCATCGCCCGCAACAAGGCCACCACCGACCTGACCCACTCGCTCGACCGATCCAAGCTGCCTTACGAAAACTACAACTGGGAGCGCGTCTTTGGTGCCTGCTGTGAGAACGTTATTGGATACATGCCCCTTCCTGTTGGTGTTGCTGGACCTCTTGTCATCGATGGCCAGAGCTACTTCATTCCCATGGCTACTACTGAGGGTGTCCTGGTTGCCAGTGCCAGCCGAGGTTGCAAGGCTATCAACTCTGGAGGTGGTGCCGTTACTGTCCTGACTGCCGATGGTATGACCCGTGGTCCTTGTGTTGCTTTCGAGACTCTTGAGCGTGCTGGTGCCGCCAAGCTCTGGCTTGACTCTGAGGCCGGTTCAGATACCATGAAGAAGGCTTTCAACTCCACCAGTCGATTCGCCCGTCTCCAGTCCATGAAGACCGCTCTTGCTGGTACCTACCTCTACATTCGTTTCAAGACTACTACCGGTGACGCTATGGGTATGAACATGATTTCCAAGGGTGTCGAGCACGCCCTGAGCGTTATGGCCAACGAGGCGGGATTCGATGATATGCAGATCGTCTCTGTTTCTGGAAACTACTGTACCGATAAGAAGGCCGCTGCCCTGAACTGGATTGACGGTCGTGGCAAGGGTATTGTCGCCGAGGCTATCATTCCTGGTGAGGTTGTTCGCAGTGTTCTTAAGAGCGATGTCGATGCCCTTGTCGAGCTCAACATTTCTAAGAACTTGATTGGTTCCGCTATGGCTGGTTCAGTTGGTGGATTCAACGCTCACGCTGCCAACATTGTCGCCGCCATCTTCTTGGCCACTGGCCAGGACCCTGCTCAGGTTGTCGAGAGCGCCAACTGTATCACCATCATGAAGAAGTAAGTTTATCCTATCGCATAACCTCAGACATTCGCTAACCTTGACAGCCTCAACGGAGCTCTCCAAATCTCTGTTTCCATGCCTTCTCTTGAGGTCGGAACCCTCGGTGGTGGTACTATCCTTGAGCCCCAAAGCGCCATGCTTGATCTCCTCGGTGTCCGAGGTTCTCACCCCACTAACCCTGGTGACAACGCCCGCCGCCTGGCTCGCATCATCGGTGCCTCTGTCCTTGCTGGAGAGCTGTCTCTCTGCAGTGCTTTGGCTGCTGGTCACCTTGTCAGAGCTCACATGCAGCACAACCGAAGTGCCGCTCCCTCTCGCAGCACTACTCCCGCTCCCATGACACCCGGTCTATCCATGACCACTTCGGCGTCAACAACATCAATGAGCGCTGCTGCCATCCAGAGGTCAAAGCGATAAATGACGAGCGTTTGCATTTGAAGGAGTAGTTGACGAAGTTTTAAAAGAATAGAGATGAGCATGTACGACATATGGTCTGGGATGGATGATGGGTCATACAACATGGAGTTTTTTCGCATTGGGACATTCTGGAAAGGTCGCGCAAAGCGTACATACATATACAGTCGTCGAAAGATGCAAATATTGGTAGCATGAGTTTAATACCGCTCCAAATAGTCAATTTTAATCCTTTTTTGTTATATGAGCTGTTCTCGAGTCCTCAAATTGACCGCTGGAAACATGAGAGACGAAATTAGTGGGCCACTTTATGATCCTTAGACTCTGGTTCTTAAACTATTTATTTTTATACGCTAACGCTTTACTACTAGCTGCCCACCCATGCAAGGTAGAGAAACGAAAAGACTGTCTCTGCTCTGTTTGGTAAAAATACTGATAAATAGAAGCAGTCTATGATGCTAGTGTATGGGCGGGGTGTACGGTCAAGCAAGGTGTAGGGTTTGCCAGAATGATAAGTTCTGTTACTAGCGAGTCGCGCGCAGCTGCAGAGATATGAGAATAAATCATCGTGCAGGGATGGATAGCTTGGGGTTTGCTGTCTTGAAAGACATTATAAAAAGAACCTCGTTAGCCAAGCTCTGGCTGGATGGATTCTGCCGTGACTGACATTGAGTAGAGGAGAGAAAAGATTAAATAAAAAGTAAAGGGGAAAAGACATATATTCCCTTCCCTAAAGGAAAAAAAAGATCTGATGAGACTGGGACTCGAACCCAGGAGGATTGCTCCACCAGGAAATTGGTGTTAAGGTTAACCTTAACCTGGCGCCATAACCAACTCGGCCATCTCACCGAATTTAGATGTAAGACCTGTTGCAAATAGACAATACAGACCCAGCCCTGGTTTTGTCTGCCGCCCTCCTTGAGAAACATCGTACTCCTAGAACTACCATGTTTTCAGGATGTCTGGATTTATTTATGTGTTGTATATATCTCCCTTCTCGTGTTTGAGTAGAGACACCCGAGAAATTGGCTTGGGATCCACAAATTGTATACCTTCGAGCCACACACCAATCAAGGCTATGCATTCACACAGCAACGAACTCTCATGTTACGATTTATGACTCCCATTAAACCTTTTCCACGCCTCTAGCTCTTTCACTCTTGCTTATTATGATAAGAAAGGGTAACGTGTACTTTGAAGCGAAATATAACAAAGTGTACACGGACGATAGACACCTTCCTGGACGATCAACAGCCCAACATGACAGAGCAAACCAGCTAGGCTATGGATCAACCACTCATCTATTTCTCCCTCATGACCCAAACTATCACATCGCCCTTCTTTTTTCCCCTTCGTGGGGGCAACTCGAAGTCTTGAGTATCACGATCCTTGGGGTTGAGCATTCTCGGTCCGAGGGTAGAGCGACGAACCACAAACTTACGTAGTTTCCTTCAAACTTTGTGACTGATAAGGTGCCTCAACAATACTTAACCTTTGAATATTTTCAGTTCTATAAGAAGGGCCGTCATCTCCTCTTCAACTCTCGGTTCGCCTCGAAGCGAGACTGAACTCTTGGCCGCCATCTCATGTTAGTCAGACTCGCACATGATCACTTTCCTCTTGATCACTATAGGGACACATACTCTATTTCATGTATACGTAGTTTATCCAAAGCTTCTACAATTCTATCCCCCTTATGACTCTAACTCGACGCATCCTGTATCAGGGCTTTGACATTTCTTGACCCATCTTTTAGGGCTACCATTACGAAGAAGCAACAAACTTAATCACCTTTCGTCTATATAGGGAACGAGATTCCCTCGAGTACAGACAAGAACTTTTTTTGCTCTTAGGCTCTTCAAAAGCTTCAAAGGACTGATCTCGATGAGCACTTGGTTGCAAGCCTCATCCTTAGTATCACTGTCTACTGCGCTCTTGATCACTTTACTTGGTAATTAATAGTCTGCCTCTCGATACTGACAATTTGCTAACATTTTCAGAGTCATTTTCTACAGTCAAGTATTCTTGCAGCTATTAAAAAAAAACACGCATTACTCTTTATTTTCTGTTTGTAGGTAGTCGACAGATCTGCGACTACCGCAACCATTTACTAATATTTTGCAGAATAATCCTTGCGGGCACTCATCTTTACAAAATGTCCCGCTTTCCAGATAGCTACTATTATGCTTCTGGTCAAAAGGATCATCCGTCGTACTTCTACGAAGGCTCGGCTCCCTCTCGCAAGTCCTATAGCGAATACTACGCTGACAGACAAGAGGTTGAGCGAGTCTTTCGCAAAGCTAAGGCAACGAAAATGACTTCATGCTTTAAAGATGACGGCGTCGGGCTTGGCATCATGTACCCTGACGAGGAAGAGGATGAAGAAGTAGAGTGCATCTTTGAACCACAAGCCTCCTTCTTCTGCAATGTTCCTGAAAGTGCACTTGCGTCTCTTCCTCCCGCGCCAGTACCAGCATACTATGCGCATGTGCACGAGTATCAGAACACAGACTCAACGCCAAAGGCAAACTCAAAGCCCAAGGCATTCTCGGCCAGTAGTTTTAGAGATGATTACTTGTCTCTCTATTGCTGTAATGGTCAGAGAAATTCTGTCACCTCCGGCACTGTGACTCATGTCAATGCTGTTGAGGTTGCTCAGGTCGCTGAGATCTCTCCTGTTAATGAATTGAATCCTCGCGATTCTAGTTGTTCTTTTACTCGGTGTCTTGAGAAAGTCGTCAGTCCCAAAACATACAGCAAGTTATTTAAACGCGCTGGTCAAAAACTGAGGTCACGCTCAAAGGAGAGATTGGAGAGTTGGTGATTGTTGTTGGTGTGGTTGGCATGGTTGAACCGTGTGGCGTTGGTTGGTTGATGGTGGAATTGCATGTACAAACAAAGATACCCAGCGTCTGCTTTAAAAAATAAAAGCGACACACAATTCTCACAAACAATAAATGTCTCTTTTGTGGTTGTCTACTATTGTAATATATCTACTTCTGTGCTCGTCTCTTAACCATAATATGAACACCGCTTGGCGGGTTATTCGCCTCGGCAATCCAATAATTGGAAGGCCTCTTGCCTTCATACTCGTCTGGAAACTTAATGTCGTAGTTCTTTACAATATAGGCCAGGATCATCTTCATCTCAAAGTCAATTAGGAAGCGTCCGGGACACGCATGCTTTCCATGTCCAAAGGTCAGGAATTCTGGGGACGTGGTGACAAAAGTAACAGGGGGCGCTTTGTCGCCGCGACTAGCAGCCTCTTCGCGCGCGCGGGAGAAGCGGAAGGGATCGTACTTGAGGCCGTCCTCGTAGAGTTCGTCGTCGGTTTGTGCGGGGAAGCTAATGAAAGAGAGCAGAGTTCCTTTGGGAAGAGGGTGGCCGTCCTGTGTTTTAAAGTCGTCGGTCATTACTTTGCGGAAGACTGCGCGTCCACCGAAAGAGCCAAGACGGATTGACTCCCTTGAAACGCTGTCGGCGCGAGTCATGGATTGAATGGCACTCTTTGTCCAATTGCCCGTATCGTCAGAACCGAGAAGGCGGTCCATCTCATCTCGCAGGACAGAAATGGTGTTGAACTCGGCATCAGAGCCAATGACATTGAGGAGGAGATTGATGACCTGGAGCTGTGTGTTGTGAATAGCGCCAAAGTTTTGGGCTACGATACGTCGTGCCATGCTGTCCCAGTTCTCGACCTCGTCTTGTCTTTCGCGAAGGGCATATTTGATCATCATTTGTAGCAAGTCTTGTGGTTCCGGCTCTTCCGGGTGGTTCTTGGCCATGTCGACGCGTTGCTTCAGCAGAGGAACAATCCACTTCTTGAGCTGCGACACCTTACTGCCGACCAGCCAGCCAAAGAGGGTACCTGTGAAGGGTTGGATGATGCGCGGCAGACCTCCTGTTAGACCTGCATTTAGGATGAAGAGTTCATTTGTGTCGAGAGCATTCTGGAGATACTCCTTGTTTCGGCCTACATTGTCAGCGATGTCCGGTCAATTGACGGGGAACACATACAGAGGGGCACTCCGACGGTAAAGCGACTAGCAGCTTGCGCAATGATCATCTTGACCGTTGGGGTGAGATCGATCTTCTTCCAATTCTCCGTGTCTGTGCCGAATTGTTCATCAAACACCTCGCGCAGCTCATCCTTCATGCTGTTGGCGACAACCTCGATTGCGCGGTTCATCTCGTACTTTACAATTAGTCCCTGCCAGGCATCGACGACATATTTATCGTGTCCGAGAGACCAAGAGACTTGGTCAATCTCAGCAAAAGCTTTTCCTTGGTCAAGAACATGGTCGGGCTGGCTCATAGTCCATTTCATCTGGTTCTGGGGAAGTAAAACTTCTATTCTAACGCCAAAACCAGGGAGAACGACTGCTTTTCCTTGTTTGAGATACTTTAATCTGTTAGTTTTTGTCACTGAGAAGTAAGGGCCATTGTAAATACTTGATGGTATGCTTCATAGAACATGGGTTGGCAATTGGTGAGGTACTGCCATCGCGTACGTAGACTGAAGCGACGAGAGCCTTCAGGTTCTCTTATTAGGGGAACACCCGGGGGATAAGGCACGCTGAGGATTTTCTCGGTAATAAAGAGAGCAATGAGTAAAATAGCAGCGACAGAAGCAATGCCTAGAGGACTTGTCAGAGCGGGCAGACGAGCCAGCAGCTCAGGCCCTACGTCCATACTAGAAGCAGCAGACATTGTGTGAAAGATCCAATTGACAAGAAGCCAGTCTTGCTTACGTCGAAGCAGTGGGGAGAGAGAGTTATATCTACCATACCGTTTCATCCATCATCCGCAAGCGATTTAGCGTGAATCCTGATCGCTAAAAGGATGGACCATGTTTTGCCCCCCACAGATCCTTGCTTGTATCGGACAGTTTAGATCAGTTAGTGCTGATGTTGCTGGTAGTTATCTTCATGATAGGCTGTAAGCACTTATTGAGAAAGCGTGGTTGATAGATATCTACTCATGCGTAGATGTGCCGCGTGAGAGATGGCGATATGCACATGCTGGCAAGGGTTCGGATGCATTGGGTGAGGAAGGTAAGCAGAATGCACCATTGCTGCATCGTTTAGATACGAGTACGAAAAAGGGTCCAGGTTATCTTGTTTCAATACGTCCATGATATAAAGGCCAAGAACCCCATGAATGTGATGGAGTTGATGGAGTTTTGACGAGTTGTTGATCCTATTGATTAAGACTGTTGGTTGTCAATTCATTAGCGAATGGAAGCACACGGTACCAAGCCTGTGATAACACAACAGGGCCTAATCGCGCTTCCAAAAAACAAGCGCTCAATGATATTTGTTCAGCAAACTAATTGCAAACATGTACCAACATCAAGTAATTGTGCCCGTATTGAAGTCCCGACTGTTGAAATATCGAGGATGTACAGGGTAACCTTCCTACCATGTCACATCCCCACTTCAAAGAAGCCAGGCTGTCCCTGAAAGTCCACCTCACTAATTTAAACGCTCCGCCCACCCACCGAAAACCCTTCTCCATTCTCCGACGAAAAAAAACTTGTCCAAGGAAAGGTACTGATTCTTCCCATGAATATGATTCGCAACTCGAGCACTTCCTTTCAATAATTCAAGAGCCACGCCCGGTTAGCTCAATCGGTAGAGCGTGAGACTCTTACGAGTACGCGATCTCAAGGTTGCGGGTTCGACCCCCGCATCGGGCTGTTCCTATAAAAACGATTGCAAACAAGCGATGGCATATCTTTTTGATGTTTTTGTGAATTTCGATTGCTTGTCGAAGATAAAGTCCTGTAAACTTTTTTGTTTGGCCAAGTTCCCTATGACCCCTCCATCGGAAGTGCGGGGCCGAAGGATGCGGAATTCCGTTTCTTATCAGCTGGTTTGAGGGTAGCAGAAAAAATCATCGGGAACGAAATTAGTAGCTCAGTTTATGCTATTTACATTATACACTTTAGCGTGTTTATTTTTGTAGCCAAAGCTTAGAGGTCAACGTTTCTGGCACTCACCAGGCTGCTCTCGCTCCACCTCGTCATCGTCGGCTCTCCTCTTCAACCCCTTCTCTTTCACTCTTAAGAGATTCACTTTGAAGCGCTAATGTTTGTATAATAACCTGAAGCACGTTTCACTATACATTGCGATATAAAACAATTATGGCGAGCGAAAACCCCTTCAAAGCCGCTCTCATTATCGTCGACTTCCAAGAAGACTTTTGTCCACCTGTAAGTTAGATCTTGATTGACGGATACGATGTAGGTGGATGAAACTACCATATGACATCTTGTTCATAAGGTAGAGCTTCATCCAGGATCATAGGCGGAGTATTGGTTGGTTCAGAGCGAGTACTGTATAGCTGAATGGTCTTGACATATTGTATGTGATTGAACAAGACCACTACTCCAAACTCATCACTGTTGAACCACCAAAGCTATCTTTCACATATCTCATTGACACACGACACCTAACTAATCCCTCCAGAACGGCTCCCTCGCCGTCCCAGAAGGCCGCACCATCGCTCCCACAATCAACACCCTAACAGCCCTGCCCTTCCATCTCATCCTCGCAACTAAAGACTTTCACCCACCCAGTCACATCTCCTTCGCCAGCAATCACCCATCATCAGAACCATACACATCCACCACGACAATCACACACCCGCGCGACTCCTCCCGCAGCTACACCACCACCCTATGGCCCATCCACTGCGTCCAAGGGACCCCCGGCGCGGACTTGGTCCCTGAGCTAGACGTCTCTCGTCTACACGCGGTTATTGAAAAGGGTCAAGATGAGAGGGTTGAGATGTACAGTGCCTTCTACGATCCTTTCAAAGTGAGCGATAGTGGTCTTGCTGCTATGCTGGGTGAGCAGCAGGTTACCGATGTCTTTGTCGTTGGATTGGCTGCCGACTTTTGTGTCAAGGCTACAGCTGAGGATGCAGTCAAAGAGGGCTATTCGACATGGGTAGTGAATGAGGGAACAAAGCCTGTCATGCTCGACAAGTGGGAAGATTGTAGAAAGGGTATGGAGGAGAAGGGTATTAAGTTTATATTAGTCACTGACGCCGTGGACAAATTCAGTAGTCCTAAGTCTTAGGATATCAAAATAAGTAGTCTAAGAACCCTAGTCTAAGGAAAATAAACTGACCTACTTACAACGTTGAGTGACTGTCTGGTTTGTTCGATTCGCGCGATCATATGACTGCGTGTTTTGGTGCCTTACATATTCCATGCAGCTTGGAAGTATGGTATAAGAGATGAGATTGGCCCCTTTATGCTCCTTAGACTTTAGTTCTTAGGCTATTTGTTTTGATACACTAAGACTTAGGAGAGTTTATCTACAGCGTTGGCGACCAGTATAAAATTAATACCCTTTCCTGGTATTGTATACACCGTTCCTCTGTATATCGTGATTGGTCTTCCAACCATTGTTCAACCGCAAGTTGCTGTTTACTTTCATCCCAGTCACCATCATCGCGCAGGAGCTCCAGTCACTCGGCCGCGCCATTCATGGCACCAACAATACCCAAGGCCCAGACAAGATCCAGCATAACCTTGCATTTCTTGGCATCATCAGACGACATTTCAATGTGAAAAAGGTGACCGGAGATCAGTGGTACGTGATTATTAGCCCGCACTGCTGCATACTTGCGGTGTCCCGGTTTCGTGCGAGCGGTTCAAACTCCCGGATGCTCGCGACCTCAGTATTATTTCACGACTGTGGAATGGTGTGTGCGACTTCTTCTTCCACAGTTTGAATGAAGATACAGCTATTTTTGTCGCGTTGACGGCAAAGTTTCTTCTCGCGGTCGACGTGGATAGTGCCGTCTGCATTCGTCGGGAAAAACGCCGCGGGATCCGGGGCACTTGCTCGGCTGTTCCCTCAAGATGTCGTGCTGGTTGTACTTTTCTTGCTTTTTCCAGATCTTCTGGTCTTAGTTTCGCTCCTTTTTCTAGCTACCATTGTCGGAAGGTCGTGGCAGGTCAGTTGGTTGTGGTGTTGTATGAGGTGGCATATGGCGAAGGTGTGGCTGTGGTCGGGGACATGTCTTAGGACTCGTCAGTAAGGAGGACTTGATACAGGGAACCTAAGAATAACTCACAGGACTAATCCAGGTAGATCACGAAGTGATGGGCCTGTCCAAGGGGGGAATTATGTCGTCACTAAGTACTCTCAAGAATCTTTAAAGGCATCGTCAAGAAGGCAGCCATATGGACTGAAGTTAACGTAACTGGAAAATCGGCTTCCTTGATTTGTTCTTTGATCTTGATGGCATAATCACGACGCTGTTCAAACTTCATGCGCAGGTAGGAGTGTCGTAGGGCTATCATAGCCAGGTCTTGCTTTCAGCAAGGCCTTAACGGCGATCACTAGCTGAGGCTGAGCTTTCGTGACGTCGCTCTGCAGGAGGGTTGTAGATCGCCGTGTATCTGTAGTGTGTCGTGTTGTGCGGTCATAATAGTGACAAGTAACTTTCTCAGCGCCGGGTATCGTTGCGGGACATTTCCGTGAAGAAATTCCTTGAGGAGGTCCTGCATCTCCGCCGTGTTGGGCCGCGGTACGCTCATTATGAAAGCTGGTCAACCGTCGGTGAAGAAATATGCAAGGATTACTAGGTAACGGTTAAAGATGAAAGAGAAGAGGGGAAGAAAAGAAATTACCATAGGGCGAGGTCGGTCTTTTCTTCTTTTTTTCCCTGACATGACTCCGCTGGCTGTTTAAGTTATACATAGGACGTCGCCGGCTTTGCCTGCCCAGATCAAGGTAAGTTCTAGGAGTGAAAAATAAACAACCTAAGGGATCTAATTTAAGTAGCCTAGACTGACCTGATATTTTCGTCTTTTAGGGAGTAATGACTGGCCTAATAGACCTCCCCAACGAGCTACTCGAGGAGATCTTCCTGCTTGCCACCTGTGACGACCAGAGACAGCTAAGTAGGGCTGCTGTCGTCAACAAAAGAATACAACAAGTGGCGTTCCCTCTACTCGTACGCCATTAGAAGTGGCGACGAATCAGCAAATTCGAAGTCGGATCACTGGCTTTACACCTCCTGCGACACCTCTATCATCGTCCGCTAGTCCGAACGTTGGTATTATACACTCTGAGTACTCTGAATGTATTGGAAAGAAACCCCAACGATGGGACCCGAGCGAATCTACGACCAGAGACCCTGGCAGAATTGGCAGAAGCAGCAGAAAGGACCATGCCAGATCTCGCCGAGTTCAGCGAGGGCTGGATTGATCGTATCGATGACGGCATAATAGACGTCGTCTTGGCTCTGATCCTAGCTTGGGCAAACAGACTGACTGAAGTGAGTCTATCTTTTCGAGGACGCTACGAGACTGTTGATAATTCTGTGGTATGCCGAAGTTTATCACGTCTTCCCCAGCTCAGGACCGTCGAAATCGATATGGGATATTTCCTTCCAAAACCAGAAAACCTGGGGTCATTCGAGTCAGATTTTTTCGTCTCCATGCTGTCAGGGTCTCTGACGAAATTGGTTATCACTTGGCAAAATCGCTATGACATAAGAAGATACTCTGGGTTTAACATACTTTCCCCCGGATGTGACGAGAATCGGACATGCTCACTCATCACGGAAGCCATTGGTATGTTGCTACAGGAAGCTGGGCCGGGATACAAATTCAGCAAACTACGCTGTATTGACGCTTTGGATATCAATTGGGAACCTGAATCACTGGAAAACGCGGTGGAACTTGGCAAGTCCAGATGCGTTAGAGTTATTGAGCCTATATCGATGATTCGTTCTATACTATGATCGTGGTTAGGGCGCCTTCTAGCACGCAACGTCTTCCCCACAGCTACCTACAACCACCAAACGCACATATCGGTCAATGTGACCACCCCAGGGCTACAGGCAAACAACAGCAGCGGTGACTGTCGCCCAAACAGCCTGAAAGAAATCTCCTCGGTAGTCCAAGCCACCCAAGAAACGCTGAACAGCCACGGAGCTAATGGCGGTAGCTACAAAGCATGTGGCAATCTTGCACGACAAGCCCCGGCGCAGGATGGCAGCCCCAATAAGAAGATCGCAAATGGGGATTATTCGAGATGTGGTTGAACCATCGTCGGGACTGCGGTCGTTTTGATATTGGTAGAAAGATGCGGTTGATGTTGCGCCGTGGGTGAAGCGCGAGGCACTGCCGTAGAAGAGGAGCAGAGCGAGAGAGGTTGGAAGATATTGTTTCAAGAGAGAGAGGGACATTGTGGGTGGATTTGTTGATGATGGAATTGAGTAGAACGAGGGATATTGTTGTTATGTGGAATTGCTGAGTCAGATTATAGACTGAGTGGAAGTGAGCCGCATAGCCGTAATAATAACAAAGTTAGTTCTTGATTAAAAGTAAGATTGTTTTTTGTATAATAAACGTTCAATCCTCCAATATTAGTCTTGTTAGTATTTTCGTTGAACACTGGATTATTTTACTGCCAGATTCTCCCGACAGGGAACAGGAAAATTGATCCGATTCCAGGACTGTAGATGTGTTGGCAGTACCATTGTATCCCAATCCAATATCTCAAACAATGAGTGAATGAATATATGTAAATTTAGAGATGAAGAAATTGTTTATGCTTTGTACGACATGCACGTCATCCCGTAGACTCCGAGGTATCTTTATTCTGCTACTCTTCACCGCCCGGATTTTACATCATTTTGGAAGGCAGAATTAAAGACATGGAAGAAACAAAAACATCATTGTTTTGGAGTGTATCGCGGCCATGTTTGAACCATTCTGGGGTCCTCAGACCTCTTATCTAAAGTATGTTTCGTCCATCTATTGGTAGAAGAATGATTGCTAACTCAAGCAGTTTCTGTGAAGAGGTAATTCTCATGATTTATTTCAATTGACAAAAGTTGACGTGTCATTTTGACAATAGGATTATACGATTACTCGATATATCGCAGAGTTCATCAACACCATCAGTAGTCTTACATATGGTTGGTTTGATTTCTCGTTCGTCGGTTGACGATCTGCAACTGACGATCCTTTTTAGTGGCATATGGACTCTATGGCTTGCTGACTTCACCCAAGTTCCCCACGGGTCCCCGGCTAATCTCATACTGCGGACTCATGGGTGTTGGAATTTGTTCTGCTGGCTATCACATGACGTTGAAGTATCACACTCAAATGTGTAGGCAAATCCCATCCGGCTGTTCTGCATAATACTGATTATCCATAGCTGATGAACTTTCGATGCACTTGCTCACCACACCTCTTATCTACCGTCTCCTCACGTTCAAAGCTTCGCCTGAAAAGACTCGACTCATTGGAATCATTCTTTCGACACTATTCACTATTGTTATGGTGACGCACATGGTGATGGATGAGTTTCTGTTGCACGCTACTACCTTTGGTTTAGGTGTCTATATCATTGCGACGCGGGTATTGAAAGTCATACCCCAGCAGGTGAAAGATCCTGTCACTAAGAAGAATTTTCAAAATATTGCCACACTTGGCCTTGGTGAGTAACATAATCAAACTGCATCAATGGACTGAACTGATACTTGTAGGATCATTTGTCTTTGGCTATGTTGTTTGGTTGATCGATGAATTTGCCTGTCGTTATTTGACCAGTGCACGGCATACTATCGGTCTACCTTTCGCTTTCCTCCTCGAATTACACGGATGGTATGTTGAACAGCTAGTATTATTATGGCAAAAACTAACAGATATTAGGTGGCATGTTCTCACTGCCATTGGAGGGTACACTGCCGTTGCAGTCATCGACGTGGTCACGACGGGAGAAGTAACGGACGATCCGACGGATACTTTTGCTTGGCCGGTTCCTCTTGCGGTAAAGCTCATGTCTGGCAATTCTGACTCAGTGAAGAAAGAGTAGAATCGACAAAAAGGAGTGGCAGATATATGGAGCTCACAGATCAGACCCGACATCAGTCACATGACAGAGTCTGGAATATCAGAACGATTGACAAGTACCCAATGATTTGTACTCGACAGTCTCGGCATGCTTGAAGAGCTCGAAAGGAACGGATCTGGGGATGAAAACCGGAAGAAAGAAAGATCGGGAAAGTGATAGCTTCCTCGACGCCCAACCAGACCGGTCTTGTCGAGGTAGCTTCCAAGAGATAAGACAATTGCCGAACAGCGAGAAATATCAGCACAAGTCAGCTTCAAAAGAGTCGAATTGTCTCGAGTTGGACAGACACGGAACATGTGAATCTTGGATTGCTCTCTTTGGACCACGTTTCACGGGACATCGGAAGGACCAACCGATGTACTGAAACATGGAATTCGAGTGAATCAGACCAGATAGATGGAAATCTCTCTTAGCTTATGCGTCATATGATCCACAGAGCATGGAATCATCCTTTTATCCAAATGCCGACATCGCCCGACCTTTACTAAGTGCCGCTGATCCGCCTAGTACGGTCATCTACCTGCTGGTGACCAAAATAGGATCTCATTCTAGACTGTCTCATCTTGTTTTCGTATCTCTTCTCCGCGTCTCCGATGAGGCTCCGCAGAAAAAACCTGCACCAGCCCATCAAATTACGTGCTCACCATCAAACCCCGGCTTAAGCTTAATGACCGACTCCACGGTATTCCCCCCCCTTGTTTTTCCCTTATCTTTGAGCTATTAAGCATAATTTTACAACCCCGTGATCGGCAGTGGAGAAGTGGGTGAGAAAAGCGGGAAATGAAGGAATGGGGAAACAAGCTTAATGTTCCTCCTGAAAAGACATCAGAGGTTCAATCATCTTAGAATTCGGAGTAATAAAAGTTCTTGAAGCGAATTAATGTGATTAACCACTAAAAAGATGCCCGCTGAGCCTCATCTGCACGTTCAACCAACCATCTCCAACTAATTTCTCCCAGAGTAACATTTCTCTCCCCTCCTGACGAACGCCACTATTTGGTACTATCACCTTTTGGGAGGACAAGACCGCCCAGAGATAAGAGAGTCAAAAGTCTAGAAGCGAAAGCTTGGCTTTTAGTTGGTTCAGTGGAACCTTGACGGACGGACATTGCTCGGAATGGTGGAATTGCAAAGCCTTGAAACGGTACAACGCCGAGATGCCAAGATGTCAATTTTGATCGGTCTTTAATAAGATGGAAAATGCCCTGTATCTCCAGAGTCTATCTTCTTTCAGTTCTTCACAGGCCAATTCACAATGCATAAGCCAACAATTGATGTGTCTAGCCCAGCGGCTTTTTCACCAGCCGAAACAGCAGAGCTGATCTGCAGGGCTGGTGTGAAGAAAGGAAGATCAAGGCCTGACAAGGTTTTTTTATCTGGAGTTTCTGGAGGATGCATCCTTTCTTTCGGATGTGCTGTTTCATTGACAGTTTTGACGGCGCCGTGGTACCAGGAGAATGCACCGGGTTTAATCAAGATCATTGGAGCTATGGTATTCCCGTTGGGTTTGGTGACGGTGATATTGACGGGTGCTGACCTCTTTACTTCTACCAACTTGGTATGTTATCTAGCTCATAAAGACTCATTGTGGTTTGGCTAATGTTGGATTTAGTTCACATTTGTTGCTGTCCTCAATGGAAGATTATCAGTGTGGAGGATGTTACTACATTGGTTCTTATGCTTCTTTGGAAACCTCGGAGGTTGTCTCTTTGTCATGGCAATCATTGTTGGGTGTAAGTTCAACCTCAAAGACATAGTGATCGTAACACTAACTCTTCATAGACGGAGGCATCTTGGACGGTGAACCATACAGAGAAGAAATCATCGCCTACGCAACAAAGAAACAAATCACCCCAGAGGCCCATCAGATCTTCATCCGAGCCATCGGATGTAACTGGCTCGTTTGTCTAGCCTGTTTCCTCGGCGTCCAAGCCAAAGACCTGACCTCAAAAGTCATTGGCATGTGGATTCCAGTCTTTGCCTTTGTCGCTCTTGGTTTCGATCACGTTGTTGCAAACATGTTCTTCATACCCTTGGGTATTTGGATGGGCACCCCTGGTCTAACCATCGGCCTGTATATCTGGAAGGGTTAGTTCACTCCACCACTCATTTTCACCAAGGATATTCACTAACCAACACAGGTATGATTCCCGCCCTTTTTGGTAACATCCTTGGAGGCAGTTTGTGCTGCGGTGTGTATTTTTGGTGGATGTACTTGGCGGATGTAGATGATGAACACGAGCCTCAAGACAAGGGTATCCTTTCTCACTCTGGGCATGACAGTCCTTCGGATGAAGAAAGCCAGATGGAGTCACGATAGAACATGGGTGCTTAGCCGGATTGTTAATGGAAGCATAGATCATAGAGCATAGACACGGATATAGACAAAATAGACCAAAAAGATACATCGTCAATGAAGCATTCAAGAAATTTAACAAAAGCAAAGATCAAGCCTGGTGAACTAAAGCTTAGCTGCTCAGAGCATAGAAGACCAAAATTGGTGTATTAGTTTAGGCTACATTAGGATAGGCTCTTAGGCTTTGTATTGAGAGACGAGCCTCTCTCCCTTATGATGAGCGAACAAAATTACGCCCCCAAGTCTCTTATGTACTTCTTCGGCACCAGTCCCTTCAATAAATCTGCCTCGACCTCTTCTTTCAACAATGCATCAATCTCCTCGTAGATCCTGATCTGGTCTTGGACTAGAGGGGAGTTCGCCAATGTGATAATGCTCAGTAATGCATATGTGTACCCGTCCTGAACGTGTTTGACCGCGACGAGGTCCTTGACAGCCCGCTCAATCGAATGGCCGAATTGGGAAAACGCAGACAACTGCGATGCCCAGTTCGTCTCATGTCTCACCAACGCAAGCCGTGGCTCAAGGCCGACAGCTTTGTATACGAGCCTCAAGACCTGTTTTAGATCGCCTTTTTTGTTATCGCCGTCACCCGAAATTGTGCGTGGTAATTGCTTCAGGCTGAGAATGAATGGGTGCACCTGGTAGAGTAACCGCCTGGCCTCTTGTATCGTCGGCTTGCTTTCGAGAATGTGGAGGTTCAAGGCATCCCAATCTCTCGACAAAGCTGTGGCTCTTGACATCAGCGTTTGAATTCGTGCCGTAGCAGCCGCACTAAGTGTAGATGTAGGCTCTAAAAGCCTGGGCCGCTTCACTGTACGTTCGGGCTCATCGTGGACGGTCTCATCGTTGGCCGTGATGGACTCCAAGAGCCCTTGTTCCTTGAGCTGCTGTAGTTGATTCTCCATGCCGTCCCACGCAGGACATCTGGTATTTGAGCACTGCCAAAGCTTGTTGACAGGAATCCTGAGGTGTGCAGCAACTCGGTAAAGCTCCTTCGCCCGCGCAGAGCGCTCCTTACGAGCATCTTCTGTATTTTGTTCGCAACAATCGTGGTCCTGGGTGCAGTGAGCCACTTCACCGAAACGTCGCTTGATACACTCCGCAATAATCGTATCGTCGGTATAGTAACTGGACGGAATGTCAGGAAACGAGACATCGAGCTTCCTGGCCTGGCCAGTCAAGGCTGCGATGTAGGTATCCGACTTTGGCCTCCAATAGTCCTTTGCGAGAAACCCTTTCATGGAACGGACTAGAAGGTCCAGGTGTTTCGAAAAGAGCCAACTTGGACCAGCAATGTGACGCAATTCTCCAAAGGGACCATCACAATATCGATAACTTGGAAGTCCTAAAGTCCGGATGTCGCTCAAGCAACAAATTCTGAAGAGATCGATCGACGGGGGCTCCGCGTCTGCGCAGTCTTGTGGATATACCATGCCAGTACCTGGCATGGAAGCGGGCAGCAAGTTGAATCTGTATCGTTCCGACACCTGCGGATGTCGAGATCTAATCTGCCAGCACCACAGTCGAATCATTTTGATATCGATCGAAGCAGAGTTGATTTTCGCCATACCATTTCTATCTTTTGAGTAGTGGCAAGCTGCGAACCGCGCTGGGTGGATGAACTGTGTTAGATGTTTTGTCTCAACAAACCTCAACATGTGAGGAAAGTACAAGATGAACTGGCCGATAGTGGGAATTTTGATATCCAACATTGATTTATGTTTAGGCGCAAATCCTTCGCTGAGCCAGCCCTCCTGTTCCAGATCGGTATAGATGATCGTTGCAGCCAGTGCAGTGGTCATCGGAACGTTGTCGTGGGGATGCTTGGATAAGAAGCCATCAATTTTATTGATCATTTCCTGAGGAAACTCCAATGCGGCTATTGGCGGCTACTGCATTTTGAAATGGAGGGTGTCGTAGGTTGGACCTTGATGGACAGATCGGCATATCGCAGGCTTCCGCTCTGCTAACACGGCTGAAGGAAGTGTTTTTGCGACACCAGCAGGGTTAGAGCCAGCCTCCAAAAGATTGCTTTCCCGCTTCATAATCTGTAGAAAACGTCGCTTCGCTTCACCTTGTAGTTTGTTTCCAAGCGCAGACTTGAGATATGAAATGTTTCCCGGAATCAGCATGTTTTCCAGCCAAATGACGTCTTTACCGCCGGTAACGTCACCCGACTGAACATCCAACTCGAAAGAATCCAGACCATCTGTGTCGGTTACTTCTGCATTCCAATGAAACCCTTTCCATAAGACGACAGGCACACAATCGACAGCAGAGACGCCGACATAAAGACCTTGGATATGACTTTCGGTCGTTAGTTGCTGCATCGAGGTCATGCCCAACTTGTTTCTGAAAGCCTTTGCGTTATCGGCGCCCTTTCCCCTCTCCGCCTTGCATGCCCTTGCGGCAAGCTTAAATGCAATATGAGGAGATGTCGGGATCCTGGTGCTGTTTGTGTGTTTAATGTTGGAAAGTCTGGGATTCCAAATGACATTGTTTCTTGATGTTGTACTGTCTGTGATGAGGGTTCTATTTGTAGACTGGATTGAAAATTCGTAGCTCTCGGTCTTCTTCTTAGATGGTTTCTGGAGCCATCTTTCATCATCCACAAGGTCCTTCGGCATTCCGCCACTGGCCTCAAACACGTCGGCTTCTTGTGTTTCTTTGTAACTGCCATCTCGATTCCTCAGTCGCACTGTAGCCTTTGCCTGATCGATGGCGATCGGGGAAGCAGACATGGTTGGAGGGCAAATTTCTCAGTGTCGGCGAGGAGGAGTTTGCTATAGAATTTAGCTACTGTAGATTAAAGGTGAAGGGTCAGTTGTAAAGGAAGAGGAAGATGAGTTGCCACCAGCTAGGGAAACGCGCGTGCAGTCTGTTCCACGTGATTTTTGATTGTGAATCACAGCACGTTGCGATTTCGTGCACTAGGCGTTGACAGGTGTTGACAGCTGCTCAACAGAACCCGATGTTGGCTGCCTACGTACCGAGGCAGCAGAAGTTCAAAACCAAGCTTTGGGAAAACTGGATAATCAATAGAGTAGGAAAGAATCTAATATGGTATTAATGATTAAGTTACTTCGTCCTTTAGATACCCGATCAAAATTAATTTCCACCTAGCCATGAGCCATCAGGTCATGAAACATTCTAATGATTTTAGACTAATTAGATTTTATCAAATTTATCAATCCACTTATGGATAACAGCTTGTATCTCATCACTATTCTTCTCCATGAAAAGCATATGTCCATTTCCATGAATACCAATAGTCCCAAGTTCGATATGTTCAAGTTCCTTGCACCCAGCTTGGCGATAATATGCAGCTGTGCAGTACTCATATGGCTGATGATAAGATGCAGCTCCATTCACAATAAGAATAGGAATATCTTCAAGGTTAACCAGCTTTCGCGGTTTTGGATCGTCGGCTTGGAGAGTGCACTCTGTAGAAAGATTGTCCCGGGGAGGATGAACCTTTTTGATAAGTTCGGTTTTTGGATCCGTAACCGGAGGATCATATGTGATTGGGACATCCCATAGCCCCCACGGACGAGGGTTGTCTCCTCCAAAGTGGAATATTTCATCTTTGAACGGAGGTCCTGCAGCTTCTAAAAGAACAATAGCTTTGGTAAGATTGGGCCGTTTGTCGGCGATAAGGGTTGGCATGAAACTACCCTCACTATGTCCAAGGATGATCGCTGGTTTTCCAATCTTGTCTAACAGACTTGCTCCCGCTGCTTGCATGGCTGTTTGTTGAGTCACAGAATTATCGACAAACTGCACATTGGACGCATAAAAGGCGTCAAATATTGGATCTCCTTTCACACCGGAACCTGGCCACTGAATATGGTTGACAGCCTGAGGCCATAACATGTGATCTTGGGAGTTGGTAAAGGCTGCCTCGATCGCTTCTGCAGAGAGAATGATTGGTTTCTCGCCACCAGGGGTAGGTAGCCAAGCAGATCGACCACGAAAGGTTTGGTCAACTATGTAGAGCTCATAGCCTTGACTGAGGAATAGAGATGCCCAACCACGACCACCATCCGGCTTATTCAGAAAATTCTAGGTCTGCATATCAGCATGGGGTCAATTACAAAACGGCTTCCGAGGTATCAACTTACAGTCCCTGTCTGTGCCACGCCATGAATCATGACAATTGGGATATCCTGGGACGGACCCTTTGCCGGGGTCAACTTCTCGACATACATTTGGCCCCGAAAAATATGTCCGCCTGCGCCATCATCGACATACTGGCCCCCAGCGTAAAAGAAGGATCGGATAGCGGGAACTTCGGAATTGGCCTCGTGTGCTACGAAAGCACGAGTCACGACATCAGAGTATTTTCCGATTGTCGCTGCAAAGGCCGCGGCAAGAATACCAAGATTCATGGTGATAGATAAGCGGGATGAGCGGGTAGATGTTGGAGGTGAAATGATTGCTGACCAGTTGCCAAAGGGAACGATTGACGTCGGTCTCCGCACAGGCGTTGTCTCACCCGCGTGGTCCTTGGAAAGATCGACGAGGCTGACAGGCTGAGCCCCGGACAAAACTAGAGTCCGGTGAGAGACGTTCTGACGACAATATTCGACTGTGGTTGCACGAAATGCATAGAATATCTTTCAATGATGGCTTTACGGTTTACCACAATTGCATCATCGCTGTGTTATCTGTTTGCATCATACTCTGCATTGTGTACCCTCAGGTACCAACTTTTATGCCGTACAATGAAATGCAAGATCTGGAAAAGGAAATCATTTTTCACAATCAATTTTGATCAAGCTCTTGATGTAATTCAAAAAAATTAACTACCTGAGCTTCCGTTCTTACTATACTCAACTTAGAACAAGGCAGTAAGTAAGACCAGTGCAACATAATCTTGGTCTTAATTTAGAGTGTCAGATCTTATGATATATATGAATACTACGTTTCCGTTATGTTGCGTTTCCTCCGATTGGACAAGTCCTTACCACTGAGATCTTAGGAAATCTACCTCAATTTAAATCCCAGTATCGTCGATGATTCGGACTCCGATATCCTAACTAGATGGAAACCTTTCACCTAGAGTAGCTTCGTGCATGAGCCGTTGATTCCCTTTGTTGCTGGTCAGTCTACTCTTATCTATTGATTCATTCATACCAGATGGCCATTGTCTCGGCCGATAGGAAATAGGCCGTAGGCCTTTGGGTGCACCAGATTGATGAAAGATGGTTGGAAGAAATGTGAAACAATAATATTATTGGTTATATGATTCAAAGAAAGCCCCTTCAAAAGATCCAATTGATACGAATGGCCGGTGCCTGAAGGTACAGTGTTCATATACTCATCACTATAGGCAGGAGCCATCAGCCCGCCCGACTCATCGTCCTACCTCGACGGCAGGACGGCTTGAACTAGATGATGGATGGCGCCTTTCACCTGAAGAGCCGCTTCTACTTGCCCCTCAGCGGCAAGACGGTCTTAGTTATTATACGACCATGAACTCCGTAATTCTAGCATCGTAGTATCTCAAAATACCAACTTTGATAAAACACAATTCAGAAAAATGTCTGACGGCTATCGAATGTTTAGCGAATTGCACACACCCTCCACCACCCGATCCGCGAAACCTGTCCGTCTGAGGCTTGCTTGCGACGCTTGTACGACGGCAAAAGTGCGGTGCAGCAGAACTCACCCTTGCGAGCGCTGTGAAGATAATGGCCAAGCGAGAGAGTGTTCTTACAGTGCATCGCGAAGACATGGCAAGCGGGCAAGACATCGTAAGATTACTGAAACGCAAACGCAAAGATATTCGTCATCGAGCAACACAGCCGCGTCTCCTTCTACTCTCACCACGTTCGGCAACGGGTTTGAGGGTATCTCCATCTCCGATCTAGCTTGGGATTACAGAGCCTCGGGATACTCAGCATGGGGCGATTGCACGGCTTTGGATAATTGGAAACCACCCATTGACGTCCCTATCGACTTTGATGGGTTGAATGCTATATCTTGGGTAGATCCATGGACTTCTTTGGGCTTTGGGTTGGATGTCAGTCCATCAGGGTCGAGTGGCATATTATCTCCAGACTCATTGCTGTCGATCGAACCAGCAGATCCAACTACAGCCACCAAGATGCAGGCTTTCAAACAGCCACATGAATGTGAAGAAGCGGCTTTACGTCTACTGCAATCACTTCACTGCAACGATCAAACGACAGAGTTTTGTAAACAAGCACACGGAAATGAATCACCACACCCAGTCCCAAGCATTGATACAGTCTTATCCGTCAACAAAGCTGCCCTGGCAAACATCATTCCTCTTCTAAAGTGCGCTTGTGCGCGAAAACCTCATATCACGATGCTGCACGGTGCAATACTATCAAAGGTCATCTTCTGGTACAAAGTCGCAGTCACGGCTCGTTATCATACAGAAGGCGTCGCTATCAGACCGATCAAGATTCAACTAGGGATGTTGGACCTTGATGAAGAAGATCAAGCAACACTGCAGAAGACTGTGTTGCTGAGAGAATTACGCAAAGCAGAAACAGTCATGGAGACTTTTGAATCCTCTTATAACACGAAGGGCGAAATGGCAAGTTGGAATGTCTCTGCGGCGAGGAGTATGACGGAACAGTTGCAGGATATTATTCGGAAGATTAAAAATGGACACGAAGACTTTACGTAGGGGTTGTCGTTCCTTACATTCTGGGCAGGCAAGAACTACACGAAATTGATTTGATCTGCGTCACATCTTCGGGGCACAATACCCCTGACTTCAATTTCAATATTTTCGGAGTACTGAGAAACAAGTTACTTCAGGATCAGATTTGTTTGATCGATAAGATCTCGTCGAGCGAACAAAGCATCGGACGTCATGTGACATAGTGGACACTCTGCCATGGTATCTATCTGAGAGAGTAGGCTCTACATCTTGATAATCGACCCGGTTCTTTGCGGTGCAGCCATTAGTTGTCTCAGTGATGGAACTCGGAAGCCGAAAGAATGCCTATAGGAATGCGGGAAACCTTGCAACTCATGGAAGGCCGACATCGTTATCGCGGAAACCCATGTGAGCATTGTGAGATGAAGCAGATACCCGTCAATATTCCTTGATTTGACCCGAGTTGCATGAAGGGGAAAGTAATGTCTGCATGGGCGCAGAAAAGAAAAAAAAAACGGGCCATGTTTCACATACCTCAGCTTTGTTGACGTGTCTGTCGATATTTATAGGATATGCCGTCCAGGCAGGGCGCGATTGTACAATTACTTCATCTTTGGAGATGCAAATTAGAATAAGTCACGACGGACATACCAGGACTTAAAAGAATGGAACCTGGTGGATTCATGTCTTGCTCGGTCTCCCTTTTTCTCACAGTCGCGAGGTCAAGATGACAGTTGCGGGGCATCGGACAGGTACGACAAAGTCCAGTTACACAAACACAACCAACAAGCTTCTACGGTCAAGTATCGTTCCGGACTCCGAGACATTGACTTGATCTGATAGGTAGATGTCTACCAGTCGCATTTTGTGAGGGGATATCTTGGCAAGGCGTGCTAAGGAATTCCAAAACAAGCAAACATGTTTTAGTATAAGCCATGTTTGCTCCATGCATGTTACCCAACGCATAAAAGGCGTACCTCACTTCTTCTCTACTCAACCTCTTTTCTTGTGCTAATAATAACATCTTCCCCTCATTTCCCTTCAGAAGCATTTGAAACCTCATCATCAAAATGGCATCAACACTCGGGAAATACGCCTCCAAGCTCGCAGGTTCTCGCGTCCTCGTCATCGGCGGTTCTTCAGGTATCGGCTTCGGTGTCGCTGAAGCAGCCATCCAAAACGGCGCTTCATCCGTCTTCATCGCCTCCTCATCCAAAGAGAAGATCGCCACCGCTATCGAGCGTCTCAGGGAAAAGAACCAGTCCACCGAATTTAACCTTCACGGCGTTACTTGCAACCTCGGCTCCCCTGAAACACTCAACAAGGAAGTCGAAAACCTCTTTACCCAAGTATCCAAGCATGGAAAGCTGGACCATGTCGTCTTTACAGCTGGAGATAAGCTCGCTGTCGGAAAACTCGAGGAGTTTTCACTCAAGGACATCCAGCAGGCTGGTACTGTACGGTTCTTTGCGCCCCTTGTTGTTGCACAGCAGCTTCGAAAGCATCTGAACGAATCCGAAACTTCTTCTTTCACAGTCGCCACTGGCGGTGCTGTCGAGCATGCGTCCAAGGACTGGACTGTCATGTATTCTTACCTCTCCGGTCTACGAGGTATGGTTCGCGGCCTGGCCGTTGATCTTGCTCCTATCCGCGTCAACGCTGTTGCACAGGGCCCGATCGAGACGGAGCTTTGGGATAATGTCAAGCAGGCTGGATACTGGGATGCTGTGACTGGTCGTCTCAAGGCTAGAATGACTACAGGAGCTATCGGACAGGTAGAGGATGTGGCTGAGACCTATGTCTACTTGATGAAGAACAAGAATGCTTCTGGAAGTATTGTTGAGACTACTGGAGGAACGCTCATGTCTTAGATTGGAGACTAGTATCCAACTTTCGGTTTAATTAGAACTATGAAGTGCAGAATGAAAACAAAACCCATGGCTGTTTATGACATCATAATTTCTGATTATTTACCTATTTCCCCCTCAACATTCTCTGTGCCGAATAAAGCGATGTCTCTGCATCAGAGCAGCAGAAAGCTTGGCCGCTGGAGGCATAAGAGGCGGAATTACTAAGTCAGTTTATGCAATTTTAGGTACTACTATCAGTCAATTTGTTCTTGTACCCTAAAGCTTAGAGACCGACTTTTCTTTCTGTTACCTACATCACCTTGGAGCTCGCGACATTCGTGTCAAGCTTTGTGCGACTGTTCAAACAACAAGTGCATTTTCACAACGAGAGTCTTGCAAGTGCCGTGTAACTCAATCTGTTGCGTCAATTGGTTATTGTCAAATTTCTGTTTTCGCGCTTCGGACTTTCAAGCGAATCTCTGTGACACAAATTCATTTCGGCCTTTCGCTGTCAACTTCGCGTTTCGGACTTAGCACATCCCAACTCCGCTTTGTGGAAGGACAATGCAAGGATGAAAGATTGGTCATATTTGGTTGCACAAATGTGATTGAGGATGTCAAATGGTGTATTCATTTGCTAACCTAGTCGTCATTATCTGACTAGTGATTGCATTCAATTTGGTCAACATGATGCTGTCTCATCTACCTAATAGAGCAGCTCTACATCGCTTTCAAACACTTTCATACCAAATCAGACGCATCATGACAATGAAAGAAGCAATTGTTTCCAGCGGTCCAAAAGTGAAGATCATCGACAGCCCGATTCCAAAAGCAGGGCCTGGACAGGTTGTTACCAAGGTTGCTTTCGCTGCAAGCAACCCCAAAGATTGGTGAGCAATGCGGATACTTATTTTGATATTTCAAGGACGCTAATCTTCTCTAGGAAGCGACCTTTGTATTGGGGTGCTAAAGGTACCGGGAACCAAGGCGATGAACATGCCGGCGTTGTTCATGAAGTTGGTGAAGGAGTGTATGAGTTCAAACCAGGTGATCGCGTTGCGGCGATGCATGAGATGAAGACGTCTGGTGGGAGTTATGCTGAGTATGGTGTGAGTCCTGCTTATACTACATTCAAGCTACCAGACAACACTTCCTTCCAAGGTGAGTAATTGCTACTCAGGTTATGATCATGACTAACAGGGATGGAAGAGGGCGCTACAATACCACTCACAGCACTAACTGCTGCTTGTGCACTGTACGCACGTCTCAAGCTCCCAGAACCATGGCTTCCAGTCCCAGACTCTGAGAGAATTCCTTTGGTTATCTGGGGGGCTTCTTCAGCAGTTGGGTCATATGCAATCCAACTTGCTAGACGGTCCAATATTCATCCTCTCATCTGCATAGCTGGTCGCGCCCAAGAGCATGTAGATAGTCTGATTGATAGAAGCAAAGGCGACACAGTCATCGACTACAGACAAGGCCGCAACACAGTCATCCAAGAGATTAATGCCTGTCTCGGGGACAAGAAGCTACAATACGCATTCGATGCGATATCAGAGGGAGGTTCCTACCAAGCTATCTGCGAAGTTCTTGATGGGGCTACTGGCAAGATCACTCTCATAATTCCAGCCCAAAGCTATTCAGATATTCCAAAGACCATTACCAAATCTGTTACTACTGTCGCGAGTGTTCATGAAGATCTGAAAGACTTTGGGTACATTTACACGAAATATTTCAGCAAGGGGCTTGAGGATGGCTGGCTGAAAGCGCATCCACAGGAAGTGATCCCAGGTGGCTTGGAGGGTATCGAGGAGGGTTTGGTGAAGTTGGAGAATGGGACGGCGAGTGCTGTTAAGTATGTGTATAAGATTGAGGGTACACCTGGTGTCGAGTCTTGATTGGTATGGCCTGTACGATAATGTTGGTATTATTTTGATTCATGGTTCTTGTTCTTTGTTGTCAAGACGATGATAGTGTTAGTCTTCAGCTACCCGTAACTTTTTCGTACCCTCAAGGTATCAGAAAACTTGGGTACTAGAAGCAGAAGAGATAAAATTAGCAGGTCAGCTTATGGGATTCAGGTGGGCTTTCTTAGGTTATTTATTTTTGTAGCCTAAACTTCGCAGATCCTCTTTTCTGTCCAGTACCCTCCGCTATCGGTTCCTCCAACTCGGATTAACCTAATCCGGCGGGGTCATTTTCTCAGTCCAAACTCACCTGAAAATTCTTCGCGGGGTAAAAAAGTGCCCCGCGAACGTATGATAATAATCTTTTACATCACATCCCAATTAAAGTGATATCATCAAAAACAAAAATGTCTGCTTACGATACCTACCAGACTTCCCTCACGGGTCGATACTGCAGCCAGGAGCTGTCTCACCTTTTCAGTCAGCGATCTCGTCACTCAACATGGCGCAAGCTCTGGCTTTACCTCGCTGAGAGTGAGAAGGAGTTGGGTATCCCCACTATCACTGATGAGGCTCTCGAGCAGATGCGGGCCAACCTCATTGTCACTGATGAGGACTTTGAGACTGCTCGTGTTGAGGAGAAGATTCGTCGACATGTAAGCAATTATTACTGGACACTCAGAAAAGTAATTGGTAGCTAACTTGTGTAAATGTAGGATGTCATGGCTGTAAGACTTGTAAACAAATAATGGCATCATGCTATATGCTAATGAAAAATAGCACGTCCACGCCTTTGGACAAGTTGCCCCTGCTGCCGCTGGTATCATCCACTACGGCGCAACAAGCTGCTACGTCACCGACAACACAGAGCTCATCCTCATGAGAGACGCCCTCGATATTCTCATCCCCAAGCTGGCCAAGGTCCTCTCCAACCTTCAGTCTTTCGCCCTCGAGTGGAAGAACGAGCCCACTCTCTCCTTCACACATCTCCAGCCCGCTCAGATCAGCACAGTCGGCAAGCGAGCTGCCGCCTGGGCCCAGGATCTCCTCATGGACCTTCAGGAGTTCGAGCGCGTCCGATCTGAGCTCAAGTTCCGTGGTGCCCAGGGTACCACCGGTACTCAAGCCAGTTTCCTCGAGATTTTCGCTGGTGATCATGACAAGTGCGACAAGATCAACGAGCTTCTCTGCAAAAAGGCTGGTTTCGAGGAGTGCTACGATATTTCTACCCAGACATACACCCGAAAAGTCGACTGTCTTGTTGCCAACGCCGTCACTGGTCTCGGCACCAGTGCTACCAAGATTGCTTCTGATCTGCGACATCTTGCCACCATGAAGGAGGTTGGTGAGCCCAGAGAGAAGGGTCAAATTGGTAGCAGTGCTATGGTGAGTTTAGACAACAGTATTCAGTTGAAATTTGACGGCTCGCTGATTTTAATTTAGGCCTACAAGCAGAACCCTATGCGATCTGAGCGCATTGCCAGTCTTGCCCGTGTCCTGCAAGGAAAGGCTGCCAACTTCCAGAGCACTCACTCTACTCAGTGGATGGAGCGATCTCTGGATGATTCCGCTTGCGTAAGTACCCCTGAACCATCTATCATTTGAAAAGCACACTATGCCTGTTCTTGATCTCATCTAACCGATACCAGCGACGCATGGATATCCCCGAGATGTTCCTCCTCGCCGACGCCATCACCATCACCCTTCAGAACGTCACCGAGGGTCTCGTTGTCTTCCCCCTCAAGATCCATTCCAACATCATGGCTGAGCTACCATTCATGATCACAGAGAACGTCATCATGCGCCTAGTAGCCATGGGCGTGTCCCGCCAAGAGTAAGCAGTCGAAATCCTCCACTACTTGAGAAATCCTTTAACAAAAACCAACAGGGCCCACGAGCAAATCCGTGTCCTCTCCTTCGAGGCCTCTCACCAGGTCCAAAGTCTCGGCAAGCCCAACGACATGGTCGAGCGAATCAAGAACACCGAGTTCTTCAAGCCCATCTGGGCTGACCTCGACGACATGATGAAGCCCGAGCTTTACATCGGTCGCAGCGCTCAGCTTGTTGACAAGTTCTGCGGACCCGGAGGTAAGCTTGAGAAGAAGCTTCAGCCTTACCAGGAGGTCATCCAGAAGGCCAAGGCTGCTGAGTTGAATGTTTAAAAAAAAAAAAAAAAAAAAAAAAAAAAGGTGAAAAATATGTGAATGGCGATTTAGATCCAGTAGATTGTTTTTCAAGTTAGGATAAAATGTAAAACTATTTTCAGGAAGCTTTTCGTTGATATCATGTATCATCTGCAGGTTCCCATAACAATGTGGATCAGCGGCTTGTCACCGCATGAACCTCACATCATAAATGATCCACGTTAGTTTCCAAGCAAGGAAGCTCTTATTGACAATTCTTTTTGTGGCCTTGAAGGAAAACAATTTCTAATCACGGTCTTCATCATACTTTGAAGACAACTCCATCAATAAGCCACGGTCTTCATTCCTCTCAAGTATCCAATATCACGCCAACACTGTTACCCTGTAGCTCTCTCTATCCCTGTAAATCGTGTAACCCGAAACGTCCAAGCTTTTTAGGTTTGCTCTACAAGACGTTTCCTCTTCAACAAGCACAGGTAAAAATGATGGTTAATAATTCTTGAGGCTCATGCCTTTGCTTTCAGCGGTGGGCTTTCACCGTTTATGTCATGTTCCCAGCTTCCAGGATATTTTTGATGGCCCCAATTCCTTGGCCTTATCACAGGCCTTTACCGCCAGTAGTCGGCGAATCGGAAACCACGCCACATACAACTGTACCTATTGTTGATTTACACGTCACTGTTGTACTGGGCCCCAAAGACCAGGATGGTCCAACCATCGCTTTTTTGCGAGTAATTGCCCCGCCTTTACTAGCGGAGTTCATGAGATGATACGGTATTGTTCAATCTGTATGTGGAGATTCATATGTGTTGTGCTTGTGTGCTGTCTTCAAGAGTCACATATTCCCCTTTGTTGGGTTGATGCCTTTCGCTATTTCTCAAAAACCTCCCGCAGTCGAACGAATCTATCCAATCCCTTTTCGAGGTTTGTTTCGTTTCATAGGTGGAAAACAGACACACCAGACAGCAAACCAATTACTTCCTCTTTGTATTGGTTGTGGCATCCAAATCATTCATCCATAATATCAACTTTACGTCCCACAGGCCATCAGTCGACATCATGGTCGTCTCTGGTGACGGAATCATTCTTCCTGCCCTCGGCCAGGATGTGCAACTCGGCATGTTGTACAATGTCCGCACCTCAGAACTGTTTGCAGGCATATCTCTATGGGATAATGCCGTTGTCAATAATGAGCAGACGAAGGATGAGAGCAAGGTCCAAAATGCCGAGTTTTACTATTCTACATCTATCGAAGATTCCCGCAAGAAGTCGGCTCTTGATGTCGAGGGATCTCTCGCCCTGGATCTGAAAATAATTCAAGCAACCGGCTCCGCCAAGTATCTGAGCGATACCAAATCTTCCACACATGAGGCACGCCTTGATGCATCATGCACTGTTACTCGGTGGACTCGCCGAATCCCACAAGAAACCCTCTCTTCCATGAAGTACCACCGCACCCTCGATAATCCTCGGTTTACACACTTTGTTGCTGAAGTGGTCGAGGGTGGAAGTGCAACTATTAGTTTGGTCCGCTCTGCTTCTTCGGAAGAGGAAGCAAAAGAGATAGCTGGAGATTTAAAAGCCACACTCGTCGGTGTCCCAGTTAGTGGCTCGGCCAAGCTGGAATACAAAGATGTGAGCGATGCCAACCGCGAGAACGTCAAGATCTCATACAGTGGCGCCATTGCTGAGAACGTGTCCACGTGGGAGGACGCTCGTCGCATTGCAACTGAGATGCCAACTAAGCTAGCTAAGCAGACTAATACGCTTTACTACAAGCTTCTTCCCGTCGACCTCCTTGATAGCAATGCCAACCGTCTGATTCGCAGCCTTGACGCTGGTATCGTCAACAGAACAGCTGTAGCCCTCAAGACAGGAACTACGGCCCGTCTGAGACTGGACGAGTTGCTACAGCACGAGGTGCTTCGCAATTGGTTCCCTAAGATCAAAGGCCAAATCCGCGGTCTACGGGAAGCCTTTTTGGAAGGCGAATCAGACTTCATTGAAGCAGCACGTCGTCTTCTACCAGAACTACGGGACGGTACTACCGACTACAGTAGTAAGATCTCGGAGCTGCGAAAAGCTGTTTCTCTATTTGAACAGCGTGTTCGAATTGCGGATCAGTTTGCAGATCTGAAACAGAAGGAACTAGAAGTTCTTCAGTCAACAGTTGCCTCCATGTTAGGTCAAGGCTTCCAAAATCATCTAGGCGGGCTGAAAGCAGAGTCCCTGACAACTGTTTCTGCGCCGAGAGTACTACTATCATTTGGTGGAACCCAGATCAATCGCAGTCGCCACCACCTAGAGAAAAAGATGCAATCAACCGAGCTATCCGACAGTGAGGATGACAGCAGTGACGAAGAAGAAAAAGAAAAATGCGAAGAAGAGTGGTTCGAGAGTTCACGGACTGTCAACAGCGTCAGAGCAGCCTGTGCAGAACTGGTCAGCTTGCGCCCGAGTGCGCCAGATGAAGTCATATTCGGTGTGGCGAGCGTGGACAAAGCCTATCGTCCGAATGAAGAAAAGCTCGTGTCCACTAGAATTGGCGATATTATACTTGGCTACAATGATCAATTTACGATCGTTACCGGCATGCTCCCCAAAGCGCCAGCGGCGCCCACGTTGGTGATCAAAGAACAGGGCATAGCTCTGTCTTGGGAAAAGGAGCAAAGCGACGAACTGGAATCTGCTATTCCAACAAATTCCTACATTGTTCGCTACCGTCCTATCCCTAACGCTGAGAAAGATGGTGTCCTTCCTCGCGTAACAGCAAACGAAACATTCATCGAACTGGAACTCGACCCGTCCGAGAGTTCTGTTATCCCGAGAAAGAACGGAACAGGTGATTCGTTGTTTGATGACTGTGACTATGAAGTCATGCTCAGCGTTAAGACGATAATAGGGCTGTCTGGTTGGAGTGTCCCTGCTGTTGTCCGAACACCTCGCTGGCCCTCTGTGGCCTCTAGGATGATAGACTTCCATGAAAGGAACCATCAAACATTATCCAACCCCAACCGAAAGGGCACAAAGCCATGGGATATGGATAAGGAGGCTGGTAACAGGACACTCTTCTTGGGACACACAACTATCGTCGATCGTAATTGTAGCGATCCTCGCTTCCCAGACACTGTCGCAGTGCGCATCGTTGACGTTGCAGCTGAATTTGAAGCCAGCATCCCCGCTGCAGATATTGCTGACAAGAATAACACTATTGTCACTGTCTTTACAGGTCCCAGTGGCCACGGGAAGAGTACTCAGATCAATGCGTTCGTTTCATACTTACTCGGCGGTGATTTTGAGGACTTTGCACGCATCATGATGATAGACGACCGCAGTACCAGTAAGACATCGTCACAGTTTGTAACCTGCTACCGCATCAGACCATTCTCTCCGCTCTTTCGAGGTAAAACAATGCTCATTGTGGACGCACCTGGCTTTGGAGATTCGAGAGGTTACCAACGGGACAATTTCGTCACCGCCGCCATGTCAGACTTCTTTAGCACAGTTAGCCATGTAAACGCCATCTTCTTTACATGCCGTGCAATGGAGTCTCGGACTACCTTTTTAACACCTGTTTCTACATACGTATCACAGCTCTTCGCCAAAGATGTTGAGGACTGTCTTCGAACTATCTATACTTTCGGCGATTCTGGTAAACCAGGTGCACACGACACTCTTCAAAAACTCGGCTGGCCTGTGCAGAATGGAGAGATCTCGGTCAACAACTCTGCATTCACTGCCACACTAGATGTCACCGACATCGATCATCTCCGGGATATGTGGTTGTGGTCCACAAGAGGCCAGTTCCAGGTCATGGCCATGCTTCTCAAAACCACTCCCGTGCCTACTGATTCCAGCGCCGAAGTGATACGAGACCGCATTGATCTTGAACAAAAGTGCGCCCTTACCGAACAAAAGATCTTTAAGACGGCAACTGAAGCATGGAACCTAATCGAGAACTTGGATACCCTCGCTGATACGACTGGAAAAGCCCCAGATGCTGAAATTTCCATCACCGAAGATCGGGTAGTGACACAGGATCTACCTGAAGGTAAAGGATCAACACGATGCCTTACCTGCAATATAACCTGCCACGAGATCTGTCCGTATAGCAATGACGAGGACAAAAAGTACTGCGAGACTATTAAGGACGAGAAGTGCATCATTTGTCACTGCCACTGGTCGGAGCATTGCAACATGCGGTACATGATTAGGACAAAAAGAGTCACTCGCACTATTGTCCCCGAAGATGCGATCAAAACCTGGAATGAAAGCACTAATGAGCTCGAGACATCACTTCTCAGTGCTATCGATGCTTACCTCGAGCTACAGCAAGAGCTCCGAGATGAGCTTCTCGATCTAGCTCAGCTGACCGAGAAGCTCATGACAAAGGCATTGTTTCACGATCCATCGGCCTTCATCAACTACATGGACAGGCTGATCCATACTGCGCGCGCGTATAGCTTCCCTCCCGCGAAGCTTGTTCAATTAGTCACTGCCAAGAACACGTTTTTGTTGCTTCAAAAGATTAAAGAGCAAGGGAGCGCTGCAGCGCTTGAACCAGAGGCGTTACTTGGTATACTTGGGAGTGTAAGGACGGAAATGCATCGCCGAATGAAACTGGAGATGCACCAAAGAGTGCGTGAGGAGAAAGTCCCATGCAGTCTTTACGATACTCTTCTCGAGAAGCTTCCCACCTCTATCAAAGACAAGGCCCCGACGCCTCATCGAGAAGAGGGAGTGTCGACTAAAGGAGAGTTTTATTCTGCGAACTTGAAGGCGGTTGTATTACTTGTCAAAACTGTGCTTAAAGATGGCGGTGTTGTCGCAGCGCTTGCTGTCAAAGGGTAGATTACAGTTAGGATGGAATTAATAATGAACTGGCCAGGAAATGTTTAAGATGTTTTCTTTCTTTTAAATTAGATATAATTGAACTTGGTTACCACACATTCAGATCCATTAGTTTAACTATGATGGGGGCTCCCATCAAACTCACTTCCCAGAAAGGAACCTCAGGGTATCAGAAAAATTGACCGGTGGAAGCATGAGAGACGAAATTAGTAGGTCACTTTATGTTACTTAGACTATAGTACTTAGACTATTTAATTCTATATCTTAAGGCTTAGGGGGCTATTCTTTCTGCTCCCCACTGAAGGACGATGTCATCGAAAATTGAACGACCAGGCAGGAATGGGCAGATAGCTTATGGCTCGGAGCCCGACCGTTATGCTAACAATCATGTGCTACCATCGAGATATGGAGATATGATGCTGATAGAACGTGATATCTTTGTAATCGACGTTTCACTCCCAGAGAACGGTTCATTTACTATGCTTCGGCCTCCGAATTGAGACACATACTGTGTCGGGTATCTACTCAAGATCATTAAATCCACGATAACCACATCCAGATCATGGCCAGTCAATCGTCTTAAACTTGGCTGTACCCTCATACCAAGGAGGCTATGCCAGTGTGTGTAGCAAACATCTCGGGATAGTTGACTCATTGGGAGATAGTAGCGGGATCATCAATTCAGCTGAGCCCTTAGCGCCAACGACGTCGAAGATCCTCATGGGGATCATCTCGGGAAACATGTCGGGAATGATGGTAGTACGAAGAAATTTGGAGTTTGTGGCGCTTGACAATAGGATGCTAAGTCCTGCAGGGCGTTGTTAGTGAGATATCGTAGGCTTCAAATAAGGAAGCTACCACTGTCTGACAAGAAGATGATGCCCATCACTTTCTGCTCCTTGATCGCTACCTTGTACAGAAAAATGCATACTCAGGATATGGAGAAGCCTCAAACCAACGGCGTGGGTGAAGTCCCACCTAGTGCCAAACAGCTCTTGAACGGAGACACAAATGGTATCTCCATCAATGACAACTCTCAACCAAAATGCACCAGAACACCTGAAGAACGACTTGAAGACTCGCTACAGAGAGGCATTGACCTTCAAGTCATGCGATACCCAGAGACCGGCATCACTGTTCTTATTGCTGGTGCTGGTCTAGGAGGCGTAACCTGCGCTCTCGAATGTTGGCGTAAAGGCCACACAGTTCGCGTCCTGGACCGTAGTCTAACACCAGTCTGGACGGGTGACAATGTACAAATCCAACCCAGCGCAATCCTCTTGCTTCGACACTGGCCCGACATGGGCTACGAGATTGAGGAGTGCCAATACGACGTTGCCATGTCATACTACAAGCAGACTGGCGAAAGGATCTGGGGTCCTGCGCCACCCATGTTCAATGATCCCGAGAATCTCAAGGGAAGGCGCGGTTTCCCTTCTGTCAATGCACATAGTCGCATTAAGCTGTACCGCGCGTTTCTACGACAAGCGGAACGTGTGGGAATTCAGGTAGAATGGGGATGCAAAGTTGTTGAGTACTGGGAAGATCTCGGGCAGGGTTCTGGAGGTGTTACTCTTGAGAATGGCGAGAAGCGCACTGCTGATATCGTTGTCGCGGCTGATGGCTTACGCACCAAGTCCAACACCATCGTCCCTATGCCTGAGACATTGGCGACGAGTGGCAAGGCGATTTATCGGGCGGGATACCCGGTTGAGTATGCACTGAAGGATCCTGTGGTCAAAGAGATGTGGAACTTTGACCCCAAGGGACAACCTATTTGGCAGTTCTGGCTCGGGTGAGTTGCTTGATGTGCACCTGGAACGATTAACTGACTATCCACAGTAACGGATCGCACAACATGATTGCTCTCACTCATGATATCGCTTTCTGGAGCTTCATCCACTCGGTAAGTCCAAATGCATACCATATTTAGCACAACCCAACTGACTTGCAAAGCATGACGAGTCAGCCAATGAGTCCTGGGTTCCAGACGTTGACCCAGCAGAAGTCATAGCCGCCATGGAAAAGAACAATGCAGTACACCCAGCTGTAGCAGCCTTTATCAAGACAGCCCCCAAAGGCTCTGTGGTAAACTGGCAGCTCAAGTTCAGAGATCCCCACGAACAATGGACATCTCCTGGAGGCCGCGTCGTCCAACTCGGCGACGCAGCGCATGCATTCCTCCCAACATCGGGCAACGGCGCCACCCAGGCGATTGAAGACGGCGTCACCCTCGCAACATGTCTTCAACTAGCAGGTAAATCGCAAGCCGCCAATGCGACAAAGGCTTATAACAAGCTACGCTTCCAGCGCGTGTCATGCGGGCAGAAGATGGGGTTTGTAAACCAGCAGCTCAAGCAGCATACTGATTGGGATGCTATCGCCAAGAACCCAGCGCTGATCCGATCGCGATATCCGAAGTGGATTTGGAGTCATGATCCGGAGGCGTATGCGTATGAGAAGTTCTGCGAGGCTTTGCATCATGTTGTGAGTGGTGGGAAGATTCCGTTGCATAACACTAATTTTCCTAAGGGTCATCGGTATCGACATTGGACGATGAAGGAGGTACAGGAGCAAATCAAGGCTGGGGAGAAGTTGGAGGATTTGCAAGATGGAGATTGGGCTTAGAAGAGTTTTTATTAGTGTCGGGGATTGATCTTAAGGATAGTTAGTGATATTTTTCGGGCATTTGAATCTTCGTCTACCTAGTGTGTCTTGCTTTCGACCTTGAACTTGGCTTGAGTATCGCACTTGGCATTCTTGGGTCAAAGTGCTCTATGAATCACTGTCAATCACTGTCAATATGCGAGTCACTGTCAATCACTATCAGTCTGTCAATAACTGCCCGTGAATTACACCGAAGCCTGAGTCGCTCCGAAGCCGGAATCTCCCTTCTTCTAGACTATTTAATCCCCCTCTTCCTCCTGCTTTCACCTCCAACTTCCACCCTCATCTATCACTTTCGTCGTCTGTCTCTGGGCGACGTTACAACGATTGAGAAGGCAAAACTGCCAATTTGCTATCATGCCACGGGGAGGAAATGTAAGTTGGCTCATTCCACATCAATTCCAGAAGTTGAAAGCTGATGACCCTCTCCAGCCACCTCGAAGAGGCTCAAGACCACACACAATGCCGCCACCACACCCGATGAGCCCAACGGCGCCGACAGTGGCAGCATGGATCTCTACGTACAGTCTTCTGCTGGTGCACTGCCTCCCGATGCCGGCAATGTCGGCCCAAAAAGAAGCGCAACCCTAACGTCGATCTTTAAACCCAAGTCAGTACTAGATGATGTCGCTTTGATCGGCAAAAATCGGTTACAGATCTATCATCACATGTTGACTATCGAATCTACACACTGCCTCTTCAACCAGGACCATCTTGGCCGCTTTGTGTGTCCTGTCGATAGCACTGGACTGACGCCATTTCTCAACCACGCGATCACTACCATTTCTGGACTTCGCCAGGAGTATCTGGCCGAAGTTTTCAAAAGAGTTGTCTTCAAATTTACGTCAAGTGAGTCGTTGAAGTTGTTCTCGGATTTCTTCCGCGCTCACTTTAACCTCAACAAAGCGCAAGTCCCCCATGTCCGCATCAAGACATTCATTCTTCACCCTGATTCGTTCCCTCAAGGGGTGGCCTTAAACCAATACCTACCTGGGTGGGTTGCTCATGGCCGTGTGGAACAAACGAACTCACATTTCAGGTCCTAGGTCTCCCAGATTGTGTCTCTATCTACCGCAGTAACCGTCGAATTCCGACTTTGTCATCCTTGGCGCAACTTCATTGATCTGAAAGGGGTGACAGCTCCACTACGACGCTCCGGTATTGACCTTCACTGTACCTTCTACGAGCCCAACTAGAGCCAGGTACCAGCGGAAGAAGGTTTACGACACTTCCTCGTCAACATGATGGAGCGTTCTGTTACGGGGGAGGAGCTGGATGACGAGAGCGCATTGATCCAAGACACCAGGTCACAGGACTTGGCTGGTACCCTCGTTTTTCATGGAACCCGGGGGTTTCGGGAGTAGCGTCTCTGGAGAATGGATGGTGGAATGTCACATAGAAGCAAAGATACCCAGCGTGTGCTTAAAAAATAAAAGTGAAACTTTTAAAACACCACACTCCTATAATTGATACCAGCATGCATTATAAAACTATGTCTTTTACATGCATAGGTCCGAGTAAGTCTTCTACCAGAGCTACATTTATGTCACTCACGGAACTCGGCAGCGTCAAACTCAACATATCCAAAATTGTGTCTATTAATCGCGGCGTCCGACTCCAATCTATCACAATCTACCCACTGAAAGAATGCCACGACAACTCATCTACAACCTCCTCCTCCAACATGACCTCAATAACTGACAGCTCACTTCCAGCAGGCGTCTCAATCGCTCGAATCTTCAATCGCGGGTCCACTTTTGTAAGAAGAGCAATCCACTCCTCAACCTCTCGCTCCTTCGCGTTAAAAGTCTGAATCATGGTCAGATCTTTCTGTCTCAGCGCCGCCTCAAATGTCTTGGAGCCGGAGCCTGGCTTAGGCAGAACCATGTCCATGATAAGAAGGTGACTGGTTGGGCCCATGGCTTCGACTACGCACTGTAGAATCTTGATGGCATCGGCGTCGGGCCAGTCGTGAAGGATGGTGCGAAGGAGGTAGACGTCAGCGTGCTTGATGGGCTGAGGTGTGAAAAAGTCGTATTCCATCACGTCAATGCGGCTGTTGATTTCCTCTGGTAAGTCCGACATGCGAGCGCGAGCGTTTTGAATCGGTTCTGGGAGGTCTTGGATGACTAAATTGAGACTGGGAAATGCTGTGGCTAGCATGATACAAGTCGAGCCACTACTGCCGCCAATCTGTACACAGTCAGTAAACCATCACCACTGTCAAAGAGAGAGATACTTACATCAATGACTGTAGCTTGCCCAAGATTGTCCCAATCGAATGCACCAAGTAAATGCTCAACATTGGAGCCGGTGTGAGACACGGCCCGACTCTTCATGTAAGCATGAAAAAGCTCATTCAAATCAGGTCGCGTCTTGAGATACTGGAAGAAGGGCAGGTCTGTGTTGTAAACAATATTATACGCCGTCTCATTCGTCGCAGACGTACTGCCCCAGCGCTGAGAGGCGTCTTTCAGCGCAGCCATGACAGGAACAGTCTGATTGAACATGTACACAAGCTGTGTTTTCACGTGAACGTCTGTAGCAAAATGACAAGACAGGTCATTGTGCGAAAGTCTTCCGTCCTTGGTTTCGCACAGAAACCCTGCAGTCATGGCCATGCGAGCGACCGATTGTAGAGTCGACATTGGGACTTTGGCTTGGATGGCGACTTGATCGTAAGAGATTGCCTTGGGAGGGAGTGGAACGAAAGAAAGTACATCAAAGTGACAGATCCAGCGAATACAGTAATACTGCTGCTGCTGGACGACAAGTTCGGTTAGAAAACTGTGAGGATCATGCACCAGCTGTTTAAGCTGAGTAGCATACTCAATCACAGAATCTCTATTAGTCTTGTTCATTTTTGGTAAGGTTATGTCGTATGCAGATAAGATCTAGGTTGTATCGTATTTGATGAAACGTAAAACGCGAGGATCGCGAGGTAACCAGGTATTTTTAATAATACGACTCTGACAGCGACTCTCTTACACGGCATCCGAAGTCCTTGAGGGCGGGAGCTAAAGAGGTACAAGAAACAAGTTGCCGATCAAATCCCCGATAAAGTCCCCGATAGCCCTGTTATTGCACTTTCGGCTGCCGTCTGACAAGCTGCATGTAACATCAGCCCAAGGGTCACAACCCTGTTTAGTGGGAGGTGCAGGATCTAGCGTCCCTGATTTGCATGATCCTGGCTGAAGATCTGCTCCTTATCGGTAGTTAGTGAGGCTCAACTCGGGAGACAATTTTATGTCAAACAGGCAAGACATGACGACATTCAGACATAAAGTAAAGAGTGATGATATCGGATTCCGAGGGGGATATCAGTATCATTGAGACAATTGATGGCGGTGAGGATGAGGATGAGAAAAGAGAAAAGAGAAATGAGAAATTATAACATTGTGATATGTTGAAACAGAAGATAAAAAGAGCACATCGTCGCTTCATTAACTGCAAGAAATAGAAACAATAGACAAGAAGAACATAGACTTTCAACCACTATAGCTTCACAAGATTCAACACCTTTGTTATGGCTTCCCACCTTAAACTGTATCTCTTTGGAGATCAAACCTTTGAGATCCAGCCTCACTTGAAAGCTCTGTTTCAGAAGCGCGACAATCTCTTCCTCCAAGACTTTCTGAACAAAGCCTACCATGCTATTCGAGTTGAGCTTTTCAAGGTTCCTTATAGCATTCGAAGAGATCTTCCCCGATTTACCTGTCTTGAGGATCTTCTCCTTTGGGATCAGAGTGGTCAACGATGTATCGCTCTGGACATGGCCATGACTACTCTTTACCAACTTGCGACGTTCATCAGGTACAGATTTCTCAGTAAAAAGGCTGTGTGGTACTCACTAACAATGTTACAGCCAAGCAGGGATTTCGTCATATGATGCACAGAGTACAAGGGTCGTTGGCCTCTGTACTGGTGCCTTCGCAGCTGCAGCTATTAGTTGCAGTAGTTTCACAGCAGACCTAATTCCCATGGCTATCAACGCTGTCATTGCCTCTTTTAGAACTGGCTTGCTCGTTACTGATACTGCCAGAAGGGTCAATGCTTCGCAGAACATGGATGACAGCTGGGCACTCCTCGTTCCAGGACAGAAAGCGTCTGCTGGTGTTGAACAGTATTGCAATGAGAACGTATGTAAAAGCGATTTGCTAATTGAGAGAAATTTGGACTGACAATTGCTCTCTGTAGGACCTTCCCTTGACAAGCAGACCTTACATAAGCGCATACGCACCTAATGGCATCACCGTCAGTGGCCCGCCGCAGCGCCTTGTTGAACTTGCACAATACTTGTCCAGCAAGAGTATCACGTCCAAAAGCATCCCAATCCATGGCGCTTATCACGCACCGCATCTCTACTCTCAAGAGGATGCGCGAGGAATTATCACCAGTTTGATGCTTAACAAGGCCACTGCCCTTTCGGAGCAGATCTCTCTCCTCTCAAGCACAGGCCTCAAGCCTGAGGAGCGCAGTTTTGATACACTCCTAGAAGACGCTGTCGCTCAGGTTTTGCTTCATCCTCTTCTCTGGACTTCAATCTTTGAAGATGTGCAAGCTTCCCTGGAAGATGCTTCTTCTGAGAAGTTCACTGTTGTGCCATTTGGTACTAACGCTGAGCACTTGATCTACACTGCTCTCAAGAAGACCTCTCTACGCTCTCTTGTCCCTGACACCACGGCCCCAAGTAAGGAATTATCTCTCGATAACATCCCTGACTCGGGATCTGGCAAGCCAAAGCTTGCCATCGTCGCCATGTCGGGTCGCTTCCCCGGCGCAAAGGACAACGAAGCATACTGGGATCTCCTCTACAAAGGCTTAGATGTTCACAAGCCAGTCCCGAACCTTCGATGGGATCAAAAGACGCATGTTGATGCAACTGGAAAAGTCAAGAATACTGGCGCTACCCCATTTGGCTGTTGGCTTGATGACCCTGGTCAATTCGATGCCCGCTTCTTCAACATCTCTCCTCGCGAGGCTCCTCAGGTTGATCCCTCTCAGAGACTGGCTCTCATGACAGCCTACGAAGCCATTGAACAAGCCGGTATAGTCCCAGACGCTACTCCCTCCACTCGTCCCGATCGCGTTGGCGTCTTCTACGGTGTTACCAGCAACGATTGGATGGAAACGAACAGCGCACAGAACATCGACACGTACTTCATCCCTGGTGGCAATAGAGCTTTTATCCCAGGTCGCATCAACTACTTCTTCAAGTTCAGCGGCCCTAGCTACGCCATCGACACAGCTTGTTCATCAAGTCTCGCAGGTATTCATCTCGCCTGCAATGCCCTCTGGCAGAACGACGTCGACACTGCCATCGCAGGTGGAACAAATGTTCTAACGAACCCCGATTTCCACGCTGGTCTTGATCGCGGCCACTTTCTGTCTCGCACAGGAAACTGCAAGACGTTTGACGACGGCGCTGATGGGTACTGTCGTGGTGAGGGTGTCGCGACGATCATCATGAAGAGGCTTGATGATGCGCTTGCTGAGAATGATCCTATTCTGGGTGTTGTACTCGGCGCGTATACGAATCATTCTGCCGAGTCGGAGAGTATCACCAGGCCCCATGTCGGAGCTCAGCGGGTCATCTTTAACAAGATCCTCAATGAGGCGGCTGTTGATCCCTATACGGTCAGCTATGTCGAGATGCATGGAACGTAAGTTTTCCTTCAATCACCTAATATTTAACCTTTTACTAATCGAATGATACAGAGGCACTCAAGCGGGCGACGCGACCGAAATGTCGTCTGTTCTAGAGACATTCGCACCACCAGTCTCAGACACCAAACTCGCTCGCACCAACAACCAGAAGCTGTACATCGGCTCAACGAAAGCCAACATTGGCCATGGAGAAGCAGCTTCTGGAGTATGCAGTGTCATTAAGGTCCTCCAAATGATGAAGAAGAACACCATCGTTCCGCACTGCGGCATCAAGACCAAGATCAACCATCGTTTCCCAACAGACTTTGAAGAGCGCAATGTTCAGATCGCGTTTAAGCCGACGCCTTGGGAAAGAGTCAGTCTTGATATCCCCAGGCGAGTCATGGTGAACAACTTCAGCGCTGCAGGTGGTAACTCTGCCCTGTTGATACAGGATGCGCCGCCCAAGAAGCAACTTACTTCTGGAAAGGATACCAGAGTTCAATTTCCCATCGCTTTCACCGCCAAGAGTGGTATTTCCCTGCAGGGCAATTTGAGATCGATGCTCAAGTTCCTTGCTGAGAGTCCCGATGTCTCTCTTGCTGAACTTTCGTACACGACCACTGCTCGCCGAATCCATCATCAACATCGGGTTCTGATCTCAGGTTCTACCCCGAGTGAGATCTGTAAAAAGATCGAGACTGCTCTTGAGAACAATACTGGAGTCAATCGCCCCAAGAGTGCACCAAAGGTGGTCTTCTCCTTCACCGGGCAAGGAGCCCAGTACCCAGGAATGGGAAAGCAGCTCTTCGAAGAGAACGCCTTCGTTCGTAAGGAACTTCTCCAACTCGACCAGATCGCTCAGAATTTAGGCTTCCCTTCTATGCTCCCCTTCATCGCGTCTGAAGAACAAGATGTTGCCAAGTTCGCGCCGTCGCTAGTCCAACTCGCCAGTGTGTCTCTTCAGATTACGCTAAGCAAGCTCTGGGCTTCTTGGGGTATTGTTCCAAGCGCGGTTGTTGGGCACAGCCTGGGAGAATATGCCGCTCTTAATGTCGCTGGCGTCCTTTCAGACACTGATACTCTCTTCCTGGTCGGAGGTAGGGCGCAATTGCTTGAGACCAAGTGCACGCGCGGTACGCATGCTATGCTTGTGGTAAAAGGGTCTCAAGCTGAGATCTCTGTGGCTTTGAAAGGCAAAGAGTATGAGACTGCTTGCATCAATTCGCCCATCGAGACAGTTCTTGCTGGACCCAACGACCAGGTAGCCAAGATCAAGGAGATTCTCACTACAGCGAACTTCAAAACCACTTTGCTCAAGGTTCCCTACGCTTTCCACTCATCACAACTTGAGCCGGTCGTTTCAGACATTGAGAAGCTAGCGAGCAGGGTTTCATTCTCAAAGCCCAACACCCCCATTCTCTGTCCTCTTGACGGCACTGTGGTGGAGGATGACGGCGTCTTCAACGCTTCTTACCTTGCAAAGCACTCACGTCAACCCGTCAACATTCTTTCCGCTCTTGCAACAGCCTACCGTGACGGCACAATCAGCGATCGCCACATGATGCTCGAAGTTGGTCCTCATCCTGCTGTCACGGGTATGGTCAAGCCCACTCTCGGTCAGCAGATAACATGTATCGCCTCGCTTCAACGTGGAAGAGCACCATGGGAGATGCTCTCCGCTGCCCTCAAGACCCTATACGATGCCGGCTCTAGTATCAACTGGGCTGGTTATCAGAGCAGCTTCCCTGGTTCGCATTCTGTTGTTGTTCTTCCAGCTTATAGCTGGGATCTCAAAGACTATTGGATCAAGTATGTCAACGACTGGTCACTCCGAAAGGGTGATCCTCCTCTGGTCATTAACAATGCGCCCAAGCTTGAGAGCACTACTATTCATCGCGTCGTTGAAGAAGATGGCGATTCTAACAAGACTCACATTGTTGTCGAGGCGGATATTGCTCGCAAGGACTTGAGCCCACTCGTTCAAGGGCATGAAGTCGACGGCATTCCTCTTTGTACCCCCTCTGTGTACGCCGACATTGGTTTGACGCTGGGCAAGTATCTGCTCGAGAAATACCAACCCCAGAACAAGGATAACATGGTTGTTGTTTCGGACATGACTGTGTCCAAAGCCTTGATCTTACGAGGCGATGGATCGAAGCAACCTATCCAGGCTCATGCTGAAGCTGACTGGTCGTCTCAATCGGTGGCGATCAAGTTCATGTCATTTGATGTAAGAATCTCCCATTAATTAAATCTATCAGTACTGACTGTGTCGCAGAACAAGGGCAAACTTCAAGAGCACTCTGCTTGTGTCGTCCGCTTCAAGGACAGAACCCACCAGGATACCCTCCAGTCCCAAGCTCAGCAAACCAAGCAAAAGATGCAGAGTCTTCGCGATCAAATCACAACTGGAGAAAGCGCCCGCTTTAATCGACCCATGGCCTACCGCATGATCAGACCCCTCGCGCGTTTCCACGATGACTATCGCGCCATCGATGAAGTCGTGCTCAACAGCGAGACTCTCGAAGCATCCAGCAAGATCAGCTTCGGAACTGTCAAGCGCGACGGGGACTTCCACACTCACCCTGCCGTCATCGATGCTCTCACCCAATCGTGCGGTTTCGCCATGAACTGTAATGATCATACCGACATTGATGTCGATGTTTACATGAATCACGGTTGGGGATCACTGGAGCTTTTCGAGACTTTGGAATTTGAGAAGCATTACACTACTTACACACAGATGAATTCTGGTGAGGGTGGACTTTGGTACGGTGATGTGACCATCTTTGATGAGGACATAGTCGTTGCTTTCTTTGGACAGATTGCGGTAAGCACTATACATGAGTATCCTCCAGTACAATACTGACAGGTTTTCAGATTCAAGGCGTTCCTCGACGCGTTCTCAAGGTCATCCTCTCTATTGAGAGTGGAAAGAAGGGTCAGCCTCAACGACAGGTTCAGGATAAACCCCAAAACACCTCCAAGCCATCCGCCGCTCCATCTTCCAAGCCAACGCAGAACAAACCGGCAGCCAAGATTGAACCCACGAAGTTCTCAACCGCCATCCGCATCATCTCAGAAGAAAGCGGCATCGAGATTGCTGACTTCACTGATGGAACTACCTTTTCGGACGTTGGCATCGACTCCCTTCTCGGTCTCACAATATCCGCTCGCTTCCAAGAGGAACTAGACATCGACCTCGACTTTAACGCCCTCTTCTTCGAACATCCCACCGTCAAAGACCTACGCAACTTCCTCCAAGGTCCGGAAGAAGACGTCAGTGGAAGCTCTTCCTCCGCAGCCAGTGACTCTGGTCGAGAATCAGACACGACTGGGAGCGCCACTCCTGAACTTCGCGAGGAGTTTGCGAAGTCCATTGACGTCGAGTTTGAGCGTGCTCTTGAGATCATCTCTGAAGAGAGCGGTGTTGCGCGCGCTGATTTGGACGATGATACCAACTTTGCTGACTGTGGTGTCGATTCGCTTTTGTCGCTTGTCATTGCGAGTCGCTTCCAGGATGCGTTTGACTTGGACGTTCGACATGAGCAGTTGTTCATGGAGTGTCAGACAGTGGCTGATTTGAGGAGCATGCTTGCCAAGGAGATGGGAGTGGTTGAAACGGCACCTGCAATTTCTGTTAACGAGCCTGCTGAAGTCCCTGCGCCTGTTGTTTCGGAAGCTGTAGCTGAAGAGACTGCCATTACTCACAGTGATGTCTCTGTTCTTGCTTCGCGAGAAAAGGCCATCACTGATCTCGTCCACAAGTACTCAGCTGGATTTTCCGCGCCGACTTCAACACCCTCTGCTTCATCTCTCACCAAGGATGGCAACGTCGTCCTCGTCACTGGAGCGTCTGGTGGTCTTGGTAGCCATCTCGTCTATGCCCTCGCTCAACTTGAAAAGGTTCACTCCATCATCTGCCTCAATCGTACAAACAGAGAGGACCCCGAGACCCGTCAATACAAGGCTATGAGAGACAAGGGTATCCGATTCCCAGAGAATCTCAAGTCCAAGCTGCGAATCTTCCAGACGGACACTTCAAAGCCTAAGCTGGGACTTTCAGACAACGAGTATGCTTCCATGGTACGTGATGTTACCCACATCATTCACAATGCCTGGCCCATGAGCGCCAAGCGTCCTCTGTCGGGCTTCGAGTCCCAATTCCAGGTCTTCCGCAATCTTCTTGATCTCGGCAACGAATGCGCCTCTAGTCGTCCCGAGGACTTCAAGTTCAGCTTCCAGATGGTATCATCCATCGGTGTAGTGGGACAGTGGGGTCTTGCAGCTGGCCAAACAGGCAAAATTATCGTTCCCGAAGAGAGAGCCACTATCGATTCACTTCTTGGTAATGGTTATGCCGAAGCGAAATGGGGGTGTGAGAGAATGCTCGATGAGACTCTTCACAAGTACTCTAACCGATTCCGTCCTATGGTCGTTCGTCTTGGTCAAATCGCCGGGTCCAAGACAAGCGGTTATTGGAACCCAATGGAGCACTTTGGATTCCTTATCAAGTCATCGCAGACACTGAACGCTCTTCCTGATGTTGAGGGCAATCTGAACTGGACTCCTGTCAACGACATTGCTGATACTCTGACTGATCTCGTCTTGTCCGACCAAGCACCTCATCCGATTTATCACATCGATAATCCCGTTGGTCAACAATGGCGCGACGTCAACGACATCCTCTCCGATACTTTACGCATCCCCAACAGAGTCCCTTTCAAAGAATGGCTCGAACTCGTACGAAAGGCACCTCAACAGGATAACCCTGCCTCTTTGCTCGCAGATTTCCTAGAAGATACATATCTGCGCATGGCATGTGGTGGTCTTGTACTCGATGTGAAGCATACTCTTGAGCATTCCAAGTCCCTGGCGGCTGTTGGACCTGTTTCGGAGACTGTGGTGAGGAAGTACATCCACATATGGAAGGAGATTGGGTTCTTGAAGACTACTGCGGAGGATAAGGCCGGCTTTGAGGCGGAGAGGATGAGACTTTGGGGACCTAGAGCATGAATATCGGGGTTTTGTTGCGGGTAATTTGGTAGGATCGTGTTTGGTCGGATTGGGACTTTTCTTATAGACTTTCTTTATGCTCGTCGAGAGTAAATAGTTCCGTCTATTTAGACGTATCTTCACATCAGTTTATCAATCCATATAGCAATTCCGCAGTTGAACCATCGTCTACATATCTCAAGCTGTGAAGAAGGAAATGTAACAAGACTCTTCCTTTGTCCGCATTTCTACAGGGCATCACCAAGGTTTACATACAAACCAATTCCTTCGTAGCACCCTTGGATATACGTGTTTGTGCTTGTTATTTCAGACAGCAGTTGGCAGTGACGTGCCACTGTCAGTGAATCACTGTGAAATGGCATTATTCACTAATTCTTTTTTTCCCCTTCTTCTCTATTTAGCGCCCTGTCAACTTTTTTCTTTTTTCTTCTTCCTTTCCTCAAACTTGCCTTGATTACGCACCTGAGCATTCTCATCCTAGACAGGCCCTGTGTTTGATGGCTCTAGCCGTTTTGTCCCCGGAGAAATGGTCATGTTGACTATAACGAAGAAGATGTGATGCGATTTCGAAAAGGGTTAAGATCAGTCGTTTCAAGAGCATGTTCTTCAATCCTTCTCTCGCATCCATCTTCTTCTTTCTATCCTTCTTCCTTGATCTATCCTAGTATACTCTGGCACTGGTTACAAGAAGCTTGGCACTTCTTGACAGTGCTCAACGGCTATCGGGGCTAGCCGAAACCGTTGGGCCTGCATTTGAGGTCGTAAAAGAAGTGAACAGGGAGGGCCGATATGCCACTTCCGGCCTCCTGGAGGAGGATGACGCCCTCCCAACGGCTTTGGCAAGACCCTAGCTGCACTTGCTACGATCGCCCAGCCTACTATGAAGAGTGGAAGCATCAAAGGACCTTGCATTTCCGCCCAATCTCTCACTCTTACACTTTACCCACTCATCCACTCGCCCACTCACTCACCTACCCACTATCCTTAACACATATTTTCTTTCATTCCCCAGCAGAAGCCGACGAGATGTTCTCCAAGACCAAGAAGAAGAATTTGACGAAGGCGGTCAGCAAACAACCAGCCAAAACAAAACAAGTCGCCAAGAAACAACCCCCGAAACCAAAGCCTGCCACCAAAGCCAGCACCCCAGGCTTGAAAACGCTGCCACTACCAGCAGCGCGGCCTGTACAGTCTACCAACTTGTATATGTTCATGAGTAACTTGCAACCAAACCAGTCCCACCCAATGAGACGAACTGCTTCCTGTTCATTCTCACAACGACGTTCAACTTGTGGACAGCCAAGTTCTGCTTCGTCAGTTCGATTACATTACCATGAGCACCCTGGTGAGTCTGGAGCCCATCATCCTGGCCAGAGTTCCTTCCAACAGTCTCCAGAGTTCCCATGCACGCCCAACCCATGTTCGTCTTTCTCAGGGCTTGGTACATCAACCCCCTATATGCCACCATCCAATACTGCCTGCCGATGTGCTCCAGACTCACAACACCACGGATTCTCACCTCCGACCATCGTAATATCCTCGAAGCCATACTTGCATTCAACATACCCTGCAGGGTACGAACACCTGCGGACGTCGGCCGGATTTCATCCATACAGTTCTGATCCAAACTTCAATGGTCTGGCGTGGCTTTCAAGAAAAGGGTTCGTGGTACAAAGAGAAATAGTTGTCACTTTCGATAACTACGACAATTTCATTCGCTCTCAGTGCCCAGGTGCTAGATTGGGAGCGCCGTGAACATCTGCTTGCGTCAAATTATGGGATGGAATACACAGTCTCTCTGCGGCTTTACGTCTTGTCGTCTTAGGCTGGGCTTACTTTATTATACCCTAGAAGGCAGTTCTACATAATAGGTTATCGATCATCTCCTATACAAGATTGACCACCCATCTCTAAGCTCCCGACTAATCTGTGACTCGTAATAACTTTATATATTTACATATCAGTCTGTAGTCCTGTCTTCCACAACTTCCGATCCAGGAATTCCAGTTGCTCTGTTCTATAAGTGTCCTCCTCCACATATGCCACCGAGGAGTTGTCAATATGAAACACCATATTTTCGGGCTCTTCCACTTCATACTTTGGCCACTCTGAGCTCTGCATCCCATCAAAATTGGGGTTCAGGTCACTTGCAAAGCTAATCCACATGCGCGACATCAAAACTGACAATCCATCAAAAGAACCGGGCCTTGGCTCCGTAGCGTTGAGCTGTGCTAGACGCTCCGTGTTGCGGAAGACAAACGGTAGATCAACCGAATGACCAGCTCCTTGTACCGGATTGCGATCTCCTGATACGACATCGAAGCGGTAGCTGTATGCCGTGAGATTGGATTCGGACCATCTTCTATTCCAAGCCCTTCTCGGCGCATGCATCGCTCTATCACCACCGAACGCAACCGCGCGCTTCCACTGCGCTCCATACGAAGCAAGCTCTCCCGAGGGACGTCCTTCAAAGGTTGCAGGGAGACCGACACGGGGAATATCAGGGTACAAAGCAGAGATGGCTTCAATGGTACTGTTGCTGGCTCCTTCTCTTCGCAGGTACGATTCCCACTCCTGTGTCGTGTTGATGCCTTTCTGAGCAAAGAAGTCACCATCATCAGTTGCCGCACCATTAATAATCGGTACACGAACAAACTTCTCCTGTCGCACTAATTCTGAGCGATCATCCTGGATGAAATCACCATCAACGATGTCAAGATAGACAGGGAACGAGACGTTGCCGATGATCTCTGCCAGTTCCAAGGATGGTACTTCCCGAAGACACTGCAAAGAATCTTTCGCAGATTCACAATCCGCCGATTTGAGAAGCGAATTGTATCCCTTATCCCAATCCGGAGCATCCTCGACTTCTTCCTCCCGAAAGTTAGTGTGGAACCCAGTCGCACTCTCAAGAATAGCCGCTCTGAACAATCCATCATCTCGGCCTCCAAAGGCGGTCAATTGAGACGCAACACCACGAGCTCCACCACTCTGGCCCCAGATGGTCACTTTCTCTGCATCACCTCCAAATGCAGCAATGTTCTCTTGGATCCACTGCAGAGCAAGTCTCTGGTCTCGAAAGCCATTATTTCCTTCACCTGCTTTCTCGACAGCAGAACTCCAGAGATATCCCCATGCTCCAAGACGATAGTTGATTGAGACGCCGATGATTGGTGTGCCCATTTTGACTGATTCGTCAACGATCCAGCTGAGGTTGGAATAGGGATCGCCGCTGTAGCCTCCGACTAGACCACCGCCGTGGATCCAGACAAGGATAGGAAGATTCGCCTCTTCGGCACCCGCTGGACGGATGACATTGAGGTGAAGACAGTTATCTGAGCCACCAGATAGTGGACCTGAGGGATATCCGTACTGGTAGCATTTGGACTGGTAGTCTGTTGCATTTCGTACCTCGGTCCAGGTTTCGTTCAAGGGCTGAGGATGTCTGAACCGAAGGTTATCCAGAGGAGGTTGGGCATAAGGCATACCGAGAAACAAGTCCTGGTTATATGCCGAGTTGTGAGTGCCATAATATGACCCATTGCGAAGCTGAACGACTGGGCTATTCGCTGGTGCTTGAGAAGCCACGCCCACGGCCGCCAACGCAAGAAGAGCAGTACCCAGCATTGCGAAATGATACTATAAAAGACTCCAACAATCTCTCAACAAAGCAATGGATTTAACCTAGGCATATATACTCTTCCTCGAGAACACTTACACGAACTACCGGCCCTCGGCGCCGATGATGGTCCCAGCGGTCTTCGGCGCCGCGTCCGAAAAACGTCACTTCCCCACAGTCATAATCCGGGGTAACGATCTTTGTGGGGATAATCCATGAAAGATTCTCCAGTTGACAGGCCAAGAGATGTTTTTCCATGGTTTGGGACGAACTACTCGGTCGTACTTCGGACACGCTATGTCAAGAAAGGGTAGATTGATGGCAAGCTGTATCATGTGAGGTCTCGGAACGTTGATTCCCCGTCCTATCTATGAGATCAAAAGCATATCCTGCAAGCACCTCGCTGAATGATGCAAAAGACTACCAAACCAACTTCTCATCTCGAAACATTCTCTCTCAGACCCTTAGTCCTCAATGTGAACTTTGTATCACCCTCTCCAAACGGTAATGAAAGCAAGTCATCTAGACTCTCCAAGTGCGCATCATTATCATGCCCAACAATCTTGTTATGCCCATTACTCTTGAGAAGCGCATCTCTTAGCACATCACCATGATGGTTCATCTCGCTGTCCGTACTATCCCTGCGACTCTCATTCAAGCTGCTGTTATCGCCGTCCAATTGCGCCGACATGGTTGACATTCTCCCTTTGAGTCTACCAGCCCATAATCCGCGAACGCCGCCTTTTTTGCGCTCTGGTACTTGATCGCTTCCAGCACTACAGACGTAGAGCAAATATTTGAGGTTTGGAAGGGAGTGCCTGATGTCTACCACGCGTAGACCTTGAGATGAGCAGAGAGCTTCGATGTCTTTGTTTAGTAGAAACCACGCATACTCAAAACGCCATTGTCCGGCGGTGGAGCCTCCGCGAGGTAAATAGAGAGGAAACTCCCTTCGTGAAACAGTCTTTTCTGATAGTTGGGAAATATCGTCGCGTGCGTATGATCGAGAGCCGAACCAGTCCAGCGGGTATGGTAAAGGATGCGCAAGGTAGAACTGTAAATGTTTCGTGACCAACGCAACGAGTCCCAGCCCAGCCGATAAAACATCCTCGGAGATGTGTTTTGCAGTCGAAGCATCATATGTCGAGTTCGGAAGTGGTATGTTGCATATTTGGAAAGAAAGTGGTGGCGCATTAGGGATTGGCGTAATGGGGAATATATCTGCAAGGTCAGAACAAATGCGCCTTCGCTGCCCTCGGATTTGTTGCTGCGTTTCTTCGAGAAGCTCTTCCGAAGCGGTCAACTTCTCTCGATTATTGGCCATATCCGTTTCCGCTTGAGCTTCAAGCTCTCTTCCTTTAGCGATAGCTTCGCGTCGGGCCCTTATCGATTCCCGTAGATCATCCCGTTTCTTTTGTGCCAAGTTGTTGGAGCGTTGTTGCGCGGCCACATACTTTTCTGCGACAGAAACAGCTTCTTGCGCCGTTTCTGACTTATCGACCGGTGAATCATCAAGCATATTATTTATCTCTTCCATAAGTCGATTTTGCGTCTCCATCGCATCTTCTATAGAGCTCTCCAAGTTGGCCAACTTCATAAGCGCGGTATATGACGACGTCGCTACTGTCGGTGCTTGTTTCGGTTCCGATATCTTATTGGGAAAGTCGAACGAGTAAACACCGTCTTCGAGGTGAAATATTAATGCGTTTGGAGGAAAGTTTCGATCCATAAGAGTGCCTATAAAGTTGAGTCGGCGCAGATCGATTGACTCGTCGAGGAGAAAGGTCCATGTCTCGGATTTCGGTCGTCTTGCCCAGACTCGAATTATCAAGGAATCGCATCTTAAAATGGCCGCTGCGCAGTCTTCCAAGCTGAAGAATTTAAAGTTGAAACTCTAGGAACCGTCAGATATCTTCGTTGTTTCTCAATTGGCACTCTTCTTACCGTCGCTCGTTCGTGCACCTCGCTGATATAAACAGGCTCAGCATCGCCATTCACATGCAACGAATAAAAAACATCCCCAACAGACCCTTCAAACAGCGACTCCAAATTCTTTTGTCTTGCAATAGGATTGACATGCGCCAAACTCAAGCTCGTCCTACGTTTCTGTTGAGGTCGCAAAGCATCATGTCGCACGCTATCCTTCCTCAAGCTCTCCGACGATCGCGACGGATGTAATTGACTCGTTTCCCTAAGAACGGGTAATTTCGTGGCTAGGTCAGCGTCGTCTGCAGTTCGAAGACTCGTGGGCGCAAAGGACAAATTGCGCAGCCATATTCCGCGAAGGTGACGAAGCTTGCGATTCTGGGCGAGAAGACGCGGGCGACGAGGTTCGGCGAGAGAAGACATTTTTTTTACATGCCGCGATTGCGCAGCTGATTATTCTGGCGACTATGACATTGGAGGGAGGAGAAGGTGAAGCTTTTGAGAAGCAGTTGGGGATGGATTTGGTGCGTGGGGAGGGGAGTCGTCATCGTAAATGAGAGCTCCGAGCTTAACTGGAATCGCGAATCGCGATAGTTGCATACCCGCTTTAATGACATTTGACAGAACTCACCTCGGCTCGACTTTTCGTACATTAGTATTCTGTTTAAATCTCCCACCTCGACAAATTGAACTTGATCGGAGAATCAATACTCTAATACTATTTATAGCGTTGTTTGTTCTATCTTGGTATGTATGAAAAGGCGACATCACAAGGGCTGAGTTGAGTGTAGTAACACAACCTGCCCTCAATCAACCTAGTGGGTGGGTATAAAAATTAAATAACCTAAGAAGTGTGGTCTAAATAGCATAAAGTGACCTACTAATTTCGTCTCTTATGCTTCTGCCGGCTAACTTTTTGGGTATCCTGATGACAACCTGATCTCCGTCAACCTACCCCGGATCAAAATGTCAAGTGAGACATTTACATCAACCTCGCATCTGTCATGACCTCCAAGGTATTAGAAACGTTGACTAATGGAGGCATAAGGATAAATTAGCGCATAAGTTTATGTTAATTAGAACAGACCTTTAGGTTATTTATTATTCTAGTCTTAAGCCTAAAGGTGGATTGTTCCATCGAAGAGCCCAGCTTCATGAATCAGAACCAAAGTCTATGATCTCAAACTCTCCAAATCATTTGTCTGCCCAAGTAGATTGACCAGAGGTAAAAACAACTTCTCCTCCTCACCACTAGCCAAAATCTCTTTCAAATCATCCCACGTCTTCCAATACCAGCCCGCACACTTCTTCGGCTCAAGAATCTTATCCCACATCAGCTTTGACCTTCCAATTGCTCTAGGGTAACATACCTGAGGCTCTGCATTCTCATCCACCATCTCACAGCGCACAAATATTGTAATATAGTGCTTTCTCTCGTCCTCAAAGACGTCATTCGTCACAGCTACGACTTTGATGGCGCGGACTTGAAGGCCTGTCTCTTCGAGGGTTTCTCTGGCTGCGCATTCGAGGAAGCTTTCGCCGTAGTCTAGATGACCGCCTGGAAGTTGAATGGTACCTATACCGTATTAGATATGTTTTATCAAGGGGGTTGGGTTGTCTACCTGCTCCATGACTACCCATTCTCTTGCCAGTGAGAAACTTGCCATCGCGGGCATAGATAAGCGCTGCGACGCCAACGCGTGGGTTAGGACCTTCAGTAGACATTATGAATGTAAATATCTTGTAATAAATTTAGAACAAGAGACAGAAGCTTGGTTTATAGAAAACACAATTCGAGCGCGATGTTATTTATTCGTTTTGTAAGTCTTAGTAGAAGGCGCAGCTCAATTGTTTGTCTGATGACTCATTTCATTGGCGCACTTGTCTATGTGCAACCCCATCTACCAGTGAGCACTAATGAACTAGAAAAATAAATAACTGGAGAGGAGAATCTGTGGACAGCAGGCGGTCAATATTGTGTTGCTCAAAGGTGCAAATCAGAGTGTTTGTATTGACCCTTAGCCTAGCGCCGAAGAACGACGCTAAGAACCAACGAACAAACAAATGGAATTGTTGGTTGAGAGCCACGAGATGAACGTCATGAGTGGTAAATTGCATTGGAAAGTGTATTGTGGAATAATCAATTGAGTAATTTTGAACGCCTCCGAGTTTATACGCTTAGAAAAGACACAGTAAATCCTGTTAGAAATAATAATCTTCATCAGTTCGTATCCATATCCATAACCAAGATTCTACGTATACATATATATATATGCAAAGGGGAGTTGGCTCGTCCCTGGTAAGTTGTCCCCAGGAAAGTAAGTAAGTTCTGGCAGATCGACATCAATCATCTGCTTGGAACTTCATATGCCTCGGCTGCATAAGGCTTGAAAAATTAATCACCGAGCCGGCGAACCGAGGCATCTGACACGCCTAGTAGGACCTGCCTACGCCGCTGAAGCAGGTCCTGCAAAAAAGGTCTCGCCCAGCTCGCCCGACAGTCACGGGAAAGGCTGCGACGGCGCGAACAGACCGTATAGTGCATCCTGCGATATATCCTTCTCCTGATCATTCAAAAAGTCAAGAAGGCCTGGCGAGTGACCAAACGCGGGATCAAAGTGGTCCATGTTCGGGATGTAATCTGATGCAGTGGCGGACATGTAAGCGCCCGTTGGCGTAGATGTGTTGGGCGCCATCGTATTTGTTGAAGGTGCCATGGCGAGTGGGAAGAAGAAACTCTCGTCAAGGCCAGCTGGATGAGGTTGTTCTGTACCAGAAGTGCCGCTTTCCTTGATACTAGTCTGGAACTCGCGAACCATGTCCTGCAGAACACTGAGGGGCTTCTTAAGACCAAAGTTGCAGCCGACTTGCAATTCGCTGAGACATGTCCAGAAGAAAGAAATGGGCTCTATAAATTGACCTCGTTCGTGTCGCTCCTGGCGAAGAATGACGATAACGGCAGAATAGACCGCATAGGAGAGCAAGAATGGTGCGCGACGGAGAGTGAAGGACTCGCGATATCGTCGGACGACTTTTTGGATCATCAATGCGCTTTGGATGCAAGCTTCTTCACCCTTTCGCTTCATGGCTTCGTCAGTGTGGCGTCTGAGATGACCTTCCTCGAGGAAAGCACGGTGTAGCAGAATGGTGAGAGCGTGGAATGTCGTACTACATATCCTTGTCAGTATTTCAATTTTTGGCATGGGACCAGTTGGGTAGACTCACTGTGGGGTGATTTGATGGGGAGGAGGTGTGACGGTGGTGGTGTCGTCGGGATCAAAGCGCAGGTGACTGGGGAGACTGCTCTGCCACTTCTCAAACTCCCTCTCGATGGATTCCTTCTTGTTCAAAAGATACTCGGTTGTGTACTTGACACACTGAATTCCATAGAGGTCGTTGATTCTCGTAGAAATCTGCAATAGGCGCACTAGACTGCTGAATGTTGACACCGCGTGAGCTGGTTGGCGACCATACGGCGGAGGAGCTGAACCTGGTGATTTAGGATCGATATAAGGTTCCCACTCTTCCAGCTCTTCAAAGGTATCAAGTAGTTGCAGGGGCACTCTGGCCTGAGCTGAAGCGAACATACAAGGCCGTCCAAGATACAAGGCCTGAGTAGCATCCGTTGTGAAGGCAGCCCAGTAGAGACGTTTGCGCATCTCCTGCTCCAAATCTGTCCTCAGCACGCGCTGCTCATTGACACCACCAGTACTCTCATAATCGGGACCGAGCATCAAATGGCATCCTAGATCAATAATCATACGATGCGCTGTTCCTGATAAACTCCATCCCGCACTTGGCTTGCCTTGTGATACCAAAGATACACTTGTGAGTAGTAGAGCAAGAGCAGAAGGAATGCTGGGCTTGTCGAGTTCATCTATCAAAAGCTCACGGAATCGATCGTAGAAGCGCCTGCCGACACTTTGAGGATCGTCAGGATCAGCGCGAAGACATGGGCGATCGCTGTAGAGGGACGTCGAGTAAAAAATGGCATTGAGAAGGAGTTTATTGGCGAAAGGACCGCCACCGCTGGCAAGACTGTCCATGATAGCAGGTCGGTATGAGATGAGGTAAGCGTAATGTTGTCGGTTGAAGTGCAAGTCAAGAAGATGCTTGGCAAGTTCGGGGTCTACTCCGTCCAGATCCATCAAGTCTCTTGGGTTTCGAAACATGCGCGCTTCTCGCTGCCGTTGAAGCGCAGCATTGCTGATAAGCCGAGCTTTGGAGGCTGATATAGCATCGTCGCCTTTTCGGGTCATCTTGTTGATATTTTCTCGATGTTGCGCGCGGGACGTAGGGTTCATGATACTGGCGAGACCGTGGACTGCCGACACATAGCCGTTCTCGTGGAAAACACCAGCGACTCGGGCTTCACTCGGCGACAATCCCGTACCGTCTCCATTGCCATCGTTACTTATAGGTCGAGGAACAGATTTCACGGGCGCAAGTTCGGCAGAATCAAGTTGTGTTGCGCTCGCTCTTGAGAGGATCGTATTGAAGCTATCAAGTCTCGGTTTCGTTTCTCCGTCCGTCGGACCAACGCTACTTCGCGGCGGCGAAGACAAGAAACTAACGCCAATTTCCTGCGCAACGGTAGACGCTGTAGGAGTCGGAAGAGGACTCGCAATCGCAGCAGTCGAAGCAAGGCGACTCAATCCATGTGTTGTATAATCCTGCGAGGCGCGAGACGGGTGGTCGGCATCCATGAGCTCAGCCGTCCAAGCCGACTGCATCTCGGACGAAAGGATACCGGCGGCTTTCATGTGGTCGAGCATGGCGGCGACTGTGGCCTCGAGGCTCTGGACGCGAGCGCGGGAGGGTCTGGGTTCTCGTCGGGCATCGTGAGGGTATACGCATGGTAGACTGTTGGTGCTGCATTCAACACATTGCGGGCGCGTGCCGTCGCAACGGACTTTCTTTTGTCGACATGGCGTGCAAGTCTTGCAGAGAGCGCCACCTGGACCTTTGGAGTCTCGTCCGCTTTGACGTTTGACAATTTTGTTTGGATTCGTCATTTTAAAATCTGGAGGACATGACATTGAGAGAAGAGGAATGGGAATGAAAAAGGAATTATTATCCCGACGTTGTTCGAATCGTCGGCTCAGGTGAGCGGCATCGGTGTTCCGGGTAGTATGCGCTGAAAGCTCACCTAGGTAGGTATGGACTGGTTCCCGTTCCCGCGGGGAGCATCGGGTCATATTTCAAGCCCAAACGGCCCACTGGGGAATTAGCGCCCGACCACTAGAAGCAGGTCCCTGGCTCCGCTAACCACAGTCTTCCCCAGATCCAGCCCGGGTCCACCCGATACACTCCTCGGATGCGGTTATTATCGTGACTGTGACTGGTTAATAAGAGCATGGGTGTTGATTAGGTAGGTCATGTTCGGAAATGCAAGGTTTAGCATGTTGTCATTATTAGAGCCCTAAAAGAAGATCTATTGATGTGAGGTTCTCAAAAGGCAAGAATAGCCAGTGTTGATAGTCATGACGGGCATATCTCGGAGCGGTTCGGTGTTGAAATAGAATAAAGTTACAGATGAACATCTGGGGTAGCTAAAACTCCCCGGGTTTCTACCGCTTGAGGTCGTGTTAATATGCATGATTAGGTGCGAACGGATAAGATGGTGGTGGGGATTCGATCCTTGCGATGTTACCAAGTCTTCCAGCCCAGATCCCAAGCATGATTGGTGGCTTTACCAGCCTCTTCCTCCCAGGCTTTCCTCGTCCTGATATCCTACCAACTACCCAGGGACTAATCACTGCCCTCATTCACGACTGGGATAGGTTCCGAGCATATAGGATAATCCATCGGATCCCATTTTTTAACCCCATCCTGTTCCTCATCCCATTCTAAAGGGATAGGATTAAATCGGACTAGAGAAACGGCGCGATTCTCTGCTTTCCCATGCGTGCAATCGGTATCTGCACCATGATACATAAAGAACCATCCGCGTTAGTATACAGATTGGCAATCTCGACCATCTCTTGGCCATACTAAACCAGGAAGTTGACAGTTTGCATAATCTTCATCAGAGGACGAATCATGGACCCAGTCATACTCTTTTTGTCCTATGAATACATTCACTTTGCATTTTCTATCCTCCTCTTCCTGTTGACCGCCTGTAGCTCTGTTAACCTTGCAGATTTGGCGCCAAATGGTACCTCGAGCCTTCATTTCGCCGAGAAAGTGTGCATGGCATTCTTCAGCTGTAGCGCCAGGCAGGAAGAAAAATTCATAGCGAAAGGAACCACCTCGATTGATACTCGATGGAACAGTTAAGCCATCGTGAAGTACACAGCCGTCAAAATCATTCAACTCATCTGGATGGACCATATAGTATACCCAGGAAGCGAGAGGGGGCAGCGGGCCATTAGATTCACTGGTAGTCCATGACATCAAGGCTGGTTTGCCGGTGTGATCATTAAATATGCGATTATGGTGTATGTATTTGCCTCTATCATGGTGAACACTGGTCGTCCCTTTCGGGTATACTGTAGGTCCCTTCTTTGTTCGAAACATAGTGTTGGAGTTTGATAGACGAGCTGATTGGGAATTTGAAAGTTTAATGTTGTAGACGTGTACGAATGTATAGATAAGACTAATGGTGGTTGTGAGATTGGGAAGTGCATGTGTGTTTTTATCCGCATGTGGCCATGAGCGGCAGTATATAGCATCAAGACTCAGGCATGTCCAAGACACGGGATATTCATATTCATCTTGCCATTCAACTATAGTATTATACACTCACTAGCTGCCTGATAATCTTGTTCAACCTCCTCTGTCATGATCTGCGTTTCTGCGCCAAGATCCGTACTCAGTTCCTGCTGAATCTCTTCCGTTGTCTCCTGCATCTCCATTGCAAAAAGCCGTTCCCTAACCGACAAAGCATGTCCCAAATAATCGGCTCCGATACAATCGCTCTCATAATCCAGTAGTATACTCATCATTTCGTCATTCCGGTATCCATCCGTTGCCGCCGCATAGACCATAGTAAGAAATTCCGGTACAAACATGGCCCCGTATGGACGAGCACTCTCGCATTGCTGCACGAGAGTAATAGACTCATCAACACAATCGTGTACATCTCCAACAAGACTTAGGTTCTTATCCCATATTTGAAGAGTGTGGTTGATTACTGCTGTCATGGCGAGGAGTATCGCGTATGCAAATCTGTATGAACTGCAAACTCTTTTTGACATAGCTTGTGCGTTGGGTGCTGCTGCTGCCGTCGTCGCCAGTGAAATGAGTCGTCGAACTTTTGGCATCTCGAATTGAATAACGTTGTAAATACATTGTAGTTGGTGGAGATGCTTCTTTGGTGAGCGCATAAAAATGGAAACCTCAGCTAGTGTGCCAGACTCTAGGCTGATGAAGCTTCCTTGGTGATACTTGACAGGTCGAGGAGTGCCTATTGTTTCACATGCTTCCCAGAACCACGGCCCTAGCTCGAACCGAGGATTCAAGAAGCTTGCCATGACCTAAAATCAGAGTCAACTTAAATTTCCATTGAATTTGCCAGGGTTCTTACTGCTAACTGTGTCAATCCAACCATGTATGGCTCAAGATCGTCTAGTTGCTTTTTCAAAACAGCTTCCCGGAATAAAATTGATATTATCTCACGATGTTTTTCGACTGATTTACGATCAATCCAATACTAGTGATAGGTCAGCTAAACTCCGTGATCGACAGTAGAAAGGGGGGCTCACATGACACACAAACATGACCGAAACCACTTGCATCTTCATCATGATGGGTTCCTTCGGATCAACAATCGCTTTACTCGTAGCTGTCAGAGCTTCTCCGTAGTGTGTCAACCCTTCAACTCTCAAACTTGGACACTGTTGAGATCTATAAAGCGTGACCATAGCGGCTACACATGAATCAAGTGCCGCATTGCACCCGATCTGAGCCACCAGTTCTGGAATGAGTTTTCCGCCGAATGCACGAATGTCAAAGCGGCAGTCTTCGGTCTGGAGGATATGGACTAGCGAGGATGATATCCTGGTTTGGGCATTGCTTGGGCTTCTTCTTGGAGATGATATGAGGCTTTGTTCGTTGCTGTTTTCACTTTGAAAAGAAGAATGAAATTTCCATCTCTTGACACCATTTCCAACACATGATATTCCAACGCGTCTACATCTTCCACATGTAGGTTTCGCTTGGTCGCACTTTTTATGTCAGTCATTGCATTTCTAATCAGGGGATAATATCTCACTCTTTTCTTTTGTCTGCGACACCCGTCGCATCCGAGACTAGACGGTGTTCCTGGCATAGTGAATTGTAGAAATAAACATTGCTCTTGATGAAGCTTAATTCCTTTGGATAATTCAGTCAGTCGTTTATATGCCGTTGATGTCTTGAGACAAAGGTTCCACTCTCCGACGATCCTCGGTGATGAGCGAAGTGACCTGACGTCGAATTTGACTGCGCCTTAAACTCGGGAGGCGGAGCAACAATATGGCAGTGACAGGGGATCGGCAGGCTTACTTAGGGTTCCACAAGTCGAATTGTTTCAACCTGTAGGGCTGCTAATTGAATTAATTGTCCGATGATGAGCGGACGCATGTCTAAGAACCGTCCATAACTTTCTTTTTTCTAAGGCATATTAAGGCATTTCCGTATTGTCATGTCGTCCGATCTGACTAAGTCCACGTGCCTCTTACTAACTAGACTGCGAATAACTGTAGGGTTGGGCATTTGCTGAGATGAGATATGAATGCAGGTTGATTAATCCAGATTACCTACCAAGGTACTAATTTATACCTCTTTATGAGTCCATCCATTTCTGGTACTGTTGCACCCTTAGTCCGAAACCCCGACAAAGACCACCAATACCGCCGCATACGTTGCAACCATTGTCTCAGTATAACTTGCCTTGGAGAAAATAGACAAGGCACCCGCAATTGCAAAAACCGAAATACTCACCGTCACTAAGCTCTTTACAACCGTAACCTCTGGCAGCCGCATAACCAGCATCGGCACGACCAGCATTGATCCCCCCAAGAATACTACCAAAAACCTGGCTAGATCCACCATCGGAGATACCTGTTCAGGAGGCTCGTTATTGAAATATTTCTTTGTACGGTTCTGGTAGTCGTGGTTTACGTTGGTCATTGAGAAAGGGAGATGGCGCTTTAGAACTTCGCAAAGGTTATCGGTGGGAGGGGTCGGCGAAATGACGATAGCCGGAGCCTTTGTCGACGAATTGTTAAGACTTGTCGCTAAAAACGCGTTCTAGGTCGAGACGACCACGTCGGGCTTGAGGGCCGGTGATGGGGGTCAGGCGGGTCAAGTATTCATAATCGCGGATTGCATTTGCAATGGGGCGGTGTGTTAGTGGACAATGAGTATCACGATGATATGGCCCGAGAGTACTGTAATTGTGTAAGACTCTGGCGAAGGATTCACTCTGCTGGGGTTCTGCGGTCTTTGTTGTCATAGTCGTGTTTTATTAGCCTGGCCAAGTCATTCTGCATGTTGAAGATATTCATTAGTTGGAGGCCTCGGAATATGAGAAAACGGGGTTCTTGTTGCCCTTGGTCGAATACGTATCTGAAAAGGCGATCTCCATAGAACTCCTCATTGTCGCTATGGTCCTTCATTTGATTGCTTTGATCCTCGCTTTGATCTTCACGTTGAGGCTCGGTTGGAAAATGGTGTGGGGCTGTGACAGGTGTCTATTTGTTGGCTACCCCCGTTATTTCTGGAGTTATCTTTGGAGGATTATTGGATAGTACTGTTGAACCAGTTCTCACTAACAGAGATGTGTTGTAGACTGCATGCCTTGCACTTTAATACTCAACTCAGCCTGCTGAGTTACCCCCTCCTCACAGCGAGCCAACAAGTAACCCTCTTCGAACATCACCACTCTGCCAGTACGCAGGAATAGCTTCACCCTAGTCAGCAAAGTATCTACCCACGACTTCATATACATCAATGAGAATGTTTCTCAACTGCTTCAGATGCGAGCAGCGGAACCGCAAGCAGGCCGTTCTCGAAGCTAGCACAGACATTGGCGCCGACGTCGAAGGCCCCGACATGGACGACACCGCCATAGTCCCTGCTAAAGGTTTCCTTGGTAGTTCTACCACTCGGCTACCAACATACGAATCCAAGGACAGTCCTCGTCAACATCGCTCCCGTGCAGATTATGTCCGGTTAAGTATCAAGGATGTCTTGTCGACCATGCGTAAAGAATCACATCTTGCACGCTGCATCCTTTTTGAAACTGCCCGTCTCCAGAAAACCTCACCTTCTGTGAAGTCATTAAAGCTTCCCCAAGACGCCCGCATCCTCGATATACAATTTCTTGAATTGGAAAAGGTCTTACTAAACGGTAACGAACTGATACGCGGCCCTCGGAGCGATAAACATCGGGAGAAGCAAAATCTCATAATCAAAGGAAAACCGTTTAAGAAAGCCCTTCGTATGAAATTTTCTTTCCTACCAATCTTATCTTGATATTTCGTCGCAGCTGTGATGAACTATACTAATAATGACGGGGGAATAACAGGGACAGCAAAGAGGTCACTTCTGGAGTTGGAAAGATCTTTCAATGATCAAATTCTGTGCGAGCTAGAGAATGGCATGCAGCGCGAAGAAAGCGTTGACTACCAACAGATCGATGAGAAAATGAGAATTTTGAGGATGGAGCTTCAGAAGGTTTACAAGGAAGTGAAGAGTGCATACGATTCCGAGAAGAAAAGACAAGGGCGAGATCGGCGTGCCCAAACTGAAAGCTCGGGAGCAAAACAAGATTCATAGGTAGTAGGTAGTTTGGGATTCATAGCTATACCAAGTTACCTAGTAACAACGCAAGCAGTCAAGGGGGATGGGCACGCCAATTAGACAGTGTTAAGATAGCAACTTATTGACCTATACTTAGCTGCCTGCAGCTACTAGCACTCATCCTACTTAAACATTTAGCCATGCCCCCCCCCCGTACATTCTTGCCTCCTCGATCATCCACTACTTGCATGCTGCCACACAGCTATCCCACTCATGAGAGCCATAAGAGTCCAGTGGTACCCCATATAAGATGTAGTCGGCCTCCCTAAAAATCGAAAGCCTCCTGACCGCTCTATAGACGACCCGTAGTTTTCATACACCATGGCCACTACACCAGAGCTCCTTGGACGATGGGAACTGGATTTGCTGCTGCGTCCCAGAGATACGAGTTCCCATACTGTGCTGTATAGACCACTCTGTGCTTCTGAAGAATTACGCCACTCAAAACTTTCAGTCCTGCGACTCCCTTCATGTTCAACCCTCATGGAGAAATTGTACCGAGGGTTTGATCTTGATCGGTGAAAGGACATGGTGACTTGGTTGGAGGAAATGTGGTAACTGGGTACTCCTGGGAGTTGAAAAGTGAAACGTTCGCCAGATTTGTTGCTAGATGCCATTGCGTCTCCAACAAACTCTGAACCCGGATAAAGATAGACTGGTCCTTGTAGTCCACGAGGCATGAGAGCTGCGTAGAGAACACTCGAGCCTGGTTCAGAGATGAACAAAGCCATGGTGGAGGTCGAGTTTGTCCATGTAAGTTGCATGGCTTGAGGGAAACCGATACTGAGGACTTGGTCTGAAATTTCAGAGGGGGTCCCAGGCGTTGAGGGACTACTTGAAGCTTCCAAATTGTAATTATCTTCAAGAGATGGAACGAATGGAGGGAATATCATTGTGTTTGCGTGTAAGTGGTGTTGTAAACGAACTGGATATGATATTTAGCGGTTGACCTGGATTTTTAAGAGATTAAAACTCACTGACTGATGTTGAATTGGTATCTGATTTGAATTATTTTTTTTATCTTTTACTCTATTACTGATAGTTTATATATTGTTTATTTCGTCGTACAATAATTTGTCTGAAGCTTTGATATCTTGACCTGGAGCGCTGGATTCATCCCTTTACGGCTAGATCGTTTTAGTAGTGGACCCTGGCATGTGCCCAGCTGAAGTGTTCACGCCTGTCTGACATGCAACGGTTGTGGCTCAAGCGAGTTGGATCGGATCGTCCCAGCCCCCAGAAGGCATCTTTTCCATTGAGAGAAGACATATGAAACATGATTGGTTTATCATCGAAAACTAACTAATTATCTGTCCCAAAACGATACAAACCATGCGTTGCCCCTGCTTTTCATCTGACACTCAGCCTTGCCAAGATACACAACATCAATTGGGGGTTCTTAGAGGTTGAACCAATCGTCTAACTAAAAATCTTAAACGACCCCAAAAGCTTGATCTTGATGTCCCTGTTCTGAAATATTAATGGTTGAAGAATAGCTACTAATTTACTAGGGTTAATTGTCTGGACCGAGTCGATATACAGAGGTTTGTGGGACTTGAATCCTTTCTGTGTTAATGTCACTATGAGTCGAATACGGAGGACACTTAAAAAGGTCGGATGTGCCGCTCGACTGACTTTCGCTCAGGAGACCAGATTTGTAGAGATAAACGGTATCAGTATGCCTTAGATGTTAGTAAATATGGAAGAAATCCTATTCGTCAAACCGGTATCTTTTTTGGTGCACATGATTATTTGTGCTGAGCCTCAATTTCACCACTGATTTACTATCGCCACTGAGGCCGACTCTAGGCTACAGAATAAATTAGCCCACTGATCACGTTCATCGTCCCCCTCTCAAACTTTGTACCTGCAGCAGACCTATTGGCCAGGAAAGAAGCGAAAGGGATCATTCATCTTATCTTCCAAATTTAGTATAGAGGACGTGTGTTAGTAACCGTGTTGAAGCTGATCAGGTTCAATCCATGGTAAACACCGCTTAGAAGACCTAACGGGGAATTGGGAGATGGCGATAACGTCATTGGTTAAACGGAAAGAAACGCTACGGCAATCTTAACGGCTCCCTCCACCAAATCTGTTTTAGTCTTTACATCTCCAACCGCTTCGCATTGCCTATCGTGATCATAAAAATAGGTGATGCCCAAGATGGAAGTTCCAGGCACCCGCAACCCCCCAAACGGCCTGCAAGAACCTAGTACTCTCCACAATTGAACACCCGCACCATACTACTGATGCAGATCATCAGGTTTCCCCATGTTTTGGACCAAACTTCAAGGATGGAAACCGGGAATAACGCATCTCGGTTAGAAGTCCATGATGATGGTTTCTCGTATATAAACCGGCAATCTCACAATGCCCCTCGTCTGCGGTGATTAAATATCCTGTGCTTCTCTCGACACATTGCCCTTTGCTAAGTTACAATGAGAACCTGGTTCGGGCGCGGCAAAAAGCTGCAGCGCGCAGTCACATCATGTTGTCTCTGCGCCTTTGTCCTTTACGGCTACGACCAAGGCGTCTTTGGAGGTATTCTCGAGAACGAGGACTGGCTACAACAATTTGGTCATCCCGGTGATACTCTAACTGGCTTCATTGTTTCAAGCTACAACCTGGGATGTCTTGTCGGCTGCTTCATGAATTTTATGCTTGGTGAGAAGCTCGGTCGCAGATGGACCATCTGGGTCGCCATGGGATGGATTCTCGTGGGAGCTGCATTACAAGCGACTGCGTTTACGCGCAGCCACCTTATCGTCGGGCGAATTGTTACTGGTGTTGGCACTGGCCTGAAGACGTCTACGGTGCCTATGTAAGTCTACAATACAGCGAATATGTCATCAGTTACTGACACCCATCAGGTACCAATCTGAGCTCTGTGAAGGCACCAAGCGAGGTCGCCTCGTATCAGCTGAAGTCATGTTCGTCGGTATAGGTATTGCATTTGCCTACTGGTGGGACTTTGCCTTTAGTTTTGTCGGAGGAGCGTTTGCGTGGCGCTGGCCCATCGCGTTTCAAGCAGTGTTTGCCTTTTGGGTTATCTTTGTCGTATTCGGCGTACCCGAATCTCCACGTTGGCTTCTTAATCATGGGAAGCGACAAGAAGCGACCGAAGTACTTTCCTCTATCTACGACAAGCCCATCGATCATCCCGACATCATTCGAGAGGTCAATTCCATCGAGGCCGCTTTGTCGACTGAGGCTGAAGTTGAAGGAAGCACGACTTGGGCTTCGACGTTTCGGAAGGATAAAGTCAGTACGAGATATCGGGTTTTTCTGGCCTGGTTTGTTCAGTTCATGAATCAAGCGGGTGGTATTAATCTGGTGGTTTACTACATCCTAAGTAAGCATTAATCCTTCGACACAACACACGGCCAAGACACTGACATACCACAGCTGTTCTTACCAGCAACGTTGGACTAGAACACAAACTCGCACAAATCATCGCAGGATGTATCCAACTCATGTTCCCCATCGGTTCGCTTCTTCCCACTCTAGCTTTAGACAAGATGGGTCGACGATCAACAATGATGTGGGGATCAGCTGGACTTTCCTTCTCCATGATGATGGTAGCTGCACTTTTATCCCAAGCCGACGATACATCTAGAGGAAGAGCATTTGCTGCTGGATCGGTTGCCTTCTTCTTTACGTATATGCTCATCTTTGGTGCGAGCATGAACTGTGTTCCTTGGGTCTACGTCCCCGAGATTCTTCCTCTCCATGCCCGAACTAAAGGCACTGCTATTGGAGTTAGTTCAAACTGGCTTTGGAATTTTACAGTGGTATGTGTCTATACTCAATCTAATCGAACGCCACAGCTAACAAGTACAGGTCATGATTACACCCATCCTCATTAATCGCCTCCAATGGAAAGCCTACCTCATCTTCATGGCAACCAATTTAGTTTTTGTTCCAATCATTTTCTTTTTATATCCAGAGACTTCCAATCTAGCCCTTGAAGAGGTCGATTACATCTTTGCTCGGGGTGGGAATGCTGTCCATGTGGCTAGTGAGATGCAGAAGGAACTTGCTCTCCACGGACACTTGTCTGATGATAGACATCTCAGAAGGGCTAGCAATACGACCGAAAAGCCTAAGGAGAGGCAAGATGAGTTCGTTGAGCATGCGCATCCTTGATCTATTTCTGCTACATAGTCTTCAGATACAGGATGGTATTCTCAGTCTCATCACCCACCATGTTCGAAGGCTTGGAGTTCTGCCTCATGGTAATCACAGGACAGCTATGAGTAATGCCATAAGACGTATTCCGACATTGTCGGTGTCAAGTCATGAATACGATACAGGAATCAATATCAACATTTTCAAGTTATGCGAACATCAGCGAGATCATCAAGAAAGCTCCTTTGTCTTTGTATCCTTTATACTTGCATGCGACCGTGTCACGTAGAATACATGTAGAGCCGACCCCGTTTCCACCAAGCTCTCTTAATCAACCTCCCGCTGCTGGATTCCTTCCAGTTTTCATGAGCTCAGGTTCCTGACGGCATTCCGGCTTGCCAACAGCGCGCCTCCCGTTCATCAATCTTCAGGAGCGAATCCGATCGAGAAGGTCTGCGAAGTCTTGGAGGCTGTCGCAGACAGCGTCTTTGCCTCAAACTATACACTTCCACCCAGCGCCAACAAAGCTCACTGTGATCTTTACAACAAGCTCACGAAGCTTTTGGAGGTTTATGAGCGTGATGGCCAAGCCACAAAGAAGGACACTGATGAAATGGAATCCCTTCTCGAGACGTTTCTCCGCGATATTGGTTACGTTGCTGAGCCGAATCAGGGAGCATCCAAAGGTATAACACTTTTCTTTGTTAAAGAAAAACTAAACTTCTATTTGGAATCTTGCTAACGATTCACAAGGCACACCGGCAGAGAAGTGAAGGGCGACAGCCGACAGCTCTCTTGGGAAAGCCGATGGACCCCAGCACTCTCACAGCCAAGACGACACAGAACCATGGAGAATATCGAGTTTTGTCGGGAAAGGCAGAGAGGGAGGGCCGACGATGTCGGCATGCCGTGGGGAGGAAGCTCTTGTTTTTGTCCCTGAGCAGTTTACAGGGAAATGATGATGCATGTTTACAGAACAGCAGTGGTTTAGGTAGATAATCCTGAGCTTTGTTTACTTCTAATTAATGAATGTGATGTGATTTTATGCTGCACCATATTTTGCCAGCTACCGAGGTCGTCAAGTTCATCATGTAAGCTAAAAGCTTCCGGTCTTCCCTCCGAGATCTGCCTCCCCACAACCCCTCTTCGGATAAAGACAACAATTACGGATAACGAACAGTCCTTTGATCAAGCAGTACCCTTCTTACTACATTTCTTTCTATGCTACTTGTTGATACTATCGCATAATAAAATCAAGTTCTTGCAAAATTACAGCCATGGCTACATATCAGATCCGTCAAGTCGATAATGAGGTGAAAGGGCGCCTCGCACTTGTCACTGGAGCCAGGTAACTTCTCTCAAACACGTACTAACTGGTCCACCTCTAACTATTTACAGTGGCGGTATCGGCTCTGCTATTGCCAGAGCTCTAGCAGCCGAAGGATGTGATGTTGTGCTACATTGTAACTCGAGTCTGGTGAGACCTCTCAGCCTATCACAAACAACCTTTTACTGATAATCCGTTACAGCATAAAGTCGAGTCTCTATCCAAAGAGCTCTCGTCTTCGTACCCCGAACAGTTGTTCTCTTGCGTTTCAGCCGACTTGAGCTCACGCGATCAAACTCGCGGTCTCGTCGATAAAGTCCTCCAAGATTCAACCATTTCATCCAAGCACAAAGCAGTATCCATTCTAGTTGCTAACGCCGGCCTTGGAAGACGTATCCGTGATATTAAGGATATTGAAGAAGATGACTGGGATACTGTCATGGAAGTCAACTCGCGAAGTCAGTTTGTTGTGACAAAGGCTTGTTTGCCAGGTATGCGAGCACAGAGTTGGGGACGTGTAATTCTTATTGGAAGTATTTCCAGTCATGGTGGTGGAATCAACGGATGCCACTACGCAGCTACCAAGGGAGCTCTAAGGTATGTATTCTCGTGTCTGGTTCCACAAAACAAACATGTTAACTTCATAAAGCTCGATGGGCAAGAATCTAGCAACGGTACTGGCCGGAGAAGGAGTTACAGTCAATGCCGTAAGTCACATGGAGAAACTCTAAACAGGTACTAAGATTCTTTTCAGATCCTTCCAGCAATGATTGGATTTACAGATATGATTCCCACTCCGAAATCAACGTGAGTCTCGAGATGGGTTTAGCCAGATTCTCAGCATGCTTATTAGATCTTACAGAACGTGGACAAACAAGACAGACTTGGAGGAGCTCAAAGAGACAGATCCAGGCCTCGCCATCGCCGCCAGTGTCCCAGTACGACGTCTAGGTCACCCTCAAGAAGTTGCCAACGTAGCAGTCATGTAAGTCTACCCTTAAATCAAATCGATGGCAGAGAGCTAACGGCTTCAGGATGGCAAAGACGGGATATCTCACAGGACAGGATATCCTCCTGTCAGGAGGTCTCAAGTAGTCAAAGAATTATGTCATGATGTAGTAGATAACTGGCAAAAAAAATGCAAAAACATGCAACATCGGGGATTCGCTGGTTGTTGTTGAATCGAAGCTACCTTGTACAAAAGAACTCAAAGTTTGATAAACATTCCATACCATTTCTATTTGTCAGTTCTTTTCATTTGCATCGACACCGGCTTGGGTATAGGTCACTCAATAGTATCGGCTTACCATAAATATCTGGCAGAGAAGTGCAGATCCTCGGATTTTTTTAAACTCGACTTCTAACTATGGTAGTCAATCTAAAATAATTTTAAGATTATTTAAGGACAGAAGTGCCTCGTACGCATACATGCTATCTCAATAACTCACTAATCCTTTGGCATAAGACCTATACATAATTCAAGCGATAATTCCCTATTCCCTGCCCGCTCCACTAAGCCACTTCTCTTCCGATCCCATCCTACCACCAATATGCTGTCGTTCATTGAAAAGAGTATGTGCAATTTTAGTCAAACTCTCACTTGATTGCAATCTTTAGTTCTTAGCTCTCAGCTCTACCTCCATTCCAACCGGCACGCGCCCTACATTACCCGCAGTGTACACATACTTCTCTTCATCGGAAAGTCTTCGTTCTGGCTTAAAGTTATAAGTCTCAAGAACAGACTTAGTCATAACCATTATCGTGGCTTGACCAAACCATCTGCCGGGACACATATGTGGTCCTTCGAGTCCCCAAGTGATGAATTCAGGCTGTCCAACTGGAGGAGCTTTTTGTATGAATCGGGCTGGACGATACGTCGCTGCGTCTTCGCCCCAGGCTGCCGTATCACGATGTGTGCTGTATGCACTGAGGGTGGCAACTGAGCGAGAAGGAAGCTTCATCGATGGTTGGCTTGCCAAAGGGACCTTTTCAAGGACAATACGCGCCGGGCCAGTGATAGGTCCAGATAGTCGAATAGACTCAAACATGGCACTTCGAAGTGAATTCCAAGGTGACTCGATTTCCCATGAGCGAAAAGTGTCAAGTTCTGCGACGTTGGCGCACTGTAGCGTTGGAAGAAGCTTCGACTGACCGTCAGGCTCATTGATAATGTCAAGAAGCGTTGACGAAAACGTAGCTTGGAGATTGACTAATCCTCCCCAAACGATAATGGCGATTAAATCTAATAAGCATTGGTTAGAGTTCATATGCAAGATAAAAACCTGAGAAGAACTTACCAGCGACACAGTTGTCATCATCAACCTCTTCAAGTATGAAGTCCATGAATACAGGCTCTTCTGTTTTGCCGTGCATCTCTCTCCTTTTTTTGATAATGGGCAATGTAACGCGGCGAATGGCATCAAAGTCTTTGTTAATAGTACGAGAGGCGAGGAACTGTAGGAAGCCTGGCAGCATAGAGGATAAACCCATGGTAGCGATAGCATCATTGTTAAACTTGAGAAAGGTCGTGATCAACTCAGGGTTGTCATATCCTTCAGGTCCAACGATACAGCGAGATACCACAAAGGTGATATACTCATCGATCCAGTTGTTGATGTTGGCGTTTCTGATCGGCTCTCCCATCGTCAAAGGCTTTCTTTTGAGGAAGTCCTTGCTTGCGGTTTCAATTACTGGATGGAACCGTGCCAAGGTTGATGGATTGCCGAAGTGTGACCGAATTAATTGGGTGTGCAAGTCCGACTCGAAATTCACCTTTTTGGTTATGAGTTCAAAGTTTATGGCTCTTAAGAACTCGTGGAGGCTAAACTTTCTCTCACTGGTGTTATCATCCATCATAAGCTGTAGGTCCCTGGGGTTTGTAATCACGTAGTGCGTGAGAGACGCGAGTTTGATGCCGAAGCAGCGAGATACAGAGTGGCTATACTTCTTGAAACCACGTCGGAGAACCTTGAGTGGATTGCGTTGAAAGGAGAGAGCTTGGCCTATGATCGGCCAACCGATGTGCGACGGCGGTGCATCACCCCATGGCCATGACTGCAGAAAGTGGATGATTGCCATGATGCCACTGAGGACAGTAATAATAATTGTCGCGACAAATTTGAAAGGTCCTTGCTTTAGTAAGGATAAGATTATTTGAAGAAACTGGAAGATCGTTTCTAGCCAACCAACCTGCTCAGTTGGTTACATACACATGAGGGGGTTGGTGATATTGTCGTGTGGGAACAGTGGTGATCTTTGCACGCAGTTGATCTCCGAGTTTTCAGTGATCAATCTCCAAAGCAGATTAGTTCCATGAGCCGGTAAGTCGAGTTCCTTCAACCAAAATTCATTGTAAAACCTAAAGTTGGGGAATCCGGGTACCTTTTTGTGCTCCCAGAGCAAGTCTTCCAGAGCATTGCTAGGATGACAGTCCCAAGGGCGGTCAACAAGGAGACAACGCATCATCGAGAAGCCAATAGAAAAGCGATCGGAATTTCCCATGCCGAACAAACTAAAAAGGCTGATGATAAGAGCTGATTTTGGGACTGTGGTTCCAGGGAACCATTCTTCGTCTAGCTGACAGCCAACCACGAGGTCAACATCATCGGGATGATCGTAAAGCCTTTCCAAGTCTCGAACAACTTCAGGATCGGAAGAGAACTTGCTCCATGTGTCTCGGATGGGAACCACGACTTTTGGATTCTGTTTGTTATACTCGCGGAAGTATTGGTTGAAAGTCGGTAGGCCCTGCTCTCTCTCGTGTACAATACTTGAGACAACGATATCGAACTGATGACCGCGGTACTTTTCAGCACTACGAAAGTGCTCATCAACTCCAGATTTGAAGTTCGGGATGTGGGAGGCCACGGTGCCGGCAAGGACCCTTTCTAGACCGACATTGAGAAAGCCGGTGGCGTTAAAGCCTGTATCGAAAAGGTTCTGCTCCCATAGAGTCTCGTTGTTCTGATTCTTGATGGGGAAGCTTGGAATGATAAACTCATGGAAGCGGTAGACCACAGCCATCTCTGCCGAGACTGTCATAGGTTTCCCATTCTTGGTGACTAGGGGCCAGGGGTAGGTATTGGCAGGATTGATTTCCAAAGCGTTCTCACCGAACATCTGACGGTAAAGAGGGAACCCATCGTCCCGTGGCCAGGGCATCTCTTCGGTCCAGTAGGCCATTTGGTATGAGTTGGCTATCAACGCATACTTTGCAGACATGACCAACCGCACAGTCTGATATAGCTGTTCGTCGTCCCAGTCAGGCTTCTGCTTCTTCAAGATGTTACAGAGGCGGTTATGCTCGCGAAGTAGAAGTGTGTGAACGCCAAGCAGCAACCAGTCCTCATTGGTACGTGGGTCACCGCCTGCAAATAAATCTTCCACTTTGACACCAGAACGTGTGTTGGTGGACACATTCATAGTGTTGAATGGAAGGTAGGAGGCGCTCGCTTTGGTACCAGGAGTCTGAACTTCTTGCGTAAGTAGCTTGCCATCGACCTTTGAGCGGAGACGGAGAGCCACGTCAGATGTGCTGCCATATAAAGAAGATATGTCGAGCCATGTGGAGGCCATATTGATATTTTCCCGAGGGTTGGACTCCGATGTACCTGTTCCTGGCACTGCTGCAGTTCTCTGCACCTTCAGTGTAGTGTTGAGGGGGAAGACCTCTTCGTCTTTAGGCATCGTAACTTGGATGGATTCCTCCGTGGAATCTTGGCTATAGGTAACATCATGCATAATGAACTAAGGGAGACAGTGAGTATGATATGATACACAAAAGTTTGATACATGATGGAACTTTCTTACCTCTATTAATCCCAAAAGCAAAGGGGTATGCTCGTAATAGATCTTCTTCTTTCTCTTGAAGAAGGCATTGCTAACCTCTCTAGCATTCGGACCCTCTCTGGGCTTCGAAATACCATCAGCATATGTGTGCTGCTGATAATCGCGTTGTCTAGCTGTGCCAACAGAGCCTTCACTTGTTTCACTCTGCTTCAGCCAGTTGCAGTTCCCTTCGTAGGTGCGATACCACCAGGAAGATTTGTTAATGAGGCAGCGGGGGTCTAAGGGATAGTTCAAGTGTCGGAATAACCTTGCAGCCTCAGTTTGAGGATCGTAAGCTGGGGCTTTGATAGGTATAGGTGGGCCAAGAATTGGGGTAGTAGGTTCTTTTGGCGTTTTAACATGAAGAATCAGATCATCAATAGAGTTGACATGATCTGGAATAGTGCCATTCTTGAAGACATTCTGCAGTTCAAGGCTGTCGTTTCTGTTGACGACACTTCTTAGCCAGTCAACAAAAAGGTCAGGTGGCTCCGAGTGAAACTCTGGGGGTGGATCGTTAGGCAAGTTGCCGACAAAACCAGCATCTTTACGAGCCGGGTAGCGATCATACAGCCAGTTGTCGCTTTTAGCAAGACCAATAAGACCAGTGAAGGCTGCCAGAAAGAAGAACTGGCGCATATTGAGAGTAAAGTAGCAATAGAGAGGTGATAGATGGGCAAAGTGTAACTGAGAAGTTGTGATTAAGAAGCTAGAGCAACACGAAGGTCAGTTTTGCTAGATATATAGAAGTCTGTACCAGAGCTCCTGTCCAGAACGCTGCTCTTTCAGTTACTTGTTATACTTGGGGGCCTCAATTACGCCCACCGAGCAGTCTTGAATCAGGATCGACATTGATTCGAATGCATAATGGCGATCTTTCCTTGTGTGCTTATGCAGCACGCTACTTGGATAAACCTACGTATGTCACATCCTACGATGTCTTACACAAAGAAGGAACAGTGGCCATTTTCTCTCGTTTCCTGTTCCCAAATCAGTCTTTTGCCCGCTGCTTCTTAACATGGTTCGGCTTGGAATGTTGATAGAATGGTATATCATATCTCACTAGTCTGTGCGCGAATCACCTCCATCAGGATCCGGATATTGTATAATTCTCCTGTCATGACTGGCTAGAGAACAGCTTGTCAAACTTTCGGCAAGTGGGCCCGGTGTCTAATATCATTCAAGGCGGGAGCTGAGCTGTGCTGTTTGATATGCGTAAGTGGGTTAGTGGCTTGAAAGAACCGGCATTCACAAAGCTGAATCTGTACGTTGACAGATTAAGAATTAACAAGTCGTAAACCCCGCTTCTTACTTTTAACCCGTTCCCATGTGGTTAAACGGGACGGAATAAGAGATAGACTTTCGCCATACATCATCGGTTCCTCACACTACGAACCTCAACCTTGAAGGCGATCTCGCAACAATGTATTCTCCAAGAACTCGGAGACGCCCTCCCTTTGTGCTCACAACTCCCGTACCATACCTTTTCATTCCGCCCATTTTTTCCATCGCTGTCAGCATCCCATTATTCAGTCGAGTCCTTCCCTCTGTGGTAGAGTCCTGCCAGGACAAATGTACAGATGCCGTCACATCACTTTCCCCACTAGGCCAGGCTGCCTGCTTCTTCTCCGTCTTCTTCAAAGAATGCTTGAGCACCGAGTCTAGTAGGGCTTTTCTACTCTGCACTTTTGCTCTTGTATCGGCCCTTCTGACCATCTCACATGTCGACGCTTCACGTCTGATCAACCAACATACCCTCGTTCTGAGCCGGCCTACCTGGATATGGGCCGCGGTTAATGTTGCTACCGGTGCAGTTGTCAGTCCTTTTGTGCTCTGCACAAGCATTGTTCAACTGAGACATACTGCTGGCATATCGTGGAGAGGGGATATTAGTAGCCAACCATTGCCTGAAGATGATCGTCATGACAACACTGATGATGAAAGCAGACCTCTCGTCAATTCCCCAGTCAGGCCAGCTGCTGCTATCCCCAATCTCCTGTCACTATCTCAGAATCGCTATCTGACTTCCCGTCATAGAACTCACGCTATTCCCATTTCTGTGGTTATCGGCTTTGTGGTTCCCAGTATAATCTTATTGATTTACCCGAGCCCTTTTGTTGCTATATCATGGAATTTATTCCCCTTCAGTATTTATATAGTCGACAGACTAGTGGACTGGCTCTTGAGTAAAAACCAACATCGGCAGAATGATGATATAGGAAGTAATAAGGCATCGGCTATCCGAATTTACATCTTTCCCATGGTTTTGTCGATATTTGCTCATATCTATTTCTTAGTTTGTTGGGCTCGAGAAACTAATATTCAATGGAGCCCTGCTGCCAGGCTGATGTTAATTAACTTTTGTTCTATAATTCTTACGTATTGGTACTGGCTGTTTATCGAAAGTTCACTGGGAACAGTTTTAGTTAGCATATTATTGAGCTGTGTAATGGGACCTGGGGCTGGAATCAGTGCTGGGTGGATCTTAAAGGAACAAATTTTATACCTTCAAAATTAATATAAACAGCCTTTTTCTTTCTCTAGAAATAGCTTATAAATCTCATCCCTATATTAAATATTAGTTGCTGCCTAGCGGAAATTATATATTAGCTACCATGAAGCAGTAATTCAGGGGCTCTAGCTTGCAGGTCTAAAAGTAATCAATGTCACCTTGTTCAAGTCAATGTGCTTGACGATTCCATGTACATAGTACCTGATCATAAGGACCAACTAGATCTTTGAATGGGTCAGAATTAGGAGTGACTCAGAGTACATAAGATCAAAAACGTACTCGGCCATCTTGTTGATCATACCTACTCGCTATTAGTTTCATTCCGGGAGCACTTGATCACTTGGTTCCGGAGGATCCTTAACTGGCAGATCTTTGTTGCCACAATCAAAGGTAGGGTCTGTTGATTTAGTTGTGTCATCATCTTTAGGGGCCTTTATTAGAAGTTGTTCGTTTACTGTCAACGACAGACTTTGAGAAACCTGACTCCTACATCTTACCAAGATAAGATGAAGTTTGCTGCTACCCTGCCAGAATTACCAACACATGTTGAACAAGCGCCGGAACAAAGAATACCTGGTTGTCAGAAAACGATGAGATCCAGACGAACATAACATAGAGCTGGATTCAATAGCTCCACTAAAGCAGGGTTTGCGTGATAATTAGGAGTCTACTGTTCTTGTCACTATTAAACACCAACGAACGGAAGCAACTAGCATCGGTACGAAATTGTCACAGATGAAATTTGCTTGTTCTTTCGTCTTAAAATCATACCTTACGTCCAGTTTCCGTGACCTCAGAAGCGGCGGTCATCAATGTCCCAAGAATCACATAAGATAAAGAAGAGAAGCAGGCAGATATTCCCACTACATCATGACCCGTCAATGCCAGTAAGCCATACAGTCAAGTTGATAAGCAAGAGTGAGGATATGAACGGGGAACGGGCTGTAGGTGATGATGACTTTGGCAAAAAGTGCAAAAACATACAACACCGGGGATTCGCTGGTCGTCACCGACCCAACTACTAATCCAGCGCTTCGCAGCTTATCTATGGGAGAGCGGACGGGATCCCGAGTTCTCTGCGAGCTGTGGTCGTATGTGAAAGAAAAGGCTACAATCTGGGTTCTTATAGTCGTAGCTGAGGGAGATATGACTGTTCGCCGCAGTATGGCAGTTATGTCTTGACGGCTTGTAGTACTGCTGTAATCTACAGCAATGGATTCAATGAATCGTATATTTTTCACTAAATATATTATCTCATATAGCCTGGAAAATACAGATTGCGGTAGTTGGTTCTTTCACTTTGGCTATTCCAATTTTCCAGCTGCGTGTTCGTCCAGTCTATTAATATCAACTTTTCCACCAAGAAGTCGGATAGGGCTAGTAGTCTCGCCAGAAATAATTGGATCGAAGGATTCAATCGCTAAAGCGGAGCAGCTCAAGTCAGTACACCGTTGACGTGTTGATCGCTTCGCAAGTCTCTGACCACAATCCATAGTGCATCTTATGAAGGTTCTCAGTCATCTGAAAGGCATATAGTTTTGTGGCAAAGGACCACTAGGCCAAATACCCAAAAGAGAATGTCCCGTCCATATCTACTTCGCAATAACTTCCTTCTGCAGAGACAAAAAGAGAAACGACGCAGGCCTGATTCGAACAGACGCCTCCGAAGAGAATAGATTTCTAGTCTATCGCGTTAGACCACTCCGCCACTGCGCCTTGTTGTTTCCTGATTGGATAGAAGATCGATGCTTTTTATGTCTAAATATTGGTAAGACATTTCTCGATAGAGATGGCATTTTGAGTCTTGTTAGTTGATATGACTATATATGATTTCCCTGTATTGAGATAGCTTTCACTTATCATCTGTAGGCAATTTAGTAGGTAGTCTACCTCATGCAGCAGTTGAATTAGGACTTGGCAATATGCACGTTGGTCGGGAAATTGTAATTCCCCCGCCATGAGACATTCCCCCTTCATTCATTCTATTCGTGGTATGCCGTGCGGCTGACTTAGTCTCTCCTCTCAACTCACCAACATGTGACTAGATCTCTTGTTTACTCAACCTTTGGGCTGTGCCTGGTACTACAATCAAAATGGATCGCCTGGCCCCCGAGATTATATGCAACATCATCTCTCGTCTCTATGATGAAGGAGAACCTCTTAGTCCAGATAATCGTATCGCACCTCTAGCAGTCTTGTGCAGACAGTGGCAGCCTCTCGTTGAAGCACAAACATTCCGACGCCTCCGACTTGATGAGACCTTTCGCTTTCCAATTATAGGCAGTCCCCTGACACCGTTGAGACTTTCCTACATCCGCAAACTGGTGTACATATTTCCACCCGGAAATTTTGATATGTCAATTCCAACTCCTTTCGACAAACGGCCCAAAACCGATTTTACCAGCATGATTCTCCAAATTCTGTTTTACCAGCTTGCAAAAATACCGCTTATCCAGGAACCACTGCTCAATCTTGAGTTAGTCACCCCTGTCTTTGGCGATTTCCTTCGCGGTTGCCCGCGTGACCTTGATGTTGGGTTCACATTGCCAGATCTTCCGGAGTTGCCCATGGTTAGTTCTGGCGAGCGCTAGAGGCACAGCCAGCTGTGCCTCTAGCGCTCGCCGTTAGTTCTCTTGTGATTAGTAACGGCTCTTGTGGCATCGACCCTTCTCCGCAGGCTATGTTCTATATAGCTAGCAAAATGCCACGGCTCAGAGAATTCAGTGGTGTCTTGACTACCACAACCTCCTCGATATACCAGAGAATCGGTAAGTAATCATTAGCGTAAATTACGAATACTATTCTCATACCCATTTTGTCCTTTAGAACTTGCTGAATCACTCTCCATGTTGCCCACGTCTATACATAACTTCGGGTTGAAATATCACCAGCGGCATCTTCCAGACGGTCTTCTGACCATGCAAGATGGAGAAGACATTCTCACACGCGAGCTCCGTCGCTTCAGTCAACGAGAAGGCCTAAAAGACTTTGCCTTTCATGGCTGCGTAGAACCCTCAATATTTTGGCCACCAGCGTCGGATGCATCTGACCCACGACATTGGCCAACTCTCAAGAGCTTTCTGTTGGGAATGTACGACGTGCAAGGACTTACCTGTCTCCGCGCCAATGAACCGCTCAGCAATGCAGAGGATAAAGAGCATTGGGACCGAGTCTACGCTCACGGAGGGTTAATGAATGAGTTTTACCAAGCCGCTGCAAAATGCTCAGCTTGCATGCCCAAGGCAGAATACAACTCCATCGACTTCAACGACGACTGGGGTACGTCTCTTGCCTTTTGCACGGTTGACCCTGACGATCCGTGTCTCACACTAATTGGGAAGACGGACATTGAAATTGAGGATGAAACTGTTCGCGAATGGCGCAAGGCAGCCGAGGCTCGTAATTTAGTGTTCAAGGTGCGTCTTGGAAATGATGACGATGAGCAATATCAGGCCATTGATGCCTTTAAACCTGGGGAAGTAGTTGAAAAGGAAAAAATGCGGGAAGATGAAGTGGAGGAGTCGGACGGTGATGAAAGTTCAGACGGTGGGCCAGAACAAGAAGCCATTCGTCAGCGAATCCTAGAACAAACAGAAGCCAGGGCCATCGTAGCAGCAAACTTCTACCCTTTCCTCCCATTTAACCCATTAGGCGGATAAAAATGATAGTATCCTATCTGAGACTATGGAGACTTGACCTGTGTAATAACTTATGGAACACCAATTTTTTCCCCTAACGCTATGGGAACTTGTCAAGTGGGTAGCATAAAAAATGGCCTCCCAGGTCTGAGGAGATAAAAATAAGTAGTTTAAGAACTATAGCCTAAGAAGCATCAAGTGACCTACGCATTTCATCTCTATGCTTCCAGTAGTCAATCTTGGTAACACCCTGAGAAGAATTCATGTTGAATTAAATCGAGGTGAGTCTAGGGTGAGATATTCGGCGAAATCAGCCGAAGATCAACCACGTCGAGCAACCCCACAGTACCCGCAAGCCGCAAAGCCTTTAAAATCTGCGCGGGTCGCGTTCCTTCTCTTTTTCTTTTCTTTTCTCCTTATGACCCTTCCATTCAAATAAATGTGAGTCTTTACCACCAACGCAAACACGCCTTCCAAGACAATTGCTAACCTTTATCTCCCAGATGATGAGAACCGCGTGCTTAATATGATGTAGTGCCTCCTCTCCGGACCTCGAAACCCTCTACCTTTCGGGGCAGCTTAAGTGGTTTCGGGGCGAGGAGAGGTTGGTACCATGAAATAAGCGTTCGACACACCGACCTTGTTTATCATCGGACGCGTTGAAAAAAAGCTCTGACTTATGAAGAATGAAAAGGGATTCTTGTTCGTGCAGTTGGGGAAACCTGACAGCAGAAATTGAACTCTACAAGGTAAGAAAGTTTGATGGGAACTGGGGGAGCGAGTTTCAAGTGAGACCGCTATAGTTATTTATCCAAAGATTTAATTTAAAGAAGATTACTTCTGTAATTTTGTTGAAACTATGCACATATTGAGCCAAGTGATTGTGATTGCCTTTTGCCTAAAGTTCTGTTCGTATGTCCCGAGATGAAAGGACTTTTCGTGATACGTGAAGAAGACCAGTGCGCCGCAAGCAAACGTGTGTGCAAACAGCATGTAGGCTATGCTTGTGTCTGTACGAGCTTGTATTCATTATCTGACCACCCCAAAAAAGAGGAAAAAGAAACCTTCAGTCCCCAGATTTTTTATCTATCATGGACATCACCATCTCCTTCAGTGGAGACTTCTGGCGCATCAAGTCCCTTGGAAATGAAGAATCCGTGGTGACGACATCCGTAGTGTCCCCTGGAATTTAGCGATAGCGTCCGCCAATATCGGAGTCAAGCACGCTTCCGGAGGCCAAGAGTTTGGGGGATACAGTGAGTTGCCTCTTTATTGCTTATCCGTCACAAGTATCTCCTTATCAACCACCTCCACTTGTCCTACAACCACCAAACCAAAGCCCAACCTCAAGAATCCAACCTGCCCGACTACTAACACACGCCCCCTCCCCTTGTCCTGCCACGCCCCAGAATCGTCCACGTCCCCCGGGCGCGGATACGGACACACACTCGTTGTCTCTCGGTCAATCTCTCTTTCTTCAAGTCCCTCTCTTGCGCTGGTGACTTGAGCCTCTTGATATTACTCGACAAGACACGATACGACGATATCTTCAGCACTGCAATCATTATCGCGGCATCCATTGTCCCGGAGCATCGGCATCACTCCACAGCATCATTATCTGTTACAGTCCCCCGTCACTCGCTGCAACCTCCGTCGTCCCAACTTTTTGTTCCTCTGCCCCGACGACAGTAAGCTCGGTATAGTTCTATTGAGCTTATAGCAGACAACATGTCGAGCTCCTTCGAAAAGTCCGTAAAGGGCGCAACAAAGATCAAGGTACGTGTACCTCTTGGCGGCGCGCCCAAGTTACCAAGCGCTTAGCAACGATATATGAGCCCAATCATTGAGGATCCCCATACCTTTGCTGACTCTTGACCGCTATAGAATGCTCCTCCAAAGACGAAATACATCGAGCATATTCTTGTTGCTACTCATTCCGGCGAAGCTGGCGTCGCTGAGGTCTTTCGCGCACTCACATACCGACTTCGCGATTCAACATGGACTATCGTCTTCAAAAGTCTCATCACGGTGCACTTAATGATAAGAGAGGGATCTCCTGATGTGACACTCGCTTTTCTCTCCACACACCGCAATGTATTGGCAATAAGCAGCTTTACGGATGGTACGTTCCGGACTAAACGAGACGTCGGCTAGCAATTGACACACCGGCAGCACAAATCCAAGGACGAAATATTCGACATTATGCTCACTACCTAGCCGAGCGAGCCCGCGCATACGAAAAGACAAAGACTGACTGGGTTCGCGCTTCCGAGACAAGACTTGAGAAGCTTTCGGTCGAGAAGGGCTTATTACGAGAGACGGAGATTGTGCAACACCAGCTCGAAGCCTTGTTAAAATGCGACGTAAGCAAACCTGTTGCATGCGCCTGATTTCTACTCGAATTCGGCACTAACAAATCGCAGGTCATGGAGAACGAGCCCGAGAACGAAATCACTATAACCGTTTTCAGACTCCTTGTCTTGGATCTTTTGGCGCTATTCCAAGTTCTTAACCAAGGACTGATTAGTATTCTTGGTTGGTTTCCTTGCCCCTCCCCCTCTTGTCTCACCCTGCCTTTTTGGCTAACGTTTCAATTTTATAGGTGGTTTCTTCGAAATGTCAAAGGTGGATGCCGAGCGTGCTATGGCCATTTATCGAAAGTTCACCAAGCAGACTGATTACGTCGTCCAATACCTCGGCGTAGCGCGACAGCACGAACACCACACCAGAGTCGAGGTTCCCAAGCTCAAGCACGCTCCTGTTAATCTCGGCCGCCAGCTGGAGGAATATCTCCATGATCCCGATTTTGAAGTACACCGTAGACAGTACCTGGCCGAGCAGGACGTCAAGAAGATCGGTGGTGGTTCAAGTTCGAAGCAAGGAGGCCTTAGCAAAAAGAAGAGCAGCGATTTCCCAGCGCCAGCATCCAATAACCCCTTTCCCAAGGTTGGGAGCTCCTCGACTGGCAACAATGCGCCCGAATCCAAGCCTCAAGCCAACAAGGGTCCTGATCCAGATCTGATTGACTTTTTCGACTCGATCGAACAGAACCAGACGACCATGAACGTCAACCCTCAACAACCTCAACCGCAAGCTTTCCAGCAGCAGCCGACTGGCATGCCATTTCAACAAAACGGCTTTGCCGCGCAACCTACTGGTTTTGCGTCCAACAGTCCATTCCAACAGCCGCAGCAAACCGGCGCATTTATGCAACCGCAGCCCCAAATTCAACTTCAACCAGATTTTACCGGAGCTGGCTTCGGAGGGTTTACTCCTCAGCCACAGGGATTCCAGCCAAACTCACTATCTCCAATTCCCCAAGACACAATGGCCAACTTCCCCAACGCTGCTCCTCAACTACAACAGCCTGCTCAAACTGGACCACCCCAGGGACTTCAACCTATGCAGACAGGAAGCACCAATCCTTTCCGTCAATCTATGCTCATGGCTCAACAGTCAGGCCTGCAATCATCTGCTACAACACCAAATGTTAACCGTCAGTCTACAAACCCATTCGCCCGATCATCACCACAGCAGAATACTTCTCCTTTCTCTCAAAATTCGAACTCCGCTTTCCAAGCACCACCACAACCTCAACAACAAGCAGCTCCTCTGCAGGCCGCACCAACCGGCACCAACCCTTTCGCTCGCAACTCCATGCTACCACCAGCAAACCAGGAGCAACGACCACAGACGGCTGGTGCTGCCCTCGCTCCTCAGGCTACTGGCACCACCAACCCCTTCCGACAAGGCGCCTTTGTCAACCACGCTACCGGCCAGGGATGGCAAGCTAACCAGCAACCGATCGGAGGTGGTCTCGACCAAATCCCAACAGTGCCTGTGTTCCCGCGTCCAGCGAACCAAGTCCCGTGGCAACAATAGACCAGTACAGGTTTCAAACACTCTTCTAGCTTTTATCCAAATATCCACATTGCGTCTCTCAGCGCACTCTTGTTTCCATTTCTTGGCTGTACATCCTCCCTTTCACACATAGTAAGCGAGGCGTTTTCGGGGGATGAGATCGAACAGACTATTACAAAGCAAAAGGATGATTTAAATAATAGGCATACTCAAAAGGAACAAAGTATCCTCGTGAACATGGCCATTCGATCCTCTCCTGGTAATTTTCTCTTTTGGATTAGTATAGTAGCAGTCATAAAATATTATTCCATGATGTTTATTTGTGATATCCATATGTCTGGCCAGTGTGTAACGGAAAAGTTGCCTTTAGGCTGAAGATATAAGAATAAATAGCCTGAGAGGTCTGGTCTAAATCACATAGACTGTCGGCTCTTATGTTTTCAGCGGCCAATGCTTCCGACACCCTAGTGTTTGGGCATTTATATTGTATATAGACCGATATCTATTACCCTTCGAAACCATCTCTATCGAGATCCATTATATTCTTTTCATTTTCCCAAACTCCTTATAAACGCCATAGCTATGCCCTCGTAAATAACAATAAAGAAAAACATTTAAAAAGGGTCATCAACATCCATTTTCCCACCCGTTTCACCTGTCGCCGCAGCCTCTTTTGCTACCACCGTAGCAACACTCTTCTCAACCTTTTCCTCATCCACAAACACTCCCAGTCCCGAAAAGGCTTCAAATAAAGCCCTTGTAAGAAACTCATCAGGACTATATCCACCAGCTTTGAAAGATTCCTTGGTCCTTGTAATCTCGACCCACTCGTTGGAATACGCCGCCAGTTTCTCAGGCGCAAGGTCGACACGATCTGGCATCACGCGCACGCCACCGTAGGGATCGTATGGTTTGTTGTCCACCACAGGACCCTTCTTCTCACGTAGTCCACGGATCGAGAGACCGCTTCCGACGCCAGCTGCTCCGAACGCGGCGTCGCGCTTGTTCTGGCCTCTCTTCTTGAGCATGATCTTGTCCATTGCTTCCGTCGCGCGTCCCGTCTCGGCACTCTGTAGCGAATCGAGCATTTCCTCGCGGAACCGCTTCGCGTTGACCTTTTCTTCTAGTTCCTCTTGTCGTTCCATCAGGCGGCGTTGGCGCGCTTCTGCTTCCTCTGCTGCGATGCGTTGTTGACGAGCAGTATCTGATTCACGCGCCAATCGTCTGTTTCGTTCGATGTCGGCTTTGTGCTTTGCTTCCCATTCCGAGAGTTGCGCTTCGGCTTTTCGCTTTTGTTCATCGTTGCCGTAGACGAGATCGCTAGTCAAACACTCGACCATCTCAAGGTATTCATTAAAATCATCCAACGTCTCGAATTCCTCCTCTGTCCTATTAAACACGGCGGCGACTCGTCTCCGAATGTCGACTTCTCGCTCGACGGTCAAATCCGCAAAAAAGGCCGTCTTGAAGCCGCGTAGACGCAGCGTCTTGTGGCAGCCCGCGTAGGGACATTGGTTGGGACCGTCTTTGAAGATGCGCTCGACGCAGGTTTTGCACATGCGGTGGTAACATTCCGGGTTGATGCGAAACTCCATGTCGCGGTTAAAATAGCGGGTTGTCTTGCACACGGGACATGTCTCGTCCTGGTCGGGCGGTGGAGGCGCGTTGAGGTCTGTGGCATGTCGTATTGAGACGCCTGCGCGAGACATTTTGGTTGTTTATGTGAGAAGGAGGATTGAGAGGCGGGTAATGACGAGAGAAAAAGAAAAGGGCTTTGTTGTTGAAAGATGTAGGTTGATAATCGGCAAAGTGGTTATGTCAAATGTTGGTTCTGCACGGCTGAAGCTACAGGGATAAGAGGCTTGACGGGGACTACCCCATTGGTCAAAGCTTTTGGAGAGATCGCCCCACTCTTAGTCTGCCCCTCCATGATTATCAGCCTTCTCATGGTTACCCAACAGCTTCCATCGACTTCTCTCATAACATATCACCAAAACTGAACAAACCATCACAATGGCTGATAAAGGTACATTAAAATTCCCTTCAGAGATTAAGTCTATCATATGTGATGTATTCATCATATACTAACTCATGACAGAACCTACACCTGCCGAGACCGCTGCCGCTACGGCCAAGGAGGCCGAGGAGCAGGCTGCTCTTCCCTACAAGTGGACTCAGACCATCGCTGAGCTCAACGTCACCTTTGACGTGCCCGGAAACCTCAAGTCGAGGGATTTCGTCATTACCATCAAGAAGATGAGCCTACAGGCGGGTATCAAGGGTCAGGATCCAATCATCCAGGTATGTACACAACTCTCAACTCCTGTAAACCCGGCTAACCACCCCAGGGCGATCTCCCTCAAGCCGTCCACGTTGACGATTCCACCTGGACTCTTAGCACCAACTCAGATGGCACCAAGACTGTCGAGATCCATCTCGACAAGGTCAACAAGATGGAATGGTGGCCTCACGTTGTCACTTCTGCTCCCAAGATCGACGTGACCAAGATCCAGCCCGACAACTCTAAGCTGTCCGATCTCGACGGCGAGACCCGCGGCATGGTTGAGAAGATGATGTTCGACCAGCAGCAGAAGGAGAAGGGTCTACCCAGCTCTGACGAGCAAAACAAGGCGGACATCCTCAAGAAGTTCCAGGCGCAGCACCCCGAGATGGACTTTAGCAAGGCCAAGATCCAGTGAACAAAAAAAGTATTTTATGCCTAGAATTATATAAAAAAGAAGACGTTTCGTTTCGTTGCTGTCGTGGTACTTTTGTCATCCGCCTTTTGTTTCTAGCGCAATCGCTGCGCGTTCAAGAAAAGCATTGAAGTTTTTTACTTGTTGAAGCATTCCGCCTGCGGAGCTCGCTGAGCTGGCTTCATCGGTTATGCGTGCCACAAGAAGTTCGAGATTAGCCAGATCGGCCTTTTTCTCTTGGGCACGCGAAAGTTCAGGGGCGTCTCGTCCCCTTTCAACCGCCATGTCTATATCGTGCATCATAGCTGAGGTATCGAGTCGATACTGAATATGTTAGAAAGGCTCGATAGAACAGTTTCAATAGCAACTTACTTTTGACTCTTTGGTATCCTCTTCGTGCTTGATACGTACTGCATCCATTTTCAGAGCAACTTGTTCTCTCTCTGCTTTCAAGCGCAAGATCTCTTCTCGTAAAGAGAGCTTCTCGCGCTGCACCATTCGGACTCGTTTTCTAAGTGTGTGCAAGTCGTTCAGATGGATTGCCTGGTTTGTTAGTTTGTACTACAAAGATAGCTACCGAATTTCTTACCTGTTGTAGTAATCGAGACGTGAGCTCTTCTTTATACGCTTCAAGGGCCAATATCTTTATCCTGCATTCCTTCTTTTTCTCTTTTTCCTCCGTGATGCTAAGCGTATCGTAGAGCTTTGCAACTACTCCATCAATGACTTCGAAGCAGACCTGCGAAAAGACATCTACCACTGTTTCTCCATTCATTATGAACGGTACGTCCCCTGCAAGTTGGTCCTCCTCGCCATCATCTTCGCCATACTTCTTCACATTGACAAAGCGCTGTACCGTAATCTCGATAGCTGAGCCATCACTGACTCGTCGGGCTTTCTCGGCTTCCTTCGTCTTGCGCACTTGTTTCGGAAGTGGTTTTGGTCCTGTTCTCGATTTTGTACTGGCTTTGGGCTTGACTGCTGGTTGCTTCTGTGTCGCTGGACTTTTCGACGATTGCCCGCGCCGTCGTTTTGGTGCTGGCTCCTCCTCAGCCGGTTCTTCAGGCTCTGCTTCAGGCGATTGAGATGGTAGACTCCTTCGGGGACGTTTTCTGCCAATTGCTTTGGCTGCCTCGACTGCATTGATGGCCTCTGCGACAGCAGCGTCTTCTTCCTGCGTATTCCTTTCCCCCTCCTCGGGTTCGTCCTCAGGTTCTTCTTCAGGCTCTTCAGGTTCCTCGGGTTCCTCGGGTTCCTCCTCTGCTGGCTCCATTGTAACATCCGCTGGCACATCCTCAACTTGGCTGTCTTCTGAAAGCTCATCGTCTACGGGAGCTTGATCTGGTCGCTCTGGCGAAAGCTCCTCAGCATCCAGGCTTATTTCCGTAGCTCTCGAAGCTCGTCCTTGAGAGATTCTTGATCTAGACATCGAATGACCCCCGCTTCGACGCAATTTGCTGACCAGTGGTGATGAGGAGGCTGGTACATAGTCCTCTTCCGCAAGCGCAGCACGTAATTGCGTTGTCGATGATACGGCGTCGATCTGTATAGGCTGCGGCGCATCGGGACTTTGGTCATTTTCTTGAGTCCTCTGACTTGATGGTTGGGCATCTGGTGATGTAGAGACATTCTCGTTCGGTAGGATTGGCAATTCGATTTCGGCTTCGTCCTCTTCTGGCGCTTCGATGGATTGTTCTGGACTAGGCAATTCCGGCTCTGCCTCTGGTTCTGGTTCCGTTTCGGACTCTGGTTGAACTCCTGTTTCCTCGGCTGCATCGTTAACCGGCTCTTCGACTTCCGCAGCATCTGCTGAAATATCCTGCGCGTCCGATTCCTTAGATGTGTCGGGCAGTTGGTAGGGATCATCAGATCTTATTCTCGGCGATCGTCTTCGCACGCTTCTCTGCGCCGACGGAGGTGGTAGCGGCTCATTATCCAATCTTCTTCTCTTAGCAGAAGTATTCGCAGATGAGGGTAACAGCGCTGGTTTGGGAGCGGCGGGTGTCGAGCTGGCTATGTTAAGGCCTGCAAGATCGAGGTTGAAGTCGAGATTGAAGGATTCGTCCTGGATATTCGTGCGTCTGCAGTCGCATTAGAGAAGTTTCTCGGAATTCGAAAAGATAATTCGTACTGAGCACCTCGAAGACGTTGTTGTAGCCGCTCATCGCGGCCCTGCTGGCCTATTGTTTGTATTAGCAAGTCTGTCGCATGTTTGTTTGTGGCTATTTGAGACATACCTGTGGCCATGGCGGAAAAGGGTTGTAGTCAGTATTTATAAGCGCATTAATTCTGCCTGAGTCGGTGGTGTCCAGTTCCAATAAGAGGTTGTACTGTTGCGATTGAACTTTTTGGGGGTGATGTTGATGAAGTAATGTTTAAGATGCTGATAGCGCGTGGGGGAGACGCGTTCCAGAAGTCGCGGGGCACTCGCATTAAATTAAAGATGTCCATCATGCAGCAGCCAAGCTAGTGGATCCTGTGAGGAGCATAAAGCGACCTGCTAACTTCGTCTCTTATGCTTCCAACTGTTAATTTTTTCAACACTCCAAGGCCAAACTATTAAATAAGTTGTCTTTTGCTACGACAGCTTTACAGAAGAAGAATGCAAGTGGCCTTACAGACCTTCTCAACTTGTCGATAATTCCACAAGCGAGCATTGTTTTTCCTTTTCCAGGAAGGTCGCTGATCCACAAGACAGCGATACCCAGGCATGCTTAAATACATCTTTAGGTTCATATGAAGTAGTCTCCCCGCCCGGAACTTCGTCATCCACGGTTTCTGACATATTAAGAGGTCGCCATTTGTCCAGCACCAGATTGTAGATAACGGCTTTGGGACTGCACTCGCTTTACCAGGTCAGGCTTGGTCAGGATGCCGGAGTGTCTCACCTGTTAGCCCATGTTTTCAATGTAAGGGAGTATCTAAGTCAGAATTAGGTAGACTGGAGGATCGCATGCTACATTTGGTGATGCCTATGATTTGGGAGGCCGCCTTCAGGACATACCAAAGTGGAAAATATCCAAGACCTGCTTGCTAGCTAGTGGGTAGCAGAAAAATTGACCTCCTAAGCCTTGAGGTACAGAAATAAGTAGTCTGCGAACTATAGTCTTAGTATCAAACACTGGTCTATTAATTTCGTCTCTTATACTTCCAGCGGCCATCGTTTCTGCTACCCACTAGGCTAGGCAGATATCTCAAGGAGCTTGAGGCTCGCGATAACAGCCATCGACAGTCGGATTGGACACCTCAAGCCACCCAGTTTTAGAACATGTACAGCCTCATTGCGCTACCTCTCGTCACTCTCACATCGAGGATGGCACTCTTCTATATGAATGAGTCTTAATCCCACTTCTTCTTTTTCCGAACTAACTTATGAATGGGTGTTTTACACTTGTCGGTGAACATTCTTCAATCTTTGCGTCTCTATCATGGCCTGCCAAAACGTGGGCTCTACGAATCCTGATATTGCGGGTTTGGGGGTAAGTCCCTGATAAATGCGTCTTTGGCCGGACACATAATGACTTGGCTCAGATTGTCATTGCGTTTGCTTCCCAAGCAGGGCTCTCCCTCGTTCTCTCTTTTTGGTCCCTATCATTATGGGGATCCGCGCGCTCATCTTGGATGACTGACATTGGACCTTTACTCCTCAAAGGTCATTCTTCTCCCTTTGAACTAATAGAGCAACTACAACAGGCCGTTTCAAGAAGGTCGCCAGAAAGCAAAACAAGGCGCCTTCTTGAGATTCTTGTGCCCGAACTAAAAGGACAACCTTTAGAAAACCACCCCTTGTTATTTGACCTGAAAGACCTAGTACAACAGGTCGTTTTAAGAAGGTTGCCAGAAAGCAAAGCAAGGCGTCTTCTTGAGATTCTTATGCCCTTGCTAAAAGGAAACCAAGACGACGATGCGATAAGCCCATCTTTCTGGGTAGAAGGCGTACGTTGGGCATCCAAGAAGAGAGCCATAGACAAGGTGCTCGCAACCATCAGCGATGTGCAGATAATGAATGGTCAGTATCGTGTTCTCGTCGCACAGCTTTAATCGAGTTGGTCTTTAACTTGCTGTAGCCTTGGCGATCCTGCTAGCAGCTCTTGTCCAATACGAATCCATAAGCCTCTACCACTTGCGCATAGTATATGAGACAGTCAGCTTCACAAGGTAAGTTAATGCCCCCAATCACATCCAGAGTTTACAACGAGAGACTAGTATATCAGTCTGTGCAAGCCTCATAAACGTCTCCAGCTCAAAAGACGAAACGAAGCGTACTCGGGCGATTTCGTTAGCCATGTTTGTTGTTGCTTACATATCCTTTTTTGTGATTTTCTTTCTTCAACTTGACAAGTGGGATGATGACGTCCCCGGTCGTTGCTACAACACCAAGTTTGTAGCGTCTCCATCAAGTGCGCACCCCTTAAGTGATTACATTTATTTTGGCATTACTTTTGTATATTCCCTGAGCGCTCTTCTGAGTTGTTACAGAAGCGGTACTACTTTTCATTTCCTCGCTCAACATTTCTCCCGATCTTCTACAACAGGCCTACTCCCAACAACTAGCGATACGAGTTTGAGACCATCTTCATCCTCCGCCTCCCCGATATCTAATAACAGATTCTGGGCCATATTATCTCTGGTGATATGTGCCATGAAGTGGTTGCAAGTTCCTGCCATATACCTTGGTCTGAAAGTTTTCAGCTTGCTTGCTATCTACTTCACTGTCTTGGGTCATGAGAAACCAGAGTACCGGGTGTGGGCTATCGTCCCTCTGGCTATGGCACAATACCCTCTTCACTTGTACATGACCATCGCCCTCAGAGCTGGAAACGAGAGTCTTCTCAGCGGGGACTCTGAGAACGCGTGGGGCTTTGGACAGATTGTGGCACTTATACTCTATGCCGCGACGTTGCTGGAATGTATTAAAGGATTTTCCGGTAAGATTCGCCCATTCCCAGCGAAGATGCTTGCTAAAACGCACCTTTTCCAGAGTATCGAAAGATTGTCCAGTTGCAAAGCGACCTTGAAGAGAGCGAAGTTCTTCAGAGTGAGCAGGTCCAAGCAAGGCGAAGGAATAGCTTCTAGACTAGATAGTCGATCAACAGTGTTGCGACCCAGCAGTAGACACAAGACCGTTTTCTCAGGAGTACGCACTGGGGTTTCATTGTTTAGGGGATGAAATTATTAGATCAGTTTATGGTAATTATACCATGTTTCTTAGATTGCTGATTTTTGTACCCTAAGACTTGAGAGGCTAACTTTTCTGCTAAATGCCCACCAGTCACTGGTAGTAAATGAACCAGTATCACGAAAACAATCCACTATTATTTTCCCATGTCGCTGAATCTATCTCTATATCGCTGTAATGCTCTGCGAATCATCATTCGCGAGGTAAACTCCTCTCAGTTGATGGGAACCCACTGCATTCTCTGCGTGTCGAATCGGTGTCTGGTTCCTAGTCAGCCAAAAACGTCGTACAAATTGATCTTCGCTATACATACCCGTAATATTCAGTCTTTGACACGGCCGCAAGGCCATATTCCGAAGTAAGCATCTCCTCATAACGGTAAGGGATCTTGGCGGGAATACCCTCAAAGGTAGTATCGAGAAGAGGGAAAATGTACTTGTCCTATTTCGCAGATGGTCAACATAAAGATTGTCAAAACTACAAGAGGGACATACCTTGAACTCGTGATCATGCTTGTCGTACATGACGCCCTCGCCCATTTTGTGTCCAGGATCATATCTCGCAGCTGTAATATCGATGAACAGTCCAGTCTGCATATCAACCCAACGAGCATCAATAACATTCATCCAATCATCTTTCTCACGATGCTTGAAGTAAGGATTTATGTCAAGCTGGAAAAAACAACCATCCGGACACCCGTCGTACTGGTAGTAGTAGATGGTCATGTTGTAGTAGGCAGAAAGAAAGTACATGTCAGCTTCAGTCACTGAGACGTCGGCATCCAAGTCCCACGGCATGATCTAGTGATTTGGTTAGAGTATTTTGGGATGTCGGCCATTGAGTTCCTCACCTTCTTTCCCCACCACCAACCAAGTAGGGAGCCATGCATTAGCCATGTCTGAACACCCAGATCTCGAAGTGTAGCTAGATATGTCTGCATGAGGACCTTGATGCGTGCATTTTGTGCAGCTGGCTCCAGAGCTTCTTGGAAATACTTCAAGTCATAGTGTTGGTGTTCTCTTGGCAGTCTCGTAAGTAAAGTGACATCAACAAAGACCAATATTACTCACTGAGGTTCCTCTAGAATCTGTTAACAAGATCTATTTCTTCCAATTATATCTCCTCATGTCTAGTAAAAACTTACGAAAGTATTTCGGTATTTCCGGCGAATTATCCTCAAATTTTTCAAGGATCTCGGGGATGGTTAAAGCAGTGGCAGAGACAAGCCAGAGTGCGGCGCAAAAGGCCGGTAGCCTCATGGTGAGTATGAGTTGACTGACGCCTGACCTCGTTAATGCGCGCCGTCAGGAATATAAATCGTGAGGTGACGTGGACTGGCTTGTGAGGATGTTTCGGCTGGATCTGCAGGGGCTGGCTGGGCAAGGGGTTTGAGTTAAAACGGCAGTGACAGTGATATCCAACAGTTATACGTTTATTGATCAAGCCGTTGATAATCCTGAAGTTCAAAGTTCAAAGCGATATAGAAGAGGAGATGGATTAGAGAGTGGATTGAGTCCGTCGTTGGACAGGAGAAAAGTTGAGTTTCGATGGCAGTTTCAGCGATTCATTCACCAAACATTGATTCAATTGGTGGTCCATGCTAGAGTACCTGGCGGCAGTACAGTACGACCCCTAACCTCGTCATACTCTATTAGGCCTTATCACCAATGGAATCATCGAGTTGCAGACATATGAAATAGGTAGAATTATTGACCCGATCTTACAAACTTCTATATAACAATATACATCCATACTGCGAGGCACGCATTCAATTGTCTGAGGCGCAGCTGACCGGAATGGGAAACCGCCGTGGCTGAAATGTCAACAGGTTCAGGTTCAAGTGCCCGCTTAACAAGGGACCAGGCTTCAAGGGAACCTACTGACGCAAGCTCCAGGCCCCCAGACATAAAGTTCCCCAGTCAGAGAAGCCAATACTCCACCTTTTTCCTCCACCTCCGTATCGTATCGCATCACCAGGTAAGCTAGAGCTGAGTTGAGCTGCCTAAGCTAGTACCTACCCCTACTTACGACTCTCGACAACTTGTCTTTATCAACTTTCCTTCCTCTTCTAATTATTCCATCAACTCAACTGCTCTCCAGATCCAAACTTGCCACGGGCAGGTCAACAATCATACGAATTCCTTCTATAGCTCACACTTGAGCAACCCGCCCTGACAATGGGCGCGTGGAACGTACGTATGCTTCAACACACTTCATGATGGGATCTCCGAACTGACACTTGGTAGCTCTTCCGTGTTCTGGGCGACTTGTCCCACGCCCTCTCGAAATGCATCCTCATCTTCGCCATCCACCGCAACCGCAGCGCAGAGGGTGTCTCCCTCATCACGCAGGTCCTCTACGCTCTAGTCTTCTGCACCCGCTATCTCGACTTGTTTAGAGAGAGTGTGCCGTGGAACATTGTGTTCAAGATCTTCTACATCCTCTCGTCGATTTATATTCTGGCTATTATGCAATGGATTTACCCTCGTTCTCGCGAGCGTGAGGTCTCTTGGAAGATTGGCGCTGTCATTCTTGGCGGCTCCTTCGTCCTGTCGCCAATCGTCATGCTCATCTTTGAACGAGGTGAACACCGAGGTTTCCAGACCGTACGTTAAACCGTTTCCCCAAGTAATTACAGCATCACTAACGTCTTTCCAGTGGATGTGGGTGTTTTCCCAAATTCTCGAATCCGTCTGTGTCCTCCCTCAACTCCTCCTCCTGAGACAGACGACCGTCCCCACCGTTATCGACTCCTTCTACCTCGTCGCCCTCGGCTCCTACCGCGCGCTCTACTGCCTCAACTGGTTCATCCGCGAATTCGAAATGCACGGCCGAGGACCCAACATTATTTCCGTCATCTTTGGCGTCATCCAAACTGCTCTCTACATTGACTTTGCATGGGTTTACTACACTCGCCAGCGCGTCAAGCTCCGCGGTGGCGGTATCGTTGATGCCGATGATATGAGCCGCAGCTGGCTTCTCCGTCGCATCTTTGGCAAGCGCTTCGCTCACGACGAGGAGGATGACGAGGAGAACGGTCCTGGTGGCTTTGACGATGACCAGGGTGGTAACAGGCGCGGGGCTCGACCCAAGTGGGGAGCTCGTGGTATTTCAGTCAGCGCAGACGATGGCGTCCTCGAGCAAGAACGAAACAATCGGGACCAGGACGAGTTTGGTGGCCCAGTTGATCCCGACGCCAAGATGCAAGATCCCGATGAGCTTGCGCGAGCGCTTGACGACGATGACGATGAGAACACACCTCTACGACCTGGTCAAACAGAAGGCCAACCCAGCGGTCTCCAAGGCGGCGAGGGCTGGCGCGACTAAGCTGGCGGCGTCATTTCCGCGGATGATTTTACAGGATGAACTCGAAACGGAGTATCACGGATTGTTTACTTGGGCTGTCTTGGAAGGTATAACCCGATTTGTCATTTTTGGTGAAACGTTGAGTGCGATGGATGCACAGAATTGTTAGAAGAGATGGAGGAAATAGGCACAGCGGGCCATGATTTTATGTTAAATTATCACCAAGGTATCAGAAACATTAGCCGCCAAGAGCATAAAGGACGAAATTAGTAGGTCAATTTATGTTATTTAGGCCAGACTTATTACATTCCTGATTTCTGCACCCTAAGACTTAGATAAACTTTGCTGCAACCCCTAGATTATGTATCATAGCGAAGTTTAACGGATCTCGACGAAGAAGTGAGTCACTCAAAGTCACAGTGTTTAGATCAAAGAAGGGGTTGATGTGGATATCATTCAGGCAAACCTTGCCCATGAGCTTTTCCGTGCGTTCAAACAGACATTCCCATACAATCGTCACCATGTCCCCAGAGGACGATCAACTCCTCCCAACATTTGGCGCCATCTGACTAGGACATCATTTGCCTCGCCAGTCCCGTCTTTTGCAACTCCCATCAGCAGCATCCTCGCTGCGATAAACTCCTAAAGCAAACAAATAAAGCTAGACAAGAACGAACAAAGTACAAAATCATATATACTAAAACATAATGTGTTGAAACCTTAGGGTATTTCCTTTTCTTTAGACGAAGCGTCTTTCAAACTCGGCAAATAGCTTTGGGCTAATCTCGTCGCTACTCATGCCCTCAATCTCGACCAGTACGCCCTTTTGAGCATAGTGGTTCAGGACAGGCTCGCTGGTCTCTTGGAACTTCTTGTATCGGGCGCGGTAAACTTCCTCGGAATCGTCAGGGCGTTGAATCAAGGGCTCGCCGGTGATGTCATCCTTTCCGTGGACCTTGGGCGCGTTGAAACTGGTGTTGTAGACACGGCCGGAAGGTTCATGGACCCAACGTCCGAGAATGCGCTCCAGGATAACGGACACGGGTGTCTTGAGTGAGACGACCAGGTTGATGGGGATAAGTTTGTCAAGGGGACCGGCCTGGGATGCTGTTCGAGGGAAACCGTCAAGGATAAACGAAGCTGAGGGGTCGTTGGAGGCAGCAGATGGTCTATGCCCGTCGAGGAAAGGCGCAGCGTTGATGAAAGATTCGACACCAGCGTTGTTGTTGAAAGAATGTTCGAGTGCTGTGGCTTCGGATGAAAGGGTCATAACATTAGAGCCATTCTTGGCAAGCCAGCCGCGAGTATAAAATTCGTTGGAAATAAGTCGTAGGATTAAATCGTCAGCCACAAGGCCACCAGCCTTCATGGTGTTCTCGACCTTGATGCCTATGGAAATAGTTAGCATCACGACAAATGGAGGGGCATAGGGCCTAAACTAACCGAGTGGTGTTCTATCCTTGACATTTCGACGAAGAAGATCTCCGGTACTGATTTGATTGAGTTGAGGGAAGCGCGAGAGCAAGCGCTCGCTCTGTGTTCCTTTGCCAACACCAGGGGCACCAAAGAGGATGACTCGAGCGGCCTTGTTCAGGTTCATTCTAGGCGACCTGTAACGATGAGGCCGTCGCGAGTAAAAGGCAATTGAGAAGCTAGCTTGTCGTAGAAGCTATACTTTGAGGGGATTGATGCGCAATGAGTACAGTTGCGTTTGAGCGGTGATGTATCCAAAAAATGTCGCTGCACGATTTAACGTTTCTTGTTGAGGTCAATGGTACGATAGTTCGGCGCTGGCGCGGGGAGTTGTTGGGCCACAAAAAGGCGAGATCGGAGAGACCAGAATGATTATGCAGGTGGTGGTTTTTTTATGACGGGGAGAAGGAGTTTATAATAGATAAAAGACGCAGTCGATAGGTTGGAACAAAGATTACAAGATAGAGAAACAAAGATGAAGAGTAAGAAGAGGAGAGTCGAGGATGTGTTGGAAGGTTGGAAGTGGGGGGCCTTAAGATAGGGCGGCAGAAAGCGCAAAAAGATGGTGTTGGTGTTGAGAGTGAAGGCGCAAGGGTGGTACTTGTTGTGTCACCACATATTGGTGAGATGACACGTACCGATCGATGGAAGGCGGCGTTGAGATGGGTTGTGGGACCGTGCGAGGCAGGAACGGTCGTCAGGGTGGGTACGGTAGTTTCTACCGTGGCTTGCCGCTTACCTTGGCTTCTACGTATTCCATTCAGTCTGGATAAGTCTAGATTTCATTTGATCACAGTCATACAACTTTATACAACAAATGACAGTCTTTGGTTAACAACATATGCCTTGATTCTGCTTCTTCACCGGGACATTTCGGAGGCCCGGAAATGTGTCGGAGGATTGGTGGTGACAACAACTCGAATCGGTATTTTGCCTTAAGTCCGGATTATCACATCCCAAGGGACCGGAAGAAATGGATGAATATCCCGTTTCATTTCAGGGTGTCATCTTGTCGATCTGGGGAAACGGTGCAGCTTTCTCTTGGCGCCACGCTTTCTGCATCATAGTGTGTCATTTACTACCACCAATCTCTTTGCTTTATTAGTCACGGTTGTTTTATTAATCTATTGCGTTGGAATCTAGATAGATTGCGATGGACTATCGCTTACTGTCTTGATTGGAAGAGGGTGTGGTATAAAACAAGTTGGTCTTCTTGGACAAGACATTATCTAGCACGTGTAGTGATTACCAACCAATCAACAGATAGTGTGTCATGTTCGATTTCCAAGCACCCCGGATTTCCCAAACCCATGGGCTGGCCTGACAGTTTAAGCGGTCCATACCTCGCTTGCCTCGGTACAAATAAGGACCAAGCTGTGCGCATACCCGTGCAAGCATCATCGCATTCAGCATAGGGTAGGACGGTGGGCACGGTTAACGAAGCCGTATTTGTCATGACGTGATGTTTCTCAATTAATTTGTTCCTTTCTTATTCGTTTGAAGTATTTCAGAGATTTGCGAAGGGATACTGCAGCGATATTGTCACGATTGCCGTGGTTGCTGTCGCTTGTGTACTGTCAAACTTCTAATTTTTGTGAGCAACACCACTTGGTGTTTTGTCGTCGGATCATACACTCCGGCCAGAAGATCGCATCAGAGTCAACCTTTGGGATTTTGAGCATCCGTGGCGGCTTGCTGTCAATTCAAAAAAAAGATGCAAGCTTAACAGTAATTCCCCAATAGTGGAAGAAGTGGGAGAACAAGTCAAAGCCGATAAGACCTTTCGGCTCAACATCAGACCAAACCTCATGGCGAATCATACAGAATTTAGAGCATAGAAATAAATAACACAAAGGTCTAGTCTAAATGGCATAAAATGGCCTAAATATTTCGTCTCTTTTACTTCTAGCGGCTACCTTTTCCAAGATCCTGAGGCCCGGTCCAAGAGGTGGGATTGGTGGCAGTCCAGTCTGGGCATAATCGTGCAGTCAGTCAGTCAGTCAGTTTCAACTGGGCCAAACCAAAGCAAGAAATTTACACTGAACAAAAATGCATAAGGCATCCATTCAAGTTTGAGAGCCAGATATATTGCTGTACAAATTGATCTCGTATTCGTCTGGCACTGCTTGACACTGCTTGGCTAGACTTCCAGGCAGTCAAGGCAAATCTCGGCCAACTGCATAGTGTCTATTTGCGTGAAACGAAAACTGGCCATCACGCATTCCTCTGGATTTAGCTTCTTGCTTAACAAACGAGAATAACTTTTCTATTTAACTCCACCTCAGATCCGGTCATAAACCTTTCATCTTCATCCTCAGCTTCGTCTTCAGTCTTCTGTCATCCTTTATGCACTCTTTTTCAGTTCCCATTTCTATATATCTATACGATTGTACAAATGAGTCCTTCTTCAGACCGCCCCAACCGCAGCCAGTCGTGGAACTCATGCTGAAGCCCGAGATCAACACTGTCGGGGCCCGTTTCCCCGACCTAGAATGGCTCGTATTGGCAGAGGCAAAGGACAATGACATTGCGTCCACGATCCTAGACCCGAATGGAGAAGGTATCTTGGTCACAGAAAAACTTGTGAGTACAATAGCTCCGCCAGCCATGTAGCCTTGCTAATCTGTGAACAGGTGAAAGCATTCAAGGTCTTTCTGCTGTCTCTCTCGGAAAGCTTCTCGGAAACCTTCCTCGCCTTGAACGACTAGCAGTGGGAATGTCACGATATGAGCTCAGAGCCCATCTGTCAGAACTGAAACTGGCACTCAGTGTCGCTCTGCGGACACAGGCAACGATTCACCTTCTCTCTCTGATGGTGAGGGGATGTCAGTACATGCAGATGACACCACATCATGTGCTACCATCGAGAACCCGGAAGTTCCACCCGTCCGAGAAAAGAGGAAGACGGCATCTTCCAACCTGATGACTCACATCATGGGCTTTCACCGCTCTGTAATTGAGCTTTCTCCTCTTGGGGCCTACCCGTCCTGGAGGCGTCATCGATGTCAACATGGCTGAATAAAGTAAGTAGTCTTATTCATATACTATCAATCCACTCCCTGACCCTTTCCTGTATTCTGCATCTTCCATCTTGCTTTTGTCAAGGCCTCCGATGATGACAACAACGACGACATTAACGCCTTGGAACCCCCATCCAAGTACACTGTTGCCACTATTGTAAGTAGAACTTCTATCTGATCAATGACTTGGTGATGCATTGTTCTAACTTTGAACAGGTCCAGGAGGACATGGCTTGATGACGTGGATCCTCTGCCTACCGTCGAGGAGCGCCGACCTGGCCGAATTAGATCATGAAGGTGGCACAACAACAAGCAACTGACGAGCATTACCTGCTTGTGTGGCGCCCCGCGTAGATGGGATCGAAGCAGTATAGACTAGCTCGACCAGCTTGTCGACAGGGAACCTCGATGCGTTAAAGACTTATACCACGAAGGGTAATCAAAGCCCCTCGAGATCTGTTGGCAAAGCTCTACGGGAGGAGGAACAACCTGAAGGTATGATTATTTAAGAACGCGGGTAGGAATATCGCTAACAATTCACATAGATCGAATGAGGGAAATGCTTGTTCCCAGACTGAATCTACAAGATGTGAGATGTACATATTTAATATGTTCGCTCCATTGAACAGAGAACCGACTATCATCTCAATCGATGATGTAAAGTTACACGCAACGACCTAGGACCATCCCCTTGCAAACTCGACGTCACTTGAGACACTGCCGTCGCTGGTATTGCAAATCCAACCTGATAAACGTGCCGCTAGGTCTGAGTCACCAAAATCTTTGGGGTGTGGTGGCGAAAGAGGTGTCAAAGAAGATCGACAAGACGGCGATCCAGGCTTCGGAAAGATCTCGCCGGGCAGCAAGGCGAGGAAACGCTACCTGATCAACGTTGATGGACTGGTCCCAGGAAGGAGAGGGTCAAAAACGGGCGATGGACCGAACAGTTCACCCCCAGGCGAGGTTAGACTTATCCTATCCTATTTTAATGTCCCCAAGTCTCCAAGCTAATATGGACTAAATTTAGGCTCTTTCTAAGAAGGGATTTGCCCGGCGAATACAATATATTATTCAACAATGTCATAATGCAGCATTCAAGATGACCCATGATTGGCTTGGACTTCAATTGGAGCAAAAGCGCACAGAAGGACTCTGGCAGCGTCGCTCTACAGACACAGACAAGTTCGGACACTACAGTACTCAAGTTGGAATTTTGAAGCAGAATATGGTGACGTTTAAAGGTTTTTGCAATGCCTGCGCAACGTAAGTCTATCATTTGTTTATCTTCATTCTGATGAGTATCCTGGCTTATGTTCTTATTCTCTTCACAGGCACTGGGAATGTTCATATACATGAACAACCCCGCTGTTCATATCCTCTATCATCAAAGAGCAGAGAAGCAAAGGCATGACCACTCAGAAGGAAGTCGCCGTGCAAGTCAGCCTGTCTTCTGTGGTATTACCCTGAATTACGAACAGGACCCAGCCGCCTTTCCTGGAAACAGTCACAGGGTCACGGTAACAGTCAAACCTCGTCGATCAATGGTTCAACCTTGATGAACTAGACGTGCGAGGACTATGTGCACCCTGCGTGATGGTTATCAGTGCATTCCCACGCACACAGCGATAGGCGAGACAGGTACTAGTGCATATTTATGCACACATCGAAGGGGGAAGTATCACACATCCTACCTTTCGCATGGAACAAGAATGAGGTGAATCGAGGGTACACCTTTCGGACCCTCCCCGTCGGAACCAAGCTTTTCTTCAACCTGGCAGACCAAGTCAGACTGTCACAGATGGCTCACCTATCGCTGGGATGCTCAGACATGGTATGGAACATGGTCTATCTGAACAGACAACTCCATTACTGGTGGACGAAGTGAATGAGTTATTGTACCCAAACGTCGAAGTGGCCGTACGAGAAGCGATTCATGGATGTAAACGGAAGCGAAGCAGCAACTCGCACGCAATGCTTGAAGTATTTCTCTAGGTGGCAGCGACTTTTAAAAGGATCAATGCTGCTCTATCGCACTCGATGGAGGAAGATCTGGCCACCAGAACCTCAACCTGTCTCTGAGCCTGTCGACCTTCCGTATCCGGGAGGGTACAGGCCCAAGTACGTCTCGTGCCTTGACGTACACCTGTTTCCTCACTTGGCGTACGGAAGAAGGATGAACTCAAGGTTACCAACGATTGCTGACTGGTTGAAAACGAGTTTCACATGCGATATCTAAAGAGACTTCGCGAGTCGACCAGCTTCGAGGTAGCCGGCAACCAAATTATGCTTTCGAAGACGGTCCACGATTGCTTGGATCGAGCATATTGGACTTTCAAGCCTCTACCAAGAAAGAACACGGACCTCATGTCGACTCATGCAGAGCCGAACACCCCATCCCTTCTGCCTACCCAGCATGCCACTGGTTGAGATGGTAGCATCCTCAGCCTATCTGCCAGGTATGATTATCTAGCCAGGCTGTGGAAGGAATGGGGCCATGAATTCATTTTCATCGAAAGTTCTCCGTGCTTTAATCGCATGCTTCACTGACGTGGCTCATGGCCATGGCCTGTGGACAAAGCCCGTGGAGATTCGAGAAGACGACTGTCCAGGCTGCACCGAATCACGGCAGACTAAGACGCTATCAAAAATTACTTTCATCAACTACAACGAGGATAAAATTCTCGATGTATGAAGGGACAGGGCCGAGCCTCAGGTGACAAGTCCAAGCCACGGAGAAAGACAACACCTCCTCCAGTCTATCACTTTAGCAAGTATCAAGCATGGCTCCCAAGCTTTACTAGTACTACCATTAGGTGGTGACCAGCGAGTCAGCCTACAATAAAGCCTTTGCCGATGAAAGTATAATCGCACTGGATGGCTTGAATTGAGTGGACTCATGCTTTCTGGTACAGTACATGGAGGCCCCTTACCGCCTGGCAGTCCGTTGGCTGTGACAGGAGCGCGGAAATCTTTACAGACTGGCTGATACACCAACTGTCGTTGTATATCTGACTGGCAACGCATTCAAAATAGGTCCTATTTTCACAGATCTACCTGCATACCATGATGGACAACCTCGTCCCACCCTTGCTAGGATCACATGCATCTCAAATCCTCCGCAAGAAAGGTTTCCTCGCTAGCTTTTACCCACTCGAGATCACCCACGTCCACCGAGAATCCGAATGAACGGCAGAGTTCCTGGCGCTAACGCTTTCCCAAGTGTCACTACTTTATTACGACATCTGCATCTTGCCTGGACTCATTGAACTCTTTGACGACGCACTGGCTAGACTTTACCAGAATATTCTCCGGCAAAACACAAGTGCGTACCAGGAATGCGTCTTCGTGCGGTAAGTTCCTTCCTAATCATAGTATACCTTGATTATATGCTAACTATGATGTTACATAGATCAATGAGCCCTACGTGGACGCCCAGTATCAGCTGCGAAACGGGACCGAGTTCGAGCTGGGAGGGATTGACGAGGATGTTGACTTCAATTACCAGGATATATCTGCGTATCATGTCTTCTTCTTCATCAAGCAGCTCGAGCGGTATCAGCTTCCTGAACCTTTGGGTCAGCGAGGAGGGTTTCACTCAATTCCACGCCCGTCTTGATCTCTTTGCACCACTGTATGCGCATGGCAGAGGTTTCCTCTATTCCTAGCGACATCGAGGTTAAAGGACAAGAGAAAGCCGTTCTGCGAGGCGCTAATGTTTCCCCATCAACTGGTGAAGAAGACGAACTGAGCATGATATCAATTGATGACAACACCATTTCCTGGTTCTCCAGCATGTGAGTCACTTTCACCTCGTGGACACGTACAGAGTGATGGAGGTGAAAAGCACAGAAGGGTAGGCAGCAATGTTGGCGTATCTAAAGAACGTTCTTCAACAGAAGCAAGGCGAATTCGTCCAGCCCTTACTGATCAAGCGCCGTTCCGACACCATATAGGCGGTACAATCTGGCATCCTAGTCCGCAGGTTCAAGGCGGCGCAACATTTTTTAAAAATCCTCAAAGGTCGATATTCACTTACAACGAATCTTTCTTTACACGAGGACAAGTATGACAAGGAAAATAGAGGGTAAACCGCTTGAATGAGCGTTAGCTTCAACAATGATGGCAACTATCCAGACGAACAACGTATCATGGTTATAAAATGTCGCGACGAAGGCATGAATATACACCGATGATCTTGCTACGAAGCGTTGTTGTGAGCTTAAGAAGATAATACAGGTGAGAAACATGAATCTCAACTGCGGTGCGGTTTACGAAACCGTCCGCCGCATCAGCGAAGAAGGTGGAAGCAACAGCATTACTCCTATTGATAGATATCGAACTCGCAACGAGATCATTGAAGACGATCGGGGTGCCCAGCATATCTTGAGCGTACGTGATCTGACATCAGACCCGTCCGGTGAGCTTTGAACACTGAAGCTATTTTGAGAAAAGACGTTATTATCTGCTTGCGCCGCATGAACTCTGATTTCTTGAGAGAGGTGCCTTCTACAGAACCCCTTTGTAGGGAGTCTGAACTACGAAGCAATACCTAACGAGCTTGCAATGAAGCGTGTCTATTTAACTTGCTGGAGCAGTCTATCAACAGACGGTCAAACCAGGTGATGGTTTCGGTGCAGGACTTTACATTGGATGCAGAGATAAGGATCCGAGACCTTCTAGAATCGGGACCCTAGGCTACTTAGGCAGAAAACAACAAGCCACCCAACTAGACCATGGATTCCCTCTAGGCTGTGGAAGCTGTTAGGCTACTGATCCCCTTTTTTTTATCTGGGACAATGGGAAACTTTAAAGACACCCTCGAGCGTTTCTCCAAGAATCCAGACTTCACCGGTCGAGGCTTGACACCTACCATGCAACTGGCTCACGTCATCGACACGTTACCCCGAGCACTTTCGGCTCTCGGAAAGGTCAGATGATGAGAGGATATCTACATGAACGACCTTATGGTGCCGTTGACAGGGTCATGCCATACCTGGAATGCTTCGATATTAAGCCACTTTGGTTATAGGATGTGCATTCCGAGACTCAAGTGGATAAAGAGATGAAAACCCCATTGCCTTCAAAGATGGAGACGAATCATCCATACACCTCACCTGTTGCCATTTTTGTCTTCTCGACGCCAGATAAACATGGCAAACGAAAGAGAAGACAGAGAAGGTCAAGGCGAACGATAAATGAATGGAGCACATGGTCAACGCCTCAATGGTACAAGGAAAGGTTGTTCCATTGCCTCTATCAAGGATGAATTGTTTCCCAGTACAGTGATGTTGTTAAATGCATCATACGAAGGGCAGATACACTCTGCAACAGGAGTCAACGATCCAGAACCCCTTCCAGGAAAGTAAACTGTTCAATCAGTCGTTGGCCATCGACACTGAAAAGGCTGCCAGTATCAAGAGAAACGCAGTCCTGTTCAAAACACCAGTCTTTTTTGTACGTAGGGATGAGACTCCCATGGTCAGATAAGAACTGTCAGACATTCTCAAGGGCCATGGGTCAGTTTACAGAAGCGGAATGACTGCATCCACTTGTGGTCGCTCAGCCAGAACACCCATCCCAATCTTTCCTCACGTCGCATATATACATGATGTTGGGATTCCGAGTTCCATTCCAACTGTCCGACTCAATGGGATCATGACTGGCGTGAGTTTTTGGAAGAGCTTACTAAATACATTAAATCCTTCCAAAATATCGCAATCCGAAGCTTTATCTAGGGCTTACCTAGTTTCCTACTTGAGTAGCCTAGGAGATTTGACGTCCACCTTAGATTTTTCGAGGGGCTGAATCGGGCAGTACTCAATCGAGGTTTAGTAGCCTTGATGTTGTCGTGGAGATTGAGATGATCTGAAACATACAGTCAACGGCATGACTGTCGACGAAGTCGACGAGCTTCTGTACCCGAACGTCAAGGCGGCTGTTCAAGAAGAGATCCAGGGCTATCAGCGGAAGAGGGGCAGCATGGATACAATGGACGACTTGGGATTTGCAACAAATGTGATAATGGACGCATTCAACCCTGACGGATACACAGATTTTGACGGTATTCGCTACATCACGTCTCAAAGCCTGCGAAAAGCCCTCTTAAACGATATACACATGAGCTCGGAAGAAGCATGATCATCATCCACTACTGGAAAGTCTTTCCGGGTGAAGTGAACAGACCTCAACACTAGGTCGTCAAGATCAAGAGGATATTTTCCAATATCAGCTAAACTCAACACGACACTCAGCAAACTTCCACGGAGTGAACAGGAACTCCACGGCGGTGCAATCCAGAAGGAGCTAACCATCTTGATTGCGGCCGCCCAGCTCCTACTCTTCGCCCCTGTCGACAGAATCAACGAAGAATCTTCCTACTCGGCCGACGAGGGGGCGGTCGGTTCCCCTTGGAGGATCTCAACAGGGCAATAACTCCACGGTGGGACTAGGCTGCGCCTGCGAATCACAATCACCACGATTTCTGGCCTGTATGGCGGATACAAGCGCCTTGAAATGCTACAAAGCCAACGGGGATGCGAGAACCCAAACATTGATGCTCCTCGAGGCACCAATGGGGCGGAACTGAAGAGGCCGATCGACAAGTTCTCGGAAGGACAAAATCGTCACGATGAAAGCACTGACGATATCTTTCCTCTTGGTCTCCTGTACAGCTTGGTACAGTTTTTCAAGACTTCTGGAAGAGAAGTTATGGCTACAAAGTCTAGCTACTCCTCCATCCGAATGAGAACACTTCTTTTTATTCTTCGTTCACTACTAGTCAAGTTCAGCCGCAACAATGGAACCACCAGGCGAACTTGCTAGCTATCTCAAACATCTAGACACGACAGGAAGTAACCATTTCGAAGAACTTCTTCGCAAATATGAGGAGTCTGGCGCTCGGCGATATCATGGTTGTTCCTTGCATCTTACTTTTCATCTGGTCATGAGCCCAGGCACTTTCACTGCACCGGATCCTATTTTACCTCTTTTTTATTCCGTATCTACCAATACGAGAGAACAACACAAAATGAAACAATCAGCATCTTGAGTAAACCTTGCCAGAGTATGTCTAATCCAGACTTCTGAAGGCATAGCTCGCGCACATCATAGAGCGGCTCAATACGCTCGCTACAGGTGAAGCTGGCGGTGGGCGCTGAGAGTGTTCGTCGTGACTGGGAAATCCCTGCGCATCAACAGGTGATCGATCTTACCGAAGATCGCTCCAGATCCCCTACCCGCCCCCAGGGCAATGACCCCGATTCGCACGAGCTTTTTACTACTATACTGGCCGTCACACTCATACTACCTACCAATCCACATGCATTACAATCGATGTACAGGAACCATTCAAACCGGGGTGTCTACACCAGATGTCCTTCCAAAGGTCATCGCGAATAACAACGGTTGTGCCAAAGAAATTTGCGATGCCCGCAATAACACAGCTGTTGGCACACCAAACCGTCTGCTATTTGCGCGAAGACATCAACCATGATATCAGTGCATTCTTTCAACTTGAATTCCTCAAAACATTTGACCCAACACATCTCCCAAACTGAGGATTTCCATCAACCAACGAAGATGACTACGAAACACGAGGTGAACTAGAATGACGCTCAATGAAACGTTTCGAAGACTAAGCAACGATTAGCCTTGATGGTTAGGATACCTACCATTGGAATAACGCAGCGGAGGAGATGCATCAACAGAATATGGTATGACTTGAATGCCTTGTACGACGAGACGATTCCTCATCGCAGGCCCGCTATTGGAACGGGAGTCGTCGAGGCACGTTTAAACTATTCTTCTTTATGGCGATGGAACATTATCAAGGATCCACGAACATCTACGATGTGAGCTCTGTATCAAAGTATGGGTCCTGTTCCATTTTGTAACCATCGAATGGCCTTAATGAACAACAAACAAACAAGATCAGCTACAGAAGAATTGGGGACCGCGATATCCTGCCAAAGGACCCCAAGCTCGCGTCCCTCTATTTGGTTCAGACGGAGTATCTGGGTAGCACCTATCCTACCTCCACCTCGGAGTTGAGACATGCGCAGGATAGTCAGTTCCCTGACAACAGGTCCGTGACTCCCAACTCTCCAGTGGTAAATGAGCTCGTACGGCGAGGACTACTCAACGCCTGGGCTTTGTTAACCACCTTGGATGGACGCAGCATAGGCAGGCAAGAGAAAGACACCATGGAACTGGTGAAGAAGAGGTGAAGAAGACTGAGCGAAACCGAAAGATATGATGGTGCGTTCTATCATGGGAAAGGACCGAGATAGATTTATTGCGAAACGCAGAAAACATCACCTTTTTCGACCTTGGTATCAAGGGGAACAGTTGGGCACAAGTACCCATGAAAGATCGTAACTGGCCTTGTTCAAGTTTGCCATTACTGGAGAAAGGATGGCAAAACCGCACGAACGATACTGAGCTTGGAAGCACAGACGTCGAAACAGACATTTCACAGACGAATCAAGTAGTCAGCACCCCAGCGCACCATGAGCGAGCTGGCGATAAACTTTTCGATGCTCTCACCAAAGCGGCTACCCTGGTGGCACACTGTAAGTTATACTCATCCCATATCTAAATGTCTACGCCGACACAATCAAGTCCTTCGTCAGTCGAACGTAGACCGCCGCAAGTCTAAGTGTAACCAACGATCCAAGCGAAAACCGGGAACGGTGCAAGGGCAGCGCAAGTCAAAGAGACCTCGTAATGAGGTTGACTACGATGAGTCCATGGCTTGCCACGATGGCAGCGAGCCTGTCTCTGACGATGGGGATGACTATGTCAAGTTCGATCCAGGCCATCAACTGTTGCGTCGCTGAAGCATCGCCCTTCCCCAGATTGTCTACGTCAATGGCAGTCAGGACCCAGAGCTTGGAGGTCACAACACCTCCGCAAACTTCGATCCTCATACAGCATGATGCTATACCTGGCACGTTTTCCCACTTTCTTACGAAGCACCGTGGCCATATGTGCCGCCTCAGACTCACTCGACATGACCCAATGGGATTGTACAAAAGGGACCTTCTTCAGCCGCCGTCCAAGCTGACAAACTTCCTCAATGTCCTTTTGCCCGCCTAATCCACCACCTGGTGTGGCGATAATTGATGCCATCTCACGAGATCAATACAAATAATTGGCATACTGGTGCGTTATCGAGAGAAAGTGCATCAGTGCCGTTGGACTGTCCCAGAGAGAAATACAAGCTTTCATCGAGTCCTTTCGCCAACCTAACACACAGCCACTCGAAGTTGCAGACCTTGTCTGCTCGCCGTGGTAGTTGGCTACTCAGTTTCGCACTCCCGCGATCGGATCGGTGTGTCCTCCCTGGCTTGTGTTGTCTCCAAATCTGATCGTTCTCTAGGCCGACAAGGATCAGATCCATTGTCATGATTCTCAGTTGCTCTATTTGCGCGATCTGAACATCAATTGCTCTGCCTAGCGTGCAGCGTGTGCCGTCCTTCGGAAGGCCATTCTGGAGGTTATCGTTCTCGATCGTGCTGTCAACTTCGACTATCCCCAGCTGGCGTTGTCCGTCGTCAAGCACATTCACGAAAAGAAGATGCCTGGTAATACTCTAGTGTTCCAAGCCGCAAAGCACCAAATTGAAAGCGCTGCTGTGAAGCCAACGCTATTGCACATGCGTCCATTCTTAAAGAAGATGATCCATTGCCAGCCTCATGGAGCGGATTTCATGCCGAAGTGCTGGACACAACTACAGGATGAGAGGTGAGCAGATCCAAGTCCTGAACCAGAAGACGAAAGATGCTTTTAAGGAGGACCTGGCAAAAGCTAGCCGAGCAAAGATCAACGACGGCGCATGGTCAGTGACCTGGGTATGCCCATAGTGTCACAACTCACTTCTGGTCATATATTCGATCACTTCACTCTACCAACAATATCGCCTCTTTCAATTACACTCTATGGAATCACGCATTTGATACAGCCCACATACCTTTAGTATTTCAACACGACTGAAGACGTACGCCGCTCTTGACTACCTGTGTACGAAACTGATGCCGAAGGACGACTCATTGTTGTTGCCGGTGAGAGATACTGTCGGGTGAACAATGATGATGACGATTTGTTCGGGGGGGATCTGAATCTGGAGAGCGCAGAAGTCGAGGTGAACAACATGTCGCAGATGATAGTTAACAGACTCGAACCCGGTGTTTTTGGGGATAATGACCAGATGTTGGGCGATCGCAGAGCAGCATGAATACTTCACCTTCTGAGTAACAGGGAGAGAAGCTTTAGGGTACAAAAATAAAGATCTGGTCTAAATTGCATAAGTTGATCTAATGATTTCGTCCCTTCTACCTCTAGTAGTGACTTAACTTTTTAGTATCCTGATCGGTATGTGGAGAGACCAGTGTTGTAAATATCTGCAGTTCCCCGAGGTTCTTGACGCTACAACCACTGTCGGAGCTAACTTGTCGGGGAAGAACGTCCACAATTAAGCTTAGTCGTTGGTGCGTCGGGAAGAGGAACCCACGGGTAATCTTAAATTCAAGCTTCTTTTCTCTACAGTCCCAAATAACTACCACTTCACTCTGCCGTGCTTGTAAGTCGCTTACTTCCTGATTTGATGCTGACAATGTCGAAACATCCAATTGGAGGACGACCTGCACGTAATTAACAACAATTCTCTGCTATTTAACGGCAAACTCATGATGAATTGGTAGACACAACATGTGCGTCATGATCATTTCTCAATTGCCGTAAACATATCCCGAGCACTTGAATCGTGGGGTGTTGTATTGCATCCATGATCAGCAAAAACTGTACGGATACGTACAAACCAATCTGGGGTGACCTTCCATCGGGATGTGGAGGGTGGATCATCTCCAAGCTACCAAGTAACTTGAACCTTTTCTCCAACCTCAAGTTTGCGCTTCTCAAGATATTTCCCAGCAATGGGGTCACTCATGACTGATCAAGTCTCCAGTCTTGGCCATCCGATATATCCACAGCCAGTGGTACCCGTTACGTATATAATACCATGATATAACTTTTCCAGACAGGCGGTCGGTCCATGGGTATTTTCCGTGGATACTCTCCGAGCAACTGGTTCCTAAAAGTCATGGGATTTAACAAAAGGGCCGAAAACTCATATGGGCTCCCCGCATGTTTAAACGGTTTGGAGCATGCATCCGGTTCCTGTCCCCAGATTATTCCCCGCGTTTATGTTATAGCACCACCCAAGTCACGCGAAGCCTCACCAGTTTAGTCACCTACTTCCACCGAACCACCGGTCTACATTCTTGGCATTGCGGGAAATGTACTTCTTTTTACGTAGTCTATCCTTTGTCTACCGATGTTTAGCCATCCTTCCGGCGTAGGGACCGTCGGCAAGCTTCGTGATTGGATCGGTGTCTACAAGAAGAACTCGGATATTGTGGTTTTCATGGGAAACAAGAGTACGACACTAGATCTCATGTTCAAGTGTTAGGCTAGAGTAGGCAAGGATCTAGATGGTCGGTCCGAATAAAGAGGCTGATGATGGGATGGATTGACCAACCTACCGGAAGTTAGCAGAAGAGTTGATCTCCCAAGTCTTAGGGTACAAAAATAACTAGTCTAAGGAATATTGCCTAAGTATCATAAACTGACCTACTAATTTCGTCTCTTATGCTCCTAGACTAGCACGATGATGAAAAACTTGGACATGGGAAAGCTTGGCGACATGAAGAAGAATTTGACGGGAATCAAGTATATAAGGTAAATGTCCTTGTCTAGAACTACTCGATCCAAGGACTCGCTCTTCCATCCACTACTTCCCTCTTCATTCTTCACCATGTGGTCCAGTCTCCTCCTCTTAGGAGGTGTCTCTATGAGCATTGCCAACCCAATCATTCGACAAGATGCCCATCCTGCCTACCGTAACAAGACTCTCTGCATCGACAAGCGTGTCGATGACTTGATGTCTCGTATGTCATTGGAAGACAAAGCAGGACAGATGTTCCACGCTCGCACCAATGTTGTCAACAACACCTTTGACGAGACCGTGCAAGGATACATCACTGACAAGCGCATCACTGCCTATGTCTTGAGTGGTGGTGTCAATGATGTCCGTGGTGTTGCAAACTGGTACAACGAACTTCAAAAAGTTGCCCTCAGCACACCTCTCGGCATCCCCATCACTATCTCTTCCGATCCCCAGCACGGTTGGACAGATGAGAATGCTGTTAGTGTCGTCGCTAAAGGCTTCTCTCGTTGGACGGAGCCTCTTGGTCTCGCTGCTCTGCGATCACCCGAGCTAGTCCGTACTTTCCACGAGATTGCCAGAGAAGAATACACTGCTGTCGGTATTCGACAGGCTCTTCATCCTCAGGTTGATTTGGCTACTGAGCCGAGGTGGGGCCGTATCACTGGTACCATGGGTGAGGATGCCAACTTGACCAGCGCTTTGGTGGTTGCAGCTATCAAGGGTCTGCAAGGTGACAAGATTGGTCCTCATTCAGTTATTGCCACAACGAAACACTTTCCAGGAGGCGGTGCAATGGAGAACGGAGAGGATTCTCACTTTCCTTGGGTAAGTAGAGCTTCGAACGGTTCCAATATCTTCTAACAATGTTGTAGGGCAAAAACGCGACTTACCCTGGAGACAACCGGGAGTACCACTTGCAGCCCTTCAGGGCTGCCATTGCTGCTGGCACACGACAAATGATGCCTTATTACTCTCGTCCCATCAATACTTCATGGGAGGAGGTTGCTTTCGGCTTCAACAAGGGTGTTGTCACTGACCTTCTCAAGAAGGAACTTGGCTACGAGGGCATCGTCGTTACCGATTGGGGTATCGTTACTACCCGATTCTGGGGACTTGAGGACGAGACTGAGCTTGAACGTGCTCGTCGTGTCATCGAGGCTGGTTGTGATATCTTTGGTGGTGAGACCAAGCCTGAGCTGATCATCGAGCTGGTCAAGAAGGGTCTGGTACCAGAGTCTCGCATCGACGAGTCTGTCCGCAAACTGATGAAGGAGAAATTTGAGCTTGGTCTCTTTGACAACCCTTTCGTTGATGTTGAGAGGTCCGTCCGCATTGCTGGAAACGACTACTTCAGCCGTCTCGGAAACGAAACACAACGTCGCGCTTTCACTATGCTTACCAACAAGGACGATATCCTCCCTCTCCCTCTTGCTGCTCTTGACGCCAAGTTCTACATTGAGGGTATAGAAGCTGAGGCTCTTGAGCAGCGCAACCTCACCGTGGTTGATAAGCCCGAAGACGCTGACTACGCCCTCCTCCGTCTCGCCTCACCTTTCAAGCCTACCACTGCCCCCGGTCTTCCCGCCATGATCAACAACGGCAGTATCGAGTTCAACGCCACAGAAAAGGCCCGCCAGGCCAAGATTTACGCGACTCTACCCACCATTGTTGATATCAGATTGAACCGCCCTGCCGCCGTTCCCGAAGTCGCCGAGAACGCTGCTGCTCTGTTTGGTAGCTACGGCAGCAGCCACGATGCTTTCCTTGATGTTGTTTTCGGCACTGATGGTTGGGGTCCTGAGGGTCAATTGCCTTTCGGTATGCCTATTTCGCAAGCTGCTGCTGATGCGCAATTGGAGGATGTGGCGTTTGATGGAGAGGTTTTGTTCAAGTATGGACATGGATTGAGGTATAAGGATATTTGTGAAAGCTCCTAGATTGGGACAGTTATGAGATGATGAGATGATAATGATAGCTTGGCCGATAAGAGCCGCAATAGATATGAGCTGTTTACCAATTACTACATACTGGGAAGTGAGGTCTATTGAGTTGTTTCTGTTTTGCGTTTATGCATTCAACACTGTTTCACTAATTGATTCTGATAGTTTTAGCCAGGAGACTGGTAACGTATAATTTGCTAGATGAGACAACCTAGACTCATGGTTGCGGACGGTCTGGTAGGAAAAGCTGACATGAGGCTTAGGATACAAAAATAAATGGCCTAAAGGCTTGGTCTAAGCAGTATAAACTGACTTAATAATTTCGTCTCTTATGCGCGCAGCATTTCTGTTACCCTACAGCCTAATTATCCAATTTCGAAACCAATCAAATAATAGGAGAAACTGTCCAAAGCGTCTGTTTCATAATCTCCGAGACGACTGGCCAATGCAGCCATGACAACTCAGCTACTACCTGCAAGGCAACCTTGACAACCCATTGTGGAATGAGGCCAGAGAATGATTGTCTTCAGAGGCTTGCATTGAAGAAACTCGGCAGAATGGTCCGATACTACTACAGCGGAGATAATAGCGGGCTTTAGCCATTGTTGGCCACAGTCACATGCAGGGGACAAGAGGGGAACTGAGAAATTCTTCCTTCTCAAGTCCCAACAAAAGGATACAGTCGGCACTGCCGGGCATCACGTGACCATGAATCTTCTAGATTCTTTTGACGCAAGCCCCCTGTCAATCGCAAGCAGAGCACAGGGATTGGATGCATTCATTGTAAGCCCTGCCGTAACAATAGATATTCCGTCCGGATGCGGCGAACCCCGGTCGACGGGAGACGGAGCTAGGATGGATAAGACGGTCCATCCATATACTTGACATCCATCCAATCCCATCACCATAAACCATTTACTTTGTACAACTACCACCCAAACACCACACCCATTCGCCATTAGCGGGCGACGCCTCTTCTCTTGGAGAATCTCAACTTTACATCAATTTTTGTCACTCTCTTGTCGTCTTCATCTTACTCTTCCTTCTGTCTCCAACATCGATCGATACCAATACATGCGCCGATAAGAAATTATACACTACAACGTATCCGCCACTTGCGAAACTCTCCCTACTCTCAACCACAGCTCGCCATGAGCGCTTCCTCCATCGTCGCTCGTAGAGCGTTCGCCCGGAACCCCTTGATGGGAAATGGTGAGCACCGCCTTTTTCACCGATTCGTTGTCCTCTTGCTAATCCACCAAAAGCCCGGGCCCTCTCGCAAGGTGTTACTCCTGCCATTCTTGGTCGCCACGTCAGTCGGCATGCCCAAATCCCCGCCATCGCTCTATTGATCCCGCGGTCAATGAGTACCGATCATCACCGACCCGATCCCTCCAGCTCTGGCCCACCCCCGGGCTTCAATGCCGAGCAGGCTAAGAAACCGCTCCCCAAGTCCATGGTCGCCAAAAAGGAGGACAAGAAGCTTGAAAAGAAAGTCAACGGTTCCGAAATTCTAAAACCTGCCGATGCTGCCGCCAGTCCCGATGCCATCGCCCAAGAAGTCGTTGGCACCAATGAGGGTGTCATGGAGAAGTCTGATGCCGCTCAAAAGGCAAAGGAGGAAAAGAAGCTTACCCTTTGGGAGAAGGTCAAGAAGGAGGCTCACCACTACTGGGATGGATCCAAGCTCCTTGTTGCTGAGGTCAAGATCAGTTGGCGACTAGCTCTCAAGATGGCCGCCGGATACGAGCTCACCCGTCGTGAGAACAAGCAGCTACAGCGAACCGTCCAGGATCTCGGTCGATTAGTGCCTTTCTCCGTCTTCATTATCGTGCCCCTGGGTGAGGCACTTCTGCCCCTTGCCCTCAAGCTCTTCCCCAACATGCTTCCCAGCACATTCGAGGGACAAAAGTCAAAGGAGGCTAAGGCTACTATCCTCCGATCAACACGCAAGGAAGTCAGCGAATTCTTGAGACAAACACTCGGCGAGGGTCTACCACTCAGCCAAGCCACAGCACAAAGGGAGGAGTTCTCCAACTTCTTCCGCAAGGTGCGCGCAACAGGCGAGACACCTACTGCTCAGGACGTTATCAAGATTTGCAAGGCCTTCCGTGATGATCTGACCCTCGATAACCTGTCACGACCCCAGCTTGTGTCCATGTGCAAATACATGAACCTCAGCACATTCGGAACCGACATGATGCTCCGATACCAGATCCGTCACCGCATGCGCCAAATCAAGCGTGACGACAAGGCCATCAGCTATGAAGGCGTTGATAGCTTGACCGTTTCCGAACTTCAGGCCGCTTGTGCTGCCCGTGGTATCCGAACACACAGTGTTTCTCCTGCCCGCATGCGAAATGATCTCCAGGCTTGGCTCGATCTCCGCCTTAAGGAGGGCGTTCCTTCAACACTTCTTGTCCTGAGCAACGCCTATATGTACGGTCAAGGCTCAGGTGAAGGTTCTGGTCAAGTTGAGGCTCTTATCGGTGTCATGTCTGCTATTCCCGAGGAACTGTACCACGAGATCGAACTCGAGGTTCACAGTGCTGAAGGCGCTGCCACCAACAAGCAGCGACTAGAGGTTATCCGTGAGCAGCAAGAACTCATCGAGGATGAGGCAGAGCAGGACCAAGCTAGTCAAAGCTCCGGTTTCGCCACTCCTCGCGACACAGATGATATCGATGAGAAGGAGGAGAGACTCGCTCAGGCTCAAGCTGAGGGTCTTGGTCGAAAGCAAGTTAGCGAGATGGTTGAGGCCGAGACTGAGTTGGCCAAGGCCGCCGAGTCTGCCAGATCATTAGAGCAGGAGATCCAGGCCAGCTCTGGTTCGTCCAAGGAGCAGAAGTAGAGAAAGAACTAGCCTTTTGGGGCTTCATGTACCATGACTTGGGGGTGTTTCATATGTATGACTGTATGGGATGGTATGGCATCAAGGCGGGATGGGAAAGGCGCTGTGTCAATAACTGGGCCCAGCATTGAGAGGACCAGTATTACTTGTTTGGGATAGACTACTCTCGAGGCTGGGAAGCAATAGATTCCACTGAATGATTTTTTATCTGTATATATAATTTTCTGCAATACATGAGCGTGGCATTCGTCAATCTATTGTGTTGTTGAATTGGTTTACTTGATGCCTGCTAGACCCTTGGCCAAGCTGCGTCATCGTCATTGACGTAGATCCTGATAGAGGGGTACTTGAGTAAAAGATAGAATTCACCACTACAACAACTAACAATAGGATTAAAAAGTCAGAAAAAAATGAAGAGGGTAATTGAAATAAAAGGCAATCTTAAAAATATTTTTCTATATTTTTCCTAGTCATGAACCTTGATCAATTCTCTAAAGTCTGTCAGCCTACAAGCCCCTCGTTATCTAATGGTCCCTGCGCCACATCCGTCCTCAGCTCCCCACGTCCAACTTACCACTTCCCAACTCTCTCTCTCAACTTAGCATGCTGAGCTTCAACTCCCGCCAACTCCGCCCACTTTGATACCTAACCTTGACCTTTAACCTCACGACTCTTTTCTCTCCAACCTTTCACTTCCTCACACCTCACACCTGCAACGCCATCACACTGCGCTGCCCGCAATGACGGCAACGGAACAGCAACAAGATGACTTCTCAAACGTTTCGTGGAGCGAGCACGTCCACGAACAACAAACTCGCAGTGTTCCTGATGCTGAAGAACCAGGTCATGACATGAATGCGACAACAGGTCTCGAAAGAGATGCTCCGTCGCTGGGAAATGAAAAGCTTGAGTGTACTGTTGATACACCTATCAAGGAAAATGACGGCACCAAGGATGCTTTTGTCTCGTATCTCATCACTACACACGTACGCAACTAAACCACTCCTCTTCCAGTTATAATACTTACAGATAATAGTCTACATTCTCCTCCTTCCAGCGCTCTACCACCACTGTCCGCCGTCGCTTCACAGACTTTGTCTTTCTCTACAAACAACTCACCCGCGAATATCCCGCCGCAGCCGTCCCTCCTCTGCCCGACAAGCAGCGCATGGAGTACGTCCGCGGCGATCGCTTCGGCTCAGACTTTACCGCCCGCCGCGCCAATTCTCTCCAACGATTCCTCAACCGTTTGTCCCTCCATCCTACACTGCGCCGCGCCCCGATCCTGCACACTTTCCTCGAGAGTCCCGACTGGAACGCTACCATGCGCACCCGCGGCTCGCGCGTGAGCTCTGCTAGCGATCCCGGATCTGCCGGTGTGTTTGATAACTTTGCCGATACTTTCATCAACGCTTTCACAAAGCTGCATCGTCCGGATCGTCGCTTTCTGGAAGTCAAGGAGAAGAGCGATAAGCTCGATGATGATCTTGGACATATTGAAAAGGTCATTGCGAGAGTTGCTCGGCGCGAGACGGATTTGGAAGTGGACCTGCGTGATCTCGCAGAGCAGTTCCAAAAGCTTATTCCTCTCGAACCCCACGTTGAACCTGCGGTTCATGGCTTTTCTGCTTCCATTGAAGACACGGCGACTCATCTGCGCAAACTCAAGGACATGACCGATCAAGATTACCTTGGATCTCTACGAGATATGCAAGCTTACTCCATCGCCCTCAAGAACCTCCTCAAAGCCCGAGAGCAGAAACAGCTCGACTACGAACAACTAACCGAATACCTCAACAAATCCACAACAGAGCGTGACACCCTCCAGTCTGGCCACGGCGGCGGTTCCGGCGCAGGAAGTTTCCTCCGTGCCAAGATCGAAGACGTCCGCGGGGTAGACCACGAACAAGCCCGTCGCGAACGCACTCGCAAGCTAGAACTCCGGGTCGAAGAGCTCACGCACGAGGTCGAAAGCGCGCGTAAGACAAGCGACATGTTTGACGACGAAGTAGTCAAAGAAGTAGCCGATTTCGAGCGTATCAAGAGGATCGAGATGAAGGCGCAGCTGGGTAGTCTAGCAGATTCGCATATTGAGTTTTACGGAGAAGTGGAGAGTATTTGGGCGAAGTATGTTGAGGAGATGGAGAAGCAGGGAATTACAAGCGCTTGAGGGATTATGGTAATGGCGTTATAGGATATGGCGTTTGGGATGGGAAAGATGAGAGATGAGGGATGACTGATTAAGTAGCTGTCTGAATAAAGATTTCAATATGTGACTGAGCTGTGAGTGAAGACGATATAAGAAGCAAGAGACGAAGCTAGTAGGACGATATATGCCACTTAGATCAGACGTCTTAGGATGTTTAATTTTGTATCCTCAAGCTTAGAGGCCAATTTCACTAACCGGGATAGAAATACGGTAGATACAAATCACAATCTCTTGACATTGAACCAAACGCCCATCCAAGATCTATTGACAAAAGACTATACCAACATAGATAAAGTCATGAAACTCCGCTTATCAATGCAAAAAAGCACCCGAAGCAGCTCTCCGAGCCTTTTTCAACCTTATTCTCAACGTCTACCACCCAAAGGCCTTGTTTCAGCCCTGGCTCCATCACTGCTCTCATCATCACTTTCATCGCTGTCGTCGCTATCGTCACCGACGGCATAATGCTGCGTATCATCACCCGCAAGTCTATCACGAGAAGGTTCACGGTTATCGCGATAATCCTCAAAAGGCTCTTCATCGCTACCCTCGGCAAAAGCATCATACAGCTCTCCGCCACGGGTTCTGCGAGGTTTGTTACCAGGGGCCTTTTCGCCTGCGTTGAGAGGAGCTTCTTCTTCGTCGATGAGTTCGAATTCGTAGTTGTTGTGGGAGCTGTTGCGGAGACGGCGGCGACGGGCGACCCAGAAGTAAACGCCTAGACCGATGCAGAAGGCTCCGATGAAACCGACTGCTCCGTAGATCCAAATCTGGGCTTTCTTGGAGGCGCCAAAGGTAGGGAGCCAGGAAACCCATGAAGATGAAGCTGTTGAGGATTCTTCGGCGGAGCTTTGGGTGCTTGATGGTTCTTCCTCCTCGGTGCCGCTGGGTCGGGCAGGCCTGGTGGGTTTTTCAGGGTGGTCGGAAGGGTGGTCAATCAAGGTAGGTTTGGTAGCGGGAGGTGCTGTTGTTGTAGAGGCGGCGATTGAAGTAGACGCTACGATTTTGTCATGGTCGTCATCATCGCCTGGGTTAGGCATAGGAAGTAGAGTGGCCTTGTCTGCGTCGATGGCTTCACCCCAGAGCTTCAAGCGCCAGTCGGTGAATTTGCCCTTGTAGGAGTTCTTCTCTGTGTCTCGAACAATGATGGTCCACTTGCCGATACCGGTCTCTCCCCTAGAATTTGTTAGAACAGACAGAGCAGATGGTGGGGATATACATACCAGTGAGCAACACTCATAAACGTCCAGTCGACGTATCCCGCCTCCTTGGCATCGCTTCTTCGGGCAACAGCAAGATGACTGACAACGTTGTCAGGGCTGATTAGATCAACACTAATATCACCACGTCGGCTGTGTTCGACGTTCATGGTGACAGTAACATGTTCCACACGAGCCAAGTTGGAACCCTTAAGCATATCCTCAGTAACATCAAGAGTCACAGTCAAGCCATCTCGACCCTCGGGAATCGACTTCTTGACGTGGATCCAGGGAGAAAAGTACCACGATTGAGGCTTGACCAACTCCCAGTCCTTGGCCTTCTCAACCAGAGCCCAAGAGTCGATCTTGCCGTAACCAAAGGTGTGACTGAACTTCTTGCCAATTGTTGTGTTTTGTTGATTGGCTTCGTCGCCCTCGATGGGTAGTGCGGTATCCATAGCCAGGTACTGAAGATCTCTCCAAGTAAGATCAGGACGAACCTGAAGAACCAGAGCAAAGATACCCGCAGCAAGAGGCGCAGCAGCAGATGTGCCACCGTGAGCCTTGTAACAGCTGTTCTTTCCAACATCGGTTGTGTGCTAAATTGGTTAGCCAGATTGATTTCGAAGGAGAAAAGAATACCTACAATAGCATCGCCACTTCCACTGCTGTAGGTAACGACCAGCTGAGCAGAGCACTCTTCAGAATAGTAAGGATGAAGCCCAGTTCGATCAACAGCTCCAACCGTGATACTGTAGATAGAATTGGTGTATCCATCAAAGTTGCAGTTATCTCCTTGGCCTGCACCGTTTCCACTGGCAAAGACGTAGACAGAGCCAAGACCATTACGTCCCTCCTGAATCGCCTTAAGCATTGCTCGTCGAATGACAACATCGGGTGCCTCCATAGTCTGGCCATCATCGGAAGGACCCCATGAGCAAGAGTAAATATGGTTGTCATGGTACTTGTACATAAGCGCTTCTGCTTCGTCGGCGTCGCTGATCAGTTTGCTGAGAATACGGATTCCGGCGACTTTGGAGTCGTAAGCAACACCAACACCGCAAACATCGTTTCGAGCAGCTGCAACTTCTCCAGCACATCGGGTGCCGTGTCGGTCGTCGTCCAGTACAGGGGCAGGCTCGGGGTCGTTATCGTTGAAATCCCAAGAACCCGCGGCGAAATAGTTGGGCTTGAGATCGTCGCTGTTCATATCGAGGCCGTCGTCTACCACTGCCACAGTGACATTCTTTCCTGTGATACCTTCCAACCAAAGGCCAGTAACGTTGACGTCGTGACCTGGCTGTAGGGGGTTCAAAAGATGCCACTGCTCCTTGAAAATGGGATCCTGAATATCAAGCTGCTTCATAATTGTTTCTTGGTACTCCGCTAGTTCTGCAACTTTGGTATCGGCCCTACCACCATAGAGAGACCAGCCTCTTGGGGTCGAAGGAACATCTCGCTTGAAGAGGTGTTGTCGTGCTTGTTGCTTCTTTGACAGGAGGATTCCATCGACCGGGTCAGAACCGCCTAAATCTCGTTTCCTCCGCTTGCGATCTGAAATCTCTCGCTTAACAATATCGTGGTCGGCCTTGGAGGCACGGAAAACGTGGTGGTCGTCGAGCGCACCGAGCTGTCCCTCGTGAGCGAGTCCTAGTCGGCTGGCGACTTGGTCGGGGGTCGTTGCGCTATCGAGATGGAGGACATAATAATCGTTGGCATCGTAGTCTCGTGTCGGTCTGGAGCCATGAGCCAGGGCTGTGAGCCCGGCCAGGCTCAACAGTGAAGCAATCTTCATGTTGGTGGGAAGGAAAGGGACCCTTGCAGCGCAAAGGGAGAGCCGAGGAAGCGATCTAGTTTAACACATCCAGGATAATTGTAACGGTCGATAAGGAGCGGATACTGAAGTAGGGAGTAAAGTCAGTGATAGAGCGGGAATTGAGTCCAAAGTTAAATGGACGGGGTTGCCACGCGAGTTCGAGGTGGGAAGGAGATCAAGAATGCTGGAGGGCTTGGTACAACCAACTTAATTGTCGGCGCAAGTCGCACAGCATATGCCAGGCGAAAACCGTTGTAAACGTACCTATTAGCAGGAAGAGAATGAGGTGCTTCGGGTGCGCGTGTTTGGTCTGAAACCTTGAGGAACACGATAGTGTAGGTAAAAGAGACAAAGAGTTGTATGATTTCCGTTGGTGATGTCGTGGCCTCGAAGCAAAGGTTACAAGGCAGATACCGCCAAAGTTCCTGACAGAATAGGGGACCTGTGCTGGAAGTGCACGGTCTGAAAAGGCAGGTTCTACGCCACAAGGCGGGCCAGGCCAGATGGTCAATGCAACCTTAACTAAAATCTCTATTTTTCTCTGGTATGAAGGGATCGGCAGACGTGAAAATGCTCAGATATTGAATTCATGTAGAATGCCAGTCCTTCTGTCCTTTATTATCAGTAACTTTACAATGTCATCAGTAAAAAATGTCATCTCTATTATTGTCATCAAATCCTATTCAGCCACAGCTCCGCCACTCAAGACAGATCTCAAACACTAAAGCCGAGAATAGACCAGATCTAGGCCCAAGCTACTACCCAGACGGGATATCAACAGCAGCTCAATAGCGGCACGGGCCTGAAACAAGAAGCTCCTTCGGAATGTGGGTGCCAAGACGGGATATGTAGCAAAATATGAAGTTTCAATTAATCTAATACCGGAACTCGCTTTAAAGATCTTATATCCTCCTGTCTATCACCTCAACGCCGTTTCCAAATCGATATTTACTTTTTAGTCGTTACATGACATCTCACAGTGACTCTTCTTTGTGAATCTCAATACCAGGTGGAGCTCCTGTCAACGCCTTGCATTGCGCGTACACGACGAATTGAGCCCCCACAAGACCGCACGTCATGACGAGACGAGGACCCAATCCAGTGAGCAGTAATCGCTTAGGTCCGAATTCGCGCGCGAGTTGGAACATGCGACTTGTTGCGCCCTGGCTCTTATCGCCAGCGCCCTTGTTGATGGCTGACAAGAGGGTATCGGCTGGGTGAGAAAGCACTGCTGCTGCAGCACCGGCAGTAACACCAGAAGTGAGCTCTACTCCTGTCGATTCGAGTTGCGTGAGCTTTTTCTTGCGCTCAGGACCCATAGCGCGGAAGATGACTTCGTTGACTGCTTCGTGAACGGAGAATTGACCAACAGCAAAGGGAACCTGCTTGAACAAGAGGGGAACGAAGCCAGAGTAGAAACCCTTGAAGCCCTCCTCGCGCGCCATCCTCGTAAAGGCCGATAACAAGCTATCGGCGTACCCTCTTTGCGAAACGAGTCGAATGCGTGTAGCTTCGAGCGGACAGAGAAGAATATCGGCGAAGAACTCGGCCGATGCACTGGCAGTGAGATAGACGCCAGTTCGATGCTCGACAGCCTTTTCGGGACCTCCAAGCATGGAGATGTACTTCTTCTTGAAGTATTCATAGCCAGCGAACTTGGCACCACCTTGGACAAGGTATCCAACAGCTGTAGGGCCAAAACCAGTCAACAGAGCTGAAGCACCCTCCTTGGCGACGATGCTGCGACCAGCTGAAAGCATGTTGTAGCCCTTGAGGGCATCGTCAACCTGGATTCGGGTCTTGACGACATCAATTGGGGTCACAGCCTAGGCTCGTTAGTTTTCGGTTGCGAAGCACGCGACTCGCTTGACTTACACCATGAGTAGACGTCGCAGCGAGAGCTCCAGCGCCAAAGAATTTGGCATAATCGCTGATGGTGAAATTGGGCACGTCTGACTGTTTCGCCGCCATTTTGAATGAGTCGCTCTGTAAAATTACTATTACTTGATGTCTGGTTGTTCAAGATACGCGTTTGGGTGTTTTATGTTTTTGCTTGCAGTTGATGACGTCGTTCCTGTTCCTGTTCCGTTGGTACCGAGACCTTGATCTTGTAGCTTGGATTGTGCCGTCATCGGTCCGCTTTGATGCTTGTTGGCGTTTATAGCTCTATCTTATCTATCAAAGATGGCAATATCTATTATTTATCTTTACTTTCTTTGGCAAATGTTTTTCGGACTGGCCGGGCTCTTTCGTGTTGAATCTGTCTTTGCTTGGCTCCCGTACCCTCCATCGGCGGCCCGGAAAGTGGTGGGGCTGCGATTCGGCACCGAAATAGCATCGGCTTCAATAACGGAAACGCGAAGTGACATCAAGGCTTGACTTAGATAAGGGGAGATGCAACGATATTTGGTATTCGCGTTTATACAAGTGATTTTTCCCGACAAAGCCGAACCGCGGCACAAGACTCCAAATGCCCACATCTCGGTATAATCTCTAGGGTAGCCTTTGGGGCACAGATATTGCACTGATCAGCCAAGAAGTAAGTGACCAGGTGATTTATGACCATACAGACACTTCAAACCTGGAATTTCTCTCTCAAATCCAGGCCCGGTACGCCGTGATAGATCTCGAGCTGGGTCATCACGGCGACATCGAAACGACTCGTCAATTGGCATCCGGCTGTTATACAACTTTGGTAAAGTTATGTACAAGGCAAGATGGCCGAGCGGTCTAAGGCGCTGTGTTCAGGTTCTATTCGAACTAGTAACGATTCGCAGTCTCGAAAGGGGCCTGGGTTCGAATCCCAGTCTTGTCATTTTTACTACTCCGTGAAGCAGCTATGTTTTTGCCTATCTTGCAAGACGCATTCATCTTGAAGATGATATGCTAGCTACACAAATATCGCTTCAACAAGACTTTCATTCTATCTCATTGGAAACCCTCCATGCCTCATATCTACTAAGTGATACACGCTTATCTTAGAAGTCTATCCATTTGTTTATGCAACGTGAAACCATTCGGCATGTATCTGAGCTAACACAGATAGAACTATGCCCATTTTATGGCCGGATACATGGTGCCATGAACTAAGTGGAACATCAAAACCGATCGACTCTGTCTCGGTTTGATTCAAAACCGCACCAAAGCGTCCCCAGATGATACGACTGCCGTGTTTCGGAACAAGATACCCAGATCTCGTTTAGAATAAGACCGAAAACTACTCAAAACAACAGTTTCGACACGGACATGTGAAGATAGACACGAAAGCGTCGAAACGGGACTTGGAACTTTTAAAGAACCAGATTTGGAAACTGGTAGTTCGGCATTGTTCTACGGCACAAAAATAGACCAATGATAAGGCCCAAGTAACATACAGTACCGAAGATATCAGTCGATAATAGATGCAGAACGCGGGGAAGTTGTAAGAAGTAGTGTAGCAGTGAAGACATAGTCGTAAGTTGGTTTGGCTTCTGGACATGTATGACCGGTCTGGGGAAGAGACAGGCGAGAATATTCCGGGTTCCGGAGATGCAAATATCTGTTATACCATGTATGAGTCGGTTCTGGAGCTTGGGTATTATGATGCAGTAACAAGTGAATGTGAGTCTGACGTAGGTGTGGTTGTCACAAGACTGGCGTCTTCGGTGGGCGCCGTGGCTGATTATCACGTTGTTCTCATTCTTGGCGATCAACTTGTAGATATTGTTATCAACCACTTCAAAGACAACATTCTCTTATCAAGCAAGCTAATAATATCTTTGGCAACTAGTTTAGATAACATTTTGAAGATATAAATACTTCTATTCAATGACTGTTTTAAGCTAATTCTCCAGCGTCTCAGAACCCTAGTAGTCTCCATGGGGTGCCGAAACTGCCCGGCATGGGTACCCCAGCCACTATCACGGCACACCTAATGGTGATCATCGAACCACCGGTACTCAAAACGTGTGATATCAACAACCAAAGAGGAAAACCACAACAGATTACGTTTCGATGACTATTATATAATGCTCGAACATTTCCCAGTATTTTATTCAATATCATTCACAATCAACTCTATCAATTACACCATACAAATACTCTCACCAAAACTACCAACACTACCAACACAACCACTTCACAATAAACAAAATGGTTCCTACTGCTGCTTCCTCTCATCTCGGCCCTAAGTAAGCATTCCCTATTAATTACAGATATATATGTATGTACTAACAATATCTAGGGTCCTCCCTATCATCTTGACTGTTGGAGGCGCTACCGTTGCAAGCCGTTCTATCGTCAACGCAAACAAATATCGAGAGCCGGTTCGAGCAAAGCCATTCCAAAGTGTTCCTGCTCAACCCCGATCACAATACTTTGAAAAGGTCTTAGAATCAATCTTTGCATAGAATGTTGAAGGTTAAAGGATAATGAATTATGATGGGCGGCGTATTTATGTTTTGGCGTTCTTGTAGCCACTCTCGAATTTGCTTTTATCAATAAATTCATATAAAAATCACGATATCAGTTCTCATTTTCATTGTGCTCAAGCTGCCGCCATGATGACTTCTTGGGTTCAAGCACTTCTGGGACCCTCCCTAAGGAGAAGGCTACTCATTCGGTCGAGTCCTTCCTCTTATAGGAATTTTCTTAGCTGGGATAACATGCTAAGAGATCCTGTATAAAAGTCGGGTTTGAGAAAGCACTTCCGTCTTTAAGTATATCCTGTTCATTGCGCAGGAATCTTCAGTCTCATCTTCGCACCTTTCTGGTAGACTCAGCTCATTGGCAAGGCCTGTTTAGTCGCAGTCCGGCCTCAGGGTATCAGAACAAATGGCCGCTGGAAGCTTAAGAGACGAAATCAGTAGGCAGTTTATGGTTCTTAGGCTACTTATGTTTCTACCATAAGACTTAGGAGGCCAACGTTTCTGCTACCTGGCAGGGAACCTCAGCCAGTAAAACAGCCCCGAAAAACAACTAATGAAAACGTCACTATCTCGCACTGCTGCCGCTCGTACTGGACGAAATTCTAGTGGGAGCCAAAGCTTGGGTTTTCCTTGTCCCAAAATCCATGCACCATCTGAACTAATCCTGAATCCCGCCGATACTACCTCTGTCACTGATTGGCCAGATTGTTCGGTTGGGAAACGAGGGATATCAAAGTCTCCAAAGTCGGTCTATAGACGAGAGTCGTTATTAAGGTCCCACGAGAGTCGAGTAAAAAAAGGTTGGTTTATCCTACACAGACAGGTCTCTGCGGATATGTCCCAGACTCTCACTTCATCTGATTCTGAAGCAAGCATTGTGTTGTCTGGTGAGAACGCCAATGCTGTAAGAGGATATACCAATCCATGAATTGTATCATTGTTAAGTGTTTGTCGGCCTGAGCCGTCTTGTCCATTGATGATGTAGATGGACCCATACTTTGACCCCAATGCTAACCGTTTCGAATCACAAGAAAACGCCAGCAAAACGATGTCCTTGTACAGATCATCTTTTTGAGTGGTGCACCGACAACGGCCGCTAGCAACATTCCATATACCAATGGAATTATTATCAAACACAGAGACTACCCGCATATTGTCGGGCGCAATTGCAAGGATCTTGACACTGGAATTGCAGCGATCACCAAATGTCTGAATACAGGTACCCGTGACTGGGTTCCATATCTGGATAACTCCGTCGGTCGATCCAGAGGCTAGAAATGCATCGTCTGAAGAGAAAACCGCGCGAGTGATGTCGCGATATTCTCCCTTGAATTTCTGCGTTTGCGAACCTGTAGACACATCCCAAATGCTGAAACAACCATCGTCTGATGCCAGTGCTACCCTTTTGCCATCCGAAGATAAAGGCAAGGTCGGCATCACATCTGTTTCTTCCGTTTCGTGGCTTTGAAATACTCTTAGGCATGCACCTGTGTTTCTGTCCCACACCTTCAAAACCGAGATACTGATATCGACGGAGAGACAAATACTATCAGACAATACCTGGATATGACCAATAGCATTTGACGGACTCTCTTGCCTACTTTGTATCGGTAGGTTTGGGCTGTTAACGAGATTCCAGATCCTAACCGACCCATCTGTGGACCCTGATGCAAGTTGCATTCCATTCAACGCAAAGGCCAATGACACAATTAAGTAGGAGTGTCCTTCTAGAGTTTGCAGACGTTGGCCGGTGTGTGTATCCCAGATTCCAATCTTGCTGTTCCTTAATGCTGACGCTAGTCGTGTGCCATCCGATGACAATGCTACTAAAACAACCGGGTAACTGTGAATTGTCTGCAAACATTCGATTGGAAATGAACCCCAAATTTGGAGAATATTGTTGTGCGGTACGGTTACTAATTGTAAGCAATTTGCTGCAAAATCCGGGTCGACAACGGAATCATCTTCGTACTCAACTATGTTTTCTAGCCTTCCAGTAGATAAATCCCAGAAGTTAACCCTAATTACTCTCGTAACTGAAACCAATCGCTCGTTTCCAGACAGAAAAGCGATTGAAGTAATAGCCTGGTGACTGTCATTAATTGTCCTGAAGCAGGTACCTGTGGCGGCATGCCATACGTTGACAGTGCCATCATATGAGTCTGATGCCACTTTCGAGGAATCTGGAGAGAATGATAGTGACGTGACGCCATGTTCGTGGCCATGGAGCACATTTGTGCATTCGCCTGTTATCGGATTCCATATCCTGACAGTGCTGTCACTTGAGCCCGACGCCAACAGGAGACTGTTTGGCGAGAATGCTACAGCATTAATACAATCCTTGTGACCCGCAAGCACTTGTAAGTATTGACCCGTAGACGTACTCCAGACTTTGACGTAAGTCGTACTCGCATTCATATCCATATCCCAATTGATACCTGAACCTGAAGCTAGCCACTGGCCGCCAGCAGAGAAGCATACCGACCTAACTTCCCCCCACAATCCATGTTTATTTTGATCCATTGTCTGGAGACACGCACTCCAATCTAATCCCACAGCTGTGGGAGGAATGATGCGGATAGACAATTCGTTCTCGTACAGTTGCTTGATCAAGCTTCTGGTGGGGCTAAAAACAAGTGCTGAAGCGTATACCTGCAACGGAGCGACCTCTACGGCGAGTTTATGAAAGAGAACAAATCGACGAGCATCTTGGAGCAATTCAACTAGTCGCATAGATTCCATGTGCTCCTGGAAACATGTCAGAAAAGGTTTAAAGATTGACAAAGTCAGCAACTTACTGCTAGGGCTTCAAGATTCTGGACAGCTAGGACCCCCTCTGGAACTCTGCATAAGAGACTAAGCGCCTCCAGCCAATTCAAATACTTCGTCTGAAAGAACTCACGGACAATACCGTTGTCTTGTAGCTCATGTCTACCTAGTCCACCCTGAGGCTGTGAGTTCTTCAGATGATCAACCCAATGAACGCAAGAGTATCGAATCGGGGCTAAAGGGTCAGGGATGGGGGCCAATATTTGATCACCGGCAAGTCCTGCTAGTTCTTCAGTATCTAATGCATATATACCTCGTTTAAGAATAGCTGAAAGAGCTGCCAGAGACATTATAAATATGGCATAATGCTGTAGCTCGATACCATGAGGAAGGATTTTCTCAGGCACCTTGTTGAGTAAGAAGTCCCTAGCCGATTGATGGATGAGAAATATCTCGCCATTCTGAGAGGCTCGTGGAAGTAGCTTGGTCACTGTAAGCTTCTTCGAGTGATACAGTAGATAGTTCTTGGGTTGGCGGAGCAGTAGGGGTGGACTCCACCAGGGCATTTCCAAAATTGCCCGACTGATCAATATGTGAATCTGGCAGCTGGACAGGGGCATTTGTCACCTGTGTTGTCAAGGCTGTCGGCTCTGAAGCTGGGGATTGGTTGGCTGGTTCAGCGTTGTCATCGTGGGAGCGAGACTTCTGCTTCAATCTGCGACGTAGGTTTTTCATTTTGGCAAGAGAACGGGTGAATAACCTTTGTGATCAGGAGAGAAGTGGTGTAGCGATGATTGACGAAGGCAGAGAAACAGAGCGGGGAAACGGGTTCAAGTATGACCTGACAGCAGGCACACAACAGGTTGTTTGAGCTTGGTAGCTGAATGCTACATGTAGCTTGCATATGCCACGTATAGGTGGCCAAAACGTGCAAGGTGACCGGAAGATTGTAATGCTGCCTGGAGAGCACTGCTTCAAAATAGTTCAGCTGCGGCTGATATCCCTGCAATAAACCCCGCGGTAAGATGGTGTCATGATTGGATAAAGCACCTGGTGCTGTGTCAGACTCAACCTGCAAATTGCCTCTCCAAGCAGAGAAGCAAAATGGCCCATGAATTGTCAGATCTTGGCCGGGCAAAAGACGACATTAGCGAAGCCGAATCCCTATCCGAAACTCCTGCACACAAAGTTCTGGCAAAAGAGAGGAGTAACACAGCCAATATAAACGATCACAAGGATGGCATGCCCTGCTCTCAAGAGCAAAGCAATGCTGACCAGTCGCCTGATGAGCAGTCTGATCGGAATGAAAGCTCATCATCGTTGGAACAGCCATCTCAACAACTAGGTGATAGGAGCAGCCACGTTTCAGAGACAGAAGATCAAAGTGTACGATCTGCGACCAGTTCAGGGATCTCTTCAAATGGGTCTGATATCGACTTTGAACCCGACATCCACTGGAGCGAAGTTGTTGGATCTGAACGTCTTTCACCCAGAATAGAAGCCAAATTCCTTGATCTGATCAAGAAGAAGATGCTGTTTATGTGGGGTGTTGGTACAGAAGATGTTCCAAATATATCTATTGACAGCTGCGGCATAACGACCCTGCGCTTCAAGACGGACGATGCAACCATGAATCTGGCGTGGGATGAACAGTCGCGAACCAAGAAAGACGCCAAAGAAGTTGCCAAGGCGCAATCAAGTATCTGCCAGGTTTGGCCTCGACATCGCGATGTCGAGGCAGTGAAACAACTTATAGTTAAGAGCGACGGAAGAGATCCTCCAACATGGATATCTTCATCTTGGGCGGAGGTCGACCAGACGTACAAGGACGACTTTGCTACGTCCCGTCTTGATAGCATTAGGTATTCCGGATATGAGGACACTTGGCATCGCTGGTGTTTTGAAGCTGAGGAAGGTTACGATACTCGGAACCCAACAAGCCCTATTCGGGGAAAAATAGTGTAAGTACATAAGAGAGACCATCCCTCTAATCATCTCCCGTGTTCTAGCATAAGAATACATCACTGACTCATCCTGTAGTTATTGTAACCCTAGTGGTAATTCCAAGGGTTTCAAACACTTCACGCTGGCTTGTTTCGCTATTTCAACAAGCGACAGTGAACCTTTCAGTACAGCAGACGTGGAAAAAAACGACTTTCATCTGAGTTTATCCTATTTGTCCCCCAACTTCCGCGGCGGATACGTTGTACTCCCTTGGTACTTGTCTGGTATACATTGGAAGATTCGCTACTTTGAACCAGGCAGTGACCAATCTCAGCACGAAGCCGGAATTAGTAGTTTTCTATTGAGCGAGAGGCAAACTGCGACTATTCGACAAGGCCCATCAGAGATTAACGTGCAAGAAAAACGAGTGCAGATCAACTTTCGATTCTTGACCAAAAACCCAAATATGTTTCATATATTGGTTATGAGTGATAATACTCTATATTCGAGCTATCCATACTCGCCAGGGATGACACAAATGTATCTGAGTCGCTATGGGCTGAAACTAGAGAAAAAGACCATTCACATCACCCAATATCTGATCGAGATTTGCAGAGTGTTTGAGCTTTCTATGGAAGCTTGGAGGAAGACACTCGATAGCATAGATGAGCTTGTCCATGTCAATGTAAGTAAGGGATATAATGTGATGCTCTGTCTTCATATAAAGAACTATACTGATAGTTGAGAAAAGTTGAGTGACTTTGATGACCGAGAACGTATCGAGGATCTCATGTTTGACAAGTCTTTCGATCGGTCTAGAGACTATTTTGTTGCTCTCCAACTTCTGCGGATCATGAATGAGTGGATAAACGAAGTCGTTGGCAGCATGCTAGAGCTAAAAGACGACTCGTCTCTTAAACATCCTATTTTTTGTTTGTTTCACTCAACGGAGAATCTCAGTGCTGCTGACAGATACATGAAGGAAAGAGCTGGCCCAGTACAGAAGCGTATTCAAAAGAAGACCGAAGAGATTAACAGTCTCCGCGATGGTGTAGGTATCTTTCCTTCTATGAAACATGATAATATTGCTAATACTGGGTCCTGTAGCTATTCAACGCAACATCTCTTCGCGAGTCCACTAAAGCCATGGCATTGAATCAAGCCATTTATGTATTTACCGTCGTCACGGTTCTCTTTACGCCAATCAGCTTCTTAGCGGTATGTGCAATCAAACAATATAGTTCTAAATCAATACTGACAGAACAGACATTTTGGGCATTGCCGTTTTTAAATAATCCAAGAGAAGGAAGTGACATTGTGCCAGAGCCATCGGCTTTCCGCAATAGTTTTATTGTGATGCCGCTACTTACATATGTCTTGGTACTCGGTATTGCCTGGCATGTAGGACAAGAAAATTCTAACGCGACGTTGACGAGACTGGTCAAGAGCATATGGATGGAGTTGCGACAATGGCCAAGATCTATATGGGAACTTCGCCCAAGGCCCCCACAAAGGAAAACGACAACACCTTCCAATGCATGATCTTGATTATTATCCAATAAGGCCTTTCGAGGGAAATGGAAAGATGAAATAGTTTGTGTTTGGTATTTTGTTCGTTAAGGACGCTTGTGAGACTCCATTATAGCGCTTCTTACATTAGAATAGATTGAAAGACGTAGTATGATATGTTGCATATGCCCTGCAAGGCATGTCCTGATTGATTTTAGCACTTTTCATACACGCAAATCTCGGCCTTTAGGTTAGAGGCTCCCATGGTTCTATACTGCTTATGTATCTATTTATTACCTATCAACGTTTGGTATTTTTACTCGATTTCCAAGTCTAATACTGGCTTAGTCCCTCACTCTGTACCTATGAAATCAGTATAGGTAGATGTTACCTTTCTTCTGACCATAGTGTCTTGTAATACCTCCGATGTCAGGGAAGCGACCTGAACTGCGAGTCAGGTCGAGCCTTGTATACTGCTTAACTATCCGGTCCAATGGAAGGCTACTGGTATTAGCGCTGAATTCAACATGGTCGCCCCTTGCACCGGGGTTTGGGAATGAGAGTTTCATCGGTTATGATTTCAAATACTTTCTTGAACCGGTATTGCGTGCGAAGTATGTCTAGATTTGTTTATCGTGGTATATTACTTCATTTTCCTGTGTCCCCTAGATGCCGTATATAACATAACATAATATAACTTGAGCACTCTCACGATATTCGACAACTATAAAAGAAGTCTAATAATAAATAACAAAGTAAAATTAAACCAGTTCATCCAAAGGTATAGATAGCCCTTGCTCAGGACGTGTGAGATGATGCATTTGATAGGAGACTACTCAGTGGTTGCGGTGGAAGTACGTTACCAAGACCCGTTTGTACGCTGTCGCTCCAGAAAGCTTGCAATATCTCTGCTTCGACGGCTGTAAGGTTGTCAATTTCTGAATCTCCATTTTCTGAAATTCCAACGTGGCAATACGAGTCCACTGGTAAGGCGGCTACAAGAACTTTTTGGAAAAGCTCTCGAACAACGTTGAAAGCCGAGTTGGCAAGTTTGCTGGTAGATCGCAAATGGTTCAACCTTTCTAAGCCCCATTCCAGATTTTTTCTCGTTGCAGGAAACTCTCCCAGGAATTCACGTTTGAATTGAATATGCACAGCTGCAAGAAGAACCATAGCATCGAATGTCGCGAACACAAATGTGAAAGACTTGTACTGTGAAGGTGGCGCTTGGTCGAAGAGGCGGGCCTGTGATTCCAGAATTTGCAATGCCGCGTCAAAGGCTCTACGCCGACTGCTGGGTTCTGCAAAGATAAAAGGCCGGTGCAAGGCAAATATCACAAAGTAAACTTCGGTTTGCATTGTTTCCAATGCGGCAGAAAGCCACGGAGGTTCACCCTGGCGTGGTCTTTCGGTGACAGCCCATGCAGGAAGGCTTTTGATGTTTAATAGCAGTAAATGGTGAATATCCTCGACAAGCGGACGACAATCCTCTATGTCCCTCAGGACATAGATATCCTGTAGGAATTGATAGGCAGTGTGGTAGCCACACAAAATGACATCACGAGGTTGTGGCTCTTGGAGCGCGCTCAAGCCGGAACCCCATGATACCGGTAAAGGCACGGCATTAGGACTTAGCCTTGTCGACATGGGCCTTCCAAGAACAATAGCCATATGGGCATCCCACAAATGCAGAATGAGCCATACTTTGTGGCCCAAGTCATGATCTGCTGGGCTTCCAGTTGGCTCTGTCCGATGTAGACCTAGCTCTTGAGCGCTGCGGATGGCAATACCGAGCGTGTGCCATGCCTCTATTACTTCACCAATAGTTTTTTCAAAACAGGCTCGTAGTAATTCAGCCTGTAAAATCGTGATGCTGAGATCACTCTTCCCAAATAAGGCCGCAAGGCGACAACCCGCATCGCTATACTCAGCTGCCCGATCAGATAATTCCATGTCGGCAGCGTATTTCAAGTCGTCGAGACACTCGTCGTAATCTGTTGGTTGGAATAGTAAAGATTGTGCTAATACCTGAAAAAGTAGTGCTGGGAAAGGTCGAAGGTTGTCTGGTAAGCTGGCTGGTGCTTGCTTTAGTTGAACATGTGTAAGACGACGCCATTGGAGAAGTTGATCGGTGAATGTAGGTTTGTCCACGATATCGTAATGCCACGCTACATTCTCGAAGAAGGCTTGCACTAAAATGTCTATATGCCTTCGAGATGGAAGTTCTCGAATGATGCTTGTGTACTGCCTTAAGGTGTGCTCACTCTGACATGAGGTTTTTGTTCCGTATAATTCGCCCTGAGAGATTTGGCTACCCACGAGATGGATGATGTTTTGGGTTCCCATGGCGTGATTAGCATAACCGAGTGTTTTAATCTCATCTCCAGAAGAGCTCGGAGTAGGAAAGATGGTCTCGGAAGTCGGTTCAGACACGCTCAGCGCCTGATGTTCAAATTCGGCAGGGGTTAATGAGGCCCCCGTTTGGTCGCCTTCAAGTTCATAGAGACAAGCGTCTGTTTTACCTCGTTTAATACAATGAGCGCATGGTTGGCGACGGTTGCACTGTGACGTCAGCCGGAATAGCTTGTGAAGTGCAAGTGCATACCTTTTGTTTTCGTCTGTGGCATTCTCGGCAAGATATCGTGGGCCGCTTGCGTCGTGCAGGCGTTTGGAAGCTCCCGTTCCCCGTCAACATAGCTATTGATCTTTCAACGCTGGTGCTGAACTGAAGGCATACGAAATGTTAAAGAAAGACTTGGGCTACAGTGCACTAGAGACCTATTTAAGTTTCCTGGGGAGCTTGTCGAACCCTGTTAACCCCGCTTTGGTCAGTTATGCTCTGTGATGCAATATAGTGAACTTGCATGTAAGAGGTCTGTGTCCGGCTACGACAATTGCCACAAAAGACGTGTTGTTAACCTTTATTAATGTTTTCTAGACGTGATTATTAAATTTGTTTGTTGCATTTTCAACGATATAGATTAATCAATTTATGTTTTAAACCTCCTCCAGTATGACATAGCCGATTGTTCCCTTCTTCTCAAATCTTCTCAAACCAGCTCGCAATCTCACCCACATTACGGTCAACGCACTCCGGTTGATCATAGTGCTGGAAGTGGGAGACTCCATTATCCCAAATAAGCTTCTTGTTCTTGATCGGGATGGAGTCGAAATGTCGCTTTGCTGCGGCACCATTCATACAGTTATCACCATGAATGACAAGGGCGGGCTTGTTCAACTTTGCAACTCCCTCGACAGTACTATAGGAAAAGTGGTCCAAATCACTCATCACGGCGTACCGGTTCTCGAAACCCTTAAGTGTCCATGGTCCATACCAAGACCAGACAACAGGACCTGGCAGGCCAGCGGTAGATCCCGTGTCAGGGTCAGCGACCTTAGCATCAACCAACGGCTGGTATGTAACCTCCCCAGTCTTCTCGTAAAGGTCTCGGGCTTTCTTCGCTCGTTCAAGGCGGGCTTTGAGAAGAGCTTCGCCTTGCTCCGGTGTAGGCATCTTCATGGTTGCAATATCAGCTCCTGGCTGCCAATCGACACAGCCAGCGCAGATCATGTAGATGTCGGTTTCGTGGTCACGAAAGTAGCCAGTGACCGAGGCCACTCCCTTGACTCGATCATCATAAGATGCAATGTCCAGGCACTCAGGTCCGCCTTGGCATATACCGACGAGGAAGAGCTTTGATTTATCCACATCGCCTCGCCCCGCGAGATAGTCGAGTCCTGCAACGGCATCCTCGTTCTTCATCTTGGGGTTCTCAAGTCGGCGCGGCATTCCGGAACTCTCACCGACAGTGCGAGGGTCAAAGATCAGAGCTGCGTAGCCCTCATCAGCCAGCCGAGTCGCATACTGTAGTGGCGCTTGCTCCTTGATGAAGGAGTAGGGCCCGATAATGACGATTCCGGGAGGGTTGGAAATGTTTGTGGGGCGGTAGAGCACACCGGCGATATCTTCACCATGGGACCGATAAGTCACCTTCTCGGTAGTGTATTTGCCGTGTGCGACCATCTTTGCTTATGAGAGATGATATGAAAGATGAAGGTAGAATAAAGATCAGATATGCTTTGTTTAAGGTCGAATGACTTGTATTGAAGACTGAGAAATGACAGGCAATGAGTAAACACTCTTATATACTGAATTCTTGGTATTTATTATTTAGTAGCCAAAACAAGAAGCTCAAAATAAAGCTATCTTTTCGGATTTAAAAGCGCCTCTTAACCTAATTAACCTCTCCCTTATGGGCTTGAGGTTGGATGTGATGTCACTTTCGGGGATGAAGCCCACATAAATGCCGGGGACGACGATCCTGCGGGGACCCCGTTAAATGAAATTTGAGCTTTATTACAGACATGATAATCCAGCATTATGAAAGTTTTTGAGTGCTGGGGGCAATAGAGTGGAGTATGTGGTTTATATATCAATGGAACCAGTCAAGTAGTTGCATCTATGCAAAGCAGCTCATTACGTATTATTGCGGCGATAAGTTTCGGCTATGAATTTCGGAGATGGCTTTCGGCGATAAATATGCCATGATCTCTTTAGACCGAACTATAGACTTTTTAGTCTGCCTTGGCATAGGTAATGGTAAGAACCTATTACAGAAACTTGTTAGGGTGGTAAGAAAAGGTACTCTAATATATATATAATTTCAATGATAAAGAAAGTCTTACTACTTCTGCTATATTGTTACCGGAACCACTAAAGCGCTTCCCCTTTTCTATGTCCAGCCTCCATTGACTAATGCCGATCTGTGTGGCCGACCTCTTGCTTCGATGGCCAGCACCCGGTTTGTGTAATCCGCTTAAAGTCGACCCCGTTAAACTGTTTGACTATCTTGTCAAATTAGTGGCTCTGTGTGGAAGATTGTGGCAGAAGAGTGATTTCATGTCTTTGTATCTCCCAAGTGTCTTCCTCAGGCGCTGGACGATTTCTGCGGCATCGCATCGCTGATCTTGGTTAATCGCCAGTACCTTCTTTCCAGCCATTTCAGTATGAACGACAGGAGACCACCTTTCATGGCGCTTCTCTCTTTGGCTGGTTCTATCAGTTTGCCATGTTGCTTTGTTACACCTCTATTAATAGAATGAGTAGGAATTCTCTTGTTGCGTTGGTAAAATACATCGATCAAGATGTTGGAGTGCTTCTCTCGAGACTCACTGAAGGGTTAGATCCCTCGAAGTCACTTTGCCATAAAAATGAAAAGAAGACTGATGATGCAGCCAAGAGACTATATATCGCTCTTCTCATCCATTGTTTTGCCTTTGTCCTCAGCTTCTTTTGGTAGATATGAGTTGCGGGCGCGAAAATTGGCGGTTTCTGTAGCCTTACTTTATTGATCGCTTCCACGCTTTTTCAATATTCTGCTAAGGTCGGAAATATCAGGCTTGGCTTTTCGCTTCACTCTTGACAGGCCAAAATAACTAAGCTTCCAAGCTATAACCGAGGCCACATTAAAGACCAGAATGTTGCCAGGCTTGGGATCCATAAGATAGCAGATCAGGTTTTCTTCACCATCCTGCATTTTTAATACACTGTGAAGAAAGTCGAGACGATCTGTCAAGCCCATCGCAGCCTTAATGATCCTTTGCCGAGCGATTGTGTCGTTTACTATTGCTTCCGGATATCTCTCTATGTACTTCGCAAGGTCCATATCTGCTAGTGGCATGAGTAGACTGAATATCGATAGCTGTCCCTCGCTCTTGATTGCTTGCCACTCTTTCTGGAAGCTCGCCTCAGCAGTCTCTGGTATGAAGTCTTTTCGAGCAATGACTTCAGGCTTTCCAATAGTCTGATTAAAGTCGCGAACCTTAGTCAAACGACCCTCGGTAACTTCGACCTTGGATACAACGCCGTATGTGCCCTGTCCAATTTTCTTCACTGGCAACCAAGGCAGTGTTCGTTGGTCGTCGTTACGGATTTCCGCCCTGTCAGGGTCACCGACCACGATAGTGTAAAAAGGGCGTTGATGTTTCAAGAAACGATGCATATCCTTGGAATCACTAAAAAATCATTCAGGTCTTCGTCTTCCGCTGGTAAAAGGTAGGGGTTTTCTTGAGGCCACTTCCGCGCTTCTTCGGCTAGGACACCTTTGACTGTTGCTATCGTTGCGAACTCGTCTTTGCTTCTTGCATTCTTGAATCCGTTTATGAGTTCCATCCCTGTCTCGCAACACAAGTGGCTGTAATTAGGAAAGGAAATGGCATATGTGAAATACCACTAAAGCCAGTATTTCCAAGACGGTAGATGTGTGGACAAAGATGAAGATGGGATGAATCTAGGCTGCCTGGACTGAGGCGCTCTCTCTGTAAAAGTGCATATCGGGGCTGGAATGAGCCATGGCAGGCGTGACATCTGACTGAGACACAAAGCGAGGGGTTTAGTTGGCTGGAATTAGCGACAGCCTGATGCTACCTGTAAGTATATAAATAGATATAAAAGGCTTTGAAGATGATTATACTGTACAAGAGGAGTAGGTTCATGTTTAGATGATAAGTAACAGACAGATACTTTGTATGAATAATTCTATGAGGTCCTATGGTGAAAATGGAGAGACCATGCAACTTTTGAAAACATTGGTTAGGTTACAATTCTCATGATAGAGAAGAAGTAGTATGAACTGCGTTTCTCGTCTACCTATCTATCATAGTTACGGGGTAGAAATTGATATTATAAGGTGAACGTATATTCGCCTAATTATTCTCGGACCCAGATTTAGGTACGACAAACCACTCAGAAGGTTCGCCGATATTTTATCCTAGGTGCCTAGGGTAAGTTTTTTCCAGGCAAATGCCTCATTCAAGATAAGAGACCAGGTAATTTCGCCAATCCCACTGCTCAAAGTTCTTTTTTTAGCGTGAGCCCATTACTAGCATGAACCTGGTATATTTTCCCTGTCATGGTTCTTCGTGCTGCTATACTCTTTGAGAGTAATTGAGCGACGATCACGTGCGGGGGTCTTGAAGCTATAAACTTGTAAGCCCCGATGCTTGCGTTTTTCATCTGGACCTTCTTTCGTCTATTCTCAATTGGCTCTTTTTTCGTGACAATTCGCTAATTATCGAGAATGATCGGCTACGCTGCTTTGGCCTTTACTTGGCTAGCTTGTCCAGCCACAGCCAGCTATGCCTTCTACGTCGGCAAGAACCTCACCCAAGACGGCAGCGTCATAGTCGGTGGCACTGGTGAAGAGGTTTCCAGCCATTGGCTTCAACTCTTCCCGGCTCGTGATCACCCAACAAATTCGACTATCACTGTCGGCGTCACCAAAGATGCTACCTTCCCTGGAGAGCTCATTCAGATACCTCAGGTGAACCACACATTCCGATATATGAGCATGGAGTACTCCGACTTTGAGGGCTTCCCTGCACCATTGACGAATGGTGGTCTGAATGAGAAGGGTGTTACTGTACGCGATGTTTGGGCCGACAATCGTGATGAGCTTCTTGAGATGACCCCTAATCCTCAACGCGGTGTCCAGTACAGTGATTTCGCACGAATAGTCATGGAGAGAGCCAGCAATGCTCGCGAGGGCGTTGAGATCATCGGTGATTTGATAGTTAAATACGGCGAAGCTACGTATGGTGGGAACTCTCATCTCATTGCCGACAAGGATGAGGGATGGGTTGTTTGGGAAATGGCTGGAGGTCAAAAACTCTGGGCTGCTCAGCGTCTTGGACCAAACGATGTTAAAGTCCTTTACCCCGGTTACATCGAAGACTTTCCTATCGACTTTAAAGACAGCCCCGACTATGCTGGATCTGATAACATTGTGTCATTCGCCGTTGAGCAAGGCTGGTGGAATAAGACCTCGGGCAAGCCTTTCAACATCTTTGATGTCTATGGTCCCCAGGATCCTCGCTACAAGGCCCGCGATGGAGGATACAAGTTCATGTCTCAGGCGGCCTTGGAGAACGCTGCTCTTGAGATGGTTCCCTTGACAGAGGACAAGATGATGCAGAGAGTGCGCGACCCTCGAATTGCTGATGACGAGGCTGGATACGGTCAAGTCGTCAGCCTCCATGATGGGATTGACCGAGACATGTTGCGAATCTGGAATGCCCCGGCCACTTCCGTTGCAGCACCCTTCGTCCCATGGTGGCTCGGCGTCCAATCTGTTCCTCCCGAGTTCGGTGAACACCGTTACCTGACGACTGGAGCATCCAGTAGCTTCCTCAACCCTGATTATCAACTCCAAGAAGCCTCCGAGTTTGCCGGTCGAATCTTTAAGCGCGTGCTATACTACATGTGTTCAGAGCCCAACAAGTACCACCCCATTGTAACAGAAATGTTTGAACAATTTGAGAGTGCGTCTCGCGCCCAAGTTGAGGGCTGGGTTGAAAAGACGGCATTGACTATGATTAAGCAGGGTGAGAGAAAGGCAGCCCAGAGTCTGTTGACCTACTACTCTCATACACGCGCTGCTGAGGCACTTGAGGTTGGACATACTTTAAACAATGCTATGGATGGGTACATCAAGTTGACCGGTAAATGGCGTTGGCCCAAGGGAGATCAAATCAATGACAGTGGTGAGGGTAACGAGACTGTTAATTGTCTTGTTGGATTTGATCCTGATAAGCCTAGATACTTGCAGGAAAACTGAATGTCAAGGCAAATGTATATAAGATAGTTCGTTACAAATAAAAACAGGGCAATGGAGTTATTGTGAAAGGCAATCCGACAACCAGATACATTTTGTAATGCACCAGCTCTGACTTAAGCCATTGTAGCTAGGGAAGTGGACCTAGCTTGACTGCTGAATATTCCCACTAACCATCAGAAGACCCGCAAGCAACCTGCATGAACCAGTGGAGAGAAATTGGAGACACCCAAATGACGGAGAAGAGAACGGAGAATGTGTTTGTTCGGCTATGGGGAGACCGGGAATAGTATCATCAAGTCAAGTATCGGAACGCACCCCGGATTATCTAAACCCCGCATGTTTACTAATAACTGCGGTAACGATTTCCGAAACCCGGCTTCTCAACTCCGACAAACCAGACGACAGCAATATGTAAACATTGGTTCTCAACTCATGTACATCGACCCGCTCACATCACCATGTCGAAACGAAGCTGGTCAGAAGCTGAGAATGGAGAACACCAGTTTCCTCCAATGATCTCGAGAAAAGTCAAGGCTTGTACAGCGTGTCGGAGACAAAAAGTGAGTTTAAGAAGGGCGAAATAATGCTGTGATGCTGAATATTAGACAGATCAAATGTTTAATTGATGATAACGGTCCGCCTTGTAAACGATGCGCGGAAAAAGGCTTGTGTTGTGTCTTGGGCAAGAGCCTACAGACTATCTTGGATGAAAAGTCACAGTATGTCTTTCACCGCCTAGCAAAAACACCACTTACATATCCTCAGATTATCACAAGACGTGGCGCAAGATCTCGAGCAGATGCATGATTTCTTAAAGCAGGTTGCTGGAAAACTGGACCTTGAACTTCCGCCTTTACGATCCTCCATTGCAACGGCAGAAGGACAAAAAGAAGAATCACCAGCTCAATCAAACAAAGGCCATCATATTCCATCACGCGACAATTCACCAAAACCCATGCCAGAGGACGACGATTTGCCTTATGCTCCTATCCACTCACTCTACACCCTAACAAAATTACGTGCTCTCCGATCGCCGGACGACATCGACTCGCAGCAAAATCAAGGCAACGACGATATAATAACGAGACGTCTCGTGTCATTACCGGACGCAGAGAGACTTTTCGATTTCTATAAGAAACGTCTGGATCCTTATATTTACCTTATCGGCTGTCCATATGAGTCGATGCAAGTGTTGCGACAAAAAAGTCAGTTTCTCCTCGTGGCGGTTCTCACAGTCGCCGCGCTTCATGATCAAACTGCCGATCATCTGTATCCAATTTGCAGCTCCGAGTTCAGAAGATTATTCCAAACATCGATATTTGAAAGACGACTCAGCAGAGACTATCTAAGGGCGTTATGTATCGGCTGTTATTGGCTAAGCGATCTATCATGGATGTTATCAGGTCACGCGATACGAAGAGCAGCAGAATTCGACCTTCATAACAGTTACGACAGAGCCATCGAAAAATCCAGTACAGAGGATGCAGAATGTGCGAGAATTTGGTATATCCTTTGTGTTTGTGATCAACAGCTTGCAACACAATATGGACGACCGTCTATAGTGCAAGAAGATGCTTCCACACAAGGAGCCATAGACTTTCTCCGATCTACTGTTTCAAATGAGGAAGACAGACGGTTGCTAAGTCAAGCTACTGTGGTTAGTATCTTAAGGAGTATAAGAGAGCTTTTCAGCTCAAATAAGGGCAAACCAATTCCGAGGTTGCATTTGAATCATATTTCACACTTTAGGCTACAACTTGATCAGTGGTTTGCCTTTTGGACAGATCAAGTGCAAGGTATGCCACAAAATGTACCCCCTCAAAGCATATTATCTAACAGCATGCAGAACAGTGGCCTGGTATTGGTGGTTTCCCACGCAAGGGAGTTGTTCTCCACTACAACTTTGCCCAACTATATCTATACTCACACGTATTCCGCGGTATATCCAAAGACGACCATATTCCACATTATTTCCTCGACTGTGCTCTCAACGGCATAACGGCAGCCACAACAATCATCGACAAGTTCCTACATGACCCAGACATTACACTTGGCATAGTCGGCATGCCGTCATACGTCCATTCCATGACAGCGTTCGCATCCATGTTCCTAACAAAAGTGGCCATCAAATACCAAGATCTTATAGCAAAAGAGAAAGTATATGATTTGATCACTGGTTTAGTACAGCAGTTTCGATCACAACCTGCTGGAAAGTGGCATTTGGCAGGTCTTATGGCTAGCGGGTTGGAAAGAATGGCGCAGACGTTGAAACCAGATGTCCCGGTGGATATGGGACTGCCTTTGGGTGTGGGGATGGACCAGAGTGTTGATGCTGGGATATCGGGGGTTGATAATTTCTTTCCTGATTTGCCGGGTGATTTTTTCTTTAACTACGACATGAGTTTTGAGATGCCAGCGACATAGCCTGATCATTTTAATGGACAAATCTGAGATTTGGGATGTGGCAAAAGATTCTCTAAAAAAAACACAGTACCGCGTTTCTAATGCTCCCTCAAGTCAATTCACCAATACCCCGATACGGAAGAAATCATGATGCAAATTGAACGTGTTTTTAAGACTATATACTATGATCATATGTATTAGTAGACCAGCTCTACAGCTCCTCATGCCCCTTGACCTCCCAAGCACGCTGAGCTCTAAACTGTTCTGGAAACCACTTGGGCGTCTTTCCAGTAGTCATCATATCAACCAGCGCCTCAGCACTTCGATACGCCCAAGCCATACCATGACCATTCATGCAAACAATAGCCCAAAGTCCATCCTCGGCAGGAACCTCACCTACAAGGGGAAACTCATCTGGTGTCTCGCAAACAATGCCCACCCAGTCCTGAATAACTGTCGTAGACTCGCCCCAGTTCTTGTAACCATATACTGTACGCGCTGCGCCATGAAGAACAAGGGCGATTTGGTCGTTGATGGAGGTATCATCGGAAATCCACCGCTCTCGTGTGGGAGACATTTGAGTCGATCCGCCGATTACAACACTTCCTGCGTCTTTGGAACCTGGTGGACGAGCGGCGATGTAGACGTTACCGCTGTGAAGGTCACCAAGACTGTTGCTTCGTTCAAAGACTTTGTTGCCTGAGGTATCGCCTTCGGGTGTCACGGCAGCGACTTGGTTTCGGACAGGCATGGTGAAGTTTGTGCTTGCGATGCCTGGGTGAAGAGCGTTTGTGAAGCCGTTTGTTGCTAGCACCACATTCTTGCTCTTTACTGTGCCTCGGTTTGTCTTGACTTCCCATTTGGCTCCATCCTTACCCTTGCCAAGTTGGTTGAGGTTAAGAGCCATGGTGTTGGTTTGCAGGTTGAGACCCTTGTTGAGACTGTACTCTAGCATAGCACAGACGGTGAGATATGGGTTTTGGGTGTGTGCCTTGAATGTCACAGCGCCAACGATTTCAGGCCATTTCCAGTAATCGCGAGCGTCTTGGCCTTTCATGATAGTTCTTTTGTTCTTGGGAACATCATTTGGTCGCTTCTCTTCCAACTTGTGCTGAAACTCAATGTTCTTGACCGCCGTTTCGAAGGAGTCCTTTGTCCAGTAAAGACTGGCGGTCTCAACATCTGTAAAGTCGCTTGAGACATTATGCGCTTTCACAAACTCGCGGACGTCGTTGACGCAGTCTTGCTCCATGTTGCTAAGTCGCAGAGCATCATCCTCGCCGTATTCTTCCACCCAGCTCTTGACACCGTTGTAGTTGCCAGCCTTACAATGACCACCATTGCGGCCAGATGCACCTGATGCTGCGGTACGGGCCTCAAGCATGAGAATAGACAGATCAGGATCGCGATCTAGCAGCTTGTGGGCTGTAGCAGCACCTGAGATGCCCGAGCCGACGATGACATAGTCAAAGACCTCAGATGTCGGTAGGTCCTTTGTTGTGCGGTGGTTGGCGATGCGGTGAGGAGGATCTTGCCAGTAAGACTTTGTAGCATTTGGAAGAGGAAGACCAGGAATTTTGAGCTGAGGTTCATCTGAGTCTTCGCCTCTTGCGATGTGCGGCCTAGGTGCGACAGCCAGAGGATGAACTCCGGACACCAGAGTGAGACTGAGTGCTAACGACAAGGACCTCATGATGAACCTAGTAGTACAGAGTAAGCTGAGAGAGAATAAGCTGAGCAAGAAATGAGAAGATAGAGGAAACTGTCGATCTTTATAGCACCGACGTCGGAATGATTTGCCGGCCGCAGTTTTGGGGCCGTAGTGTAGATGGAGATGATTTATCGGCCAACATTGAGTTCGTCTGATGGGCTCCGCTGGAGTAGACTCGAACAGGAAGGAGTTTATGCGATCAGCACAGAAGAGAGGCCACTATTATCGTGCGGGGTTGACGCTATCTTCCAAGGCTGTGTAGTGTAGTACTGCGGAGGCGACTGGGGTTGGAGATAGCAAGGTGGGACAATATCAGGGTACAACAATAAATTGACTAAAAGCCTGGCCTAATGATATAATAAATTGACTAACTTATTTCGTCTCTTATGCCTTCAAAACAACCATACCCCCAATTTGTTGATTGATCTTGTTCGTCAGTGTCCGAAACTGGCTCCACGGATTGAGGTCCCTGTTCTAAGGGTATAGGTTGATGTAGATACCGTTCGTCTGCTTGCAGTCCATCCATACATAGTCGTACTTGATCATCTGCCCAGCAGTCGAATGCGACCCTCTGTTGGATCGGGAACCAAGCGTCATAGTCCGGAAGGGGTTTTGGTCACTCGGCTGCACCACTGATGCCGGCGACGACACTGAGAGCCCATGCAACATCTAGCATAACCCGGCACTTTCGGGCATCCTTTTTTGACATCTTGATACAGGCAAGTTGGCCAGATATCAATGGGTTAGCCGTTGCGGATATCTTCTGCTCGATCTGGTGTTGATCGTCAAAATCCCGAATCTCATTGACTAATTTGTCAAAATCATTTCCATCTCCTTCAAGAGTCACCTCTTTAGACTTGTTCTTGTTGCGGTACAACCAATTAAGTTGGATTATGATGATACAGTTTGCCTCATCTTCGACACAAGAGTCAATACTAAAGCATTTCAGCCCTAAGTATTGATGATCTAGACACCAGTGGAGCTGTCTGTCAAGACTGATTATATTCCAACATTTATCCGTGGCCCCCAGGTTGTGGAGGTCAGCGAAAACGGTGTCGTCGGATATATAACAATCGATTGCATTAAAAGATATTTCGACGGCATGAATGACCTTTCTCGTTAACTGCATAATCTCCTTGGTATCATTCCAGGCCTGCGGAATAATATGTGTTACAACCACATCCTTTGCGCTCTGCGTGAACACGCATCTGTTGTGGTCACGTTGTCGGCAAAGTTCCTTTTGCAGTTCACCGTCTCTCGCCCGGCCACTCTGGGCGGTCAGAAACCGAGAAGCATCTGGATCCCGAATGTGTTTTGGATTGCAAGACTGGGTCATCCGAGGTGTTGCCTTGTCGGCACCTCTCTCTTGCTTGTTAGATGCATGAGACTCGGTTCCAGGACTTTCCCCTTTACCCATGGCCCCTGGTGGTGAGGTTCTCGGATTACCTACCGTCGAAGCTGGTCCAGTCCACAGAGCATTTCTAGATTCCGACCAAGTCCATAAGGACTCCTTGTCCGCATCAGAGCTTGATACCGTTGTTTTGATGGGTTGGGATGCGATTCTTGCGACGTTCCATCTTGTTCCGAGTCTTCTTTTCGCTGTTCTAACATAAGACTTGGGAATGCTGTGCTTCTGGAGAAGGTCTTGAGACTCGTCAGTACAAAAGATCCGATATATGGAATTATTAACTAACATCGTTTTACCAAACACACTAGTGGCTTCATCAGATCTGTTAAAGTCTGCCATGGCTTACGGTATGACTCGTACTCATAGTCCTTAAAGCTGTCCATGGGCATTATCATTATAGCAGCCGAATGAACTGAAGTCAGCTTGTAATCTGGCCAGTCTTCGACAAGTCGTTTCCCAATCGCGATGGCATATTCGCGACGGTCTTCCACATCCTCGGGAGGTATGATTGGTGTGGGCTTGATATAGTCGGGTGCAGATTTGACTGAAACCTCAGCGGCATCTCCACGAGGAGAGTCCTCGGGGAGATTGGGCGAACTAGGACGCGACGCACTCATCTTGAACGTTGGGTAGGCTAAGGGGGACCGTGTATGATACGATGAGCGCAAAGGGCGCAAGAGAAAAGGTTCAAGAAGATAATTGGGCCGTAGATTAATATCTCACGACGTCTGTCAGCTTCGTCGTCGGGGTTTCCTGTCGTCGGCTCGGAGTGATAACGTGGAATTTCCAGTGAGGCCTCAGGTTGGGCTCTCTCGTAAGCGCCGTGTAAAAAGGTATACAGAACTACGTCCATCTTGTATGTTGGTAGATTGGAGGGACGAAACTTGGGAGATCAAGTTCTGTTGCCTAGGCAGGACTCTTGGTTTATTTATACTTGTGTCCTGATCTTTTAACCTTTGTGGCATCGTGAACTGGCCGCACGACTGGGCAACTAACATAATTTAATTTTGACTTTTCTCTTTAGGCAAAAAAAAAAAAAAAAAAAAAAAAAAAAAACATGAAGCTAATCTGAGTGATAATCTATTGCAATAAGATAGTTATGTTTTCTACGATCACTGAAGTTTTCGCCCACTCCTTCTCAATTTCCTCTAGGTTTTCCACAAAGGGTAATCTGTCCGCGCAGACCAAATTTTCAACAAATCTTCAAATTAAAGGTTTTCGCGAGACTAGGTTTCTAAACAAGACGTGATTCATTATACCCACTTCCGAAAGAAAAACCTCCTGGCAAAGCTTTGCGAATGAATTCACAAATTATTGGAATGTATTCGTTATCCTCAGAGAATCCCTCTTACAGATCTAGCTTAAGATAGGGATTAACCGGGGAATCCTTAGCCTATCGCGCTTTATAGAAACTGAAGATACACCTAACATTCACAAGTCTAAGTAGGCAAATAGGGGTAGTACTCAGTGCATCCATTGGCAATACATGCCGGACAAGTTCATCGCTCTCAACCAGAACAAGGGCATTGGACGGGGTATGATAAAGTTAGAACGCAACCTCACGCTTCAGCATAGGGACAAGAATAGAATAGTATTCCTTGATAGTAAGGATCTCTTACTGGGTGCTAGAACCAGGATAGGGCTACTCTAGAACGGCATGCTTGTGGGTTTTGATATAGCTACCCGGATCCTATATACCAGAAAAGAGACCATCATTGGCACACAGGTCACCGTCCTCGCGGTTGGGTTAGGAGGGAATACAGTAAAATCGCTCGCCTAGAGGAACCACATATGTCCCCTTGGCATTCTTGTCGAATGCTTCCAGGTTGTCCCAGCGCTTGGGAATGGTGTACAAATAAGTTAGGCGCCGAGAAGCCTCCTCTGACAGGGTGAGTGAGAGATGGATCCAAGAATTCGAAGGTATGATGACCTTTATCGTTTCCGCACTTGCTAGTTTTGGTTTCATCAAGCCTTGTCAATTCCTTGTTCGCCATGGCAGTTCAGAATATGACTTCTCTCCATGCCCATGCATCAATTTAATTCGAATCCCATTCTAGACGCAGCATGTAGAGTCTTGGTCTAGCCAGATGTAACCGGTAGGTGAAGTTTAGACGTGTCTGGTAGTGTCTCAGTAGCGAAGCTTCGATGTAGATGAGCTTAGTAAAGTCGATGAGTCTTGCATTCCTGAGGGTACACAATCCGGGACAGGACCGGAGGCAGCTTCTGTAGAGTCTTGTTCTTTTCGTCATTACAACGAGCCAAGAACGAATCGAGTTCCATACCTTCGTCAGAAGCCGCATTAGCATCAGCATTGTCGGCAATAGCCGCTGCTTTTCCTTTGCCTTCAGGTTTAGCTATAGGTTTAGCTTTGGCCGTGGGCTTGCCTTTTGGCTTACCCCTTGGAGCCATGGCGAAATAATAGAATCTAAGGATTAACTGATTCTTGTTGTTGGATTGCTTGGTTGTAGGTTTAGTCGCAGGATTGGTCGCAGGGTCGGTCGGTCGATTGCAGTCGGTTGTGTGTGTGAGTGAAATAACAGAATGAGAATCTCGGGAGATTCTCAGAAGTGAATGGTCTTCTTCCTTTCCAGTAGGTTTGCAATGAGGTCATCCACATCAGAATTTATATGTAAATAATACACATGAACGTTCTTTTTCTGAGGTATACGGGCGGCGCGCCTAATTACCTGTTTCTCGAGGCCCGTCGTCCTAACATGAGAATGGATGGACCACAAATGTCTCGATAAGCAAATACTAGGCCATGTCGGTTCTGCTTCCTCAGATTTTGGGTGAGATGCAACAATGTCAGACAGAGGTCGATCAGCCCGGCCTTGTTCGTGCCTTCGATCCTATCATACGCTGAAGGACGGTCGCCTCGATCTACCAAGATGCCAACGGCAAGCCATCGAAAGCGAGAAAGATTTCCGAGAGACAGCCGTGAGCCTGATAGAAGTTTGATGATGGTAATTCCAGTCAATGTTTCATGAAAATGAGTAGGCGTCCCTTTAGCTTCTATAGGAAAGTCCTCAAATGCCTCCACCTATTCACAAATTAGCAAGGTCGGATCTTTGATGGAGCTATTGTACTTACTGTGTGGTGACCAAGAATATCCTCTGCTTGCCCCGTGCTTACATACTGGCGTCCGCGTTCGTGGTCGTCTTCTTCTCTATCAAGAGGCATGGACCAAGGCGGCCGTCTCGTTACCATCGGAGTCAATGTCCAAGATGGCAGAGTCGTCATGGTCGGCTTCAAGGACCAATGTCGTGGTTGCATAACATGTGAGCCTCGTTGATTAGATTTTAATAGCTGGTGGCTAGCCTAGGGTCCGAGGTGGGCGGTTACGTGTGCGAAGGCGTTACGCCCTAGCCTGTAAGGACCTGGAGGAGCAGCGGCGACAAGCTCGATGGGATGGCTTCGATCCTGTAGGGGGTAGAGCGTCGCCCTGGGATTGAGGGCAGTCCAGAGTGAGGAGAGTAATGCCAGGAGCATAGAGATGGAGGTCAGAGGAATGTGAAGGACCGTTAGGAGGAGGGGGGCGCGGAAGGGAGGTGGAGGTCAGGAGGTTGAAGACGATATGCTTGATCATCCACCCATCGATCCACAGCAGCCCAGTGCTTGATCTTATCCCAATACTCGTGATCAGGTAGGAGATTCGGCCATTGAGCCGCACCACTACTAGCTGCAACAACACCCAAAACCCAGGCAAGGTCCAACATGGCCTTGCACTTTTCAGCATCCTCAGTTGACATTTCAACACGGGCGGGCTTCTTTTCTAGTTTTCTGATCTGTCGTATTCCATTGATTATGTCGTCGAAATCGTTCCCATCTCCCTCAAGAGTCACTTTCTGTTTGGGTTTCTGGTAGTTGCGGTACAGCCAATACGGTTGGATGATAACAACAGCTCTGGTATCATCCTCGGCGAAAGGGTGGTCAATACCAACACACTTAAGCCCAATTCGCATTTTCTCTAAATGCTTACAAATTAACTGGTTGATGTAAAGCATATTCCAACATTTATCCATAGTACCGAGGTTGTTCCCATCAGCGAATAGGCTAACGCACTTGGACAGGATATCGTCATCCATAAATGCTTGGGCGGCAGATATGACGGTACGGGTTAACAGCATGTTCTCTTCGGTATCATTCCAGCTTCGTGGAATGATATGGGCGACATCGTTAACGATTGTCGGAAGGAAAATGCATTTGTATCCGTCACGTTGTCGGCAAAGGTCCATTTGTTCCTGACAACGGCAGTCAGGGGTAAAACGAGAGGTGTCCGGATCTGAGTCTTGTTCGTGATGTTGGGATTTCTGCAGAACATCTTGTGACTACTAGTAAGGACAACTCAATAATGGCCTCAAGGAATAAGCATCATAAAGTTCGTGAATTAGTATATCAATTTATGATCCTTAGACCATAATCTTTAGACAGCTTATGTCTGGACCAGAGGATTCGAGATGCCAATAAAAAAGGAAAGCTAACTTACATCTCTTCACCAAAGAGGCTATTAAGTTTAACCTTTCACGTAGGTCCTGTGCGACGGGCTGTCGGTGTGAAAGATACCCATGACGCTCAAGGTTGTATAAAGGCGTTGTTATTATCGCAACCAAGTGAACGGATGTCAGCTTGAAATTCGAGAAAACGCTGACAAGTCGTTTCTCAATTTTTGTATCATAATCGCGACGCAGGTCCATCTCGGACTCAGTGGGCTGCGATACACTCATCTTGAGGCTGGATGGCCAGGGTGTTGTTTCAGTCGGTGATTCAGAGCAATAAGAAAGATAGAAATAGTAAATCAGATAAATAAGGAAGAGAAGAGGTGTGATTCATTGGATGGAGGAAGATAAAGTCCGTGACTCAGAAGAATGGTAGAAGATGAAAGGTAAGGAAGATGGAAAGAAGAGGAAAGAAAAATCGAAGGAAGAAATAATAAATCGGTGAAACTCAGTTTGATGCTGTCTAAGTCTTGGGATACAAAAGTAAATACCGTATTGACTTTGATCTTAACAGAATGAAAAACAATTTAGTTTGTTAGGTTGCCAAACAAGCTTCCAGGTTGCAGTAAACATCACTCCAAAGCAAGCATATCCGCAACCCACAATCCTCATAAAGCATTTGTCAAATCTTATCCATTTGCGCAATTACGCAATCCGTAGGTTTTTTGCATACAATACTTCACAGCAGCAGATAGAACCATTAGATCACATTTCATAAGCATTTACCTAAGAGTGTACTAACATTTTAGTCTGATGTCCTCCAAATCCCATTTCTTCAGACTGCCTAAATAATAACTTAGTTTTCCCTCTTGAGGTCAACTCTGTATCCCACAAGCTCAAGCTTATCAGCCCGCCTTTCACTTCCCTCCCCAGTCTCTCTGAACACAAAATGCTCATGTGACAAAAGCTGGTACACAATCCGATCCAATGAAGCCCACGTGTTACAACTACCCTGGGGCCAGACAAACAAAGCATCTGAGGCGGCTACTTGCTCTTCTGTGCCTTGCGTAAACATCATCCGCCATGAAGTCTCAGTGTCACTCTTGAGACTTGTGGGATACAAACGGAAACGGACAAGGCCTTCAGGTGTGGGGAATTCTGGCGGGATAGCAAAACTGCCATATGTGCCCGCGATATCAACACCTCGTACCGTCCAATTTGTAATACTAAATCCAGGCTCATCATCAACGGAGAGAGTTAGGGATGAGTTTGTCTTGGCGTCGGAGTATGTACCACCGTACTTTTCCTCTGCCTCATCTTTACCAGCTTGTTCAATCGCAGGGAGAAGTTCCTTGACAATGTTTGAGAACCAAATTTGGAGCTCTGCACCGCCGACTTCACCTGGGCCTGCGTCGAGGAGGCTAATGGTCAAGTTGTAATCAGGAATCAGTACCATGAGGGAGTGATAGGTAGTGATATCGCCGGCTTTGGTGTAAAACTCAATAAGGCGGCCATCTTTGGTAACGTTGTTGGAGCGGAATATTTCCCATGGCTCACCGAGGAGTATACCTGTTGATGAAGTACTGGTAGCTGGTTTCATCCATTTTCTGGTTTGTGCAGGACTAAGTAGCGCGTAGCGCAAGATTGCATCGCCAAAGGCCATGATGTCGTTCAAAGAAGAGTAGTAAACCCCGGCACTAGTAATATTTAGCAATCGATACAAAGTTTATCGTTTGTATGCAAAGACTCACGGGTTGCCATAACCAAGAGTTGCGTTCCACCATTCATCACCGGGCGGAATGAAGCCCAACGAATCATCAGGTGTTTCCTCATATGTGTGCTCCATACCAACAGGATCCCAGATATGTTTCTTGATGTACTCTCCCGAGGGCATGCCGCTAACCTTTTCGATAATCCACCCCATTAGAGAAAACCCAATGTTTGAGTAGACCGGGTTTGCTTCGAATGGGGCGTAAACAGGAGGCCTCTCGCCAAAGCGGTCAAAGAAGTCTACAAACATTAGTTAATTATCAGTGACAAATATCGCTGACATACCTTTCTTGGTGCATGGGGGAAGACCAAGAAGTCCTGAACAGTTGAGATTCCTGGAGACATCAGGAGGAGGGAAGCCGAGCTGTGTCCAGTCTCCGTAAGGTTGGACGTCAGCAAGCACTAGCAATGTCAGTATAACTCGATGTTTCATGAAACAAATCAACTTACAATCAGCGGGTATTCCGGCAAGATGCGAAGCCAAAGATCCAACAGTGATGTCATCCCAATCCACAGCCCAAACCGCATCAGTCTTCCTCGCATCTTTGTTCAAAGCTCTAAGCTCAGGGAGATACTTGGTGACACGATCATCAAAGTTGACCTTGTGCAGTTTCAACAGCGCAAGGACAGGGAAAACCTTGGATAAACTCGCCATGCGGAATACGGTATCAGAGTCTACCTCGTCAACTCCACGAGGGTCGACGTTAGGAGGTGTACTGGCGAACTCAAACATGTAGTCATCTTCTTTGGCGGATTTGATAGCAACTACCACTGAAGAGTTTACGAGATTAGATGTTGCAGAGTCAAAGAGGTCTTGGATGTTTTGTATGGCAGATTTGACGGAGGGGTGAGTACTGGGATGAAGGGGAGGTGGGAGTACGGGACCGAGAGGTGGACAGTGACCTCCTCTGGCAGCGAGGGATGTTCCCACGAACAATGAAAAATAGAGATAATTCCGAATAGTCTTCATCTTGATTTGACAACTTGACTGGCTACTCAGCTAACATTCTAATCAAACCGAGGAATATTCCAAACTCTTATAGTCTTCAACACCGGCCCCTCGGAACTCAATTACCCCGTAAAAACCGAATATCAAATCGATGATTCAATCTCCTGCTTACTTCCACACACTTCAAGTCATGAGGATCACACTCGTAAGCTTATGGCTTGCGATGAAATCACAACTTCAGAGCCAAAGCACTGGATTGAGACAGATTTCGTAAGATTCGTGACTGTTTGTCTTGGACTAATGCAAACCCATAAGTGAATCACTCTTTTTCGAGTTAGATATTCCTTGGAAGGGGCTAAGTATTTGAGACATTTTGTCCGTGGAATTTTTGTTATTTCCGTTAGGGGATGTAAGCTTAAATTGAGAGTCGTGAGGCTTAGAACTGTACGCAAGACTGCCACGCAATAACTGAAAGCCCCTTCGAAGCGAACCGATGGGTAACTGACCATTGCAGTAGTTCCCTGCTTGTTCCCGTGCCGTTCGACGACTCAGAGAGCTACTCATACTGCGATCATCATCTACCATCTTGGCAATACTGTCAGCTACGCTGGTTGGTGATGACTTTGCTGACCACCTCTTCTTCCAAACGGAAATCCCAGGAACCCGTCCCGGTGTGTCTCGCGATTGGACATGAAGGGATTTGACATAGTGCTTTGTAATAGTATCTCGGTTAGATGTGGGATGCCAGTTGGAGTATCGTCATCTAGGTAGACCGATGCTCGGTACAATCTTGATGATGCTATCCGGGAATGACGATGACGCAATACATTGAGAGAGTAGAAACTGACAATACTGATTGACATTGACAATTGAAGAAGAATCTTAAGCAAATGGTATCATTAAATCATAACGCTAAAACACAAACGCATATCTATCACGGCCAGTAAACATCAACAGTTTCAACCGGCGAGCCACCCTCAGTTATACCTCCACCCGGAAGATAAATACCTCCCTTGACAGCAACAGCCTGTCCACCATGTCTTGGCACAGCCATCTTTCCAAGCTCCTCCCACGCCTCAGTCTCTGTATCAAAAACCTCAATCTGATCAAAAATGCCGTTTGAGTCGGGTTCAGTGTTCCCCTCTCCGCCAAGAACGTAGATCTTTTTGCCGACGGTACCAGATACGACACCACCGCGAGGTGTGGGCATCTTTGCGTCGCTGGTTGTCCAGCCTTGCTCGAGATTATCGAGGTCGAGGATAAAAACTGTATCTTTTACGTTTCGTTGACCGCGGAGACGACCACCAAGGACGTAGAATTTATTGCCGACGACTGAAGAAGTTGCGTGGTCGCGGCCTTCGGGGAGGGTTCGTGCAGCTTCTGGAAGATCAATCCACTTTGAAGTCTTGGTATCGAAAGCTGAGACAAAGTCGACAGTGTCTTGCTCTCCACCTGGACCAGTCGGTTCCAGTGTTCGCATTCCGCCAGCTAGATAAATAATGTTTCCGTAAACACCCATAGCAGCGCTACCTCTTTTGTGCTCGTCTGGAATGGACGCTAATTCAGACCATTCATCGAGATCGGGATTGTAAACCCATGACTCTGGGAATGCTCGCCATGCGCCGTCATCGATATCTGATAGACCGCCTAGCAAGTAAATTTTACCGTTGACGGCAGCGACGTTGGGGTGGTTGACTTTGACAGGTGCTTCTGTAACGTATCGTCGCCATGAATTGGAGCGCGTGTTGTAGAATTGCATAAGCGCTGTAGTTTGGAAGCCATCGGCTTCGCGATTGGGGACGATTCCACCAAGGATGGCTACTGTCTTGTCTGAGAGGGCGACGACGCCATGTTCTTGTCGCGGGGCAATTGGTATCGACTCGAGAGTTTTCCAGGTATTTGCGCCTTGGGGAACGACGCTGGCCAGAGCGGAAGTCGCTAAAGAGAGGAGCGTAATAGGGAAGATCATAATGAATAGAGTGTGAGAATGGGTGGGAGTGAAAGGGAAACAAAAAGAAGGTAACCCAAGAAGCTTAAGTAGGAAACAGTTTCAATGGGAGCTTGGCACGGAGTTTATGTTTTCGTCATGGAATTGTGGCTTCTGGTGAATATACCTTGCAACAGCTCTTGGCAAACATCATTCTCACACACTTTTGAAGCACGGAGTGTCTCCAGGTCCAGGAACAGAATTATTAAGCTCCAAGCCTTCCCCTGTTTGTCTCCGGGTCTTCCATTTTAGCGCTGTGATCCGGGGTACAGTGACGCGTTAACAATAAGCAAGGGTGGCTTGCTGGAATGAAATTAATAGCCTAATTCCAGGGCGATAGATAACCCTTTGGTTGACCCACGTGTTGATTTGCGCTATATTTTAAAAGTTTATCTCTATCTTTCAGCATTACACGTGCCGTAATTATTCGATATCTCAACTACAACAATTCAACCTAATTAAACATCTCATTTAATCGTAGCTACTCTCTTATCAATACTGACTCGTATCGTCACTTGTCGTTCAATATGCTGCCAAGAAGCTTGGATCTTACTGTATACGCAACTCAGAATGATCATCTCTACGCACAGATAAACCTGACCATCTAACGCGCAATACATCAACCATTTATCGGAAACTTGATGTTGTCATTGGTAGTCAATTGAGGCTGTAATACACAAGCAGTAGCGCATAAGCCAAGAACGACAACATATCTGCTTGCGTCAATAGCCAAGCCACGATGGCAAGGGCCAAAATTTTAAAATGCAAAAAGATAGTTGACAAGACTGGGATTCGAACCCAGGCCCCTTTCGAGACTGCGAATCGTTACTAGTTCGAATCGAACCTGAACACAGCGCCTTAGACCGCTCGGCCATCTTGCCTTTGATTGGATGTTAGATTGGTGGCCCAAGGACACTCTAGGTCCCTGGACTGTCTGCGAGGCAAAGAGAAGCAGGCAGTTTACCACATTCCAGGCTGAACCTGTATAATGTTTCATTTTATCCCAAGTCAGAAGTTTATGTCAATTATACTCCTTGTTATCTGGGGTCATGTTCTTGGCGGAAACGACGAGCTGCTACCCTGAATCTGAAACATGGAGAGATCCTTGACAAAAGACAGGATGAAACGGTCTAGGGTATGAAGCCTTGTTTATGTTCTCAGCACAAATGTTTAATTCTTAATTGAGCATATACTATGTTCATTACGGATACTATCAAGTTGAGAAACCTCCAGAATTCACTTGTCGAGGTTCTCCAGCAGCCTCAAACGTTCCATTAGACAGCCTTCTCAAAGCCTGGGCCGTACTCTGCGTCGCCACCCAAGTGACATTATTCCCAACCTCCTTCAAATACGCAACCGTAGAATTATCAAAAGCGTACTCAAAAGTTACTTGTCGTGGGACAAGTTGGTCGTGTAATCTGGGTGCAGCGAGTGCTTCGCGGACAGTCATGTTTTTGTCAATAGCGTTGAGAACAACCTGTGCTGTCGCAGTGATGATTCGACTACCTCCAGCAGATCCTGTAACAAGTGACACTTGTCCATCTGCGTCTTCAACGATGGTGGTACTAATACTGGAAAGAGGACGTTTTCCGGGTCGGATAAAGTTTGCTTCGCTGGGGATGAAGCCGAATTGGTTGGATTCTCCTGGGATGCTGAAATCGTTCATCTCATTATTCATGATTATGCCTGTTTCGGGAACGATGACCTTGGAACCAAAATTGAGGTTGATGGTAGTAGTAAGGGATATAGCCAGGCCAGATGAGTCCATGGCAACGAGGTGAGATGTTCCAGGCGTTTCTAAGCTCTCAAGGCCTTTGGGGTCGTACTCTTTCAAATCAAGAGCTCGGCCTTCCAGCTTCGCTCTGACTTCCTGGGCTGTCTTGTTGGAGTACATTTGTTTTTGGTAATCTGTCAGACCATCAACAAAACTTGGATCACCCAGGTTAGTACGCATGCCATAGCTGAACTTGAACGCTTCATCAGTGTAGTAAGCCGTATCATTGACTCGACTTGGATCCCCGAGGAAGTCATATCCGTCCAGAATATTCAATGCAGCCGCGACTACCGCACCACTTGAAGGAGCCGAGCCACTGGTGACTTTTCCGCCTCGGTAATTAATCTGTGAAGGCTGACGGATAGCGACAGAATAATTCTTGAGATCGTCCATCGTCATGATACCCTTCTCGCGTTTTAAAGTCCGAATCGTCGCCTCGGCGATTGCACCTTGATAGAAAACATCTGGTCCTCCAGAGGCAATTGATTCCAAGGTATCCGCAAATCTCTTTCGCGTCAGCTTCTCGCCAAACTTGAGAAGTCTACCAGAAGGCGCGAAATCAATCGCCCACGCTGGATCGTTGAGAAGAAAACTCTCATTCTCGGATTTGGTGTATGTCATTCCCATGAATTTGAGGGTGTCGTTGTTGACAGGGAAGCCGTAGCGTGCGACTTTGATAGCTGGTTGTACGAGCTGAGACCAGGGTAGGCTGCCGTATTTCTCGTGGAGATGTTGAAGGCCTCTCAATTCTCCTGGGACGCCGCTGAGATTTTTTAGATGCTGTAACATTGATAAATAGGGTTGACATACCTTGCTTTGCCGCCGGATATACTCTCGTTCACATTATTCTTAAACATGTTCTCCGAAGCTGCCGCAGGTGCCGTCTCACGAAAATCCACGAATTCGTAGGCCTTTGAACCATCCGTCTCATTTGGTTTATGGATGAGCATAAAGCCACCACCACCAATACCAGAATGATACATTCCTTAAAGAGTCAGTACAAATAGTCGCGATTTTCATGGATTCGCTTACCAATTGTTCCGACGCAAAGAACCGTCGCTACCATAGCATCTGCCGCGTTACCGCCGTCCCGCAAGACATTGACACCGATGGTACTGCATATCTCACTCTCGCTAGCAACAGCACCCAGATTATTAGAAAATTGTCTGGACTGCAAAGGTTGCATAAGAGGAGGATATGGAGTTTCGCATGGTTGTGAACGAGCGATTTGTGGAAGAAGACTCAGTAAAGCAGCCAAGACCTTTACTTGACCCATTTTGGCTCAGACGTCAATTGGAAATGCTAGTGAAGGAAGAAGCTAGAGAAGAAGGCGGTCGTGTGCCTTTTAACACCACGGATCAACGTCGTCTCAACTCCACCAACTACTACAAACAGCATGTCGATACGATCCTAGCCTCATTATAAATATTTAATATCTTTCGACCAATTATCGACTAGGTTAAAGCTGAGAAATAGTAACAAGAAGCATCATCGTCAGCGATAAAGGCGCGGGGTAACATTATACTCTGGTAGCTGCAGTACAAGCTAAACCCATCAAGCAGTGATCAGCAATCTCCAACCTTGGTTCATTAACCAACTTCCTAATACAGAAGAACCACGATAATGAATGTCAAGCGGTGATCACGGCATCTCCAAACCGCATCCTTCGTACTCCCAAAATGTCTCAAAGCCAAGCTTTTCGTAAAATCCTTGTATCTCCACTGCATCGATGAGAATTCCCTCCGTTCCCCTCTCTTTCAATATCTCCATCGCTTTGATCACGAGGGCTAGGCCAACACCTTTTCCTCTGGCTTTTTCGTCTACGCCCACGGCAGCGATAAGACCTGTTTTCTCACCAGAAGGGAGTAATGGTAAAAAGGCAAAAATGTCGCTGACTACAGAGTCGTAGGAACACATTAGAGTCCATCCGATTTGCTCGTTTGTTTCTGGATCGAAAGCGACAAGGACTTGATCGTGTTGATTTTGTGAGGCGAGGGCTTCATAGACGTCTGACCAGCTCTACTATGTGTTAGATTGAACTTACAAAAGATAGATAGAAATACTCACGAATTGGGCCCTTTGTTTGGTCATGCATTCTTCGTATAGATCTGCTGACCAAGGAGCGAATGTTGCTTTTGTTTTTGACACACGATCCATTATTTCCGGTGGTGCAATGGTTTCGGTCACGTCCTTATAAAGATCCCTAATAGGACGAGAAGTGTCATAGATGCCTGTATCTTGAGTATAAGTTCAATCGGATGTGGGTAGAGAAATACCTCGATGTGAGAAGAACTCCTTCACCTCCTTGGGGACTGTGTTCGGAATCTGCCACCAAAGTCGAGGGAAGATAGATCCAATCTCTAAAGACTGCAACCCCGTACCATCAGCACGAGCCGCATCTCTCAAGCCAATCTTGGCTTTCTCTAAGAGAGCGCTTCCAATTCCTTGACGCCTATGTTCTGGCAACACCCCAACGGTAGCGATTCGTCCACAGACACCGTCGATGATGTAGGATAGACAAAGTCCATTTTCATGAATCCAATGATATCCAGGAATTCCGAAGAGGATTTTTGGAAATCTTTGCTGGGAAATAGGCCAGTCAGGGAAAATGGTCTGCCACATTTGCCATGCTTTCTCTATGTCGTCGTCCGAGCTGGTCAATTGTCGGATCTCATCCTGGCGGGATGGCGCGCTTGCACCATTGCTAGTTTGGTCTGCCATTTTGATTGAAGACATTGATGAGAGGAATGAACACGACACGTTGAGGATCTTGAGGTTGGATATGATAAACAGGCCACGACACGTGAGCTGACGATGCGGAGTAATGCAGGGAATACCATCGACTGTACCATGGACAATTATGCACCTCTCCCTTTTCGGACATGACTTACACTAAAATTAGGCTGAAGAAACAAAACATCTAGAAATCATCTCACTCTGGATATATTCACCCACTTTAATCAATCTATACCCGACATTCTCTATCTGTTCTTCTACGTACGTCTACTCTCCCAAGCTTTCTCTCTAGCTCTCGAAATCATATCCTCCCAAACAGGCGGCTTGCATCGGATATTCTGTCCAGCAGCCTCGGCATCGAAACCGAATTGCAGCAGCGCGTCTTCACTACACCACTCGCCAGTAGCCATGAGTCCAACGGGGATTTTACCATCAACTTCTTTCTCGGCAACTTCGCCAGCGTCTTTAGTACCTTCAGGAATGACATAACCGGCTGGAACTGTGATAGCGGGAAGACCGCAGAAATTGGCGAGCCAGACGTATTCCATGCTTTGAAGGGTGTAGTTTCCGTCGTTGACTCCGTAAGACAATTCAGATTTTCCACCGCGAATGGGAGCGCCGGCACAAGCTGTTGTGGGTGTGATGATCATCATACCGGGGTATGTCTTCCAGAGATGGGCCAGATGTTTCATCAACATGCCTCGTAGCTTCTGAGCTAGTAGATAATCGGTGGAAGGAGTGGTACGACCAAGCGCCAGAAGGATTCTGTTAGCTGCTGTGATACCACTTGTATCAGGAAGCAAAGTTGAAGCATCAGTCAGAACAGTAAGCGCGTGTGCCATTTGACCTTCAGCAGGAAAAGGAATGTCAATCGGAACGAGAGTGTATCCGTGTTTGGCCGCAAGAGACTCTACAAGACCACGAACCAGAGATTGAACACCAGGTTGGGCACGAGAAATCCATGCGTCAAAAATACCGAGGACTTTTGTGATTGGAGGCGATGGTTGAAGGCGCAAAGGCGGAAATTGCGTTGACGGATGCGGCTCGGCGATGGCTTCATATGCAGCAACCAGAGAATGCATATCAACAGCAAGAGGACCTTGGACGGCACATGTCGGCGAGTGATTGGCGCCAGGCCAGGATGTGAGTCGCTCGTGGGTCGGCTTCAAACCAAATACCGAGCAGAATGATCCAGGGATTCGAATACTTCCGCCACCATCGCTACCCAAAGCAAGAGGCACAAGTCCGGCGCTGACAGCGTAGGCGGGACCCGAAGAACTACCGCCAGTATAATATTTCGGGTTAAAAGGGTTTCGTGGCGTTCCTTGGTTGGGGTTGTTTCCAGTGGTATCTGAGTATGGATGTCAGTAATTGTTGAGTTGAACCTTGTTTTGGTCTCGTGAGAGACACGTCAAGTGGCAAGATTTGATAAGAACACGTACCCAGACCAAATTCGTGCATAGCAAGTTTTCCAAGGATCACAACACCTGCTTCCTCAAGCTTTCGAACGATCCAACTTGTCGATGATTCTCCTTCAGCGGGAATCTCGGCATAATCCTTTAAAGATCCAAGAGTTGTAGAATACCCATCCAAATCGTAGTCGTCCTTGATAGCTGAAGGAACACCGTCAAGCGGGCCAATGGGTTGTTTGTTCTTGTAACGCTCCGTTGAAGCTTCAGCAGCTCTCATGATCTGATCAACCTTGAGTTCCCTCCACGCGCTTGCATGTCTACCGGGCTGGGGTCCCTCAAGCTGGATCAAAGGGAGGATCGCATTGACCACATCGACGGGCGTTACTTCTCCAGAGAGGTACAGAGCCCGATAATCGGCTACCGAGTAGAATCGTGCTGGGTTAAACACATGGGAATTGTCTTGTTGTAGTGCAGCTAGTTGAACTCTTTCGCCGCGTTCTTTAGCGGCTTCTTCTGATAGGGCGATTGGGTAGACTGTCGGGTCGTATCTTGGTTCCACGTTTTCGATGTACGCCCGGATCTTCCGGAGGGAAGCAAAACCAGCATTTTTCCAAGCCGTTTCACGAATAAATCGAATCCATTCCATCCTGAACCATATTAGCATTTGGTTATCAGTTTTTGACAATGGGACTTACAAAAATGCTGCAGCAACGAGTAGAGGTCCTCTGATGACGGGATTCGGATTCCTTTCAATAGCATAAGGAACACGAGGTCTAGAGTAATCAAGCACGTCAGCATCTGGGCCACTTATAATGAATCTGTAGCATTACCCCTCCTGAGGCCCAGGATAGTTGAAGAACCTCCTCTCATCGGTATTCTCACTCATCTTCACGATTTTGAATGTGCAAGAATTGAGTCTGGAATTTGTTGTGTAAGTTTTCGCCAAGAACTAGATAACACTGACCGACCCAAGAATTTAAACTCTCGGAATGGACGGCAACCGCGGAGACCGGCCCATTGAGACTTGTTTAGTAATAACTACGTATTCGTCACGCGTGATCTGCATGAATGATAAAATTGAATTTGATTCGTAGAATTGAGGTCGTGACCGACTCGCTACCTGGTCTGTTTCGTATATGCAATAACGTACCTATAAACGAGCAGAAATCTCAAAACCCAAGCTTACTTTACAGAAAACAAATGCCCGCCGAGCAGGTCCGAGGCGGCATGAAATGACAACATTATTTTGTCTCTCAGATAAATAGTAGCAAGTTACCTACCCCCACAAAGCTACCTGAGGTTCATAATCAACTCCTTGCTGATGTTCGGCCTTGATAATGAATATTGTCAGATGACGTGAGTAGACCTCTCAAACATCATTAGAACGCTTCCTCTTATTGAACATGTCCAACTTACGTGCAAAAGGCCATCTTTCAGCAAACTTGTCCATCGCCGGTTGAAATTCCACGGCCTTTCTGAGAGCAACTTCCGACTCTGGATCTTTTTTGAGCATGATAGCCAAATTGTGCATGATACACAACATGCTAATTATGGAATGTTGCTTTATGTCAACTTCTTTCTTTGTGGACATGGCGATGACCGCTGTACAAGCCTCCAGGGCAACATCTCCGCATTTCCCGAGCCAGTCTGGATGCTGCGAAATGAGGCGCCCGTATTTGGGTCTTCTGTAGTACTCCCTAACAAGCATAGCACTAGGAAATAGATATTAGCTTAGTGAAAGGTCGAGGACACAGAATTTGACCTCAGACCTCAGAGACAAGACTTGAGATCATGTCCTGACCAGCTTTTGGGTTACCATTGTCGTCCATCATAGCCCTCCTTTCTTTTTCCAATACACCCGTTCTATAACTATCGGATGTGTCGTTCGGTTTGTCCAAGTCAAAGTCGGAGTCGTGATCATAGATTGAGTTCTCTTGGATCTCATTGTCGCGCTGCAGAAGTCGACCGGCTCTGGCTACGCCCTCGTTCAATACAAGTAGCCTCTGGATAGCCTCCTCCGAATTGCGCTGATATTGGGGGTAGTTGTAATTTTCCAACAAATTCTCGGCTTCTCTAGTTACAGGATGGTTTCTTTCACAAATAAGCGGTAGTCGATTAGGGTCCTCAGTAGGGAGACCGTTGCAAATTCTGCTATGTGTAGACAAGGCAATCATTATAAAATAGGCCAGCCAAGCAAGTTCAAATTTGCGTATTTTCCCCAGCTATCGAGAGTCATTAGACACAATTGCCACGTGAGCAGTGCTTCCTTATTCAATGCATAATCTATGGCCATAGTTGCCATGGCCAAGCCAAGGCTGAATTGAGGGTGGTGTGAGCCTATTCGAAAACGCCGTTTCCGAATTCATACAGGGCAATCAAGCCTAGTGCCTGAACGAGATGAGCATGTGCCTTAGTCTGTCCCGAGACAACAGCGAATAACGCCTTAATGGCCTTGTATAAATCCGTGTGCACCACAATGCCTTCCATCGATAGTGCGGCCGCAATCAGATATAAAGGTCTCGACAAACATTTTCATGTCAGATGGCACACCACCCTGTTCAAAGGCTCTACATCGGAGAATAACAATTTCCCCAGCTGTTCGTGGCCCAGATCGGTCATTCTCCAGACAGCTAAGGAACTTGAGAAAAAGAGCACGTCGCGGTTGGGACATATTGACAATGAATCTGCCTAGTCGGATCACTGGCCGAAATCAGTGTATTTATGGCGTTTAATGTGAGTAATCCAATCCTTACTAGGCTTGGCACCGTGTACAAAGTGGGAGTTTCCTGTCACATGTTTGCTTTCGAAGGAGACAGCGCGTGCAGTCGCGCTCGGATCTGTCAGGTCCCCGAAGACTAGAGGCCACACTGGGACGTGAGTTGACGAGTGATGGCATGTTGAAAGATTGTGCTGTCGATAGGTTTGAGGTATCGGAAAACCAGGGGTTTTGACCGTTGTGTTTAATTGAAGAGTTGCTTTTTGGTTGGCACAGTAGCGGTCGGTTGGGGTGCTACTTACCCAGAACTATACTGCTAAATTAATGCCGGCACAGGGGTTGACCAGATGGCTGGGAGATAGGTGGGACCCGGGAAATATGTCGGCCATAACTTGGGGAAAGGGCTGAACAGACGAGCAGGTGGTCTAAACTTGACATCATAAATGACTGAATAACTTCATTTCTCAAATTATTCAATTGTTGTTGTCTTCCCACTGTATAATGCCAATTGAGCAATTGTTACAGGGACCAAAAAAGCAAACGGTGTCAAGGCAAAAGAAAGATGACAAGATGCCTGTGATCAAGAGTAGTAATAAAAACACAATGCCCTTGACAAGAAAAAGAAAAGATCTGATGAGACTGGGACTCGAACCCAGGAGGATTGCTCCACCAGGAAATTGGTGTTAAGGTTAACCTTAACCTGGCGCCATAACCAACTCGGCCATCTCACCAATGTCATTGGATGTTGAAGAAGAGCATTATTTTGGAACAGTACTCTATATACTAAAGCGACGATCGACCAGCAGCACCTTGACCAACAAATCAAGTTGACATGAATAGAAAAAGCACAACGTGACACATAGTATAGCATAATAGACCATTCAAGGCTTAAGAAATATCTAATCAACGTTCTTTGTTATCTACTACTTCTATTGCCCCTTGGCCAAAAACGTCAGAGCACCAAGTGCATATCCATCCAAACCCGTCTTGAGCGTGGGATGAATCACTGGAGCAAACTTGGAAGAATGATTCGCAGCAATACTCTGAGCAACAGTTCCCTCTTTCTCAGCCTTATCCCACGCCTCCTCGCCTACGCATCCGTACGTAAAGAAACAATAAGGCTTGTCGACAGCAGTTGCTAAAATTGAAAAGTCTTCACTGAAAGCCAGCTTTGGCATATCCCTATCATATTGCCCTGATCCCTCACCGAAATGTGCCGCAAATGACTCTTCAACCCTTTGGGTAACAGCAACATCATTAATAGTCAGAGGGAAAGCACGAGTTTGTTCGAATTCGGGACTTTTCAGGACGTTGGCGCATGAACATTCTGCTTCGATGACTGTTCTGATGCGCTTCAAAAGTCGCTCACGTGTTGCTGTTGTGGTAGATCTTGTGTCGACGCCGAGAACTGCTGAGTCGGCGATAACATTCTCAGCGTCTCCTGCGTGAACGCTCGTGACGGTGACGACGCTTGACTCTGCTGGATCAACTTCTCGACTCACAAGAGTCTGTAACTTGAGAATTGCGTTGGCTGAAATGGCGATTGGGTCCACGGCTGTGTGAGGCATACTCGCGTGCGAGCCCTTGCCATGGATGGTGACTTTAAAGTTGTCTGCGCTTGTCGCGACGAGACCTCTGCGAGTACCAATTGTGCCTGTACGGAGCGGTCTCACATGTGCCCCGAGAACAAAATCAGGAATAGGAACGTCATGTTTCGTGTATAAGCCATCGTCCACCATGGCTTGAGCGCCGGTGCCTCGCTCTTCTGCTGGCTGGAATGCAAGCACCAAGGTTCCAGACCAAGAGTTTCTCGAAGAGAACAGTGTCGCTGCGGCACCGAGTAAAGTCACAATATGCATGTCATGCCCGCAAGCGTGCATAACAGGTTTCTCTGTCCCGCTAGCAGCGTGAAGCATCCGCTTGGTACTCGCATACTCTAAACCAGTCGTCTCTTCAACTGGTAAAGCATCGATATCTGCTCTCAGAAGAACGGTAGGACCATCACCATTGCGGAGAATAGCTGCTAGACCATGGCCACCAATATGAAGCTTTATGATAAGATCTTCGGGTCCAATTGCTTTGAGTCTTTCGGCGATAGTCGCTGCTGTTTCAACTTCTTGGTTTGATAGCTCGGGGTTTCTGTGAAGATGCTTATACAGCTCTTCTAGAGGCTGTAAATCAGGCCGATGCTGATTTACAATTTGGGACAAGTTTGATGTTGGCATTTTCTGGAAGAATCAGATAAAATCTTTGTGAAGAGAGAATAGAGTCATGGAGTTGTCGGCTCATTTATACCGAACACTTGGGAGGATCTTGTTGCTTACACCATTTCGGGGTAAGGAATGGTTGCCTCAGGCCAATACCAACTACAACATGTTTCCCACAATTAATCATTTGCAAGTTACTTTTCAAAGATTCAATGTTGCCGCAATTGTATATTTATAGTATTTCCAAGACTTCATATTCTTTTGCGGTGCCACCAAGTCAATAATACCGTCTGGAATCCTGATGACCCTCGGCGCGTGTTGCCGAAATATTCGGAGCCAACTTCCGTTAGACTTAAACCTCCCGTTGTCACAGACAAGAACATGTCGAGGGTAAAAGTAAATATGAGAAAATGCATGAATTGAACCCGAGTTAAATGTACCAGCAAATTCGTAAAAAATAATCAATAACTCCAAACCATCATAACAAATCTCCTCAATATACCTGAGCAGTGAGCCATCTACTCATCATTCTTCTTTTGTTTTTCGCTTCAACCTTCGTCTTAGTCTGTGCATTGTTGGCCCATTCAAAAGCAGTCATGTCAGTACTGCAGGTAGTGTTGACTTCAGGCATCTTTCCGTCGACAAAGTAGTTTCGGATAGCATGTATGGTGCAGCTCGAAGGGTGTGCAAGGGATGAGTGCCCGGCCCCTTCATGAACAACAAGTCGACTTCCTGGGAATTTGGCTGCGACCTTCAGTGCGCTTTGTAGCGAGGTAACTGGGTCATATCTGCCATTGACCACGAGGATAGGGTTGCTAGTGTCAACATTGCGAAGCTTGTTGAAATCAATAGGCTCAACGGCTGAGAATTTCCATTGGGAGCACGTAACAGCGTCGGAAATAATGAGATCGGAAAAGGATGATTGTTCATAAAGTGCTTTGTAAATGGGAAAGAGATCATCAGGCTCGTTAGCGCGGTAGCTGGAGTCACCACACGCAATGGCAGGTAGGGCATATTCGGTTTGGGGGCTCCATTTTGAGGTCGGAATCAAGGGTGTAGGAGTGTCCGAGGGCTTAGGAGTGTTCGAACGCTTAGTAGTGTCTGAGGATTTGGGAGTGTCATTCGATTTGTGTCTCTTCAAGAATGCTTCGATCTGGGTTGAGAGTTCAGGGAACGAGGAAGGTGCGTACAACCCGGCAAGGATATTCTGCTTGATCGCGAAGGCTTCACCCCCCTCTTCTTCACTAGCAGCGTCGGCGGAAGCTACCTCAAGCTTTTCTTTGAAGGTCTCCAACAAGCTCTCCCCAGTGGTATTCTTGCCGTGAAAATCTGCTAAAGAGCACGCGTCCTTTCTAGACTTGACACAATCGTCAAAGAAGTTGGCAAGAGACCTTTCAGTGTCTATCAAACTATCCAGCCAAGCGTTCGCAGCATAGTCGTCAGCGTTGAGGTTGCCATCAAGGACAATTCGTCCGACTCGCTTCGGAAACATGGAGGCTACGACTTGTCCAAGGACAGTGCCATAAGAGATACCCCAGTAATTGAGCTTGTCGCCTTGACTGAGAGCGTCGACAATGGACATCATGTCCCTAGCGACGGCTGTAGTTCCGTAAAACTGTCCCATGTCTCGGTTGGCTTCCCAGCACGATTCTGCAAAATCCGCACTCTCCTCCCACCACTCCGTCTTGACCAATTCCCAAGTATTCAGCCGTGGAAGGTTGTTAAAATCTCTTCGCTTAAGCCCTGTGGCTTCTTCTCCAGCAGTTGGCTCAGGGCAAGTGAAAGAAATCGTACGGCCCGTGCCTCGCGTATCAAACCCAATGATGTCGTACTGATTACCGATATAACTGGACAATATAGGCCCAGAAACCAGCATGCTCTCAACACCAGAGCCACCTGGGCCACCAGGATTGAACAAAATACTACCCCTGTGGGGGGTTTTGGTAGCTTTAAAGCGGATCAGGTCGAGCGTGATGGTTTTGGTGTTGCTTGAGTTCGTATAGTCGAGAGGAACTTCAAGCCTGGCACAGTCGAAATCCTTTTGCGTCTCGTTTTGGGCTTTGTTTCCGAAATCCAAGCCGCACTGAGACCACTCGAGAGAAGATTCCTTCGAGTTGGCTCTGGCTGTCAAAGACGAGTAAATATTATGAGGCAAATAAAGGGCCTGAGCCAAGTGCAGAAGCACATGGCCGAAAAGAACGTTTGAGAATCTCATGATGAGAAAGAATGGTTTTGGTGTTGAGTGTCTTTAGAATAATTATCAGTGGATGAGAGGAATGAGTTGAGTCTTCAGAATAATCGTCAATGAGTGAGAGATCTCCCTATTATATAGGCAAATATTTGAATGGCCTTGCGGCCTTAATAACCTTATGATTGTTTACTTTTTATTGTTGTACTATTAGGTTTATACTGGAAAGGTTACTACGCTCTTGAGTAATGTTAAATTTTGAATACTGGAAAAGCACACATTATAATAGACAGATATGTTTTCCTCCCAATGCCAGCCTTCCCCCATTGACGGCAACTTTGAGTAAAGATGCTGTCCTGGCCATCTTCAACGAAGTCTCCACTAAACCCCGGCAGTGTAGCAAGAGGAGATTGTCCATATTAGGTAGTTGACCTTTCTAGCGCACTGTAATATCTGAAACATCATAAAGTCGTGGAATTGAATAGATCTATCATCTTACTCACTTACATAATCCTTGCCTGAGAAACAATGGCTGCATCTGTCATGTCTGAGATCATTTTGGCATTGAGTTCTATCGGGCATCCTCTGCCGCCAGATCGGCTGATCTCTCCCACCATTTCGTACCATCGCTTGCTGTAGCTCATCTTTCACGGCTTAGCCTGGCTTTTTCCAAGTCCTCATTCGTTCGTCATGACTTTTGCCCTTCGTATTCCCGGAGCCTGAATATGCAAAAGGGTTGATGCGGGGAAGTGATGTCAGCCACGGATGTAGCGGACGTCGTCACGTTAAATACCTTGGCACATCAGATAATTCACTTCTCTCTTGGCATCTTTCTGCATTTTGTTATTAAGGAGGACCGTGGATCCGATTTATACGCCTTGTTTCGACCCAGCAACCTGTCATCGTGAAAGCCTGGTAGTTAAGTGAATGTTGGAAGCGATTTGACTTGAGTAGAACCAGTAAAATGCTGTCATTGGTACGTGAGAGAATGCCAACTACATCATTTCTCTCTCTTTTTCGTTCGCGTGGCCTTTCTATGTATATGGCCTCAATGGGAGGAACCCACGTTAATCGCCTTTAAGCAGCATGCAAAATGCATAATCTTCGCCCTTCTTTCATATTTCGCCATTTTTACGGTTGACGCCAAGAGCTCGGATCGCATTAAGCAAGCCTTCGACCGGCACAGCGGTTCTAGTCATGCAGCCAAGACCAGCAACAACACGTACAAAACGTCTTTCACTGGCGTCACCTGGGATGAGGACAATTGGATTCTTAGTACGACAGAACTTTATCAGGGTCACTATCAGACTCGCGGTTCAGTTGCAAACGGCTACTTGGGAATCAACGTTGCTGCGGTTGGACCATTTTTTGAGATAGATGTTGACGAGAACGGCGGCGTCATCAGTGGCTGGCCTCTGTTCTCAAGACGTCAAACCTTTGCGACTATTGCTGGTTTCTGGGACGCCCAGCCAAAAGCTAACGGAACAAACTTCCCTTGGCTCGATCAATATGGCTACGACAGTTTCATCAGCGGTGTTCCGCATTGGAGCGGACTCATTCTAGACCTAGGCAACGACACATATCTGGATGCGACAGTTGACAACAAAACTATTGCCGGGTTCAGATCTACGTATGACTTCAAGGCTGGGGTTCTTGAGTGGTCGTACAAGTGGACACCTAAGGGCAAGCATGGATCATTCGATGTCAACTACCGATTATTTGCAAACAAACTACATGTCAACGAGGCTGTCGTGGATCTGACAATTATTCCATCGGCCAACTCGGAAGCGACGATAGTCAATATCCTCGACGGATACTCGGCAGTACGTACAGACTTTGTCAAATCCGGTCAAGAAAGTGATGGCGCCATATTCTCGGCCGTCCGACCAGTCGGCATCGCCAACGTTACTGCCTATATCTACGCTCAAGTAACAGGGTCCAAATCGTTGGATCTGTCACGGCGTAAACTAGTGCATGACAAGCCATATGTGCATACAAATCACTCTTCCGTCGCGCAAACGATACCTGTCAAGTTCTCGGCTGGGAAAGCTATCCAAATCACCAAATTTGTCGGAGCTGCTTCTTCTGATGCATTTGATGACCCCCAAAAGACGGCAAAAGAGGCTTCACAAAGGGCCCTGAAAGATGGATACGATAAGTCTCTCGAGGCACACGTCACTGAGTGGGCAAGTGTCATGCCGGATGACTCCGTCGATAGTTATGCTTCCCCACAGACTGGCGAGCTTCCCGACGATGAGTACATTATTGACTCGGCTATCATTGCTGTCGCAAACCCGTACTATCTTCTACAGAACACAGTGGGCAAGAATGCGATCAAGGAAGTCTCAAACGCAAGTGTCAACATTGATAGTATCTCAGTTGGTGGCCTTACTTCTGACTCATACGCTGGGCTGGTCTTCTGGGACGCTGATCTCTTCATGCAACCTGGTCTGACAACATCCCACCCTGAGGCAGCTCAGCGTGTAACAAACTATCGCGTAGCGAAATATGAGCAGGCAAAGAAGAACATTAAGACTTCTTTTGCTGGCTCCCAGAACAAGACCAAGTTTTCTTCTGATGCTGCAGTGTATCCGTGGACCAGTGGACGATTTGGAAATTGCACCGCTACTGGTCCTTGTTGGGATTATGAGTACCATTTGAATGGAGATATCGGAATAGCCATGATCAATCAATGGGTGACGAGTGGCGACACAGAACACTTCAAGAAAACATTGTTTCCGGTTTATAATTCGATGGCGAGCCTTTTCGATAACTTGCTTAAACCGAATGGCTCATCTTGGACCATCACCAACATGACTGATCCTGTACGTACTGATCTGTTTTACGTGACAAATACTAATGTCAATAAATTAGGACGAGTATGCCAACCACATTGACGCTGGTGGATTTACAATGGCCCTTGCTTCGGAAACCCTCATGCAAGCCAGCGAAATTCGTCGACAGTTCGGCCTGACCGAAAACAAGACATGGGACAAGAAGGCCTCTGATGTACTCCTCATCCGAGAAAACGATGTCACTCTAGAATTTACAACTATGAATGGTAGCGCCATTGTTAAGCAAGCGGACGTTGTCCTCCTATCCTTTCCTCTAGGCTACAAGGATAACTACACGGATCAGAATGGGTTGGATGATCTGGACTATGTAAGCTCTATGTAAGGCTCGTACTAACGAACAGACGCTGACACGGTTGTATCTTAACAGTATGCGAACAAGCAGTCTCCCGATGGGCCTGCAATGACCTGGGCCATCTACTCCATCGTCGCTGACGAGCTCTCACCTTCCGGCTGCTCCGCATACACCTATTCTCAGTACTCTTACAAACCCTACGCACGCCCGCCATTCTATCAGCTTTCTGAACAATTAATCGACAACGCGGAAGCAAACGGCGGCACTCATCCAGCATTTCCGTTCCTCACTGGCCACGGCGGTGCAAACCAAGTTACGATATTTGGCCATCTCGGATTACGACTTATGCCTGATGACAGTCTGCATGTTAACCCTAACTTGCCACCCCAGATTCCGTATCTGAGGTATCGTACCTTTTATTGGCGTGGATGGCCTATTCAGGCCTGGTCGAACTACACTCATACCACTATCCAGCGACATCCAGAGGCTGAACCTCTCAGTGTCGCGGATCGTCGATACACGAACAAGAGTATCAAAGTCTATGTCGGACCGCAGGGAGATCCTGATCTTCATCAGCTCTCTTTCGACAAACCTGTTACTATCCGCAACCGGCAGATAGGCACCAAGAAGACTGTCAAAGGCAACTTGGCTCAGTGTCGGCCTGTCAAGTCCTCCAACGCATACGAACCTGGCCAGTTTCCAATCGGGGCTACAGATGGCGCTACTTCGACTAAGTGGCAACCTTCGAAGGCCGACCAAGTTAGTTATCTGACAGTGTCTTTCGCCGAGAAGGATCTTGGGACTTCCGTCAGGGAGTTTTACTTCGACTGGGCTCAGGCTCCTCCCGTAAACGTAACAGTGCTCTTCCACAACAAAACCCTCGATAACTCAGCCGAGATCCATGCACTATATGGTAAAGACAAGGACTCAAGTTACCAAGTTGTTGCTTCAATAAAGAAGCTGAGACAATCGGATCCCTACGACGTAAAGACCACTAACCTGGGCGCCGTCGTGTTACCTACGGGAAACACCACCAATGCCACTCTTTTGAAACCTGTTCCATTATCTCGATATGCCACATTGCTGATCTATGGAAACCAAGCTCTGAGCGATGTCGATAAGAAAGCTAAGAATGGTACTGGAGCGACGGTTGCTGAGTGGGCAATCCTACACTAAAGAATATTAATCGAGCCCTTGTGTCAAGAGTGGATAGTAGGCGCAAGTCAATTGTTCGGCATTGTATTCATGCACTCTAGTAAAGAGGGACGTGTCTGGGCTTTGTTTCGGAATTCCTGTGAGAGAAGTATGTCTTTGGGCCCAATAGCATAGCAATTCATACCCCGTACTTATCTCTTTATACTAGTTTGACTTCAGTCTCCTCCACGTTGTCGAACCAATCCATCTGATATAGCTGAAATAGTCCTAAACGCTTGAACGTCCCATAGTCCCTTTGGCAAAGCATCAACCCCTCTTCAAGTGTAAGCTGCAAACACCAGACCTTTTCAGTACTCTCATTATCAAAATCGAACATCCCCAGCGCTACAAAAAGCGACATATCTTTACTCGGGATTCCTTCATTGGACTCCTTGCGTCCGAGAAGAACTGGTCGTCGCATATTGCTCGTTGGCCTCTTAGACTGTTTGAGTAGGGAAGCGATGAAATCGCTGGACGGCGTTTTCGAGAGGACGATAGCTTCTTGGATCTGTCCCAAAAGCTGCAACTCGCAAGATGGCATGTGTAGTTTATCAGCTCCACAGTGGGTATCTACTGTCCAGAAGACGGGCTTTTGTTGTTTTGGCCTTACGAATGACTCTCCACTCTGACGTCTCGTTTCCTTCCTCCGGAATTGCCGCAGTTGCAGAGGCATAATGCCGCCTTGGATGGAAGCCCAAGACCAAGAAGGAGCCCTGATGACCGGAGAGGGAGCAAACCTGGTGGGTAAAGGTCTAGTTGCTGGCCCGAAGGCGTTGGTGACCCTATAACCAGGCCTCCACAATAAACAACGAACGAGGTCGCACTCCCAGAGACCTGCAAGGTATCTTGACTCTAGAGCTTCGGAGATGGGCGCAGCAATGGAGGCAAGGGCAGCGAAAATATCATGAGGGTTCGACAACTGACGTTTAGAAAAGTCCACCAAGACTGTATCCCAGAACGTAAGCAACCTGTCTTTTTTCATCTGTGAATTAGCATGAGCCCCGTTTAAAATGCCGTGGAGAGACATGATCTTGTCTTGTTGGTAGTTGTAATCCTCTGAGTAGCCAGAACTTCGACACATGAAGATAAGTTGCTCCTTGCCGAAAAAGACAATCCTACGGCTTAGTCTCTTCTCCTGACAACACCATCCACGAGTTTCAGTGTTTCCATTATGCCCAGACCTGAGCGAGCCAACAAGGACAGTTCCAAGTTCGCCATCCCCCAGGGGAAACTCGCAACAGGGTGCATGCTGTTTGTATTGATTGGCGATGAAGGAATTGCGAGCGTCGTCTGACCTCCCTGCCGTGATGGTAAGGGTCGCGTTGCCATAGACCCTAGCCATGAGCATTGATTCATACTCCCAATCATCCTTGTCGCCCTGAATGATACACAAAGCATCAATCCAGATATATTGGATGCCGAGTTGTCGAGATAAGGCTATAGTATCGCGATGTGCGGCCACGAGCCGAGATTCATCGACACCCTTCAACATTCCATCCATTGTGTCGCGGTTGAGAGTAAAGGTGTCTGTAGCAGGTCCCCAACAGTAAGACAAGGCAAGGTAGTTCTGCTTCATGCTGGGGCTGGTGATGACGAGTCGCGGACGCTGTCCTTGGTTACCCACATCGATGACCCTTGTTGGCATCTCGTACGTCCCTTCAAAACGGCAGGCTCGATGAGACTTCGTACATCTCCCGAGAAAACCCCGGATCAAGGTTATATAGGAGTCGGGCTCATTTTCGCTTGTGCAGATTCGTCCAGGTGTTCGCAAACCTGCTGAAGTTCCTTCCTTCCTACACAGCCATTCAGCAAACCTCCCAACAGAACTCCTTAGTATGGGACAGATCATACCCATAGACGGCTAGGTTGATGTAGTCGAGGCCATGACTACTTTCCCTCACAGAAGTGATGGGGTTATATCTCCCGCATGACACAATGATTCGCGGCTGTCTTGAAATAGGACCGTTGTCCGTGAAATGGATGTAAATCCAGATACCTGGTTCAAATTTGGTCACGCCTTCTGGAACTTCACCTCCAAGGACAGATTCGATCTGAGAATCGGTCCACTCTCGTCGGAAGTCTGTCCAGCAAAGATGACAGAAATCGCAGCCATCGTCGGCGCTCCTTTTGAGCGACGCGAGGTTTGGGTGGAATTCCAGGTAGTAATGATCCTGGCTGATAGTAAAAGCGCGGCAAAACATGCAGCGAGGCATGGCAGGTGGGATTTTCTGCGTGTAAGGGCTGTTCAATTCGTCAGAAGACTCCTGCAATTTGGTATTCATATGTCCATGTCAGATTGTCGCTCAAAGAGGCAACGAGATGTTTACATTCTCCAGCGGCTCATCATTACATAACCGTTATGACTAAGTTTCTGTCAACCTATCTGAGTCGAACAAAGTACCTTACGTTTTTTATTGTCCGGGAATTGGTTTAGATTCAAGCCACAGTTTATTAATAGACTTGCCACTTGAAGAGTATGGTGAACTCTGTAACACAACTCCTCTCAAGGTAAGGATGACGAGTCTGACAACTAGATAAATTTCTAGGGAAGTTGCAAATTGTATCGATAGTATTAAATATCTAATATAATAACTATTTTTTATAGATAGAGATAAAATTCTATTAGTAATTAAAGATATATGCATTTTAGTTATAGTTATTAATAATATAAACCGAGATATTAAAAACCTTACAGATCTGCCATTCTTTCTCTGCTTGGCTCTGGGTGAGGCTCGTATCGCTGGCACTACAGATATTTAAGCTATACTCTCCAAGTACCTTAGCACGTAGGGAGGTCCTAACATCCTTGCAGCATGCCCCTGCATGACGGTTTAAGTTTTCAACAGCCGATCGAAGAACGCCGTAGGATAACTCCTTTGAGGAGTAAACAAATTTGATGGTTTTCGGCAAGGCCATTTCTTGAATAATCCAAATTCGTCTCCACCATGGAAAGCTAAGCAACTCGGCCAATGCCTGGAAGTGTGGTTTGTATGAATCTGGAATGTCCGCTCTCTGACCTTCGATAACTGAGAAGCATGGCATCTCGTGTAGGTAAATACCCTCAGCTAACATTTGCAACATCTCAATCTGCAGCTTGTCATGAGAGTTGAGGTCGAGTTTCAATGGCCCTCTGATAAAGCCAGAAAACATAAGTAGTAGGTTCCAAAGACTCTTTAAAGGATAATAGTCTTCTTGGGTGGCCGATCGGTATGTCACACGTTCTTTGTTGTCAGAGCGAAGCGAAGAGGAGTACTTGCCAATACAAAGCCCATTTTACAAGAATAATTACGATCCAATACGTTACGATGTCGTGGAAAGAGAGAACATACCAAGCTTCGGCCGCCCAAGATCTACACTGGTGCGGGTTGCGGAAACCGGTTATGTATCCCAGCTTTTCAGCTCTCCTGTTCGACTCTAGGCGTGGGGGTCTTTCGAACCAAGCGAATACTAATATTCTACAGGCTATGAAGCACACCATAGCCTCAAATTACGAAATAAAGCTCGGATAGTTGCGGTTCATCTCCTTTCCTTGGCACTGCCAGACAATATGCGGCCATTCCCATCCCGATGCCTACGTAATTTAGAAGGCAACAACTGTATCATAGTAGTCATGACCATACATCCTGAGATTGGATTCATCAAAAGCTATGTTGTGTGACAGCATTTATCAGAAAGACATCGCACATGACCTGTTTCTGTCCTCCCACATTTAACATCGTGGTCCCGAAAGTGCACTCTTGTGACCAATCCGACCAATACCCAACCTTGAATTAGTTATGCATATATGACTGTGTTGTTGTAAACTTCCTTCTATGGTGAGGGGCCTCAGTATTGGAATGGCTGGGCTTGGCAAAGTTGTAGGGACTTATTGAAAAGCCTCTTAACGGATTTGTACTTTTTGCGTAGTTTATAAGCTGGAAATCAGATGGGAACGGCAGATCTTGGCCGGGTGCCAGATACCATAGCAAGCCGGAGGACCCCTAGGACAGTATCGCACCCTTGTTGTTGCAACGATATCGAATTACTTGGCCTTACAATACCAGAAATTCTATTAATTAATATGTAATGACCGTTTGGAAACCTACTCAAGGACAAGAATAGGCTTTCCCATATATGTGTGTGGCATAGGACGTTTGCAGTCAACCCCCTATAGTCTTTTGAGGTAAATCCCCAGTCATTCAGTAATAAGGTGGGAATGTTTTAAGTTAAGCTTACCTACACAAGCCTTGGCTAAGTACATATATTGCAGGCTTCCAAAAGGTCTGCACGCAAAGTCACACAGAGCTTCGTAATTGTAGATCACGGCCAGCCACCGCAGCCTTGTTGTCTCTTCTCCCACCAAGTTCAGCTCGTTTCAGCTCAGCCAGTATATACACTTAGGCAAGTCTGACTGCATAATTACGAGCGCGACCAGAAAGCAACACCCACACACTGATATACGAGAAGGACAATGCAGCCTATTTTGAGGTTTTCCGCCGCGTCTAAGAGGTAGTTTGGAACCGAAGGCTGATATGAACTTCCGACATCAATCGCAAAAAGGGCCACGGGAACTTGCTCGGGCTGGCCCCTCGAGATGCTTGAAATGGCGATGTTATGTTGATGGTATGATGGATGGGCAGGCGGTGAAGACGAAGAATGAATGAAAAAGGTTTACAGTGATGTAGGATTGCGTGTCTCATTCCATATACAAGGAGGATGTATATACTTTTTGAGAGCTATCTATCTTGACTAATGCATTATGAATTTCATTTAATTATTAGAGCACTTCGTCCCAAGTGACAAACCCCTGATTACTCCCTCGCTAACAATGAACCTCGTGATTGTGCCTTTAGTCGTCCAGCTCCGCGTATGCAAGGCTGTTGTCCTTGAAACCCCAGTTACCACCCCTATCAATAAGTCAGTATAACATCATAAGCGAACATCAAAGAAGAACGTACTCGGATTTTGACCCGTTCTTAAGCCAACAGTTGCCATTTTGTGTGCCCTCCGCCGCAGATTGCATGAGTCGTGAGAAGATAATACTCCTACATCTCAATCCGGTGTCGTTTTCGTCGTCCTTTTGGTTCATGTTGCTGCAAGCTTCCATGCAGTCGTCGATAGTATAAGCAAAGAGAGCAAGATAATCAAAGACAACACCTCCTTCTTTCGCTCTTTCACCCTGTGGCACGTTCACACCGCACCACCATTTGAACTCGTAACCATTGTTGGCCTTGTATCTTGTCTCATCGTTCATCTTTTCAGGGCATTCCAACTCCAGGCTCACCACTTTAGAGGGCGACTTAGGGACATAGGGGGTTGTGTCGTTATCGGATGTACTGTTGTCGAATGTCGGGCAAGAGGTGGGTTCTGCCGTTGCGGAGGGAGCAGATGCAGATTCGGAATCTGCTAAAGTATCCGCTGAACAATCACTACTGTATCTTTGGGTTAATAATTGTCTTTGATGGTCTGGTGCACGACATACGATTTGTTCGCCAAAGCTGCGCCCAGTCCTCCGCCTACACCAGCACCGACGATGATGGCAGTCAAAAGAGCGACCAATCCAGCAAATGCCCACAGTCCTAGACCAAAGGGTGGTCTCTGTCCCTGCGGAGCTGGAGCTTCATATCCGGCGGGGACGTAATATTGACCATTTTGGTTATATCCTGCTACCTCAGGAGCTTTGGCAGCTTGCTCAGCATGTGTGTCCACCTGGAGACCATCACTATCCGGAAGATGTTGATGTTGACTCATCGTAGCCTGATCCGCGACTCGAAACTCGATTAAAGATCGTCAAAAAAACAAACGCGAGATTGAAAGGATGCTGAGAAATGAAGAAAGAGGGCGGACAGGGACCACCAGCCAGAGCCAGGTAGCCATTGGGGGCACAGCTCTGCGCTTTTATAACGACGATCGTTGCAACATTAGGTTCACTAAGAGTAATGAGCCTGGTTTCAAAAAAGGCATTGCAGGCTCTGATCTGTAAGCTGACCATTCGAAATCCGCAAATCAAGGTGCATTTTGGACCCCATGCTGCCAGGCACCCCTGCGAAATTAAGAGCGGGTAATCGTGCAGTCGTTAATGTGACACCTCGAGTAAAGCTTGGTGTTCTGGGCAGGGGATGATTCGAAGAATTATCACAGAATTGATCTTTCGTCTTTGGGAAATAGCTTTGACTCGTCGATATATCGTTTTCGTTGACTGTCGTTCATTGTCCCGAGTGTTCAGCCTTGTTACCCATTGCACATGCTCAACAGGCTCTAGCTCTAGCGTAGTATCAATGCGACATTTAAGGCTAGCCCTGTCTGCCTTGCCCTGTAACAGAAATGTCGGTAGTTATTCGGTGACAACACGAATTTGTACAGGGTAAGTGCTGAATATTGCAATTAAGGCACCCAACTGCTAAATCTTGGGTGCCACAAAGCTAAAAAAGAACTGAAAGGAAATGTGAATTGGGAAAGGCAGCTTGAGGCTATGCTCGTCATTTGGATCAGGTTTCAATTCCGATCACTGTTGCGTGGCATCGTATGTTGGCATAAAACAGGAACGACCCTGGTTTCTTTCGAATCCTTCGTGCCGAAACTTGTTGTAGCGCAAGACTCTATCCGAATAGGTCGAACCGTCGTTGAAGGAATACGGTGGGTATGTCAGGGGTCGTTAACAGACGCCAAGGTAAAGTGACAGACCGACTTGTCATATGGTGTTGAGGTTGGGACAAATATGCAACCAAGTAACTGGACAAGGAATGTTGACGTCCCTTGTCCAGGCTTGCTGGGAGGTAGCCAGCCGATGGCGTTCGGAGATGTAGTGGCTTCGGGATCCGAGTTTCTTGAGTCATGCAGATTCAGGTGGAGACGACAGCTGCCTGTCTGCCTGTGTAGGGTAGTAATGATGGAGGGACGGTTGGTTGCCAAGGTGGCCACGTGATTATCCCGGCATTGGACCCACATGAGCTCAACTCGGACTCGGCTTCCCAAACACCAAATCATATCGATATCAGGGCGACCGACATCGCATGCACGACAACCCATTGAATATGCCATTGACGGTCCATTGAGCCACTCCCAATGGCGTCTCGAGCGCCTCTAGACACCCGCAATCATGTATAACCGCGAATCTAGGATAATGCGCAAGCTCCTGGGCAAAGCTTCAACCGAGACCCCCGCAGGCGATACCACCAATCTCTCTATCACGAGCGCACCCGCCTCTACCATTGCCACCTCGTTCCGACCGCCGAAATCCCAAGACGCCGTATACAAAGCAGGAGTCCCGATACTAGCCCTCGATGTATCCCCCGATCGAAGAGCCGCTGTCCTCGGTAGTGGTCACATCCTCAAAACAGTGATACTCGACGATCCTACAAACTTCAACTTTAACTTTCGCGAAGGGGTGGATCTGAGGGCTGTCATAACTGCTCAACCTACTGGTATTAAGGGAAACCAAGCCGCTGATCAGCTTAGTATACGTGATGTCAAGTGGCATGGTACCTCGACAATATTCACAGCTTGCGCAAACGGGAAGATCTTCTCATACGATGTCGCTCGAGTCGGAACAGGTGCGGGGGAGCCATTGGAATATATACAAATGCAGGAGGATTCGCGGCAGGTCAACACACTGGATGTCAATCCGCATCTCAAGAGTTGGTTGCTTTCAGGAAGTCAGGATGGCATGGCACGCGTCTTCGATACCTCCTCGCCCATTCAAGGCCGTGGTGGCATCACGTTTCGTCAACGCTTCGCACCGCTGAAATGCATTGATTCAGTTCGACAAGTCAAATGGTCTCCCAAGGTTGGGCATGAAATGGCCTGCTGCACTGAGGGCGGAGTAGTGCTCAAGTGGGATGTGCGGCAACCAGCCAGGCCACTGCTGAGGATAAACGCGCATGAAAAGGCTTGCGCATCTATCGCATGGCACCCTGATGGTAATCATCTTATCAGTGCTGGTCGAGATACAAAGCTTCATGTCTGGGACCTTAGTAGTACAGCTGACAAACGGCAAAAGCCAAGGTGGTCTGTCACAACGCCTGCACCGATCTGGACTATCGCGTGGAGGCCAGGATTATGGTCAGCGACAGCGCAGAACAAACGAGTCGCACAAATAGCAGTTTCATATGATGACAGCAGCTCGCGCCGTTATGGAACTTCAGCAGTACATGTTTGGGATCTAGCTCGACCAACCATGCCGTATAAAGAGATCGAGCGATTCGACATGTCACCAGCAGCCCTATTATGGCAAGATCAGGACATGCTTTGGACCGTTGGACAAGACGGGCTATTTACGCAAAGCGACGTCGCATACGCGCCCAAAGTCATCGATCGCCAATCCACTTCATCTGTAGCATTCTCACCCAAAGGTGATGTGATGATGTTTCTTGACGAACGATCTCACTCAAGTCATCGACCTCGACCCACAATCACACACCATGCCGAAATAGTACCGCGTGGGCCTTATGGCTCAAGCCCAAACGCCCCGATGTTGAGCATTAGTCGTAGCGATTCTGAGGAGGATGTTGTGGGCAGCTTTCTCGGCCCGAGACGACGACTTAGTCGGAGGAAAGCAGGAAGATCAAACTTCAGCACGACACCACCTTCTAGTTCCAGTCTTGCTGATGATAACAAGCCGTTCCTTGCGCTCGACCAAGCCATCAATGTTACAGGGCTCTTCAAGAGTCAGCAAACGATGGCGTTCGGTCGTTTACCTGCTGTGACAACAACGCAGATGTACCAGTACCTCTCAGGATTGTACCTTGAGACGCTTCAGCATGAGCTGCCATTTCAAGATGGGAAACCGCTAAACAAGAGAGTTGGAATTATAATGGAACACTATGCCCGTGCAGCCGAGAGCGTTTCCCTGTTTCGATTGGCACAGACATGGCGTATCCTGGCTTACACGATTGGAATACTACTCGATCGTCGTGCTCAATACCATCTTGACACACGCCTTGGACGCTTCCACAGGGTTAGAGTAGAAGAGAAAAAAGGAAGTGGATTGTTAAAGCCCGTTGACTTTTACAATGGCAGTCGAACACCCGGCGACGAGACGCCCCGACGGGCTCCCCCAAAGGCAGGCCTCGGTGGCCGAAATCTTAGCACTCGATCTCTCCTAGCGTTGGGCTTTGAGAGTACATCCAACGTAGCGACTCCACTTGCGCGACCGGCTGATGCCGCAGATAACCAAGTTGGAAAAAAGCTGGCAGCTGTCTCGGAACCTGATGAACTGAGTCTTGGGCCTGGCATAAACGACAGGTTCGAAGACACCCCCCGACGGCATCCGGACCCCGTCTCCGATGTCAGCCCTGAACCCCAAAGCTCACAAGAATCTAGCACTGAAGGATACGACTTTTATGGTGCTGAAGAAGTCTTACTCAAGGCTGTCGACGTTCCACCTAAGAAGAAAGAGCCTCTATCGTTGGGGTCCGCGAGCCCCCAAGCCCCGAAAGTCACGCGTCATGATTCGGACGAAAGTTTTGCTCAGATGTTTTCTACTTCTGATGCGACCAAGCAACCGCCATCAGCTTCTAAGAGCAGTGGTCAATGGAAGTCTAGTCTTGCGAGACATGCTTCAGATATGGATAAGGAATATCCAAGTCATATACGGGGCGAAGAGGTTCATCCTTCACAAGACACACCTACATATTCGCCTAAAACGCGCAGCAAGGAGCTAACGACTGATTCCCCGGATGGGGTCTTTCTAATATCGCAGACCACCATGGGCACCGACGACTCATATCCTTCGCAGACCTCGGAGCCTATAGAATCTGAAGACATCTCCCCCACAAAGCCTGAGCTTCAATCACTTCCTGCCAAGGTGGAATCCCCACAACCACAAGTGCTGGTTTCAGCAAGTCATCCTGGCCGATCTGCTAGCCCTCTCAAGGACCTATTACCTGTTCACAAGGACGTTCGACCTCACATCGTAGAAACAGACTTCTTCCCCTGGGAAGATGATCCTCTATGGCCATTCCCGACCGTCACTTCAGGCGACTCACCTATAGTATCGCCTCTCGATCCTTACAACTCTGTCGTAGAAGCCTTACATTACGAATCTTGTACTTCCGCCCTCAATGCGTCAGCAATTATCCTTCTACTCAAGCCTCTAGTGCCGGAATATGTCATCGACTATCATCAGGCGAGCGGTGTGTTGCGACAGCACCATTCACGTTTGATGTCAATGGGTCTCTTTATCGAGGCGTCACTTTTACGCAACCTCTGTGTTCAAGGATGGCCGGAAGGTCTTGAGCAATGGGGCGAGAACTACACTGCCATTTTTACGCCAGCACAGCAGAATGGAAAGGTCAGTTTCTTCTGCTCTACGTGTAGAAAGCCCAGGGAGCTTGACCCGAAGAACGGACCAGAAGGGATCTGGACATGCGAGCGCTGTCGCTCTATAATGGCACCTTGTGCTGTTTGTGGTCACCGAGATCCAACGCAAGCAGACTTCACTCCTATTGAAGTTTCCACGGCAATGGCATCGTCGGGCTGTTTCCTTTCTGAGTGGTGGTACTGTCCCACTTGTGCTCACGGCGGCCACGCTTCTTGTCTCCAAGCATGGCACGCATCAATCGATGCACCCGACTCCAGCAATTCAGCCACCTTCAGCGATGGATGCTGTCCTATGGATGGATGCGGTCACGCCTGTCTACCAGGTCGCTACCGTAGCGAAACAACAACCGCTCGTGCTGATGAAATTGGTCGCGCGACGGTGGAAAAGACTCGTGTTAGGGATGATCGGGCACCTAGTAGCAGTCGCCGCTCAAGCCCTCGTCCAGGAACAGATCGTTCTGTCAAGAGTGATGGAAATGATATACCCCAGAGTAGAGCAGTTGGTATGGCGAGAGATGCATTGAACAACAAGACCAGTGGAGGAATCTTGAGTTCGAGTCCTGGTAGAGTTGTCGCTACGGGGGAGAGGGAGAGAAGAAAGAGTGTGAAATTTGCAGGTACAGATCGTTAGTGATGATTGTTGCATATTCGTGGACTGCTTTTCTGTTTCATTTATAAGATACCAATTCAATCGTCTATTATCTCTTGTTTAGAATGTGGTTGCAATATCATGTGAATTAAGTAGACTTGGCGAGGGCCATGGTCCATGTCAATTCCCTGTGGTCAACGCTAAACTTCAAGTGACTTTAGAAAAGATTCAAGATCATTTCTTCATTTTGGTCCCTCAGCTTTCTCAGGCTTTCTTGATTTGACTAAATTTAATAAGAGTTGATTTGTCCGCGTACATTGAAGTTTCATTATCTGTCCGTGAGGACTAGACTTCCAACAAATTTTCAACTCAGAGGTGCCCTCAAGGCTAGGTTTCCTAATTGACTCATAAAGCCGCTCGCCTAAAGAGTCATCAAACTTTAAGAAGACCCTATCAAACCAACGTAACTCATAAGGTAACTGTCTGAACTCTATAATTTTGGCAACTACCTATAAAAGAAGCTTCTGTTCGGCCGTACAGACAACAGCAACTTCTTCCTCTTCTAACCTTCAATCAACTAGCAAGTCCACAACATCGTCAAAGAGAGCCAGTTAATGCCGATCCTTTTTTCTATATTGCTAACCGCTTTTGCAGGCCTTGCACAAACCCTTAGCCTCTCTCGTTCTTCTCGTATTTGAAGACTGTACGCATGGATAAGTTATAGCTCTTAACCAAAGGCCAATAACTTAACCTTGGCAAGGCTATTATATTTCTTATTTACGTGTAGGTCAACAGCCTCCTCACGCATATTTTCTAGTTTCCCCACTTCTAGGTAGCCATCTCGAAATGTCTAGATAGACGCCGAGAAGCTAAGAAAGCTGCATAAGGAGGCTATTGACCTTTGAATAACCAAGAAACGCGATGGCCTTGCCAAGGTTAAGCTGGCGACCATTGTTTGTAAGCTATACCTGGTCCAAGCGTACAGTCCTGGGATGAAAGAAGAACTGGTGATTCGCCTCCATATGCATGTATGAGATATTAACAAATCACACGCATACTCACTTCTCCTTCACTGAAATCTCACAGGATCTCAGTGACGCTATTCCAGAGAACGTCCAAGAGCAGTTCAAGTCAAATACTCTCAGGCTATATCTGGAGAGCCTCCTGATTAAGAAGATGGCTGTTCTTCTAGACTATGTTATTTATATAACTTATGATTTGCACGGTATGACCACCCTGGCGCTCTTTTCAAATCCGGTATGTTATGTTTCCCAAGCTGACGCCTTCTTGATAGGACAATGAGATGCAGGGAGTAAGTAGGTGATCCCAGATTGTCCGACTGGCAATTGCATTCGCTCTCTTATCAACTTGACCGAGACAATTGAAGTACTCATCATGATCAAGCGAGCTGGAGTCGAGTCGCACAATGTTTATGTTGGTGTAGCGGTTACGGACGGTCATCCAAAATGTCCAGCTCTATTTGCCGCTGCCCACAGTGTATAAAATATGTCCCCTTATGATACTGATGTATTTAGCTATCATTTGGTTCCGGCACAGTCCTTGAAGGAAGGAATGACTTCAAAGCGAAGAAAGTTGCTATGCCGACAGGTTGGGTTTTATGTCCGACTTTGAGGTTAATGATAAGTACTCTACCCTTATAGCTAGCTGAGGCCGTATTATTTACGTGGTATGTTGATTATGAACTATCAATGTCTAACCACTTCCCTTATCACCGGCTGGACTGGTTGCCTGTGTCCAGTCGCTTTCATACCCCCTACAAACCATATTGACATCACAACCTGCTACATGGAAACTGTAGCAAGTCATGCACAAAGGCGAAAGTTAATAATAGGTAAGGGCTTTATAGATATAAAAAGTATTGTCAGGGCGCGACATGGAAGAGTTGAACCCCATGGTTGTTATATGGCTCATAGAAAGCTGTCCACCAGGACACGACTTCTAAAGCTTCAAGCCACAACAAAGAAGGATTATACATCAGTGGGTAGTTAGCAAACCTGATCTTTCTACATGTTTGAATCTTGACCTATTTATTGAGCAAGTGCGGTGTTAGAACTACCAGAAATGTATTATGTAGGGTTATTTCCTTAGTGGACTTGCATGAGATAAGAACCAAAATGTTACGATAAAGAAAACATTCCGCGGTCTGCTTATTCTCTTCGTTTATACTGCCGAGTCGCAGCAAACCGCGACAGCCCAATGCTCTGAAATGCTTGCATGATAATAGAATCCTCCTAACAGACATCTCAAGCCCCTCCCCGTATACGTGCAGTATCATAACCAGGATTCGGGTCATCGCTGGAATAGATAGCTGCCACGATATAACATCTACTAATCTCCTTCTGGAAAACAATCCCCACATTACATTGGAAATTGACACTGCAAGCCTGAATACAGGCGAGGAAGCTGGGGACTTCAAATGCATCATACGCGGAAAATGCAAATATTGTGTTGCAGGAGAGGACGTAACTGGTACTGTCGACTGTCACATGACTGCCAAGATCTTCGCAGGGTGAAGGATCAGAGATCTCTGTAGGGGTGGCTGAGGTGGTGGTATCGGCAACAAGAGCATCTGTGGTGGTGGTATCGAGAATAGGGATATCTGCGGTGGTGGTATCAGCAGTCATTGTATCTGTAATTGCGGCAGTGGTGTCGCCCAAGACAGGATCCTTGAGCGCAACATCTGAAGATCCGGCACCCTGGGAAGTTCCATCAATGATTTGGGAAACTGTTACACATGCGGAGTTGAGTCTGTTAAATTCGACCCCCACACATGCTTCAATCTCAGAGCAAGCCTGTATGCATACAATGAAGTCTTCGGCAGTAAAGAATGCAATAGGTGCAAAGCCGTTCATCACGGTGTTACAATAGAGGGTGAAGGTAACACCATTGGAAGCTGTATACGGGTTATTGGTACTGGTGCATTCAGGTTTGGGGGCGTCTGAGATAGTGGTGGAAGCATCTGTGGTTGCGGTGGTTGTGTCAGTGATGACAGGAACCTTGATGGCAGCATCAGAATCCTCGCTATCGTTTGCAGGTCCATCAAAGACTTCCGAGAACAAGTAGCAGAGGAAAGCAGGCTTGTAGAATTCTGATGCCACACATGCTTCAATCTCAGAGCAGGCTTGAACGCACAAAATGAAGTTGCTCATGCCGATACTCTGAAGCACTATAGTGCCGACGACAGTATTGCAAGAGAGGGTAAAGGTAACGCCGTTAGGAGCTATATATGGGTTGTTGGTATCGGTGCATTGAGGGCCAGGGGGGTCTGAGCCAGTAGTGGTGGAAGCAGCCGTAGTATCAGCAATGGTGATATCTACAGTTGACGTGGTAGTTTCGAGGACAGTATTGTCTGTGTTGGTGGTCAAGGTCTCTACCTCAGTTTCCGTCTCCGAGTCTGTGTCCAATGTGTTCGAAGTTATCACATCGTCTGTAGAGAGCGTAGTCGCAGTAGCTAGTGTTGTCGCTTCTGGTACCGACTCCCTGGCTGAATCAGTCGGTACAGAGGCTGTGCCATCAATAACTGAAGTTTCTGACTGTGAGATAGATGCGATGGCTGAGCTCGATGAAGCAGATGGCCCAGCAGCAGACGTCTGGGAGGATGGATCGATTGTTCCAGGTTGGGTCTCAGAATCTTCGCTACGTGTATTGATCTCCATCGTAGTAGAATCCTCGATGCTAGAAGTGACCTCAGGGCCGATACCTCCAGGCGTCGTTGTGTTTTGAGGGACTGTCCTAGAGGCTGTCGCAGTGACATCATCTTCGCCAACGAGTCGGCCATCCTGACATTGTGTAACTGTAAACCAATTAGCATTTGTAAGTAACGTGAAAATAAATACATACCGTCGTATACAACTAGTTCAACTGGTATACACCCGACAGGTCCATTGGTAAAGGTTACATAGACAATACCATCAGGGGTCTGACAGAAACCTGCCCTACCGTTAGGCAAACCTGGGTTCCTAAACACAAGCCGACCAGAATCTTCAAAGGTCTTTGTTATAGATCCACTGGCAGGGAGATCTTGACCGGATAACTCCTTGTAACTCTCGCCCGAGTAGTAGATAGGTGCATCACCTTCGAATAGTTGACCTTCAGCGAGGTTAAAGATTGCGGCAAATGTGCAGATTTGTGGGTTTTCATTCCCGACAAAACCCCCAGTGGCTTGTCGCCTGTTTATACCACTTTTCTCATTGTCGGTAACAGAAACTTGGAATATAACGGATCGTCCGGCTGCCTCGACGAGGCCACTCGAGGTTGGGATGGCATCCGTGCTGACAGTAGAGTCAAGGTCTATTGACAATGAAGAGGTGGCAACTTCATCAATCACAGGCTCAGTTAACGGGTCAGGGGGTTGGGTTCCAGTGTCTGATTGTACCGCAATTGGTTCTGTTCCCGAAGTTGAGAACTCAGGACCATCTGAAGATAATCCGACCGCTCCGGAGGATTGTGGAAGAATGATCGAAGTTGGAAGTTCCGTATCTAAAGGCGTGTTACTGTCCAGTCCCAAATGTATTGTATGGAGGGTTCTCGTACTGAAGCTTGCCTGGGTCCGCCGAGTCGAAATGTTTGCAGCAAACGTTGGCTTCAACGACGGAGCAATTGGCTGTCTACCGGGCTCTTCGGCAGGCCTTGTCAGTGCAGGCGAATTGGCCTGGTTGGAGACCGGAGTAAGATAGGTTGACAGGTAAGTGATGCACCACGTATCTTGCTCTGGCGCGTAATCCGCTGCCGAAACGATACTTGCGGACCATAAGAGAGCATAAACAATTGAGGTTTTCTTCATAGTTTCTCGTTCTGTACGGATATAATCCAGAAGTTGATTTTCACAATTGGCAAGGGAATAAACATTCGGTTATAAGTAAAAGGAAACAACATTTCCCTGATACGTGTTTATTACTACCTGGAGACACTTGGCTTGTGGGGAATTACTGATGTTGCTAGAACCAACAACCGAGCACAACTTGACAATGAAAAACGCCTCTTCATATGCATTTTAACATGTGAGCTTGAGACTGCAATCGTTTTGTGCGAATGCTGGTATGAGACATTCATTTCCCTTGCATAGACCAGCTCTGAGCTCACTCTGCACAAATGAAGAATAGGGTTGCCAGCCAGCCTCTTTCTGTCCCTTACTTTGTTTGTCCAATAATGTTAGTTAGTGAGATATGAAAGGGCACTACGACTGAAACTTGCACATTCATCGAGCCAACAGGTGTTTTGAAAGCCAAGCTGCTGCAGTCTAATCCGGGATCCCAAAAAATTGACAGCTCCCAGCTTTCTGTTCTCATCTGCTCGCTATCGATCACGATTTTTTGGAAATATTACTAGCTGGGGCTACAAAGTTAACCTTCCAAACAATCATCTTGAAGTTTTGCCGACACTTATAATTAGTTGTCTTAGCATTATACACAAGATCCCAAATAACCTGTTATCTCATGTTTTGAACCGTTTATAACCTCTCTAGAGCAGAGAAGCTGTAATTTCAGAGAACTCAATCGACTGGGAGGTCTACACCGCTTACACAATTTACTGATGACATGCAATGCCACTTATTATTCAGCCCAAACACAAAATTTATCGACAATAGCGTAGCTGAAAGTGCTTCGACAGGGTAAGATCATATCGTTGCTTCTAGTGCTTGGTACTATTTAACTCCGGCTCTTACTATTCAGTATACTATTACCTTCAGCTACCGCCACACGCAAAATAGAACGGTCTCGCCCTCTCAAGTCTAAGAGCTTCCTTCCTATTTTGGCCATATCGCTTTTCGCGGTAAAAGAAAGGCTGGAAGTTCTAGGGCAATGATGAAGTATATAAAAATTGCAAGTATCTCGACAATCGCATATCATATTACTCATTCTCAATTCAATACAAACGCTCATCTCATTCTGCTTACACCATGAGGCTCTTTCATCTCCTTCCCATGCTTGGGCTTGTCTGTGCTGCACCCGCCGAAGCAGACTATCCCATGACGTTGGATAAACGCCAAACTCCCCCACCTCCAACTCGCCCGCTCCCACAACTGCCAACGAATCTTGTCAATATTACCTGGTGCCAAGTCACCATTACACAGAATCCGGGGTTGGAAGTTGTTAAGGCGCACACTGTATACGCAAATCTTTATATGGTGGACGGAATCGCCTCGCCTGGGACCAAAAACGGTGCCAATCCCTACGACTTTTTCGTTTCAACTGGCTCTTCTCTTCCAGGAGGTGGAATTATATTCGCCAAGAATAAATACGTGATGAGTTTGCCTTATCAACTTGGGCCTGTGAATAACGACTTTGCACGAATGCGCTTGACGGACGACGGTTATATTGTGGCAAACGTCGATTACTCGAACCTTGACAATGCTGCCACAAAGACACCACTTTCATTCAATGCCGAGATGAGGATATCATCAGGAAGCGACAAAAATACATACAACCCCCCAACTCCCTATCGTTTGATGGATGGGTTTGTTGGCTTCCGTGTCAAGGACAATATAGTTGACGGAAAAATCCAAATCACAAAGGATCTTGGTGGGAACCCTTAGTACCTGGCTGAGTTTCGTGGATCATGCATGAAGAATGTTGTCAATATCCCAATCAAGAGCTGAGATCACCACAGCTGATGCCATTCGACAAATGCATTCTGGGCATCTGCAAAAGCGTCTGGATAATGTCTACGGTATTCCGTAGAGGAGATTACATCTTGGAAAATTTCAAGTGCATTGAGAAGCCAAAGAGCTATTTTCTGATGGTATTTTAATCGGATGTTGTTTAGAACAGTACAAATAGAAACAGAGTTTATGCAAGGAAACCATTGCGATAAGCAAAACTTCGCGCCCTCTTTCCAAAGATGTACATGGGAACTGTAGCCATGCTGACCGCAATCGTGATACCTCCGATGACAAAAAAAGCGTCTCTTACACCTTGAACATCAATCCAATCGTTCATATAAAATGTCATACCGAAGCCAAAGATATTCTTGGCAAAGCTCATCATGGCGAATGATTCAACAGCCTCGTGGCGATGGGAGTCAATAACATAGGACACGACACCAACGACTCCTAATTGTATGCCAAGGTTAATCAATCCCAAACAGATAATGACAGGGATGGGCCATGGCTCAGCGTTTGCAAGACTTTGACCCCAGCCGAAGAAGCCACTGGCACCAAGTGTGGCCAAGAGGGCAAGAATTGGAAGGCGAAACTCCGGTTCTACAACAAAGTATTTAGTTTATAACCTCTGTTGATTCATATAATGTGTACTCACCGTATACTCCCTGATTTCTCCCCGCCATGAACTTGGCTAGCCCATCTACCATTAGACCAGCCAGGGCTGTTGCAATGAAAGTTCCAACAAATGATGAAAGATTCATTAATCCCACCTCGGCAACCGAAAAGCTGTATGGAGGTGCACTAAATATTTGAGATTGAGTATTGGCCAAGAGAACCAACCAGTTAATGCAGATGGTGAACTGGAAGCATCCCCAAATGACCACAGGAGACCCGAGCATCTTGAATGGTGCGTAGATACTATAAGTAAATCCGGAAGAATCCCAATATCCGCTCCAGGGTCGTAGTGTGTATATATATGCATGCTTTCCTGGAATAGCCATACTATCACGGGCTAGAACAGTGTTTTCAACCTCTGATACAAATTCCTTTTTATCATCAGCAGCCGTGTATTTCTTTGTGAGAGTGTCACCTAGGGCAACCGAGTCATTATCGCGTTTATACGTTGTCTCGGGCATGAAGAAAAAAGTGAGTAAAAGCTGGACGCCAAAAGCACCAGCCATGGACCAGAGGCAGGTCTTGTAGCCGTATGCGTTAATGATAGCACCAGCTGACAGCAGATAATTAGCAATGACACCGTACCAGTGAGGACAGTCTAGACATACCAATTGGCGAGGCAAGGTTTATACCGCCGAGAACACCAAGATTGAAGATAGCGTTCTGAAGACCCCTTTGATGAACAAACCAGACATCAGAAATTGACGCAGGAACCAAGACCTCCATAGGAGACATGCAGAGTCCTTGGATACCACGGGAGACGGCGAGGGAGATGAAGTCTTTGGCCACTGCGCTCCAGATAGTTGTGACCAGCAAGCCCACTGTGGTGAAGAGGTAGACTGGCCTCTTGCCGACCACCATGGCCAACGAGTTACAAAAGAGGTTTCCAAACGCCAAGGATATGAGAAGGGAGCCCGTGAAGCCCAGAGTGAATCTCTGGAGAGGTACATCGAATTCTCCAGCAAGAGGCACCATTGCTGGACCTAGAAGGGGTCCCACAGCTCCTACAGAACCGCAACCGATGATTATGGAAACAGTAAACATGTGTTTCCTCCATGCTGGCCAGTTGAGGGGGTCATTGGGATCATCGGAGGGTTGAGGAACGAGAACAATCTTGCCAGTAGGGTCATGCTTGAGATTAGCATGATTGCCTGTGGTGGTAGTGGCCTCTTCAAAGCTGCCAGGTAAACCCTTTTCACTGAGAAAGGATGTCCCAGGGACATCTGCGAGGTGACGATCGGGAAGAACCCCCAAACCCATGATGAGACTAATCGATTTCACTAGCAGTACAGTACTAAGTTGGGAAGTATGGCAAGGTATCGTGTTATCTCGTAGATGATATAGAGGATGGAGATTGTCAAGAATCTGGGGCATTTCTACATATTTATGACTACTTAATCTTGACAGTTTGGATCTCGTTAAGGCAACACGCAGGATATAGAGACAGCACTGCAGTCAACTTAAACTTGACTAAGAGCTGAGTGATAGATTGGGAGTGCGGGGAAGTCCATTGTTTGTGGGAATGTGAATTAAAAGCAACCAATGGTAGAGTTCATCCCCAGTGCCGACAGAAATCTGGGGTATACTAGGTACGTTGCCGACACTAACATATCGCCAACCTAGAGATCTGCCCCTAATCCATAATGTTCAAGCGGAAAGCTTTGACAACAAGGTGAGGATATACAAGTGATGACAGTCTTTAGAAATGCGCCTAAACCTAGGTGGCGTTGCAACGCGGGGAAGAATTGACACGGGTTTGATCCCGTTGCCGCATTTTGTGTTCATTGATGTGGTAGTGATGATCGAGCAGGGTACGCTGGGTACCTTGCCGATATTAGAGATCTGCCTGGGGTCATTACATGTTAGTATGACCACTAATTTGTCTACGACATAGGTATCACAATGATTGATTCAAAGACGTACCTAAATCGTTACATCTTACTCGTAACGTTATAATTCTTTTCGCACAACCTGGTTGGATTGACAATGATGGATGTATCCCAATGTCACATTGAACTTGTTATCAACGTAAACGAGTTCCCAGCACTTTGGCATTCGTCTCGACATCTCTTACTCCTTGACTCAGCTTTAAGATTCTGACTCAGACTGGGAATCATTGTCTGACACAACCTCAGATCCATCACTTTGTTCCTCATTACTTGACCCCCTATCGCTTTGCTCATCTCCTGTACTATTTGAAACCGACGAAGATGCATCTGATGACGAGTCATCTACATACTCACAACGGCCTCTGGGATTAGTAAAGCTATGCTTCGGGTGTATAATATTTTGTGAGCGATAGCATTTGAAACAGAGAACAAAATTCTCGCACACGTCGCACCGATATCTTAACCCATAGTTATCCTGCATAGAGAATTAGTAATTTGTGTATATTTGAATTATGGTCCTTACCATCAAGCATGCATCGCAGTAGCTTCCTTCGAGTTGTTTTGCCGTTTTGGGGTTGTCAAGTTGTTTGTCGTCGCTGGATTCCAAAAGGTTGATCATGTCTTGACCGTGACCGTAATAGTGAGCAAGCTGGTATGCCGTCCACTTTCGATCAAGCCCTTCCCCAGAGATTTGCGTGTTGGCACCAAGTCTGATTAGCTCTGTAACAATTTTCGCACGTTCGTCCTCTTGCGTATCCCATCTCCCGCAGATCCTTACAGCCCACATCAGAGGTGACCAACCATCGATATCTGTCTTGTGAATGAAGTCGCGGTTTTCATCCAGAACAAAAGTCACAACGTCGAGCCGTCCACTGGCCACTGCAAAATGAAGTGCGTTTCGTTTCATGTGATCAACAACATCGAGACTGGCTCCCGCCTCAAGGAGAACCTTGATATAAGCAGTGGTCCGGTATAGAGCGAAGTGTATTGGTGCCCTCCCAATTTTGTCTCTCGCATCCACGGTCGCCTTTGCTTTTAAAAGAGCTTCAACCACGTTGATATTGTTGTTAAGACAGGCTATGTTTAAACAGCCCCCCCAAACATCGCTATTATGGTTGACGTCCAACCCCTTCATGTTTAATAGGTAGTCGATAATATCCTCTTTGTCGTCGTGGGAGCTAAGTAGGGCTTCGTGTAGTGGACTGCTGTTTGCATGATTGACGACAGAAAGGCTCGCTTTGTTCTGGCATAACAGCTCCACCATCTCAAGACTTCCCTCGAAACATGCCATATGAAGAACGGATCCTTGTATACCGATATTGATATTGACGTCCGCACCTTCCTCGAGAAGCCACTGGAAAACAGGTTGATTCGACCAGCTGATTGCTTTGGAGAGAGGTACTTGCCCTTCCTCATTTGCTATATTAATTGATCCACCGCGGTTTTTCAAAATTTTCAACACCGTTACATCGGTCGCATTTGTAATGCTATTGAAAGCCGTGTTTCCGTCCTTATCTTTCTCGTCGACGGAAAAGTTGTAAAGAAGAAGCAACTTGAGAGGACGAAGGAGATTGTTTCCTACACAAGCATGAAGCAATGGCCTGTCAAGCTCTTTTGCGGAGTACTCCAGGGGATTGGCACCATATTCAAGCAACATGCATGCAATATCCTCGTTACTCCAAGCTACCGCAGTGGATAGCTCCGTCATATTGTCGACATAAGCACAAGCCTTTGCCCCATGCTCCAAAAGCAGTTTGGCCGACGGTAGGTAGTACTTGCAGGTCAAAAGCAATGCAGTGCTTCCATCCTTGGCTTTGACATCGCTATCTGCACCTGCCTTGAGAAGAGACTCCAGTATGTCCGGATAATCGTATGCAGCATGGACAGGAGACCAGCCATCTATGTCATAGACGTTCAAATTTGCTTTTGACTCAAGCAACAAGTCAACCATATCCTTATACCCATTGAATGCGGCATGAAATACTATGGCATTCCCTGATGGTCTCTCGGTGTCGACAATTGTTGCTTTTGTGAGCAAGATCCGAGCGACTTCTGTGTTATTAGTATTGACTGCGTCATTAAGATGATGTTTCAAAACTTGAAGATAAGTTTCTTCATCGCATCGAGTAGAGCCCTCGTCAAGGAGAAAGTTTAAAATATCAACTGCATCCTTTCCAGCGCGGATGACGGGCTCAAGCAAGCTTGAAAGTTCTGAAGACTTGAGACCACCCCAGAGAGCCAACAAATCTGGAAAAACGGCTAATGAGCCATGGACGAAAGCATCATGTAGTAAAGAGCCTGCAAAAGCCTTCAGACTCTCAGAATCACCGGATAATATGATTGCATATGAGCTAAGTGTCTTGCAGCATCGCCACACTTTCATAGGCCGCGCGAACTCGATCAAGCGACCGAGCCACGGGATATCAAGCCAATTCATTTCAAGGCCAAATTCAAGTAAAGACTTCAGTGTTTTATCATGTGTTGCTTGAATAGCATGCTCAACAGCCAAGGTAAAAATTGGAGGTCGCTCTGCCTGGCCTTGGCTCGCATCGGGCTTGTCAGGGAAGATAGATCTGGAGAGAAATGCTGCGATCCTTGGAAGGCCAATTTTGCAGGCCTCGTAGAGGGCGAAGAAGCCCAACGTTCGACTCAATGACCCTATTCGAGGATATTTCGAGTCAACAAGGAGCGATATGATCTCCAATCCAGTATCTTCATCCATTCTGGAACCTTGCAATGCCGAATTGACAATCATGAAGCCCGAGGCCGCAACTTGTCTTCTTGGTATGAGAGGGATCATCATCTGGGCAACATCTCTGAAACCGTAGTAGGCTGCCCAGGTAAGAATTGCCGAAGGATTCCGGAATCTGCTGGCTTGATTCGTAGCCATTTCCATAACTTCCTGTACCACAAGATGGTTTCGTGAAGGAAAACACCAAAGTAATAAGTCATCTAGCTCGATATCTTTTGGTAAACCAGAAGATATTAGCTTTCGAACAAATTTGAGGTTACCTTTCCTAGCGCATATTTCTAGCGCCCTTAACTTCATGTGTTCAAAGCGAGGGTCTTCCTCATAGCTAGTCATTGTAGCTTCGAATAGCGACTCGGCTTCATGTTCCGCAAAAATTGCGAGCGGCGTAATAGCAGATTGGTTGCCTCGTGTCGCTGGATTTAATAAACTCCAGTACGCCCTCGTCCATTCATGCAGTAGATCTTTGTCATCAAGGATCGAGTGTATCAAGGAATCAACCTCCACGTTCTCGTGTGCCATCTGGGCATGTCTTATCCAGTACCTCACCGCGTAGGACAGAAAGCTCCTGTGAGAAACGAGATCTATAGAGTCTCCTTCGACTGCTCGAAATTTCGACCATTCTTGAGTAGTGCTGAGGCCAATACGCTGCAAACACCATTTGGCCAATTGAGAATGAGTCTGTTTTGACCACTGATCGGCAGATATGATAGAGTCTTCATTATTTGCCACTATTTCAGAAACAAAATAGTCTCGAAAACGTATATCCCGAAAATGGACCTCGTTGTTGCAAACATCGAGCACTCCAGTAAGGAGAAGTAGCGTCCTCGGAGAGACGACACCTCTATCCTCTTTTTTGTAGCCAATCTTCATCCCGTAATCTGTATTCTGCTCTAATTCCATAAGTTGTTGGACAGTGAGCGGATGTAACGCATGGCAAAGTAGGCTGGCAGCCAAAAATGTCTGTTCTCGCAGGACTTTCATAGTTCTTGACGGCAACCAAATGCGTCGAAAAAGATGGGCTTCTGTCACATGAGAATAATTTAGAAGTTGCTCCACATCGAGCGGCAAGATTTGGTTCTTTCGAAGTCTAAACCATTCGAAAAAGTGTTTCCGAATTCTTGATGTCTCGTTCCAGCTCTGTACCAAATGCAGCAAGTACTCTTGAACGGGATACAGACCCGGAGCCTCACTTATGAGTTCCAAGGTCTCAAGTATTGCATTGTCAGATTGCTGGACTGAACTTTCTCCCTCGGATAGCCCGTTGGTTATATCCGGATCTAAGGCGATGATCTCAAAGCAATCGTTGAATGGCATTGTATCGGGTGGGTTGCTGTTAATAATGATGAGAGTAAATGGAAGCTCGGAATTTCTGAGGAGCTCGCACAAGTTGGATAAAAGCCAGTGATATGAAGTGATTCGAGTGTCGAAGTTTGCCAAGATCCATGTGATACTCAAGTTAGGTTGTTCGCGTAAAGCTTCTGAGAAATAATCATAGAAGGTGGAGAGTAAAAGTTGGCAAGACCATGAATGAGATTCAATGACATTCGCATGAAAGTCGTCGAGAATACCTTGCCAATGTCCACATCGAGGGAGGCTAGCAAGGAAGGTACAGAGCATGGATTCCACCGAGCTACAACGAATATCCCAGTCCCTGAACTCAAATGTTTGATGTATTTGGTTATCAAAGGATTCATGAATCAAGTGTTGTCGAATGGATGAAAGGAGTCCTGCGACATCATTCGGTTCATGGAAAGCGAAATAAAGCGATCTTTTACTCAGCGTCCTCGGAAGGATAGCAGTCGAGATTGAGGAGGGAAGCGGGTGGCGAGAGACAGGACTAACATCAGATGTTTTTGAAAAACCTTCGGACATCAGCAGCTTCAAGGCAGGGTGACGGTGATATCCTCTATCAACGGTAGAGGGTAGGAACGATGTCACCAGTGAAGGTACGTCTTTTCCAAGAGTGGAGTGGGGGGACGGCAATCCAACCTGGAGACGTCTGAAGTCATCTCCATTAGACCTAATAGACATGCTAGTTTCGTAAGGGTCGAATACCTGCGGCAGTCAGTGGCCATTATAATTGGGGGTACTTGGAGTCAATGCTTGAGCTTGCACTACATACTCTGAGCTTCTCGTCATCATTTAAGGACGTAATATTGATGATTGAGATATCGAACAGTAGATTAGTACTGAGAAACTCCTGGTTTATAGTGACAGTTACATTGGCTAGGCTTGTGGTGAGGGTGGTTGGAATGTTGTTGACGTGCGCCCTTTCCTCTATAAGTCTTCTAAGGCTTTTCTGTAAAGCCGCTAGAGACCGGTATCGATGTGGACAGCCCATGAACACCTAGGAAGTATTAGAATGACATTCAAGGGAGCTCGCGGTCAACTTACAACACAGCATGTTGAAGAAGTAATGGTTGAGAATTCAGACTCAATCGAGTTGGACATGACAAGGGCCTGAAAAAGATGTCAGAACACCGGAACGAACCCAAGACTTTCCAAAACCTACTTGTTTAACAATTGTGCCGCCTATATCATGACAAACAAAAATAATGCTTCGTCTCTGACTGTATTAGCTTTTGGATTGGCGAAGACTGGAACATGTCTAACCGGAATTATTTCTGCTTCAAGCCTCGAGACACTGGCTAGTAGTTGGGCGGCAACGACCTGAACTCCTTGTTGAATGAACATATTATCGAGATCGTAGGTGAACAACGAAATCCTTGCGTTAGGACAGCCTTGTAGCCATGCTGGGATGCCCTGGTGAACATATCCCAGCCAGTCTGTCTCATTGACATTTCCAAGCCCTGGCACTGCGATGACACTGTTCTCGTTAGAGACATTTCACAATGTCGTTATACATATATTTATGCTTACTCAACCATTTCCTCAATATCCCCCATAATTGGGCTTACGAGACACTGAAGCTGAGAAGTAGCCATTGTGAGCGGCTAGACCCATTGACTGGGACAGTGGATACTGTAACAGCTTTCCAACCCTATGAGCCTATGGTGGTAGAGATGCAGACTGGCACCTCAAGGTTTTGAACTCGGATACTGGAAACGCAAGAGTCCGAGAGGAATGATAGATGGGCTTGGACGACAATACTAACGTTGACGAAGGAAAAATGAGTGAGCGGGTATAGAAACATGCACCAATTTCGAATTCTGCATGAATAGCCCGTAAGCTGCCTGCATGATCTTGGTCATCGCATGTACTCGGGACTGTTTCACCGGGTCAGGTGGGTGGGCAAAGCGACATGTGTTGACGGCTCGGCTTGCATTCCATTTTGAGACGCCCCAGATTAAATTTGTGCTAATCAGTAGGGGTCCGTAGCTTGGGCCTCTACTGCATAGATGACAAGACGATGCTATGTCATTTAATGGTCGGATATGTCTCTTTATTACGTGTTGCAATAACTTTCACGTACATAAATGAGGACTATCTGCTCTGATACTTCTCATCCGTAAGTATTCGATGAGAGACTGATTTATTGCTGCTACCATGTCACATAATAGCGCAACGGGTCAACATCCTCAGAGCGAGGAGTTTACACCTCGTATTATATCTACATATCTCGAAGGCGATGAAACCGACTTCCACACCCAGAATGACCCTGATCAACCTTTCGAGCGCGAAAATATCATTGAAAGAAGGCACAAAGTCGACGTTCGCTGCCAGCACAAGGACATCGTTCACGGATTCTATTCGGACGATGACGACTTCGCAGATCCATGCAGTCTTCTTGTGTTTGAATTCGAATTCAGCCCTAATGCCACCACACGACGAATAAAATCGGCTACTGTGACCATCACTTTCTCGGCAAAAGAAAAGGGAAACCCCGACCCAGTGGTCAAAGCCATTTTTCCAAGAGGGACATTTTGCGTGGAACCAACACCACAAACAGAAACCCTGACTCGATCAGCAGGAATGAATCTGGGCGGTGGTATCATGGGCGCCCAGGTTAGTGGAGAGCTGAAAGCTGAAACCACTGTCCAGCGGGAAACCTATTCCGCTGCGAAAATCAAGGGCTCCATTAATCTGCAGGGCCGTAGTTGGGGAGACAAGAACAGCGTATCATGGATGCTGTGGGAGGACCCTGTGGCCAAAGCAGGGGTCGTCACTCGCATGCAAGCGCCTGTCTTGCTCAAGCGGCAGGATATGTCTCACTTCAAAGCAGTCATCACCATCGAGATCAAAGCCGACACTTTGACCCAACTTGGTTCGGTCTTCAAGACGAACCCAAAAGATGACCCTGTCTATTACAACCCTGATAGGAAGGTGCCTATGAAAGATCACCTGCTGGAGTATGATATTGATAATCTAGGACGGCAGGATTTGCAGCCGCTGTCTGATGTCACGTTGATTACGGTGCTCAAGGGTGCGGTAAAGGAAATGTGATAAGGCTGTGAAAGTTTGAATAATATCGGTCATTTGTCCGAATTCAGGGCTGACTGCATGGAACTGAGGGGTTTCCAAGCTTTGGCCCGCATTGCTAAGGGTGTCTCGGTTCACTACAAGGATGCTGTGATCATATTACTGTATCTTATCTCCCCAATCATTATTATTACATAACAAAAATGCAATGAACGTAAAGACTGCTTCTAATCATCCAAGTTAATTCACACCAGCGATTCTTTCTTCAGATATTATTGCATCTAAGGCGACCCAGTAATCAACAAGTCCATTATGGAAGGAAGATCATATTCCCTCCAAGACCTGGAAGGCCAACCTAGCCAACCAAGATCAAGCAAATATCAAGAAGCTAGTGGCCATTATAACGGACACAACGAAGCAGGATACAGTACAGGATCAAGCGAGACCGACGATGAGGATGAAGAAGACGAGGGGTATGGCCCTTCGAATGAAGGCCACTTGGAAGAAAATCAACAAAAAGCCAAAGACTTCAGAGATCGGGCGACACTTATAAAAGCCCGGCTTGACGAACAAATGGAAACCTTTGGGATAAGGGACCCAGATGATGACTGGGACACCGCAGAAGATCGATTTTTTGAGGAATTCCGCCATGAAATGGCGCCTCCGAAAAGGGAAGTTCTTGAACATCTCTCCATTTGGCAGTGGAATATACTCTACTACATAGCCGACGAGAAGAAGTTGGAAAGACGGTGCGATTGGCTCGTCCAGCGTCTAGCCAACGAATTTCCTTCACTTCTCAGTGAATGCATGCCCAATGGCGGGTTAACTGTTCTATTGAAAACTGTGAAAGATCATAACTTTGGATTCATCAAAGCGGTTCTAGACAGTGGGATAAGCACAACCGACCTAGCCGAGATCATTAAGATCACAGATATCGACGGAAAGAATTGTATTCATTATGCGGTGTCAGATGGGTTTGACCCCGAAATTACAATAAGGTTGCTTCAGCATACCACGGACACAACGCTCGGTGAACAAGATAATAAAGGCCTCACTCCCTTGCATTCTGCTGTGGAATACGAGACATGTTTTCCAGAAAGAGAAGAGATGGTGAAGGCCTTGATCAAGCGCAGTGATGCAGCCTTCGACCGACGATCAGCAAAACCTGAGGAGCTTTCAGTTTATCAGCATCATATGAGGTCTCGAGAGAAATACGAAATCAAGCAAAAGATAAAAAAACGGGAAAGGGACGAAAAGAAGCTGAAGATGGCAAACAAGGACTTGAAAGAGAAGTCTGGGGATGTACCTGCAGTCAAGCATGAAACTGGAGCCATTTCTCGGAAGGAAGAGGCAAAGAACATTAAGAGATCTGGGGAACAGCGAACTCACACCAGTTTAAAGAAGCGAGAAGGGGCGGATTTGCAAGACCCTGTTGTCTCAGAGTCTAGTAAGATGGAGAGCTCGCCCTTGGCTGGCTCTGAGAAAGATGCAAAAGATCAGAATCAATTCGGCCGCCCTCTCAAAAGAGCCCCGACTGCCTCACAGAAGCCTCGGAGTTCAAAAAAGGTTTCTTCTCGAAAACCAAAGCCCTCACAGACAGTTGCCGATAACATCCTTAAGGAGCTGAAATTGCATTATCTCCGAACTGCCCTGTGTCAGGAAAGCCCCTGGCAATATGAAAAACGGGGATATCGTCGCAATCCCAACACTGCTGTTCAATTTTTATACGGGGACAATGAACAAGGTGAGATTCGAACGTTTTAATGAGGATCGACCTGGATAGACACCTGACATGAATGTTTAGAGACTCAGATAGGCTTTGAATTCCCGCCAAAGATACCAAAAACACCCTACGAGATCAATTTTAGGGACTTTACAAAAAGTTACGAGAGTTTGAAATTCGACTCAGTCCTCCAACATGTAGAGTTTCGTCAGATGAAGGTCAAAAGCCCGCCTGGAAAAAGGCCAGATTGGACCGACTCCGAAGGTAGGGCAAGCACTGGACGAAAAGATGTCTATTACTTCTTCCGTTGGTTGTCAAAAAAGAAGCTAGTAGAAAACATCATCCATGTCATTGTGGAGGATGGGAATGGCATCCCACATAGCGATGAGGCTATGGAGGAATCCCTTAAAGATTTCAATATCGAGATACTGGACTGGCGCAAACCAGATTTGGATCCGATGACTTTGCGAAGCGCTTGTATGAACTCCGATCTTCGAGAGATTCACTTATGGTGGGATGGAAACAATGCAGTTTTACGAGCTTGGAGTGAGCCGGATGGCCTTGTCAAGATAAATACTCTACAGGTCATTCATCTGCATGAAACAAAGGTGAGTCATCGCGGTGTTTCGCTTATACTCTATACGAAAGAATAACGCCCTGAACAGAAAAATATCGAATCATCGTATCGTACAAAGGCAATGGTAGAAAGTTTCAAGTCTCGCATCAGAGAACACCGGGCCAAGGTATCGCAGCCTATTGAATGCTACCATTACGAAGCATATGAGCAGGGTATCTCTAGGGCTCCAGGACAGATGGCAACTGAAAAGACCGAGCAACGACCAAAGATAGACACATACCAGTGGCTCAGTGTTATGGACAAGTTCGCCGATGGCATTGCTAGTTTGGAACGCCTTGACGGTTTTCCAGGGGGGGACGGGTACTTGAAACATTCAAGTTTGCCAATGGAGCTACAGAAGGACGTAAAAGTAGCTCTCATCGACGACGGTGTCAATTTTATGCACACATGTCTTGCCGAGAATATGGATGGCGGGAAGAGCTTTGACAGAGAGTATGATGATGGATACAGGCCTGGTCCACGAGAGCCATTTCACGGATCTGCCACCGGGCATGGCACGTGCATGGCGTATATGATACGCAGGGTTTGCCCCAAGGCTAAGATCTTTGGGTGCAGGCTGAACGTACTTCGAGGAAATGTCGAAGGCAAAGCGAGTTTTACAGCCAAAAGCGCCGCTGATGTGAGTAACCACCACCAGTCACTTTTTGACATACATGATAGCTAATATCACTTTACAGGCCGTAGAATATGCTGTCAGTCGCGACTTTGACATCATTTCGATCTCATGGACAGTGCAGCTGCAGAAGGACAAAGCGCATGACAACTCAGATGATATCAAGCGCCTCGAAGACGCCATTGAGCGTGCCACGAAAGCCAACATTCTTGTCTTTTGCTCTGCTCCAGATATTGGAAGAGCTAGCAAAGAGACATTGGAAACGTACTACCCTTTTGGATGTAAAAGGAGCTCGACCAATTTGTTCAAGATTGGTGCGGCAAAAGCCGATGGGGTTTCCTTCGCCTGGATGGGACACGAGGATACTGTGAACTATATCCTTCCTGGCCACAAGGTGGCTCCTCGAGGAACCGACAATCTCCCTGAGGAGGATGATACACCCAAGACAGGGTCATCTGTGGCGACTGCGCTTGCTTCAGGGCTTGCTGCTCTGATCATCCACTGCGTCAGACTTGCGGCTATTTACAACATATACACCAACAAAAGAGATGATTTGTCGGTAAATGAGACCACAGTCAAAGCAATCAAACGCTTTCCAGCAATGAAGGAAGCGTTGGCGATTCTCTGTTCCAATAATGACGTAAAGCAGACCGGGGATAGAAATCTCAGGGTGGAAAACTTCTTCAAAAGGCCGGGCGATACTATGAACAACCAGGAGGCTTCTGAGGAAGAGAAATGGAAGCAGGTGGTCAACATTGCTCGTGATCTTGTCTCATACAAGACAGTCGCGCAAACTACTATGTAATGTGGGAGGGGGCATCTATGGGCTGCACAGACTTCTAAACAGCAAATCAACAATAAAGCGTTATTAAAAACAAACTAGCCCAGTCAGAAACATCCCGAGGATTCTACGATCGGGGACAGTCGGGTGCTAATACGAGACTGGTCTCGGCAGTTGATGCTACGATCTTAAGAACCCGAATACTCGGAAACATTAGTGGAGTAGTATGACTCACTATAAATAGGGATCTCATCCACTATAAATAGAGATCTCATCCACTATTAGATACCAGAGACATCAACAGTCAACAATTCAACACGCCACGTTCTTCTCCATCATGAATATCGACTATTATGGACGCATTGCGGAGAGGCTCCAATTCGACGACACTCCAGTAATGGTTGGGTCTGCGGCATGTTTCGTCATCGGCTTCCTCCAATACATCTATGCCATCAGACTTCTTATCCGAGAGGGCCAAGGGCCTATCCCCTTTTGGATGCAAACATTCTACGTAGCTCACGAGTTGACATTCGTTTACCTCTTTGCTGAAGCTGCGCCACGATACGACTACCACTGGTTCTTTACCTCAACCTCATTCTCGCTAGCAGTATGGGCAGTCCTTGAGATCTTCTGTATGTGGTATACCATACAAAGCCCAAAAGACCGTATCGCAACATTCTCCCATCTTTTTGGACGACACCCTGCCACTTCATCAATCTTGACCTACACTGCCTTTCTGCAACTCGCTATGTTTGCATTAGTCTGGGTTCTGATCGAATTCCTTGGTCCTGGTAGTTTCATGCTCACAGGTGCGCTTACCAATGTTCTCTTAATCATTGGGCCGACGCATGAGTATCTGTCTCGTGGCTCACGTAATGGTCTGTCCATTGGATTCTGTCTGACTAATGTTGCTTGTGTTGTATGGACATTTGCACCTTTTAGTCTGGGAGCCACGGTGTTACCTGAGATATTTGACAAGACAATCATGTATGTTGCAGGAACCATCTTGCTAGGATATTCTGTGTGGTTAACGACCGTTGTTGCGTCGTACCCTGCTAAGACAGCTATGAAGGGGCAGCCGGTGCCGATTTGGTAAAGGTTGTATAGATCTGGGATATTAGTACGGCATAATCTCAACAAACGACCTAGACATGACCTTTATAGAATAGCGGCGAAGCTTTCCATATACGGAAGTTGTACTATAAATTGAATCAATTCCACTCTATATCAAGCATAACCAAGTTTCCAAAACATCCTGTTATTGTGCTCTGCCCCAGCATTAGCATACTCCACAGGAGGTCTCATTGTTATAGTATCCTCGTTCAATTCAGCCACCTGACCGGTCCTTGACGGCTCCGTCACAAATTGTTGAACAGCTCTGATCAAAGTAGACATTGGAGTAATCACCATGTGCTTGAAGAGATCCTTGTCAGGAGCGATGTTTGTTTCTTTGTTATGTGTAAGCGAGAGACAATGTTAACAAATGGTAGTGGACTCACCCAAAGCACCAGGTGCAAGAGCGTTGATTTGGATCTTGGGCTCTTCAAGTCTGACCGCCATGGACCGAACGAGGCCCACAATGCCGGCCTTGGATGTCGAATAGAGTGGAGAGACTGGGAATGGATAGAGGGCTGCCGACGATGATGTGCAGACAATGGAGCCTCTGGAATTTGGTAGACGGCTGCCTACCTCGTTTTTCAGCATATAGTGAACAGCAAGACTAACACCTGTATTCATACGTTCCGATTAGTCCACGATGGATACAAGGCGTGCCATGAGTCAAGACTGACTGTATATGACTCCATTCAGATTGATATCCTGCATTCTCAGTTGTGGTTTTCGCGGAAACTCTGTTGGAGTGCAATCAAGAGCTCCAACTACAGGATCCGAGATTCCTGCGTTGGCAATAACAATGTCGATTCGATTGCCATGTTCACGATAGACTTGATCAAAGGCCGTGTACTGTCCTTCCCACGAAGAAACATCGCACCATTTAAAGGTGACTGTGGATTCGGGGTAATCCTTTGCCACTTGCGCAACCTCATCGGGACCTGTCTTTGAGTTCACGTCAAGAACAGCTACCATGTGACCTTGGGAGGCGAAGTAACAAGTGATGGCTAAGCCGATACCACTTGCACCCCCGGTCACGATGACGGACAGGCGGGGAGGATGAGACAGGGCATTTGTGGGAGAGTCCAATGATGGAGACATTTTTGTTTTAATTAGGTATGATGTCGTGTGTGAAGGTAAGTGATGGAAAAACACTTTGGTCATGTCAAAGCGTTCTATATGCGATATCAATTGCGAGCTAGCCAGACGAGAGTGGGGTGTTAGAAAGGGTCCTTGACGATCACTTGGATACAAGCCGCTACTACTGGATGGGGTATTTGCCGCTCCGGCAATCCATAACATGCCAAGTGCCTACTGCCCTACGATGTTCAAATCATCGGCAACGACACCTGGGGGGCTAACCCTACAGTTATCGACTAACAGGTATTATCCATAACATTGCTAGATATCATTTAATTTCGTCTTTGTTATTTGCAACAGATTCAACGTAGTGTTTCAGCCTACATACCCCTCCCACTTATATTCGCAATGGCTGAGATATTATTTTTACCTGACATTGCTGACAATGTCAAGGGAAAGGTAGTCGTCATGACAGGTATACCGCCCAACTCTAATTTTGTATTTTACACTTACACATGACGCTCGCAGGTGGCGCGCAAGGAATTGGCGCAGCAACCGTGTCAATGCTATACGAGAGAGGTGCTCATGTGTATTTTGGTGATTGGAATGATGTAAAAGGTGATCAAGTTATGCAACACCTCCAGTCAAGCCCATCGAAGCAGAATGGCGGATCTGTTCATTTTCAGAAGCTCGATGTACGAGACTATAACGGACAAGTACAACTTTTCAAGACACCATATGACGAAAAAGGTCACATCGACATTGCCATCGCATGTGCTGGTGTCACGGAGCCTGAAGGTGGTTGGTTTTCGCCAGATCAACTGAATCTCGAAACCGTCATGACAGAGCCTGAAATACTCAAGACTAATGTCGATATCAACTTGACGAGCGTGATTTACTTTTCCAGAATAGCTCTTGCTTTCTTGAACGCAGATAAAGCTCCTACTACATCAAGTGGCTTCTCCAAATCTATCGTCCTGGTATCTTCCGTTGCTGGGATAACAGAAGGTGCTGGTCTTTACGCTTACAGTGCAGGCAAGCATGGAGTTATAGGGCTTATGAGATCTCTACGAGGACCTGTGGAAACGAATTTCGGCGTCCGCGTTAATACGGTGTGTCCTTGGGGAACGGATACGCAAATGATTGATAAAGTACGTTCGTGGTGGACACAGAACAAACTACCTCTGAACCAGCCCAGTGATGTGGGAAATTTCATTGTTCAGCTGGCGGCTGACAAGACCTTGAACGGGAAATCAGTTCTGGTTGCTGGTGGTAGAGGGTTTGATACCGAGGAGGGTATTGACAAGCATATGCCAGAGTGGTTTGGGGAGTTTACGGAAGAATTTCTGCGTGGGCAAAAAGCTCTCGGCACGGTGAGTCCTTTCATCTCTGATATGATTCATTATTCAGGAAGCATTAACTGACTATTCATGCAATTAGGGCGGTTCATGGTCTGGAAAATGAAGATGTTGACAAATTTGGTATCTATCTCAAGTCACGCCTGTCCACAACGTACATTATGTTATGACGTTACGTTGTAGAAATGACTCAACATGTCTGCAAACGGCTCCATCTCAAACAAGAAATTGTCTGTTCCCTGTACCGATATCTCATTCCAGTTTATATCCGGTCCTCCCAATGCAAAGGGCAGGACCTCGTTCCCACCTGGCTGTCCATTTAATGAGACATGATCGAATGTGTGACTTTCATCTGGCACACGCCACATATTCCCCATACTTTGCGTCGCTTGCGCTGCTTGTTGCGACATCCACAATCCGCTGCATGTCTCATCGCCTGACAAGGGCGGTGCAGTTGTTGTAGAGGCAAACGGCGTAGTCCCTGAGTCTAAAGGCTCTACAGGCGGACTTTTCTCTTGACTAACAACAAAGATCTGACTCAAGAATTGCCCACTGCCTTCTCTTCGGGGTGGAACCAATCGCTCGCGGTAGGTCTGTAGTGCATTGCGAAGCTCCGTAAGGACCTCTAGATAACGATGTGCTTGAGGACTTGTTCGATCTAGATCCCGAATGATGCCAATTCCGTTCTGTAGCGATAATCCTGTCTCGCAAGTTGAATACGTTTCTGTAAACGTCAACTCTACGAAGATGGAGAGGCCCATGACTAGGCAGGCGCTGAATATCCAGGCTCTGATGATCGACGTTAGTATATGTCCTTGAATGATGAACTGTAGTAAATAAAAGCTTACTTGAGCAGCTGCATGTTTTGGATTAGCAAACCAACAGACTGTGTCCTTCTCGTCGTCTCTACCAGGAGTATAGCCGCATCTATGCAAACCTGCGCCAACTCTCTTGTCTCACGTTCGTTGGTATGGCATGGTGGACAAGAGGAGACATTATCCACTGGACCCAAACGCTTCAGTTTCATGAGCATATATGAGACAAGCAGTGGTCTGGTTGCCAACATAACACTGTAATAATAAAACCCCGAGACGGCAAAATTGCCTAGTACTTGGCGTCTCTGCACGAGGGAAATCGGAGAACTGACAGTGCATTTTCTCATGCTTGATGGCAATGCTGAACTCCAATCCCGAAGTCGACTTAGGAGATCTCGTATTGATTCCACACCATTGTCCTGTTTGCTGTCGAGACGGTGTATAATCTGCTCCAGAATGATGCAGACTCCATAGGTCGACGACATGGATGTAAATTCTGGTGACCACGGTTCTGAGCCATCCGGAATTGAAAACGAAGGCGTTACTGATGCTTGTCCTGGAGACGAGCTCGGGAGTTGACCAAGGACTGACCCAATGGCTATTTCTAATATCCGCAGACTCTTCCATACCTGGAGCCTGATTGTCCAAGTCTGTCAGATTACGTGATCGCCAGTTAAAGGCGTAAAATATAGTCACTCACCTAAATCTATGTATTTTCGGTGCCAGGTTATTGTAGGACTCCGGTAAATGTAGTCCAATGGCATATGCCAGACGAGTCGCGACGCCAAGGTATATAAATGCTCCCTTCCTTTTGCATGCATTCATCAAATAAACAGTCATCATCATGAAAGTCGCTACTAGATCGCTTGTAGGATCTAGTAGCATCTCTTCAAAAGCCAACTTTTGACCACGATCGAAATGTTTTTGCGCATGGTACAGACTCTTCGGAGTAGTCCTACAGCCCTGTCCTCCGATGGCAATAGCCAAATCTATAACTGCACTCTTTTGATAAGATGAGGATGACTCAGAGGCATCTGGGTTTTGTCGCCTGTTTTCTTCTGTTTCCTCGAGCATCTCTAACATTTGCTCGGGCGAGTAGATGTATATGATTCCTGTCGTCTGGGATATCTTATTAGTTGTGTATATATCGTATTGGATTGTGGTTCGTACCGCGATCAAAAATCTCTGGATATAGTCTTGTTTCTCTTCCAGAGTAAGCTCACTGTTGGGAGTGATGCCGCCGGGAGGTCGAGGATGTAATGGCTCAAGCATGGCTTCGGCTCGTTCTTTGTCGGTGAATGGGGTCGGACCCATGTAGTGGTGGAACGTATGCCGCAGGAAGTCAAGGAAGGAGAGAGACGGGGAATCGCCCATCGACACTATGATACAAGTCAGCTAGCCGTTAAAACGTCGAGAGCGAAATTGATATTCACCACTGGTGGTAGTCTCATCTTTTTTGCCTTCTGAACGTTGCTCTTGACTGCTGATGTTTGACATGCATGATGAGGTGTCAGGTGTTGTATGGGACTGCGGTTCCTGGGTAGACTCTGGAGTCTGTGGAACATGAGCTTGCCCTCGTAAATGATTCCCATCTATTGGCGATGGTAGGTCATGGCTAATCATGGGATCATCGTTATAGTGTCCGCCATCGCTGCCGCCTGAGGAGAATGTATCTCTTGTCGGGTGTGTTTCTCGACGGTGTGCTTTGATACCCTGGCGACGGCGACGAGCAACCTCGGGATCGTAAATACAATATGCGATGCAGTTTCTCCGACGGCAATTAGCGCATGGCGATTGGGCGTCACATTTTTTCTTGCTATTTTGGCAGGGTACGCAGGCCTTGGTTGCGCGTCTACGATCTTCATCGCGTACCTTGGGACGAGGCATTATTATGAGAATGACGTTGTTGTTTGACTTTTGATAGAACTAAATGTCAGAGCGGTTAGGTACCCAGGCATTGAGTTCAAGATCTGCTATAACTACTGTCTGCAGAGCCGAGATTACATCGCTTAGAGATAACTTGTGCGGGGAATGGTTCAATCTCAATGGACAAGTGATGTACGAATAATGGGGCCGGAAGACGGATCGGGCTACCGGGTCGGGATTGGGGTTAACGAGAGATGGCGCACTTATTTACCACTGATAGTGTCGGCAAGCGCACTTTTAGTATGGCCTAGGTAGGACACTATAGTAGGTTGCCGCACCTGAATAGAAGTCCAGGGTAATGACTAGGGTAAAACATGTTTCCCTAGACACGAATCATTTTATCAACAAATAAATGAACAAACTTGTCGTTTACGTCTCATTACTATTGTTACCACAACTCCAAGTGTAACGAATTTATTTTTAACATCATGGCTTCACTAAACCATCCCCAATTGGGGCACATCAAAGGTCTCATCCTTCACGACCAAGGAGTAGTTCAATATCTTGGTATCCAGTACGCTACCCTGGCTCATCGGTTTGCTCCTCCGGTTTTACGAACTAACTATGGAGGCACAATTGACGCGACAAGTCGAGGGCAAGTTCATAGTATATCAAGCCATCAATGCTAAACTAACGATGTAATACACAGCCCTCCAGTCGTTAGACCCCCGATAGCTTGCGACATTGAATTCGGTCTCATCCAAAAAACCCTCAATAAGCCCAAATACCCTCCCATGTCTGATCTAGATGGTCTGAATCTCGATATTACGATTCCGAAGGAAGCCGCCCGGAACCAAGATGAAAGACTCCCTGTTCTTGTTTTCATCCATGGAGGGGCTTTCGTTATTGGTGATAGTGGAGCACCGCATCAGGACATGGCGGCCATCGTCGCCTATTCTCAATCCATCGGAAAGCCAATTATTGGTGTGTCGATCAAGTGGGTCGTCTTAATCACCGGAAATAACAGGTCCATTGTACTAAGCCTCGAATAGTTACCGACTCGGAATAACAGGCTTCCTTGACAGCCATGAGCTGAGAGCATCGGGTGCCCCAGCAAACAGAGGTCTGCTTGATCAAAAGACTGCATTCGAATGGATTCGTCGGAAAATTGGCGGGTTCTCAGGCGACCCAACCCGTATCACCGCTATTGGCCAGAGCGCAGGAGCCAGTAAGTATTCATAATGATTAGCACAAGGCAAGTCAACTGACGGTTATCGCAAGGCTCCGTCATGCATCTCATTGACATGGAGTCAACACTTTTTGATCGAGCCATTTGTCTGAGCGGGAACAACCTGGCAGTTCCCATGTCTACAAGATCTGCCGCTCAAGATGCGTATAAGTCTGTACTTGGCTGTCTTAAGATAGACTCAACTCTGTCCAGTGAAGACCAGCTTGCAGCATTGATCGCCATTTCGCCCTCGATTTCCCTCCACCCAGTGATAGATACAGATGAAGAGCCCTCGTCCAAACAAATTGAAACCCATCTGGCCTCGCGTTCTTACAAAACGCCCCTGATGATTGGATCAACTGACTTTGATGCAGTCATATTTCAGGTCCTAGGTCTTTTCGAAGGTAGAGAGCAGGGATCCTTGGCTCGGGATTTCATCAAATATTTAACTGATAACGTTCCTGCGACGCGTCGCGCAAAGATTGAGAACCTTGTCGCCTTATACAACATCTCAGCAGCAGATAATGATGATGAGGCCCGTGTCAAGATAATCCAGTTTGCCACAGATCTTAAGTATTACGCCACGTCAAAGCACTACGCTTCATCTTGGCCTACCCAATCGTGGCTGTACTACTTTAATGAGTCTAACCCGTGGGAAGGACCTCACCAAGGTCGCTCAGCTCACTGTCTTGACACAGCGTATCTATTCTTGAACTACAACAGCGTCATGAACGACTCGCAGAAGGAAACAGCAACAGGGTTTGCCCGCGATGTCATCGAGTTCACCAATGGAGGGTCACCTTGGGGTGAGTTTAATTCCTCTAGGGAGATGAAAGTGTATGGTACTCCTGGTAAGAGTCAGGCGCCGTCCGAGGAAGTGCAAGCTCTCTGGAGAGATATAGGGTTGGACAATCTAACTCAGGGCTGGAATGCGTTTTCGGCAAGACTATAGTTGATGGTGTCGGGTAATCATGTAGCAGATTTCTCAGCCTGTCACCGCAAATCATTAAAATGTGATGGTGAAAATGGAATGAATTGGTTTATCGAAGATCGACGTTAAAGGACAACAGACAGGAGAGATATGGATACGATCACGTGACTAAGTGCGTAACACTCTTCGCCTTCAACACAAAACACCTTATAACAAGCATGCCACTGTTCACATAAGCTCTGACTGACAGTTAATCTCATTGAACAGGAAACCGTTATTTAATATTTCTATAGAGTATCTACCAGGCTTTATTAATCGAATGATGGTGATTTTTCGTCAGAAAATAAGAGTCAAGCCTATAGTAGGCATCGAGGATCAAATATAGCTAATAAAGCCTTACTCCCTACGTGTTGATCGATTAATATACATAGTTGGACGTTTTATTAATATATCTATTGAGTTCTTGATCTATACAATTGGATCAGCCTTGATGTTAAAGTCATTAGTATAATGAGGAGGTTCAAACTTCAACTCCGAAAAAGTATATATAAAAAAAATAACGTCTAGCATTGGACTCGCAAACTAATCAGCATTGAACCCATCAGTGAGAGAAGGGTCTCGCCATGTATTTGGAATCCGTCTCAGGTTTCCCCTCAGGTGGTACATCCACTACATTCTTGTTGACGTACCAACTAGGATCACCCTGTTCCTCCTCCGGCATGACGCATAAACTCCATCCATTGCCTAACCACCCAAGTTTATTCTCATACAGTGATTCAAATTCAAAATCTTCCCATCTTGGTGCCCTCAACGTCTCGAGCGCGTGCATGACACTTCCAGGCCAAAGAGCCGAAACCCTGTCACCAAGCCCGTCCCCAGTCTTATACCACGACTTGCAGCTATCCATGTAGACGGTCTTCTTGAAGTACTCTTCGGTGTATTCTGAAAAGTCCTTGACGCGAGCTCGTTTCGGCGCCATGGTAACGTAGTCTTCCTTTTGGAGCTTACGGATGCACTTGATGATGTAGTCACCTTGAGCTTCGATGAGAGCCGTCAGAGACCCAGATCCGAGCCCCGAATTAGGGCCGAGCATGGCGAAGTAGTTTGGGAAGTCATCCACAGTCATTGTGAGATACGTCTCAGGAATTGGATTGAATTTCTCCTGGATCAAGATTCCGTGTTTGCCAACGACAGGAAATGGGGGTTGGTGGGTGGTGTTGAAACCTGTTGCGCAAACCAGGACGTCGATGTCGACTTGTCGATCCTCGTGGCCAGTCAGTTTCACGCCCGTCTCGTTAATGCTGTCGATACGCTGTGTGATGAATTCCACGTTTGGCTGCATCAGGGCCTCGAGATAGCCTGGTCCAGGTGTGAGGCGACGACATCCCACACCAAACTCTGGCGAGAAGGATTCGAGAATATCGGGTCGTGAACCGAGGACTTGCTTGGTACTTTCTTTGAACGTGGCGACAAAATGCTGTTGCATTTCCGAATCTTTCAGAGTTGAAGCATGAACCATGTTGCCGTCGGCCTCGACGCGCTTGCGGAAGCGGAGATACGTGTCGTCGCTCTTGGCGAATTCTTCCAAGCGCTCAGGTGTCACTATTTATGTATTAGCATAGAGACATACCGGCCGAATTAGTCTTGGTTTTCGTTTACTCACTGTTGATCTCAGAAGGGTCCCAGCCCAGCCCCTTCATAGTCTCTTCGCCGAAGCGGTTCGAGATCCATACTTTGCTGCGGACGAAGACGCTCAGTTGGGCCCCCTCAACCTTTTGCAGTTTAGGTACGATTTGGATGGAACTGGATCCACCACCAATAATGCCGACCTTCTTGTTCTTAAAGTCGTATTCCTGGTCCCAGGCCGCTGAGTGCATCTTCTTTCCTTTGAACTTGTCGAAGCCAGGAATGTCGGGCCACTTGTAATCATTGAGACCGCCCCGTGCAGAAATGAAGATGTCGACCTCTTCGGTAAACGCGTCTCCTACACTGGGTTTGACATTGACAATCCTGGTTAAAGTGTAAGCTTAACGGGTACAAAAGGATGATGCGGTTCGAGTGTTTATACCATTTCTTCTTCGTGTCATCCCAAATGGCACTGGTTACTTTATGCTCCAGATGAATGAAGCGCTTGGCACCGTACTTCTCTGCGACGCTGTTGATATAATCACAGATTTCGTGCGAAGGGGCGTAAAAGCCTGACCACGCTTTGTTCGAAGCAAAGGCATACTGATAAGAGTGAGCTATATATCGGTAGTCATGTCAGCCAATGGTTACTAGTCCCTGTAAAATGGCCTCACTTACACGGAATATCGCAGGCACAACCTGGATACCGGTTCTCCCACCAAGTTCCCCCAATACCATCATTCTTATCGTAAATCTTGAGGTCGATGTTGCGCAGGCGCTGGGGAATTCTGATACCTAAGTAGACACCAGAATAACCAGCACCGATGACACGAATCTTGAGTGGTCTTTGGTTTTCGATTGGTGCATCTTTGCACGTAAATGGTTGACGATGACCATTGGTTGAGGTTGTTGGATTTCCGTTTCCGTTGGTGTTCATGGCGTGGGTCATCACGACAGCAGTTTTGAGAGCTTTGTTCGAAGAAACGAGCGTCATGACGAAAGAATTGTTTGATGAGAGTTACAAGTCGTATAGAGGAGTGAGTTGATAATTGAGAAATACTAATTGAACCTTTGCTGAGGATTCTAGACAAGTATATGATTCGATGATAACGAGATGTTTCTCAATCGCTATCATGAACGCATTAATATACATTCATCCGGCTTCATCGGAAAGATCTTTCAGGTGTTCGGTGCTCGCCTCTTGACACCGATGGATATCAATAGTCATGGTGTCGTTGCCGTCGGTATGAGTTGGTCTCATGCGGGCCGTGTGTACAACCCAAATTCTCGCCTATACTTCCTCGCGTGACTAATCATGGTGATAATCCCCGAGGCGGCAAGTGCACTACCCATGATGCTGTGTTGTGGGGGGAACGCTGCCGCCAATGTGGGACGGTGTCTGCACAATACAAGGGTATACTATTCATGACAATCTTATTCATCAAAGAGATGCCTGTCATTTGTGTATCCATCCACGAGAGAGGCTGCCGATTGTGATTTGTCAATTAACCCCACGATGTCAGGAGACTATCAGATCATGATTGAGGCCAATTTGGGCAAACAAACAACCATGAAAACTCAAAAGCTGCACAAAGCCTAAATACGACAATTCAGAAATTATGCCGCCTAAGAAGTATGCTTACCATCTTCACCCATTTGGGTGGGAAAACGATCCACCGGAAGAGAGATTCAAGGTCACCACCCTTGACTACCTCACTGTCTGTACTTACAACAACTACGCTCTCTTCTTTAAGCTCGAAGATTCAGAGAAGAAAAGGGCTCTTGAAATTTTGAAAACTGGACTAGAGAGAACTCTGGCTCAGGCGAGGCATTATTGCTGTACTATTGAGAAAGACCCAGGTGGCGGTCACTCTTTTGTCAAGAAAAAAGACAGCACGGTTCTCTTTTCCGTCAACTGGCTCGACGCTGCCAGGGATATCGAGAAGTATCCTTCGTTCGAGGACCTCGAAAGAACCCATTTTAGTGCTGTGACACTTGGCGATCTCGAACAATGGAGTGTACACCCAATGACATATGGCGAGAAGCCAGAGGCTCATCCGGACAATAGTCCCATTGTATCCGCTTTCCGAGCCAATTTTATCCGGGGAGGACTGGTTTTTAACATTCACCATCACCATTACGCAAACGATGTCATGGGTTGGGCAGGCTTCGTTCATCAGCTGGCTGAAAATTGCTATGCTGCTGTCAACAACACTGAATATCCTACCTGGGATCCTCTCAATCTCGACCTCTCGCGTCTCATCAAACAAGAGCCGCCAGAAGAGGGAAAAGTCGATGGGCCGCCACCTTCAGAACGTCACCCTGGGCACCAAGGTGGCGTATCACTGTTGTTCCACCTTCCAAAAAGCAAAGCCGTCGAGCTTAAGGCCAAGGCTATGTCCACTGGTGGAAGTCGGATCTCGACATATGACGCCTTTTCAGCTTTCATCTGGCGCAACTTGACAAGGATTCGAGCTCCCATCTTCAATCCTGACCCGTCATCGATTCTGTACTGGTGCGAGGCCATCGATATGAGACGCCGTATGCATAGTCCCAAGGTCCCTCCACGAATTCAGCATAATGTCATGTTTGCAGCGACATCTCTCACAGCGCCTATTACACAGCCAACAGTGGCGCAGATTATCTCCGAGTGGTCTCTTTCTCAGTTGGCCTCATACATACGTCAATTGACCAACAGTGTCACGCAGGAGAATCTCGACAAGACACTGGAGATGGTTGCGACAATTCGTGACAAGACATCTCTAAATGCTCGTGTGGATGCGCAGCCTCCGTTATCAATCTTGCAAACTGACCATAGAGATGCCAACATCACGTCTGCTGACTTTGGTTTCGCGAAACCTACCACGTATCGTCATCTGCTGGATCGTATTACCGAGGGAGTGATCATTATTTACCCACCCCGAGATACTTCGATGGAGTCTGACGAAGGTTGCGAATTTGCGATATTCTACGAGAAGAGGTTGGCCCAGGATCTTATAAATGATCGCGAGTGGAATGAATACTTTGAGTACAGAGGTGTTGATGCCGAGGATAGAAGTATGAATTGAGATAGTAATAGTCTGCCTGCGTTTCGTATACTCAATTTCACAAATGGCAGGATCTTTTTATGTAGTCTTGGCTCGCGTCTCACATGAGCAAAGGGCTCTCGATGCTCTGTTTAACTTCGGGCTCTATGGCAAGCCAAAAAGGAAAATGTGCAGATTGTGTAACATTTGCACAAGTTATGCATCGAGTGTCTTATCATCTATGAAGATCAATTTGCTTGATAGGAAAACCCCGACCACTCCCTCATTTCTCACCTCACAGCAATTCCAATCCCGCAGTTGTAGTGTCACATTTTCTTACTTGGCTCACGTAATTTGATTCAGGACTTTTAATGCATTTATATGCATCAACAGAACCTACGTTCAGAAACTCTGGTCTCCTGTCTCGACCATGCTGTTCCTCGAAATGGACTTATTATGCAAACGGGGATACCATTGGACAGGCAAACATTGCGATGTTAGTTATGCAAATTGAAACCCCCGTAAAAGGGAAGGATTTAATGCAAGTTATTCCTATATAAGGTTCCATGACTTTCGAGTATGAAACTACTCAGTCTACCAAATGCGTCTCCAGTTGGTCTTCTCTATCATTTTTTATCATCAGCAGGTCCAAATCGACCCTGCAACTCTCGCGTAACCTGATCAACCAACGATTCTTCAATGACACCCTCCGCCCACGTAACGCTCATAACAAACGATCCACCTTTCTTGCTGACACAGTTGAACCCTATCGTTGGGGTGACACTACTCGCACATTGTGAAAAGACAACCTTTTCCAGCTTTAGACCGCCACTTTTTGGTGGAGTGACATCGGATACCAAGCCAAGATTGGATAATTCATATGAGATTCTCCTATCCGCAGGACCTTGGTTCTGATACTGCGATAGTAAATCCGGAATGCGGTTCAGGTTTGTAGCCATACATCCGTGAGGAAACTCTCCGACCTTGGTGGCTACATCATTACTGAATGACTTTGCCAGTTCCATTATGTACCCCGCCTCTTCTTCAGATCCAAGCTCAAACTCCTGCAGCATTTCTAGCTCTTCACGAGATGTGTAGCTTGTCAAGTACGAGATGTGATTGACAATGTCCCTTGCTGAGGTCTTTGTGTGATTTCGTGCTGAGAAAGGCGTTATAGAACGAATTCCAGGGATATCGTCTGGAATACAATGCCAGAGAGAAGTGCATATCACCGCATGCAGGTATCCAGTAAGCGTAACTCCTGCTTTCTTGCATTTTTGAAGTGTAGCAACGAGATGTTCAGCTGGGATATTCACTATTCGAACCATGGATCTGAATGTGGCATCGGTCGTTTGTTGTGCTCCTACCCAAGCTTTGCGATCATTAGCGCCAGAAGTGCAAATAGTGCAGCTGCATGAAAAGCAGTCGATGCATTCCTCAAGAGTGACCGGAGCGGCTACAGGTTCATTGAAAGTCATTGGCCATGTAGGCTTGGTGAGTGATGCTGAAAGCCTCTCGAATTTTTCTCCTAGAGACGTATGGAATGCAATTCCACTTAGCCCATCAGCAATACTGTGGTGTGCAAAGAATGCAATATCAATCCTCCTAGGGGAAGTACTGAGGACGTCCCAGTTTCCTGGGAAGTGGTCCAACACAATGACCTGCCATGCTGGTTTGTTGACGAGCCAGTCCTCCTCGTGGATGTCCTCAAGTAGCCGAGATAGTAGCGTATCTGATTCTGCCTCGTCATCGATTGAGATACAGTTACTGCTGTGAAAAGTTCTCAAGATGTCCTGTCGATCGATCTGATCAAGTTGTTTAAATAACGCAATACTAGCTTCTGTCTTCTCCGATATGCCGTATAGTAAGGCAGAGTGTTGTCGAATCGTGGCTTGAAGACTGAGTTCTAGAGCGAAGTAGAATTTCTCTAGCGGTATGCTAGCTTTATCTTCTGACGCTATATAATATGTTGCGGTCACGCATGCAGAGCGATATTGTCCCAAGGCATGTCGGACTGTATAATATCTTCCCAGAATACCTGTTATATTTGCTTAGCATTTTGTATATTTTGTAGTCAAGGCTACAGGAAAAGTAGTCTACAGGAATAGTAGTCTTCGTTTTGTAATCTGTACAAGCCAAGTTTAACTGCAACCAAGAGAGTTTATACTTACCCAAAGAAGTATACTTGTTGTTGATCATTGTGGACTTTTAATGTGCCAGTGGGAAAGATTGAGACAATTATTGTGGGATAAATATAACCGAGTTGTTATCTACTGCTATCGGCCATTGCCCCACAGCTCTGTGTTATCTGCATCTCTACAGTTTCTGTTGATGTGCTGTGAAGTACATGTACCGTACAGAATCTTTAATAAAGCTATGTGAATGTGTAAAACCCTTGTATACTCTTGAGTTAATCCTTGTCGCTCCCTCGAAAGGCAATTGAATCGCTTGAATTGCTTCTTTATATCGTGTGGAGAATGTCGAGGGTATAGGCAACATGGAGAGCAGTGCCTAAATACACTTTTCCCCTTCAAGAACTTCTCCGAAGTAATAGTACATGGAGACTCCGTGTATTTCCCGGAAACATTAATCCCGATCGCAAGGACCAGATAACGAACAACCTGTGCGACAAACTCTCATCTTTCATCTTGAATATCAAGACCTTATAGGTGGGCTGCTTCGTCCATCTTGCCAAACTTAGCATTGGTAGTATGAATATCACCATTCAATAGGCCCATCCCTTGATGGCTCGAACTACATTGAATCTCCCATTGATGTCTCGCACTCGGCAAGTTTCTCCTGCGGACATGTTGATGATATCTTTATCCTAGCTATGTAAGGGCGAGGTATTTCATCCATCTTGAACCCAAGGTAGATATTTTGGGAAGCTTCGACGCGGAGACGAGAGTCGAGATAGTCGAACGAACCGAACTTGACCGAGACATGATTTTGTTCCATCAGAGTACTGTAGCAAAAGACCTATGTACTCCGACAAGCTGTCGTTCTTTCGGCAACACGGAGTCACTGCAATGACGTTTGCAAGAGATGCTTGTGACCAGTGAAAGTCCTCACTGGAGTTCGAACCCGGTTGTGGAGATGCAGGCACCGGGAGATTAAGAGCTCCGGATTGTATTGACGCTTCAGAATCGAATATAAAGTTTCTTATAACAGCTGATCCCAACGTCGACGCCTGTTACTTCTTTGAAAGGTGTCCTGAAAATGAGGGGTGTGTTGACTTTGCTGAGTTTCTCTCTGACTGGAAGACAGTAGTGTCCTCCTGTAGGCAACCTTCTCAATCCTGGTTACAAGTCTCGTTCTGATGGAAAATGGACAGTCAAAACATTACAACTACCGGTGCCTAACAATGACACTGTCTCCAAGGTCAGAGCAAGGGATGGTGATAAATGCATCATCACTGGCCTACAAAGTTCGTTGTTCCATCCGTTGATCGTCACGCCTATTCCTCGCATTTGTATTTCACTCGGCAAGGTAAGAAACAACACTCTATGCTTGTATGGCTACTTCGACGATTGTTAACGGTTGTCATAATGGCCTCAATTGGAGACACTCAAAGTTCTTCTAGGGCCAGATTTCCATGACTTGCTAAGTAATACCGGCAATGTTGATGGTCCTCAGAACTACCTACTCGTCCGCCGCTTTGCTGCACTTGCATTTTCGCAAGGCTATTTCAGATTCAAATTTTCCTGGGATCCAAATGTAAGTCCCTATTTCCATCCATAGGTATTAACCTCTTCAAAACGGTTTCTGAATTTTGTGAAGTATAGCATTTGGCAAGTCCTTGTTGGTGGCTCCGATAAGCCATCAATCATAGACAAGCTACCGATGACCAGAAGGGGCTGTTTCAAGGACTATTCAGAGTCCGGAAATCCCTTCCCTCATAAATCCCTACTAGAGGTGTTCTCTCGATTTGCGAAAGCTAATAGTTGGTATCGAGTCTCTACAGTTATTGTTTTGAAACAACAAAAGCCCCCACCGGTCAGCACCAAGCCTCCCCAGTCATTCAGCTATAATCTATCGGAATATGGTGCGGGAATATATTCTGCATTTTGTCGTTTGATGCCGTCCAGAGTCAGAGCACAGATTTATCGTGGCATGTGGCATCTCGGGGCATATCTATACGGATTGTCATCCAGCTCCAATGTGTAGCGACTCCCTTTTGGCATGTATCTCAAGAAGGCTGGGCAAAGAAACGATCAAAGTCTAGCAAGCGAGTACGGTGCCTTGCAGTCTCTGCAGAGACTTACGCATGTACCCGTCCCACGCCCATTGGATCTCGTTTCTGGTCCAGACACATCTTGCTTGCTGACAACTCGACTTCTGGGGTATCCTGTTGGCAGTTGTCTGGACGCCATGAGCGACAACGAAGTAGATGCCTTTATCAATGAACTGCAGAGATATTTGAGCGAGCTTCGAGCGATTCCTAAACAAGTTGGCATGGATTATGCCATCAACAACGCGGTTGGGGGGCCTTGTTATGACTATCGCATGATTGCTGGACAAGACTATGACGAAGCAAAAGGCGACCTCATTGAACCATTCAAGACAGTAGACAACTTCAACAAAAAGCTCCAGACCCCAGCACTTCCTGGTGTCGCCCACAAATCGGGACACAAGATTGTCTTTACACATGGGGATCTAAATATGAGAAACATCCCAATGCACAACGGTAGAGTCTCTGGCATAGTGGATCGGGAAAGCGCTGGCTGGTTCCCTGATTATTGGGAGTAAACAAAGGCTCTTTTTGTAACCAGAGTCCACAAGCGGTGGCTGAGGATTATAGATCGGGTATTTCCATTTTTCGGGGACTTTAAGGATGAATCTGTTACGGAGCGCCAGCTATGGAAATATTGTATGTAAAATCTCTTTCGTCTTTAGCAGCAAGGCTACCGTGATAATCTAAACAGTACCATAAAATATTCACCAAGCACGCGGCTTTCGTAATTCCAGCCACTGAATATCATCTTCTTCCCTCAGCTTCTTCTGTTCCAGAAGTAGCTGTTGCGCCGTCTTTCCATCGCCATTCTGTAGTATTTTCACCCCCGCATTCCCGGCAACCTTCGACACCATTCCGATAATATCGTCTTGTTTTTTCCTCGACTCTTGACCATGGTAGGGGTATGAAATAGCGAGATGAAGCGGTGTGTTATGCTTCATATTCATCAAATTGGGGTCGGCGCCTTGCTCCAGCAAAAAAGAAACCACGTCGGCAGGGCTCATTTCCGCCAATGCCAGATGTAACGGCGAGTTTCCGTTCTCGTCAGTGTCCATGACACTGGCTCCGTGGTCACACAGAATACCCATAGCTTGAATGTCGGCCTTGTCGGCTGTGAAGGCGTGGCCTAGTATGGTGTGCAACGGCGTCTCCTTCCTATTGTTCCGTATGCTTGCGTCGGCACCTTTACTGCAAAGCAATTCCAGAATTGCATTATATTGCTTGTAGTCTCGAGCAGGATGTTGCGTAGCATAGTGTAGTGCTGTGTTTCCGAGGCTATCTTGCATGTTGATTGCCGAAGGGTCGATATCAAGCAGGATATTTATAATCTTGATGATATCCTCAATCATTTGTGTTTGTTCAGCCTCCAACATGTAGGGTTTCTGCGCAAAAGACATGTAGCTGCGATTCACCCAATGAAGTAGATGGCTACCACTACTGTCACGAGATGACACCATATCTCGAATATCAACTCCAGAACCTCGACAGTCGAAAAGAGTCTGGATGACATTGACGTTGACATGAAACATTGCAAAAGAGATTGCAGTCATGTCGGAAACAGGATCATAGTCGAGTCCAAGACGGCGTCCTGTTACCTTGGCATGAACATCAGCGCCGCCATCGATAAGCCTTTTAACCAGCTCTGGACTTGCCCATCGTACAGCTGATGTTAGAACAGTGTGGGTTGTACGCTCAGGGTGCACAGCAACATCAGAAGCAGAAGCACCCCCGTCCAACAGCAAGTTCATTACAGCTTCGCTTTTTTCGACTGATGGCTCCCGGGTGTCCACCTCGCCGTAACCGCCTGGCCAGATACTAGCAGCCTCCAGAATGGGGGTGCAGCCAAACGTATCGCGTCCATGGATATCAGCATAAGCTGGGTGGTTGTCGAGTAAAAATCGTACAAAGTCCACATCAGCTTTGTGTGCAGCCTCATTGAGGAGGGACCACATTTCTTTCCTGTAGCTCACACATTCGGGTACGGTTTCCTGGTGAGACAGAAGGAATCGAAGTACCCCATGACTACCTCTTTCGTGTGCGAAGTGGAAAACAGAATAATAGTTGGGGCCATCGTAGTCCTCGCCTCCAATCATCCAAGGGTCAATGGCAAGATATTGCTTGAGAGAATCGACATCGTCACGGCACATTATCTCACGAAATAGTCCACGGGCTCCGTTTTCGTATAGGATAGTACCATCTGGCCCTATCATTGTCACAGGCACATTAGGAATGTGACCTTCGTAGTACTTGATCGGGGCGTGGCTGAATTTCTCATACGCTGATTCTGTTGGTTGGCGAGCAGAAGACATGATTGAAAATACGAAAGTTGGAAGGAATGAGAAAACATATCCAGAAGTGGAAGATGATTTCGAGCATTTAATGAAATTATCTTCGTCGGTACTATTCTGGGGCGTTTACCTGGCCGAGTGACTCGTCGCCGGACTTTTAATTTCTTAATTCTTTCTCGATCCCACTTTGCAACTCCGCTTCATGAGACAATCAGCCCCGTATCGTCTATAAAAGTGGAAACTTCGAGTCCTGCCCTGACATGGCAATAGTTCTGTGTGCTGTCCTGGGGATCACTTTTGAATGGCTGAGCGGACCTATCCAGGTAAGCAGAGATAAACAGAGCAACGTGTTCCTTATTCTTTCACCTGTTGTGCCATCTTTTGAGATGATGCCTGTCAGACGACAATTCAGTTCTGTACCCATCGTCATCTTCCTCGGCCTTGTTGAATGAATTGTTGCTGTCAGCAAACTCCAGTTGTCGAATGAGTAAATCGGTCCTTAATACCATTGAAGGCTAACCTCTAGCGAAGTGGAACGTCCGATAAACAAATCTCTCGGAAACAGAGTACTCGATTTTGACCTTTCCGTTCTTTCCATCCATGGTAAAGACAGGCCATCGATCATTGATGAACATCGCGGGCGTGCTATCGATGTCGTCACCCAACCATTCTAGATCAGGGTAGAACCCAACGTTGTGGTCTGGGTCATTAGCTGTGGAAAGAAATGTAGTGATCCGATTGACAACATCGTATGGTTCGGGAATGAACGAGTGATGCACGCAGTAGCCAACCTTCTCACCAGGGAAATGCTGGCTTATTCGCAAAAGACGCCTCGAGGGGCTCACAGTGGCGGTGATTCCATTATTTCCGAAGGAATAGGAACAGGTTCTATTTGGTGTTTCCATATTTGAGAACAAAATTATGTGATTACAATGTTGTGATAAAATTCGAAGTCAAGATGCGAAGGTGGAAGAAAACGTACTAGCTGACTGAGTTAATTGATCCGGTTGAAGTAATGATCTGACAGTGTTTTCAGCTGCGTAGAGGGGAATGAGTATGCAGTAATCGACGCTCAAAGTGCAAATATTGGTGCCAAGCCATGCGAATTTCAGCTTCGGATGCATGTTGGCCCAACTCATCACAAGACGGAAACCGTCACGGCCCTTGAGAATGGCCTCTTTCCACGAGATCTGCAGTCGGTGGCTAAAAGTATTGCGGTATTTTTTAGAATTCCCTCAGCACGATATTTTTTGTGTTCAGACATACAAAAACTCCTAGTGAGAATATTGGCTACACCTATATTAAAGCAAATAGATCTCTCTCCTTTTACCTGTGAAAATAATTTGTAACTGGCATCTTGTTATCTTTCGATCAAACTTCCGTATCTCGAGTATCAGCTACCATTGATAGTACGTTGCGAAAAAGGCTAGCCCAGGTACATATGTGACTGCACAAGCCTGCCTAGTGATCTCATTTCAGATCCCTGCAAAGTACTGTCGGGCAATCTGTCATACCTGCTCAAGCAAGGGCCATGTAATTTACTCCATAACCAACAGTCAGAGCCCCTGCCTAGCCACGGTCAGGAATGGCGGTTGATCTACGGATACAAAGTAATTATTATTCCCCGACGCGAGAATTTCCGCCGACCGCATCAGATCTTACCCTGTAGACGGCCCAACAATTGATCTTCTGCCATCATCTGAGCTCATAAATCGCTACAGAACACCAAGACGGCTATCTGATAGCAAGTAATCTTTTTCTACTGTTAGAAATTCTAACCAAAGTCCTTTTCTGACGTCTATTCATAGTCAATTAAACATATTGGTTCTTCGGTGTTTAATCAGAGTTCACCTACAGCCTAAATTCCAATACAAGGATGGTAAGCTTCAAAGAGGCCGAACCATTTTGTGTGGCCACTACTTTCAGGTCTATTTTTAGCAAGCTTTTAACGAAGCTCCATTGGCCTACCCAGACAAATTAGGCCCACATTTTGAAATGTACAGAAGCCTCTTATTAAACGACCTTGTTTTTGCCAATGAATGCAGATGGAGTTTTTAAACAAGTATTGTTGAGGAAGTTGGACTCAAAGAGACTGTATAGATAGTTTATTTAGGTGCATAGGTAGATACCTATATTAAGGTTGAAGTTATAAACTTCTACTTTTCTTATGCCAGTATTAATAACTTGCAACAGTCGTCTTAGCGTCTTTCGACTGGGCTTCCACACTTCCACTGTCCGCAGACTCAATACCGTTCCCGGAGCTAGCATCTTCATTTGCCGCAAGACGCATTTCCAAATCGGGATGCTTTGTCTTCCACCTCTTCATGTACCAAACACCACCCATCAAGATTGCCCACATAGTAAACTCGAATACCGTCGCCGCGGGATATCCATGAGGAAATTTCGGTGCCTCGACCGTGGGGAATGTAAAGAGAGGTATCCAGATTTGGTTACAGAATCCCAGAGTCATCATGGAAGAGATGATAAGTCCTCTTTCTCCATAATTCTCCTTCAGTGTCGAGTTGACCCATGAGTAGAGAATGGGCGACGCCATGCCTGAGAATCCACCGAAGTAAAATGCCACGAATTTTAGGCCATCGGGTACTGACCAGATAGACAAGACAATACAGGCGAAGAAGACGAAAGAGGCTTGGAAGGTCCAAAGACCACGTAGACTGAGACAGCCAGCGAGAGTTGTGCCGAGCCAGGACGAAATGGCACGTAGGAGATCGATAAACGTGGGAAGAATGTTGACCAGCTCAATCGAGTAACCAGTACTGCGAAGCCAAAGAGCCATGTAACCGGTCTGTTGGTAAACAATTAGTTTCCAGTGTGACATTAGACAGTCGGAAAAACACTTACCCAGTAATGCGCCTGGCATAAGAAGATATAGCACGACACACAGATCCACCACATAGGTCGGCTCAAGGTGTACTTGAATGTCTTCCAAGTGATACCCTCCTTCTCTACAGTGGGGATACGTTTGAGTGCAAGGGCGTGCTCTTCCTCTGTCATGTACCATCTCCTCGGCGAAGTAGGCAGACCAGGCCAGACGACAAATCCAACGAAAGCAATAGGCAGAGTAATGATACCCTGAACAATGAAGAGCCATCGCCAACCTGCACGTCCAAAGACACCGTCGAGATTTCGGTATGCTGCAGCCTGGAGGTATCCCGAGAACATGGAACCTAGTGAGTTGCCCATGAACCAGACACCTGCTCTCTTGAAAAGTTCTTCATTCTTGAACCAAGAGCCAACTATCATGATCACTGTTAGTTGACGGCGTCAATAGTCAAGGATTATGTGAGACGTACGGATGAGATGAGTGCCGCCGAATGAGCTAGCCTCGAGAAACCCCGTGATGGCTCTTAGGATATATAGGTGCCAGCTGTGCTTGATTTCAGATTGACAAAAAGCAATAACTGCCCAAATGATTTGAAGCGTGGGGAGCAAGAATGGTGCCCTAACATGGTCAGTTTCCTGTCATCCCACACAATATTGTGGATGCTATTCTACTCACAGCTTTCCTTTGGTTTGTAACGTCATCAGAGGGATTTGGCCCAACACGTATGCTGTATTGTCTGTATTTGCGTAAGTTTGGGGACTGTCGCATCAAATGAAAACTTTGGAAAAAGTGTGATAAGGACTTACAGGCCACGACATAGTAGTTGAGCTCATTTCCATAGGCATGGAGATCCTCTTTCATGCCAGAGACGTAGGCATTGGTAATGTTTTGTTGGCCGAGGAACTTAATAACATAGTTAGCAGAAAGTTGTGGCAGATACTGGGCTGATAAGGTGAACAAACGCGACAGAAGACTGGTTTATGTTAGTAACGCGTGACAACCGGCGAGAAATAATCGTACTCACAACTTAAACATCCAAATATCAGAATAGCCAGATCAAGCTTTCGGAGTAGCTTTCTTTCTTCTTTTGGGTAGTGAGATGCTGTTGTGCTGTTAGTCAACCCGAGGAAGTGAGACAAGCGATTGGGGTTTCTATAGACGTACGATACCAGTCGAAGACAGATACGACAACTGCTCCGACCTTGTTCTTCTTGACAGTTGTGATCACGCCCATCTTGAAACAACCAACACCTCTGCAGGGTGTATTATGGTACGATGATCTGGCGATGTTTTACTGCGTTGGAAGAGAAGTGATCAGCCAATTGGTAGAGTTTTATACAACACAGGTATACAGTTCGCCAATGCGACTACGGAGCTCATTCCAAGCTACAGGTATGGCGAGCTATACCCCTAGACTATGTATCCACAGATAGTTTTTTACCATAATAAATCATCTCGATGCCACGGTCTCTAATCTGGGACCCGGGTGGCCAGAACTAACCACACCAAGATAGCAATGCATCGTCGACAAGACAATCCCGCGGGTAAGATTCTGTATAGAGTTACTTGCTACAACGCTAGATAATTTACTAGGCACGTTTCCATATGCGTGGTTTCATTTATAGAAAACGCCATCGATTATCATATGGCGACATCCGCCCCACTTGTGATATTCGATGAGACAAGCCACTGAGAGAACACATCAAGACGGAAATTGCGGGGAATACCATCTTCAGTAATCTATTGCGACATTCCGATATAGAGTCACGTAAACATGGTAATCCTTTTCCGGATTACTAAGTAACGAGGGAGACGGATGAGTGCAACCGCTCTGCGGGGTCGGAGCCAGAGTGATTATCGACATCTAAATCGAGAAGTGAAATACTGTATATAAATGCATTGGATATCGGCAGTTCAAGCAATAATTAAAACACCTCAAGCTACTTGAATTGTAATATCTACCACTGTACAATATGCCATCAGCAACTCAACTCTACCAGTACAACCACGTCCCTGAGACGAAGGAGAACCTCGATTGGGCAGACTGTAAGCTAGCGAAAATCCCTGTATCTATCTACTTGGCATAACCAAGTGTCTAACAATGTCATAATGAAAGTGCCAACAATCGATCTTTCTCTATATGGAACGGAGAGTGGCAACGCAGAGCTTGCCCAGACCCTCATCGAGGCCATCCGCACTAAGGGTTTCTTCTATGTTACCAACTATGGCATCTCTCAAGAGGAGGTCGATACACAGTTTTCCCTAGGCCAGCAGTTCTACGAGCTTCCTTTAGAGGAAAAGGTCAAGTACCAGCCTAACCTAGAAGCAGGTGACTATAATGGATACAGACCTGCTGGTAGACGTGTTCTTAGCGGAGGTATTAAGGATAAGACTGAGGTTTGGAATATGGCCAGTAAGTGTAAAACGAAAGGTCATCTGCAAGAGTGATGGTCTAATGTGATACAGCGAACGACGGTCGCATTACTCAGCCTCTTCCTGAGCTCCTCCAAAAGAACAAGACTTTGATCGAGAACTTCTCCAAAGATTTACATGACAAGGTCCTTGACCCACTTCTGCATCTCATCGCTATTGCTCTTGAACTCCCAGAAGACTTCTTTACTAAGCTTCATCAATGGAATGTTCACGATGAGTCTCACCTTCGATACATGAAGTACTCCAAGTTTAGCCCCGAAGAGCGAGAGAAGCTAAGTGATGGTCTTTGGTCACTGGGTCATACTGATCTCGGAACCATCACTCTCCTCTTCCGTCAACCAGTAGCCGCACTCCAGATCAAGGACCACAAGTCTGGTGAATGGAAGTGGGCCAAGCCTCTTGATGGTAGCTTGACTGTCAACACTTGTGATGCGTTGAGCTTCTTGACAGGAGGCTACATCAAGTCGACTGTCCACCGAGTAAGAAGCCTATCCAAAGACAATTGAATCCGATTGCTTTGCTAACCAAAATGACTCAACAGGTTTCCGCGCCACCCAAGGACCAAGAGCATGTCGACCGTCTTGGACTTTTGTACTTTGCTCGCCCCCAGAATGATCTCGTCCTTAGCACTATCGATTCGCCAGTACTCAAGCGTGCTGGATTTACACAGAACGAGTTCGAGGCAGGAAATCACAAAGTTCCAACCATGGGAGAGTTCACAACCTTGAAGCAAACTTGGCAACAGAAGAAGGGCAAGGTTTACAAGGAGGAAGATGGAGCAGAGATCCTGCCAGGCTTCCAGGGTAAATACCATGCATAAACACATTAATAGTATTTGAATAATGTTATTTGTGGAGATTAATATTTGTTCTTACACTGCACTTCGAAATGCTACTCGTCATAGTCAAGCTCGTCACCTCCAATGAAGCCTTTTCGAACTTCCCTATCCAGCAGTCCTTCATCATCGTTATAGTCTCCATTTTCAAAGTCGTTGATGCTAGCTGTGTTTCGAGATCTCTTGTCAGACACCCTTAACTCTCTTTCACCCATGTATTCATCTTCCTCCCCATATTCGTCACCAGGATCATACCTCGACCTTTGTTCATGACGCTTGGATCCAGCAGGTGTTCTACCAGACATTGATGGTCCACCCTGGATTCCTGCTTGTGTATAAGCTCTTGGGTTTCTGGCCGGCGCTTCTAGTCGACCAGCCAAGCTGCCATCCCTCTGTCGTGTAGGCCTTGATGATGGCATCTGATATTTTGCTCTTCGCCGTCCATCTCCCGCCATCGGTTCACGCGGTGGCCCATCTCCGTATGTTGATGGGCTGCGATACTGATATGGCGCTTGCTCCCGCCTCCGGTCCTGCTCACTTCTTCGTGGCGCAAGATACTCATTTCGCATATGGTCGGCCGGAACCATCTCAAGTCTCGCTTGATCCGCATCAATCACGGCTCTTGTATAGTCCATGTAATTCCTGAATTTTTCAATCGCTACTGCGACTTTTTCAAACTGACGTTCGTCAAGCACGGGCGACGCTAGTTGACCAGATTCAGTGTTTGCCGTGCCAAGAGAAGCCCTCTCGTCAGGAAAATATCTGCCTCATCAAGAAGTAGCATACAGTCCCAAAAGTGAGCCAGTCGGAACAACTCGTTCAACTTTGAATCGACCGCCTCGGGTGTTAACCCCAAGTCTCCACAGGTGATGCTGAATAACGGCTTCTTATTAGCCTGGGCAATGGCTTCAGCCGTAGCAGTCTTGCCCACACAAGGAACGCCATGAAGGAGTATGAAAAGTCCGGAGCCTTTACCACGAACTAGATACTGATCAATAGGTCGAAGAATCGGTTGTTGGCGTTAAATCCCCTGTTTCTCAAAGTGAGCTGCTACCAAAGATTGAATGATGAGCTTGTGGTTCATGTCAATTTGTAAGTCGTCAAAGATTGTAGATTGAGGAGGAATAGCTTCCAAGGAGTAGATATCCACCATGACAAAATGCCTCTACCGAAGAACATAAACGAAAACCCGGCGTGGTAGTAGCAGGTTGTTGATATCTTCATCAAGGCCATCCAGAGTAGTAACTTAGCCTTCGTTGTACGCTTGTAGAAACGTATCTTTAGCGACGCCACCCATCTTCATTTATGTTTTCGATATCATCGTTTCGCTGAGTTAGCTCCTCGATTCTGTACAACGGCTCATTGGGTTTATCTAGATCTGGGAAATCTGGCCAATGATGTATCTCCGTTATGTCAATCCCATTCTTCCACTCCGCATATGTCTCTTCATTTGGAGCCTCAAAGTCGGGCTTCCAAGAGGGTTAACGCTTCAGGGCTTCTTGAAAATCGATGATAACGTCTCCTTTCACGTGCTCCGGAGTTCTATTATCCTCCTCGTCTACGACACCCAGAGGGGGGCCTATGATTGTCCAGCCCTCACATGAGACGTGCCGTTCAATGGTGAGACTCCTGAAACGCTGTCCTTGTAGTGTCAAATTCTTCTCGACCTTGGTTGCAAAAATGATGGGGTACGCAAGAAGATCTCGTATATCTTTCTTTTCACCGAAATATAGCGCACTCTACTTTGAACCATGACCGCTTCTTTGAGTGGTTACGTACCGAGCACCCCGACTCTCTTTTCATCGATGGCAACTGCCAAGGCAATCCCACAGACAGCGTATCGCCTATGTCCCTTTTACGCACCAGGATCGGTCTAACGATAGCAGAGATGGAACCCGAAATTGTCTTTGTCCACTCCCATTGCGGATTGCATGTTGATCCAGGCCGCAATAATTGGTATTGACCAGACGGCATGATTCGCTCCTTTCTGTCACAGATTCTCACTGCCTTAGTCGACAAGGACACTCTTGCCATGAACTTTTCGAACCGGAGAAGCTTTGTGAAGGACCTCGAATACAACGACATTCACGCGTTGTGCGACCTGATTCACGACCTTGTTCAGCAGTTCGATGCTGATACGACTATCTATTGCTTTGTTGATGATGGCTCAAAGTTTGACGTCGATTCTAGAGGCGCTTTTGCATCACTTAAATTGATATTTGGACGCATCCAAGGCATAATTGGGGATGATAATCTGAAACTAAAACTGAAGGTTCTCATGACAGTACCATTTAGATCTTCACAACGGTTGAGGAGAACAATTGAAGAATGATAAGCCGGCTGAAATCATATCATCCAGTAAGAGAGGGCCTGAAATGAGATTCAGTTCGTGACTCCACTGACTCTGAATAACTGTCTATGATTGATGTTACCAAGTAAACCTTGTCGTATTGTTACATTGGACACGCAGCGACAAGCCTTGTTTTAACCGCCTGGTCGTTCCACTTTCGAGTTTTGCCAATGAGCGGACTTACTCCGGAGGGTATATCAAATTATTCGTGCAATTCATAAACCTAGCATTAGGCTGGGCGGATTGTATCGTATTGGTAATAGCTCCTCTTGGAATTATAACTATTATTATCAGTGTTATTCAAGTAGGCAGACTGATATAGCTAAAGGCTATTGTAGGCCGGGCGAAAGAGAATATATCGGTCGCATAGATGGAGCTAATGTTATCGACATCTCGCGAGATTTATGAGGTCTATAACGTCAAGAGCACGAATAGACGTATGCAAATTAAAAATGATATTGCTCCTTGAGGATATAATTACTTAAGAATCTCTACATGTGAGTACTCAGTTATTATATCTAATTAGCAGTATGAATCTAATATTATTGTGATAGCCCCCTTGAAAGGGAGATTTTTTCCCGTCTATTAAGGCCACAGAAGCTTCCTTTTCAGTCTAGCACTAACATACACTAACATACAATTATCACAAGCGATCCGCTTGCTCCATCTCCAGGGTCTGTTTCTTTTCACCATCACCGAAAAGGCCAAGGTCTCCAACCGTTCCGCTTCATATCCTTGACGATGACAGGCGCATCTGGCAGTGGTGATCGGTGCTCTTTCTCCTTCTGCTGCTGTCTTTCAAATTCCGCTGGCTTTTCGTCAGGTTCATACTTCCAATTCAGGACATTGACGACACCAGTGGGACCTCGCCCAAAATGTACGTTTCCTACGAAGTAATGTTCCCAATCCATCATACCCTTGTATAGCCACTCATCCCTTGTCCGAGGCGTGAAGCTATATACATCCTTTGCATAGAACTCTAGATTGCACCTTGAGTCCTGGTGGCCGTTAATAGTGAGGGCTAGGTGATCCGTTTCTTCACATTTGAAGATGTTGACTGTGACATTGCTCCAAAGATAATTACCAACGTACTCATGTAGCTCAGCCTCTTTTTGCATGACGTCCGAATGAGCTAGCCAGTCAACCAAGAGTTGCTTGTGCCATTGCCTATGAAGATTCGCCTCCTCTTGGGCAAGCTGAAGATAGTCAATGGAAGGTTTAGCATCAAAGAGGGCTTGAATCATAATCTTGGCAGCAAAGTCAGCAGCATCACCCAAGTTTCCCCCGTTGGTGAGAGCAACAACCGCGCTTTGCGTCCCTGGAAAGAGATACATTGCCGAAGAGTATCCATTAGCATTGCCCTGGTGCCCTATAAAGAACTGTCGAGGAGATTCGCGTCCTAGGATGTATTGCCTGTTGAAAGCCTTTTGGTCTTTCTTTTTGACTTCGTGGTTCGTCCCCATATAACCAAGACCAGCCGTTGGCATATATCCAGAATACCACCCCATGCAATATGCCAGTTCGTTGTCAAACCCATCTTCCGTTGGTCGGGTCCATTGAGGGCCCCAGACCTCTAGCATCTGTCTTAGGGGATTGTTAGAATCTTCCAGAGACGTTGATCCATCCTTCTCGGAAATGTACGCCTCCATCATCGCAGCTGAGAAATTGAGTAAATCAACTATGGAACTCTGCACACCAATGGCGCCTAAAAGAGGGGAATGATCATCACGAGTATATGTATCCCCGGATCGTAGCTTTTTATACTCCCCACTATCAAGCTTAGCATAGCCGTGAGCTCTGTTGGAGGAAGAGTCAAATTCGGCTGAAGAAACAACCGTATTTCTTAGGCTCAAAGGTTCAATTATGCGTTTCCTGAGAAATTCCGAGTACCGTTGGCCAGTGACCTTCTGTACGATCAGGGTGATTAACCCATAAGGAAGGTTATTGTATTCCCACCAAGTGTCGAAACGCTGACCGGTCTTGTCGTTTTCCGTAGATATATGGTTTAGAAACTCGACATATTCATCCTCCTTTGAGACTATTGAGCAATTGGGACCGAGGAAAAAGATTTGTGGTCTACTCAGGCCAACAGTGTGCGAAAGTGCCGATCGTATAGTCGCCTCAGATCCAATACGAGGGTCTCCAACAGGCTTGAAATTCCGTATGTGTTTGCTGATTAAGTCATCGAATGATAATTTGCCCTCATCTACAAGGATACCTATTGCTGTAGATAAGAACCCCTTGGAGCACGATGCGAGAAGATAGCTTGTTTTTGAATCAGCTAGCAGCCCTTCGTCAACGTCGCGTAAGCCGGTGCTATACTCGTGGACTTGCTTTCCATGATGCAGAACTCCAACAGAGATGGACGCGACTCCACAGATGCCGGAGAGGGCATCAATCACTTTGGCCTGATCAAGCCTATCGACCAGTCTTTGTTCAAACTTGTCAAAATCTGCGGACTCGACGGTTGGTTTGATACTTACGCTGACATCTGTGATGAAGCCGAGACGATGTAACTAGCCACTGCTGGCCTTTGAATGGTGAAGACAATAGCAGTATGTGTTTCATAATTTGGAAACGATTTTGCTCCCTGTGATCAGGCTCCCGGGTCGGATGACAATATGTTGATCGCCTCAAAGCCTGTTGGGGAGAGAAAATATGGAGGTGAGATTGAGGACAGATCATTCGGTCAATATGCATTCCGGTGTCCTGGAATAACCAATCATGATGAGTTTGGGTATCACACCGGTATTTTGTGTATCTGTCTTATTGGCCAGAGACTGTTGGGGTGCTACGATGATACATCACTGAGAGAATAGCCAATGTAACAAAATCAACCCCACTGGCCCTGGTTGAACTGTGCCTCAATCACACAACCTTCATATTCAGGTCTTAAACCTATCATTTGACGAAGCCGCCCTTCTGAGCTCAATAGAGGGGGCAATTGGGCATAGATGTTGCTTAGCGACTGCTCCATGATGATGCTAACTACTTCCAGACCATCAGCTGAGGCCATTAAATCACATGCAGTAATGTATTTCGTCTTAAATGCCTGTTATCCTTTATTACCCAGAAAACCTCTTGCGGCTCAAATCGTCAATCATTTACAATTCTCACCTCATCATCATCAACGGACATATAGAAGCCATCGTATCTGCGCTTACCCGAATTTAACAATTCTGACACAAAGCTACAATCTTTTATCGCTGTCGCTTCAATAGTCGTCGCCATGCCTTGGTCAGATAATTCAAGTGCGATAACATCAACGGACACTGTTGGAGATGATCCAAATGAGAGCCAAGGTGGCGGTGGTACCAGTGGAGGAGGAGGAGGAAGGCCGCCACCAAAGCCAAACCCTACTCCCGGCCGATAGGTCAAAGATACCTATCTTGAGTTCAAACATTTTTAAAGCAGTTATTGATTTCCTTGAAGAAAGTTGTAAGAGAACTTTCAAACACCCTCTTACCATGCTTGCTGACGCGGTAGAATATGATACAGTTAAAGCAAGCGCGACAGTGGACAAGGAAGAATGAGGTTGAAAATGAAGGAATTGAAATGCAACGTGTTCTGTCTGTGTTTTGGGGTGGGTGAGGTGCATAAGATATTTTTGACAACACAGGTTGGAGGGTTGGCTTAGGCAGCTACAGCCTCATTCAGGATGTGACAAGACTTTGAGGGTCAACCTTATAAGATGTTCTCGCTTTACTTTGCCGTTATTTGGTAGAATCATGTCGTACAAAACAAACCTATGAAACATTGCAATTAGATCAATACCCCTTTGTCCGTTATCATTTCCTGCTTTGTGTATCACCAAATCTTTGGTAGCGTGGCGTGTGCTCATGGATCAGCTCACTAAAATATGGTTGGAGGCTCAAGTTTTACAGCGTCAGCACCTAACCGTGGAAGAGCAGGAAACAGTGGAAAAGGTTGACTCTTACGAGCACCTCTGCGAAAAGCTCGGAAAGATTCAGGCGCAGTACAAGCTTGAAAGATGGGTGCGGCTCCTAGCTAGGATGGACCCTTTTGTATCAAGACTGCGCTCATTTGCGACCGTACTCTCTGTTTTTGCCCAAGCCAAACCTGAGGTATTGTCCTTTGTCTGGGGCTCTGTTGCCCTGGTTCTGGAGGTGCGTATGTGCTGTATCTGCAATGCAGCTCACTGTTTATTCAGCTTTTCTGACAGGGCCATCCCTCTGTAGCTTGCCGCAGGGCATTCGGCAGTTCTAGAAAGCATCGTCGATACCTTCGAACAAATGGAAAGGGTTTTGCCTCGTTTCCAGTGCTACGTGAAGGAATACGTGTCACCTTCGTCAACAATTACTCACCTCAGAGACGCCATTCGACGGTACTACCAGGAGTTGATTGACCAGTGCCAGGATTATATCAGGTTCTTGAAAGCCTCGTCGCTTAGTACGTGCACTATTGTTTTCATATAGCAGGGTTCTCCTTTTCTTCGGTCAACCAGATGATGCAATGTCCCGGGCAATTTATATGAGGCAGATAATCTGGGCCAATCAGCGCGATTAGACTCACAGACCCCGTTTGATCGTCGCCCCAAACAGCCGTGTTGTGTTCACCGGTTTCGAGTCAGCCGCACTGACATTTTCATAGAAAACTTCTTATTGCTAGGCAGGACATCTAGAAAGCTGCGCACAGGTTCAACCAGGCGTCTGAAGCGACTAAGACATCTATCAATAGATGTAGAGCAAGAGGCAAGGATTGAAGAGCACAGGATAACCTATCGTACTTTGAATTCCCTGCGAGTAGAGCCTACAATGGCCACAATTCTACCATACCATGGTGTCACTTACCGCCAAAACCCAGCTTTCTACTCAAGGCCCCAGTACCTGGAACAGATAAGCGCAGTGCTTGACCCTGATACTCCACGAGGGCTGACGAGCTTTGCTCTGGTTGGCTTTGGGGGCTGCGGCAAGACACAGCTGGCGATTGAGTACACTCACCGAACCAATCATTATGATGCGATTCTTTGGTGCGCGGCGGAAAACAGCCTTCAGCTCTCTGAATCATTTGCAATGCATGCTAGGCGATTAGATCTCATCAAAGGCGACGACGTGCCACAAAAGGACCGTATTATAAGCCTAGTTAAGCAACGACTTCTTTCCCTAAGCATTAAAGGTGTTACATACCGATTAGTTCTGAAATATTCTTGAATCGCTAACAGTCTGCATAGGAAAGCCGAGCAGGTGGTTGATGATCTTTGACAACATGGAACCTTTCGATGGCCTATCGTCGTTCTGGCCTAGTGGCCTATCGGGATCAATTCTTGTAACCACACGAAACAAGACCCTTGCCAAAGAATTCACCGAATCTCAAGTTTCCATCCCACCATTCGAGCCACTTGATGCACGACGATTCCTACTGCAATATAGGACAAGTGGCACGGAACACACCTGTCAAGAAGATAATGCTGCCGAAATCATCAGTCAAAGACTTGGAAATCTTCCTCTAGCACTGGACCTTGTAAGGCATCATGTTTCGGCAAGCGGGAGCTCATATAATGAGTTTCTCAAATGTTATGGAGAACCCAGTGAACCATTTCTATATGATAGGATAAGTTCGACATGGAGGAATGAGTGGTACCATCAGAACGTTTTTGCAACTTACACACTTGGAATGCAAAGAATGACCAACAAAGCTGTCGACATGATTCATGTGCTGGCCATCCTGGACGTCTCGTGCATTCCACTATCCATATTCGGAGCAAATAAAGAGGAAATGTCAGACTAAGACACATCTAAAGTCAGATTACCCTCGCTAACCTTTACTGCAGGCTGTACAATGGCCCCGATGTTGAAGATGAGCTACCTCAACTCCAAGATTTACTCGAAAGCCCAGTCGCGAATACATATGAGTGAGAACGACGCATTGAAGAAAATAAAATAACAACTGACAACTATCCAGACTTGATACAGTGGTGTCTGAATTGATGGATGGCTCTCTGATCGATCGCAACGTCGGCTCGGGCAGTCTGAGCTTGCATCGCATCTTGCAAGACTCTGTAGCATATTCTTTCGATGCAGCGACGAGATCTAGGTCTTTCGGCAAAGTCTTGTTCTACCTCAATGGTTGCTTTCCCGCTCAGCGCGACGGTGGGTTACTATTTGAACAGTGGTATCTGTGCGAACAATACATTCCTCATATCGTTTCCGTTGTCCAGTTTTATAAGAAACATGTTCAACATTTGGATCCACCAATCATGCTTGCCGAAATCATTCGTCGATGTGCATGGTACCTCTTTCATAATCATGGCAGATAGATCCCTCGCTGATTAGAGTTCAGGTACTTGTTGGAGAAACATCAATTTAAAGAGGGCAAAATGCTTGTGCGGGATGCGGTGGAGATCTGCAAAAGAGCTCGCATATCCAGGACCTTATTGGGATTTACTCAACATAGATACATTCCCCGATTGCTCTCGGATTTGTATAATGTCATAGGCGCGTTGGAGTACGACTCTCACACTGAAGGCCATGGATTAAGGTGGGCTTTGAAAGCACGAAGTATTCGGCAAGAGCTATGTTTGACACTCGACCTTGAAAGTGACAAATGTATGCTCCAGGTCTTTCAGCATAACATTGCACTTGATATGCTAGCAAATGGTCAGCTACGGGAAGCACTGCCGTTACTAGAAGCCGTCCACGAATATGACGCTTCAACGAGTGGCGTCAATGCGGACAATTTTTACCGAACTCTTAGCTTATCGATTTGCTATCGACTATTGGGGAAGTATATCCATGCAATGGATTGCTCAAACATAGTGATGAAGGTGATACAAGAGCATATTGGCGAGGATAGTGTACCAATGGCAACGTGAGTCCCACCACCTCCGACAACTGATTTTAACAATAACACCATGTTCAGCGCACGCTTCTGTTGGGGAAATTTACTACTCTGCATGGAAGACCGAGTTGGTGCATACAACGCGTTCTCTATGTGCTTTCTCACTCGTCAAAAACTTATGCCAGCTCATTTTGACACTGCTTTCGCGGCACATAAACTTGGAGCCATGGCTGTTCAGAACGGAGATTTAGGTGCATCCATGTACGATTTTTATTTTGAAACCCTCAGTCAAAGTGATTTTTACAGACTTGCTAACCAATGGTGATGGATGTAGCCAGTTACTAACCCAAGCGTTACAAATCTTGGGCGATACAGATCCCATGAGCCTCGCTGCGATACGAACCGCGTATCTTCTGAGTACAGCCCTTCTCCAGTCGAATCAGAGTGATGCGGCCAAACTCATGCGTGATAGAGTCAACCAGGCTCTTGAAGCTGAAGGGAAACGTGTAGATGCCGAAGAGGCCGGTTATTCGCAGAGCTTTTTCGATTCATTAGTTTTATTCCGACATTTATAGAATTGCAAGATGGTGGGCTTAGGGATTGTTGGCGAACAGTGAGAGTCTCAAAAGTGACAAAAGTGATGGAGATTGTTGACCTGTTGAACAGCCTACCCTGGACTCATTTATTCTGAGATAGAAATAGAAATGAGAGAAAAGAGAACCGGCATAGAGAGATAGTGAGCTATACAGAGTGGCAGGAAGAGAGATGTTAAATAAATTACCCATTAGGGTTAGAAGATTCAGGTGCAATTTGAAAATTGTCAAATAAACTCAATTGATCAACGAGGATAACGAAGAAGATTGGTGGTAATTTCCAAATCATGGGGATAGCAGCCTTTGTTGAAGATATTTAGTTATTGTTCATCAGAATATCGTCCGGCGCGTTTCGACTAGATAAGACCACGAAGCTAAACTCACACGAACCAAAAATAGTGCCACTTGGTTATCATTTCATCAACCAGATCATTCATGTCGCAGCAACTTCGTCCGCTGGTCCCGCGGACAGCCCCGGATCAGCAGAATCCTAATACTCCAGATAGTGGAAGTAATGGTTCCAAAAGACAACTCGTATCTCGTCGAAAGCATACCCCTACAGCTTGCGGTCTCTGCCGTAGAAGAAAGACAAGGGTAAGATAATCATGAGCGAAGCCAAATCTTGGCATAATTACTGTAAACTATGCCATCACTGAAGCACCCACTGACCATGCGATCCTATGTCTAGTGTGATGGAGAGCGTCCCATCTGCTTTGCGTGTATCCACCACGGCCGTTCAGCAGAATGCACATATGAGACGAAGCCCGCAGAGACACAAAGTCAAGCTTTGAAGCGCAAGTATAGTGCCGCAGAAGGCGAAAACACTGTCCATCGTAGATTCGTCGACATCCTTCGGTCCTACCCAGCTCAAGATGTCAACAACATTCTCGGCCGTCTTCGTGGCGGCGCTAGCGTCGATGAACTAGTTAGACATATCGAATCAGGAGATATGCTCCTGGAGCTCTCGGTGGCACCAGAGGTACAATGGCGGCACAACCCTGGTGGACTACTAAATATACCCGATCTACTGAAGACAGCCAATAACCCTTATGTCAAATCTATCATCTATCAGATAAAATTTAATTCATCATATACAGCAATACCACAGTCATCACCAGGAACCGGATCCCTCGCTTTGTACAATGCTCCATATCACACAGCTACTATGGTCAGCACCCTACTTGACACTTGCGAACCATCAAAGTGAACGACAGTATCGACAGATGACGAGCTGCTCAGAGAAATCCTTCGTCGTTATTTTACTTCTGTCTACATGTTTCTTCCCTTCTTTCATAAAGACTATTTCTTATATGATATGGCGCGCGGAAGAAATCGCTTCTGTTCTTCTTTACTCGTTAATGCAGTCCTGGCGTCTGGTTGTGTATGTATCACTAATATCAGCAAAGTCCCATATCGAAATAGCAGCTGACCCATGTGAACGTTATTAGAGAGCATGTCCGACGCTGCCGGATCGTCACGAGTTTTCCAACCCTTCATTACTACAATACAAGTTCTTATTAGAAGCGCGTCGTCTACGAGAACTTGGAGTCGGTGAAAGCAGCATCACTGGGATTCAGACCGATATGATTTTACATCTTGAACACGGTATGAATGGTCAAGATAAGCTGGGATGGTCTCTCTGCATTGCGGCTGTAGCTTCGGCGCAAGAATTGGGACCCTTTGATGATTATACTCCGACTATGAGTAAGGCTCAAAGAACAGTACGGACAATGGCAGCCTGGGCTCTATTTGCCTGGCAAGGGTATTATAACCGATTTCCGTTGAGCAAAGTCCAGAAGCTAAATCGGTACACAGACTGCAAAGCTATCATCAGGAGAAACCTCCTCTTCTCACATCACCTCCCAGTATATCGTTGCCTACTGGCGAGGATGCCTTTGGGGAGATTTGGATAAAGTACGCCGCATCTCACTCTCCCATGCCAGTTCACTTCAGCAACATCTTTATTGCCCTGGCTAGGTTTCGAACAATTTTAAACCAAATTTCAGACCGTCTCAATTCACCTGTCACTTCACAACAGGGCATGGATATCAATGAGACCACGATGATTTATCGTCAGCTTCAAGATTGGTATACTTGGTTGCCGAGCTACCTGAACGCTCATAATTTGGTGTTTCCTACTCACTTCAATCTACAGTAAGTTATCCTGCGACACTGTACTTTATTCCCGTTGCTGGTTCTATATACTAACAAAGATAGTATGCACTACTGGCTTGTTGTTGAACGCCTGTTTGCACCATATACTGAAAACAATTGTTTTAACATTCTCGCCACGTAAGAAGTTAACCCTAGGAAGATCATTGGTGAAGCCAGAATATGCATGCGAACACTCATTCGGTTGTATTATAGCAGTCATGGTGACGACGGGTATGACTTGTTTGGAGTTCTCATCGCTCAACACGTGGCATTCTCGGCTCTTGCAACAATGCAGCAAGTTGCAGACAGAACTTTGAAAGAAATCAATGACTCAGACGCCCTGATATCCGCCTGCATTCTTCGGGGGCAAGGCCGAATGTCCACCTTAAGCGATATTGTACTCAAGGTCTTGTACAAAAGTGCCCCTCTAGACCTGGCTAGCAAGATATCTAGATTCACAAACGTCGGCGAGGACGATAACTCACTGACACCTTTCATGCCCTTACAGGCTGAGTGGCCAATTTATGTCGGTCAAGTCTCTCAGAAAGATGAGCGCAGGCTTGGGAATTTGTTCCGCGCGATTAGTGAACTGTCTGCAGATAACAGAGATAGCGATGAGGAGGAAATTGTGGACTTTGTTTGAAAATAAAAACTTGACAACTCTATGAATAGTTTTGATTCCCTCTTAAAGAAAAAGAATACGATATTTGCAATATGTTTGCAGTAGACCCAAAGCTTTTCAACAAGTATCCTTGAGTTGTGTGAATGTAAGATTATCCAATCCAATGCAAAACTGATAATAATGAGACTTTATGCTTTGACTACTAGCCTATTTAAGATCTCATGATGGAATTTTAACGATAGTCACAGTATTACTTCCTATAAGAGTAGGTAGTAATCGGTGACTGTTGACCTTGGGTATCACGTTTCTGGTCACGTGATGAAGTCATATCTTTCCTTTGGTTGTAGTCCTTCGACTTCGCTTTTAATCAATTAATCTAGATAAGACTTTCTCATTTCATTATCAATAACGAAGAAGTGTTGTCCATTCTGCTGAAACGGTATCTGATAGCTACAAGATATCCTCCTCCACAACCTTGACGTTCACTTTCATCCCCCAACCATCCGGTCCTCCGACCCAATTCTTCTTCTTACCAATTTTTTCCACGATGTTCACGTGATCACTCAATGCCTCTTTCAATTTCGCAGGATCGTCCTTCATCTTCTGAATAGAAATTGTTAGCTGCAACCCCTCTCCATGCTTTTTATGTCCCAAGTCCCATGCCCATTGTGACGAGAAAATAACACGTGGCTTTCTCTCATCTACCTTTCCCGCTGGATAGAGGCGGCCGAGCAAATATCCGACTCTCCCAAGATACGAAGCCCACCAAACCTCCTCAGGAGTAATTATGGATTGGAGCGCCTTCTTGAATTGTGACTCTCGTGGGGGCAGTTCTCCCATGTAACGTGACTCCAACATCAGGGCAAGTCTTGCCCGATCTTGATGAGACACCCCACGGGTATAGGCGAGAAGGCCGGTGCTTGTGCTGTACATTGCGGTTGTGGAGGCTAACTCCTTGTCCATGATGGTGTGAACATACATAGTGTTTGCAAATGCGCGTAGAATATGCTTGTTGATGGACTCTGGGAATCGGCGAGTTCCTCCCTTTGAAGGCTCCGGGATAGAAAGCACGAGAAGTCTGTACAGTAGCTCTGCCGACTCCGGGGCGACTCGCTGTGTAGTAACCTCCAGGGGGTCTTGAGCTCTGATACTAGGCCCAAGCTCTTTGAACAAAAGGCCTTCTCGCACGCCACCTTGACAAAAGTGCGCAAGACGAATACCATGGGGAATCGCATTAGACAAAACGTTGATCAGAAAGGCCACAGCAGGAACTTGCTTTCTTCTCCGGTCGGAAACCCTAAAGATAGAATGTGCAGTACGAGCAACTTCTTCCAGGGCTTTTGTGTTCTCAAATCTTTCTTTACCTACCGTATAACCATTGATGATTGATATGGGGTAAGGGACACTGCTGGTCTGACTGATAGACAGCAGCAAGTAACCCCAGCCTCTGAACCCGCCGCCGGACAGGTATAGTGGAAATCCACCGTTTGCCTTCGCTTCAGCTACTAAGCTCTCCGGCACCTTCAACTTCTGATATGCATCTTGGAAATTGCTCTTCATCTCATCATGTAGTCTCTCCCGGGCTTTTTCTGCTTCTTCTTTTGACTTTCCCCTTTTCAAGTCCTCCAGAGTCTTAGTTAATGCTGCTGCCCCATATGGAAAGCTGATGGACCCTCGATCGCTGATTCTGACATTCCCATCCTGTGAAATGATCCAAGTAATTTGTGTGCTTCCACCTCCGAGGTCCATCATTAGTCCCTTGATGTCAGAGAAGCCACTTGCAACACCCAAAGAGCCGATGCGACCTTCGTCTTCTTTGGGGAGCAAGTCAACAGAAAGCCCAGTATCTTGATAGATCTTTGTGATAAATTCAGAAGAATTGAGAGCAGCACGAGTTGCTTCCGTGGCAACCACATGAATCTGACGTTCTGGAACATCAAGGTCGGCGCAGACAATCTTGAAGCGATTCAATGCAGCGATAACCTCACCAATGATACTGGAAGGAATTGGCACCTTTTTGCCCGTGTCTGGGTCAAATTGGGCATCATAGAGTGAGATATCAACACGGTAAACATGGATTGTTGGGAGGATACGAGAAAACGGCGGGGATAGATCTGTGACTGAAAACCGGATTCCATTGCTGGCAAAGCGGTTAGAGTATGGGTAAGGCTTTATTCAGCAAGCTACTCACCTCCCCATGTCTACTATACCTCTCAGGTGAGAGACATCCTTTGTTGGTCGTTCATCTCTGGCTGCGGAAAAGGACGTTGGACGTGTTTCCTGAATGATCTCAAAATCAAGATCGGAAGATTCCATGATGAATCGGAAGCTTGTACAAGATAGAAATTGCGATTGAATGACTATAGAGTATCCTGGAACAGTTTCTTAGTTGTGTAAGAGGAAAACAATGAGTGAGAACTAATTTATAACCGCCTGACAGTGAACATGGAAGAGATAGATTTTGCAGCGGCATTCTATATGTGCCATGGATATTTGACACTCAGTACACGATATTGAAGTCAAACTCACAATGCTTCATAATCAACACTTAGGTAACGTTACTATGTCTGTGCATCATTTGCGTGGATATGATTACGGAAAGATCCACAGTTTGACGGTGTGGTGTTCGAGATATTGGGGCTCCTTCAACAAGTCACGTCTAGGCCCACGCTATAAAAAATGATGGATGGGGGGTCACAGTAGCCGTTAAAATCATTCGAATAAAACGGGTCACTTACTGCAAACCCCTCCTCCACTGCAGATGTGACATGAATACTGGTTTAAAGTTTAAGTTGAGGCGCATTCTCACAGCCTGAGTTAGAACCACCCACCCTACACCAACCGAAGTAAGATGAAATGGTGTGGTCGCAAATGTATGCATATATCAGCCAAAAACATGTGCAATCATGTAATATGAGTCTTTTGAGTTTTCGCGAATCAGAATGAGACATTCAACAACATGGATTCGACCAAGTTCTTGCTCGAAGACAAAGTCTAATTGCGTTGACACACTCTGTCGTCACTCCGATGGAAAATCAGCAGCCACACTTTGGGCCAAGTTGCAATCTGTGGTGTGATACCAAAATCATGGCATCAACATAGTGGTGCTCATGCGATGGCTATCTCAATGACTTGCATCAACTTCTCCCGTATGTGGAGACTGTGGTGTCCTCTCGACTCTGAGGGGAAAACAGATGCCCTAATTTTCTATTGTAGATTTCCCTTGCCAATGACAACCGTGCTTCACACCTTCGTACTTCAAGTGTGTTCAAACCGTTATCTCGCACACCCATAACAGGCATATGTCCACCAATCCTCCAGCTCCATCGTCTCCCAGCCCACAGCACTGTACTTACATCGCAAAAATTGTCATAAATCAATCTTTGAAACATAGCAAGTATGGATGACTTCGGCAAAAAGTCAGCAAATGCAACACACGACGAGGTCGCAGGTACGGATGATACCAACTCCGCACCTGTACATCTATTGCGACTTCTTAAAGATGAGAACCTTCACAGGAAACCTGGGAGTCGGGAACAAGTGAATGGTCGTAATGGATCAACGGACTCTGTTCTACAGAAACTGGGGCTTCATGACCAGACGCTCAATCCATCTAGTCCGACTTTCGACTTTCAGGAGTGGTCTCGTTTGTTAGTTAGATTGAGAAACCATTTGAACGTACCAACCCCGCCGCGTTCCGGATTTACCTTCAAGAGCTTGACTGTCCACGGTAGTAGTTCCGGTAGCAAGCACCAAGACACTGTCTGGACACTGCTCACCTTTCCTCTCAACTTCAGGACTTGGTTTCGTCAAAAGGAGACCAAAACCATCTTACAAGGACTAGACGGAGTGGTTCACAAAGGAGAGCTTTTGCTTGTTCTTGGACGTCCTGGTAGCGGTTGCTCAACGTTCCTCAAGACCATCACAGGTCAAATGGGAGGCCTTGAAATTGGCCCAGGATCCAGTATACAATACACAGGTATGGCAGCTGCCAAGGTGACAGTGAACACAAAATTGACTGAAATATCTAGGCGTGCCGCACCAGATCATGACCCGTGAGTTTCAAGGAGAGCTCATCTACAACGGAGAGGTAGATGAGCATCTCCCGTATTTGACGGTTGGACAGACTTTAGAGTTTGCCGCCGCTATGCGTACACCAAGGGCTCGTCTTCCTGGGATCACTCGGAAAGACAGAGTTAAGCATGTGGTACAGGTTGTGTTGACTATCTTTGGCCTCTCGCATACGAAGAACACTATTGTTGGAAATGATTATGTACGAGGAGTCTCTGGTGGTGAAAGAAAGAGGGTCTCGATTGCAGAGACTGCGCTCTCCGAAGCCGCTATATCTGCATGGGATAACTCTACTAAAGGTCTGGACGCCGAGTCTGCCCTACATTTCGTGAGTCGATTACGTACTCTCTCTGACTGTAAGTCATATAATCCTTGTTTTTACCTTGGGGATATATCAGCTGATAATGATAGTGACCCAAACTTCCAGCGCAGCGGCGATATATCAGTCTTCGCAAGCCATCTTTGACCTATTCGACAAGATCCTCGTCCTATATAAGGGGAGAGAAATATTTTTCGGTCATGCTTCTTCTGCCTCAGCTTACTTCGAACGCATGGGCTGGCACCGCCACCCAAGACAGACATCGGGAGACTACTTAACCACAATCACTGATCCTGAGCAACGAGTAGCAAAGGAGGGCCAGGAGGATTCTGTGCCTAGAACACCTGAAGAATTCAGCAATTATTGGATCAATTCCCCGGAATATGCTTCTCTTATGAGAGAAATCAAACAGTGTCATAAGGACTCCGATCTCGAACAAGAGACGACACGAAAGCAGTTCCAGGAGATCCGCCATAAGCTCAAGGCAAAGGGAATGCTGAGACGCGCTACACAAACCGTCTCGTTTCCCATGCAGACTGCTCTATGCGTCAAACGATCAGTGCAACAGCTCTGGAATGATAAAGGCTCAACCTTGACAACACTGGTTGGAGAGATTATTATTGCACTTGTCGTGGGGTCTATCTTTTATGGTACTCCTGACACTACCGATGCCTTTTTCGCTTATGGGTCAGTCCTTTTCTTCTCGGTACTTCTCAATGTCTTGATGTCTGTAACAGATATCCACAACTTATACCGAGGCCGCTCAGTCATCACAAAACAAGTGTCTTACGCATTTTATCGGCCATCAGCCGATGCCCTGGCCAGCGTTCTGGTTGACATTCCTGTGAAGTTTGTGATTGGCGTTTTCTTCAATGTTATTCTTTATTTCTTAGCTGGTCTTGCGTTGACAGCATCTCAATTCTTCATCTTCTTCCTTTTTGTATTTACGACGACATTGGCAATGTCTATGGTCTTTCGCACTATTGCTGCTGCAACTGTTACTCTACCACAAGCTATGGCGCTGTCTGGCTTTCTGGTACTTGCCTTGGTCACGTACACTGGCTTTGTTCTGCCTAGTCCTTATATGCACCCTTGGTTCAAATGGATCTCGTACATCAATCCACTTTCCTATGCCTTTGAGGCATTGCTGGTCAATCAAGCCCATGGCACCAATTATCCCTGTTCCCATATAGTGCCGTCTTACCAAGATCTTGTCGGAGACACCTTCATTTGTCCAGTTCCTGGATCAGCGGCTGGGCAGACGTACGTTAACGGGGACGCCTGGTTCGAGACAAGCTATGATTATAGCTATTCGCACTTGTGGCGCAACCTTGGCATTATCTTTGGGTTTTTATTCTTCTTCCTATTCTTATATCTGCTTATATCTGACCTCAACGTTAACACTTCCGTTGGTGCCGACATTCTTGTGTTCCTTGGCAATAATCCGGCCACAAGAAAAGCCGATACAAAGCTTAAAGGCAGAGTGGATGTTGAACAACCGTTAGTGGTCAACAACACATCCATCGAAGTTGCAACGGTTGAAGAAACAGTACCCCAAGTAAACCAGGCTGTGTTTGCGTGGAGGAAGTTGAACTTTGATGTTGTGATTAAAGGCGAACCAAGGCGTCTACTCGACGAGGCATGCGGCTGGGTGAAACCCGGCTCGATGGTCGCTTTGATGGGTGTATCGGGTGCGGGCAAGACGACACTCTTAAATGCATTAGCCCAACGAATGCCTACGGGTCAAATCCAAGGCGAATTCTTTGTGAATGGCGGGCCTTTGCCACCGTCTTTCAAAAGCGATGTGGGCTATGTACAGCAGCAAGATGTCCATCTTGAGACATCCACTGTACGCGAGGCTTTACAGTTCTCGGCCATGCTGAGACAATCTAGTGATGTGCCCATACGGCAAAAGCTCCAATTTGCTGAGGAAACAATCCATCTTCTTGGCATGGACGACTTTGCCGATGCTATTATTGGTTTGCCGGGCAAGGGACTTAATGCTGAGCAGAGAAAACGTCTCAGTATTGGAGTTGAACTAGCCGGGAAACCATCCCTCCTACTGTTTCTGGATGAACCGACTTCTGGACTTGATAGCCAATCCTCTGAAGCAATTTTGGCATTACTGAAGAGATTGGCAGGTGGTGGGTTAGGCATTCTGTGTACCATTCACCAACCAAGCGCGATGCTATTTCAACGATTCGACAGACTCTTGCTGATGGCACGTGGCGGTAAGGTCGCATATTTTGGAGATATAGGGAAGGACTCGGAGGATGTGCTTCGGTACTTTGGTGCTCGAGCACACAGAAAATGCAAGGGCGCTGAGAACCCCGCCGAGTACATACTTGGCATGATCGGCAACACGGAAAATCAACAGATCGACTGGTCTACGTTGTGGAACCAATCTCCAGAAGCGAAGGTTGTTACAACTGAACTGGAAAGTGTCTCACTGCCTTCCTCAAAGACTTCTCTCCCAGATAGATCAGCTCAAGTCCAAAGATCTGGATCTTATCCTCTTCCATTGATATCCCAACTGCCAATTGTTTGTCAGCGAGTCTTTCGACAATATTGGCGATCGACAACCTACATTGCAAGCAAATTCATGTTGGGTATCTGTGGTACGTTATTCATCGGATTCTCATTTTTCCAGCCTGGTCAATCAATCTTGGGCACTCAAAACGCCATCTTTTCTATTCTCATGGTCTGCGCAATGTTCAGTAGCTTGGTCCAACAGGTAAGAAACCAATCACGCCGTGGTGGTAATAATGGCATGAAGCTAACACACCACTATAGATCATGCCTAAGTTCATCATGCAGAGGACGATTTACGAAGTTCGTGAAAAGCACTCTAACATGTATTCCTGGGTTGTTCTCATCCTTTCCAATATTCTTGTGGAGATACCATATCATATCGTCCTCGGTGTCATGACATTTGCGACATTCAACTACACCGTATTTGGCATACGATCATCACAAGATCAAGTTCTAGTTTTATTGTTTTTTACTTACTTTTACATGCTTATTGGCACGTTTGCAGTCATGGTTACGGCTCCTTTGCCTGACGCGACCACAGCTGGCCGTATCACGACAGTCCTGTTTTCGATGATGCTCCTCTTTGCTGGTGTGTTTCAGGTCCCCAGCGCTCTTCCGGGATTCTGGATCTTTATGTATCGTGTTTCACCAATGACGTATCTTGTTGGTGGTATTGCTGTCTCGGGGCTTGCGGGAAATCAGGTCAGGTGTTCGCAGTCCGAACTTGCCATTTTTCAGCCACCGGCTGGACAGACCTGTGGGTCATATATGCAGGCGTATCTGGAGCAGGGTGCTTCCGGGACGCTTCTAAATCCTGGAGCCACTACTGATTGCTCTTATTGTCCGTTGACATTTGCTGATCAGATCCTGGCCCGTTCCGATATGCACTACAGCGATAGGTGGATGGACTGGGGTGTTGGATTTGCTTACATAGCTTTCAACGTTGGTGCAACGTTCCTGTTTTATTCATTGTCACGATTAGGACTTCTCAGCTTGGGGATTCGGAAGGTTTCACAGCTATTTCGGCGGGAAAGGTCTGACTAGGAGTCTATCAGATCTAATATTGGAATTGTGATGCAGACCTGCTGTTCAGACTGTCTATGGCTTCTGTGAGATTGTTATGCAAAAGTCGATTCATTTCAAGACCTTATGATCCACGTTAAAGGGCCTTCTCCAGTTGCACATATAGTATCAGACTGTAAGATACCACTATCTCTTATCCAATTAAATCAAATCGGGTACCAAGGAGAAGATATAGGAGCAGCATAATACTCTTTAGCATTAGAGTCTGTTGAACATTCGTCAATGATAGCGATTTCCGGTAGTGACTTGCGTATGTGCTCTAGTAGGTAACGTTAAGAAGGGTGGCGTCGATGAAATACAAGATAGTTGCCCATATCTTGTAGTATAATGATTGCGACTAGATGACATCCCATCTAGCTAACCCAACATCTTTGAGAGAGTTTGCCACAATTATAGTTGGGTTGATGCAACAAATTGAAGAGGCATACCTATTAGTATCATATTAGCAAGGAACTGGATATTAAGTTGCTTTCGGTTGCCATCCAAGTATTGTGATAGCTAGAGCGAGGTTGAACCGAACCCCTTTTGTCATGCTGAGAAGAAGCAATAGGTTGGAGATACGACTGACAATGTGCTGAATAGTCTCAACGCTCAAAAATCTATGTGGAGACTAATAGTTAATATTCGTTGCTATAGGCAATCAGAATACCACTAAACGTACCAAGAGGGATCAGGAATAGAAAGGGTGTTTTGGAGATCTACCTTAGTACTGCGCTGTTGTCGCCATAGTTCCGACATTGAATATGTACTGAAAGCCGATGCGAAACGACCCAAAGTTCCGGCAATCATAGGGACCACTGTTGAAAGAAACCACCAGTAACTAAATGAATTATGTGTCAGATAACATCCACAGCTTTATCATGGTGCCGCAACCCCGATATTCTTGGGGGTTGGTTATATACCTCTTTTGAACCGGATCCCTACCAAATTTGGAAGATTTAGGATACGTGGCATCGCTTCGGTTTGCAGAGGAATAGCCATATACAAATTGCCCCAGATGCGCCTCGTCGTTAATGGCCATGGGATTATACTGTGATTAAATTAGGATAGTATTTCGTAGCCAAAATTGCATACCTGCAGATGCGCAAAGACTGAGTTCGAGAAAATATAGAGAGTTGCAAATACTATAGGATGCTAAAAAAATCGGTTTTCATACAATATGATATCATCAGTATAAGGTTGATGGTTACAACAGCTAAATACCGTATATCAAACCACGGTATAAAAAGGACAGCAAGTTTCATATCACTTTCTTATAATGAATCTCTATCACTAAATCTAAATAGGACATATCAATAGGTCTTTCGGCGTTGGAACATGAGGAGCAATATTGCGTACCTAGTTGAGAAAGCAGTAACATTTGTTGATCGACACTGTTTCCAGACTCACAATCTCATTCGTAATAGCAACTACAAGAGATTGTCATATCAGATCACATGAGCTTGGATACGTATTACAACCATATCAAAAGCATGGTGTGATCTAGACCTCGCTCTATGATGTTATGTTTCATAACGAGCGGTCTAGATCTAATGACTACTTCCACCTATGAACGGACCCCTTGTTCTTCGCAGAATATTCGAGCTTGATCTATCAGGCCACTAAGGTGACCTCGCCAATCGATTCTTGGTATTACTACAACAGCAGTACTGTGAAAGGCCTAGAAGTGCAACACCATGTTCAAGCGTTTTGAAAACTAGATGATGCATTACTTGATCGAAAGTCCAAATTCCATGGTTCAATGGTACCTGCTAGGTGCAATAACGTTGATTCACAGATGGCGATAGTCTCAAGATGCTGGGGCTTCATCTCAAACTTTCATCAAGGTTCCCATACAGTTCAAGGTTCAATTACTCGCATAACTAAATAAATTAGAACTAGTCAATCACTACATTCCTCCATCAATTTGTCCCCATTCCCACTGTTGAGCCGCTTCTCCCTACAAGCATTATTTAATTCGGAAACAGTGTGTACTATTTCCATCCGTGACTGCTTTTGACAAAGTAGATATTGTCCCTTCACAGTCTCTGGTGGACAGTATCGTAAACTAGACACTGACGGTCTCGCTAGTCTGCTGTTGTTCCCTACTTCGCTCGTAGCCACGTGCTCGAGGGTCAGGCCTTGGTAGCAAGGAACATTAGCTTGTAAATTCCATGACATGGTTATATGTACGTTGTAAACGAGTAGAACTTACTTTGTGAGCTTTTCTGCATGCTGCTGGATATCGCGCTTTGTCTCATCGAGCTGAACGTATGTGACGAATACATAGACACCCTTGGATACACTGTGTTAACTCTTCCCTTCTCCCTGACATGATGGTAGAATTGAAGATATAGCTCACCAGGATTCCGCTCAAAAGATGGAGAAACCAGCCGATGAACGAAAATGATAGGACCGCTCTCCACGAGGCACAACCCGCGCTATTGACGGCGACAGTTCCAGCGGGTCCAGATGTCCAGTAACGACCCCAATAGTAACCCCAATAGTTATAATACCAACGAGCAGTGCAAGTATGTGTACCCGTTCTCTGTGAATTATGAAATCATATATTATTAGTAAATACTCTTGCCTCAAGCTTATTTGAAGGTGAAAGGGTGTATAATACCGTTTGAAGCAAGCAATATGCCACAAGCCACATCACGAATAGCACAAAGTCAAAGGGGAAGCCAAGGAACATGCTCTTGAATGGCGGGCAAAATAAGACGGAGTACATGATGCCCAGACACGCGACGACGATAGTATAGATGATTCTTCCATCTACGTTATCTCCCGCGATACCAACGAGATAACAAATGCGTGAGAGGATGCCCAGGACGATTATAGCACAGGCAAGCTCCGAAAGGCGGAGAATAACGGAAATGACTTTGTGAGCGACTCCAGATTCAGATTCAGCCATGTTGATGTAGATTAGATGAAACAGATTGATGAATCGTGTTAGTTTTGTCAGAATCTATGGTTGTTATATAATCTACAGACGAAAGTGTTTACCGTGGGAATGAGAGTTATTGAACGTGAGAATTGAGCTTAATCATTTAGGCGGTTTAATACATGTCATAATGATGCAATACTGTAGAACTGTTTCAGCTTTGGGAAGGTTGTAAGTCACGATTATGTTGTAGCACACCGTGAGCGTTGTCAGTCCACAACCAGGTTTTCCGCGAGAGTTATGTTGCGATAATCCTGCCACTAATTATGACTGGCTCTAGAAAGGAATCCAGACCGGTCTTTCTGTACTTTAAAAGCCACTGAGAAAATGCGAGGTCGCGACCGTGCAATGAACAGGCTTGAATTGGAGTGAAGTACATTATCCTGCAAGGCAGGGAAGGACATGGGACGTTGTTGAAAACCTAGGGGAAACTGAGAAGGGCTGGGCGAAAGCTTAATTCATCGTAAAATACAAGACATGCGAAGCCAGATCAATTTACGATTCAGCCAATCGCCAAGTTACCCTGACTTTCGCTACCATTTCAGGTATTCCTACGTGCATTTTGCGCTAGATGAGGTTGACGAATTCATGGTTGTTCAATTGAAGACGTTCAAATGTGGCACGCCGTCAGCTTTTAGATCTAGACGTTTGGTCCACTAACTGTGCCTGCTGCATGTCATTTTAGTGTGCAACTTGCTATGCATTATCTAACTAGTTAGTCTAGACTAGACGACTCCACGTAACCCATCCACATGTGCCTGTCAACAAGACATTGGCACGAACCCCTCAAACTTTCATCATGCTTCCGGATCTTCCATTAGTAGCGCAATGGCGTGACAGGTCATGGTTAAATTTTATTTTCATCTAGTGATAGTGAATAAACCTAATCACATGGATGTCCCATTTGCTATCAGGTTTTATGATGTTTTACTACTTCCTGCCCTTGCAACAAAACTTGACTTACACAAAGGACAAGTGAAATGATGCCCTTGAAACCAACGATCGATACATTCTTGGTGATAGACATGTTCGCATTTCAATCGCCGAACAGATTCCGAAGTCTCAAAAACTTCAAGGCAGATTGCACTAGATGTTTAGAAACAGAACATCTATATAGATGATCACCGATAACTCACCAGAGTTCTAAGGAGTCCAATGCAAGCGATTCTAAGTCCTGATGCGACTTGGGCTTGGGCGATTGCGGAAATTTGTATTTCTCGGCTGGGCTTGTACCATCGAGTGTTTGCAAAGTCACTATTCCGCCTGGAGCAACCTGCCACCTCTCAACACCCCCTTCCGTAAGGATCTGTTGTCTCTTGTAGTTTATAAACCTTATGGAGTATGAGCATAAAGAAAAAGGCGGTTTGAAAAAGACTAGATACTCACGACGCGACAACCATAATGATAAGTAAGACCAAACAAGCTGCTCCGAGACTCGCTATAACGTATGAAACCTTGGTTCCGACATGTGGCTCTTCTGTAGTCGGCATATTTGAGTCATATGCCTTGTTCATTGTGTACACAAAAGAATAGATACAGAGTATTCACGGCGAAGGATTTGAGTAGTGATGGGCATAAACCAACATTTAAAGAATGTCTACATAACAATAAGTTGTGTTATCACGAGGCCTCAGGAAAGATTCTCTCACACGGACAAGTTAAAAACTCTGTTCACATTGCCATGTTCAGGAACTACCAAAGGCTAGCCAGGGCTGATAACTAGTCTTGGTGAAAGCCTGTAATGATGCTACGCTACTAAAATGAGGATTGCAATTGAGGTGTGGTGTTGTGGATGAGTGAAGCGATTCCCGGGGCTGTCAGCATCAGACATCCACTACGTCGTTGTAACGAGGGGGTTCTTCATCATTGATAAGGGCAGGGGTAAGTGGCGTTGCAGTGTTGTTACCGATTTTCAATGTAAGAGGTGTTTTAGACCTGTCATTAAAAAGGTGGCGCGCAACCATCACCCTGACAAAACGGCGAGGTGGCTTTTCGTTAGTCAAGGGGAGAGCATCCGGACACCCACACATTGTGGGGCAGCTGACAGGATGAAGTGCATCGTGGGAGTAGGTGGGGAGGGTCATATTGGCCTGATTCGATCGACAATTTAGGATGGTGATAGGTACGCTGATGGCAGTATCCCGATAAATACGTCTTTTTCCAGATGGGTCGCTGAGATCAGGCTGGGTGACATGTAGTACGACCTATCGATCATCATTAGTAAGACTTCTTAGCGGAGGGGTGTGTGCTCATTTTCACCCTAAGACTGTGTTTTACCACAACATTCTTCCATGTACATTTCGGATGCAGCCTCAAATCGTCTCTCCTCAACATGACTTTACACGTGGGGATTTGTACAACTGCTTCGATGTCGACCTCATTAACCGATGTCGCTAAATTCGCATCAATATTCTCCAAATCATTTTCCCTTGTCTCGGTAATGCTACTGGTTGTCTCGACTTCCCCTGATGTTTTAATACTTTCGTGTTGTAGGGCCGAGTCTTGGTTCTGGTGTATTAGTTCGTGTTCGGATTCACTGTTATGGACAGATACCTGACCTGCGATCGTCCACGTTGGTATAATAACTCTTTCAGCCGTTGTTTTGACAAGGAGAATAGAACGAGTAGGACCTTTTCTGTTGACCTTCTTATTGTTGAACCAGTATTCTATCGACTCGTTTATCAACAGCTCGAAGCCTTGCACCATGTTCCCTTCCGTTGGTCTCACTTTCATAGCAATCTGAATCGGGCTTCCGATAGGGAAGCTCCTTCCAGAAACAACTATATCGTACTGCAACCAGTTGTCGCCGTGGCAACGCAAAGGGATGGGTTGTATCATTTCAAGAGATAATGGATCAGGTGTCCTGACGAATGTGACCTCCTTCTGGCCGCGAAGAGTGTGATGGAATAACCCAGAGCGAGCTATTTTCGTAAACAGCGTCCAATTTACTGTCGCATGAGGAACCTGGGTTGTCTCCAGTTGGTGATGTGTAATTGGAAAAACGAAGTCATATTCGTAGATTCCCGGATAGAAAATCTTGTCATGTTTTGTTTCATTCGTGAAAGATATCGTGTTATCCGCACTAGGGCGTTGTATCTCGGAGTAGTTAACAGCCAAGGGTAATTTGTTGTCTATATAGTGATGATAAATCGGCTCTGATGATGTCAAGATTGCTGTTTGTCTTGTAGCAGCAGATCTTATAACATCAGTATGCGGTGGATCTAGGACCCAGTATCTACACTGAAGTCCAAAATCGTCTTTGTCCCGATGTTTTATAGCGTCGAAAATTGTTGAAGTTTGCTTTTGTACGTCCTTCTCCTCGCAAAAATCCGGTCCAGCTTGGCCCTCCCATTTGATACATGTGTGCCCGACGAGCTTGATGTGTATTGATTTAATCTTAATCTCTTTGATCAAGATCAGACGAAGTGTTCCTCGTAACAAGGTGATGCCATCCTGACTCTCAGGGTGATCATGGTATGAGCAGTCAAATCCTGGAAGAAAGAGACTGGGTTCCGCGAGATGAACAGAGCAGCTTGCACCGCTGCCAAGAAGGGTAGTCATATTTGGCGATAGATATGTTGGCAAAACAATTTTGAAAATGTTGTAAGTAACTATTTGAGTAATCAATCAATACATAAAGATGTCGAGAGATTATGTAGACATTTATTTTGGGTTCACCCAACTCAATTCCTCTGCTTGTCACGTCTTTCTAACATTGACCATCTTATTTGTCCAGCCAGGCGATCCAATGCCTCATCTTGTGAGTACAATGTATATACATTGGTCGCTTGAGACGAGTGCGAGAAAAACATTCGATACAGAGTCTAGACCAGTGCTTATCCGTATTTCGTTGAACAATTCGTTAGCATTTGTCGTGTGTCTTGCGCCGCGTCATGTTCTCAACCAGGCTTATGACTAGATGTCTTCAAATACAGGTTTATGAAGATTGAAGTAAAATCTTATGAACCCAGGGACCTCAGTAAAAGGTGCTGTGTTGCGGCGTATCCAGTTGCTCCATCAAGTACGTTCCTTTGATTAATCGAATAAACAAAGTTTCTTCACCGCATGCATGTAACGGCTGCTCCGATCAGATGGCGTCTACGGATCCGTTAATGGTTACCGGTATAACAGATACTTGCACCGGCATCTTAGTCCAGTTTTGCAAGCCCAGGAATCTCTAATGTTCATCACGCTAGATGTCACTTCCGCTGACACACGCACACCCTCACTCAACTCGTGTTGGGCCTTGTTGTTTGTCGTGAAATTCCATGTGTCTCTATTGCTACTTCATTGTGTAACACATCCATGGTGACAAATCAGGTAAGCTTATGTTGTTGGTGTGCAACCAAATCTAATAGCAACTCGAGTTCACGCAACGACCAATGTACTTGTCAGATTACCCGCAATTTTAATTGACGGGACCTGTGTATGGTGACAAGCTGCCCATGTCTGGCATTGATTATACTAACATTAGTCTCACTAAGCGTAATCGACGTTTTGGTAGTTTTCAGTCGACGACCAGGAAACAACAATTGAAACGTCGGTTACCAAAATCAGAGTAGACAGATCCTTTAGAGACAAAATATTAACATATGTATTTACTGGTCTGTTTCCGAAGTACATGCATGTGTAGTGATACATTGTGAATTCATTGATTAGTATCGTATTTTTTTTGGATGATGGTGAGACTGCAACAATTTTATGGAGACGACATAAATGTACACTAGCTTAGACTCATTGACAAACTCGATTTCCTTCACTGTGAACCTGGATGTCTACATAAGGCCGCGATACCTTCTCGTGATGTCGTTGGCTCTGCTACAATCTTGATTTTGTTGTCATATCATTTGCTACCAAACTGTCAAAAAAAAGTCCATCTACCAATCCATCGATACAAACTGACAACATGGCCGCACGAGAACTGCTAGTTGTCATTCTGAATCACACCAACGAAGAACTCAATATCGAGCCTGAATCCCCGAGTCTAGATCACGGTGACTGGATGGAAACTTCAGAATCTCGGCCGCCGCAACAGATACTAGCAGGAGAAAGTGGCATGATGCGATGCAAGTCGAGCCACGTGTATGGTACAATCGATGGGTCTGTTTCTTACCGAGTGGTGGGTGTGGAGATGAACAACAAAGTGGCCATTTCATGGAGTATACCACTTGTCGGCCCAAACAAATACGATTGGTCTTGCCCACGAGATCTTTTTAATATTAAAGTTTTGGGTGGACGGGGAAATCAGGCTGTTACTGTGTTTGTAATTGGTGAGTTGGATACTGTCTTTAGTAACTTCCCCTCATTCTAATGGTCACTCTAGAACCCGTCCGAGACACTGACGCGAGGTTGGACGATGGTTTGTTCGGTGTAGTTTGAGCATTGACGTTAAGGCTCAGAACGCAGGCCCATTAGCTGTTCAACTGTCAGATGGTCCAGTTAGGTTTTCCTTTCATCCAAACATACTAATAACCCAGCCGAGGTACCTGCCGTGCAAAGGGCCGAACATCCTTCCGTCGTATCTGCTCTTGGGTTGAGTAGATTTACGAGTCAGACTCATTTATTCAGACAATAGTAAGCTGAAAGATTCAAAAGGATGACATGTGGTTGGTCTATTCGGTCAAGAGAATTATCGGTATTATCCACGAACATATCAATCCTGGTCTAGGTTCAATGTGAACAAATCCCGTAAATAATTACAGCGCAGATGATTTACCATCTTTCAGTCTGTGCTAGGTCTCAACAACATGGCCGCTGTGGATGTTTTGGTAGTTTCAAGCCACTAAACCACTTATTTCGATGCTCTACGGCGATAAATTCACAATTTGGATGTAGGTCAGGCAAGACTTAACTCCCATTCCATTACTATCAAGAGGATCCCTCAAGCTACGTGCAAACTGCGATCAACTTCGACCATAAAGATGAGTAAACACATTGAAATGAAACCCGTCTACCCGACCATGTCTTCCTGACATGGTTGCTTTATACCGCACTGGCGACAAAATCTGTCTGTATACTGGCAAGTTTGGCCGCACTGAGTACAGTATCGAATTCTAGAATCTGGATTTTGGCGCGGAATTGGAGATTTTCGAGGTCTCTCTTCTGCGAATTGAGGCGCAAGCTGGTATTCAGGCACCGGTCGATAGTCTTGTGCTGACTGAGCGGTAGACTCGTAAAATCCCATTTCTCGAGGCTGAGATTGTATCACTGGGAAGGCAGCATTGTACTGCTGCTGCGGTGGAATTGGCAGTGGAGCGGTGTTCTGTAGGGCAGCTTGCTCCTGTAGTCCAGACTTTTTTATCGCTTCGTCGACGGCACGCTGTGCACGTATTTCTTGTTGTTCATCTTGGTACTTTCGGAGCTCGACCTCTCTCTCTATTTCTTGATCACGCTCAGTGGCCAAGATTCCTTGTTTCCGAACTTCGCGCTTGGCAGCTGCTCGAGACGCACCTACAACAACGGCAGCGCCGAGAATAGGTCTTCGTCGACGTCCGAACATTTCACGAAGACGACAGTTGGTTTTTGTATCTGAACAAATAGGAAGGAATCAATATTGAATTGTTTAGAAGAATGCCTATATGTGGGATTTAGTAACTAATGTAATTTATGCCAGCGGAGTGCCGTGAGCCATCTGTATGTCGGGGAATCGGTCGCCCCCACATCATACAATTCTTAAGGTTTTTCTCCAAAAACGGCCACCGGTGGTTGTTGAGTAGAACCGCTCCCTCGGTTATGGAATTTGACACTAGCATCGATCGTAAACCGCCGTGTGAAAACGGGCACTGTCAGTAGATCCTTTTTTGCACCTTGAGTTCGAGGAGAACAATTTTGAGCTGGGTCTGGAACGCGTCAAAGTGGTAGCATGGCTTTTGCCTTTTGAGCCACGTTCGCTCTATCGTAAGCATGCAGATTGTGTGGGGCAAACTCTAATTGAACATGACATTATCCAGATTTATGTCCGTTTATTTACGGATGTCCTAACGTTGAAATCTAATTCGTTTTGAGCCTCCTCTCAGCACTAAACTTAGAGTGACAGGACGCGCTAGTATAACTGTGGCAGAATGATTCGATGCTCTCTCTTTAAGACCGAAAGTCGCTACTTTTAGCGCGTTTGAATGTTGAACCAATCAATGATAAGGTACATAGAGAGACTTGTGGCGCGACTGACAGTGTTATAAAGTGATGTATCCCTGTACTTTCGAGGTACGCATCCTGTCGTAAGGATTATTATTAAATTTCCGCCAAGAGTATATCCCGCCATTGTAGCCTTTTTGTATATAGCTGATCAGCTCTCTCTGATTGGATATCTCAGCTACACGCAAAAATTAACAGCTTTTGGTCTTAAAGAGATAACTATAGCATGTGGCTAATCCTAATCAACTGTATCATGCTCATATGAATGTGTCGTCAGCTCTGGTCACGATATTACTCTTATCCTTTTGGCCTTTACACTGCTACTGTATCTTGAATACAGCCTACAGTACCACATCAAAAGTTTGGACACCGAGACCGGCCATTTAGGACTTCATAGGACTTTGAAAATTCATCGATTGTTTCTCGTCTTATGACTCAATTCAAATTGAAAAGTATGTTCCCTGGTTGCGATGGTGTCAGATTCCTTTTACCGATTTCGCCTTCTCTTCATTGGCGTAGACTCTGATCCATTTGAAATGTACGTTTTGTAAGGATTTTGTTTAACAATTTAAAAATTATACCTTCCTGATGGAAACTGTAACAACACGTGCTAAACCTAGTGAAAAGGAAATAGTCCAAAAAATAGTTTAATACCTGGCCGTAGAGTGCTTTACCCCTACGAAGGTGAAGATAAATGTTTGAGTTCCCCTTCCATCACTCACTTCATCTTACACGTTCTATTTCGATCCACTCAAGGTCTTAGCAGGTTGAAGATATTGTTTGTAACAAGGCTGAGCCCAAGGAGTCTCAATCTTATGGTATGTTCGTTGCATGTAAGAGGTTTACGGATCCGTTAACGAATTACGTGCATCGATGCATCCTGAGATAAATGTATCCACATGTTATTGATTCTCTCACATCATATGTCGCTCCCGCGGCTGATGTTGCATGCTGTATGCACCGGAAGATCTGCCCCTAGTCGGATAATCCCCCACTACCACACGTCATTGGATATGATGATCTCGCGAGTCAGTTCACATCAGATGATTCGTCCTTACACGAAGAGATCGACAGGGATCACCTATATCAGTGGGTTTTACAATCACAGGGTACTCAGTCCAGCGGGGGAGTTATTTACGACTTGCCTATACAATCACATTCCGCTATTTGGGAATATATAATTTGGGTCTGCATCTCACATTCTGCTATTGCCATATTCTCTCTTCTACTCATTCATCACTCCGTAACATATCATACAAGCCCCTCTTAATCTCTTCTTGCCTCGTTTCAACATGCCACCTCGCACTGGACAAGATGAGGAGCCAATTCCATCTACAGCAGTTCCAATTGTCCTACCTCCGAAAACAACAAGAGAGACATTCCAAAGTTTCATCACGGAAGCCCAGGGCATCAGTGGCCCAGACGATGTCACAATTGTTAGTAGCAGTGATCAATGCAGGAAATCCGACTACCTTGATCAGAGCAAAGTCCATGACATGTTTCATATCGCGGGTAAAGAACACTTTATATCCTCAGCCGTCATCACGCCTCGTGATGTCTCAGAAGTCCAAGCCATCGTGAAGCTGGCGAATAAATACAGTATTCCACTGTGGCCATTATCCATCGGCCGAAACGTCGGATACGGCGGAGCTGCTCCCCGAGTCCCTGGGTCTATCGCACTTGACCTTGGAAAGCATATGAACAAAATCCTCAAGGTCGACGTCGATGGGGCTTACGCTCTTGTTGAGCCGGGTGTAACATATGCAGATCTTCATCAGTACTTAGTTGATAACAATCTTCGTGACAAACTTTGGGTTGACGTTCCTGACTTGGGAGGAGGTTCTGTTCTTGGAAACACCACTGAGAGAGGAGTCGGCTATACACCCTACGGTACGTTACCTCGCAATGAAACCGGTCAATGGATAACAGGCGGTTGACATTCTCATAGGTGATCATTTTATGATGCACTGTGGCATGGAAGGTAAGAATCCCCAGTCGCAGCCGGGCAACAACAACATATCTGACTTTTCCTATAGTTGTCTTACCAGACAGTACCCTCGTGCGTACAGGAATGGGCGCACTTCCCAATCCTAATGCAGACCCCAATGCACCACCACATGATCAAGAACCTAACTCTGCCTGGCAACTCTTCAACTATGGGTTTGGCCCATACAATGACGGAATCTTCACCCAGTCCTCCCTTGGCATCGTTGTCAAGATGGGAGTCTGGCTTATGGTAAACCCAGGTGGCTACCAGTCCTACATGATCACTATTCCTAGAGACGAAGATCTACACCAGGCTATCGAGATCATTAGACCACTCCGGACGTCCATGGTTTTACAAAATGTACCGACTGTAAGGCATATACTTCTAGACGCAGCAGTCATGGTATGTATCCTTTCATTCAAGACAAAGTTATCTGGCTAAGTCCATTCAGGGTAATCGTGCTTCATACACCACATCCAAGAAGCCTCTCAATGATCAAGAGCTTGACGAAATAGCCAGGAAATTGAATCTAGGCCGGTGGAATTTTTACGGAGCACTCTATGGGCCGGAACCTATCAGAAAGGTTATGTGGGAAGTTGTCAAGCAGTCGTTTTCTGCTATCCCTGGCGCCAAGTTCTATTTCCCTGAAGATATGCCAGACAATGTTGTGTTGCAGACGAGAAATCTAACCCTCCAAGGCATTCCCACCTATACGGAACTAGAGTGGGTGTAAGTTGTCTCTGTGATCCCATTGCCAGACTGAACTATTAGCTAATAACATATAGAAACTGGCTCCCTAACGGCGCACACGTGTTCTTCTCACCAATCGCTAAAGTTACTGGCGACGATGCCATTGCTCAATATCAGCTCACTCGGACCCGATGCGAGGAAGCTGGGTTCGACTTCATCGGAACCTTTGTCGTGGGCATGCGTGAGATGCATCACATCGTCTGTCTAGTGTTCAACCGAGAGGATGAGGACTCATGCCGTCGCGCCCACGAACTCATCTGCACGCTGATAGATGAAGCCGCCCAAAGAGGCTGGGGCGAATATCGCACGCATCTGGCTCTGATGGATCAGATCGCGCAAACGTATAGTTTTAACAACAATGCTCAGATGCATCTCAATACCCTCATCAAGAACGCTCTTGACCCTAATGGGATTCTGGCCCCTGGTAAAAATGGTATTTGGCCCCGGAACTATAAGGCGGAGGATTTTGCGGTCGCCCCAGCACCTGCTGCACCAGGGCCTGATTCAGCATAACGGACGATGAGTGGCCGGCCACTAACAAGGAACGGCTTTGAGACTTGGCTATACGAGACAGACTTTGAAGCCCAGTGACATCACAAGTGAGGGCTCAGTGAATGTATGGAGGGTTAGCAGATAATGTCATATTTTTCCCTAGTCATCATGGTATGTAAAAATCTATTCTGACGAAACACTTCTTCTGGACGAGAGTAAGATAAACAAGGTTACTAGAATCACACCCAGAAGAACGGTGCACGTTATTTAGATTTCGGAAATTGGGATGTAGTTGTTGTATAGCCAGTCATGGTTTATTAAATAGATTGGAATTATTCCATTTTATCTTTGCAATTTCTGGAATGCTTATTGTTCTATTTGAGTAGATAAGTTCTTGCAAGGAGAGTACAAGATCTCAGCAGTGATAAAAGATCGAAAGATAGTTAAATTATGAGCAGAGTCCTAAATATTCCCAAATAGCCATCAAAGTCACCAGCTGCCATTCTAACCCTACTGGTATACAATCATACGGGTCAACCAGACACTAGTCTACGGTGCTGTACTCCGATCATTCCACTCAAATATTCGAATAGCCCAGTCCATAACTGACCACCAGTTTCTCGGCAAGTATCTCATAATATTATCGAACTCCCGTTCTGGTGCACCATCAATCCACCAGAGCTGCCGTCCTAGCTTTACTACCATGAAGAAGTATCCACAGATAGCCAAGGCCCGAGGAACCTTTGCTGTGACAAGGGCGACAAAGGAATCTGAAACACAGATTGAAAAGCGGAGAGGCTTTTCAGTAATTAACCCGACATAAATATAGGAGAGATGAGCCACTGCCGTAGTACAAACGCTGATTTCCTCCTGGTTGCATGACTTTGATGGAGGGTTATAGTAGAGTAGAAAGCTAAAAGGGTTTGGATGAATATCCTGACGAATAATTGGGTGAAGAGTTCTCAACTCCTGACCGACGACAGTGTCCTGAATCAACGGTGACGCTTTGTTGAGTATGCCCATAGCCCTACGGAACGAAATGAACCAGTCATGAGGTTGACGTTGGTCGCTATCGCCACTAAGGGGGTATGCGTTGGAGTTGGCATGCGTAATGATGAGTGCGCAAGTTGCAACCACTTTGGAGGTATTTAATTCATCCAAACCTCCACTCAGATCTTTCTTATGGCCCTCTATTGCACGGGCCATGTATTCATGTGCTGCCATTAGAAGCCTTGTGTCGAACTTGCTGAAGCGATGCAGGTGGAACGCAGACGTCCCAAGAAGCGCGTCCATAACACCAGCCGATTGAGCGGCTTGCTCTAGAACCCAGTATGACCAGGCAGCTTGAGTCTCGGTTGCTATCTGCGTCATCTGTAGGAAGTGATGGCAAAGCTGAAGTTCAAGTAAGCGTCCTGGGGGCAATGAGATCCGCTGAGCAAATAGATCACTCAATTGCAAAATATTGCATAGCTCGTTCGCGGGTGACATAGTTACAACAGGCTCAGGCTCAACAGATAGTTCACGCCGTTTTGGCACAATTTTGACGTTTTTAGCTGGGCAGCCCCTTGTACGCGACGTGTCAAGATAGTCGCAAACCGCGTCCCGTCTGTGGCAGTTCTTACAGACCGGACGAACCTCGTCGCACTTGAACATGTCAGCTAGCCGGATGGTCAGTCGCCAGAAGAATTGCTACCTTGATCCGACCTTTTTTGCATGTTATGCAGCCCATCCTTGACTTGCGATGCGCCCGACGCCTCGCAGGAGCTGACCTCTCGGACGCGTCAGATATTGGGAGGAAGTCAGTCATTATTGGTTCAGATAGCCAAACCTCATAAACGCAAAGGTTCAAGAGAATAGTTTCATATCGGAAATGATGGCTTCTAATAGTAGTAAAATACTGCTATGTTGACCGCATTTTAATCGGCATCGTCACCCAGAGTGGCGGAGCGTCCAAGCTTGTGTCAGGTTGCAAACTCTATTTAGACGTCGTCCACAAGATTCAATCTCCACAAGGCCAGGGCTGTGCATTCTAATTTCAACGAGAATGATGTTTCCCAACGTTTTAACTCTTTGGCAATGGTAGTTAAATAGGCCAATGGAACTAATAGTCTTAATTGTATTCTGCTAGTTTGTGGGTAGAAGCCGTGTGACTGTAAGGCAAATATGTAAAAGAATGTCAAGAAAACTTATGTCCTCGACTAGATAATTGAGAGGAGATATACCACTCGGTCGGATTGCGCTCTTGTTTCTAAGCGGCCCGGCGCAATTCCAAAATAGGTGCCCGTCCAAACTCTCACACCACGACACTTCATTACACATCTCATAACCAGTAACGTGTCATCAAAGGGTGTGCTGAAACTGGAAGTACATGCATTTAATGCTGTCGCCTCCGCATAACAAAAAGCCACTTCGCAGCTTGGCTGATTCCTTGTAAAATTTCTCCAAACCAGAGTGCTTGCAAGACCGCACCCGTGGCAGATGTCTGCGCCTTGTCGGACCGCTTGGTGCCTTCAGACCAAATCGAGTCGTAGTGAGAGTCTGCAGTACTTAAACCTCCATATCCACCTTCCAATTGATATCTTTGTCCAAGCACTTCTGAGCCCTCACTGTTACAAGGCTGGTCGTTCTCATATGGACGATACGGGAAAGCGTAAAGATGGAGAATGGACGCAAATACCATCTCGATACACAGAAGCGTGTTGGGGATACCAACCGCCCAAGATGGATATGAGATATATCCGGTAGGCTTCACAGGCCCACCGGGCTTGGTGATAAAGCCAAATACGAACTGCAAAGTTTATATAATTAATAATGCCCAACTATCATGATAGGTGCTCTTGATTCATAAAAATTGTCAAACATACTGATTGGATATAGAAAACCATGATGACTAATTTAATAGCCAAAAATTTCTGCATGGGTTGATGTTCAGCAATTCGGTAATGAACTTCCTTGTAGAATTGTAGTAGGCACATCATGGCTGAGACTAATGATATTAACTCAATTACCATCACCTACAGGTGTCATTGTCAGTACGATAAGTGAAAGCCAAGAGTACGTTCTTACCCAAATCTTAGCATGGGAGACACTGTTGGAGTCTTTGCAATACACGCCAGCAGCCTCAGTAATGCATTTAACCAATGCTCCAAAGAATTTGACAACACAAAATTGCAACACACCAACACAAATGGTCTACACATAGAAAGATTAGTATGGATTGAAGGCGCAGTCTAAATGGTACGCTGCAAAACTCACGTTGAACCATCTGTGACCGTTGAGGGCCTTCCCTGTCCTATTACCAAAACAGTAGGCCACTAAACGAATGGGAGGTATCCAGGGCTTAGGCTGAAGCTCAGCAAGGTCAGCCTGCAAAGTAGCCGTGTTGACGTGCAAAAGTTGACAGAGAAGTAGGAAAAATGCAGCAATAACAAGAGACTCATAGAACTCGTAGGTAGCGGCGATGTAAATGTGTTGGCGGTAGAAGATGATACTGCATACGCATGCAATAGAATATACAGGTACCATTAAGAGTATTCGAATCACTCTGAAAGATGGAAGGGTTAGTAATTATGCGTGGCAAACTGATTATGGGTGTCTCAAGACTCACTGTCTCTGCTGCGACGGCCTGGTAAAGGTTTGTGCATGCTTGACTATCAAGTAAGTCGAGACCAGACATGCCACGAGACACGATAAAGCAGCGATAAGAACCAGAAGACCATGGGTGGTAAGGCCGATGCTTAAGTCTTTTTCATTGACTGAAAGAGATTAGTGGATTGACGACGCGCTATAGTGAATCAAGACCTACTTTCAACATCCAGAGGATGTTCTTTGCATTTCGCCATGGTCGAGAGTCGGCTGAATAGAGACAGTCAAGGTATGAAGCATGCTCAGTTGCTATATGTCCAGAATATTAGCTGCAGTATCCTTATATATCAATATTGGGGAGCCTTGTACGATTGAAAATAAAATAAACAATTGAAATGCCGACTGGCCTCAGACTTGCACTACCACACGGTAGTCTCGTCATGCAACAAGTCAGCTCGCATCATGTTCTGTTTGGGCAAGATCTGCGACTTGGTCGCTACAAGATCTGTGAGGCGGGCCAAGCAGCCCGAGCGTTGTCTTTGAGGAAGGATGATTGGCTCTAAATACGATACCCTTGTCGATTAAACGCAAGTCGGGGTCTGATTAAAAGTCCGACAGCCCGTTCAATAAGGCAAAATAGGGTTTATAATCCTGGCAAGGTGGAGTAGTAACGTAACTGCTTAATATTCACTGTAGCAGGGCCCATCAAAGTTTATAGTATTGGAAAAAAATAAATGTCTCGTATTTTGAGCCAACTGAAACGGACTCATGCAGAACTTGGCCGTATTCACGGGGTCTCAGGGCCAAGAGGGGCTGCGTATAATTCTTGCGGAACCGATGGAAGGATGTAGCAACGGCGCCGTCGTGTATATTGATTCAGATCAGCCACAATCAACTATCGAGAGACCTAATCGCTAGCAAGGCGCTCTTGAGCCTCAGAGCCTTACGTTAGGACGACCAATTGGGGAACAGTAAATACGGACAACGCCCACCATCGGTGTACACAAACAGCCGACCCGACTCTCACTCAGCATTTCGACCATGAAGAAACTCGATGGACTAAGTAAGTCTCACCCGTTGGTTCATTGACGTCCGGGAATCCTTTTGACCTCAGGGTGCATGAAAATTCCTACTTATAGCCAGCGAAATGTCGAAACCGACGTAACCAAGAAATCCTTAGACCACGAGCATTTGTATCCCTCAACACATATTACCGAAGGATTACTCAAAAATCCTCTTTTGTTTTATTATCTTCTATAACTTTCTCACAATGGTGAACTACTATCGCTACGAACAATCTCTTCCCGTATCCATCGTTTTCGTCGTCGTCTTTTCACTCTCATCAGCCCTTCACCTTATTCAAATCATCAAGACAAGGACATGGTTCTTCTTGCCATTTTTAGTTGGATCCGTCTGTACGTCTGCTCCTAACTGCTTCCCCCTTGCCAATAACTGACTGAAACTGCGTAAAGTTGAAGCCGTTGGCTTCATTGGCCGCGCCATAGGGGCTGGAGAAGCGCCTGATTACACATTTGGCCCTTACGTCTTGCAGAATCTTCTCCTGCTCCTGGGGCCGACATGCTACGCTGCGTCAATCTATATGATCCTGGGGCGCTATATTCGACAGCTTGGAGGACAGCAGTTCTCACCAATTCGGCCGGGTTGGTTGACCAAGATCTTTCTCCTCGGAGACGTACTCTCTATTCTCTTGCAAGGAATCGGTATGTTTACGGTTTTATCCACGGCATTATTGTTTAATAGATGTTTTGTACTAATAATTTATAGGTGGAGGAAAGCTCGTGAATGCTAATACCCAGGACGACAGAACGACAGGAGAAAATATCATTATCGCCGGATTGACCGTCCAGATCTTATTTTTTGGTCTGTTCATATCCGTGACGGGACTATTTCACTTCCGATTTGTCAGGCATTCTAAAGCGCGACCTATCAGGTGGCAGAGGCTTCTCGTGGTAATTTACGTGGTAAGCGTGCTAATTCTTACAAGATCGCTCTTTCGTATGGTTGAATACATTGAGGAACATGATGGAGAGCTCCAGTCCAAAGAGGTCTACATTCTTGTCCTCGACGCCATTCCAATGGCAATTGCCAGTGTTGGCCTCAATATCTTCCATCCTTCGGAGTATATGAATAGCAGGAGCAAGGTGTCGAAGGATTCGGATAGTGAGGTTACTTTCGACAACCATTGCGGTCTCTCGTTGGGAACTGTAGTAGGCAGAAGAGAAGAGGTCTAGAATACTTGGTGGGCACCATCCAAATTATGCTGTCGCTACTTGGATCATAGATGGTTAATGTGAACCATTTCATTTGTACTTACATTGACACGATCTTGTCGTCTTTCCTTCTTTTCCCTTTACTCTTTATCACATAACTAGCAGGGGTATGGAAACTATTGGGTTTACAAATTTTACACTGCGTGGTAACGAGGAGTATGAATCAGCTTGGATCGTTTGAGCATCCACAGTTTTGATCAATTATAACAGTCTATCTATACTTGTACCTACCCGAGATGCCTATCAGTGTAAGATAAATTACGTATGTGATATTGTCTTAAACAACTAGAGTAGACAACTGGGTAGGCTTTCAATCATCACTCTCAATGCTAAGACGACAGCCGGAGTACCGTAAATCATATAACCAATCAACCATACTTAAGTAATTCTCCTCTGTGTTCCTAGCCGCACATCACTCGATTAAAACATGTCATATTAGGCGCTTGATAACTTGAATCAGATGGGAGATAAGTTCATTGCAGAATATGCTGGATTTATCTACTGTCGAGGTATTATTTTCTATCGCACGGATTTAGTCTAATGGTCAAGCTTAGGAGTTGGACATCCCGGCTGTTGAAGGATTAGCTACGTCAAGGTAGACTTGGCGCGATACTTGGAAGTCTATCGGGTCTCCGGCGTTTTAATTTTTGTACCGTCGTGATTCCAGAACCCTGACAAGTGTCAGGTAGTGACTAAAGACTTGCTAATATAGGTAGAATCGGGTATTTGACTTATCTATGTCGATAGTTAATTGGCTTCAAATACGGTCGGTCACGGTAAGCCCCGTCGTTCCGAGTCTCATACTCGGTTCTAAGTTCGGCTATCGATACATATAAGCCTTGAAACATGGAGGCGCAGCAACATATTATGAAGATTACTATATTTACTGCCGCAAAACTGAAGACGTAAACTTTCTCAAATACCGATAGACAGGGGTATCGTATTCACAGTCAATCGTCGAGAGCCTAATACGCAAAGTGATCTCAGTGAGAATGCTTAGCCGTTTTCTCAATGAAATACCAATATTCTTTTATGTGCTTACATATATATACGTGAAGCAAGTTTCTCAAATTGATATACTTCTCTCTTAACTTTCTTTGTTTATTCATTCATTTAACGACCAATACGGGCCCTGAATCGTAAACGTACAAAATGCTTTTTCATCTTCTCGGCGTGATGAGCCTTGTCTCCGGCGTCGCCGTTGCTTCGAAGCCCAGCAAACCCAATATCATTCTCATCTTGACTAATGATCAGGATGTCCACATGCAATCGATGGACTATATGCCACTGCTCAAAACGTACATGGTAGACAAAGGGACTCTGTATAAGCGCCACTACTGGTATGTCGAAAACTACTTTCACAATCTTCCAGATGCAGCCACTGAATCTAGCCAGTACAACTGCAGTATGTTGTCCAGCTTGAGTCAGCATCATGACTGGAAAGTTGGCGCACAACTCCAATGTCACAGACATGATCCCACCCTATGGTGAGTACTCCACTAAATTCGCTTCATATATGTATATTTCCATTGTTCTCTCAAACTGAGAAATGAACAATTCTGCTCTAATATTTAGTACGTTTAAAACTAATTTGAAGCAAAGGCGGCTATTCTTAGTTCATTAGTCAGGGGCTGAACGATGATTACCTACCCGTTTGGCTACAGGATAACGGCTACAACACTTACTACACCGGAAAGTTGTTCAATGCACACACTACAGAGAACTATGACAAACCTCATGCAGCCGGATGGACTTCATCAGATTTCTTGCTTGATCCGTTTACGCATAGCTACTGGAATGCTACGTGGCAGAAAGACTTCGAGAAACCTGTGAGCCGCGGAGGGTACTACAACACTGATGATCTAGCCGATAAGACTATCAACTACATTCGGGAGGCCCATGCCACTGGAAAACCTTTCTTTTTGGGAAGCGCTCCAATTGCCCCCCATGATGAAGCCTGTATCAATCCAGAAGCACTGAAAGGAGCTATCTCGCCAGATTCACCTGAGGCTAGGCCGCAAATCCTGCCTCCTTTTCCTGCCCTGCGGCACGAGAACATGTTCGCTGGTCTCAAGGTGCCAAGGACTCCAAACTTCAATCCGGACAAAGTAAGTTTCCACGTTGAATAGTACAATACTGGCATGTTTGATGTTGCTATAGCCTAGTGGTGTCAACTGGGTGGCTCGGCTCCCGAGATTGAACCAAACCAGTATTGACTATAACGATAACTACTTCCGCCGGCGTTTACAAGCCCTCCAAGCAGTAGACGAAATGGTGGAAAGAATCGTTCAGGAGTTAGAGAAACTTAATATCGCAGATAACACTTATGTTATCTATACGACTGATAACGGTTACCACCTGAGCCAATATCGGCTACAGCCAGGAAAGACATGTGGATTCGAAACAGATATCCACATCCCTCTTTTAATCCGTGGTCCAGGTATACCAAAGGGTGCCATTGTCGACGTCGTTACAAACCATACAAATCTTGTCCCAACCATCTTCCGTATGGCTGGTATCCCGGCAAAGCCTGAATTTGACGGTGTCGCAGTCCCGCTCACGAATAACGAGATTTTCAAGGGTCTCTCTGCGCGTGCCGAGCATATTGCCGTTGAATACTGGGGTTTATCGATTGATGAGAGCTGGAATAGTGAGAATACCTCGACAGACAAAAATATTTGGACTCGCGTATGATTAACCTAAATATAGGTTCGATCTCACTTGGAAACACCTATAAGGGCATCCGCCTACAAAGCAAGGATTACAGCTTCTACTATGCTGTGCACTGTACTAATGAGCACGAATTATACGATATAAGTGTAAGATGCTATAAACATCCGCCTTGTGACCATCTCCCTAACAAATGAACAGGCCGATCCTTACCAAATCAAAAACCTTTTGCCATCAGGCCCCAATGGCACTGGGATCGCCATTACTGACTACAATTCCACTACTAAAGTTTACAATCGCCCTCCTGTCAACTTCATTAGTCGGCTGGATTCAATGATGATGGTTATGAAGAGCTGTAAGGGGAAAACATGCCAGAACCCTTGGAGCACTTTGCGTCCCGAAAGTGATGTTAGATCTTTGGAAGATGCTCTGGATAAGAAGTATGATGACTTTTACCTTCAGTCAGCGAGGTCAAACTCTGTCAGGTTCTCTATGTGTGCCAACGGATATATCGTTGCAGTCGAAGGGCCTCAGAATCCTCTGGTTTATCAGACTGCTGATTGGAGTGCAATGACTTAGTCAAAAGGTAAGCCTGGATGATAGCGGGTCGCTAAGTCGGTCGTTTAAATAGCTATCGACCCGAACTAAATGTTGGACTGCTATCAGATATGTCTTAGTCAAGTTGTTCATGAGTGTCCTCCAAGTCGTAAATATTAAAGGTGACATATATACTGTTATGCAAGTCTCATCCCAAGACACTGGTCCAATTCGGGTTTACAGTACCAGAACCATTGAAGTACACCAAGTAATAAATCACCGTAGTGATTAAGTTAAAGATAGTTAGGAAAATACCCACACTAGCCCTTGAGTGTATAGTAAGGGCACGTACAAGCCAGCGGTCAATAATAGCGCCAACTCTTCCAAACCAAGTCGCAGATAATCCCACTGACGGCGACTCCTGTAAATCCAAATTATCATCGGTGGTGCCTTCTTGTTCAGGTAAAGGTCCCTCGGTCGGTATATCAGATGGGGCATTGGTCGCTGACACGGTGTCATCTCCGCGAGGGACTAATTTTCCAAGAGCATCTAGTATCTTGGTCACAGCTATGCTAACGAGGGCGACGCAAAGCATTAGACTTATTGTGTAACTCAGACGATCCGTCCATGACGGTGGCGGTCCTGTATCCGATTCCGATTCTGATTCTCTGTGCACACCAGGCTTCTTGAATACTCCTAGAATAACAAGTAACATGTAGAACCCGCGCATAGGAACCATGTATGGAGATGCCGAGACATCCAATCTTCGCCGTGCAATAAGGTACAACATCCATATAAGAGGTTGCATGAACAATACTGCGATACAGACAATCGTTAACCAGGAACAGACATTCTCCATATTGGTCGACAGGTTCAAGGTGGCGGAAAAACTAATATTATACCATATCCAAACTTCGAACGGCAATTGGAGAAATAATGCTACCAGTGCTGGTATGCTCAGTGAGAGAACTTTGTCTCGAGCATTTGTGTAGTTTGAGTCAGCCTCCAGACCACAAACGTCTACCACGAGTCTGGTCGTAGTGGCGATGAAAAATAGAAACGCACAAGCCTGTGTTGCCGGGACACCCTTCAAACTGGCCACTTTGATGGTCTGAGGCAGCACCGTGACCGTAGACAGGGCCAATTTGACAATGAACGTACTCATTTGAGGGAAAATCCTTCGGCGAGCATTTTGCGTTGGCGTTGGCTTAGAAAATGCCCGATAGATGGCGTTTCCTAGTGAAACAAGGTCGGCAATAGAGTCAAGGAAACAAACAGCCGGGATACATCGTAGAAGATCTATGTTGCCATCAAACACATCGCGGCCTTTTCGTCTGCTTCTTGCTGATGGCTGAACGATAGCAGCGGTAGCTAGCGTTACGAGAATCCAGAAGGCAGCTTGACCGCTGACCTCGTCGGGAGCTTGCGAAGCTAATGTCTCGTCTGTCATAAAAAAAAAGTGGGATGCTGTTGATTCTAGAAAGTATAGATTAAAAGTAATTGTGTTTTATTCTTTGAGGAGCTGGAATATACCTCATTTCATTATTAATAAGCATAGGTTATACCACCTTGACTCAGCCTAGAACTCCGCCTGGTCAGGCCTAGAATAGGCGCAGCAAGTAACTCCACAACTAATAGGCAGCCTAGGATAAAAAGGCATCACCGGGTAAAGGTTTTTCAGTCTTGAATTTTATCTTATTAAGCAATAATTTGTCAAGTTGATATTTATGAAAAACAACACAATGTAGTTTCTTGCAATCTATGGGGTTATAGCTATATTACATTATGCCACCATGAAGTCGTCTCATGTGCGCGTAGCAATCGGAGTCTTGTGCGAACGTCGCCATGCACACCCAGCAGATATGCGTTCGGCAAGCTTGACAAGTCATATGATTGCAACCCTCAGATTTCTGGATAGCTGTAGTGCATTTGGGGCAATCTTTCACGCCCATATCCTTCTTAGCTTTGATGAGCTTTTCGATATCATCTGAACCGTTGCCTTTATTCTCTGAACAGGATATTCCCGGGTGTGAAGCGTGACAGGCTGTACAAGTAGGAGTAAAGCATCGCGCACATGTAAACATGAACGGAATCTTCTCGGGGGAAGAAACTCGGTAGACTTGATCGCAGTCAGGCGTAGGGCAATACCGGAATTCAGTTGGGTGACTTCGTATGAATGAGGCAAAAGACGCATCAAGGATGTTCTCCAATGTTTCAGAGAGAAGAAGTGTCTGTATCTCTGAAATTGGAAGGATCTTTTTGCAATTATCACTGTCCCCCACACATCTGATTGAGAAATCACCCGACCTTAATTCTCCTGATTGACACATGTTGACAAAGCAAATGTTACAGTAGATGTGGCCACAGGACGTCTCCAGTGATTCTTCGGCTTCACCAAAGCAGACGGAGCAATCTGTCCCAAGATTCTTTGTTTTGACCGGCACAGCTGCTTTCTTCATGGCGTGGTCGCCTGCTTTCAATTCGTTAACAAGTTGCTGTAAGGCGTCAGCAGCTTGTGCCAAACGATCCTCAGGGCCAAAGGCCCGGAAGTTTGAGGCTCGTATATCGCGAATGATAACAACTTCGAGGTCTTGCTCGATCTTCTGAAGCTTCCTGTAGGCATTCTTACTGATCTTGAGGTTGGAATACCAAATGTTCTTCCCATCCATCGTCATCACAGTGCCAGTAATGATGTTCTCTAAAGTTCTCTTGGCTTGGGCGACTAGCTGACGATCCTCACCCTCGATCTTCAGAATTCGGTTAAATCCACGCTCAGGTAGGGCGGAATAATGTATGAACTGGCGACTCCACTGTGATTTGTGTGCATCAATTGACTTTTTCACGCTATTGTAAACGCGGACTGAAACCTTGAATTTGACGGAAGTAATGAGTTGGACAAAAAGCTTTCCCGTGCTGTTGAATGGTAACTCTGTTTGATTCAGTGAGGAGGCGGCAACTTGTGCATGGGATTTGTCAACAAACGTGGCATGGGCTTTGATCCGTTTTGCGGTAGAATTGTCGGAAACGCTCCATCTTTCTAACTCGCCCTTCTCGTACAGCATTGACTTGACTAAAATCGAATCCAGTTCTATATCCATGTCGTAATTTGGATCTCCCATAGCAATAAGACAAGGTTTTTCAGATGAAGGAAAGACGGAAGCGATATCGTGCGCCGTAGTGATAGCACGCAGTCCGATCAAATCGAACTTCCATCTCCCATTTTGCTGAGTGGGATCCTCTGCAACAAGTAACTGTGCCGTGACATTCATGCCGCTAACTTGATACTTTTGGCTTTTCAACTTGTAGAATGATCTGCTTGCAACTTTCTTGTTTGGAAAGTGTAAAGAGGATGTTCTAGTGGGCCGATGCCATGAACAACGAACTTGCCTATTGTCAACCTGGCCAAATTGGAATCCTGCAGGGACTGGAACGCGTATCGAGTTGACTACCAAGTCTGGGGGTTCAATACACGTCTGTAGTCGCGAACACGCGGTCGTTGCAAAGGCCGGGTCTTTAACTTTGACAATTGCAACCCCATTTGACATGACTTGAGTTTTTATATATCGTATATCGCTCATTGATACCGTGATACCAACGTCAGAAAGCAAGTTTCTGACTGAGTTTGCTGAGGCACTGATTGGAAGATTGCGTATTTCAATGGCGGAAAAGTCTGAAGGGAGTGAGACGTCCACAATTGCTGCTCCGTCTCCGAACTTGGCCCAGGCGCCTCCAAACTCGCGAGCCCAACCTTCGATACATTCATCATCCTATTTCATATCAGCCAATTTGCCATAGATTTCCACTTCACTAACGACCAAATACATACCTTTGGTGTATCTGTCGAGTCCTGCACCGAGGATCGGTCATGGGAGAAATTACAGGCTTCTCCACGCCTGCAATGACCACGCGTGAAAAATCGGCAAGGTTTTCGAATGTTCCCTGTCGTCGTATTCGTGATCCCTGCGTGTGAGAATCGACAGGCCGTTCCCCGGAAACATTCTCCACGAGCATAAGCAAAGCAAGGGCGGGTGTGCTGAATCCGTGGAACCTCACGATTTTGGAACGTGTCGTCGCGAGCAAAAGTTCCTCCATAGTGTAAAGGATGTCTTGTTACTGCTACTCCAGGACATTGTTCAGGAGGCGCCGGGCTTGCCTCTGCCTCACGTCCAAAGATATTTCCCATCCTGGAAGCTAAAGGATCAGGTTTCTGCGGAACGTCTAACTTGACGGATGCGGGTGCCTTCTGTTATTACGTCTCTTGCCATCAGGCTATGAACGACTTGAAAATCGCCACAGCATACCGACGCCTTATCAGAGTGAGCTAGCCATGCAGGAGGCCGGCCGGCGCTGCTTGTTGGACCTATTTGCCTAATCAGAGAAAGTTGTTGGTTTGAGTCTCCGCGTTTTCCCAACCGTGTATGGACCAATACACGTATGTAGCGGCCGCTTTATCGGCTATGATGGTATGATTGGTGGGGGTAAACACCATTCAAAGTCCAAAGTAGTGTAGCATATGCGGGAGGCCGACCAAGTATAAAATACGCCAATCACTCCAGGATGCTCTGATCCTCTAATCAATTTCTTATGTACTTGCCTCAAAAGGGCCGATATTATAGCAAGACAGCAAAAACCGCTCACCGACCACCGATACTGCGCACAGGAGCTTAGGCTGCCAGCCGACGCAAACAAAGTATATTAGGATAGATGAGCGTTGATAAGCCAGAACTTGGCGAAGTGCTGTTGAGGTGTTGTTATGTTTTAGTACGCAACCAAGCGCCAATCAGAAATTCAATTTTACCGCTGTCAAAAATAAAGTATATCCGTGTTATGTGGCATAGGAAGAACCGCGCGAAGTCATCATTACAGTGCGGGGTAGGGCAGTAAAGTCAAATTGGGCATAAATGCATAGTTTGATGGACTCGCTTTGCTTAGTCCATCCATGATATTATCAATTGCTTCTCTTTCTTAGGTTGAGAGCTATGGCTTTACATTTATTGTTATTGACCACCCTAGATACTTAAAAGTGCGGGCAGCTTTACCAATAAAATATCACTTTCGCCGTGGCATGCACATGACTAAAATACTCCTTTTTTAGTTGGCCTTGTCCTTTTTTGCCAACCAACAGATAATATACAACCAACAGAATTGACTAGGATAAGCAAGATGCCATTGGCTTACATCATAAGAGGAGAGACACGGCGGTTGAAAAAGGCTGGTCGGCCTCCTGCAGTGAACCTGGTGTCGTCTGACATGAACAAAAACCGGTGGCTACTCAAACTACATAGATATAACAACTCAATCCGCATTCTATTTGCTAATTTCCATCCAAAATATTGCTAGACCATAGTGATCTGAACTCAATTTGATACATGTGAGTATTTCTTCTGCCCTTTCTATAATCAGAAGTTAAAGAGTAAAGCCAGAGAGGATGGCTCATGGCAATTCAAGTTCTGAGCATTTTTTTATTCAAGGAGGCTTGCAGAACAAAGTCGCCAGCAAAAAGCCATCAACCTACATATTCGATTCGAACGGGGATACGCAACTCGTTCTCACTACAAACATCGATCAAGCCTTTGTATGGGAGGCTGAGAGAATGTGGATAAGAGAAGAGAAATTAATAAAGAAACACCTCGAAACTAAAGAGAAAAAAAAGAAGAAAGGGAAAAAATTCAGTCTTCCCCCACCACCTCCAGCGCCACCACCTCCAGCGCCACCACCTCCAGCGCCACCACCTCCAGCGCCACCAGAATCTCCTATTTCGATCCCTACGTCGTTCGTGATACTGCAGACCCATTCTCTTTATTCCCTGGCATGACATATTCTCGTCCAGGACTCTCGGATGCGGAAGCAACAGACCCAAGACCTGCTGGCGCTGGAAAGAATATCGACAGCTTAAGCCTACAAGATTCGAATTATGGGGAAAGATCTGCAAACCTGCCCGGTCAGGTAGAAATTCGAATGCTAGTTTCAGGAAAGCATCTAGTGCTAGCTTCCTCTTACTTTGAGAAGATGTTTTCTGGTCCTTTTATAGAGGGAAAAGCTGATCACCACTCGGGGCTCCGCCAAGTAATAGCAAGCGATTGGGATCCTAAGGCTTTCAACATCGTACTAACAGCTATACACGGTTACCATCGAGAAATACCAAGGTCTCTTGACCTTGAGATGCTTGCAAAGCTGGCTATGATCGTGGACTACTATGAATGCCATGAAATCATTGAGCTAAACGCCGAGATTTGGATAGGAAACTTAAAGTCAAAAGTGCCAACAGTTTACGGAAGAGACTGTATTCTCTGTCTGTTCGTTTCTTGGGTTTTCTCACAGCCAGAGATGTTCCAGACAATGGCCCAGCTAGCATTAAGGCACAGCGGGAAAGAAATCGAAGCTGGAGACATCCCTATCCCCTCAAGCATTCTTGGTATGCTTGACCGAGAGACATTGTAATAGAGGCTTACTGACCCAGGATGCAGGCCAGATCAATATAGCACGGCTGAACTATCTCGACAAAATATCCACAGCAACCTATGACCTTCTTGACCGTTTACAAGGAGAAGAACTGGAGTGTTCTTATGAGTGCTCAGCTATGCTCTTGGGTGTTTTAACAAAGGAGCTGAAGAGATACGGGGTTCTGAGCAGGCGTTACCCACAATCGTTTTATCGGTTTAGCATTGAAGGTTTGAAAAACATGATCAAAAGCTACAAGATACCAGAATGGCATGATACTGGTTATGGCGCAAGGTACGGCTCTGGACACTCCTGTACTATCCAGCAGAAGTTGTCCTTAGCTTTGGAAAAAGCGGAAGACGAGCTATGTATATTCAGTCTCCAGGACTTTCAGTTCGCCAAGCATCACACGCAACCCCTTCAGAATGTATGGGCTTTCAAATTTGAGTGCAAGACCTGATATGGCTTTATCGATTTTATAACAGAAGGGTTTTACGAGAGAATGATCAGAGATTAGTAAATTGTTATAGGTCAATGAGATTTAAATTGATTCTATTTGATAAAAATATACTAAATATAATACTTAGATTTTTCAGCACATATTACAATTATAGAGCAAATATGTCAAATTGTTTTGAAGTAGAACGAGTGTCCATTTAACTTGTACTGTCTGAGTATCCTCCTATTGATGTGATATTTGCAACTCCTTCCCATAAGGCTCTGACAGATCTGATGTTCAGAGATCGTCATCACCAGTCTTCTTACAGCAGGTCCAGCAAGGGTAGTCACCGTCTCCCTAAAGTCTGTCAGTAACAATTGAGTCCCATTTTCTACAATGTACCATACAAATTTCTTGGAGTTCTGATCGAGTTGTCAGCAAAGCCTTGAAGAACATAGATTTCGGCGTTACTTACCCAGCCCTCAGGGCATGTAGGCTCCTCAGGCCAGCAGACCTTGAGGCAGACATCGTAGTTGTGGACGTTGACGGCTCCGCGGTGCTTAGGGGAGAATTCTTGGTTGGAAGAGGGCTGGGAGACTTGAATGTGAAGACTGTAAATGAAGGAAGAGTTAGTATGGATTTGTATACTGAGAAACATGGAACGGACGTGATCTCCTCTCCATTGGACTGCTTAGCGTTGAGGGAAGACCAAGGCATGGCAGCGATGCCGTTGGCAAGGAGGAGAGTGGAGGCGATGGAGAACTTCATTTTGATAAATCTGGATCGGAGTGTTGTAGTGTAACGTGAAAGTGAAGGAATCTGTTGATGATGAGAAGATGAGAGAACTTGTGGACAGGTCCTCGGTCTTTATAGAATTTTCACTCGTGGCAATTTCGCTCATCATCTTTCCAATGAGTCAGCCACCTTCTCGGTGTTACGTGCTCTCCTCATGATTGATCAAGCATCGTAGTCTTTGACGTCACGTTTCACAGTTGTAATGACCGATGGTCCGTATTTCTTACATGTCTGGCTTGCAAAATGCTCCCTTCTGTCGGTCAATTATGCAAGGGTACCACGGCGGCTCGGGTGGAACGCGGCTCGATGCTTCTAGTGAGACACAAATACGAGCGATCGCTGATCTTGTCTCAGTCATCTCTTGCCGTGTTCAAGTATGCATCTGCTTCGGTTCATTGACTGGATGTCCGAACTCCAAGGCTCCTATTGCAAGGTACCGTGGATGCACTAGTGTCTCGTAAAGGCGGGGATGCGGACGCAGTGCAATAACAAGATGACTCGATCGAACTCCCTGCATCGGGCCATCGGAATCGAGGTGTCTATCCGGACTACTATGGTGTAACCAAGTGTAATTCTCGCTCCTTGCGGGGGGCGAGGGAGATTCTAAGCCCATACACCATGCGTCTTTTGGTACGCAAGTGGAGGACGGAGACTTTCCAAAAAGATTGATATTATTCTCCTTAAGCTTTATGAAACTTTGGCTTCAGTGCCTGAGATACTGTTTTGATTGTTAGGTGGCTTGCTGTCTCTGAGAATGGTACTTGAATTCATTTATACACAGTAATTGAACAACTAACCCAAAACCTCGAACTTTTAATGAAGTGAACCTGTAGATCTTGCGTATTGTGGCCGGTTCCGCCCAAAGTCCAGACCCCAAGCTCTGTGTTCAAGTGGCAGACCTATCAATCATAGATGAGTTTCCTTGCGCCACAAAAGAATGCCCCATGAAAAACTCTAATCGGGTTCCTGAACAATGAGTCTCTCAAGTATGGATTCCTTGATCTATGTTTCGAGTTACCAGTAGATAAACAGCACTTGTCAGGTAAGACCATTGTCTATTGGGAACTGGATACCTATTGCGAGCGATAGTGTAAAACGGCTTGATCCGTAGGTTGAGTATCAAACCATGATATATAGGCGAAACCCTAAGCGAAGGCTAGATTGTAAGAATGATAGACGTGAGCGTGGGTAGGTTTTTAGCTGGAGGGCTTTTCAAGATGACAATTTCCTGCGTTTCAATTTCTTGAGAATCTGACAATGGATGTTTAGCAAAAATGTCTATAACAGTGGCGTGCGGCTAGTCCCTATCAACTTAATCATGCCCAAGGCACCGTTGTGTCAGCTCTGGTGACAACATCTCTTTAACCTTCTAGTGATTACATTGGGACTGTATCACTTGAATGCAGCCTACACCTCGGCACTGAAAGTCTGGACAATAAACCCAGTCATTTGGGACTCCGCAAGGCTTTGGATGTCTATGGTTTCTCGGCTTGAAACTCAATTCAAAGAATAATATCTCTCCTACTTAAGATAGTATCAGAATATTTTTCTACGTACTTATTTCGACTTGTCTTGGCGTAAGACTGATTGAAGATGCGGTAATGTAAAGATATGTACCTAAAGTAGTTAGCACTGCATTCATAATTGATTGGAACGAAGACAGGGATGATGCACAGCCTTATTCGATGTCAGATGTCGTCGGCTTCCTCCATTTTCTTTTCAAACAACTAAACATTTTCTCTTGTTGACTTTTACCAACTCTCTTGTCGAAACATCAGATCCTAGCGGCGGCTTCTCGCCACGTATCTTTTGCTACCTCGAATATCGTTTTCTATAAAATGCGTCATTTCCAATACATGACTCTTCTACCCCGAGAGATTCGTGTTCTCGAACTTCAGCCCGGGACTATTGAAGGTAGCCTTATAGGCAACATCCGGCAGAGATTTCTCTCGCCATACGATGATGAGATACCCAAGTTTGAGGCCTTGTCTTACACCTGGGGTCACCCGTCTCGGCCACAATCAAACAGCCTCAGAAATGATCCGACGTCAGACAATCTCGTCTCGGCAAGCGAAAGGATTACTCTGAATATTGCAAATAACCTGGCAGTTTCTCTCCGTGCTCTTCGATTGCCAACTGAAGAACGGGTCGTGCTGTGTGACCAGATCTGTATCAACCAAGCAGACCTTGGAGAGCGCAGTTATCAAGTCCAACGCATTGGCTGATATATATCGCTTTGCCGACAGGGTCGTAGTATGGTTTGGACCTGAGACTTCCTGCAGTACTATGGCCATGGAAACCATGCGCTGGGCAAGCGAGCAGTTTAAGTACTTAGCTTTCGAGCCCAACTACCACGGTTATAACATGGTGTTCAAAAAATCATCTGACAAACGTGTGTCTGAGACCGTTGACCCTATACCACTAACTGCTGCTCAATGACGAGCATTCGAACAACTACTAGCGCTTGACTGGCATAAGCGTCTATGGATGTATCAAGAAATCGTCTTGGCTGATGAAAACACATGCATTATTAAGCTTGGTAATGAAGAGATGTCAAAGCATGGATTTGCGAAAGGGCTCTATCTCGCTGCAGTTGCCAGGTGCCCACCGCCAGGCGTTCTGGACGTCTCAATATTCATTTCTAATGTCAATTTGATCCTCCCTAAGTTCATGTCCTCCTTTTTTGATTACCGAGCAAATTCGGATGACAGTTATATTGATTTTATGTCATTCACCAAACATTATGAATGTTCCGATGTCCGCGACAAGGTGTTTGCAATTCAAGGCTTTGTGGAGCCTGATGTTGCTCAGTCTCTCAAACCAGATTATACAAAGTCCGCAAAGGAGATTTTCACTTCTATTTGTCTCGACCATATCAAAAGGATCAAAGATATTGAGTTTTTGAACCAATACAATGCAGCCGGGAGTCCAAGTTGGGTAGCCGATCTGGAGAGACCTACAAGCTGGGCAACCAGCGACGACCATGTCACTGCACACTCGCTCCCTTCAGCCTATCTAGTCGAGCCTAGTATATTGGAGGTGGCAGGCATTGAAGGATCTGAACTATTCAATGACCCTGTACCATTAGCTGGTAAGCCACATGAAGAAACTGAAACCGAGTACTGACAGAAAGTTACCACTTTCCTTAGAGACTTCGTCAGTAGTGAAGAATATCAGAACGACAGTTGTCTGGATAAATTCATCATGATGTTAACTTGTGGATTCCTACGAGACTTCAATATACAGAGATGTCAGCCTATCACAGCAGGGTCATTGCACTATCTGCAAGAGTGGAGATGGAAGATCCGCCGATAGTTGAATGAAACTGGGGATAAGGTAGACGGACTAACAGGCTACTGGGTGACAGACAGGCAGTTCAGATCGACAATGCCAACTGATAACACAGCCATTGGTTGCGCAAATACTTGCGACGGAGACTTTGTTCGTGTCCCAACGGAGAGTCGCAGCGGTGATATGATTACCGTGTTGCTTGGTTCCCGCAATCCAATGTCTTATGTCTTATGTCCTCAATCCCCAAGTACATATACTGTCACAGGACCCTGCTATCATCCTAGGCTCTCTCATGCAAAGGCTCTACTTGGCGATGATTTGAAGGGCTAGGAGCCGTTATGGGACAGGGAATGGGCTAACAGAGCATTTTTCAAAGAAGGATATAGTTTGCGTAGAACTGATCCCCGGTCGGATGACGTGCCTCTTGACGATGGGTATGAGGAAATCTTGATCCAGGATGCAGTACTAGTTTGGGTACCACCAGGGGGTTCTTTCTCAAAATTTGACCCGCGCATGTCAGAAGAAGCACTGAAGAAGAGAGGAGTTCCGATTCGAAAGTTCAGATTGTTATGGAATTTGACTTCGTTACTGATCCTAGGATCAAGCGAGATTGTCTCAAGTACTTTGCGTGGCTGTTTGTGGCTGGGCACCTGATACCACCTTCTTATTGGTTCAAAGAAGCTCGCTTTCCGTATTTGGCTATCACCGCCACATAAGCGATGTTGTCTTATTGGATCAAATACCGATAAGCTTATCAGATCACTGACAAGACACAACTGCAAACATGAGTATAGGGTAATATTGGTAGCGGTATAACTACTGTTGCCAACTCCCTGAGTGTCATGAGCTTATGTGTTGATCCGCAGAGCGAAATTTCTTTCTTGTAACAAATGATACGATCATCAGTTGTATGGTGATCTGTCACCGCAAAATTTTCACATCAGGTGTGATTGTAAAGGTAGGGAGACCGAGTTCCCATCTTCAACTGTGAAACAAGCAGACATTGAAGATTTCAGCACACCACACGAATAATGTTCGTTGATATGGCCATCAATCCGGTAATCTTTTTGTTCTACTTGATGGGCTTCCGCGGCGAATACCGTCTGCAGTCTCACCTTGTCTTGGTTGACATATCTTGGTTAAAAGCCAAGGAGTGGTCCATCGTGTTCCGAGTGAGGTTGAATTGAGTTTTGTATGGAGGCGGGGTACTAGTACTGACGTCATTGCGTATGTTAACAATATCATATTAGCACGCCACGATGATAAGTCGAGTTCCAACCTCTTCACACGACGCAGCTTTGTTACGACCCAACACTTCGCTACGCACAGTATTCTATCCTACGACTGTGCCAACATAAACTCAGAATGGACTAGTTTATCTCTTGGAAAACTCAGCCGTCACAAGCTTGCTGTATCACTCATTCTCCGCTGGACAGATTAACAGAGCGACAGTGTTTGATTTATGTAAAAAGCTCTCAAATCCGGCCGGCATGAAATGACTGCACCTATAAAAAAGATGATGGAATGGTTTTGTTGAGAAGTTAAGATGTTCTTATCAGGTTAGCACCCGACCTCAACTCTCGAATAGTATGCGATCAGCACTAAACTTGAGCTGAAACTGAGCCACACAGTAACTAGTTCTTTCACTGTACCAATCCTGTAGTCTTTGTAGAAGTAGATCGCGGAGAAATATCGCTCTGCACCCAAAGAAAGTTACCTAGATAAATGTCTTGTGTCGCTCACCAGCCATCTTCACATGTGTACACGTCAGCGTGCAGAGCGCTAGAAACACATGTTGCCTATAAGATCGTACAAGGGACTCCCTTTAGTATCAAATATACCATGCTCTTTATCATTATACCATGTCATTGGTAGAAATTACCTAGTTATTACCCTGACGCATTCTACAGTGGCCGAACAAGCTCGCATCCAGGATTTCAAGGAGAAATTCCAAGCCGCGTATGACTAAGTTATCAGTAAAAGGAGAAGGCTGAGAAAAACTGCGACGATATTTGAGAAATGGGTTTAACTGAGGATAACTTTAATCAATGGGTTATTCAAAATGTAAGTAGATCAGCTTGATTCTTTCCAAGGCTATCGCTCTAATCACTTATCAGTATCCTCCCTACTCTGTGGCGGAAAACCAATATCGGGCCGCCAGGTCGTACTACGAGGCGGCATTTCAGCAGAGCGATATGGCAGGTTCTCAAGCTTGGCAGGAAAAGGTCAAACAAGCGGCGTACAATAATATCGGCCCACATGGACCTGATTACAACACCTTGGTCGGACCTGATGAATACGTTTTCTTAAATATCCAAATAACATTGGAAATTACACGAGTTGTGCTTTGAAAACGCCAGAGGATTGAGTAATGATCCGTAAAACAATCATCGTGTAGTCATGGCATGAACGATTCGGCTATAAGAACTCACAGGTCTCCTCACCATTTTTGTCGTGTTTTTTCTATCTCAAGCTCCTCCGGATAGACGTCGAGAAACCTAGTTAGAAGATCTTGCCATGCTTGTCGAGTTTCATTCCCATACCATGCCGCCGTGTATTCCCAGTAGTAATGATACCAGCCTGCAAACTCCCAATCAATGATGCCAGCGACACGGCCATCGCGAACCATAATGTTGAACGGGTTCAAATCACCATGAGCAAACACTGGCGGTTGCCTTAGGCCGTCCTGTATAATTACCATGTCTTTGATCCTCTTCCAATCATCGTCATCAACGTGATTTGGATGTTCTTCTGGGTGGAGACCGTCAAGCAGCCAAAAGTGGAAGTCACGAATAGATTTGAACGGCCCGATTCTCGGTCTTGACCGGGGTATACGCGAATCACGTAAAGAACCGCCCAGAAAGTTGTGTACTCCAGTTCCGGGAGGTGGCGGGAGGGCCTTCAGCTCTTGAAACATTTGTCGAAGTTGCTTGAAAATATTTTCAAGTTCTGCATGGGATGATATTGACAAGCCTTTGACAAAAGAATGTCCTTGTACGCGTTCCATAATAATGAAGGCCTGATTTTTGTGGATGAATGAGCAGTGGACAGTTGGTACAGGAATGGAGGTATTAGCAGCCACGAAACGCATTGTTGCTGCTTCACTGAGATGAACGAATAGTCCTGTCTTGACTATAAAGTGTTTAGAAATGGGAACACAAGGGTCATCATATTCATAGATTCGGGCGACTGTTTTCAGAATGACGCAAGTCAACAAGCGATGGGGGAGATCAACGTTGATTGCTAACGAGTCTGAGCCATCATGTTGGGTTGTAAAATTCTCCTCTAGGGGAACGTAAGTTGTCATTCTAGGGCAAATTATCTATGGTTCTATGCTGTATTGATGAGAATCTATTTTAATTGGGACATCATTGTCGTGTAGTCATTTGGATTGATACGCGACGTAACTAAAGGGTGAAATACGCGGACGTCTAGGGTAGCACTTGTATCAAGGATTAAAATTAATACGCGTCGGTTGCTTACTAATGGGACGCGTCTCTCTCAGCTTCCTCGACAATCTCCTGCAATATGAACTTCGTCTCCTTCACCGGCCACTCAACCCTCTTCTCAAACCGTGCCTTGAAAGACCACTTACCAGAGCCAACACTCTCCGTCCTGGTGTGCTCTCCATCAGGCAGCACGACATCCATTGTTGTACCAGTTGGTACCTCAACATCCACAAACAGCATATCCTTGCCATCTTCATTCTCCAACTTCCAAGAACTCGACACCTTTCCATAAGGGGTTAGATGCGATGCAGACGAGCACGTGAAATCTCCAATAATTTCTGGCTGCATCCTAGACTTTTTCCATCCAGCCTCAACTTGTTGAAGTCCAGCCAATCTTTCCACCATGAACTTGGCTACTGCTCCGTAGGCGTAATGGTTGAAACTGGTCATCTCGCCCGGGTTGATTGACCCATCTGGTAGCATGCTATCCCATCGTTCCCAAGTTGTTGTTCCACCCATGGAAATAGCGTACAGCCAAGAAGGACACTTCTCGTTGAGGAGCATCGTGTAAGCTACATTGCTGTGGCCTGTTCGTGTGAGAGCTTCGCAGACATACGGCGTTCCAGCAAAACCTGTGCCTATTTTAAAGCTGTTTCGTCTGACAATGTCTGAGAGCCGTGAGCCAGCGCGTGATAGCTGTTGCTCCTTCAGTAGATTGAAGCAGATGGCGAGAGCATAGGCGGTTTGAGTATCTGATACCAGACGGCCATTTGGTGAAGCATATTCTTGAGAAAATTCAACACGAGCCTTTTCGGCCCATGTCGTGTAGTGTGAGCTACTTTCTGACTTTCCAAGCACACTACAGACCTGCCCCATAATGTCGAGACAATGTATCAGGAATGCATTGGCGACTAATGGGGGATCAGTCGTAGCTTTGGCTGCATCGTCTGGTGGTGCACTCGGGTCAAGCCAGTCCTTTTGAAGTCAGCGAGGTCGTTATTTCTCATTTAGTGATGTACATACCGCAAGCTGATCCGCATCAAACGACCAAAGATGCGTAGAACCGTTTTTGTTCCTGGGGATGATTCTCAACCAAGCCTCCATAGACTCGAACTGGTCGGACAAAATAGATGGATCTGCTGTCTCTTGATACAAAGCCCATGGTGCCAAAACGACAACATCGTGCCAAATCGCACAGGGCCAAATAGGGCCCCATATCCTGCACTTGTCAAGGACATTTGGCGAGACCATTGGAGGGATTCCTCCTCGCTGTTTCTGATCAAACCAGACGCCCTTGAGCCAGTCTTTCAGAATCGGAAAGCAACCATAGATGAAAGTAGCTGTTGGGGCGAATAATGCCAGGTCTCCTGTCCATCCGAGACGTTCATCTCGTTGGGGGCAGTCTGTAGGTATCGAAAGAAAGTTGTCTCTCATGCTCCAGCGGACATTGCTAAAAAGCTTGTTGAGTTTGTCATCGGAGCATGAGAATTGTCCCTGTTCTTCCATATCCGTGTGACACACCACGGCCTCAACTGCGTCTGTAACATCTTTTTCAGGCCAAGGCCAGTCTTCGATCTGTAGATAGCGAAAGCCATGATAGGTAAATCTTGGCTCATAGCTCTCTGGTTCTGCATCACCTCTAAGTGTGTAGATATCAGTGGCATCGCATTTTCTTAGAGGTCTTGTGCCCAATTCTCCATTCTCAAGAACTTCGGCATGTCTTAAGGTGACTTTGTGTCCGCGAGGGCCTTTGACCTGTTTGATGCGGACATAGCCCACCAAGTTCTGACCAAAGTCGATAATGGTCTTTCCTGTTGGCGTGACAATTTTCCCCACAGGCGCCACAGATTCGATACGACGAACTGGCTCGGTAATAGCAGCGGCAAGTTCAATTTTCTCAGATACGAACGGCACCTCTTCTGCTTTCTCCCAAGGGCCATTCATATCACCAGGAGAAGACCATCCTGGGGTCTCGAGAGTGGAGTCGTACTTTTCTCCGTCATACAGCTCTGCCTGACGGATTGGACCCTGGGATACTGTCCACTCGTCATTTGTCGAGACAATTTGAGTAGTTCCATCGTCAAAACGTAACTCAAGCTGAGCTAGTAAACTTGTTCGAGGACCGTAGATATTTCTTCGGCCGCCGTCAAAGCTTAGGCGACCGGTGAACCATCCTTCGGCCAAACGAATACCCAAGCAATTGTCTTGGTCATTGAGTGATTCGGTGACATTGTAAGTCTGGTATGTCAACCGATCATCGTAGCAAGTCCAGCCAGGTGCCAAGAAGTGATCACCGACGCGTTGACCATTGATCTCGGCTTCGTATACACCTCGAGCTGTAATGTACAGTCTGGCTGATTGTACTGTCCCTCTCAACCGGAAGTTCTTGCGAAAGAGATCTTCTGGCTGGGGCTTATCGTTGTGTTTTTCAGACCATGGAGCGGAAATGAAGTTGCCCTTCCAGCAACTTCGCTCAAAGATGCCGGTTTCTAACCATGCATCATCGCTCCACTCGGTGAAGGCGGTTTGGCCTTTGCCCTTTACTCTGACAGAGACGGTGTATCTCTGACGGGACACAAGTGCCTCTGCAGGCCAAGGAACCAAGTAAGACTGCGATGATTCAATCTCAACAGTACAAACATGATCCTTTTGTTGCCCGAAACTCTTGTTAACCCGTATCTCATAGGCCTCTTGTTCAAAGCCAGGCGGTGCGCCTTGAAAGCGCCACGAGATGCGTGGTTTCTTTTCGTGAACGCCTAGGGTATTAGGGTGGCGATAGTGCTCGAAGCGAACGTCAATTACTTTGAGAGACATAATGGCGGTAAATAACCCGAATGAATGTAACGAAGTGTCATTCAAGGAGAGAAATTACTTAGACCTATTCTTTATACTGAGCAGAAATCAGGTTAGCCCTGAGGTGAGGAGTAGTCCCCAGTTTTGTTTAGCGTACTAGGGAACGACTCGCTAGTTCATGCAGACATGCGTAACCGATGAAATAGTTGGAGGTAGTGTTCCGTACTGGGAAAATGTTTTCCAAGACCAGCATTCGACTCGGTGTAATAATTTACGAACCGTTGGCCTGCTGATCGATTCCTGTCTCCAACATCATACGGTCTTGAACCCGGTTACTTGGTAACGATTGGATCATGACTTCAATTCGGTGAATCGAGACCCGAGCAGCTGATATTTCCAAGTCTTCTGAAAGGAGGTTACCATGAATATGGGGACTAGATCCGGAGAACTCACCAGTCAAACGAGTTAAAAGCCGGCGCCAGTGAGAATAGCGCCGGCTTTGAGGTTTTCCTATTGGTTATCTAGTCTTTTTGCCTCACCAGTCTAGTTCTTCTCCGTCCGGGGTCCCCGCGCTATGAGCCTGGAGACGACAGGGGACATTTATGCGGGGAAATTGAGGTTGTTACTCTATTGTTTGTATGATGCTGCACATAAATATAAACCGAGGGATCTGCTATCTCTTCCCCTCTACCAATTGACTCCTCCATACAAAGTCCTTGAGTGGAACTTCTTATCAATTGTTATCATTAATATATCCAACCAATTCTGGAAACATGGAGAAACCAGAATCCACCGCCCACATCGAGCGATCCAATACCTCCAAATCCCTCCACATCTCCCCCAGCCATACCCGCGGTCATGCTATCCAACAACAAGAACACAACAGAACCTATTTGCAGACATTCCGCAAAGATCCATGGCTTCTGCTATGGATCGGGGTCATGCTCTGGACTTTGATTGTCCGTGGTTTCGAGAATCAGTCTTCAGGTTCAGTCATTAGTATTCCTGTCTTCAAGGAACGCTTCGGCAAGCCTGATGAGAAGGGAGATTACTTCATCGAGACCAGCTGGCAGTCGGCCCTCAGTGGAGGTTCGAATGCCGCTGCTATCTTTGGTGCTTGGGCTTCATCATACTTTGCCGACATTATCGGCTTCAAACCAGTCGTTCTTGCTGCCGCTGCCATCAACATTGGTTCTGTTGGCGTCGAGTTTGCCTCTACCTCTATCGAGATGTTCTTCGCTGGAAAGATGATCAACTTTATCGCTATCGGAGCTTTCCAGAACCTCTGCACAGCCTACGTTGCTGACGTATCACCATTGGCTATTCGCTCTACTACCATTGGTTTCTGCAACCTTGCTCAATGCATCGGTCCCTTCATCTCTGCCATCTTGTCCAATTTCAGCTCTCAGTGGGATACCAACTGGTCCTGGCAATCGTTGATTGTTGCCCAGTGGGGTTTCGCAGCAGTCGCTCTAGTCGGTCAAATTTTCATGCCTGAATCTCCAGTCTTTTTGGTCCGCAAAGGCAAGATTGAGAAGGCCCGCAAAGCCCTTGGCCGAATGTACTCCGACCCAGAAGACGCTTCTGGACATTTGGAACGAATCAAGTTGACTCTGGAAGAAGCAGAGTCTTCAAACCTTGGTTCTTACCTCGACTGTTTCAAGGGTACCAACCTTCGAAGATCCCTTATTGCCATCATGGTGTTTCTGTCAGAGCCAATGTCTGGCTTGGGATTTGTTTCCAATTACGGTGCTTTGATGTATCAGTACCTCGGAATTAGCGACTCGAAGTCCTTCCAGATTCAGATTGGCGCTCAGATCCTTTCCATGTCTGGCGCAACTATCGCTTTCCTTGTAGGCGACTTTTACGGTCGTCGACCTATGTACGTCACTGGATGCATCGCCCTTGCTTGCCTTCTTATGTGCATGGGTATCTCTGGCTCAGTCGATAACACAGCTGCTGTTACCGCATCAGTTGGCTTTTACACCATGTACAACTTCTTCTACAATGTTGGTGTTGGTTCAACTGTATACACAATCGCTGGAGAGATTCCTACTTCAGTCCTGCGAACCAAGACGATTGCGATTGCTATTTGCATTTCTTCAGCTATCAACACAATGTGGTCTTTTGTCGCGCCGTACATCTTTAATCCTGAGTATGCCAACCTCAAAGCCAAGATTGGTTTCATTTTCGGCGGCTTTATGATCGTCTTTGCTGTTCTGGCGTTCCTATTTGTTCCTGAGACCCGCATGAGAAGTTATGAGGAGTTGGATGAGCTCTTTATGGATAAGATCCCTGCTCGAAAGTTCCGCAAGCACGTTACCCTTGCTGAGCGTCGTGCTGAGGAGGCATATGCGATTGAGAATGGTGCAGAGGGGAAGCTTCGAGATGCCTAAGTTAATGGGAACCTTTCGTTAGTAATGGCCATTAGGTCAGGTGAAGTTTTTCATAGGTACTCTTTAGTTTGAATAATGTTTCTGTTACAATTCTACGATTTAATCCGTTGACTGCAATCCGGCTCCATTTAATGGTACGAAGGCGATGAAAAGAGATAGCGTAATATACTTACAGTTTCCTTGCTTTACCACATGATCTAGGCCAATAGATAGGAACGTATTACTCGACCCTTAGACCGCTCACGATGTTCTACGAAGGTGAGGATTGCAAAAAGTAAGTATATGCAGACTGCAAGGCATGAATGTTCAGCTACAGGTAGACACGTGATCATTTAATTCCACTATAGAAGCTTAGTGCATTACATCCCCCACTCACTGGAGTTCCTACTGTACCTGCCAAAATTCTCTTCTCCGAATACATCATCACTTACAGATGCATCACACCTCTCAGTAATGAGACCACCAACAGCATGTCTGAACTGCAGGACAGGCAAACGAAAATGCGACCGCACGGCCAATCTACCATGTTCTCCATGCCTACAGCGAAATTTACCATGCCCTGGAAATGCAGAAACTACACGACTATCTGAATCGCCAACAGCCAAGAGGCCCCTGGCACCTCAACCTCAGCTCAACATACGAGAAGAAGAGATACATCTGGTCGATCTCTACTTTCGCTTCATCCATAATTCACCTCATAGCCTATTCCATGAGCCAACGTTCAAAGACACTGTTGTTCAAGGCACAGTCTCGAAGCCTGTTCTCCTTGCTATGATGGGCATGTCTGCAAGGTACCGCAACATCCAAGTTGATCGAAGGTAGTCAGAGATCTGATATAAAGCTAGGTTTGCCGCACAGCCAGAAATAGTTGCCCGCGGACCAATGTATCGCGCTGAGGCAACTAAATCACTGAAAGATGATCTCGAACACATTTGCATCGAGAACATCCAGGCTTGCATCTTGGTGGGAAACAACTTCTTTGGCGAAGGAGATGCTGACGCGGAGTCATTGTATTTTGGTATGTTGCAACAATATACTACCATACTATGTATCTAATGACTTGTGTAGGACTGGCTAGTCGAATGTCTCAAATTCTCAAGCTTGGTGTTTGTAACGACGCCGATGACGGAGTCACCCGTGAAGTCAAGCGACGAATATACTGGACATGTTTCATCATTGACACTTGGGCTAGTGGGGGCTCCAATTTGTCAAGACAGTTCAAATGGCAAAATACTCATCCCCGACCGCCAATGGATGAGTACGTCTTGAACCAGATGAAAGCAGGAGACCCTGATATCCCTGATTCGCAATGGAAGCCTGGCTTATGGGGTTACATGGTCAACCTGGTCGAGATATATACGGAGATACAGAACTTTCACCAAGACCTTGCTGATACAACGGAATGGGACGAATCGTTCATAGACGACACGGTTCGACACCTCGAAAACAAGCTTGTGGCGTTTGAGGAAGCCATTGGTCCCACACTTTCCTTTTCAAGGGAGAATTTGACAACATTTGTGGACCGTGGCTTAGGTCGTGTCTTTGTTGCCTTTCACCTGGGCTATCATCATTATTACACCCTACTGTTCTACCACTACCTGGATCGACGTCGACCTCAGACACGAAACAGCAACAAATACTCTGCAACTTGCAAAGCCCATGCTATAGTCGTCTGCGAGGTACTAAAAGCGTCTAGAGAAGTCCCTGGAGCTGAAGCTTTGTACAATATAGTTGGTCACGTCACTATCGTGTCCTCTTCTGTTCTACTGCATACGTTCATGTTTGGAGAAGCCCATGAGCTTGAAGACTCACGGGCTCGTCTCGGGTCGAACTTAGAGTCTTTGGTACAGCTAAGAAGATATTGGCCAAGTGTTGAGAGAATGGTATGGGTATGTCCGGATCCGTTTACCCGCATACTAACACATGTTAGATCAATCGATTGGTAGTATTCCAACGGGGCTGTATCAACTCAATGAATGTTGAGTCATACAGATTTGATAAGTGGATGGTTAAGTTTCTGATTGCTCATGCGCTGGCCCTTGAGGACAAGGTAGACGATAGTTGGCCTAGTCCTTATCCAGAGCCTTCATATCGTGACGTTCAGATTGAGCGCGGCTTGATTACGCAAGCCATGATTACAGATATTCAGAACTACAGCGGAGGTGAAAGTTTTATTTAAAGCTCCAATACATGCTCTTTCAACTGGAACTACATAATTCCTCACTAGAAAGGCATTTGATCACTTTATTGAGTAGTTTCAAACTAAGTAGGGGGCAATAATCGAGCAGCGATCCAACAACCGCAAGCCATGACAGGAATAAAAGACGCAATAAAGATTAGAACAACATTTGTTTAGACAGTAAAAATAAAAATATTATTTTAGAGTAAGCCATCGACTTAGATGGATATCAGGAGACTGCTGACTAAACGCATGCAGTATTCAAAATGAGATTGGGCCACCACCTAATAAGCTTATCCGTTGGGTTCAGCCGCATTTTACATTGCATTTTCATTCCAAACACATTTTTATCACTAGCGTACAGAACGAGAGGAATCTGTCTATAAATCAAGATGGCTAACCGTGAATTCTATTATTTCTACGCACCTACATGGGACAATCCTCCCAATGGTCCAATTAAGCTGGGCAATGTCATCACCTCAGTGAAAGAGCCTCATCGACCCCGCTTCTATCATCCGCCTTCTGATGACTCCGATATCACCAAGTTGGAAAAAAAGAGTGTCCAATACACAAAGGAGAAATTGAAGAGCGGGAGATTCTCCATTTTGACTAAGTTCCTTAGTGTTTTCGGCTTTGGTGTCGACGTCGGTGCTGAAATTGAAAGAAGGTCAGTATATCTAGAGCATTAATCACGCAACACCTGTTCTTACAATAATAGCGATCAAGAAACATTCTTCTTTAAAACTCTTGAGACCACTCAGTTTACACCGACCCCGACGTATCTTCAGAAGTGCGTCGAGGCCGAAACTGTGCGTCGCTACTTGGAAATTACTCGGTACCGAAAACCTATCTACATTATTACGGGACTCAAAATTGTCACTGGCGCCGAGGCAAAAACGCTCAAGTCCCGGACAGTGGGTAGTAACCTTGCCGTAGAGGTTGATGGGACAGTATGGAGTGGTGGTGCCGTCCCTGTCGGCGGCGGTCCTGGCATTGAAGGCAAAACTACTACGAGTGAAGGAACAAAATGGGAGGCTAGCGGTGACTTCGTATTCGCATTCCGTGTGAGCAAGGTTATCGTGAAAAAGACTGGGGACTTAAATGAGGAGGAATTTCGCAAGGGGGCTATGATGGATAGCGAGAGCAAAGTGAAACATTCTGACCTCTCTATCGTCAGCGTCGAAGAGCCAGATGCAAAGTCTCAAGGTTTTGGTGAAGAAGAGGCGATGGAAGATGATGAAGTCGTGTTGTGTGGTATACCGATGCCAGAGCCACATGATCACTGATACTGGGCAAGTGTCATATTGGGTATATAATCTCTGAGCGGGGGATATAGTCTCACATGCTGGTTTTCAATCCTATGCTTTCAATACCTTCCCAATCTCATAGCTCACCCATTCGAGCGTCTCTCCAAACAGATTCTGCTTTTCCAAACTGAGATCAACCGAGAAATATCCACCCCTAGGCTGATAATTTGGGCCTCGCTCTGCGCATCGTCTCAGTACCGCCTCCATCCTATCTCGTCTCTTCATTGCAATTGCCTCACCACCCGTTAAATGCAGGCGACCATACTGTAGCAAAAAGCCAGCAACACCTGCAACAATAGGCGCAGCATACGATGTGCCGCTTCGAGATTTGACACAGTCATAATTCGAGCTATCGCATAGAAACGAGGGCCATGCCGACTCTACACACTCACCGACTGTGGCGATATTTATTGAGTTTGGATCAGCCGTTGGACTGAAATCAGAGGCGTTTCCTAACGCGTCCGTGGAATGCACACAAATAACATGCGGACTGCTTGCTGGGTATGCGCGAGAAAGGCGACCACCGCTATTAGCAGCGGCGGCAAACATGAGGACTTTCTTAGAGTACGCTTTATCAATAGCTGCTTCGAGAGCTTCGTAGCCGTCAAAATCGGAGGAAGGCCATCCGAAGGACATGGAAATGATGTCAACTTGCCACTCACCAATAGCATGTAGAATTGCCTAGCTAAGTGAGTAAGAATACGGGAAAGAATGATTAGAGCTTACATTTGCAACAATACTAGCATCAGGTCTTGTATTTTCCTTGTCTGCAATTTTTGCTATGTACAATTCTGCATCTGGAGCATAGTCCATAATGAGACTTGCAGTAAACGTGCCATGTCCGTGTGTATCTGCGACGTTCGTCTGTAAGGGATTGTAGAAGTTCTTCTTTCCTTTGAGACTATCTTCGCGAGGTTCCACAAGTGCATGGCCTCTTTCAATGCCCGTGTCTAGGATGGCGATCTTGACTGGCGTGGAAGTAGACTTCGCAAAAGGCCTACCCACAAATTTGTCGTAAACATTCAGGTAATCCTGTTTCCGGATTTTATATCTTTCTCTCCTGTTATGGACTGTAAGTTTGCGTCGTCTGTACGAAGCTAGGAAACTCACTCATTTGCAAACATAGGCCCGTCGTTAGTTTGGTCATCAAAGAATTGGAAAGCTCTTTGTGGGCCGTCGCAATTAGTAGTAAGATCCAAGTCTGATGCTGAATATGGTAGCATGGAGCGCATTTGTGAATACTGCTGCATCGATCTGTCTATCTGCGTGCTGATAGAAAACTTGTTTCGCAGTGGAAGGCTTGCCGGGGATGGGCTTCGACAAGGCGTGCCTGTCTTTGGTGAAAGAAAGACGGACTGGCTATATGAATCTTGTGTGACGATGCCTTGGCTCCATTTTGAAAAGTCTAAGTTCTTGGCGTACTGGTCGAGGGATTCCACTTCGATACCAAAGCCGGTAGTAAGGTGATCTTGTAGAGGCCTTACAACTTTGTCATATATTCGTGACCTGAGTGTCTCATCATCCAAGGGTTGTCCCTCGTCTTCCCATAGCTCTGGGTCAAGGCAGTTATCAATAGCTTCCAGCAGGAGAGACTCCTCCGGGATCTGATATCGCCATCCTTCTTCGCCGCCCTCTTCTCCCTCGAGAACTTGATCAACGTCCATGAGAGTGATACGTCCGCTCCGAGTCTCTATTAGTTGGATGTCGTGCATGGCTGCTAGCTGGCTGAAAGGTTTGACAAAGTTGATCTCCAACAGAACAACAGCCAGTGCTACCAGCTCTGGACAGCAATGTCCAGCATCCATGTCGTTGATCTCATCATCCTCAGAACCATCAGCCAAATCAGTAGCACCGTCTTTGGGCAGTTGTGTCTCGATGAAAGGCCGGAGAGGGATCGTATTTGACGTTGTTTGGAAGAACTTGATGCTCGAAGACCCCCATCCCGACTGAAGCCATGAAGTCCCGTACAGATGAAGGACCGTGTAGCCGATGATTAAGGACAAGATACGCTTAGTCTTGTCCATGAAAAAGTCCCTTCTCTCTTCGAAACATTGAGTAAGGGAGATTGGTTCTGTAGTTTTGTCGATATTGCTCTTTTCAAATCCTAGCTGATAGAGTTCCCCACTAGTTAAGCGTAGAACGAGTCGTTGTAGAGCTTTAGCCCGGGTCTCGAAGATTGGTGTGCACAGTTTCTCAACCTTGGTGTGTTTTCCCCTACTGGCACTACCCCTAAGTGTTGATTTGTTGGAGGGAGATGCAAAGTGAACAGTCTTCTCTCTTACGTCCTGCACTCGAAATTCGTGCCAATCTTGTTCCATAGTCAAGAACATGTTCAGCTCAAGACAGCCAGACACATCATCGTCTGGGACATGCCTGCGAACACGTCTCCTTGCAGGCTTGACAGCCACATTCTTTTCCGTTGTGCGGTATGTTCCTAACTCGAGCTTGGCCCTATACTCATGCTGTGAAGGACAGGTACATCCTCTACAGTCAACCAAGGCATCAAAGATGGACTTGGCAGCTTTCCAAACAGCAAAGGTTGGCTGTCCAATATCGAGAGACGCGGCTTTGTGGATGGTTCTTTGAATGGTCTGTTTCGGTTGTTGCTTATCGAGCGTATCCGCTAAGCTCTCAAGTACTGTATCCACCTCTTGTCTCTCCTCCGTGGAGATATCAGGTCGTAGCCATCTATTGATGAAGTCGAGCTTTGCTTCGTGTGACTGCCTTTTGGTCTCCCTCCACCAAAGGCTTAGCATCCTGAGTCGCGTCTCAAGGGCGACAGAATAACCACCAAATTCTGATAGACCGCTTTCTGGGATTAATAACCCGAGGTGAGACACAGCTTCTTTTAGTAGGTTTCCACCCAAGACTGAAGTGATATCCTGTGCCTGTGACAACTGTCCCAGTAGCCTGTAGCAGTGGCAGCTGAGATGACTGTAGAATCGTTTGACATTTGGGCTGATTTCATTTTGCTGCGCGATATTGGCCACTTCCAAGAATGTTTCAACTGCTTCTCGTAAGAGCTCTTTGCTACCTCTGTCGGATTTTGGGTCAGATATGATCGCCATTGATCAAATTCAATCCTAGGAGCTGAATTCATGAGGTTGATGTGAGGGAACAACTCTTTATCCTGAGGTGATATGTCAGCGACGAAAGATATCACATTGCGGCTGAGTAAAGCGGGGTATGCTGACAAGTTAACATCAGGATCTTATCTAGTAACGTCTATGAAGAGCAGGATACTACAGAGAGTCTTAGTTTACTAGAGGAGTCTTATTGAGATTGTCTATTATATATTTAATAGATAGTAATGTCTTGTCGAGTTAGGACCAGCCGTTAAACTTTCCGGAGGTTGGGTTAAAGGCTTTAGCTTTGCATGGAGTTGTTAGTCATCTAAGCTTATCTGTTAGTGCTGCGCTATAAAGCTACCAATCACGCGACGTCAGATCAGCTTGACAATAATATTGTTATCTGACTATAACTTATTGTGCCTTGACAACGATTGCTCCATGCGTTGACCCAAGCCTAGGGCTACAGACTGGCCATAATGGCTGAAGTAGACGGTGACCCGGAACGAAAGGGTCCAACAATTGCGACTTCAGCCAACCAGTGCCTTCAATCTTTTCAAAAATGTCTCATATCTGCGTCTTCAATCAACCCTAGAGAACTGTCAATGATAGAGGATCAGGTAGCCAGATTCTCCAGCTGGGCTGCTAGTATTGGAGTATTTGCCCCAGGTTCAGCATCCATGGATCATCGATTGCGATATGCGCCCGAGGTTCATAGTGTTGTGACCGGGTTACTTGAGTCTTTAAACTATCAATGTCAAGAATGTGAGTCTAATCTTTCAACCGACGTTTTTATACGAACCGAACCTTCTAACCTACGTTAGGCTTAAGTATACTCACCACTCTTGTAAAATCATTAGAGGCAGGCGAGCGATATGTTCCCTCCGAGAACTTTCCAAAATCGCTTAACGAGATCGCGGCTGAGATAAGTCGCCTCAATAAGATCTCGAACACTATTCGTCGTGCCAGCAAAGATACACAGGCTCTAACAGCCAGCAAGTTCCATGTCAAGGATGATGAAGGAAACAATGTCGAGGAGACTCTTCTGGACAATTTCAAGCGTCACATCAATGATCGATTTCCCAATCTAGGCGAGACTCTCCAAGAAAGGCTGGCTCGAACGATGCTTCTTCGGAGAAAACAGATCCTTTACAGAAGATTCCGCCACGGCAATGTATACACCAAAACCCAGGATACTATCCCTGCCGTTTCAATCAAGTTTCCATCCGCGAAGCCTGTCGGTTCTCTCGCGGAGTCCAGGCCAAAACAGCCAAAGACTAGTAGCACTGTCTCAAAACCAGCCACCGCCACCCCGTCACAAATCAAGAGTGCGACAACACTAGCTCCGGAAAAGTTCAGAATTGCCGCCTCAACCCCTTCAGTCATCTCTGTAAGTAAGACAATTGCTTTCGACAGTCACGAGAGCCTTGCCTTTCCTCCGGCGCCTGGTCACGCTGTAAAGAAGCGGTATGAACAGCTGAAGAATCAAAGACTGGCTGAGTACGAGCAAAGCTTGAATTCTAAAAAAGGCGCTGCCAGCAACAAGCCGACGGTACAGGAATTACTGGTAAATGATCTGCAAAGCCTCGGGGAGATTACATGCCCATACTGTCTTTGCGCACTACCAGCTGAGGAAGCTTTTGATGAGACTAAGTGGCAGTAAGTATTTCCGAACTTTCTAGTCTCAATAGACCTGCTGACTGTTACCTTAGAAATCACATTAAGAATGATCTGGATCCATATGTCTGTCTTTTTGAAGACTGTGACCAACAAGAAGCATTGTACAACCATAGCGATCAATGGTTGAGCCACTTGCAACAGCATCGCAGATTTTGGCGTTGCCCGTCTCACCATGACTCGGAGCCATTCCCTTCTGCCAATGACTACATAGCCCATATGCGGGAGGTTCATACGAGCAAATTAAGCGACAAACAACTTCGGGCCATGGCGAATAAAAATAGCCGTAAAATGAAACAGCTATTTTCTTCATGTCCCCTTTGCGGGAAAGAAGAATCTGACATAAACAGTCGTCTGGAAGATCATCTTGCTGGACATTTGCGCTCGCTTGCCCTCAAGTCTCTACCAAGCTACCACGAAAACGCACCTGAGGATAATGAGGATGGCAACAACAGCATAGACGTATCCAGACCCAAAAGCAGAAGCACGGTGAAGGATCTGAGGGAAGACGAAGACTATGTGCCATCGCACCTGTTTACTTCTGAAGACTTTTGGGACCAATGGAGACCACCTTTGATTCAAGCTCCATGGTGGAACTTTTTGGATCAGGCCTATGAGGATCTTGATCTGACAGTCGATAATGACAGTCTATTCTTCGACACCTACTCCTTCCGAGATCTGCCCAGTACTTTTCACAATGACAGTATCATACAGCACATCATGCAAAATCAAGAAAATCAACGCAAAGTTGGCCAAACCGAACACACCAAGGATCGGAACGTTGAAGAGGCCGAGAGAACATCATCGCTCATTGAAACTTTCCTCAGACAGCCCCCAGATACTATCGATATCTCGGGATCAGCTAGAGCCAAAGCCACTAAAGAGATGCCATCACCAACACTTTCACTGTCATCATTGAACTCAAATGCGCAAGAGACCAGTGGAGCAGAAACAATCCCGATCATGACAAGAGCTTCATCATTCCATGCTTCGCCACATAGTGTTGTCGTAGAATCTTCAGAACCGTATCAGATAGAGTTATCTGAGGAACGCACGGCGATGCCCTCTATACCAGAGTCATCAGGCGTACGAGGAAGGAGGGTTACTTACGAGGCAGATGATGAAGGTTCAAAGCGAATCCAAGACCGGAACAGGCGAGGTGGCAGATCAACAGATGAACGTCAATCCGGAGTTTATATCAATGGTAAAAGGGTTTTGAACCTCAACCGCCACGATAGATCGAGGCGTCTTCCAACTATAGACCACGACAACATATTTTCCGCACACTCACCACCAGTACCAGGCCCCCCTAACAATACTCCAAGTTTGTATCATAATGTTGGTATCACTGCAAGTCGTGAGAGAATTATTCTTGCTGAGGAACCACCTTCTTCAAACCGTCGTCAGAGACCAATCATCATTGATGAGCGGCCTCGTTACAGGGTTGAAGGCATTGATGATCCTGATATGGACGATACTCGCACTACCAAAAGTGCGCCAGCACGGACCTCGGGCTATAAAAAAGAAAAACAACAACGGCGTCGAGAAAGAGAAGCGCTGGAGGCGGAAGAGCGTCTACGCCAGCGATTTGGTAAAGCAAATGCCACTATTTCCACACGACCAGCCGCTCCAGCTCCTCCAAATCCAGATAAGAGTTCTAAGACAATCTATCAAAGATACTACAGTGAAGCTTCAGACGAAGAAGAGAGTCGTAACAGCACTGCTCATCGGATAGGCATGTTAGAGGAAACAAAGGAACTGGAAGCCCAAAGAGAAAGGCTCATGGAACGAATTGCCGAGGCGAATACAATGATAGCTTCACGACCAGCCGCTCCAGCTCCTTCAAACCTAGGCACAAGTACTCATGAATTCTATGGAAGTAACTCTAGTCGAGATTCAGTTGAAGAACTCTTAAGGTCAAATCTCGATGAAAGGCGCCGTATTGCTAGGCAGGAGGAAGAAAATGAAACAGTAGCCCAAAGACAGCGGCTTAGGGAGCGGTTTATGTACGGGCGTCGGTCAACAATTTCTGGTGGTAGTCGGAGACCACTAACGTATGATGAGGGTGTCTACCGCTACGACGACAACAAACCAGATGACGACGTTGAATCTTCTAAGCAGAAGAAGAAGGACGGATAGGGGTAAAAGTGAAACTCAATATAGCGTTTAGGGATATGAGATAGATTTAGGCATCTGGCCAAGTGACTGACAGTTGCTTGTAAGCTAATTGGCATGTAGTACTCTTTACATTGATAAATACTAGCAAATAAATATTTCTAGAGCTTCACATTCATACATGCCAACAGACTGGTAGATGCATAAGTTCATGCACGATCTCTATTTCCATTTAGCATTTTTACTCTCCACCTGCAACAATTGCTCATGTATCTTTTGATAGACTCGTCACGTTGAACAGCAGACTTCAAAGCTGATAAAACATTGCTATAGCTTGATATTGCACTCTTGCTGTATGCAATAATTAGTAAGTATTGCTCCTTCCTCTTATAGACAAATTGAGCTTCCGTAGGATTTCAGCTTAAATAGGTAATGCGTGAATTTGCGGCTGATATAACTGTTCACATGAGGTTAGGCGTGACGAGTGTGTACAGATCTGGATCGGAACTTCGGCCCGTAGATCGACTGCATTTGGCCAATTTAGGATAGTTTCAAATCCTTCTATGTCATGACTCTGTAAGAGACTATATCGAGGCTCTCTACTGCTTTGCAGCTTGCTTTCATACCGCCTCAGTAAATATTGTGCCTCAAAGAAACATGATCCTTCCTCCTCAACAAGCTGGGGGATGGCCGAACTTCGAATAACCGCTCGGCTCGTTATACCTAAACTCCGTGATGGAAGTATCGTTAGCCTGGAGACCTAGAATGTAGGACGGTGGAAGAATAGATTCTTGGAAGTATAAATATCACCTTTAGTTCCTCACAATTCAGTACTTCTGCATCACTCTACAATCCAAACAACCTACGACAAGAATTTCCAGCAACTTCCCAGCAACAATTATCACCATGAAGGCCGCTATCTTTATCACTGCCCTTTTCGGCGCTGCCATCGCTGCTCCCGCTCCCAATGCTGTCCCTCAAGACCTTGATACTCGCGCCAGTTGCCCTGGTGGCCAAAGCTGTGTTGGCGGTTACTGCACCGTCTACACATGCGTGCCCGCCGGTACCAGCACTCAGTGCTTCACCTACAAGTACAACAGGTGTTAGAAGACACCCGGAACGCATGTAAGATAGATTGTATGGCTTATTAGAAATGTACCATAACTAACACATATAGCCTATACTTCACGACTGGACTGGAGTGGGTGGCGATCTCGTGATGGCACCAATCGGCTCCAAATGCTCAGACAGCGGACAGTGATCTGATACATGCTGGTTAGACTATAGCAAGTTAGTTCTTAATAATCGAGTCGTTACTGAAATATCTTTGATTGGTCATCTGTGTCATAATCACCTCCTATCCATATTTACGAGAGTCCCGTGCGGTGCCGAGTTATACTAGAAATAAATAAACTCGATACTCTTGTATTAGAATCAATGCTGCTGTTGCCGGCCGAAAGGGGATACGGCGCCGAGACAAATTTTAAAGGGGAAATCAAACTAGAAATGCAGGTGCAGAAGCACTAAGGCCACCAATTTCCCAATATGGTTACTTCAGGGAAATGTCAACACTGTTAACGAATCCCAGTTCTAGACTTAATCGAATCGGTGTTAGCTGCGGAACCACTACTACGAAACTATTGATCCTGCAAAAGTAACTAAATGCATTTCAGCTGATAAAGAAATCGATAGTTTCTGATCCCCTAGATTATACCCATGTTACCTCTCCAATTTCCTCATTAAAGATGACGGGACTTCCACCTGTGAGGACTTGCAACGCTCTCCATTGTTCAGTTCACCAAGCCGTGAAACAGTCATTTGCTTACAATGGTATCAATCAAAGCAGTTGCAGTCGCTTATGTGGCGGCCAACCTCTTGGGAGTTGACGCAGGTCTATGCCGACCGTCAACTAGAACTTCTTTAACCTCATCTGAGTCGGAAACCCAGACGGTGATCCCTATCGTTTCGACATCCACCTTGGATACTAGCATCATTCCATCTGACACAACAAGATCAAAAGATCGCACATCGTCAGTTTTCGGAACACCTAGCAATTCTGAGACTGCTGAAAACCCGACTTCCTCTACAAGCGGAACTCTCAGCTATCTTACGTCGTCAGGAATTCCAACAACATCAGATGATGCAATTGCAACATCATCAGTAACAGCAACCTCTGTCAATCCTACGGCATCTGATGATTCCACTACTTCTGGTGATCCTACTACATCTAGCGAGGAGACGTCTACCGATGTTACATCTAATGAGGCGACGTCTACTGATGTCACGACTTCTGATACTTTCACGCTATCAGTCCACCCCACTACATCAAAAATTCCTGCAGCATCTTCTGAAACCATGACTTCCATTGACACCAGCTCGCCTATGGAATCCTCAACAACTATCGATACCACCGCGACTACGGATGCTACAACAACCGCTGAAACAACGACAACTGCCGATGTCACAACTTCAACTGACCCTACAACTACAACTTCAACCTGCGTTGAGCCTACTAATTTGCTTAGACAACCCGGATTTGAGCCTTCAAATGATGGGGGTGTTTGGGGCTTCTATTGGGGCGGCGGCCGCATCACTGTTGACTCTGAAATAGCTCGCACAGGTGATGGTCTAGCGTATGTTGAAGTGTTCAACTTCCTAATGACTTGGGCTAATCAATACTAGTGATCTCCCTGTTCCCGGTGGACAAGAACGACGCATGGAGCAGCGAATACATATAGTGCCAGGCACAGAATATGCTATCCGCTTCTACTATGCTCTCGCATCTGCACCACCTGCCAATACACAGTGTTTCGTGTTTGCTACATTCGATTATTATACGACTTTGACCCAAGTACCACTTCCATCTGATACGGAATATCACTTGTACTCGGCGAGCTTCATTTCGGCAGACAACCTGGACCCGGCTATTGAAATCGGTGTCTCCTGTACCCAGCAAAACAACGGCTATACAGCTGAAGTCTTTATTGATGATGCATCGGTTCTGGATATCACCAATGCATGTGATGCTACTCCTGTCGACCCCAACGCCCCCGCCAAGCCCACGCTTCTCATCCCTGCCCAACCAGAGCAACCTCATTGCCCTGTAAATGCCGCCCAAGTCCCAGGTTTTGAGCCCGTAAACGGTAACCAAGGATGGGAGTTCTATAACAGAGGAGAATTCGTCAATGATCCATCCAATGCCCGAACCGGCGAGTGGGAGGCGTAAGTCATCTTGTCCACTTCCCGACTGAAGGAGGCTAACCATCACCAGATTGCTCCCTAGCGGAACTATGACTTCTCAATTGAACGATGGCACCTACCTCGAACAATATTTCAGTGCAGGAGATCTTACACCAGGTGAAACCTACGATTATCATTTCTTCTGGAAGCCAAATACCCTCCCAGATAACGGAAAGTGTTATATCTACGGCGGTTACAGTGATGCCATCAGGTATCCAAATGCCGAAGTCAAAGCTGGAGCAACTTCTTCGACAGGTTATACCATCTACTCAGTTCGCTTCGAGATGCCAGCAAGCGACAATTTCTTTCTCCAAATCGTTTTCTACTGCGATTACAACAACGGTAATCAACAACTGGGATCTGTTTACGTCGATGATACTGCACTGATTCAAGTTGGGGGCTGTGAGGCATTCCCTGTGACGGGTGCACGTATCGAGAACCCTAGCTTCGAGGTCAGATCGACTGAAGACAGTACTTATGCTTGGTTTGGCAACAACGGCATGGTTATCCAAGCTGGAAGTACAGTTGATGGCCCCTCTCCAAACTCAGGCAACAATTATTTGTGAGTTCTTTCTGCGATTGGTGATTTGCAAGCAATCTAACATAGCCTAGATATGTTCAGCTTGGATCTACTAAGAAATCAGCTACACTCACCAAGCCACTAGCCGTTTCTCTAGATGCAGGCCAGTATTACACCCTCCGGTTCAGTTGGTCGGCTGGGGCGGCATATGTACCCGCGGATTGCTCGTTCACGATCGCATTTGGTTCCTCTACCGAAACCCGCCCACTCAACGACCAGATTACTTCGTACAACTACGAACTGTTCGATTACACGTTCATGCCAGCTGAAGAGGTTACGTCCATGTCGGTCACTGTCTCTTGCTTGACGGCTTCTCCTGACTTTGTTTTTGATGACTTTTCTCTTCAGTAAAGGGAGGATAAAGGCTATAGCTAGGACAACATTATAATTATTTTCACATGTCCCCTATTATATACAATTATTAGTACAATAGCTATATAAAGTCCAACCTGATCAGCGGTCTGTTAGAAATGCCTATTCTAGACTTCAACTTGCTCTCACAAACCTCCTCCAAACTGGACTCGCCCAGCTGGGTATGCATGTGATACTGAGTGTCGAGCATCAGCATCTCCATCATGCTTTACGAGTTTGAGCACGGTAGCCAAAACATACTGTTATGATTGACAACATAATGCCGTAGTCAGTATTAACACTTACTACTATCTAATATGTATTACTTTAAAGCTTAACTATACTATTTCGGTTGTAAACTTACAGTCACTAAATACTAAACTTGACTTCATAAGTCTTTGTGATCTTTCTATAAAGCTCTTCTCAGATGAATAATCAACAGTCTCCCAGTCTTCCCCCCAGAAATAGGAAGAGAAACTTGGATTATACTGTCTGAATAATCCAACCCGACGAAATCTCCCGGTTCCGTCCTCCAGCGGAATAACAACCAAGCCAATACTTTCTATTGTCCCCTTACACATTGTCATACCCTCAGAAACCGTTTCACGGTAGTCCTAAGACATGGCTATCTCCAGCAACTGGACAGAAATCGCAGTTGCGTGATCTGATATTGCATCGTCCAAAGTATCTGGGAAAATCATTACCTCCCGATCTTGAACGAACGCTTGGTTGAGAACCGCGTCCGAGAACAGATCGTCTCCCTGGTCAGGTTTCTTTCGACAGCTCATAGTAGCATTCCTCATAGCACAGTTGATTTGTAATAAAGCCGATTCCTCTTTAATGCTTCCAAAGGGTGCATCAAGGTATGCTGGTTCTGTTTGGCACTTTGTAATTTCTGTCATTCGACGGAGCACATTGTGTCGATTGAGAAGTGGGGGCGAGTATGGTGTTGCGTTAAATTCTTGAAATGAAAAATATGTAGTGTCGTCCGTTACGTCGTCCTCGGCTGTCGATGAAAGTTCCATATATGTAATTGGAGAGTTTACCGAAACCCATGACCAGCTCGGGCCCTGGTAAGTACAGGGTCTTGGAAGAAGTCTATGCATCTCATCCTGATCCTTAACGGGATCTATCATCCAAAGCAACTCTGCCACGAGCGATGGTTCCCACAAACCAGCCCGATATGTCCCCAAGAGAGGACTAAGCTTGTCAACAATACCAGAGATGGCAAGTATTCTATCAGTGGTATTCGTAAGATTACGTGCCGAGTAAGTCTCTACCATCCCTTTCCAGATTTGTAGGGCCTTGACCTTTGTTTCATTTGTGTCAATTGAGGGATCTGAGTAAGGGCCAATCTGCCAGAACTTTCGATATTTGTCGTGCCAGTGTGATGCATCATCGAGATCTTTGGAACTGTCTTTCCAACCATCGACGAAGCCGCCTACACCATGAGACTCCAGACAATGCCATGAAGTTCTAAGAGATCCAAACTCAATAGTCCTCGTGGCCAGTAATTGCTCCTGAAATGTCCAACCTCGTGTAAGCAGTGGCTCCAACTCCTGGTCAGGGGCGCAGAGAATGATTGACCCGACGCGTCTTGCTAGCAGAGGATTGTTATTTGCGCAAAGGAAAGGAATCTGGTAAGCCTCCTGAAGAACTTCTGGATACCCGCCAAGGGAGAGTGGCATAACGCCAACCCCTTCAGCCTCTTGTTCAAGACTTCGTCTACCTAGGAATCCGTGTTTCGCCGAAGGAGACCGTGTGGCCGAAATCGTAATCACAGCGTGGCCATAGACCTTTGGCATGGTAGAGATCTCCCTTGCCTTGTCGCTATCGTCGTCTTGATTGATGCAAAGTGCATCAATCCACAAGTACCGAAGTCCTAATCTTACGCATACGAATGCCGCATCTCGTAGTGTTTGTGGTAGATCCTCGAGAGAAATACCCTGTTTGAGTGCCAACTCAGTCTTCTTCTCGAGCCGCAAGGGTTGGTCGCCTCCCCAAGTATAACTCAGAGCTGCAAATGGAAATAGCTGACCAGGTCTTTGGGTAATCGCTGGTTCCACCAGTCGAGCCATCCCTGTGGCCCTGCTGTCTGAGTCTCCCCATACATCTAGCAGCCTCGTTGGAGTCCACTTACTCCCATCAGCCCTTACTCTATGGCAGTTGGCATGTTGAATCTGGCATGTCCGGAGCCAACTGCCCAATTTAGCGAGAGCCTCTCCGGAAGCAGGTTCAGCCTCGATGGGACGAGCAGATATATGTCCAGCGGCAGGGTCTCCGGGGTAAGCAAAAACATCAAATTCCGCTCCAACATGCTTGTACATGACCTCTTGCTCACCGGGGTCAGATGAGTGACTGGGTTTTAAGCTGGCGAAGGCGAACTCTATACTCGAGATATCTGGCACCACTCGCGCAATGTTATCAGATGAGAACCAGCTTGATGTTTTGAAGCGTTCACGATGTGCGTTCAAAATTGCAACAAGCTCCCATGAGTCCATCGGATGTTGCATGAATCCGCTAGATCCAAATAGCGATGGGTCATAGCGTGATAAGTTGCTTCCAAGCAATAAGCGCCTCGCAAAATCACAGCCATAGTTGGCAGCATATCTTGTTTGCCTAAACGTGAACTGGAAAGGATACGTTCCCTGGTGCAGTGGCCCCAGTCTATCACCGAAACCCAGCGATGCAAGCTTGTTCCGCAGTGGGTACACGGTGTTACGATTGTATGACCACATGGTATCAATCGCAATATTCCGACAGTACATGCAAGAGTGAGGCATTAGGTTTAGTGGAGGCATATTGAGTTGAAGGGTTTGCTTTTTAGTTGTTGGTTTCAGTGTAACATGAAGTAAGTAATAGATATGCCTAAGTATATATACTGTAATGAAAGATATATAGTTAAATATTATATACTTGAATAAAATCTTTATGAGTTTCTGCTGCAGGAAGTCAGTTCTGGTTATTGAAGTGGCTAGGTAGGAATGAAAATGCCTTGTCTGAGAACAGTAAGACACTTAGATCATTACTGAACTATTTCTTAAATGTGGCGTTTGACGGGCTTCAACCATAAAGGCTAAAACTTCAAGGATACATTTAGCCTTAGCTTGGCATAATCCGCCACCGACTTGAAAGGTTGATATAAGGGATGTGAAGTAAAAACCAATTATGCCTAGCAATGCAGCTAGCCGTCTTTAGCAAAGCCCAAACAGTGGCGGTGGCTATGCAGGTGACACAAGGCTTCTCATCGTAGAGTGCTACCAAGAAGCAAGGCATATTTAGGTAAACAAGTCCTATAATACATTGTCCCACGCTTCACGACACCCTTGCCAGACCCCGATCTTTTCTCATCCCACCAGCCAATCGTGCTTCAGAAGTAGGAACCTCCAACTTCACTTCCGTCAAGCTTCTCAGCAACCTCTTCCACATGTCTGAAGCATCTTTATCCTCTGTGCCTTCCGTCAACGTCACTCGGTTACCAACCACAATGACTTCCGATCTTGCACGAGTTAATGCAACATTCATACGGCGCATATCCTTTAGGAATCCAATACTACGATGCTCGTTACAACGAACGGTCACAAAGACAATAATATCCGCCTCGCGTCCCTGAAACCCATCGATGCTCGAAACCTCGATGGTCTGGTGTAGCCCAGATAACATACGCTTCAAGGATTCTGCTTGTCGGGTATAAGGCGTTAGAACGACGATGGATTGAGCGTTGCTTTGGGAGGTCAAGAGTCTGCAGATGTTCAGGCAAAGCTCTGCTTGTCCCTTGTTCTCCTTTGACTTGCCGGGCATTTCTTTTATGTCGCAGTTGACAAAGATAGCTCGCTCATAATCTGGCTTAGCTGAATTGCTCGTCTGCGCAGGTGGAAATGGAAAATCGGAATTCATGAGCGGCCTGTCAGACATGCCTATCCCAGACTTTAACTTGCCGTCGTAAAACGCCTCCGAACTGAACTCGCATAGTTTGGGATGCATCCGATACTGAGTATCCAGCATCAGTGTGTTCAAACCACTTTCAGTTGAACCCCGAGCCTCAGTATAGAGTCTCTCAAAAAGAGATACGTCAAAGTCCAGTGCAAGTGAGGTCTGCTGTACCGTCGGCCTGAGCTGCACATGATCACCAACTAAAATAGCCTTTGAGCAGCCCTTGACAAGGGGCACCAGCGAGCTTGGCTCTGTTTGTTGAGATGCTTCATCAACGATGACTATGTCGAAGATCTCCAATCGAAGTAAACCGATACCAGCACCAATACATGTCGTGAATACCATATCGCTTTGCTTGATCATTTGGGAAGCCTTTTTCATGGCCTTGTAGTCACTGTGGATCTCTTGACCTGCCATAGCATCGCAGGTATACTTTCGTAAATCGTCGGCAACTTTGCGTACTTCTGTAGACACTCTCAGTATATTGGGCTGAGCCTTCTTGGCCAAAGGCTGTTCCTCGATCCGTTTGATGTAGCGTCGCATTACATTATCCACGGCGTTATGTGTCGGTGCAGTGACAAGAACCCGCGCCTTTTTGTTGACTATCTGTAGAGCACATATCATTTCAACAATTGTTTCAGTCTTTCCAGTACCTGGAGGACCCCAAAGACAGAGAAGAGAGCTGTTGATAGCCAATTGTTTGGCTTTGTTCTGGCTCTTGTTCAATTTGGCAACATTGCTGTACGTTTCTTCTGACTGGAGCAATGAGGTAGCTGACTGAAGCCCAAAGATTATATCCGCGACGCCGCAACAGTCCTCCCTGTAGATGCAAAGGTCCTTCGCAGCGTCGATCATGGATTTGGCAGTAACGAACGATCCACAGTTTTCTAGAACCCATGAACATTGTTCAAAGTAGGGTGGGAGAGGATGAAGACACTTGAAGTGCGCGCGCCCAGTCTCTGCAAAGACGACCAGAGCGTCAATCGAATAATCGGCGCCAACTAGCACGTTTGAAGGAAGCGATGCAGTCGTAAAACGTACGTGTGATTCTTGTTTCGGAGTGCCAGTGAGGTCAATCCTAAAGTCAATATCCACAAGACTGCCGTCTTTGTCTTTCGGCGATAGCTTCAATTCCAACAGTCCAGGTAAACGTTTTGCTTCAGCATTGGCCTCCTCGATATGTTCCACGGCTATCGCCATCAAGTTATGCAGTAGGTACTTGGCCACTTCAGCGTCTGTCGTTATGAAACGAGGTGCGTCTGGCTGCAGGATATCCAGAAACAAGTCCAAGGCAAGGTCCGTTGATCGTATTGTCAATGTAGCAAGCTCGACAACATCTGCCATGTCACTCAAGGATAGGCTTCCGGGTGAGATGTTGGAAATAATGACTTTCAGCGGCTCCAAGATTAGGTTACCCATGGTGTTGGATGAGAGAATAAAAGCTCGAATGATCGGCAATATCGAAGCTTCCAATAACTCAACTAGTTCTGGATCTTTGTCCGTGCGGGTGTTGGAAAGAAATGGCGTGAAAGATATCGCCAAGGCAGGCTCAGTGACCACGGTTTCGAGCATTGCGTTCAATAGTCTTTTTGGGTCCACGGTAGAATCCTTGATGTTGATGAGAATGTGTTCAAAACACTGTAGCAAAAAACCCTTATCGTTGGCTTTTCGAACGATGTTGAAAACTTGTTGGTATTGATCCACAGATTCCAAGCTGTTCAGCAAAGTAAGATTATTGTGCTTCACAATGCTGATAAGCCAAGATGGATCCGACGGTGATAAGATATTGCTACGAGACGGGATAGAGTAATTCTTCGGTTCGTCTGAGAAGAGAGGAAGAATCTCGGTAGTATCGATTTGTTCAAGCCAGAGATCCAAATTTCGCATGGACGAGACATCTCTATTGCTGATGACATTGATTTCCTGCCTTGAATTAGCTCTACCTAATCCTTAGAAGTAAAACAGGAACTCACTGCAGCTGTAACTGGGGATCGATTCACACGTCCGATATGTGTTTGAAGTTGTCTGCTGAACCTGTTGAGATCAATACTTGCAATCACCTCTGCTTGGTCTCCTCGGTCGACCACTTCCTGTCGCTTCCTCCTTCTGTCGCCCTTGTTCTTTTCTTCGCGATAGTCCTCGTCATTTTGGCCTGGTCGTGCAATGAAGACCCATGTGTTTCCTCTGCTTTTCTGAAAGAGCTGAAAAAGATTACCATCGCAGTATACTTGATACTCCATCTTGGTGGGTAGAGATAGCCGAGTCTGCCTTTGTGGCCCTTGGGAATGTGGAAACGAGAACAGCCTGGCAGTATCATCGATGACACAGTCTTGGGAACGTTCTATCTGTTTGGGTATGTATATAGCCAGAGATAGTCGCTCGTCAGGCTGAAAGACGATGAGGGTGCGATGAAACAATTCCAGGTTTGTAGTAGTGGCGTCATGAAAGGTGGCCAGGCGATCTATTGAAGAGTCATAGGTTCTTTTCCATTTAATACCAGGATAATCTAAGCGAAATTGTTCCAGCTCATTGCGCTCAAGTATTCCAGATGAGCACAGAGCATTGAGAACCAGACCAGGAGTACTAGGTGATGGCGGGACGTGAGCTAGGATCCAAGCTTTCTGTTCTGGGGCGAGAACGTTGAAGTCAAAAAGATGTAGAAGGCTCTCGAAGGATGTCTTGTTCTTCAAACACCAGGTATACGCTAACTTGACACATTCAAACTCACCGATGGCAACATCTTCGCGACTCAACAAGAGCTTCATTGCATCAATGTCGTATCCATCCAAATCGCCGCTCTGGGAAAGACTGAGGCGATTGACTTGATCTCGAGATTCGTTATGAAGAACATCGAGTATGAAGGGAGGGGCACCATCAAGCAATTTTGGAGGAGATTGTAGCTTTTCAGGAATCTTGATGCGGTTCCCATCTACACATTGGGAGAATAGACGGTTCAGTTCCTGGCACTGAGCGCTCATAGGTCCTGTCACTCGAGCCCAGTCGAGATACAGGTTCTTTACTCGGCCGAGTGACGCGTTATTGTACTTGGCAAAGTATACCAGGCGATCGTCGTCAGTGATAGGGCGGAATGTGATGGGGTCTCGACCCCCGGGGTATAAAGCTGGTGTTGAAATAGTCGAAGGTATTAGGTCTGGGTCCCAGCAGACAAAGACTATAACGTGTCAGCACTAGTAAATCCGAAGCAGACACAAAAAGGTAGTCTTACACGTATCACCATCAAGATCACCACCAGACATCATATCCGCAGCTGGTCTTTTTCCTCTTGTCGAAAACACGATACAATCCGTCAAATGAGCAAGTTCAGGTCGTTCAACAACCTTAAACTTTTGCCAATCACCAGGATGAAGACACGGATTTCTGATGACGGTAACCTCGGTGTTCTTCAAAGCACGAGGCATTCCGTTTTCTTCCATGGTGACTTTGACTGCGACTTCACCTTCGCGTAGGACATCCCACGCATCACAAACGCCAAACAGTAAACGCGATTTTTGGACAAAGATACGGCATCTCTGTCCGTCCTTCTTGTTTAGCATTTTCTTCAATTCGGCGTTGACTAGGCTGTTGATCTGAGGCTTGATGCTCTCGCTTCCTTCGAGGAGGACGCGTTCTGCAAGGTCGGGTCGGTTGACGTAGCTCAAGAAACGGAACGCGTCGCGGAAATCGGTCTTTGCGTTTCTGAGGAGATCAAAGTGCTGGCGCTGTTTGGAGAGGAGGGTTTCTTGCGAGATACCTAGGGCATGTAGAAGAATGATGGTCTCGTCGTTGAGGAAGCCGTAAGAGAAGGGCTAGAACATGACATAATTAGCAACCATCTACGTGAGGGGATTCATGACACACCTTGGAATACTCGACAACTGCAAAAGAATGATCATCGCCGCCACTGAACTTCTTCATTGACTTTCGAAACTTGAGCTGGGTTTTCTGCTTCTTCATACGCCAGTCGACCGTGACGACACCTTTGTATCCACGATAGCGGATCTGAAATACCGAAGGCGTATATCGAGTATCACGAAAGATTATTCGAGTTCGTCGCGAGAGATCCTGTGCAAGGCTTGGGGCGATCAGGCCACATCCATCGGTGAAAACGTAGTCGGTTGTCTCAATATCTGGAATATCCTCGCATCGGTCGGGGCTGATATCCATGGCAGTTTTAGCAGATGAAAAAAGTAAACCGATGCGTTTGGCTTTCTTTCCGACGGTCTTCATCTTGGTAAAATCCCCCAGCGACTCAATCTGGCAGGAAATTTCCTCTTTCATGGCTGCCAGAAGAAAGCATGATCGCGATTTGAGGCTGATGATGAATCATCTTCGTTGGATATTCGTGAATGTTTGTTACATAGCAGGTTACTTACCCCGCGGAGGCCTACCATAGACCCTGTTGTCAGATCGGCCTAACTTTGACATCCCTCTCTCATCTACTATCTAGTCAACGACTGATTGAAGAGATAGAGCATAGGTCAATCAATCATGCTTACAAAAATTAATATCCCCAACATCTACATCATCGGCCCTCAATCGACAGGCAAAACTACCCTGGTCCACAAGCTACAGGATGACCTGCAGCACTGGGCCGAGCCCAAAAAACCACACATCATCTCCGAAGTAGCCAGAACCGTTCTTACAAAGCACAACTACTCAGCTCACGACATCCAAACATCACCAACAAGATGTCTTGAACTACAGCAACTCATCCTAGAAGCCCAAGCAATCGCTGAGAAAGACGCTCTGGAAACCTCTAGATGGTTCATCTCTGATCGATCTGGTATTGATCCATTAGTTTATGCAAAACGATACGCCTCACTCCAAGGGATTCAAGACTTGCAGAAATTACCTGTGTGGGCTGAAATCAAAGAAAGAATGGAACACTCTTTGATTGTGGTTTGTGAGGCGGGGACGCCTTGGTTGACGAACGATGGGGTACGATTGATGCCTGATAGCAACGACGAGTGGATGGGTGTGTTTCACGACTTTTGCACATTGTTGGATCAGCTGGGTCTCAATTATTCCGCCCTTCCTCGAACCATGCTTTACTTGTCAAAGCGGGCAGACTTTATTTGGGGGTTGTGGGAAGTTGCCCATTTGCCTGAAGAAATGAAAGTCATCACGGGGGGTCGGATTGAAATTGAGAACAGTGTAAATTGAGTGTCGCTGACTTGAAATCATTCTATAATACATGATATTGATACATAAACATCTTATGAAGAATTGTCTCCGCAGGAAAAAACACCACGGACACCTGAAGAAGAGTTGAAAATGTCAAGAAGCTCAGTGATGGATGCCCACAGACCAGCTGCGTTCATAAAGAGCGACATGATAATGAGAAGAGCGTTGACAATGGTCAAGCAGATCTTCTTCCAGTCACGGAAGTACTGACCCTTGTTCATGTGGAACCAAAAGACAGCACTGAAACCGTATGTGAACCATGAAATGGTAGTGGCAGATGTGATAGAGAGAATTGAATCGAAAACTGGGATAGCGTTGGACAGGATGAAAACGACGATCCAAAAGCCAGTGACAGATGCGATCCAAGTTCCCCAGGACTTGACTGAGCTAGCAGTCACTTCATGAAGGTTGCCAGTCCATCGCATAACGTTAACAAAGATGTACTTGGATCCGATGTGACCGTAAGCGAGACCAGTAGCAAAGATAGCAGGGAGGGCGACACCATATGCGGCCTTGGAGAAAATGGGTGCTGTGGATCCCAAGATTGGCGAGGTGGTGTATTCGGCTCCGAGGCAGTAGAAGATGACTGCAAAGATGACATACATAGTCATGGATCCACACTCAAGAACAGTAAGACAGAACTTGAAGTCCTCAAGAGGCGAGGTCATCTCAGCAAGGTACCCCTGGAAATTGTTAGCTATGTTTGGCTATTAGGAGACAATTTAACTTACGACAAAGCTGAGGTTGGCAGCGTAGGCAAAGACAATCTTCAAGCAAGCGTTGAGACCGTCGCGGAAACTGGGGTTACCAACAATGACAATCTCTCTGCGCCACTCAGACATGTTATCAACACCTCGAGGACCATCAACGCCAAGAACAACCATGACGATGATACAAGCGACCAGAACACTAAGAGCGTTGGGAATGCCAAGGTGAGACACAAACTTGGTGGTGCGGGGAAGACAGAAGAGGAAGCATGCAGCGCAAGAGATGAAGATGAAGACAACGGTGCAAGCGGCGTGATCGCTAATGGTGTTGAGGGCAATAGAGAGGGTAACCATAGCTGAAGCAGCGACAAAGATGACCTGAATCATCATCATGACACCAGCGATACTTTCAAGGGTTCTACCACCGACAAAACGAGTCATGTCGACAATGTTAAGCACCTGGGGATGAAGGCGGTAGTATTGAAGAAGCTCATAGGCAGTATACCAAGAAATGCCACCGATACCGATCAGCGCAATGATACCAGGGACAAGGCCAAGGGTCTTGAGAGTCGAGGGAAGCGATAGGATACCGAGACCGATCTGATTGGCGAAGAGGATAAAGATAGTATCCCATCTCTTGAGGGTTCGAAAGTTCTTGCCGCCTTGGGAGTAGATGTTTGAGTTGTCGGCAGATTCATTGACGGTCTGAAAGTCGTGACCGTCGTGGGAGCTGCTGGCTTCGTGTTTGTTGTAGCCATCGCTATCAGAGGTGACTCCATCGTGGAGTTGACCTTGGGTCTTGTGATCGCCGAGTTTCTCCATGTTTTCTGTTTAGAGTGTTTGTTGGGAATGTGTATACAGAAAGCTTGTTCAACAAAAGAAGAAAAGAGACAAATGTCACCAGGACAGTTGACACTGTAGATGTATGTATGGATGGATGATGGAAGGAGAGGCGATGACGGTTGAAAGCTGGAGATAGACGAGAAAGATAGAGTGGAATTGACTCAAACTTTATAACCGTCAGCCTTGCCTTGAAAGATTGTGTATAAATGGCGCAGTTTATTAGACAATGCTTCATGGTCTGACGGGATAGGGGGGGCAAAGGACACTGAGACGTCATTGCGAGAATGTCTATTGGGGAAATTGAGGTGATGGGATCCGCAGAATCTCGTTCGCCTCAAATCAGGTTGGAACCGGGGTAGGCAGTTGGAGTACGAGGGCGGTGCTCTTTTCGCCTCTTGGCATATTAATGGCCAGCCCCATGGGGGTTTGATGAAACGGAATACTAACAAGTTTCCTATTCAGGGTATTATTCATCGTTCGGTCAAATTCGGTATGTCTGTGGATTAGAGGAAGTTGCCCGGACCAGTCGGATACAAAGGTTCAAGAGTGCACTGCTCAGAAGGTTTCCTTGGCTTCTTGGATGCTTTGCTTCAGATGGATGGAAATTTGACCGAAAGCAGTTTATGTCTGTGCTTTTTTACGGGCTCGCCGGGATGTTTTGACGTCAGGGATGGGAGATGTTTTTAACGCGATAGAGGTTGAGCCTCATTCAGCCGCCAATGTTTAAGACGACGTCTATTGAGCACACAAGGGATGTCTTGGATAGTAATTACTATCAAGAGTTTTGTTATCTGTTCGAGTATCTAAGATATCACATTTCATATCGTGGAATATATCTCATCTCCAAAATGTCCTTGCTTTCTTGGTTTATTATGGGCTCAACATTACTATGACTAACAAAACTCCATTACGGCCTTGGCAAACTCCATATCTCATGGTCAATCCCCATAATAGGCCCACGCTTTGGTCCCTGATTCCCCAATAATCACGAGACAAACCGTCAGAAGAATGCAAACCAAAACCATCTCCTCGTCAGGTAATTTACAAAAGTCTGGAGACTGTAGTTTTCATTAGTGATGAGAACCAGAATTCCTGCGAGCCCCCATGGGGAAGATGGATATTCCCCAGAATGATGAAAAGACACCGTTTTCTGGGGGAAACTTGGCAGTTGGTTAGTGTTTGTCAATAAGTGGTTTCTCAACGTGGAATTTCTCAACAATTACCATCAAGTTTCTTGTTCTTGTTCCTGTTCTTGAATGATCTACAGTAGTATGCATAACTATGTCATGACTTGTACTTTAAATCGTTCTAGAAAAACAATTTATGAACAGAAAGCCATGCGATTTACTTAATTAGGTTAGTCTAGCCGCCCTTCCTGGTTTAATGCTTGCGTGGCACTTCAGCTTGTATTGCCCACGGCAAAGATCTACACTCTCCGAGCACAACAGAGAAAGACACGAGTAAGTTTGTCCGAGACATTGACATCAATCAGCACATCATTGGTCACTGCCTTGTTCATTAAACCAAAAAATAGGGAGATCATCAACGGACATTTCCTTGCATCCTCCTTGTAACACCAGTTGTATCAACCCGCACACTATCACAACGTTATCATCCCCACTGTTGTTGGCTTGCATCAATATCTACAGAGTGAAGAGCCAACGGTTTCCACTTATTTCAAGGGGTAAAATTGGATTCCCTACAAGAGCCGAAGCTTAGCTGACAGGCAGCATGACAAGGGGATTTTATGCACGTCCCGATTTGGGGTCCCGGCGACATTTATGCGCGATTTTTTATTCTAGAAATATTCTTCTGCACCAACGCTCTGTTTCACAATTGGTCCCTTATCAACAGACCACTCGGTTCTTCTACGGGATCGCCGGTGATGTCCTCTTATCTTGTACTGAAAAAGAACAATAGCGCCGGTACTGAGCCGGGTGATCCTTGGATGGATCAGACGTAAAGCGGTTTGGCCCGAGTCTTAGTTGGTGTCTTATTGCATTCACGGATATTAGCAACGGTGGAAGTCGGACTTGGGGGACGTGTCTCGGGTGTCGGGTAGGATGATCTTGGTGATCCCACGCGATGAGGACAGTATCTTGAGGGATATCGAGCCATAGTCAAACGGTTAAAGTCGGACCATCAGAGACATCAGGCTTGAGGAGTATTGCTGCCCAGTCTTGGCAATATGTAGAGGAGTGGATGCTGGGGTAATCTCGTGGTTATTCTCGGGGTAAGTGCTCTTTTGCATGTCCATGCTTTGAAAATCCAGACCTTTTTAGTGAGGTACAGCATAATGTAGGAGTAAGCTGATACATGAGATGACGGCGTGTCGAGGTAACTTCCTAAACAGGCACCGCGTCAAGCTCGTGCTCAATACCATAGTTAGGCAGAGATGTAGTATTTAATAACTATTAGTCAATGAAGACTTTGATCATGCAATACAGTAATACTCATGTCTGATATTGATCAGGTTTAATCGAAGAGTTACAATAAGTGGCTTGACATAAAAACATGTGATGAGTAGTGGTTGGTAACTGGTAGGTAGCAATAGCCTGGAATTTGTGGAATAACTGTTTATCGCAGCACAAATCTATCTATAATAAGAAATAAAATAAAATTGATGCTAAACATTAAATTCAAGTCGATAGAGGCAGTATTCGAGTTGGTAGAAAATAAGTTGCCTAATTATACATACTATAGGGTACGCTTAACGCCGCAAAATCCCCATTCCTCTCTCTCGAATCTTTGCAAGAGGACTTGAATGTTTAAGGCTGGATAAAAAAGTTACCGAGTATTAACAATATGTTTTGTACATGCATCCGTGATCTAACTTATCCAGACAACCACCCGTCAGCATTATACGTAGCCAAACTATGAAACCCCGAGGCATCCTGCAATCCACTCAACTTCTCCTTCAGATACTCCCTCTGATTCTGATGAATCCTATCAAAACTCAACAAAAACGTAACAAGAAACAAAAAATCCTCCACCCTCGCCTCGACATCCTGCTGTTCCCCAGCGCCGGTAGGCAAAGCCAATACATCCGCCACAGTGGTCGTGATCTCAAACAGCTTGGCCAGAATACCCGGTCCATGCAGCGCAACACTGTCAAAGCTTTTTAGTCGATCAACTAGGTTTCGAAGTTGAGTTGAGAGACGATGTGCGGGGAAGTGCATTGAGAAGCCCTCATGCGTGTTTTGTGGTGGTGTAGATTGTAAAAGACCTTGTGATAATGCGAGTTGCCATACCAGGATTCTCATCCAGAGTCGTGTGATTAACAAGTCTGCGTGTTGAAGCTCGGTTAAGCCCTCGCAGCCATTCGATATTAACTTGTTATCAGTCTCAGCTACGCGTATCTCATCTTGATCAAGCTGAGCCTGTTTATACTCGATCCATTCAGCTGTCATCTCAGGTGCTGAACTTGATGGATTCTGTTGAGCTCTCCAGTGAGCCAAGAACTCATCGTCGAGCACATTAAACAGCTCGATCAACCGGTTGAAGCCTTCATTTATTCCCGGCGACAACTCATAGTCCGGAATCGGGAGACCTGTCTTGAGAGGAGGCAATAGAGCTGGGTAGCCTGCAATGACTGTGAGGTAACGTTCGTGGATTGATATCTCCCAATACATCCGTTGTCGCGTGGCGATTTCGTGATGAGTTAGTGAACCATCTGTCAGGTCCATCATCTGTATCATTGTTCCAGCTTCTCGTAGCATCATCAGACCTCGCTCCAATCTCTCAAACGTCATGAGAGAATTCTCCAAAAAGATACACGTCATGACGCGTTTCGCGCTCACTGGCAATTTACTTAGGAACCCAGTTCCTAATTCGGCTTGTCTGTGCGCTTTGAAACCAAGAGCCAGAAGATCCATCATCCTTGCAAGGATATCATTGTCAGGGTTCCACGTTGTTTGCGATAAGTTGATTGTAGCCCCGGCAAACGCGTACACAAACGCAGCATCTTCAAAGCTATTTTCCATCCCTTCAATCGCAGTCACGACTTCGGATGGTAAAATAATTGGATTGACTGGAAAAACAGCGCGTTCATATTCCTTGACGAGATTGAGAAAGAAGTCTTGGGTATATGGCGTGCCATTGCTCGTGGGTATGTAAGATGGTGAAGGATCGTCAGTTTGCGGGGAACCCGAGTTGGACCTTGCATCATCAGGTCGCACGCAAACACCCTCGCGTATCTGAGCTACCAATCGTCCTCGTACCGTGGGTTTTCTCTTTGTCGGGGGCGCCGAGTAGACGCAGGCAAGGTTGAGATGGCCGCATTGAGAACATGGGACTGAACCGTTGCATTTGACTTTTCTAAGACGACAGGGATCGCATGCTCTTGTTGTTCGATTGCTCATTGTCAAAGAAAATGGGGTTCAAGAGGTTGAGAGCTGAAGATGAAGATGCGGAGTTGCCAGACACGAGATATGTCACGCTAAGAATGGTTATGGCTAGACAACCCCACCTTATCAACTTGCCACTTTTATTTCTTCATTGGGGTTTGAACACGAGGACATTGACCGAGGTTGGCTTGGGCCTGTCACATTTCAGAATGGGCTGATTTCATGATATCAGATCATTGCCTTCAAGGACTGAGTTTGCCGAATTTGATACTTGATTGTACTCATAAACGTAATGACATTGCTAACAATTGCTAAACTGCTCAAAACACTAAATCGATCATAACTTATTCTGTAAACCGCTCAAGACTTGTTGCTGTTGACCTGCTCAACATAGATAGCAGAAGCCTTTTCCTTTGAAACATCCACAAATTCAGCATCCATTCTCTCAACCACTGTAGACTTGAACTTGCGAGCACTGACACCACGCTCAAAGAGAACATCGAGTTCACCATAAGTGCGACCCTTGGGCTCAGGCAGGCGGAAGTAAGTCCAGACAGCGCACAGAGCACAAGTTCCAGCCCAGAAGAAACCAGCCTTGGCACCCCAGTTCCAAGCAGAAGGGTTCAACATGCGAGGAGTGATGATGTTGGTCATGATACCGACGATATTGTATGTGTTTCGGGCGAGGACAACGGTCTTGGTTCGGAGACGGGTCGAGGATAGTTCAGCGACGAGGGAGTAGCAGACGGGTCCGACGGTCGAATCGTAGGTGAAGGTATAGATGAGGAGAAGAGATCCAATGACCCATTGAGCAGCGACATTCTCCTTTCCGGCGAAAGCGACACAGCCGATGGTGAGAAGGAGGATGCACATGGCGAGCTGACCATAGAGATAGAGTGTGCGTCGGCCAAACCATCCCATGAGGAACCAAGAGAAGACAGTACCAACAGCACCAATGGCATACTGACCAAGAGACATGGAGAAACTGTTCTCAACAGCCATACCAGCCATCTGGTAGAAGTAGGTAGAGTATCCCATAAAGGTAGCACCGCAGAGAGTCTGAACCATCCAGGTACAGCAAACAATCTCTGTTCGTCGCAGACTGGTACCCTTGAAGAGATCAAAGTATGATGTACCGGACTGAGCTTCCTTCTCCATCTCGTTGGTGTGAATCATCATGGAAATCGTCTCGTCGGGCTTGAACTCGGACTCGCTGTTGCGGGCGGTAAGTCGCTGCAGGGAAACCTTGGCTTCTTCGATGCGGCCCTTTCGGACGAGCCACCAGGGAGACTCGGGGGCGAGGTAGATGCCGATGATGAGAGGAACGGGCCACATCCACTGAAGGGCAAAGGGGATCTTGTAACCCCACTGATCGTCGCGGGTGACCATGGCGCGGAGGACACCAGAGGCGATGAACTGACCGAGAACCCAGCAGAGGTTGACGTAGGTGGTAAGATAGGCGCGGAGGTGGGTAGGGCAGACCTCAGAGGCGTAGGTGGTGGTAAGAGTCTGGAAAACACCCCAGGGAATACCGATGAAGATCTCTCCAATGAGAAGCTGAACAAGAGTCTCGGAAAAGAAGATGATAAAGATGAAACCAATGCATCCAATGAGGGCACCGATGAGAGTCTTGCGGTATCCAAAGCGATCGGCAATGATACCGTTGATGAAGAGACCAAGAATCTGACCACAAAGAGTACCATTGGAAAGACCAGACTGCCAAGCAGCTGTCAACTGATAAGTACCATCGGGTTGCTCAACGCCAAACTTGCGCTGGAAGGGAGGATAGGCAAAGAGATTGTTGAGAAGAACAACATCGAAGCCTTCCATAATAATGCAGAGTGACAAGAAAACAGACCAAAGACATGCTTTCTTGTAGAGCTTGAGAGACTGGATAAGTCCCATGTTGCGCTCTGCCTCTGTTGCGGCGGCGGCTTCATGGGCGACGTTTGCGTCCACGACGGCTGGGACGTGTGGCGCGATGCCATTGTCAACCTTTGAGTCGGGAGACATTTTGAGAAATGAAGTATAGAATGTTCAGATCAAAAGAGTTGTAGACTCAATGTGAAGAGATGAGAGAAGTGATGCTGATGATGTTCTGAGATTTGGTATTTCAGCGAGACATGCTTGACATCTTATACTCGAAGCGAGATGAAGAGAATGAGGTTGTCAAGTTAATTGAGACAACACAAAAAGGCAAGTAACAAGTTCTACGAAATAATTCTCGGCCAGATTTCTTAGCGTGCATGGTAAATCATGGGGATGGCCGTGTCTAGGCCTGTCTGAGAGAGGTTACACTAAAAGGTCATTGGTCAATTAAGACATGTTCTGTCGGTCCGGGTCTCGTTCGAGTTAGTTACAGTTCGAAATACCGAGCTATCGTAAATTAGCTTCCTTCAACCAACGCTCAACGTCAACGTTAACAAGGCCAATGATCTACCCAGCTCCCCCATGGGGACAGACCAAAAGTCTGGGGTCGGACCGAGACTCTGCAGATCATGGGGGAATGTGGGAATGCATCAAAACTTGGCTTTCAGCTTTTGTGGCTGAAATCAGTGGATCATTGTGCAACCATTGAGAGATACAGTTGAGGCATTTGACTTTGAACCATCTCGTCGGACCGGTCAGTAACCAATCATGTTAAAGACGAGTCGTCGGTCCGAGGTTGCACCAATCAAGTTGTGATACCACCCTTCGAGAACCTCTGAGACAATTAGTTCATGAATTCATTGGTTCGGTTGAATCACGATCTCATCGGTCCGACCAACGCGGGGGAATTAGACGAGGATGCATCAATCATGGGGAAACACATGATTGTGGGTTACAGTATGCCCATCTTATAACCAGATGGTATTTATTCTCCGTACCTCACAATCATTTTCACACAGCAACATCTCTTCATCATCTTCTTCTTATTACTCTTTACAATGACTGTCAACAAACGCACAAAGCAGTGGTGGAAGCAGGCCACTATCTACCAAATCTACCCTGCATCCTTCTGCGACTCCAATGGCGATGGCATGGGAGATCTTCAAGGCATCATATCCAAGTTGGACTATATTTCCAGCTTAGGTGTTGATGTTATTTGGGTCTGTCCTATGTATGACTCACCACAAGTTGACATGGGCTATGACATCTCTAACTATGAAGATGTCTATGGTCCCTACGGTACTCTCCAAGATATGGAAGAGTTAATCCGCAAGACTCATGAAAAGGGCATGAAGATCATGCTTGATCTTGTTATCAACCATACTTCTGACAAGCATGCCTGGTTTGAGGAGTCAAGACTTAGCAAGGATAGCCCCAAGCGTGATTGGTACATCTGGCGACCTGCCAAGTACTCAGATGATGGTCAACGTCTCCCTCCAAACAACTGGCGCTCCAACTTTGGAAAGGGCAGTGTCTGGGAATGGGATGAGGCAACAAGGGAGTATTATCTTCATCTCTTTGCTAAGGAGCAACCCGATCTCAACTGGGAGAACCCAGAGACCAGAAGGGCCATCTATGCTTCCTCTATGGAATTTTGGCTTGACAGAGGTGTCGATGGCTTCCGTGTTGATACTGTCAACATGTATTCCAAGATCCAGGACTTCCCGGATGCGCCTATCGTCGACCCCAAAGCTGAGTACCAACCTGCTGGACTCCTCTACTGTAACGGCCCTCGGATGCACGAGTTTCTCAGCGAGATGAGCGAGGTTCTTGAACGATACGATGCTATCACTGTTGGTGAACTGCCCCATACACCAGACTTAGAGCGCGTCTTGCGATACGTTAGCGCCAAGGAGAAGCAGCTCAACATGGTGTTCCAATTCGATGTCGTCGATGTCGGTTTCGGAAAGACTCATAAATATGAGACTACACCCAAAAACTACACTCTTCCTCAACTTAAGGACGCTTTCGGTCGAACACAGAGCTTGATTCATGGAACAGATGCTTGGACAACTGTATTTATGGAGAATCATGATCAAGCTCGTTCTGTGTCACGCTTTACAAACGATAGCCCTCAGTACAGAGTTGCAGGAGCCAAGCTCTTGGCTTTGCTACAGTCTTGCTTGAGTGGTACACAGTATGTCTACCAAGGTCAAGAAATCGGATCAGTCAACGCACCAAAGGAGAGCTACCCTCTGGAGAACTACGTCGATATTGAGAGCTATCAGTTCCTCGACATTGTCAAGGAGCGATCCAACAACGATGAGCAAGAAATCGACAAGGCCTTCAACGCTCTACAGCACTTGGCTCGGGATCATGCGCGTATCCCCATTTGTTGGAGCGATGGAAAGCACGGAGGATTCTCAGAAGCAGCTGAAAAGGCTGGACTACCTATCAAAGCTCCTTGGATGCAAGCTCACCCTCTATCCCGAGAAGTCAATGTCGCGTCTCAACTAGACGATCCACAGAGTGTCCTATCTTTCTGGAAGAAAGCCATTGCCTTCCGAAAGGAGTTTCCCGATCTTACTGTGTACGGAGATTACAAGGTCATTCGTCAGGATGACTCTGATATTTATGCTTTTGTGAAGGAGTCTCCTGCAGATGGATCCAAGGTTGCTGTCGTTCTTAACTTTACTACCGAAGACAAGACCTGGAGTGCTCCAACTTCTGAAGAGTTGGGAGTTACTAGTGGAAAGGATGTAAAGCTTGTTCCGATAATGTCTACTCACACTGGAAAGGAAAAGACAGCTGTTCTGTCGCCATTTGAGGGACGAGTCTATTTGGTCACATAGAGAACATACATCGAAAAGTAGCCCAGTCAAAAATGTAAAGATTAGAAGTGTCTCATACTATAAAGTTAGCGCCTTGTTTCTATGATCCTATCCATAACAGTTGCATCGGCAAACGATGGTGGTGCATCATTTTCTGGTGGTGGTCTTATCCACGACTCATCTTCCTCAACTTCAGATGATCCAACCCCCATGTCCAAACTCCTGCCTATCTCATAGGCATCTTGGCCCTGTGTACTATGCTCCCGTTCGTCACTAGACCTCAGCACAAGCACATTTGCCTGTCCCTCAATGGTGACTGTTTGGCCTGCGACTTTGGCCTCTATTTTCCACTGTAGCCTGTGAGTTACAGTCATGTTGTACGTCCGAAACGACGGCGTACACTTCTCACCAGTCGACATAGTGTGGAACCCAAATTGTCTTAATCCAACACGAAGATTTGTCATTTCTCCGATATCAATTGGATCCCAGTCACTGTCACAGGGGATCAGTACTTCTTTCTGTAACCGGTCTAAAGCTTTTGAAATACAAAGGTCGACGGGTCTTGTATAGCACTTCTCTCTGCCCGATTTGGTCATGACCTTGGTGCATGTGACCAGTAGAACTTTCATAGAGAGTAATTTGAATTGCTGCGGCACATTCTGTATGATCTCACTGGTCGTTTCCCAATTGGGAATAACAACAAGCTGCAATGGTATTGGTGTCGGGTTATCCATCTGAATCTTGGTAGGAAACCCAAATATCAGTTCATACGTGAATGTTGGATCATCGAGTCGACTCAATGACCTTTTCGTCCAGCCAAGCAACGATGATCTTCCTTCTTGCATTCCGGGGATCAAACGGGTGCTGGTCATGCTTTTTGGATATCGGCATACCCTGATTCCAAAGTCTGCAATGGGCGGATTTGGAGAGTATTGTACCAGTTTGAAGGGGTGCAAAGATTTTATCATCTGAGTCCCAAATCCTTCAAACATGAAGTTCACGACCACAAAGTACTCAACAAATATGTTAACGACGTTATCCAAAGAAAGTTGATATGTGGGCGGTAGCTGATGATCTGTTGCTCCCACGGGCGTGCAAGCGGTAGATGTATTTCCTGTGTTTAATGTCGAGTCTGCATAAGTAGGGACATTTAGGCTAAAAGGCCACTGCTGACTGGTTCTCTTGCGAATATGAAGTGGCCCGCGGTGAATTATATCAGGCTCTCCACGACATGCGAGTAAGCTGAATTGTGAAACATCTCTTGCATCGCGATCGAAAATAACTTTGGCTCCTCCGTGTAGACAGCATGATATAATGGCGTCTGGGGTCGAAATAGATCTTTCTCGGTAGACATAACCGGTGATGGTGTCGCCTGGTGCATAAGTATCACTGTCAAGGTGGATACCTAGCCATTGATCGGATTTTAACTCTAACGGTTCCATTTTGTGTTGACATTGATGCGATGTGTTGGTATCGTCAAAGAAGTTAAGATCATCAGACTTTTTATAGATGTTCTAGATTGACCCGGCTCTTAGCCTCGTACGGCGTAGCAAGTGCTGCGCCTTAATATCGCTGTGCCGCTGCCACATTCAATATGCCAAGTTCCAGGGGTATGGTTTGACCAATTGAGAGTGTCACGGTTGTGGGTTTTCCTTGTGAAGATTCGCGAGGGTTACCATTTTTGACTGATACAAACCAATTGAATGATACTTGGGCTTCTGCCAAGGGTTCTAGCGGGCTGAGAACTCACCGGTCGATTCCGGTTTCGGCTGAAATAAGTCATGTGAGAACATTAGACATCAGCCTTGGGCAGCAACAGCTGATTTCTTATTCCACAAGTCTCATTATTGAGAAAGCGCCAAGAAAACTACAGTATACAGTTATCGGTTCTTTATATTATTTATAACCTAGCTTTTAGCTGAAGCCTAGTGCGTATGTATATGAACCAGATTCACAACTGAAGTATAAAATTGATCTGTGTGCGTAGGCAAAGACTGAATAATCCAAGTACATAAACCACCATGAAATCAACTCAAGGAAAACTCGGCCAACTGATGAGAACTGCTAATCTACAGTGCCATTCGATCCAAGTACAGCTCAGACCTGAGCATTCTTCCAAACAAGATAGAGGTACGCGCCACTTCTGCCATGGTTAATGTCTGTACTGATTCCGTCCCACCCAACTGCATCAGCGAGGGTAACAGGGTCATCGGGCGACCTCCACAGCTGGACGTCACTGATCCTGGTAGGCAAGGTCAAATTCTGCGAAGTGATAACATAACGGAAGTCGCCTCCAGTTCCGTTAGCCATGTCTCCAAGCGCCGGGTTGCTATCACCAGTGATGTCGATGCTTAATCCAGTGATGGCTTGAGATGGGTCCGTAGTAAAAGACTTTACGACGTAAGTGTACTCTCCACTGAAGCCATTGTTGCAGTCCGGGCTGCCCTGATCCGGGCTCACGTCCACGCAAGTGCCAGTGGGGAAAAAGTTTGAGGCGTTGGAAGCCTGAACAGTGAGAGCCGAGATGTACTGCTGCGTTGGAGAGGGGGTATTCGCAGAGGCAGCATTCCCGTAGACCTTGTTGTTGATAGTCATAGCCAACGCGGCCGTGTTGGTGTTCTCGATCCAATCCACCAGAATGATGTTGGGAAAAGCAGACTGCGTACAAGCTCCAAGGAGGTCTTTGAACAAGTTCAAATTGGCTGTGGTAGCAAGGCTCTGTATGCTGGGGTCGGTGAGACTTTGTGGCGTCAAGGTCCATGATACAAGATGAAGCTGATCAATGATTTGGCCGCTTGAGTTTTTGGGATAATTCTCAAGTTTGGAAATCTGATCTTTATCCATAGAATCCGCATCCATAGTGTTGGAATACGAGTTGTAGGTGAGTAGATTTGCTTGGGAAAAGATGCCCTTGCCCTGGAATGATGCATCGGGTACGATGCCGTCCACATCAAGGCAGACTATCACAGAGGCCGTCCCATTTCCAATGAATGAGTTAAGAGTGTTGTTGAACACCAGTCCTGTTGTATAGTCTGCATTGATCAACGCGAGATTGGACAAATCCTGGGTCAGCTGAGTGAACAGGGTGGACCACTGGCTGACGGATAGGTCGTTATAATCGTTTGTTGAATCATAACCATGGGAAAGGTCCAGGATAATCAGCTCAGCATACTGTTGAGTGAATTTGTTGATGTCAGAAACAATGTCGCTCATGCTTTGACCATAGCATCCAATCTCGCCAAGAGTTGAGTTTGAAGAGAAATGGCCGGCCCTGAAGTCACCTTCTCCAGCCATAACCGGCCTGACGTCAAGGTATCTGGACCCGTTCACGAGCTGCTGGTAGATAGTAGTTGGCTGTGTCTGGATCATACCACCACCAAGAGCAGCGCTGGCATCTTGAGCTGCGCCATCCGGGTTAAGAACACCCATACCAGCATCATGGCTTCCTGGCATACAGATTTGCTTCAAAGGCAAACCACCCAAAGTGGCCAAGTTTTGGTGCATCCAGTCAGTCGGTGCAAATCCAGACAACATGTTGTTGACAGTGCCGGTGAGCACAAAAGGGTTACTACCGTTGTGCACAAAGCCGAGTGCGAGCCATTCGCCTTCCGGCATTTTGGAAGTCGAAAAACCATCGACCCTGGCAAACAGCCTCGGGGGCGCATCTACCGCTCGAATGCTAAAAGAGTATCCCGTATCACCGACTGTATAAGTGCTGGTGACTTGGGTATCGCTTTCGGTAACGGTTGCACCGTCGTTGAACTCAAAGTACGAAAAGTCCGAAGTACCTGCCATTCATGAGACTTGATATTCGCAACATATTTGGAATTGAGATAACAGAGAAGCCATGTTACGTACCTGGGGCGATTGAAGCACTTGGATCCCATGAGTGCATCTGGTACCCGGTGTTGCTCGGATCGGTATTGGTAAAAGTGTATGGTGTACCATTGAGAATCTGGAGATATGCGCCGACACCCATGATGAATGATTTGAAGTTGACGTTGAAGTATTGTTATCTTGGTATTGTGAATGATGAGGAGTGTTGTTTGAATATCAATTATCGCAGAGAGCAAACAAGTCTTTTATAAGTATTTGCATTTACAACTAGACATGACTTTTGAAGTAACTTGACCGCTTAGTAATATTGCATTGTTGCGAGGATGAATAAGGCGGAAGATCTAGATCTAGCTAATGTCTCAGAACATCCTGTGGTGAGCTGAAAGAACCCTGTCGCAGCCGCATCAACGTCGTTCGTCACAAAACTAGAACAGATAGTGAGTGGTGTGCACGGATGCTAGTAGCGCCAAGCGAACAAGCCACTTCGAAATAAACAGACTATTTGATTGCGAAAGACATAGAGATGCCATTTTTCACAAAGGTCTGGACGATTCTCTTAGGGCGGTGAGTACAAGAACGCAAATTACTCGCTCAATCAAGAGGTCCGGAATGTGATATTGATTCACGGCTGAGACTTGGGCGTGATGTGGCTACATGAGAACAGCATGCTATAAAATTTGCCTCATGATAGTTACCTTTTTCGCGGCAAGGAATGTATCCTCATGGCGTGGAAGCCGTCAGATAATTGGATGAGACCCAGCTGAAAGAAGTCATATGAGGAGATGAAAGATCATCCTTGGGTGCCGGTAGCCGATTCCTTTCTGCGGGTCTCATTGAGAAATTGTAGAGCTTGTCACGGGACGCAGTTATGGTAATATGGTTGTTCTTGTGATGTACGTCTTAGCTGCATTACTGACTCCTATCTGAGGATTTCCTACCTTTGCTGAAGAATCAATCGCGGCGATAAGCTGATAAACATTGTGCAGGGTCAGCAGTCGAAGTTCGAGCAGGCACATTCCATCTTTTGACATTGTGAAAATTATCTACATGGACATGTAAATGATAGTGCCGAAGTGTTTCAGAGAGTTTTGGGTTTTGCAGGAGCAAATAACCTCGCCACAGTCCTAAAAACTATAATGAACTATAAAGACCTCTTGGTAAGAGCAGGCTTTTCATCCATAGTGGTACTTACTAATTCATCGAGAAATTTGCTACCAAGCGGCAGATGGGCATATAGATCACCGTCAATGGCCGACCTCACCGCCAACCAAAAGTTGGGAGGCGTCCCCATTTGGAACACATCATTGAAGAACCTAGTAATTACTCAGTAACAGTTTCAGTTGCGAGTAGCGAGGTTAATGATAAAGTTGGCAATGCCAGGGTAAGGAAAGGGAAACTGACAGTGCCTTGTAAATACCAGAAGGTTGATTCCTTTCTTCGAAAACAACCTTCTCGCCATGGAATCCGCGGAAGCTGTGAACAGCCCGGCGAGGAATGAACATAGATCCCGCCTCTGGAGTTAAGATTGTCTCATTCCCATCAAGTATCATGGTCATGCGCCCTTCCAGAACAGTGATGTATTCATCGTGATACTGTATGCAGGATTAGTATAGGGGCTTGTCACAGTTCATTCGTGGGACAAGTAACCTTATGCCAGTGTGGGGGAACTAAGAATGGCGCTGTTCCTGGCTTTCCGTCAAAAGTAGTAACTGCCGAGTATTTCTCTGAGTCTTGTTCGACAAGAAGGTCCATCTGAAGGCCCTGTTGAAGTCAGACATTGTCCTGGCATCCTTGCAATCAAGTAATGAGAGAAACGAACCTTATCAGCCTGGAGAGTCTTCAAAAGTTGAGTTGCTGCCATTTTCGCCAATAGTTTCCACAAATGACAGTAAACTTTATTCCATGGCTAGGCTAGATAGTGATCTTAGGAGAATTGCCTCAAAGTGAGAGAAGTGGAACAGTCGTGTCAGCATAACCCAGAAACAATTTCCCCGCCCTGGTCGCACGTTTCCAATAAGCCGATAATACGAGTCCAGGCTTCTCATAAAAAGGTTGCTTAACTCCGATACTCCGAAAACAAAGATGCAAGTTAATGATAACTCTTGTACTCATTTCGTCAGGTTGTTTTCTGCCGCCCAGATTTCGTACTACCTAGACAAGACTAAAAGCCTTACTGTACCTGGTTCAGCCTTGAGCGACAGAAAGTAGTGGAAGTGTTTGTCATAAACCAAAATAATGCCAATGTAAACATAGCCTGGAGGGACAAGGATGGTAACAGGATCGGTTCCAAAACCATCCTCGAGAGTTGTAAAACAGTCATGGCACGAGTTCGCGGAGCGTTCAGCACGCTTGAGTACATGAATCTGGATGAAACCTATACCAGGTTGAACAAGATCGTTAGAGACGTCTACGTACAATTTAAATTTGCCGAGAATGTCTACAGCGACGCTAATCCCCCTCACGATCGTGCCGACAAGATTTAGCTCGCCAACTACTGGCTTGAGTGGATCACGGATTACTATGCGCATATGATTAGCAAGTTCAACGAAAGCATCGGCGGCATAATTCGCGAGATAAGCAACATGGTGGAAAAGGTCGAAAAGGAGCCCAACTACGAGAATGTAGCCGATTACCTGTTACCACCCGTTACCGTGTCGATGAGGAAAGTATTTCCGCCTCTTCCACCAATGCATCCAAGACACCCGGCAGTTGATCCCCGTACATATGTTCCTTCTGGGTACTATAGTGCCGCCAATGACGAATCTCCGAACATTCTCCCGTGCCATCAACTTGCGTATCCAACCAGATATGGTTCTCGAGATCTTCTTCAGATCCACGGAAGCGAAGACAGTACTCCGTTCGGTCATCATGCCACATGAGGAACATCCACAGGTCTAACAGGTAGCCTGTCGGGATTCTCATCCATCCCCATCCCGAGTCGTTATCCCATAGCAACGAGACAGCCTTGACAACAAATTCGCCTCTTTCTATATCCTTCAAGACCGCTTCATCAGCAAGCAAAACGAAGTTAAAGAGGAAGTCTGCCATGGCTCGACCCTCATTAGGTCTTGTGCTCATGCGGCGCTTCATATTGCCTCTCTGTATGACTTCAGTCTCCTTGAGCTTTTCGGCGTTGCAGAATTCCCGGAGGCCACGGACATCGAGTCCATCTAGTACTGAGGGATCTTCTCGGGTATCAAGATGGAATAACTCCTGGAGCTTTCGTCTATCATCTTGGTCTGTTTCCTCGTCGTCTTCGTAGGTACCAAATGCAAGTTTAGTCTGATGCCGCAAAGAGTATAGAAGTGATTGCCAATGCTCATCGTATTCCTTACCATAGTAGGTGCGGTAGATAGTAAAGCCCCATTTGCGGTAGTACTGGCGATTGTCGGGGTTCTTTCTCGCTCCAGGTCCCAGCTTGGTCCCTCGCGGGGTACTCCAAACGTAGCCTATCATCTGATTGATAACGTCAGACATATTGGTAAGATTGGTAATGACGGTATGGTTAACGAGGGATGTGTTTTTAAGAGGCTTAGAATTAGAAATAATTGGAAAGGGTGGAGTTGAAAGAATAAGATGGAATGAAGAAAGGTAGCACGCGATATAGATATATATATTCGCACGATCTTCGCTTAAGAACTATTACGCTTATAAAAGTCTTTTACTCATATTAGCATATTAATCCCACTTCATTGTTATCCAATTTTCAGCGCAGCCTTGGCCGGGCCGATATACACTACCAGGTCTACGCCAGTTGTCAGGGGACAATGTTTAAAAACCTAGGTTACTTTTAGCAAATTGGTGGTTTTCAATTGTCAAGTTAACCCCAGTATTTTAAGTGTATTATTTCATAGTCTTGATAACCAATTAATAAGTTAATAAGGTCTCCCTCCAAGTCCTGTTTGTGAGGCTCTCATAGCCCTAGGCGGACTAGATATTGAATTACCATGCGCCCTCTCCAAATGCTCCACTGTCACAACCGCTGAACTTTCCACTGGACAGATGACAGCAAAATCGGCAAAACTTGATCTCGGCTGTTCAATATTCGTTTGACTTCCAGGTCTGCTAAAAGGTAGCGGATGATTCTGTTCCATTTTGTACCGGCTTAGCTTATCCAGCGCTGTCTTGAAGTCGTCGAGGACTATCGTATCCGTGAAACATTTGAAGATAAAAGCGAATTTCCAGAACGGGTTGATGTATCCAATGTGGAGTACAGACGTGACGGCGAATAGATCGATGATGATGAAGATGATGCTGAGAGACATGCTCAGTAGTAAGACGGCGAATCGAGGTGAGATGCGAATGAGTTCCAGATATTTAAACTCGTAGCGGTACTTGATATTCCAGAATAGATTTAGGGCTGTGAATATCCACCACGGGTCACTGTCTCGATCATCAGCACACTGGTCGTCGATGCGGTCAAACAGGCCACAAACCGACACAGAGCCTCAAGCGGTCTTGATGAGGAAAAGAACCGAGTGTAAGGAGGATTGAAGTAGGTAAAATTGGCATAAATCTCGAGTACCCAATAAGGCTGGACGAGCACAATGGTGCCGATATAAATGGCGTTGTATCGTTTCGAGAGAAAGGGCTTGTTCTTTAGCCAAGAGATGACATTGTGTAGATTCCACGATATAATGAGGAGGATGACTGTCGACGAGAGATACCAACCCCAGACCGGGGGCTCGAAGAACATGAAGAAGCCGTTTGGCATGGCCAGCAGTAACTAATCAATCAGTAAGACAAAGGTATGTTGACAGCGGATGGCGAAACTCACCTCAATTAAAATAAGTTTGTGGAGTACAACGCCACGCCTCATATTAATAACGGTGATACCAATCATGATGATCAAAGCACCAATCATACAACCCTGCGACCAAGCCTCGAGGGCGATTTTGGCTGGACTTGAAGGCCACGCGCCATGTTCAGACATTGTACGTTTTTGCCCGCCAAATCATGTCGAGATGTGTAACAAAGCTCTTGACAGGAAATGGAAAGTAGAGAAAGGGTCATTAAATAAATGAATAACGATTGACACTACCCCGCCTCTAATAAAGCCACCAGAACTAGTTTCTGGAGATTGGTTCGTCGTAAAGGTTTAGTGTGTCTGCTAATATGGGCTCTTTGCAGGTTTCCTCTGGGGTTAGTTCGAACTAAAAACGTTGGACTGTCATCTTTTGGAGATGAGGGTTGCACGTTTTAGCCACCTCGAGATTTGCGTCTCGGGCTACCGGCTGTTGGGGAGAGGCTAACCATGAAAAGGAGGGCAAGTTATCAACAGCGAAATTAATCCAAATCTGTCTTGAAATGAATTGTTATGTCGAAGGTCAAACCCAACGGTCCCATAGATGCAATAATGTATTGTAGGTATGTGTGGAGGTGGTCTATCTTATGACATCTACTCTAGGGATAACAGACCCATTATATCGACCTCGGCAACAGGCAACAAAATGACGTATCCCGTCCCCATTTGACTTTCTATCCTTCCCAGTATCGTTAGATTGTCAGAATACGCGACAGCCTCGCTGCGCTAAACGATAAGTTTACTGATACTTCGTCTTCAGTTCCTCAACCGCCTTGATAAGCTTATTCGCCTCCTCAGTATACTTCTTCTCCCGTTCCTGCTGCAACTTGAATGTCTTTTGGAACTTTTCAACCATGAACGGTTTGAGAACAGACTTCTTTGCGATCCTGTAGTCGTAGATAGCGGTGTCCTCGATGCATTTCGCTGCCAGACGTCGGTGGGTCTCTGACAGGATCCAAGCTTCCTTCTTGAGTGACGTTGACTCATATGTCGGTGCCTCTAGCAATTTATAGAAAACACTGATGCGATCCGGGAATTCCAATGGCTAAAGTGAAAGTTAGTCTAGTCATGTGAGACGGTCGTGTAAACATACAAATTTGTATTCGGTTGTGATACTTCTAAGGATGAGGCCAAGGCCTCTCGGGGTGGGAAGGTCGAGCCATTGTGACTTTTCTTCCTCTGTCGCGTCTTCGCTCTGGTTATGGATGAATTTGACTCGACCCGTTTCGGCGTATTTGTTGTACATGATGTTATTCACGTGTCCTAGTAATTGTGAGACAAAGTTGACTCAGAGGGAGAAATATACATACCCTGAACTGTTTAGCTGAGTCACAGAGGAATTTCTAGAGGATTGCTCACCATACTGTCCTATTTAATTCTTGTGGTCAGAATAAGTCTCTGTACAGTAAGGTGCATAACTTACCATGTCACCCCAAAGCAACTGGTGATTATCGATACCTCGCCATTTCTCATCAGTAAGAAACCCTTGTTGTCCTGCTAGTAACTCAAGCCAGTTTTCATTAGCAAAAGCGTACAACTTTTGCGCTTGCTCAGTGCATTCTTTGGGATATTGGTTGGTTGTCAGCTCCTTCAGTTGAGCCTGCAGATCAGCAAACCATCGAGAAGGAAGCGCCTGACTTGTCGAGTACTGTCTAGAGTAGAGTCTTGTGGCAAGACCAATTGGTCTCTGGGCAAATCGCATCTTGGATAGAGACATGGCCGCGATGTTGATGAAAGGTTGATAGTGAGATCAAATTGGGTTTGTAATGGAAAACTCCGAGGATCGGCCTCGGTAGTCGGGGTGATTCTCCACGGCTATGAGCGGTTAAGTGTTCCGTCAAATCGGAGCTAGTCTAGTTATGGAAAGGACTGTACTGACATCATCGAAATGTAGGCAAACGCGTTTCCTTCTCGTTGAGAGGCTGTATTATCGTCAATGCAAGTACGTAAGAGATGTCAGAGCAGAGTTAATGCCGGACCTGGTCTTCGAGGGTAGGATATGAAGATCAGATCGTTGTGAAACCGGTACGGCAAATTCCGCTCCGTGAGGTGTCGGGACTGAACTTTATTTCAGAGGTTGTCAAGCAAAACCTAATGTTTATCTTGTCACAATGTTCCAACGTTGTCGATACCTTATACAGGACTTGCGTAATGAGCAAACTGCAAAATTCAGGTTACTTCTAATAATTAATTGAAATTATTTGAATAATCAATTGAGTCTATCTCACGCAGACTATTCGCTGGAGTTGTCCCATTCTAACCATCCCGGTTACCCTACACACAACCATCAACGCATAAGCGCTGCATCCTATAATATCCCTAACCGGTGCTGTGGCAGTCCGTGCAGTAATCCATAACGACACTGCACGAGTTCGACAGACGGATATGTCCACAGATCCAAATACCATCATCCTTCTTAGCTCTTTCCCGAGCTGCAATGATGTCACTTCCCTTCATACCGATACCATAGTCGTCACACTCAAACTTGGCAACACAAGCAGCTTGGCCTACTGAGGCAACCATAAGGATACCCTTTGTTAGTCGACTGTACCGGGAAGTGTAGCTTGTGTACACAGTATCGTCATCGAAGCCATTAATGGCTCTGTCACAAGCGTCACCGAAGCCGTGCTTGGATAAACTGTCGCTCGTTCCGCACTGGCCGCCGCCGTCGTTATCAACAGCAGTTTGACTAGGCAGAGGGGTGGAAACAGTCGAGGGTTCACCGTAGCCGGCGGTCGCTGTTACGTGAAAACTGTTCAGGTTGAAGTACTTGAGCGTGTAGGCTGAGTAGACCAAGACAGTGCTATCGTCGGTGGTAGTGAAAGGGGTTTGGATGGGAGCTTGGGTAAATGGGGCATCGGTGACGGGGACAACTGGGGAGGGAAAAGAGGTGTAGTCTGCGCAACTGTTGTCGATCATAGAAGCTGTAGTGACATACTGCTTGCCGGAGACGGTGGTGCTGCACTGGCAGTATGGCTTGCTGACGCGAGGGCCGCCGTAGATGATACAAGGGTAGTAGGTCCGTGCTTCCTCGCTAGTTGTCGATGCGTCACTTGTGACACCTGATGTAACGGCATTGGACGAGGCTCTAGTAGTGGTGATAAGAGTGCTGAGCATAGAGGTTGGCAGCAAAGTGTCAGATCCGGTGGTTGTAGCCTCAACTGTCTTTTCCTCAGTAGTAGTTGTTCCGACAGTCTCAGTTGTCTCTCCATCAGTAGTGGAGTCTGCTGAACCCTCGGTAACGGAAGTGACATCAGACGTAGTAGTGGCCTTCTCTGTGGAAGACGCATCTGAAGTGGTAGTCTTGTCCGTGGAAGAAAGCGCAGCTGATGTAGTTGCGGTAGAGTCGCCGCGGACCAAGCACTTGTGGACAGCGTCATCTTCAGCACGCTTCTGATTTCCGTTAGACGGCATGCCTGCTTCAGCACCCGCATAGTCAAAGAAATCATCGTAAACGTTGAAGCTGTGTGTAGTCCAAAGATTATCCTCGACCCAGAATCTCCATCGTCCAACGGCCTGGAGTTTAGTAGGGTCCTGTTCACTAGTGATGAAACCATCAAGCATGTCAAACTCGACGATAGTGCGACCAAAGTACCCTCTACCCGTTGATTCGACTTGGCCTATGGGAACATATCCATAAACCCCTCCAGAAATGGCCCCGGGAATGATACCGGTGACTTGGCTGGCCAATTGGTTCGCTCGAGCTTCATAGCGATACAATGAAGGGTTCTCAGGACTCTGATAGGTGTTAAAAGGGGTGACAACAAAGACATGGGGTTCGAATTGGGAATGAAGGGGGCCCGGGGCACTTTCTGTGCCAATAAGAGTACCAATGCCAGTTGCAGTAGTGGCGTCTAGGGTGCCATCGCGAAGGACTTTGAAAACATTGGTCTCAAAAAAGTCGTCAGATGTGGGCTTTGTATCGACTGCATCGAGAAAACCAGGGACCTCCCAGATATGTGACGTATAGACGCCGAGGTTTGACACGATCAATACAGCTGTGCAGCCATAAATGCCATTTACTCCTGCCGCTGACCAGCCGTAATCAAGAGGTGCGCCAACAAAGTGTCCTGTGGTCAGTCCACTCTGATCATCCCAGATGGTCTCGGGGTTCATGCTAAGACTGTCAATGTAGTCGGGGTTGGGGGTCATGTCGCCATCAAAGAACATTCGAGCCTCTAGGCCCTTGTCACGCTTAGGATCACCCAAGGTGATGGGGCCAGTAGGGAGAGGTCCGTCGATGGTTGTGGTGGGGATGTCCTGACATTCGATATCGCGAGGTATGCTGTTCATCCGTTTTGGCATCGATCCACCGCTGCCTAGTCCTACAGGGCAACTGCCACCACCGCAGGATCCAGAAGCACAAACTGTCATATCACTAGTAGTTGTGGTAGTAGCTTCGGTCGTAGTAGACTCCTCTGTCGAAGTAGGGTTTTCGGTAGTAGACTCCTTGGTAGTTTCTCGCTTGGTAGACTCCTTACTCTCTTTACTCTTGTTTTCCTCTTCCTCAGTCAAGTCATCATTTTGGCTCTTGACTTCAGGAATAACGCTAGTGACGGCCGGTACGTTGCCAGCGATGATGTTACTGGAAATCTTGGTAAGGTCCTGAGCCATACAAGCGAGCTTGTTGATGACATCGCCAATAGGTCCCAGAAGACCTCGCTTTTTGAGCCTTCTCATTCCGAGACCTCGCTTTTTGTTACAAGCAACATCAGGCTTGCCGCCCAGGCCAACTATCACAGCGATAATATCGTCATGTGTGTCCTCAACCTTCTTGTTAGTCTCATCAGTAAGAGACTCAGGATCTTCGGCCCACTTATTTATAATGGGGATCAAAGCGGCCACTTGAGAGGAAACGGAGGAAACGCTAGCTGTGGCAGCCGCAACAGCGGTTGTGGTTGGGGGTTGTGTGATGGTAGGTTCCTCGTCCTTGGTGCTTGGCTTGGACTCCTCGGTGGTCTCGACAGGTTGCCCAGCAGCTGTTGTTGTGGTGTCTTGAACAGACGCCTGCTGGGTGGTAGTCTCTGCAGGTGGGCCAGTACTGGTCTCAGCAGATGAGATCCCAGTGGTAGTCTCAACAGGTGGAACACCAGTAGTAGTGCTGTCAACGGGAGGCTGTTGCTCCCTGGTCGTGTCTTGGTCAACAGGGCCTCTAGAGGAAGTCTGAGAACCAGGGGTCTGGCTGATGGGTTGGTTGCTAGTGTCCCCTATAGGAAGCCATGTGGTAGTATCGGCATTTGGAGGCTTCAGCTCCGAGGTCGTGGGCCGGACAGGAGGTTGTTGTTCTGAGGTTGTGTCAGCAACGATAGGCTGGCCAGTAGTTGTGCCTTGAACAATGGGCTGAGTGGTGTCGATAGCAGGGGCCCAGCCAGTACTAATGTCAATGACAGGAGACTGGCCAGTAGTAGTATCAACGACAGGCACAGGACGGGTGCTACTGTCTACAACAATTGGAAGTCCTGTCGTAGTGTCTTGAACAGGGGGTACTTGAGCAGTAGTGTCCTGGCCAATAGCTTGCTGGGCAGTTGTCTCAGGGTTCACATGAACGGCTTCCGTGGTTGACTCAGGAACAACAATAGTATCGCTACTGGTAGGGTGCAGATCAACAGGCACCTCTTTGGATGTGTCAATCACTGGTGGAACGAAAGCCTGAGAGGTAGAAATAGACTCAGAGACAGCAGGCGCGTCATCAGAAACAGAATACTGAGCAAACACGTAGAATGGCAGCGCCGACAAGGCAACGAAAGTGGCACGCATTGTAGCGTGCAAACGAGTGACTGGGAACGAATGAAAGGCGTAGCAATTTTCCGAACAGAAAAGGCTATACCGAGTAGAGCGTAGAGGGTCTACGGATGGTGAAAGCTGAATTGAGCCGCCAGCGCATGCTATATATCTACTTTTATGAGTTTATGTTGGTAAATGCTGTGCATTAGGACGCTGGTCTGATCTTTCTATTGCCTGTTAGTCAATGGCGCAGAGATGATGGGATTAGAGTTTCATTGCCCTAGTTGATAAGAACTACATAAATTGTACCTGAATTTAGGAATATCTTCAGGTATTCCTTAGCTGATGTCAGCTTTGGTGTAACTATGATCTCCTGAACAGGTAGAGCCCGAATCACACTGTAAGGCAGACAAGACGGGTTGGTTGCTATCCGTGCTGAGTCCTTGTGTTTCACAATCATTAACTTTTGTTGGTTGTACCTTGTAATTTCTTACTGTTGGTAGCACTGCAGCAGCCAACTGTAATTAAGCCTGATCCTTCTGTGTTTCAGAACAAGGTTTACACGCAGCCTTAAACTAGGGCCGCTGAGCAAACAAAACAATTAAAGAAAGTTATGATTTCGCCTACCATGGAGATTATAGCGATCGTCTTCTACTTGAACAAGATTAAGTATAGTAATTAGGATGTAAAAATTAAGCCATTTATTACATCTTCAATTACACTTGGTCAAGTATGTACCGGCATTGCACCTTTCTCAATCAACTGCCAACGCACCTAATTTTAGTCTTCAGCCCCCAACATCATCAGCAGCCAGCGTGTCACCGGGCGGCTACATCTGCACCATCCTGGTAGCCTGGCTAAGTTCTTCAACAGATCATGGCTGAATCTGGGGCCTACGCAATATCGCAAGATTACAATCAGCGAGTCCTACATATCCCGTCAGCGAATTCATGCATGTACGAGCAATTCTTTTTATGAATTGTCCTGGAATAGATCCACTTTGTAATTCATTCTTCATCTATGTAACACTGCATCTGCATTACTGCTAGACTCCCAACACCTGTTTCATTTCATCGCTCGAATCACGTCTGGCATAGTCCCTGGCACTGCCCCGCGGCCCCTTCAGGTCAGGATCTGCCCCCTTGCTCAGTAGCCACTTGACTCTCTCAACAGCACCCGCCTTAACCGCATTTACAATCGGGTACAGCTCTTCCATATGGCGCGTTTCCAGTCTATGGTTGACGTCACCCCCATTCTCCAGTAACAGCTCCATGACAGGTATTCTTGACTTGTCAAAGTCCGCGCTCGGTTCAACACGTCTGACCATGGGAACTGAGCCTTGAGGATAGGCGCCTGCAGCCCAATACAGCCCCGAACTGGTCATCTGAGCTCCAGCATTTAGAAGCTTCTGTACTGCTTGGACAGTGCCCTGAGTGGCTGCCAGCCTGAGAGTTTGTCCTTGATCATTTTGGGGCCCAGCAACGTTGGGATCTGCGCCTTGTTCCAGAAACCAATCGAACAGTGGCTCATTGTTACTTTTAAAGATTTCCGGGAGGAGGCTCTCGGGAGTATTGACTGTCCAGCCGTGCTCCATAAGAACGTGGAATAAGGCAACCTGTTTGTCTGCTGGGGCTCTGAGGATGGCTGCTGGTGTTACTCGTGTCATGGGTGCTCCAGACTGTAGAAGAAAACGTGAAACGTCAACTTTGCCATTTTTGATAGCGTCATCTAATCCTTTCTGAAGATAGAGTGGTGAGCGAGATTGAGAGGAAACTATTGACTCGACAGTAGATAAGTCACCCTCCCGGCAGGCAGATCGAAAGTTGACAAAATCTGGTACATCAGCCTCTAGTCCCGCGCGAATCTCTACGTCGCTGGGACACTTGTTGAGAATTCCGTCGCCCATCTGCTGGTATCCCATCCCCGCTATCTGCCGTCCGCGTTGTGCTGCCAGTTGCCGCATCTTGGCTTGTTGCAGTTGCTCTGGCGACATGGACTCAGGACGTATTGCATGCAGTAGCAGCCGCCTTTTTTGTTGTTCTTCCGCCGAAAGCGCATTGCTCTTATTTCCTTGTGGTGACATCCCTCCCTGTTGCTGGGGATTCACCTGGTTGGGAAGAGGAGGGTAAGCTAACAAGCCGGTGGTACTGGGAATGCCATAACTGCGTTGTGCGGCCTGTTCGGCTTGTTGTTGTAACTTGGCTAGTTGCGCGTCCCGAACCGCCACCTGCTTGGCATAATGCTCTGCCTGCAATCGCTTTTGTCGTTCTTCCGGCGAAAGCTGTTCCTCTTGTGATGACATTTTTCTTTGTTGGTTGATGTTTAGTTTGGAACAAGGTAGGCTCAGGATTACGGCCTATAAATGGAGGTGCTGCCTATGCTGACGTAACAGACGTAGGGTAGCCAGCAGGGATGATTGGCCTGACTGTTGGCTCTTTTGAAACAGTACTATGATTTAGTCCTACAGACCAAAATCAATCTAGCCAGGAAGATCACACAATGAGATATCTGATCGGATGCAACTATTAATCAACGTCTTGCCTAGGTATGGGAACGGTTGTCTGACACGTTCTTGTATTAATCGAGTCGGCCCTTGCGCATTGGCATCCATTTGAGCAATTGCTTTCCTAACTTTGTCTATTGTTATCTGTTGAACCGAAGCTACCCTGTAACAGTCGGTTAGCAGTTCATATCATTGAGAGGAACCTCAAAAGGGTAAAGACAGATTCATCTAATTAAGAGAAGCTGCAAAAGGCATAGCATAAGGCATTCGCCTAAAAGAGGGGAAATTGTTAGGCCAGATAGCAAATTCAGACAGAACACAGTCACAATACAGATCTATTTCACACACAGGTTTAACAAAATCTCCCGTAACTTGAAAAGAAAAGGGGACCAGAGTGTGTCATCAGCCCCACCAGATTCCTTTCCAACCCCTGCAATAACATAACGGGGATTCTCGTCCGGTACGATTTTGACTTTCAACCACGCATTTTCCCGACGGTCTTTGACGGGAAATAACAATTCCAGATCCAGAAGCTGAGAAAAGTGGATGTTTTAGCGCTCAGGTGAGGCAAGAACCATAAAATCTGAGCTATCAAAAATGGGAATAATGTTTATAAACTGCATGGAACAGACTAGTCTTACGCGCCGTTGTAATGCATTGCCAAGTAGTCAAATGCATGACGAGTACAGTTACCGTTGTATTGGACCTGACTAGATGTCTTGGTATTTCTATATGGAACTGGTCATATAAAGTCTAAAGACTGGATATCGTAGCTCATGCAATAGCAGATGAACTTCAGGGACCGTGCTTTTAACTAGACGACGATAACCAAGTCATAGCGCCAGACCCATTTTCCTGTCAACCATGTGTTCCCTTTTCACGAGTAACCTCAACGGGAACTATCACGTATCTTATAGCTTGGCTATATGTGATACGTTAGTAATAACAAACTCTTCCTTATGCGCCGATAATTAAGAAACTCAGCCGTCTGAGTGGTATTCCAGCTCGTCCTCCCCCTGTCAATCTGTCTTGGCGTGGATACCGGGAGTGCCTGGTTTGGTTTAATCGGGTTAGCGAGTGTCAGGTACTGCAAAGTTCCACCAGAACGGGACAGGGGAAGACGGTGCACGATACTGGAAGTGATATTCCATCCATACAGCGAGAGGCCTGTGTGTCTAAACTTAGGTATTCCAGATCGAGACCCTTGAAAAGTTTACAGAGGGAGCCGCTATTTCTCAAAACATAAAACCCTCCCGCCGGCTATCTTTTTGGTGACAGACAGGAAATCCTCTCCCTCTCTATACTCGGTTTCTTTACGAGTAGTTCATTCGTTTTTTCTTATTGTTTTTTGTTTCAATTCTAATACCATCGTTCGTATTTTATTCAACTAATTTAAACTAATGGACACGGAATCTCTCATTTAACCAACCACAACAAACAACAACACACTCGTTCTCAAAACAATCAACTATATACCTAATCATGGTTTACCTCAACTCTATGGCTCTCGGAGCCCTCTTACTTTCTCCCTTCGCTTCCGCTGCTTTGACCAAGTGTCCTACAAAGGAAGCTACCTGGACCGCTCAGTCTGGCGCTGGCTACTCTATCTGCAAAAACACCGACTACAGGAATGGTGGAGCTAGTCTCAAGGTTACCAAGGATGTCCGAAACACCAACGCTTGCGCCCAGATTTGCAACCAGGACCCTCGATGTGTCAAGGCCGTCTACGACAAGAAGGGTCGCATCTGCCATATCAAGGACGAGAACAACGCTGATCGCATGAACTGGGAGAAGGACAATAACTTTGACGCTATTACTCTTACTAACGTCGACGAGGGACGTTTCATTTCAACTTGTCCTACTGGAGGTCACCAGTACCGCGCTCTCAAGGGCAAGGGCAAGACTTTCAACGTCTGCTACAGCACTGACTTTGTCGGCGCTTCTGCTCGACAGATCAAGAATGTTGCTTCTCTTGCTGCTTGTGCTGATCAATGCTCCAAGATCAACACCTGTAAGAAGGCTGTCTATGATAACGAGGGCAAGGTCTGCCACATCAAGGCTGCTGAGCCCAACGCCTCTCTCTTCTGGGTTCAAAGCAAGCGATTCAGCGTCGTTCAGCTTCCTTCTGCTGTCAAGCCCGCTACCCAGGGTCGCTGGTCTGACATCATTCGTCTTCCCGTTATTCCCGTCGCTGCCTACGTCGTTCCCCAATTCCCTCAGTCTCAGCAGCTTCTCTTTTTCTCTTCTTGGGGCGCCGATGCTTTCGGTGGTGCCTCTGGCCGTACTCAATTCGGTGCTCTCGATCTCCCCACCGGAGTTGTTGCTCAGCGCGAGGTCGCTGACACTCATCACGACATGTTCTGTCCTGGTATGAGCCAGCTTGGCGATGGTCGTATTATTATTCAGGGTGGCTCTGATGCTGAGGCTGTCACCTTCTACAACCCCAAGGACAACTCTTTCACCCGAGGACCTGACATGAAGATGCCCCGTGGCTACCAGACCTCCACTATTCTGTCCGACGGCCGTGTCTTCACCATTGGCGGAGCCTACTCTGGTCCCCGCCAGGGCAAGAACGGTGAGGTCTACGACCCCAAGACCAACAAGTGGACCATGCTCACCGGAGCTGATGTCAAACCCATGCTTACCACCGACCACGAGGGTATCTGGCGTGAGGATAACCATGCTTGGCTCTTCGGATGGAAGAAGGGCAGTGTCTTCCAGGCCGGACCCAGCACTACTCAGCACTGGTACAGCACCAAGCAGAAGGGATCCGTCCGTCTTTCCGGCAAGCGAGATGATGTCAACGCCATGTGTGGTGTCTTTGCCATGTACGATGCTCTCAATGGTAAGATCCTGACTGCTGGTGGTGCCGCCGACTACACCAACTCAAACGCCAACAAGCACGCCCACATCACCACCATCGGAGAGGCTTACAAGCCTGCTTCCGTCAAGCGTATCGCCGACATGGCTTTCCCCCGTGGCTTTGGTAACGCTGCTGTCCTTCCTGACGGAACTGTCCTTGTCACTGGTGGTCAGCGCAGGGCCATGGTCTTCACCAACACTGACGGTATCCTTGTTCCTGAGCTGTACAACCCAGCTACCAACAAATGGACTCAGCTTGCTCCTCACGCTGTTCCTCGCAACTACCACTCTGTTTCCATTCTTCTCCCTGATGCCACTGTTTTCATCGGCGGTGGTGGTCTTTGCTACGTCAACAAGATTGGTGGTTCTTCTGCCGGTTGCGACAAGACTGCCGATCACGCCGATGGAGAGATCTTCCAGCCTCCTTACCTTTTCAACAAGGACGGTTCTCTCGCTGCCCGACCCCTCATCTCTGGTCTTGTCCAGAAGGGTGTCAAGGCTGGCAGCACCCTCAAGTTCAAGGTTACCAACAGTTCTGGTAAGGTCACCATGTCTCTTGTTCGCATGGGCAGTGTTACACACTCTGTCAACAGTGACCAGCGACGTGTTCCCCTGACCAACTTCTCTGTCAAGGGCAACGATTACTCCGTCAAGCTGCCTAGCGACAACGGTATCTTGTTGCCTGGATACTACTATCTCTTTGTCATGAATGCCCAGGGCGTTCCCAGCATGTCCAAGACTGTCCAGATCGTGCTATAGTCTGGCGGTTTAAGAATCTTGTACATAGAAAGACATTAGGCACCTTGCCGTAATAAACATTGTTTTTAATTCATTGACTTTCACTGTGAACTGTTAAGCGTTGGTAAGACTTCGGTTAAACGCTTTGGTTTTTCCGTTATTGCCGCAAAGCAAATGACCTGTTTATTTTCCCAACCTTACCAGGTTGATTGATACCAGCACCGTCAATCGTCCTTTATATGACACCACCAGCCACCACTCCCGCCATCACTGCCATAGCAACAGTAGTGTAGAACCCAGGTTGGGCTCCCTTTCCACCACTGTTTCTGATAAAATCGTAACCCTCCAAGGCATACTTTTCGGTCTCGACGGTTGCCAGCATATTCCCAGTACTACCTATCAGCTTAGCCTCAAAGTAATGCTCCGCGTTTGGCGAGACCGTGTAGTGGTCCTTCATAATTTGGACAAGGCTGTTAGGGTCCCATTTATAAGAGCCTGATGACAGACTCAGGTTCGAGGCAATTTCCCAACCGCCTCGAGTCGTGTTGACAAGCGCAGAAAACCAGAGATTTAGGGCGCGGGCTTCTGGTTCGTTCAGGTCTCCACCTTTGGCGTCCCATGAGATGGTGATAGGTTGAGTGATGTTAAGTTTCTCGTCCGAGTCGGGACCAGTGAACTTGAAAGCGTCAATGGCGCTGAAGAAGGCGCAGCCAAGGGTGGATAGTAGTAGAACTGAGCGCATTTTGTCTTTTGCTGGCGAAGATCTGAACAGTAGAGGGAGGGAGAACAGACTGCAGGTAAACTGGTCGTAGTTGGTCAAGTTCGTCTGACCTATATACCCAATAAAGTTTGTCTTGTTAGTAGACCCTTGATCAGCCTCGGAGAGTGCCTATTTTAGCCAAGTCGCTGGTCATGATGCCCCCCGGTCGCTTGGCACAGAGTCGAGAACGGGTCGATTGTCACATGAGTCAGGCGAGCCAAGCTTAGGTCTGGTGATGGGAATCATTGCCATGCTGTTGGCAAAGAGGTTGAAATAAGGTTAAGTGGCCGATAATCTGAGATTACGATAAAGGTCAGATTTTCAGATAAGGTCAAGTGACGGCAAGAAAAGTAAACGTTATTTGAGAGAAGTTCGTTTGACAGCAAGGGCATTATAGTGTCAGAAGTATTGTGCAAACATCAGGCTAAAGTCTTGATTACCCTGCGGCACAGCAATCATTATAGTAATGGAGCTGAACCAACAACATTCTTACATGGCCTAGACTACTTGCTTCGCCTCTTGGCACAGCCACAAATCTTGTGTCAAAGTGATGATTTTCCTTGGCCAACTTACCAGAAAGGAAAGTGACATGTGCAACGGTATTAATGTAGCTAAAGGTCTTGTTATAGCATTGTGTATTAGAAGGGATAGAAGGTAAATAAAGTCTTTAACTTTTGGTAAAGATGGAATTCTATACTTTCGACATAACTTAGAACTTGTTTCAACTGTCTATTGTATTAAATAGAGTAATATATATATGCAATAAGTTACAACGGTCTACCTCGCTTGCCTCCGAAGGTAGTCAAAGTGCAGTTGTATTTTATATAACTAAAATGACGTTGAACTTAGCACCTCCACGCCTCTGAAAGCACTTGACACTCCCGTGTTTGACAAGATACTGTGATTTCCGGTAGAACGCGAAGTTACCTTGACAATAGTGCTCCGGAAATACAATAATGACTCGAAAATTCTAGACATAATGCGAGAAAGGGGCACTCGATGAGGTATCAGTTTCTACTGGCTATCTGCGCAGCAGTAAAGCGTGTGCGGCATTTGAACTTGCGGTGACCAACAACCTTATCGTTCTCGCTGACGACAGTGAAGTCATTACCAGTGGTAATCTCACATTCACCGTATTTAACACCGTCGCCTGGATAAGCAGATTAGTCAAGATGTAACCTCTTGGGAATCTTAATTGAGAATAACTTACGTCCATACATGCCCCAATTACGGTCCTTGTAGATAGCTTAAATGTTTTGTTAGGAAACCGTGTGTTGGTGAGGTAGATATAAACTTACTCCAATGGTAGAGGGGGTTATTGGTGAAGTGCATCTCCAGTTGCTCAATGTCGCGAACTGGACCCATGTATCCGCAACCGCTTCCCTTGCAGCGAACACCGACCTTACTGCCGCTGACGTCTGATTTTTCGGCCCAACGCTTCATCTTTTTCATCTCGTCCCATGTCCTGGGAGTTGCATCGTGAATTTGGTAGTTCTTGAAGTCGGTTGCTGGAGACGTGTGATGTGTCATGAAGACGGTAAAGTCGGCAAGGGTACCGGAAACCCCGATAGCAGAGAGGAAGAGCGAGAGCTTCATATTGAAAGAGTGGAATGAAAGAATTGGATAAGTTGAGTTTTGATTGTGTTGTAGATGATTGGCTGGTGATCTGTTCAAACTCCCACAGCAGGGACGAGGCCTCACTTTATACAAGATACTTTGCACACAACGTACTGCCTTCCAAATCTTCAGCAGACCCCATTCGAAGAGAATACAAGATAATACCGTGGGGATCTCCGCGGACTGATCCATGGGCCAAGATACCTTCTCTAGACGCTGAGCATTATGTGAGAATGGTATCCCAGCTTGGTGCGTTCGCCGAGATCCACCTGACGATGGACCACTCTACACGGTCAGCCTGCATCAAAAAGGTCCACTATATATGTGACAAGGATGCTTTTTATGATGCACCGTTCTTCCTTCTTTCTCTAGTGGGTAGCAGAAAAAATAGCCTTCTAAGTCTTAGGGTATAAAAATAAGTGGTTGAAGAACCATAGTCTAACGTGAATAAAATGACTTACTATTTTCGTCTCTTTTGCTTCTAACGGCCAATGTTTCTGATACCCTGAGGTCTCTCTCGGAATGATCGTGAAATGTTGAATTATTTGTTGATTAGATTGCAAGTAAAAGTTAACCACCCTAGCACTTCTCCAAACAGGCGTAAAAGCCGTGACCGTAGATGGCTAAAGATTCTACATGGATCAAAAATCTAATCGAAAAAACTCCGTTCAAATGGGTAATGAGTGAGCAGCTCATATCCTGTTTCAGTCACTAGCAGCTGGTTCTCCAATTTGATACCGTCCTTGCCGCTAACTTCACCAACATAGGCCTCGACACAGAGAACCATGCCTGCTTCCAGCTCTCCTTCGTAACCATAGGAATCAAGATCTTCGGGATAACGAATACTCGGGTACTCATCACAGAGACCTACACCATGAAACATGACACCGTAGCGTTGAGCACGGCATGCTTCAGGCAAGCGGTGGCCGTTACGAGTCAGATCGGTAAAGCGTACCCCAGGTTTAACCATTTCGATGTTGGTAGTGATGTGTTCATAGGCGATGCGGTACAACCGTTTTTGTTCTGCAGTAGGTTCGAGGTCGCCGCAAATCCAGGTCCGTGATACGTCGACGCAGATACCGTATACACCGATAAGGTCGGTATCAAAGACCACCAAGTCTCCGTCGCGAAGGACTCGTGGACCACATTCCTGATACCATGGGTTGGTGCGCGGCCCAGAGCTAAGAAGACGCGTTTCAATCCATTCACCGCCACGACGGATATTCCCAGCATGCAGAGCAGCCCAGACATCATTCTCTGTGGCGCCAGCGCGCATGGCTTGACGCATCTCACCAATGGCAGCTTCGCAAGAGGCAACAGCACATCGAATCGCTAGAATTTCATCTGGGCCTTTGATCATTCGCGCGTGCTCAGTTACAACTTGTCCGTTACAAACATCCAGGCCTAATGCATCGAGAGCTCGTAGACCGGCGACTTCAATGCGATCCACGGCAAGGCGACGATTATTACCAGTATGCTGTCGCATCAATTCGTCAACCTGTGCGGCGAATCGAGAAGCTTGTTCCTCGGTACGGTTTCCAGTCTCGAAGTAAAAGAATGACGCGCCGGAACGTCGTTCATTGATCAGAGGCAGATGTGCGGAAAGATGGTTACAGCCATGGAAGTCCCAGAGCACCACGTAACCACTTGCCGAAACAAAGCAGGCGCGTGCTGGATTGTGTGTGGTCCATAGCTGCATGTTTGTTGTGTCAGTGGCATAGCGAATGTTGAGTGGATCGAATAGCAAGATGCCGCCGAGATCGCGACTGGATAATTCAGCGCAGATGCGTTGCATACGATATGCACGCATTGTTGGTAGATGGGGTGGCTGTAGACCAAGAGCTCGCCACTCATTGAAGGCCAGCGGCGTTGGTCCGATTTCTACACGGTCATTGTCGTTGTCTGAGCCATCGGGCTTGGATGTTGCAATTCGTGGTTTGGTAGGGTCGATGCGGCGAGTGATGGGAGGGATGGAGAATGGTGACATCACTTTCAATGGTTCTTCCTTCATTATGCACGGGACTTGCTGATAATGGCTGATACAATATGTTGACAAGGCTGTGCAAGAGCCAAGAGGCGGTCAGGCTTGGCTTTGTTACAAAGCCTGGAAGACAATTGAGATAGCTGTTATTTCAGGAGATATTCTAATCGTTTTTGTTGGGATGACAAGAAATGGTGTGACTTTAGGAAAGGTCCTCACATCCCTGGGTATATAAGCAACGTGGAGAAAGGAAGGAAACAAGAACAATGAGTAATGGAGGGACCGGAATGTGATATAAACATCGCGGCTAAGTCACGCGCGCCTACGGAAGCCAGTACGATGCAGGAACTCGTAAGCGGTGACTTGGACGGGTGTTTATACCGATGGCAACAATGAATAGAGATCGGGAGAGCTTCCGGGAGTCCGGTAGTCATCATCATAGATACGTAGTCTCTCCGTGTTGATTAGTTCTCACACGTTCAAGTTGATGTCTTGCCCGAGAGCTCATGGACATCCTCCAACCAACAAAGGATGGCAATTCTCATAGCAATTTTCAAGCACTTAATTCCCTAAATTTATGAATTCTTTCCAGTTTAGTCCTTCTTCATACTTCTCACAGACTACATCAAAGCCACCGACGAGACCAGCAGAGCTGGTGAGCCACTACCAAAACTACTGTCAGCGTTACACAAAGACCGCTAGGATTGTCGTTGAATGGATTATCCTCCGCTCCGACAATACCAGACCACATCGGAATTCTCGTATCTTTGTCCCACAGTCGAATCTAATCTCGCCCTGCATGAGGTTGAACTCGAGTCACGTTGCAGAATGCACTTTGTGGCTGACTTCGCGTGCGGGGAAGTCAGAATCTCAAGCTGGACAGATGAAAATGCATGGCCGTGAGTTTGTTAGAGACGGTTTCTTCGTCAGGTGATCGGAGGTTCGGTAACAGAAATTGAATTTTCCTAATTGTGGTTGATGTGTCTTGCCGTAACTTGGTGATGCCTCAAAGCCTTCTTGAGGAGTAGGCACCTTATGATCAGATGACAACACTTTGACTGGACAGGCTGATAGTAACGGGAAATTCTCCGTCGGAGACACGTTACCGTGAAGCGAAGAGACAAAGAACCCGCAAGGACCTGAACACATTTCCGCACTGTAGTTGGTTCCGGCGTTGGGCGGTAAGTGGCTGGAGTTAACAAAGCCTTGCAGAAGTCACAAGACCAACAGACACAGGATTAGAACTTGCGGGGTAGGTATTTCTACCACCTGCACCTAAAGACAGTGCACCGTTTCAGTACCGGTAATTTGGCTGATTGTAGACTTGACTTCAAGAGCTGAAATATTGTAGCATCAAAAGACTGGTAAAAAGGAAGCCATCATGATTTTATACCTGGAGCTGAAGATAATAAATATGCCCTGCTTAATTTGAGCAAATTAAATTGGCACAAGTTGAAGTTAACATGCCTTGTGGCTTTAGCTCCTTTTCAGCTCTGGTATAGCAGTCTGCCTCGATTGGAGGTGGCTGAAATATACTTTCTTATTTTCCGACTCACTACATGTTTGAGAATAGTTACCGAGATGGTCCAAAAACCAGGGACATTAAGAAAGATAAACTATGGACACTTGGAGACATAGAAAGATAACATTTCATGGCTACATAACCCCAGTAAATGCAGAACCCTCTCTTCGATATATCTAATAGATCAACTATAGAACTAGGAGATTTACTGCCTTGAAGATTTTCATAACCTAAAAGTATCACTATTTCCACTATAAAAAGCCTCTTCTACTAATACAATTTTCTCTTATAAAAGAAGGAGCAGAATATGTATCAAGCTAGTAGAACGTGGTATGCAACTTAGTGCAAGACCCACAGGCATTATGTAGGCTTAGGAGATAGACCATGGGCCAGAGCTGGGCTGAGTGAGGCAAAGCTGACAGGGCTGATATTAGTTGCATATTCTTATTTACCGCATACCTCCCTCGAACCATTGATAGCGACACTTGCAAATCAACTCGTCTATAAATACAGGCGAGTGGGTCGCGTCCAGAGACTCCAAGAAACTTCAAAAGTACGCAGCACTTTCTCACTTACTATTACTTTCCCACACTCCACTTTAATCATCATTCATCATGTCTGTTATTCAGACGAGTTTTGTCACTCAACCAACAGCATCTTCTCTTAATGTCCCCTACACGCAGGTCATTGATCCTGTTACCACTATATCAACAATCACACACACGGCTATCGATCCCGATGACATAGGCCTCAATCAGGTCAACCCTCTCATACCTATCAGGCCCATCGAAGTTCATGTGCCACCACCGGTTGAAATCCCACCACGAATTCCAAATAACCCCCCTTCCCACAAAAAATCTAAAGAGGAGCCCGAGATCGATATAGAGATCCCCGAAAATGACAATGGTTCTGCAGCTAACATGTCTTTCCCGATCTTTGGAATCATCTTTCTTGCTTTTGCATCGGTATTCAACAGTGTTTAACATGTTTACGAGTTCGAGTATTGGTGTACATTTTGTATATGACAATCACAATGAGACAAGATATTCGTCACTCGTTTATCTATCTTTATTTTCAATTACTTGAGTTATTTTTATCAATTCCCGTATTTCTGTCGACAATATCAGCCAGATTGTTCTATGTGTTTCGAACAGAATGACCACCTAATCTCAAATTAATCCGCTAAAGCCCTGTTTAAACACTTCTTACGTTTCATACACATACTGGATCCCTAAGCCTAACTCACTTAGATGTGAGCGATGACCTATCTCACAAGACACTTTGTTACACAAGTCTAGTCCAATAAGTAACCCTTTACCTGTTTAGGTTACGTCCCTTTTTCGTGGAGGTGCAAATCTATCCACAATACTGGATAGAAGCTGCAAAAGGGCGAGGATGGCAGGAACACGAAGAATTCTCCGTATAGCTTCGAGATCTGCTTCTGGCATTGAAGGCGTAACTTCTCATTTCCTAATCTTCACCGTCGAAATATCGTCCGAGCTTTCCTCGTCTGCTACCACGGTGTTGGATGAACTATGACAAGAATCTCTTTAAATTATTATTAAGTTACTTAATTAACTATTAATAAATTAACTTTTAATATATAATTAATAGGTATTAGTCATTATGCCTTTATTATATAAAGTTTAAAGAAATCGTAAAACAATGTGAACTTATATTTGCCCTCAGTTGAATAATATCACCTAAGCTTGAAATGTTTACAAAGAATTCTATTATTGCCACCGCATTATAATTGTGCTTGACATTCTAAAGCCATAATATCAAACTGCTATCTTCCTGAAAGTATCATCTCTTCCTTCTCTCAATCGTATTATTCACTATCAGCATTCCGATCCGCGTCCTTCCCACACTCAGTGTTATCAAAAGTTTGGATCACATGGCTTCCGGACTGAGTGTCCAGAATTATGGCAGTACCATCCGCGATACTGTTTGGCGCGTTGTATCCAATTTTAATGACCTTGCCACTGTCTCGATCCTGTGTGCCGACTGTTGCGCTTGACCCCTTGTCTGGCGTTGTATAGTACCGGAATCTGACCGCATTGGGATGGTCCTGTAAAAAGCTGATGTCGAAATGAAATATGGTGTTTGTACCCTTGCCAACAACCCACTCAATAGTAGCTTGGGTACCAAATTTGCCTTCAAACACTTCGTAGACGATTGTGTTTTTATACGTTCTCGACATATACATATCGTCCCAGTACGGTAGATACGCTATGGCAGGGATGGATCCAGATGGGAGGTCTTCATTGATGAAATAATCGGCCCCACTGCCAAGTGATACTATTCCGTTGGAGCTGATATAGATAGTAGTTGAACCACTTGACCCAATACCGAATGGAAGGACAATAGGGACAGAGTCATCGTCATGGTCAATATTATCAAAAACAGGGGTCGGGTTGGCCAAGGCAACTGTCGTCAGTGGATCCACGCTATTGCATTGGGAGATGGTCGTGGTGGCTTTAGTTGAAGTGGTCATATCGGTATTAGTAGTTGTAGGCTGTTCAGTGGTTGCTGTAGGCTTCGCAGATGATGTCGCTTGCAATGTAGACGTAGGCTGTGACGAGAAAGTGTCCGTGGATAGGAAGGATGACGAGTCAATTGAGACAGAGTCCGACGAGGCAGTTGTTGTATAAGAAGACAAAAAGGAACTACGAGACTCGGACGTGATCGAAGTCTCAACTGAAGTAGTGGTGAAAAGAGAAGAAAATGAGTGAATGTCAATGGACGATGAGCCTGAAGCAGCAGTGGCAGTTTCGGTAGAAGAGGTTGTAACGACTGTCACGGACGATGGCTTACACGGGCTTGCATAAACTACCGAGGCCAGTGCTGCAAAACCAGCAATCATCAACCTTGGCAAAGCCATAATGGATGATTTTCAGAACGAGTAAGGGAGAAAAGAAACAAGGAAAGTGGAAAAGGTGAAGACCATGGGAAGAAAAGCATTCGCCCTTTTATCCTATCCCGTAACCCTTACCTGATTCTTCGAAAATTAATGTCGACGCCTTGGGATCAATAGTTTAAGATCGTCGCCATGCTAAGAGACCTTAGCTACTCGCACTTAAGCATATTTCAGAGTATCTCCCCTGAACTAGCTGGTGAGGCTTACAGTAGCGGCCCAATAGCTTCGAAAATTTACTACTCTGTGATAAAAGGTAGTCTCTCTGTTATAACGCTAGGGCTAGCCTCTAAAGCGCCATCAGGGGGACTAAATAATATGAATTGGCGTTGTCGTCTTTACCCATAGCCTACTCAAAGGCGGCTTGCATGTTATGCTGGTCGTTAAAGACTTCGTGCGCGATATCGGCCTGGCGGCTTCAGTTAAGAGATAAATCGGGTCATATAAGTATAAGATACAATATTCAATTTAATAAACTCTTGTTTACTTATCTCCGTTCAATCTATAATAAGACAAGCCATGGTAATACATATAAACCTGAATTCCTCTTAACCCGGATTGTCGTCGACTCCCTTTCTACACTCAGTATTATCAAAAGCACCTCGGCCCACTGTTCTGGCATCAAGGTTGATAGTGACAAGTGTCCCATCGACAACACTATCTGCCTCGTCAAATGTAGCTCTAACAGTGATATCGTTGTAACACTCTGCTCCTTTTGAGGCGGTGTGTAGTAATAGAAGGTGGCCTCTGTCGAAGCGTCTTCGTAGACCATGATACTGAAATGATACACCTCGTTGCCACCCTTTCCTACAATCCACTCAAAGACGGCTACCTGGCCGTCGGCGTCTGTATACACCTCGTACACAATAGTGTTACCGGCAGCTAGTGAAACATATAAGTCATCCCAGTATACACAGTAAGAGATAGCTGCAATGCTGTTGGTGGAAAGTTGCTCTTTGCTGACTGAATCATATTCGGTTGATACTGATAATATACCATTCGAACTGATATATACCGTGTTTTGGCCATTGAACGAAAATGGCAAGGTAATAGTGGCAGAATCATCATCATGGTCAAGGTCGTCGTCGAAGACCGGGGTCGGGTAAGTCAAGGCTACCTTCCGCAATGGATCCACGCTATTACAGCCGGTCGTGGTTGTGACTTCAGTTGTGGTAGTCATGTCGGCAGTAGTAGTAGTTGGCTCTTCAGTGATCGTTGTGGACTTTACAGATGTGCATGACGATTACGAGGATAAAAACAAGTATCTCCTATTCATTTAGAATGTCCTTCGGTTACATCAACCCGTATAACGACATTGTTTCCGTAAGTGTTGGGGCCTCTGATTGGCGTCTCTGGTACCGACCTCCACATTGTTATTCTGTTTGGCACTACTCTGTACCTTTACCTCAGTGTGTCAAAAAAATTGACCGCTGGAAACATAAGAGACGAAATCATCGGGTCACTTTGTGCACCTTGGGCTATAGTTCTTAGTCTACTTGTTTTTATACCCTCAGACTTAGGAGGCCCTTTTTTCTGCTACCCAGTAGCTTCATCACCTTAGTACACGAAGCAAATAGTTACTAACTTCCTGCCTCTAGAAGTTTAGAAAGAGGATCAACGTTCTCGCAGATACTCATGAGTAAAGATCCCTTGTGGAATAAATCCAGTCGTATAAGCAGTTTGTTCATATTGATCAGCTCCAGGATGCATACCAATATCTTGCACGACTCTTCGCTTTCAGGCAATAGATGCTATGTGTGAGGCCGACCAAGCGGCAAACGAAGCAAAATGTTGGGTTGTGACATAACGGGTGCGTTGTCCGCTTCCGTGATTAATGGGACGTTGTGGCCCTCAATCCAACTCGCCATTTCTTACATAAACCAACCAACCACCTATCGAGACACCGTATTTTAAACCTACAGTGCCACACGGGCTTCATAGCTTACTGACACGTGCCCGTTTTACCCGATAACAGAAAACAAAACATAGTGTGCGAATACGACCGATTGCGGGAGGAAAGCAGAATTCTCAATTTTTAATTCGCTCGTTGTTAGACGACAATCCAAAAGACATGAGAAAATCTTACCAAACATGACCAAATATGGTCTTGAATTTTGGCAAGACCTACTTTTTGTTTGTTCCAACAATTCAAGTAAATGGGACTAAGGAAAAGTGAGGGGTTGAAGTAAAGTGCATATGCAGGAGGCCGTCCAACCCCCAAAACTGTACCTTCTGGATAGAGTAGTATGAGAAGTTTGTAGTTGATTCATTGGGCGTCAAAGAAAGCGATGCCCAATCGCATTTCTCCGTCTGTCACAGTTTTTATGGTGCATGTACTCGTGTGAGCAAGCCCTGGCTGTGACTACATCCAAAGTGTCGAAAAGCCCACAACCTTGAATGGGCGTGCTTTTCGTTTCCTCCACCCAATAACGTCAAACACAACTCATGATGGGCATCGACGCTGGATTTGACATGGTACCCCAACTGTCTCGGACAGAGGCTGACCGAAAGGCCTGGGATGTCTTCATCAACAAGGTCAAAGAAGAATACGGCACTGATGAACGACTGCAAATCAAACCAAACTACTTATTGTTTAATGCTGGCGAAGGACCGATCCTCCCTTTGGATGGGTTCAAGTTCAAGCGCTTCAGCTCCAAAGTCTCTGGTGGTATCGTGGCCACTTCAGGAGTATGGGACATCATCGATAATGTCAGTCGGATCGCAAAGTCAATCTTTGGTTCACGCGTCCGTTATTGGTCCGAAGCATCCGATGAATCTGGGTATTACGACTGGGAACAAGTGTATGCTTCGATCGACTCCTATGAACAGGTATGATCCCTACTATCTTGTTCAAGAACGAGACAAAATTAACTTCTGATTTCTCAGGTAGACGAATCGAATATGACCTCAACTACTGCGAGTTCTTCTACCATCGCGACCAAGTCTCAAGATACTCCGATGCCGTTATGTGAGGTTCAGTCGATTCCAGGCAAAGGAAAGGGTCTTGTAGCTCTTCGACAAATTACCATGGGCACGCGCATTCTAATCGAGAGACCTATCCTCCAAACAAACAATACACCACCAGCCTTACTCGAGCCTATTATAGCAAGAAAGTTGAAGGCCCTCACGAAGGAAAAACAACGTCAATTTTTGTCATTGCATAACAACATTCCTGGAAAGTATCCTTTCAGTGGCATCATGATAACTAACGCGTTGCCTTGTGGAAGTGGGGTGAATGGTGGTGGTGCAGTATACCCTACTATCAGCTTCATCAATCACGGTTGTCTAGCAAACACTCACCATAGTTGGAACGAAACTCTTGGGCAAGAAACGGTCCACGCCACCCGAGACATCGCGTTAGGCGAAGAAATCACGATATTCTATGACGATGTAGGCCCGTCTGCGATTCGCAAACCTTGGCTGAAAGAGAATTTCGGCTTCGACTGTAACTGCTCGGTCTGCCTTCTTCCACCTGCCGAACTTGAGAAGAGCGACAAACGACGAGAGCGGATCCAACAACTCGACAACAGAATTGGTGATCCGGTCTGCATGATGAGTCGACCCAATGTCAGTCTTGACAATTGCCGCTCACTACTTCAAATCTTGGAGGAGGAATTTGTAAACGGCACCACTGCCTTGGTAGCCAAAGCCTATTATGACGCATTCAAGATCGCCATTGTCCATGGAGATGTAGCGCGTGGAGCAGTATTTGCAGAGCGAGCATACCAGGTCAGACTTCTGTGCGAGGGAGGAGACAGTCCAGAGACCCAAAGATTGCAGAGTTTGGCTGAGAATCCGAAGGTTTGCCGAATCTTTGGGGTTTATTCCATGCGCTGGAAGACGGAGAAGGGAAAGGTTCCCTCGGAGTTGAAGGGGGACGAGTTTGAGAATTGGCTGTGGCGACAAGAGTAGATCTACAAATTAAAGTGGGGAGATTTCAGTGGATTATGTTTATACAGTCAACATACTATCTAAACAATACACCAAACATGATCGCAGTAGGAGGGTGACCAGCCCCATGGCCCGCCTTGAGTGACCCAGTATTTATATCGTGTGTAGCAGTTTCGCAGTAGTTACTACTAAGCAATGGCAAGAGCTGAAACTGAAAATAACAATGATAACAAGCTTATTGTTAATAACTATGGTCCAGAGAATGAACTATTCTATGAACGGGAATTTCAATACAAGGTTCAAGAACATATTCCGATTTGTACTTCAAGGCCCGACATATACCGTCCTCTCATCACCACCAAGAGTGAGAAACAGAACAGTACTTCAATCTGGAACTGTATTCTACTGATTGAAAGAATACTGTAGGAACTTGTTGAAGTTGCCATCCTGTACACCTATAGTTGCCGAACGCCCTCCATTGGATGTGAAGTAACGCATAAATATACCAACCGGGTTAGAAAGAGTGTATTCTTAGAATCGAACCACAAAGCAAGCAAGGACATCATTGGAGTCCAAACCACACCATTCTACCGAAACGGCACGGAGATCAGGACTGTCGATAATCTGGTACGTGGTATCATGTCCGGCGTTTGGTTTAATTCGCAAGTCATCCCAGTACGGACAGACTGCCACAGATGAGATGGAGTCGGATGGTAACTCTTCGTTTTCATCCGCTGTGGCAGAGTCATCAAAGAGGGTTGTTGGTTCGAGGATGAAATAATCCGAACATGCACGAGTGGGAGCAGATGTTGTGATGGTGGTTTCAACAGTTGAAGATTCCGCAGATGCACCAAACGACGTGGACTCGACGTTAAAGCTGCTGGTAGAGTCTGGGACTGTGGTACTAGAGACCTCCGACCCAATAATAGTAGTAGATTCCGAAATAATGATACTCGTTTCAAGGCTAGTCTCAAGTGACGTTCTAACTTCAGACACACTGGATCCGGACGACGTTTCTTCAGACGTCACTTGTGACAGAGAAGACTGGCTGACAATAGGAAAAGAAATCCATTGTCGTGGATGGGTTGATAGACTGTTGGGCTGTTTCGGAAGTAACTGGCAAAGAAGGAAAGAAATCGGTAGAGGACAGTTCGACAGGGAGGGAGGGGACAACGGGGGGCTCTAATTGCGCAGTAGAAAGTTCGATTGACACTGAAGTGTTGGGAAAATTAAATGACTTTGTTCTTTTGTTGATAAACCCATCGGAAGAAGGGTTCAGAGTTGGGAAGTTTATTCTCGATGTGACCTTTGGATGCTGAGTCACGCCGGTAGGTAGTTGTTGAGTGAAGTCTGAAGACGAGTTGGATCGGGTTTGCGCAAAGTCTACCGATGATGTCGCTACATCCGGTAGTGATTGGGAGGCATCGTTGGTCGAGTTGTGCTCGCAGATGACACCTCGTCACAGTCCTCGGCTAGAGAATAATTAGCATCAGCCAATTAGGAGACACCCTAACATAACTCTAACGATGGACCATCTGACCGCTATACAACCTGGAGACGATGATGTAAACGTAATGTATGTTTGGTCATTCTTAGGCGTCTGACAAAAGTTTGCCTCGCCGTTGGGTAAAGCGCTGTTGCGAAATCGAAGAGAACCGCCGACTTCAGCAAATGTGGTAGTAATGGCATTTTGCGGGAGTGACTCAGCTTGGCCACGTAGCTCTTTGAAGCTTTCGCCAGCATAAAACACGGGTGCTGTGCCTTGCAAAAGGCGTCCATTTGAGGGATTGAAAACTGACGCCCCAGCGCAGACTTCCTGAGTAGAACCAACAAATCCACCCAGGTCTCGCCTTGTTAGTCCTCGTCTGGTGTTCTGTGTATCATTGACAATGCGAAAGATAACCGGGCGACTGTTGACCCCAGGATGGGCTGGGTTTATAGTAACACTCGACGTTGGTAAGTTTGATGTACCTGGATTGTCATTCTTTGTGGCGGTCGAAAAGTCATGGATCAGGTAGGAAGCAGAGCCTGTCGATGTATACTCAGCCAAGGCAGTATCAGAGATCTCAGAGGCACTATTTCCAACTTCTGCAGGCGCTAAAACGGTGTTGGTTGCTGAGACAGCCACAAGATACATAGATAGATACGCTGTGCAGAATATATCTGGGCGTTCGACATTTTGAGCAGCACCAGCACTAGTGACCAGCCCTGAGAGAAAAGCAAAAGCCAGTCGGCGGCTAATTATGATAATCAGGATAATGAAAGCTGGCTTGAATAACCACAGTTGACAAAGAGATCGAGTCTTATCTGGGATCGAGCTGTGTCAGAAGAAAAACTGTTTTCCATTTTCTAAGCATCTTCTGACGGAAAACGGGGACTTGGGGTTAGAATTGAATGTTGGAATGCAAAGCTGCAGGGTCGAAACAACCGTCAATGCGTTGGTTGAACTCTTTGACATCGATCAACCCATATTCCAGACTTTTATTGAGACAAATCATGTTTTGTTATTACAGCTGTGCACCCTGCATCGTAGTTGACTAATCAAAGGATTATCTTCAAGACATTTGTTCCTCAAAGAATGAAGGACTTCACTAGCACGCTACGCTACTGGTCTCACCTTAAATTACACTGCTACCAACAAGAGGCATCGGACCAAACTCACCGGTCCCCCCTGATTTAATGCACTTATGCAAAGGCCCATTTATTTCAGCTTCAAACCATTATGCAGAGTTAACAGTAGTAATTGTTCTGGAACCACTCACTATCTAGACTCTCGTGAACACCGCAGTGAAACCAGAGACCAGGGTAGTATAATCAAGTTAAAGTACTTATTTAATGAGATGGTCTTGTGACTATATTTCTATGGTTACTACTTGTCCAAGATACGCTACGTTGTCAGATACTTCCAACGGATGGTGGTCTCGATAAATATACCTAGACCTTTTAGAATCTAGGTTTGTATCAAGGTACGTATTTGTTGTCCTTGACAGTTGTGACAAGCCTTGCATGGTAGAAATTACTTTTGAGCTAGGTAGGCATCGCGAAAATACGGTGAGAATTCGACTACCTTTGCAAGGGAGAATGTCACGCCTATGAATGGAATCTAGGCTCGGGTTCTGAGACATGCGCTATCTGATTTCAAATTTACCACTCAATTGCCATAAACTTACTTAACCATTACTCTGTTATTAAATGAGATGGCTGTCGGTGGCTAGCTCGACAATATTGTGACATGGAATCTACTGTTAAAAAATATCTAGAACCAACAAGCCTAGAACAAAACACAGCTGAGTTGCCCTTATGGGAATCAACTTGAGTTTTACGGTTATAAATTGTACTCCAGGACACATTATTTATGTTTCCACACTGCATATGGATCTCAAATGACATGAGTTGAGAAGCACCTCCTTACTTCCTAATATTTGTCCCTTTCTCAAGAACTCCTGAGCCATTTTCCCTTGTCGTCAACATCCTCAACTCATGTAATGGGTGCATTCATTTCAGTTACCAGCACATATGATCCTGCCGTGGTTGCAGGTGCCATATTCAATGGAGCCGGTGTTACTGTGCAACAGGCATTCTGGATACGTATCGCCGAGGCTGATTCCTCACCAGCGGGAACATTTTCAGATGGGCCGTACGGTATTGGAAGCGGTGGTATATTGACAAATGGCCTTGCATCGAACGCAGCAGGTGCTCAAAGCCCAAATACATACAATACCTTTCCAGGCTCTGGCCAATACTGCGGAGCAGAAGGATTTGATGCCACTGTTCTTCAAGTTGATATCGACATCGCTGAAGGGTATGATGGTGTCGAGGTCGAATTCATCCTATCCTCCATGGAGTATACCCAGTATTTACACCCTACTTAATGCGCTTCCAACCTCTTTAGCTAACTGTACACTCAGAGGTCGACCAGATCCTATCGCAATCTTCCTGGACGATGTGTTATGGAGCATAGACGACAGCAACGATCGGATAACGGCAACTTCAAAGTACCTCAATGAAGAGATAGGTATCAACGAAAAGGACAAGGAGGACTGGCCGTTTTCTCCTGATTTCAATCGCGCTACTCGTTATGACGGTTCTTCACCTCCCTTGCTCGTTGGCATCCCCGCAATACCTGGCGTGCACACAATGGTGTTTGCCGTATGCGATGCGTTCGATGGACAATGGGACTCTGCGCTCATGGTCAAAGCTAAGGGTTGTAAAGACTGCAACCCTCAAGTACAAATCAATTACGTCTCAACTACCACTACTACTGGATCGACATCTTTTACAAGTACTACCAAAGCTATCGGGACCGAGTCAGGGACCGTGTTGTTCGGTGTACCGGAAGAGACTACGACTACAATAGAGGATGTCACTACCACAACCACCGATGCTTCCACAACAGGAGAACCTACCACTCCGGCCACCGAAATTTCGACAACGGATGTGTTCTCCACTACAACAATAACAGAAATTCAAGAGACCAGTACTGCGACATCGGACACAGATCCTACGGATACCACTACCATGACATCTGATCAAAGCTCAACGGTAACATCTACAGTGGATTCCACATCTACATCAAACACCGAAACATCTGCCACGACAGATATTGGAGGTACCACTACGTCGTCTGGAACAACGGACATAGCTTCGTCTTCAATACAGAGCTTTGATGAATCATCTACACTGGACACCTCCACTTGGACAACTAGCTCATTCATAGAGCCAGGCTCAACCAGTTCAGAGGGCTCTACAAGTATACTAGAGTCAAGCACCATGACCGAACAACGAACTGTATCAAGAAGCATTGCTAGCCTAGAGACCCCCTCAGCCAGCTCTGAAGTTTCCACAGGTGTTTTGCCAATCACAACAACCAAGGGAGGTAGTGATGCCCAAACCACATCAGGTGAGACTTCTCAATCCAATCTACCAGACACGACCTCTGTGGAAGATGTTCAATTAGGCCAATCGACAGAGAAACCTGATTCACTCACCCCATCAATTCCAGATTCAACATCTTCAAATTTACTACCGACAGACACTGTCAATCCTACCAATCTGGAAGTCATTGGAAGCTTCACATTTCTCGGGTGTTTTGGCTCACCTGATGGTTACCCTTCTTTCGACTTGATAGCCACCTCGGACGATATGACGCCCTCCAAGTGTGTCTCATTGGCGACAGGTCGATTATATGCCGGCGTTTATGATAAGTTAGTGCCAATGAGTATCTCTTTTCACACATAGCTAACACATCTCCCAGTTCATGCTACGCTTCGGATTCATTAGAATCTACGAATCTGGTTGGCGAGGGCCAATGTGATACTCCCTGCCCCAATGCCCCTCTACTATTCTGTGGCGGACTGATCGGAGCTGGCGGAACATCAATCAGACACAGAAGGAGTTATCGTCGTGATGCACCTAGCAATGTGCTGCTCACGTTATATGGAGCTACAGATACCGGAGACACATCAAGCAATGCTTTGATCACCGGAACTTCTACCGCGCCATCAATTTCTGAGACAATTGGAGAGGCATCTGTATCAACAGAAGATGCAACAGTGATAGGTTCAATCACATCCGACTCCGCCCCTGGTGTTGTTACCCAACCAACTGCATCCTCTTTCGAGCTACCTATCACTTCTGGTCATGCAATCCCTTTTCCACCAAACAGACCCGTGCCAACCAGTGGCTGGCTAGGCAAGAACAATATGACCCAGGTCGTTGATCCTGTTATCACTGTGTCAACAATCACATACACCGTTGTTGATCCCAACAATCCATCAACATTCAAGGTCGAGGAGTATTGCTCAACTATTCAGTATTATCCCTGCCGCCGCTGCGAGAAGCAGGATATACCTGAAGTGCATATGACCACCATCCAAAGACAATGCAATGCATGTGGTTTGAACGGCGAGAACTCTGTATACCTTACGGTTCCAGCCGCGGTTGCAGCCCCATCCGCTACTGACAGGTTTAAGCACCCTGGTTACCCACCTCAGCATGGTTCAGAACCTTTTGTAGCCAGCCCAATCGAGACAGGCATCCGTCACCCCAAACCCGTTATCCAAGCCAAACCCACCAAAGCGCACCATAACCCCATCCCACCAATATCGGAGGAGGAGGATTCCCCTGATGTACCTGTCCGTCTCAATGACAACGAACCACAAGGTCACCCACAAGACGATTTTCCCAAGAAACCCCAAGTCGAAGCACCAAAAGCCCCCGTCAACGAGCCTAAGCCCGTTGACCAAGCCCACCCAACATCGCAGTTCGTCGGAGGATATGAGATCAAGACAACAACATTGCCAACGTGGCATGTTCCCTCTGAAGTTCCCGTCATAGTTTCGACAGCCACATCGTCTTTACCAATCTTTGGAATGATTTTCTTTGTCTTTGCTTTAGCATCGATGCTTAACAGTGTTTAATCTTCGTACAACTTCGATTGTTCGCATATTTCCTGTATCTACTGTAATCACTGTGTGGCATAGCTCTGTCACCTCTTTATTGTTCTTTATTTTTTATCCTTTCGTTTTTTTACAACCTTATTTTCTGTCTTCTTTTTGGAAAACAAAACAAAACAAACGACCATTATTTTATAAATATTACTATTCTCTGTATAAAACAATTCTTATTCTGTCTTGACAGTTTAACTTTGATATATAATAAGTACATGTTGTGTCGTTTACTATAACTGATGTATATCCACAGGTTCTGTAATAAATCAAGTCTTCGGGTCAGGGAAGTTGTTTCTTATGAAGTATAACAATTCCCATCTTGCAGCATACTCTGAGTTGAAAAGGACAGAACCGAACTATGACAAGACGAGAGGGTAAAATTCGCGCTACAATCAGTGAGAAGGGGGGTAAAATGCAGGTTATTGCGAACATCAGACAGTAAATCATCTATCTGATGTTTTTGGTTGCAGAACCAGGTCGAAGAAACCTCAGATCATATATTTGGGTGACAATTGCCTCCCATCCGTTCTCTGAATGGATGTTCCCTGCAAACTAAATGGATCTCTTTCCAGCTTAATGGCCTATGAGCCCGCTTTTAAAAAAAATTGCATTTTGTTCAAACAGCTACGTCCCTTGAGAAACGAGAACCTTTCCATGATTGCGCCCTGAGGGTGTGGGCCAGTCTTGTGTAGATGCAGTAGTGAATGGGTATGATCAGAAGTATCAGCTGGAGTCTTTTGCAAGACCCTTGAGACTTGCTGGTGCATTTCATCTGAGAATTTGGCGTTGACACTAAAAGTGCTTGTGGGCCAGGTTCACGAACGTCCGAGCCCCTCTAGTTACAGCTGAGTAATTCCCTTGATTCTGATTGCTCAGAACTACCCCGATATTTGTTAGCAATCGATGTCGGTGTCCGACCGAGTCCGACTATAAGCCATCTGCTAGTCGCCGTCAGACGCCCCATACCTTAGATCACCGATTATTGATTGATTTGTGTTACAATCAATGACGTGTCATAAAATTCAAAGGAGGGGTGGCGAGCCGACGCCACGTTTGTTAAAATCGGTCCTTCATTATGACAAGCTTCGAGCCAAGGGAAGCAGAGACCGGTATAGGACTGTTGGATCTGGAGGTAACTTTGTTGCATATCCAATGCATTGTGGGTAGAGCAACTTGAGCCCCTCTGTGAATTTGATGAACTCCCGAACCGATGTATGTACACCGAAAGATTACAAAGCATTCCTCCCTTACCTACACCGACCTCTGAAAAGGACAGCGGTTTGACCACCTCGATTGGGGAACCACGAGTATATTTAGGAAGCAAAACTTCTAGTATTGTGATCAAACTACTTTGTCTCCAACCTGATCTCTCTTGTAACAACTCCCCTATATCTACACGCACACACCACAATAGATTTCACTTTTCCGAACCATCTATTAGCCATGTCGAAGGTCTTGACTGTTTTCGGTGCCACGGGCAACCAAGGCGGCTCCGTCATCCGAGCTGTCCTCGCTGATGCGGTGCTGTCCAAGGATTTCAAGATCCGCGGCATCACTCGCGATGCAACCAAGCCCGCTGCAAAGGCACTGGCAAAGAAAGGTGTTGATGTGATCTCTGTATGTTGTTTCCCTATATCTGGTATACCGCGTCAGATTTAATACCGTTGACCAGGCCGATATGAACTCGAAGGCTTCGCTCACCGATGCCCTGAAAGGCTCCCACACTGTCTTTCTCGTCACGACTCCCGATTTCATGTCTGGTGGCGGAACTCAGGAGCAGACTCATGGCATGAATGTTACAGATGTCTCGTCTGAAGTTGGAGTAAAACATCTCATCTACTCTTCTCTGCTTCACGTTACCGAGACAACTAACAGACGCCTCAAGCATGTCGTCCACTTTGATGACAAGGCTGAGGTGGAACGTTATATTCGCTCAAATGGCATCCCGAGTACTTTTGTGCTACCTGGGTATTTCATGAGCAACTTTACTGCATTGCAGATGATTAAAAAGGGTGACGACGGTGTTTACTCACTCGCCTATCCTGTGGGCGACAAGGCCAAATTCCCACTCGTCGATGCTGAGTCTGATATTGGTAAGTCACAGGCCCACCTTTATCCCCCGAGCGCATTGAAACTCTCATGAAAGCCTGTCCTTAATCGAACAAGACTAATTGTATGGATTCAAGGAAAATTCGTTGCCGCGGCCATTCACCATCAGCCCAAGGTATTGGGCAGCCAGATTCTAGCTGCAGCCGACTACTATACTCCTACACGCATTGTATCCGAATTTGAAGAAGTGACAGGAAAGAAGGCCCGTTTCGTCCCCATCGATGCGGCGACATACAAGAGCTTCCTGCCGGGGCCATTGGCCGATGAGATGCTCGAGAACCACTTGTTTATCGAAGAACCAGGATATTACAACGGTCGAGATTTGAAGGAAAGCTTGGACTTGCTTGGGAGTGTCGGACTGAAGCCTACGAGCTGGAAGGAATTTGTGACCGCCAACAAGGCCGCTTTTCAGTGAACAGGCACAGTTTATCGAGCAAACTACGCCTTATTCTGTCACAAGCTGCGGCAAAGGGCAAAGGGATATTCAATGGTGTTTAGTTAAAATATCCCGATTCAGTTTTGTACCTGCCAATAACCTTGCGCGTCGTCGTGGAAATATCGACATTTTCGTTGTGGTTATCTTCAAACACTTTTTATATATCGTTGAACTACCGAAAGTATTCCGTGAAATCTACATAGTTGTGAACTTTTAAAAAAAAGTGGTTGAGGATCAAACTATTTCGGTCTAGATGGATTACTAAGTAATCTCTGCTATACATACATACCCTTTGCTAGCAGCGGTTGGACCAGGCGCCCTGTTATGGAGATATCTAGGGCTGATCTAACCAGTATGTGTGGAGTTGGAGACTTGGCCTTCCCCGTGGTCGTTAGGCGAGGAGGACTATTCTTTGTCAGCGTCGGTGTCCGATATATGCCGATGAATGTGAGGGTGTATGATGCATGCTCTGATGCGATGATTCGTTTCATTTGTTATACACCGATCTTTCGTTGGCTTATGATTTGGCGTTAGGAACATGGTTACTAAAGGAAATTGATACCAGATAAACTATGAATTCAAATTGCTAGCAGGGGAAGGAATAGACATGGTCAGGAATATTTCCGATAGTTCATGAGTAGCCTTCATATCTAAGAGCTATGTGCCACTATAGTTCCATTTGTTCATTGTACATGGGTAATCTATCGTATTACAAGCGGTAGACTGTCAAGTCTTGTAGGTGTGAGTAAAGTAACCTATCCTACACAGCGATAATCATTAGTAATGTACACAGTTGTTGTAATGGATTTACTGTAGCCTTACCGGCTCTCCCCGCAAGCTTTTCTTTTAACTGTTGACCCAAAGAATACGCGATAGGTTGAGTTACACCAGCTTGCTGTAAATGTTGCTGCAGATAAATAGCATCGGAGACCTTTGACGCCTCATCTTTACCAATTCCTACGCCAGAGAGTAACAGCAAGGCGGCTGTATATGCAGCATAGTTAAGTATGGGATTATTTAGGGCCACATCGGCATCATTCCTCATCGACTTGAAGACCTCGACAATGTTCGATACTGCATCCCCGATGTACTCGCAGCTTTCAGTAGCCAAATCAGATTGGCTGCGTTCGTTACCGCCATGAACGATCTGCATTGTTGAATTGTAGAGAGAAAGTATAGTCATCTGTATTAGGACATATACAAAAACAGATTGTTGGCATTTGAGGCCATCCGGTAGCCGAAAGCTTCTAGAAAAAGCTGTTTGTAAGGTGATAAGATCGTTCTTGATAACCTTATGGCATTCCCAGTAGGCTTTATCATTCGCGTTGCTGTACTCTTCATCCGTTCTTTTCGAGTCGGAAATGCGGACAGCACGATAAAAAAGGGATGCTGCTATTACTCTCAAGGCCAAGACTGAACATGCCCTATCTTGATGGTGCAACGCGCCTTGCAATGTCGCTGTTTCCTCAGGACATCCACTCTCAAAGGCCTGTTCAGAAGCTGGGAGAGATACCTGTACCTGTTTGGATGGCCTTAGAGCTAAAGACTGATTTGACGGAATGCGAAAGCTTACCTGTGTACTATCAATGACTGAAGGCAGGCCTGAGGTAACGAAGAGAAGTCGGTCGGAAACGTACAAACACCACCAAGTCCTGCGACACTCTTCCAGTATGATCCAGTCTTGACGAGACCCGAAACCACGGGGAGGGAGGTTTTCCGTGTCGTTTCTTTCGTCCCGATTAAGATTCAGCATCTGGGCCATACGGATACTCCGGGCCAAGCTGATAGCTGCTCGGGAGAAAAGACCTTTGCGCGCCTCGAAGTTTGCTACTAGCAGCCAGGTCTGGAGATGAGCCAGGTCAAAAGAGCTCTTGCCTTCATCCTATATTCATCATCAGTACAGCTCTGATGGACTTGAACGTGAGTAGAGGGATTCAACTATACATCCATCTCGTCAGCTTCCGCAAATACCCTGGCCTGTCGATACAGCGGTGTAGATAAAGATTGGTAAGTTGGTATGCAGTCTGCTCCTAATGCGCAAATGATGTAGTGTAAGCACTTGGGCGGATGGTCTGCCCCAGAGGACCCGACACACTCTTCGTAGCGCGAGCGATGAATCATAGGTGTTGCGTGATGTAGTTTTTCAAAATACAGATTCAACCTGACCGCTAGTGATTAGATATACATAAATAAAAAGTACCGAAATAACCCACATTTCGGGAGTCGGGATAGGGTTGCCAATGATGGAGTCAACTGTTGTGGGCTTGTTCAACTGTAGATGTAGAGCACCGTCGGTGGTAGAACTGTCTTGTTGATCGTTATGAGGCAATGGGCTTTCATCATCTACTACGAGGTAAGTGCCGGGAGATTGCGACAGCAATCCTTCTCCGGCGCCGGGTTTCATTTCCGAGCCTGATGCATGGCCATCCTGTGGGTAACATTTGTCGATTCGAGCCTCCAACAGCACTATTTGTACACGTTTAGTCAGTTATTCAAGGGTAACTTGATGCAATTTTCGGAATCAGTTGGCTGCTAACTTAACTTGGTCTCGAGATCACGAGCCTGCTTGCGTCTGCCTGTTGTCGGCTTTCTCTTATCGGGGTAGCTGCAGTCGTAGCCCTGCCTTGAACATCGGCTACATTTTGGGAGTGCGCGGTCACAACTTTGCTTCTTTCCCTTGCATAGAAGGCAAGATAAGCGGGGTGGTAGATAGTTGGACATTTTAGCGGTTTAACTGAATCCTGCTCAATTGGAAGGGTTGATGTCAAGAACAAACTGGGGTGCAGCTAGGTCTCGATGGCTTTCGATCAGACGGTTCGTACCAATATATATTACTAAGCCTTGACCCCACGTCAAACCAAGCTAGACATTTTAAGTTTTCACGCTGCAAAACTTGATTCGTTATCGACATCAACACCAAAATCTACAGACATGTCTTCTGTGCTATGGCCCCTGACTCGAGGAATTGCGCGCGTATTGAAGGGTGGCCGACGCCTGCCAGGTGGCAAATCTAATTAGTGGTCCCAGCAAGAGTCTAGTTACTACTCGATTCTTCACTTTTATAAAGACGATACAGTTCTTAGTCCGACATGTTTTTTCTGATTGAACCAGGTGCAAAGAAACATTCGCATGCCATGCATGACAATTAGAAGAGACCATTGTTATTATGTTGATACTATACTTATACAGTAAGTCTACCAAATAATGTTACAGGTATTGTACATGAAAAGCAAGCACATGCCGGAATTAGTAGTCGAAATGAAGTGAGGCCGCGTCGTGATCGGTATAACACCAGGTGAGCCAAGGCAGCACCAGGGCTACTGGCGCTTCGCATACACGCTTCCTTCAAGCCAAGTGCCAAGTGTTTTGAGCTCAGGGTGCATACGCCGCAATTCTTCGGGGTTCGCACCATAACCCTCATTTTCAAAAAAGGCAAACATGGTGCCCATTTCCTTTGACAACCATAGCGTGATCCTTGCGAGAATGCCTGCGGCTAAGGGTACATCTGATCCAGTCTTCTCTTTGAAGACTGTGGCCATCTGATCATATGTCAACTCATCCCCTGCAAGAGAGATAGTTTTGCCTTTATATGCAGACATGTTGATGAAGGCCTTGGCTGCGAAAACCCCGATGTCGGCTGTTGCAATGAGCTGGAGGGGTCGAGACTTTACAACCGCTTTCCAGCAGGAGGCAAAGATCTTGCCAACCATACCGCCATCAAAGTTCTCCATAAATGCGACTGGACGGAGGATGGTCCAGTCCATATCTGTTCCAGTAGATCGACGCAGTAGATGGTGCTCGATATTGTGCTTGCTTATGAAGTGGGGGATATTAGTTGGGTTCTCGATCGATTTGGCCCCGTGGCGGTCGACAGATGAGTAGACAAAGTGTTTGACGTTGTTTTTTAGAGAGATATCTATAAGGTCTTTGCCTTGCTTTTCTTCGATGATCGGTCCTGTTTTATTCATTGCAGGTGTCTGTAATATCAACCAGTTATTAATATTGCCTGTCTTCATGCCATCGAAATGTACTTGCCTGAACACTGAAGACGCCCCATACAGGCGAAGTTGTTACCTTACTGACGTTCGTGAAAATGGCATCAGCATCGTCCAAGTTGCCTTCCACGAGTGTGATCTTGGGGGACTTGGCCGCCAATTTCTTCGCCGAAGGGGATGAGGCATCTCGAGTGAGGGCTAGGATGTTAAAGTCAGCCTGGGCAGCAAGTAAAGCAGCTACCACAGAGCCGCCTTGCTTCCCGGTAGCGCCAGTTATGAGAAGCGTGCGCGACATGTTGAGGGAAAATGTAAACTTGAGAGTAGGAATAGGAGTAGCAGGAGGCAGCGATAAGGGAGACGATCGTAGCGTTCACTAGCATTTAGGTGGCCAGGTGCGCCTGTCTTTATACCGGTCAACCACTAGAGGCTCGTTTCATTTACATCACGGTCAGGCCGAGTATTGCTTGTCCGATGAATACTTCTTGCTCGGTCAGCCCCCCTCGGCCTATGCTTGGCTGATAAATACATCACAAGGCAGGCACTGGCATTCAGTAGAAATTACGATACAGTTTTTCCTGATCAACTTTGTCACAGGGCGGACTACCTTATGTCAATGACATAGACTATCTCTTAGTTAGTTGGCGTTGAGGACGGCTCTTTGTCAGCGTCGGTGGTGTCGGTGTCCGACATTTGCCGATGGTGTTGGTGCCCACATGTGGCGTGGGGCATAGCTAGCACTAAAACTGATTCACTTGACTAAATGACCGGATATTGTAGTGGTCTATACCCAGTCGACCAGTTAACTGGGATGACTGCGACTGAATCTACCCTTAATCAGGTTTGCGTTCAGCAAGCCGGTACGTATACCTATTCACATAAATAATTTAAGACGAGTAAAAAAGTCTAGTTGTTTAAGCAAGACATTTATTGCCTCCCCCATCAAATTTCAATTGCAAACATTGTTATGTAGGGATCGCCATGCAAATGGAAATGTCTAGAAAAAGAAAATAGTAGATTATTGATAATTTTAATAAAGTAAAATTACAAATACAAAGGGGAAAAGTGCAATATCTTCCTTATCTGCAATATCTTATACTTAGTCCCGTAAATAATCCACTAATGCAACGTTTAAAACACTTCTTACTTCATCACACATTTTTCCGCGCTGGAATTCCCAACCCCCTTCTTTAAATAGCTCCGTTCCAAAGCCGACCGCGAACTGATCGCTACCCTTGACCAAATCTTCATACATCTTATCGATAAATTCATCCACTGGCATGCCTATTTCGTTCCCGTTGATCATGTCTGGCTGATTTTCTTCGTTGTGCATTTCTGTTTGCACCGCAGGAGGGAATACCTCCACAATATGCAGAGGGCATCCGGCATCACGTAGCTGGTATCGTAGACCTATAACAAACGCGTGAAGGGCGGCTTTCGACGCGTTGTAATTTGGTGTTCGGCTCATGGCTGGAATCAATCCCGACCCCGCATTGATATACACGAGGTTTCCGTGGGGTTCTTTCTTAAGATGGGGCAAGAATGCTGCCGTAAGGTGAACGACCGAAGTATAGTTTGTTGTGAGCTCTACGCCGAGCATTGAAAGGTCTACTGTCTCGGGTTGAGTGAAGTCGAAGCCGTGTTGTACACCAGAGCTTATTATCACACAGTCAAGATCTGGATTTGACTTGATAACGGTGTTAGCAAAGGCCTTGATACCCGATAGGTTTGTTATGTCGAAGATGATAGAACTTGAGACATCCGAGCCGTGTGTCTTCACGAACGCCTGCAGACGCTTCCGTCGACGACCCACAACAACAACCTTGGTACTATTTTCAACGAGCTTTGATGCTAGAGCCGCTCTAATACCCGAGGTAGCCCCAATAACGAGCGCTTTCTTGTAGAGCGGCCCCATTTCAGCGATAAAAACAGATGTAGAGTGTCCTCCAAAGTTACTGAGTGGGTGTTAACACTTGAGACAGAAAACAAATGTGTCAACAATTGTTGTAGTAATACTGAGATTTGGAAAAAAAAAATTGTCCTAGTAGCTGGTGATCTGACGAAATGATATTGAGTTCTGGATCTTCTCCAGCTTCCTTCTTATAGCTGGAAAAGATGGCTCGGCTTCATCGGTGCTTGGCTTAAAGCCACCAAACCTTAACTATGAGCCCACTCACAGTTTTGATCATATGGTGATGTCTCACAACTTATGGCGTGTTTTGAGCGATGTATCACCAGACAATTGATAACTGTAATCCTGAGAAAAGAAAACCTGGCTCGTGGATGAACACATGAGCTTGTGACAGTCAATTACTTGGCACCATTCATCGCATGGATAAATAACAAACCTCTTCCGCCAGATGTGTAGATGCGGCTGTGCTAGGTAGATAAACTTGGATTCATGCCACCCGCATTACCCTAAACTCCTGTTTGCAATTTTATCCTGTCACTTGCAAGTTAGTGCCATGAGAAGTGCTGAAAACAAATAAAGTTCAGATAAGCTTATCCATATATGACCCAATCAGAGTAGTTAGTCACTAGGTTCCCCGCAAGACGGAGGACTTTGCACGTCATTGGAAAGTAAAGCTGCTCACCCTACAGCGTCTTTTGTATACTTACGATGTACAAAGGTTATACAAGGCTTTTAAGCGAGGTCTTTCCTCTTTTCAACAGTCGCGCAAGAATAATTTGAGCGGATTACCAAACACATATGGCTCCGATTGAGCAGCGTCACTGTAGCCAGGCGCAATCTTATACTGCATTTAATTTTCCGAAATTGTTAGAAATCTGAATTGAATATTATAATACTCTAACCTACTTGTCTGCACAGTGAGGCTCTAACCTCGATCCACATCAGACATATGTTATGCTTTTGACATGTTGTACTAATAGTTTCTATTGTAGCTAGAATCCATCATCCATTATAATAATCATCCACCACACATTCTGTTTGCATCCTCAGTTTAAGCACATTGACCAGCATTGGGATCAGAACTAAAATACGATTAGACAATGCCAGTCCATAGCGAAAACAAACTTACGAGATATCATATTGAGGCGAAGCCTCTTGAGGTGTAGTACCATCGTTCTCCCACTGTGGACTTCTGCCACCGTGCTCACAGCCATTAATCTCCTTATGGAGCATTGCGGTGCATATATTGGAAGAGAGATGAGTAGGGTTAATAATGTTTGAGCCCTTGATGATGGTGAAATCGACCTTCTTCTTGCTGCTTAGATTGACACAGGCAGTCCTGAAAGCGTCACGACTGTAGGGGATGTTGCCTAGGGTTCCGTCTTCGCAGAGTCGTTGGGCTGCTTCCAGAGCGGCAAACTTATCTCCGCCCCATGTCTCTCCAGAACGGTGGCATTCGCCGTTCACAGTAGAGAAGGTGGCCAAAAAGGCAGTAAGAAGGAGATAGGAGAAATACATTTTAGAAAGTGTGAATAGGTTGTTGGCTTGTAAGGTGATGTTAAATTACAATCAAGAGGAGAATCGATGAGACTTTATATATCTGAAGCCTGCAGCAAATGGCTAGATATAGACTGCGAGTCAATTTGGAAGTTATTGTAAGATACACTGAGTCACGTTAATCCTATGTAGTGGGGACTCATCCTGAAAGGATGAAGGATTTCAAGGCAGGGATAATACTAAAGTCCAATCTCTACATAAGAATCGTTTGTGTGGGACCATGCTGGCTATCCTCCTACTGGAGAAATAGGTTCTATACAAAGTCTATGATATCACGATGAGGTAGGACAAGTAATCTTTCTAAACAAAATTGGCTCAGCTTCCTAGCTTGGCAGGCGACATTGTCTTGGCTGTCAATTTATCCTTGCAACGCCGTATCGCCAGAATCCTTCCGTGACGCAGCTTAGCCTCAAAAATTTAGCAGCTAAGCCTCAAAAGTTCAGGGAAATCCCTGACTAGTCCACAACTCTAAAAGCCTTGACCACATACATGGAGGCTAGGTGGACCTACAGACAAAAAAGAACAACAATTTCTATAGGTGGGTCGCTCAAGTTTTTTTTCCACACTCTGAGCGACTCACTGCTACATTCTGGAGCGTTCAGACCTCGGGAGGATCAGCGATGACGGACCTCATTCCGACGTGGCGAAGTGTCGGTCAATATGAAAGTTCGTACCAAAGTCCCAAACTACTGTGAAGCCATCTCGTGTTAACTATCAGGATCATATTCCTTGTATTTTGAAGGAGCGGTGGCAAAGGCTGTCGACGCCAAAAAAAGAAAATAGGAAGTACTATAGGCTTGGTGAGTGGTTCAAAGCACGGACTATAAAAAGTTATGATAGAACCATTACAAATAATCTTTCACCAACACATAACTCATTTTTAAACAAGATCTAAACCACCAAGTCTTTACAACACCCACCATGAAGTACGCTTCCTTCCTCGCAGCCCTGGCGGCCACCTCTGCTGCCGCCATGCCAAACTCTCTCCACAAGCGTGAATGCCATGGCTCTGGCGAAACATGGGGCGCAGAAAAGTTCAAAGCTATTCAGACAGTCCAGGAGCTTTGCGACGGCCAAATTAACGGCCCTTTCAACACTAATGGGCAGTACATCCGAAGATGCGTCAATCTTAGCAGCAATAAGAAGATGGACTTGTTTGTCCGCTACGATGAAGGCCAATTTGACGGGGTAACTCGTTACATAGACAAAGAAGACTGTGTTGGCTATCTCCAGCGGGAGATTAATGGTTGTGAACACGGGGGTCGGACTACCTATGAGCGTACAGTAACGCCAGGTAAGGTTACTGTCTCGTAAGTATTAATATTCCAAACCCCATAATCTAGAAGTGCTGACAGCGTCAGGGCCGATCCAAACAGTGGAAACTGCGCATAGGGAACTGAAGAGGTGAACGCTGGGAGATGGGCGTGGAAGTTGTTACGATGAATAGTAAAACAGTATGAATATACAATGTTCGGCATCCATCCTTATCAAGGTTCAATTCGAGAAGTACATTGAATATCTCTTATCTCTCTGGTGTGATCTTGGAGCTAGGCAATATGTAGCCCCCTTCATTGACCTTTATGAAAGTCCTTGTACGGTAAGGCGTGCCTTCATTAATATCTGCCTGGCTTGATCGAGAAACAGTTTTCATCTTTATTTCATGCCTCGTAAAGTTAAACGTAGAAATGGGAAAGGAGTAGTATCATTTACATTATAGTAAAACCAATTACCTAGTCGCTATCAAACTTCCGGGCGAGTTCGATATAACCTTTTGGTTAGTACTTACTAACTTGAATTGCTAGCGCGTCATACTTGTTAGTCTTTTTGAATCCGGATCTAATCGTTTTGAGACGTTTTGTAACTTATGATGGTGACAGCCGGTCGCAAGGGTTGCCATGGAACATCTCTCGTAGCAATGTGATAACGCTTGCGATGTAGTTGCGCTGTTCTTCCTTGGTTGAGAAATGACGCTGAATCTCAGTCATTGTGTCCCCGACACAGTCTTTGATTGATAAATTGTCGTCATAAAAGAGACGCGTCTGGGGATTTGTTCGTATCGCTTCCTCAAACTGCACTATCGACTATGGGCCTTAGATATGGCAGACATAAACTAGAACTTCTGTATGCTAGCAAAGCTGTCATCTGCTGTCCCGATAGTGCTCACATTGAAAAACAGAAGCCGTGTCTCATCAGGGACCGTTTCGCATTCTAGGAATGCTGGCAAATTGCCTGGGTGAGACTCCTCACTTCGTGTCTTCCCGCATTTCGAACAAATGCATTCAAGATGCGATTTGATCTTCTGACGGTTTTTGAAGTGATCCTTCAATTTCTCCCGCGAGAAGAACATAAATTTCTGGTTGACTCGTTATATCTTGGCGGTGTCCGTTGATTCCGTGGTGATAGGATAGTGGATGCGCTCAACTAATGTTTCCCGGTCGTCTTCAGTGATGCATCCTCCTGGGTTTAGCATCCGGTAATGATCCATAGGTACACCAAATGTTGGTTGGCCAAACCAGTATGGATACTGGGGTCCACTAACAAGCTAGAACACGGCTCGACGAAACGGAGGACAAAATAGGCATAGGTGAAGCAGTGAGACGAAAGCAAAAGGAGGGGAAATGGAATCCCTGCTACACATGTAATCGCACATCTTAACAAGGGAGAGCCAGGGGTTAAAAAGAGTGAGGTGTAACGTATCAGTACTTGTAGCCCACTGTTATTTACTCCTGGCAAGGCGTCAAGATACCCGAACTAGCTGGCTTTTATGTTCAGCCGCATCACTTTATCCACGCTTATCGGCGTGCATCTGATTCAGAGTGCAGTGTGAGTCCTGAGCAGTAAGAGTTGTACCGGGATTTATAGGGCTACATGACTGGCTAAACTACAGCACTTAATTAGAATGAAAGGGTATCTCAGCAATTCCCTGGATCCCCGTATGAACGAGGAAGTAATGTTTTGAGAGAGACAAGATCGCGATATATAGTCGGTTCTGTTTACTTCAGCTTATGACAGCCCAATGTTGATTGCCAGCTATGCACCGAATGAAAGGTAATCTATTGCCATTAGTCTGTAAATATCCTGGTGAATCAGGTGATGAAGAGACCAACACCAAAACGAGTACCTTGTTTGTATAGCGAAACAGATATTGAAAGATCTTTCATATGACCTGGGAAAGCTTCTCCATCACCGTTGGCCCAGTTGATTTTCAGTTTCGTTCCGTCCCCATGTAAGAATTGTCTGCAGAGTAAGTAATTTTCGTTTGCACGCGATGCCTGTCTCATAGCGCCCCACCAATTAACCCTGCACCAACCGCCGATTCAGACAAGGAACCACGGCAGATCATGAAACGTCATCAAAAGAAATGACAGATCTTTCAACCGTGGATATACAGAATAAACATCTTGACAGAAATCGCGATGCCTCGCCCGACACAACTAAACACAGCTCGCGATGCCGGCATCGTCAGACGCCGGTGGATATTGTTCTAGCCGACAATTGATTCTACTGTATCGATGAATTTGGCAAGGTGGACGAAGCTGACCGTATCGTTATCCCTCATACCAGGACCTATTCACACCGTCGATGCAGTGACTACAAGAATTTAGAACCGAACAGATGTATCGAATGCCTGAAGACGGACCGATATGTAAGTTTCCATCCCAGCACGTCCCGGCAGTATGAATTTCCCTCCAGCTCCCGCGGGAAGCAAAACGGGCGCCTAGCCTTCGTGTCTTTTCACAATTCTAACAGCTATCCTACGCTTGTCGATCAGGCCCTACGGGCCTGATCGGCGTGTGCCTAGGATAGCATTTGGAATGTGTTTTTATCCGAGCTGGCTAATTGATATCTCCTGGGTATAGAGTTGTAATTTTATAGCTGACCCGGATATACGGAGAATTGAATATATCGTTTTTCGTATTCCTATTTGCTATATCGTATTTCCAAGTGCTATCCTAGGCATGCCGATTAGGCCCTATTGCGTGTAAGAAACTTTGTATCCCACTGTGGAACTGAAGTGGTCTGATAGCAAGTTTATATACTATGATTCTCTCTATCCTTTAGGCCTACCAGTCCTCACAATAGAGTTCAACAAAATTTATCAATTAGGCCAATGTTTCCGCTTCCGATTTCCCACTACCTTGTAATCCCCTGCCTGTTGTCTGGATGAAACGCATCTCGCTTAGCTCCAGAGTCTATCTAGACCGTCTTTATCGTCATCACGGCATCAGGTTGAAATATAAACAATTTGATTATCCTCACAAGTTTCTTTTGACAGACAAATTATTCTCACCAAGTCACAGACAATAAGCTATACAATCCTCTTTCGCCATGTTAGTTGCACCGATCGCTGCGCCGAGTTTGATCAAAAGCGATCAACCTTCTCCTCCAGTGTCTGTTGAAGATGATGCCCCCGCCCTTGCAGCTCGCTTGCAACCACTGTATACGCAATTTCTCAAGGATCTTGATCTAAAGCCAGCATTCAAGAATCACGAAAGTGAGAAGCTTTTGGAGGAGGTACTGAGACAGGCCGAGACCACTGGTGTACCTTTTCCTCCCAACTCTCATTCCTACCAAAGTCTTATGGTTGGATATGCATACGCCGATGTAAGTTTTCTATATTTCTGCGATTGACGTTTTAGCTTCCCATTGTTTCAAAAGCTCACACCTAGATTCAGAACTGCCTCCCATATCATGACTTGGAAGTCAAGGTCTTTGTTGCCATATACACATGGCTCGCAACTATCTGCGATGACGCGGAGCGACTAGACATCATTGAAGATGTTGAAATGTTTCAGCAACGTTATACTAGCGGAATTGAGCAGCCCACGGTATGTTCACTTTATACGATCTCTCATTCCAACACCAGGCCCCACAGGCTTTGCCCTATTTACTTCACCGTTCCTTTCAATCCTACATGTCAACAAAAAGCTAATCAAGATGCTCGCTTTCGTTTCGCTAGACTCTCCTACGTGCTTTTGCCAAACAACTCCAGCTCGCTTATGTCTTATATCACCCACTTGTTGCGAATCTCATCCTTAACTCCTCTCTCAATCTACTCACTTCTACAGCGCTTGTGGCTCGCGAGGGTATCAAGGAGAAGGGTTATCGTCCATCAAAGGGTGGCAACTACTTCCCCTGGTACATCCGAGAACGTGATGGCGTCGGTGAAGCCTATGCTTGGTTTACTTTCCCCAAAGCGCAATTCCCCAATCTGGACATTCCTATCGAAGCTATTGAAGACATGACACGATTTATTGCCTATGTCAATGATGTTTTATCGTAAGTCACCTATCCTACTTCGAGAGCTTTCTATTGACACATTCGTTAGCTTTTACAAGGAGACCTTGGGAGGCGAGACAAGCAATTACATCAACAGTACGGCCGCGTATGAAGGGATTGATTCGAATGCTGCCCTTCACAAAACTGCTCAAGACTCTGTTGACTGTGCCCGCCGAATTGAAAGTGTTCTCGCGGGCAAGGGCAAGTATGAAGAGGCTTGGCGGCTTCATGCATCCGGATACCTCCAAATGCACCTCCAGAGAGGGCGCTACAAGCTTTGGGAGGTGGGCGTTGGGAGCAGAGCAGATGTAAAGGAGATTCTCCCGAGAAACTGAAAGCTACCACAGCACTAGATCTGAATAATATACACTTGTCTGGTCAAATATGTAGTCATTGGCATGGCTTTGATTGTTTGGTGTTGCAGTGAAAAGAAGATATAGTTAGATTGAATACATACTTACACACTATTCATCAGTCTTGGTGACATGTCGGCAATCTCAGGTTCTCGTTTGATGTGATTAGCAAGAACTCACATCTTTCTAATTCAAATGACTATCCTTTCTCATCAATCTATGACTAATTTCTCCTATATTTTCCAAAAGGAGTGGTCAAGTCAAATCTTGGTCGTAATTGCAAACCACTCACCAATGAGAAAGGCTCTTGCAGCAACTAAACACCCTAATCCCAATGCAAGAATACCTGTTAGAAGTCCACTCAGTGCCTGAGTACCCATTCTCTCAACCATAGTACCACTTGCAGGAATAGAGACCAGCAACGAGAAGCTGATGAAGAAGTTGAGGGTACCTGGTAGTTATTTAGTAACACTATCTCGAAAGGGACTACGGTCGTACCATAGTATCGGCCGTATTCTTTTGGATCGCATGTCTTTCCGACACATACTGCAAACGATTAGTTGGCTAACATTGATAGAGACAAGCACCGCCATCAGCACTTACCTGGTGTTATGGACAAGAACCCTCCGGAGCAAAATCCCCACAGCCCAGTGAAAACATAGAGCACGACGCTTCTGTTACCAAACGGTACAAACAAAGCACCCATGAAGATAAGGGTCATTATCATCATGAATATCAAGACATTACAATGACCAAACTTGTCGCCAGCTATTCCAGGGATAACACGGCCAAATGCTGAAGCTCCGCCAACGATAGAGAGCAAGGTATAGCCAGCCTCAGCCTTCATACCAGCTTCGATTGCAAAAGTAGGTAGGAGACCTCCGATGCCGTAGAGAACGAACTGAATGGCAAAATACATGACTGATAGCAATGAGAATGGAACAGACCGAAAAGCTGAAAAGTTGAGAACGGCTATGCCGCGTTTCTTGGCGACAGGTAGAGCAACGCGATTGGCTAGTCGCTTGTAAGGAATGAGGCATAGAGTACCAACAATGAAGATACCGAGAATGACAAAGGCCACAATACGCATCGACCAGCTCCATCCAAGCTTGGGGAGTAAGGATCGAAGCATGATGGGGAAGATGACTGTTCCAATCGACGATCCAGTCAGAGCCAGCCCAATAGCCAAACCTCGCCTTCTTGAGAAGAGTTTAGCGACGACAGTGACGCCTATAGTGCCTGCAATAGCTGTCGCAAGCCCACCGAGAATTCCAAAGCATAGCATAAACTGCCAATACTGTTTGCACTCGGCGAGTAGGATGAACATCACAACAACGCCACCACCGCCAATGATGCTCACTGCAAACGGCCCATGCTGATCAAGAACAGGCCCAACTTGAATAGCTACAAGCATGGAGAGGAACATGTACATCCCGGGTATCCAACCAATATCACCGGCTGTGTAGTTGCTGAGTTGGTTCAATTCGAGGTAAGATTGATATGTTCCCACGGATTGCATCATTCCTAAATGATTCATTAGTGACATTGACTGGGGAGTAAAGTAAAGGACGTACCAAATGTAGGCATGAGGAAAAGGAAGCTCCCCAAAACGCAAACCCATGCTGAAAGGCTTGACTCTATGTCCACAGGTGTTGTGTCATGATTGTTTTGGATCGACTGTGTTTCCATCGGCGCAGATTGATCTTGGCCAGATACATCCCTGGTAGGCTCGGGTGACTTTTCCGATGACATCTTATCTGCTTCTTCTCCCTCTTAACATTGACAACATCTACGAATGTTTGAACAAAGACAAGTATATCAATCCTCACCGCTGATCAGACATAATGGGCTCGAGATGATGACAAATTGAGAAATGGAAAACCTGGTGTATTCGGATATCTTATCCGACTCCGGCTATTGCACCTCGACATTAATTAACCCGAAAGATCGCAAGTCTCCGCGATCCTTCTCCACTTATGCAAGCTCATCACTGTAAATTGGGGGTAACGCTCTGAGATAGTCTAACTGTTTTGGTAGTAAGATCATCTTGATGCTGCGGTATCGCTTGAAATAAGGCTTATCGTGGAGATTCCATTATCGATTAGACGGAAATAGCTCGGAAACTATCATCTTATCTTATCTTATCTAGACGGACGCTTCAGGGTATTCAAGGTACAAACAGTTCTATTCAGTGAAGACAGTCCACAGTATATGCTTCATTCGCTTGTTAGCTGTATATAATAGAGGTGCGTACTACGCAAAATCCTGCTGCTTTTCTTACGCGTTTCTGTGGCGTATATCCATATTGCAGCCCCCAAATGAGACGTAATCATCGCAACATGGGAATTAGGCTTCACATTGAGAATAGCTACGCCACAATTGTTGCGTATTTGTCGTCACATTATCTTCACAGACTGAAGTCAGCTTCAGTCACGGACTGGATACTTAGACTTTCCATTGGATAATATTGAAAAAAAAGGAAAAACATTTCTCTGACGATTGAGAGCCTGGTAGAATTTGCCACTGTGGCAGTGGATCGAGCGCCTGTAGGCACAGCCCGGAAAGATAAGCAGCTGCTGAAACTGGGTGAGCGATAGGATGAAAACACTGCCCTCATTGGACGTCATCTGAGATAAAATGAGACCAACACATATAACTTCACGTAGCTGCAGCAGATTTGCAATTTGTCAGCCTATAGATATGAATAACTAACTATTTCACAAATCGTAAAACGCCCCATTTCTACTGCTGCTTCGACGCTATTCACCTAATGTTATGCCCCTTATTCGGCTACTAGCCTTGTCTTTCACTTTCCGAAAGCTTTCATTTTTACTTGTATTCGACTAGCTTGCTTAAAGCAGAGCCAAATCGAAATCATGGGGGGCTCTTGTGATGCAAGCATATCCTGCGAGTTTAATTTCACCAGAGGTGCAGAAGTGGCATTTGACGCAGACCCAGATATTGTAAGCGATTTTACTAAAAATTGAAAAGCTACATACTAATACACTATTCAGGCCGGAATTGGGGTTGGTTGTTCGACTGATTTCTTTGTTAACACGATCGACTAACTTTGAGTTTATTTCTGATAGGTGATCGTCTCCTTCTTCATCACAGCTTGGTTAGCTTACGCCATCGCCATATTTACCTACGTCTTGTTAGAAGGAGTGCTAGACGAAAATTATCTCTTCACAACGAGATTCGATGTCGAAATGCATACTATGTTCAAGTCACTCTTCCAGAATACGTCTTTTTCCAATACTCTGTTGAAGATAAGGAAGCAAGTGTCCAGAGATTTAATGAAAAAGGTCTGCCTGATGTTCTGTGACCAGCAGCTCATTACGGGTGCCTCAGTCCTGATTGTAGGCTATTCTAAACACTGCGACATTACGCAGTATCATTTCTATATCGCCGCGAATCTGGGTATGGCCTGCTTTGCAACGTTCCAAGCTTTGCTGCCTATTTGCGGCAGCGAGCTCCACGACGAACTGAGGAAAGGATGGAGGATGGCATGGATATCTGCCATTTTTGCCTGCGTCTTAGCCCTCAACTTCGTCATCTACAACGACTATTTCCTTGCAACGAAACATTTTGGCCTTTCTATGAATTGCGTCTGGAAAGAGCTTCCGGGATACTTTACACCCCAACTTATGCCATACGTTGTGATCGGCACGCTATTCGATGTTTGGTCTTATTTCAGCATTACAATGTATCTATACCCAGCAATTATGGAGACGCGGCCTGTGGCATATTTATATGGGAAATGGCTTTCCTTTATGATGGTGCCGACATGGTTCTATCTCCAGGTAAAAGAGTATAGTACATCGAGGAAACCTAAATTTCTCTGGTTGCTGGTGGAAGCCTTAGCGGGTCTTGTATTTGTTATTATTTTCACGGTTCGCGAGCTGTTGGGTTCTCTGTCTGTAGACCTTGTACGAGTGTTTTTCTATCTCATTCAAAGTACAAACTCAGTTGCTTGGGCACGACAGAAGGCTGAGAGCAACGGTAGAAAAGGATCAGAAGATACCTGGGGTTTCGGCCAAATTTTACCGATGTTGCTACTAGCGCTACCGACACTTGCCTTTATCGAGGCTCTCGCTCGTAAGTATTTGAATCTCCTATTAATGCAGTCTGTTTATCTGGAAATAGTGCTAATTAGCTTTTAGACCGCGAATTGAAAAGCATAAATGAATTGACAGGTAGCACTACTCCAGCCTTTCCCATTTTCACGACGCTATGGGATCAACCCTGCCAAGACAAGATAGACGAGTATGAAGACTCGATGTACAGCAAAGTCCTATTTAAAGTCTGGCTGTGCTTGGTGATGCTCTCTCTACATGTAGCTATAGTGTTCCTTGCCTTTAGGCTACCTGAAGGTGTTCCTATCTAGAATTGAAGGAGGATGGAGATGTGAGAGGCAGAGGGTTGAACAGGCATGTTGATGGTACCCTTGATTATATAGCAACTAAAAACTAAAACTCAAGCCTCAAATCCTCCCTGAGAAGTAGATTATACTCCAACATGAACATATGGAATCCAATCTGGCCACTCTACGTTATCCTCACAGGCTATGACATCTCTTGTACCAGCATTCCTTGTAACCTCCTGGCCACCTCCACTCCCAACACCCTCAGTAATCGCCATATTCCTGACTCTCTTTGACAAAGTTCTTTGATTCTTTTCTTTCTCAAACCACGCATCTCGTGCTTTCTTCGCCGCATGATGCAGTCCTTCAGCTACGGCTCTGTCGGATGTTCCATGATATCTCAGATACTCGTAAACAAGTCTCGCGTATTCTACACACAACGAATCCATAACAGCCCAAAGAGTTCCTATAACATGTCGAAATCCCAATAGTTGAAAGGCAGTAATCAGATGGATACCTTCATCGGCTAAATCGTGATATTGAATCTCTCCTGTTCCGCATGCAGAGAGGTAGGCAAGAAACGGGGACTGCCTCTGTAAATTGATATCCAGGAGGTTTGAAACAGTAAGGCAGTCAGCCTTATTAGCCCCTAAGCATAAGTAGCTCTCTGCTGGATCGTGTCCGTCTGTATAGGCATGACCAGCATAGTGAAAGATTTCCGACTGCAGCAGTTGGGAAGTGATTGCTGCTTTAACTGGCCCTGGTTCGACTGTTTTGATCGACATTGACTCACAAACTTTTCGCACAGTAGTTACTTCGTTCCTTGCGTTAGGTAAATATGAACTACCGGGAGTCTTCTCCATACCCACTAGAAGTGCTTGTTGTAGGGGCTTCACCTTGAAAGGCTGTTTACGACCACGAATAATTGACTGCACTGAGTTCTGGTACGATGAGATAACTCTATCCAGTACCGTGTCTGATCTGCCATTCGAGTGCTCCCCTGCTGCATGTATGGGAAACTTTGACAGAAGTCCGGTCATAACCCACCATACATGAGGCCAAACACTGTCTGGAGTTTTGACGAAACCCAGTGCATTGAGTACAGGACTAGCAATACAGGTCCACAACCACTCAAGAGCAAGAGAGCTTCGCAGGGTGCCCTCTCTGACGAATCTCATCATGTCTTGACGATCAAATTTTGGTAAAGGCACTGATAGGATCTGGTCCGTCTCAATTATGATAGCGTCGCATCGTAAGAAACTCGTATTGACCACAATTATTGGGCCACATTCAGCAGTTTCTTTGATCTTGCACTCAGTTGGGGGCAGTAGAAAGTCTTCAAAACCAGGTTGGCCACGGATTTCAGCAATGAGTTTGTCAAACTTCTCTCCAGCTTTGTGTCGCTTGTCCGAGGCCTGGTTCCATGCAGAGCTACTTTCTCGTTGGGGTAGGTCGTCCCGCCCCAGTTGGTCTCGTAGGGATACAAATTTTGTTGCCAGTTCCGGGAACTCTTCTCTCAAGGCGTTGACGTTGGTATGCAATTCGTCGATAGATGCCGCGAGTAGTCCACGACCTCTTTCCAACATGTCCAGAGCTATCGCAGGTCCTTTGCCAAGTTGAAGCGCCAGACCAGCGGCATCCGAAGACAAGCCACTAACCTTTTTCAGAAGCTCTTGTTTATCTGCGTTTCCAAGGGATCGAAGTATCAACTGTGGTATCATGTCGATCGCCGCCGCTGCAGCCTCGTACGCCAACTGCCACTCCTCTTGTTCTCTATAGATGTACATAACATTCCTAGCGGCTTCCATTCGATCTTGGACTGATGACTGTGTCTGCAATATTGCCTTTTCGTAGAGTCGCGCTGCTTCCCGTCCATCATCCTTGTTTCCAGTGATTTCACTCCGTAACAAGAGATATATTCCCATGCTGGAAAGTGATTCAGCCCGGTGGTAATGACCCTCATCCATAGCATCAAGCGCTCTTTTTTCGAAATTAATGGCTTCCTCCAGATCCCTTACATCATTTTTCTGTTTATATCGTAACGATACGCTAATTCCTACCGCATGTAATTTTGATGCGTGGTCGATATGATCGGTCGGAGTTATCTCCAGTGTTTCCTTCTCCAGATCTATAGCAGTATCGAGGTCTTCCATCGACAGATTGTAACGGAACCGAGTCTTCAGTGAAATTGCGAGACCGCTAAGATAGAGGTGTCGGTTCACGTCGTCTCTTCTACATCTATCAACTGTTGTCTGACCGAGTTCAATAGACCTCTCCAAGTCGGAAATCTTGCGACACCTTTGAAATCTATTTCTGTATGATCCTGCCATATTATGAAGTAGCGGTATCCACGACAGTCTTGTCTCTGACGTTTCTTCCAATGCTCTTTCACACAGTCGAATGGCTTCGTCAAGATCTGCCAATCTTGCAATTCGGCCAAATCTATCGGAAAGTCCTGAGGCTAGGCTCATGATAAAGACTGAAAATTCTGGGTGTGTTTCTGGTGTGGCTTGGACTGCGTTTTGAGCATGCTTGATAGATTCATCAAGATCATCCATTGATCCTGTGATGTTAAATCTTTCCCCCACGGCATTACCAAGGATGTGAAACGCCCTTCCTCTCTCCGGATGATCTTCTGGGGCTACAGCCAGGTTGATTTCTACAACTCGTATTGCCTCGTCGAAATCTGATTGCGCTTTGGTCTGTATATAACGCTCCTTCAATAGACTTGCAAGATGGAGCGATATCTTCAAGTGTCGCTCATGATCCTTTGGTAACAATTCTATAATCTCTCTAATGATGGAAATGGATTCATCAAGGTCTTCTGGTGATCCTGTAGCAATTGAGCGATGTGCAAGAGAAGATCCTAGGGCATACCATCGAGAAGGCCATTCAGTGTCACCATCATAATACTCGGCTGTGGCCTGTCTGAGCAGCTTGACCGATTCTTCAATGTCACTTCCGGCTCTGGTGAAATAGAATATCTCAGATAGCAATAGTCCAAGTCGATATAAATAAGTTGCTCTCTCCAGGCTATCTTCTGGTTCTGCGGCGATGGCGTCTCTCGCGATTTGCACGGCTTCAGCGGGGTCAATGTTGCCACTTCGGACTCCATATTGTTCATGTAGCAATCCAGACAGTGTTGACAGGCATTGAGCTCTGTATGATTTGTCGGCTGGTATGCTATTGACAGACTGTCGTACAGTATCCAAACCATGCTCGAGTTCGTGGATTGATCCGGTATCGAGAGTCAGATCATAGAGAACACGCCCGAACCAATCAACGCATGCGTACCTCTCTTCATGATTCTCTGGACAATCTTGCACCACTTCTTTGGCAGCCTCGAATGATTCTTTCAAGCTTCCACGATCGTATAGCATATAGGACATTCTATCGAGATATAGCACTCTGTTCATATCGGTCTTCGAGGTCAGGTCTATTGCTTTTTTGACCGCAGTGATTGCCTGCTCAAGAGTATCAAAACACTCATTGTGATAATACAGATCCCATAGTATAAGGCCGAGATCGTTATAGTAACGTGGTAGGTTAGGGTCTTGATTCGAAGTGGCAAATGTGGCTCTCTCAGCCATATCTGCAGCTTCTTCCAGGGTTTGTTCTTCTCCCGATGTGTCATGATAGTGATCTCGTAGCTCAAGCCCGAGGCTGTTCATGTACATTGCCAGAGCCAGTTCCTGGTCATCATATGCGCTACTCATATCCGGCTCTGGCTGCTCCCGTCTCTTTGCAGCTTCTAGCGTGGAGTCGGGCATCTCAGACTCTGATAGTGAAGAGATTCAGACGATTGATCAAAATAAACAACAATGACGTGGACTAAAATGTCGTTAAAGTCGTTGTTTTAATAAAGATTAGCAAACCAAGTGCGAGATTCAGGCAATGTACTGCAGCCTGACAGTAGCGTCACGTGTCCATGTCTCAAAGCCACATCTTTCACTGCAAATATCACAGCTTGTTTTCATCCATTTGCTACAATACATTTCCTTATCGATAAGAAAGAATCAGTAACCGCTAGCTTTTACAGATTGCGACAAAAGCATACCTGCTAAAAACAGAATTTAATAATTTTCTTTTACTTGCCGTAACATATACTGACAACATACCATCTTTCTCTTCTCATATCGTTGTTCTCATATCGTTGTTCTCGAGCTGTGAAGTATAGAAGTCTTTTGATGTTTTATTTAGCAGTCCATTGAGTTAAGGCACTAATCTCTGTAGCTAAACCTAAAGCCGCCTAGTAAATACCTAGTCGTTCGCTATTCTTCGCTTCGGCCTTCTAGATCATTCTCTCGACTGAAATTATGTCCACTGACAAGCAAGTATTGTTGGTGTGTTTCACGACTGAGGGACTTGGCAGTTCAAATTAGCGTTTCGTTACAGTGCGCCCTTAGTTGACAACTGGCATTGACAGGACGCCCTGCTATTGACATTCGTGATACCCGCTTTTGCTTCAGTATAAAATCAAATCTATAAAGTCAAGAACATTACCATAGAATAGGCAATCACCAGTAAACACCAATTGAACGCAAAATGACATACGACAAACCTTCAAAACAATTCACCCTACGTACTCACCAACCTGGTGACATGGGCTATATCACACATCGCCACGCCATCATCTACGAAGAACAATACAACTTCAACACCAAATTCGAATCTTTGATATCAAGAATCACAGCAGACTTTCTCGACAACTTCAACCCAGACCTTGAGCGCTGCTGGATTGCCGAGAACAATGGCGAATTTCTCGGCTGCATCATGCTAGTCTCCGATAAAAAACCAAATACAGCAAAACTTCGACTTCTCATGGTAGAAGAGAGCGCACGTGGTCTTGGTGTTGGAACAGCTTTGATCCAAGCTTGCATTGACTTTGCGAAAGAGGCTGGGTACGAGCACATTGATCTCTGGACGCAGAGTGTGCTGGAGGGAGCGAGGCGTTTATACGCGAGGGCTGGGTTCAAAATGATTGAGACCCAACCTCATAGTGATTGGGGAGTTGATCTGGTGGGCGAGTTCTGGAGTTTGAAGTTGTGAAGAAAGGAGATACTCCAAAAAGCAAGAGGTGGCAGGGTTTTTGTTTGTCTCAGTTGTTACACATGGATACTGAAAACGGGGCTAAATAAGGTTTCGCTGTGCCGCTAAAGAAAAGAAACAAAAGTCGCGTTTCTCTCCAATCGCATCAAAATCATCGTGACTTGTTCGTCTAATTACTAACTTGATGAGACTATCACACGTCCTCATGTCATTAACCTGGTTATCACAGCCGAATCTTAGCCTTGCTGTCAGGCCTAGAACCATCCCGCGAGTGCACGAGTCAGGCTGAGCAAGGAATCGTAACTCCGTAGGGCTATGGGGAGTTCAGCTGATGAAGACAACAAATAGGGGAATAGGAAGGTGCGGAAGCGGAAGCGGGCCGGTAATGAATTTGGAAAGGCTCTATTGCAAGGGTCGACAGTCCCGTACAGTCATATCATCTGATCTTGGTGTCCGTCCACTTCGGATCCGCAGTGGGATGTGGAGTGTCACAATGAGAGCAATAGGGTAGCTCATGGTTATTTCTTCACATGGTATTAAATTGTTTTCCAGATGAGACTATTACCAAGATAGTGGTACCTAGTATTCAGGAAAATATCTATCTGAAATATTGAACACATGTAAATTTTTGATTGAATTCTATTTCTCTTTGTATCAAGACGGTCGTGTATTCAGTGTAGTTAACTCAAGAAGCTATCCAGCGACGACCCGGACCGGTCAGCTGACCAGTCATTTTCACACATTATAGTCCCCTGCACATCTGTTCCTCTTCAAGACTCGATTTGCCTTGGCTCAAAACTTGGAATTTTCAGCTGGCGTAAATTGCTTCTTTTTTGTTGGCACGAGACCTTCCTCATTACAACATTTTGCATAATCATGATTCGTGTCAAGTTACCAACGATCACAACTAATCAGGGTTAATCAGAGAAAACCAAGATTATCATCAGCGAGGAAATTGAAAGTCGTATTCCTAACAAGCCTCCATTCAGTAAATCTGTTGTATGACCAGCTCATGACACCGGCCTATATCCTCTGTCTCGAGGTCGCATAAGTCCAAGCCACTTCTCTTCACCGTTCAAGATCATCGTCGGTGGCTTAATCTCCTATCATGCCAACTCAGAGAATTCCAACGCCTCATAACAGATACCAGCCGTGATACACCAGGAACGCCGATCATATTATAGGTTCTATAACCAAATCCGATATCTGTCTAGTAACTACACTATTTCTTATTATTCCGGTAAAGATCTTCGGGGAATTTCAATAGTTTAAAACAAAAGTGGCTTGCATTTGATTCACTATTGGACGCCTTTGTTCTTAGTGCATTAGAGGCTGGGGAAACACTGGCGGAGCTCTTGGTGAAGGACGTGGCCCAATGATTTACTGCAGAAGAATACTCGTTATTAATTACAAGTGGAATCTCCGTAGAGAGACGGAGGCTGTTTTTCAACAAAGAAGTTATGTTGCAGATCTTTTGGCCAGAGACTCGGCGAGGATTATCTTGACAGGGCTCTGAGACATTGTTTTCTTTTGTTCAGTTCAGCGAAGGAATAGCCGGGGATGGTAAAGATTGACTAGGATATGCGCTACTGTTGGATAATTTTGTCTCTCATGTATGTCTTGACCGTTGGGCTTCTATGCTAGATTGAGCACTGCTGGCGGCAAAAACATTCAACTCTATCCACTTTTGCCTAGAACTGTTTTTTTTTATTTTTTTATTAATTTACAAGGTATTTATGCGCCAGGGACGGACACGCATGCTCGCCTAGCTAGACACGAAAAGGTAAAGCCAGGATTAAGCGCAACGGCAATTGCAACGCCCTTTCTTTTTGTCAAAGTCTTGCTTGCAATGCACTTCAACTTGGCATGGTTTTCGTAAATATGCAGTCAGCAATCAATCATACATGTGAGTTACAACGGTCATCGTCCCAAAAACAAGGATACAAGATTCCGGTAACTCCTGTGGGAACCAATGATTTCCCGACTCGCGCCCAAGTTCGGACCATCGGCATTGCAACATGCCGCCATCCTCTGCCGATCCTTATACAAATAACGTCCCACAACGGCAACTAATCAAACCGGGATGTCGCAAGCCAGGAACTAGAGTTGACAAAGAAGTAAACAAGTGGATCTTCGTATTGGGCAACAACTGTCCGGGTTCATTTACATTGTCCCTGCAGCTCCACGATAATGTAGACAAAGCTCCATAAGAGAAACAATCATCAAATGAGAACGGCCTGCAGGTCATGGGCGACATGTCGTTGACGACGTGGCTAGACAAGGGTGATCCCTGTGTTGTACAGGAGTCAGTCCACTACACGAAAGGGCAGTCAACGGTTCTACTGTACGATAACTGCTGCAGTGTAATTTGCAGCTGCTGTACAAGCCTGTCGTTGTCACATATCAAGTTATTTCTGAGGCCTGACAGGTGTTTCTCAAGAGCCTCACGTATTGAATGCAGTTAGCCGCGTAAATAATCAAGGAAAAAATGAGGCTCTATGACGATGTCCCCGAAGTGAATCACTCGATGAAAGAACGTTTTCTTGAGCACTTGTTTTTGAGGCTCAACCCCACATTACGGGCGTTTATTCAAGTAATTACTCTAGCGGGCGGGCGTTTATCGTGCCCGCATCGTGAACAAAAGCCGTGGAGTTATCCGTGTATGATTTAAGATTTGACTAACTATTTTAGTCACTGTTTGTTTATAGTACAGCGTAGCATACTCCAGTTACACCAAAGCATAATAACCCTTGTTAGTAAATTAATGGAGATGCAATATGATCTGAGTTTAATGTCATGGGGTTTCCCGTGCCCGAATCTGCCGTGTGGTAGATCATGAACAGGGGGGAAGAGGTACAAGGCGAGGCGGGCATTGAAGTTGGTCTCCACCATGTGCACTGATCCCAGGCTCAGCTGAATGTTGTTGAGGATCGTGAGAGTGACTATCATGCCTGAGGAAACATGAAAGAGATAACATGGCTGGGGGTCAAAGTGTATTTTGGTGAGAGTCTCTCAAGTATAAAGACCCAACTATCCTCCCTCTCAATCTCAATTCCTCACCACCAACAATCAACATCATCTTCCAACAACATCCTCCAACACTTCAAACACTTTTCCCTCTCAAAAACCAACTCTTTCAATTCCATTCAAAATGCAGTTCTCTACCTTCACCGCTGTCTTCGCCATGGCCGCTGCTGCCATCGCTGCTCCCGCCGACATTGAGGCCCGCACTGGCCACGACAACGGCAACAACAAGCCCGTCTGCTCTGCCCAGAGCAAGCAGGTCTGCTGTAACGGCCTCCTTAGCTGTGCCGTCCAGGTCCTCGGCAGCAACTGCAATGCCAACTCTTACTGCTGTGACACCCAGGCTCCTGTTGTAAGTTTCACACTCACACTATTCAAAAGACTACTTTCTAACCTTTTCCAGGGCGCTCTCATCAACGTTGCTCTCCTCAACTGTGTCGACATTCTCTAGAGGACCAGTTGCAGTAGCAGCTCACAGCTTTCTCCATAATTGCTAGGATGTGAAGGATGGATTAATTGGTTGGACAATGGGAACATGGTGTGGAGGATACTGACGGGGAAGGCCATTGCTAGCTACTCCGTGTCAATAGGTTGACTGTTGTCTCGTATTCGCTTCTACTATAACTTGGTTCAATTTACATATAATTATTTTGGAACTTTATCTCGTGAAACACTATTACTACACTTGCAACATTTGGCGAATGCCTACGTTGGACCATATGTCCCTGCACATATTTAGCCGGGATATGCTTGTTTCATCTCTCATCTTGACACGGATGCAGCCATCAATAGTTCATCCCATTCTAGCTAAGACATGTACCTGCCTGTATTGTTCGGGACGCCCAATGCCGGATGTCTCGGCCCCAAACATATGCCATCCCTGCTCATGCATCCCCTAAGAATTTTCAGGGTATCGGAAAAGACAGCCGCTTAGGTTGTAAAAGATGACATTATTATGTGACTTTATGCTATATAGACTAATATTTGGTCACGTATCCCTAACGCTTAAGTAACTACAAGAGCATATGGCCATTTTGAAAGCTAGTCAAGTCATACCCATGCTCAAACAAATCATTCCACGCAGTATCAATCGTCGGCGTTGGATACTCCAGTCTTACCGGGTTTTGGCTCTTGACACCAAACCACGACATAAACTCTGTATCAATATCAGCCTCGGCATATGAACTATTGTCAAAAACAGCCAGGGTCGCATTCCCCAGCCTTCGAATAATCTGTATGCTTCGCTCTCCGACTGTCTTGCCGTGTGATATCTTGGACAAGAGTCTCACACATGTCTCAATATTAGACTCAACCACCTCCCGAGTCAATTCGTGTCGGACAATAGAGCTTGCACGGATAGAATACAGCATCGTGACAGCCGCCAAAAACAAAGAATCCAACGCCACAAAAGTGTAAATAATCTTGTTCTTGGCGTACAGCGCGTTGTAGCAACTGATTAAACTGATTGATGAATCAGCGCAAAGCCGAATCGCATCGGCGCTGCTCACGGGAGAAGCGTGTGACGGGCGGTGAAGATTGATAACAGCTTGGTGGTACGCAATTTGAAACCACTCAGGTGTCTGATACATTGACAGCGGAGCGAGATATCTCGGAGCGGACAGCAGCCACGCGTTGAGTCGAGTGTAGTGCTGTTGGCGGATGGCGTCGAGGTTGGTACTCTCCAAATTCGCACCTCCAGCTGAATGAAGAGCCGAGTAAATTCCTCCGTTGATCTGACGAAGTTCCACGATGTGGCGAAAGGCTGACATGTCTCGGACATCGGGGAGAATATTGGGAATAGCGCGGTCTGGTGAACCGGCGATTTGTTCATCTGAGAGAACGAGAGGAAAAGGAACTGTTATGTCTGCGTCTTGAATTCCGAGTGGTCGACCGAGAGATATGGACACGCTTCGATCCATCGTGTACAGACTCCAGAATAGTCTCTTTCGCATTTCCGCGTCTAAAAGAGATCTCTGCGCTAGACTCTCTTCTCTGTGCATCTCGATGCCAACTGCAAGCCTCAAAGCCATGCCAACGGTGTACCACAAATTGACAGACTGCGGTTCATTACTTCCGAACAGACAAAGCAGAGAAAGACAGCGCACGCAATCAATATCATCAGCTGCAAGAACAGCATCAAGATCCCTCACCGCGGCTTCGAAGAAGTATTCGTGAGAAACGGGTGCATCAGAACTGATACGCGCTTTTTCCGAAGCTCCTATCGCGAGAACCATGTGTACTTCAAACGCAGATAGTCTGTTTCGTGTATGTCCGTTACAGTAGGGGATGTAGTGCTGTTCCATAAAGGATGGCCGATGAATAACGGGATACTGTGGACATCTGCGATCGAAAAACACGTCTATCAATCCAATTCCATCGCGATGGAGGTTGAATGTGTTTGACGTGGCAGTCGGAGGTGTATCGCTAGCAGAAAGTCCATTCCACAGCTGCCAAGGGCCACTTCTGAAACCAGTCTCGGAAGATCCATTGGCATTCACACCTCGGAAGGTGGGAAGAAGCATTCGTCCGACATAGCCTCTTTCAAGACTTGCCACTGATCCATCGGGCTCTGGTCGCTCGATAGGGCGCAACTGCATGTTGTCTTGGGACAGTGCTTCCGAGGGAAGTCTCGATTGCATCGTTAACCGTGTTTGTAGTTCATTGACGCGATCTTTTAGACGCTCTACTTGACCTCTGAGATGGTCACACTCACACTCCCTGTCTTGTCTGACAACGAGGCGATCTGAAGGTACACAAGGGACATTGGCAGCCGCACAAGCTCCACAGATAGGATGTATGCCGTCGCACTGTAAATGACATGTCAGCTGTTGTTCGACCTTCCACGGCGTCATCAGGGTATTAGAAAGATCGGCCGCTAGGAGCATAAGAGCGAAATTGGTAGGTCATCTTATGAAACTTGGATCGGATTTCTTAGGTTGTTTATTTCTGCATCCGAAGGCTAAGCAGGCCATCGTTTCCGGTACCCAATAGAGCGCGTTGATACATACCTTTTGTTTCCGGCGGCGACATCTTTGGCAGGCGGCGGATATCCTCTTTAGCCCATGACGCGGTGATTTAATTCTGTCGACGATGTTGGCGTCTCTTTCAGAATGTGTGTCGTATCCTGTTGACGTGGTCTCAAAGACTGAAGGGAGCTCCCCATCGTCTGTAGCGGACATTTTATCTTGTTACAAACCTTGAGAAAAATGGGTACGAAACGGGGTTGTGGATTGGTGGCCGTGAGTCAATTTTGTAAGTTGGTGATATGAGATGAATTGAAGAAGTTGATGAGAAACAAATCATGCCCCCGTATCCGGAATGAACTAATGATCCACTATCGATAAGACCACCAATCTCCGATCTAATGCCGGCATTGGTGGGTCTATTCGGTCCTTACCTTTGTAGGTACCTCGGTATTAGTACTTGTATGAGAAAAGTTAGTCGCTTGAGATATAAGGGACGAAATAAGCAGGCCACTTGATGCAATTTAGACTACAAACTTGGATCATTTATTGTTATACCCTAAGACTTCAGATGACAGCTTTTCTACTACCCACTAGCCAACCCAGTTGTTTAGATAAAGTCCTACTGGACGATGTAATTCAGTGCCTCCATTATTACGAATCTCATACTCGTCAACATCCCTGAGAATGTCATGTATATAATCCCCAGTTCCAGAGAGGTGTGAAATGTAAGTGATATCAAATTGAATCGCCAGCAGTCGTGACGATGGGAGATTGATGTCAATCTCCCCAATCCGAGTAACAGGAACATCATTAGTAAACCCCTCGGGAAGATGGGTTCCAATATGCTACTTGTGTGGAATCGTGCCCTCAGGTTTGGAAATGATATCGAAATTGATAAAGTTTGTGTGCAAATTGTAAGTCAGTGTTGAGGCGTTCCAAGAATTATTAATCTTGACATCTTCAATCAAATAATACAATATCGGGGATCATTTGCTGTAGAGCGTCACAGGAAAATGCTAAGTTAGGCAATAGCTGGAAAATTCCCCACTGTTTATTAGGCAAAATTTCTTTTTACGTAGAATATGAGGGTTTCTCTCTTAAACTTCTTCTGAGCTAATATGTTGTCGAAATGTTTCAACAAGCACCCATCCCTGATCTTTCAAGATTCCGGAACAGGGTAGGAAATAGCCCAAGATCCATGAACTCTGCTATCGCCGTTGGCGATCTCACGGCATTACGGCGCTTCCTCTCAGATGAGCTAGACGAACCTGCCAGGCCATACGGCGCGCCGCTGCACCTAGCAATATATCTTGAGAATGAAGAACCTGTCGATGTTTTACTGCAAGCTGGGGCGGACACGCTTAAAGAGCCGGAGATTTTCGACCTGTAGTACCTTACGACACCCTTCGGACTGGCTGCTGGTCTAAACAACCATGCCATTCTCAAAAAGATCTGACAACACATTAATCCTGATATCAACGGCTACGATTTCGAGGGCTTCGATAGCTGTTTGGTAGACGCAGCACAATATGGCGAAATCACTACATTAGGTGATGTATTGCGCTGGGGTCAGAATAATTGGTCGTCTGAGTCCAGAAGTAGGGCCTTAAGTGCGGCAGCGGATAATTGGCATGTTGAAAATCTCGAGTTTCTTCTCTCCGAAAAGATTCCCTTTGAGACAGAGGCACTGAACGTTGCATTGGCTCAGATAACCTTTATTAAGCCATGCTTTGAACGTCGAGATCAGACCCAGGCCGAAATCGCTGCACAGTCACAGTCAATTAAGGTTCTTATGGCTGCTGGGGCCGATCCCAGTAAGCCTGGGCCCAGTGGGATATGTATGGGTGAGCCTCTGCTTATATGGACCGCTGTGTGCAGACAATCGCATAATTGTCTGAAAGCGTTGCTTGACAATGGTGCGGACCCTAATATCACCAATAGTCAAGGACAGACTGCATTGTATTACTTAGGGGCCCTTGTCAAGAGGGATCCCACATTCCGGCGAAGGATGGAGGTCAATGAGCCGACCGAGGATGTATTTCACACTCTTCTTGCATTCAATGCCTCTCCGTCAGCAAGACCTACTTGGAAACAATCCTATGCACTTTGCCGCATAAGGATCACCAATTGAAGTCCTTCACCAACTTCTTTCAAGCATACCAGTTGAATCGCAGAAAAACGCTCTTACCATGCCTAATCAAAATGGCGAAACGGTGATGCATTTTGCATCTGCAGGAGGCCAAATTAACACCATCAAGTATCTCTTGTCTAATAATGTCGGCTTGAATATCAACGAAACTGCCTCCATGGGCTGGACACCGTTGCTGAGGGCACTAGTAGTTACAGTGCCCAGTCTTGCAGGACTATCACTATTAGGAAAGATCGAGGCAGCTCAGCTATTTCTAGCCCAGGGTGCCGATCCTTCTACAAGTGCGCACGATGGTTGGACACCGCTCCATTGCTTGCTATGAGTCCTAGCAATGGGAAACATGAAAGCAGTGACGAAATATCACAGCTGGTTGAGACACTACTGTTGGGTGGTAACTCTATTGACAGTCGCGCTTCCTTTGCGTTTGACAACCCTCTCAGTCGCCGAACAAGGAAACATGGAGTACAAGAGGACATATATTGCGGATGCCGAGAGTCACAGTATATCGAAGCACTTGCTGAGTGGGGAAAAGCTCGTCGCTTCGATCTTACACCATTGCAAATTGCTGCGGAGTTTGGAGCACTCGATGTTGTAGTAGCTTTACTCAGGCATGGGGCTGATCCTATAGCTAAAGACTCTGAAGGTAATTCCCCAGCTAGGTGAGCGGGTAATTCCAGAAGGTATCACTCCAGCAGTGAAGCTCGAGGTACAGTTATGACAATTCTGATAGACGCTGGAGGGTCATATTGAGTTGATAAATCATTCGTGTTTAATTCGGTCATGTCGTTCCGCCAGAGTAGGTCAAGGCCCTGTTGGATCTCCGTGAGGTTAGTATGACTATTAGCCCATGGTCCAGTCCATTCGTTATCGATGTCCCATGATCCATGGACGTCATATGTCATAAGACTGAACCAGTCGACCGTTGAAGCGAGCTGCTTTATGCCAAAGTTCTGAAGATACCAGTAGCTTGCCGGCAGAGCCATAGAGGCATCGAGTTCACTTAGTGGTTATTACTTACCCACAGAAGTCTGGACCATAGTCACAGTAGTCAACACTACTACAGCAGCCATCTTCACATAGCTTGATCATCTAATGAAAGAATGGTTGAGAGATAGTATACAAGTGACTGATCGATAATTGAACTTCCATAGCTAAATAGTGATATTAATACCCACTGTCTGACCTGCCCTCCATAGTGTAAAGGTTATTATCCCCATTAATTACAATAAGAACTTTTAGTTCTCTGCGTAAACGTTGGTTCGGTAAGGCATGCTACCTGGAGGTAGAGACCATGTTGTTTGACGAGTCATCTGATCGCCCAAACCCACGCACGGCTTTTCCACGGCCACCCAGCTCCTCCAGCGGTATCTCTACCCCGCAACATGAACCCCCTAAGAAGTTAGCGTCTCGGAAGCAATCTTATCAACTGCCATTCCCCATCGGAACTTCCATCGAAACCCACCTCATCTTCTTATCTATACTTTCTTCACACTTCTCAATCACATATCGACTCACCTTACAATGCCACGGCCAATTGTCCCAGCCCATCAACGACAGAGAGCAGCAGAAGCATGTAATCTCTGTCGCGAAACCAAGAAACGATGTAGTGGCTCCGCGCCTTGTACCCAATGCGTGAGGCGAGGGCTAGAATCGCAATGTTTTATCACGTATGCGCCAAGGGGATCAAGAACCAGAGCAAGGGCAGAGAGAGCTGCTGCTGCTGCTGCCGCCAATTCAGTTACGAGCACGGGTCGAACAAGCTCAGTATCAAATCAGAGCGTGCAGCAGAATTTAGAGACGGAAGAGAATTACAGACCGCTTTCACCATCTCATTCACAACAGGATGATGACAAGGATAGCCAGGCTGATGCATCATCTGCTACGAATCCACCACGGATGCTATTGAATTCACGCGGTGAGAGAGGTAAGACTCTCATGTCATTTGATTGACGATCGCTCATCAGACATCCAGTTTACGTCGGAGGCGCTGCATCGATATCGTTCTTACAAATTGTTCGCAATCTCGTTTCTCAACAAATCGGACCCTCGGCTTTCTCTCATAATGAGAAGAGTGATACCATGCTTGAGATTGAATCACCAACCGCCACGACACACGACCATGAAATTCCACAATTAAGTCTAAGTCAAAGGAATGGATACTCAAATATCTTTGATGATGTGGTATGTCAGCGAAAAAGATCTTCATAGCCTATACTTACACCCTCAGACCGAAGGATTAATTCACATTTTCGACGATGACATAATGGGAATGCAACTCAAAATGCTACCCGAAGACAACCCTTATCCAATTACACCTCAAAGACAAGTCACTTTGGATTTGGTATTCGCAATCGGTGCACAATGCGAATCTCTCCAGAGCTCCAAGACAATAGGACAAGCTTACTTCCGCAAAGCCCGTAGCCAAGCCTTTGTAGGATTTCTCGAAGATCCGGATCTCGAAATGGTCCGGATATTTCTGCTCATGGCGTTTTACATGCTTGGTGAATGTCGAAGAAACGCAGCATTTATGTACCTCGGCGTAGCAGCAAAAGCGGCTCTTGCGCTGGGGTTGCATAGCCGGGAATCATATGGAGAGAAGCCAGACGAGAAAGATCAAGTAAAGTAAGTTCATAAAAAACCAGAGATAGAAGTACTGCTAACGATCAGACTACGCGTTTGGTTGAGCGTATGTATCCTTGATAAACTCGTCAACTCCCTTCTTGGCCGCCCATCCGCTTCAGCCCAGATCCGATCGGATAGCAAACTTGACGACGTCGCCCAACCAGGAGACCGAATAACCGAACGTTTAATGGCTGCAAATAAAGTATCATCCATAATAAACGACATAACCGATACGCTATACGACCAGAAGAAAGTCACAATCCCGATAGTGGAACAGTTCCTCCAGGATATTGAGCGTTGGAAACGAGACCTTATTGTATTCGTGGATGTACCGACAATAGCAAGGATACCGGAAGGAACTATTGCTAAAGTACATGTCTCGTGTTTATACTATTTGGCCATCATGTTGGTTTCAAGGCCGTTCCTGGTATCGACTCTTACAACGAAGCCTGTTGCCAAAGGAGCACACTCACAGTTGGCAGCAGCTTGTCTTGACGCTGCAATGTATTTGTCACAAACATGCGTCGAGGCACTAGATGCAGGGCTGTTACAGGGAAACATGTGTATTATGAAGTAAGTCGCCCCCCCCTGGATTGATGGACTATTATTAATTTGCACAGGGCTCTCGTCTTTGCCTCTGGATTAATCCTCGGTCTCGAAATCTTCGCAAAGCATCCCGCCGAACCAGACACAATCAACGCATTTCAAGGAGCAAAACGAGTCCTGAAGCACTTGTCAACCCAAAGTCCCCAAGCAGCGCACTATCTCGACATTCTCGCAACACTTTCAGGTGCTATTGACAAGCGTCGCTCGTCGGAATCATCCACTGGTAGAAGCCGTTACGTGTCAAAACTTTTCAGTTTAAATTCACCTGGTTCACGGGAGGAACCTATGCTGAGTGATGGGTTTCGGTTTGCGGATGTTCAGAATGGAGCTCAAGCTGGGGTGGTTGATGATGCGATGCAGGATTGGGTCTTTCAAGAGCCAGAGGGTGGTGATTTTAGTTTGGATTGGGAGAGTTTGAACGTTTCTTTGTGGGATACCTACCCGTTTCTATCATGATAATGTAGCGATCTATGTACTCAAATTGTATCATCAATCCTGCCTTCTCATTTTCACCGAAAAGCTGTCGTAGTATTCACTGTCATGTTCTGAATGGAGATTCCTTCGCTTCCCTGTATCAGTCCCCCTCAACACCCTGTAATCTACACAACCCACTGTAATTACTATAGTAAGCGGCTATAGTGCTGTAAGCCACTGATACAGTTGGTGGTGCATTACCCGACGCTAGCGGATAGCATTCCGCATCCGCAAATGGAGTCCACATCCGTTATCTGACAACTTTACTTCCGAACTTCCGTCACTCAACAGCCGCAAGCGGTTGATGATGTCGATAGTGGTTGCAGGGCGGATATGCACTGGATAGCCAGTAATTATACTTTGATAACCGTTCAATCATGAGAAGCTAAATAGTGATGGTTGCTCAGCTCGAGATATCAATTCATATCTTCAATCAACTCATTAATACACACCATCTACATCTACATCTCAAGACTTAATCCCCAGTCTTCAAGTTCATTCCTCTTATACACAATTCATCATGATCAAGGATACTCCCACAATGCCCAACTGGAAGCGCCTCTCAGTAGCCGTCGTTGGAGGTGGTATTGGTGGCATGTCTGTCGCCATCGCCCTTCGCCGCGCCGGCCACTCAGTCACAATCTACGAACGCTCCGACTTTGCAGGTGAAGTCGGTGCCTCCGTATCCTGCGCTGCAAACGGAACTCGCTGGCTTCACGAGTGGGATGTCGACGTCGCAAAGGGTGACCCCGTCGTTCTCAAGAAGCTCATTAACCGCGACTGGAAGACTGGTGAACCCGTCAGTGTCTATGATTTGGACGACTATGAGAAGCGATGGGGTTTCGTGTACAACATGTTTCATCGACAGTACATGCACGCTATGCTCCAGGATACTGCTATAAGCGAGGAGGGTGAGGGTGAGCCTGTGAAGCTTTTGGTTAAGCACAAGTGCTCCTCTATCGATATTCCCAACGGTACTATTACCTTCGAGAATGGAGTTACTGCCAAGCATGACTTGATTGTTGGTGCTGATGGTATTGGTTCTGTTGTTCGAGGTATCTTGGGTATTCACCCTGAGAAGAAGCCCTCCGACCAGAGCTGTCTCCACTGCAACGTCACCACCGAAGAGGCCGTCAAGGCCGGTCTTGTCGATTACTCTCAGAACAGCGCTCTTGAGTACTGGGGCGGTCAAGAAGGCAAGTGGGATAAGATTGTCCTGTCTCCTTGCAACGGCGGCAAGCTTCTCTCATACTACTGCTTCTTCCCCCGCGAGCAAGGCGATTACACCACACAAGCATGGGGTTCCGACAGTCTTCCTGTTGAAGATCTTCTAAAACCCTACCCTCAACTCGATAGCCAAGTTCTCGGCCATCTCGCCATCGGAAAGGAGATTCAGCCCTGGAGACTCTGGGTTCACCAACCTTATCCTTATATCCACAAGGGCAATGTCTGTCTCTTGGGTGACGCAGGTCATCCTATGATGCCTCATCAGTCGCAAGGTGCATGCATGGCCATTGAAGATGCCGCAGCTATTGGTATTCTCTTCAGCAAGCGATACTTTAACGGCGACGTTGCTCAAGCTCTTTCAGTTTACGAGAAGGTCCGTCTACCACGTGCTACACGTGTTCAGGCTGCTGCTGCCAAGGCTGCATACAACATCAATGAGAGAATTGGATTCTCGGTGAACAAGGATGTTTCAACATACAAGGTTGAGAATGAGAAGGAGGTTTTGACTATTGAGGAGATGAACACGTAAGTTTCTGCCGTCCAATTATCAGAGAGGTCCATGCTAACTATTGCAGATATGATATGTATAAGGATATTGAGGAGAAGTTGGCCAAGGAGAAGGGTGATAAGTACGATGGGTTCATTAACGGTTTGCCTGTTGGGTTAGTCCTGCCTAATGGTGTCACTATCGGGGCATAAAATAGTTTATATGGTTTAGTTTGGCGTGATATCCGTTTGCTGCTTTTAATACAAGAATGTTCACAATTAAATTTTGGATGCTTAATCTTCTCTGGTCTCCCTTGAAAGTGCTTTGTCTAATTGTCCCAGTATCCTGTGTCTCTCATTTCTAGTCCATATCAACTATATGTCTGTTGATTGATAGTCATATCAGTAAAGATCTCCAATGAACCTTTCTGACATCACATAGTATCGCGTAATTATTAAGATTCGTAAGAGACTAGTAGTAAATACTTTCTGTGGAGCGCACATCAATGCGAATCTAGGAACTGACAATTACCTGATTTGGAGACTTGTAGTTTACTTGCATATGAAATCTAGTGTTCAATTAAATCAATGAGTTTCTATTCATACTGATGAACTATCTAATATCTATGTTTTTACTTTTTGTAAGCTGCAGCAGCACCAGTATCCTGTATAAATTAGCATTGTATCATCAGAATGTCTGTACTGTAAACTCACCAGATAAACCTGATAGAACTTGAGCCGATACTTTCCGTCATTAGCCTTTTCCAATTCCATCCTCCCCGCCCACTCAATCTCTGCCGAAGCACCACTCTTCAGCTGCAAAGCCACCGTACCATTCAGCATGACCTTGTCTGAACCTGAGCCGAAAGGAAACACTTTATCGAGGGTGTGTTTGCGCGATGAAACAGCATCCCACATTCCTTCTCTAAGAGTTGTGATTTCTCACAAGTATTAGTATTTGGCGGATGTACCGGAGAGAGGGGAATTACCTGCGTGACCTGAAGCTTTCTTTGATGCGACTACGAATGTTGCATCAGGCGTAAACATGTCGACATACTTTTCGGTCTCGCCGGGAGTGTCGGAAACACTGTAGAAAGATTGAATGAATTGGATAATGTGCGGTTGAACCGACTCATCCGAGGGTCTTTGAATTGAGTATTGCTGTTCCATATTGACGATATCTGAATGTGTTTGTTGATGCGAATTCTTCTGGATTGAGATCAACCATGTACTCAATTCTGTTGTTCTTGATATCCACATCCAACCCTGCTTCCGACATCCGATAGTGGCTTCGGATCGATTATCGGTGGTTGGGAGTTCCGAGATACTACGGTACATTCCTATTTACTGTATCCACTGACGCTACAGTGCTGTAATGCCGATCATACCCCAGATTAAGAGATCGGCCCGCGGGGAACTTGTCGAGGTTTCAGGGCGTTGGTGCTTTATCCGCCAGGTATCTTTGCGGGGGTGCATTACCCGTGGATAACTAAGTATTACAAACAGAGTAACTTGTGATGTATCAATGCATAGTTGAATGAGAATATATATGCCCTTATTCCTCTACAGAAATAACATCTCTCATCTAAACAACACACAACACATAACACTTACACTCAACTATCACACAAGATGCACGGAAAAGTTGCCCTTGAAGAAGCCTTTAACCTCCCTCGATTCGAGGAGAAGATTCGATGGTGGGCAGGTCTCTTCGCTGTCGACCCCGACAAGCACACCAAGGAGATGGTCGATATCACAAACCAGCGCATCAAGTACATGGATGAGCATGGTGTTGGCTACACACTTCTCTCATACACTGCTCCCGGTGTTCAAGATATCTGGGACCCCAAGGAGGCCCAGGCTCTAGCAGTCGAGGTCAACGATTATGTCGCAGCGGCTATCAAGCCTCACCCTGATCGCTTCGGTGCCATGGCGTAAGTTTATCTCTTACCAGTTTAATAAAGTGCGATGACTAACTGAAGCAGCACTCTGTCTATGCACGACCCTCAAGAGGCAGCTGATGAACTACGAAGAGTCATTACAAAGTACGGTTTCAAGGGTATCCTCGTCAATGACACCCAAAGAGCTGGTGAAGATGGCGATGATATGATCTTCTACGACGGCCCAGAGTGGGACGTTTTCTGGTCAACAGTTACAGAACTCGACGTCCCGTTTTATCTACACCCCCGAAACCCAACAGGTTCCATCCACGAGAAGCTCTGGGCCAAGCGAAGCTGGCTCATCGGACCTCCTTTGAGTTTCGCTCAGGGTGTAAGTCTTCACGCCCTGGGAATGGTCACAAACGGTGTTTTCGACAGACACCCCAAGCTACAAGTTATCCTGGGTCATTTGGGAGAGCACATTCCCTTTGATATGTGGCGTATCAACCATTGGTTCGAGGATGTCAAGAAGCCGCTCGGTCTATCTTGCAAATTGACCATCCGGGAGTACTTTGCGCGCAACCTGTGGATCACCACTAGTGGAAATTTTTCCACATCAACACTTCAGTTCTGTATGGGAGAGGTTGGGGCTGATCGAATCTTGTTCTCGATCGATTATCCCTTCGAGTCGTTCACGGATGCTTGTACATGGTACGATGCTTTGGCGATTAATGATATTGATAAGAGAAAGATTGGAAAGGATAATGCAAAGAAGCTGTTCAAGCTTCCTCAGTATTACCAGAGCGAGGATTAGGGATAATAGCATTTATAGATTATAAAATGGTTTAGTTTTGTGCAAGCGTATTTGCGAACAAGTCAATGGACAGGAGATCTTGAAGTGCAATTATTACTTTTGGTATGAATGAAATGTCTAATCGCTTCGTGTATTCTAAGAAACCAAACCAAACTCCGTCATGTATCAATAATAGTCAAAACACTTCTCACTTTGCTTTCAAGACCTCTCATCTCTAGTCTCCATCATATCACTCGGCAACAAAGCCGTAGTTATAACACAACCCAACATGACACCGCCAGCCAAGTAAAGCACGCTATTGATGTCACCTTGTCCATTTTCACCAGTTCGACCGTACAAATGCTGCGCGATCAACGGACTGACGATACCAAACAATCGTCCCCAGAATCCTGCAAGACCGCAGGCGGTGCCGCGGATAGGAGCAGGGAAAGCTTCAGGTGTCCATCCATATAGTACGGCGTTAAACATGGATTGGAAGAAATATTCCATAGTGAAGAGTCCTTCATTCTTGGCTCGTGTATCCACTGTTGAGAATAGGATGATGGAGATACCCATTAGAGCAGATGATAAAACCATTGTCCATTTGCGACCGACAGCAGGGACACGATATAAGGTCGCGCCAAGAAGAACTCCTACAATACCTGGAGCGTAGGTGTAGATGTAGGCGGCGTATGTTGACTTGAGACTGACAGACGCAGCACCGTTCTTGAGAGCGAGAATGCTTGGAAGGTAAAAGCCTGGGGAGTTAGTAAATGGTCTTGAGATGGTTGGATTAACTTACCAGCAACAGTGAAACCCCAGTAGTCCATGATGTACGTCAACCACACCAGAATGGTCAACCGAGTCATCTTGGCAGAAGAAAACAACATCTTGTAGCGGTACAACTCCAACTTGGCCTTCTTCGACCACTTCAAGTTAAGCTGTTTCTTGCCGGCCCCAAGAGCAGGAGTTGCGCTGTCACCACTTCCAAGAGAACTCTCATCACTCTGAAGCGACTCGAACATCTCAACAGTAAGACCACACTCCTTCTTGTTAATCTCAGCCATGTGCTGCAGGGTGTTGATAGCTTCTTCGTCGCGACCACGGTAGATGAGATACTTTGGTGTCTCGCGGAAGTTAAAGATAAAGAAGCGAAGGATAAAGATGAAGAGAGTGATTCCACCAATCGTGAACAAAAGGTATCTCCAGCCCATGTTATCACCCTTAGAACAACAGCTCTGGCCGGCTGATGCATTGTTGCATGATATGAGAGGGTCTGGTTCGGAGAAGTTAGGCGAGCAGGCGTAGACGGGGATGAAGCCAAAGGCGATGGCACTGCAGATGACAACTCCGATGGGTTGAAAGACGGAGAGACAAGCTAGAAGGAATCGTTTGTTCTACAATCGTCAGCAAAGAACTATAACTGAGGCGGTAACATACCTGGGGAATAAACTCAAGAGTAATTGTGGTGTCAATGGGAATATTTCCACCAACGCCAAACCCGACAAATGCAGTCAGTACCAAAAATGTGTTGTAGTTATTGGACGCGCCGAGACAGAGTCCAAAAATGGAAGAGAACAGACACGTCAAGTTAAATGCCCATCGGCGACCTGGGAGTATCAGCAGAGGTCCATGTACAAGGAATAGCAATCTTCAGGTAGAGGACCGTCAAGTTTTCGTACCAATGATATCCGCCAGAAATCCCCAAACAAAAGCACCAGCTGTGAGTCCAGCGTTAAAACTGGTAGAGATATTTCCGGACTCATTATCCCCGAATCCCATCTCTTGCTGCAGAGGACCTAACACAAGACCGAAGGCTTGTGCCCAGAGGAGATCCAAGAGGTATCCGAAACCGCACAGGGACCAGATGTACCATTGGTACTTGCCCATACCCTGACGATCGATCTCGCGGTTGATGAGGACGCATTTCTTCTCGTAGAGGGTGAGACCTTCGAGGCCATGGAGGAAGTTACTGCGGCCGCGTTCATTCTCGACTTGTTCGTTTGGTACGATGTCGTCTGGGAATTTAGTTGAATCCGACATTTTCACGGCTTGTGTGAAAGATGATTGTGTAACGGTAGCAATGGAATGTCAAGACGCGGGGAATCAGCTCAACTAGGGTCCTAATTAAACACCGATCTACAATCTTTTATCTCACTTGGTTACACACTCTAATCGAATCATTTAAGAGACAATGAAAATGGTTGATGTCATGGGTTACTGGTTCGGGGTGGACGAGACATGGTTTGGTTGGGGTGTGATTGGTTCGGAGCATGTTCCACGAGACATCCATGTCAGCAAACAAATGCACATTTATCTTTCTGGTCTGTTTGTCGCGTTAGGCCTGTTGTAGAGATCACGGGTAGACGGGAGGGTTGGATCTGGTTGTTTTCGGGCTAGTCCGAGACGAAGGCGTCATGAAGTTGGAATAAGAGACATGTACGGATCAGTAGTTATTGTGTTGTTAAACTTGACCTAAGCGCCCAAGGCGCTCCCGGTCATCTTTCCAGACTTGTTAATATTGAATAACCGCGAATTAAATACAGAGATATCACTTTATAGATCGTGAAGGATAGATCCGTCGGCATCTCCACCTATCGGAGGCTGAGAAATGCGCGGTAATCGCCACGCCTAAATATGGACAACCCGAAACTAGATCCAACATGAACCTAGAATTTACCAAATAGTCACGTCATTAACTCATGTCAGTTAATATCGTCATGGGTTTTTTTTTTATCAACTCTCTACGTTGACAGAAACTTGCTTTTCCATTCACGAAATGTTCACGACATTGTCAAGTTGTTACCTAATAAAATGTCAGAACGAAACTATATCCGCTGAGATGCTGATGGAGTTGAGAAGATTCTGCCCAATAAACAAGAAGAAGTTCCAGAGACAGTGAAGAAGATCAATGAGATCTAAAGACGCTTCTATAAAAAGAAGGACATTACTTCGGAGGTACTCATTCTCGGACGCAGGGAGTTGTCAAGGGCACACTCTATGTGTCTGATGATCTACTTTCCCACTTGAAGCAAACAGAACTCTTTCCTCAACCTAGAGAGTTTCCCGCTATCTACAGATAAAGCTCTAAACCAAGTGGGAAACTGTTGATAAGCAACCTGATGGTGGCTTACATGAATGGCTGCAGGACTTCTATCAGAACAACGAGGCAGAGTATCTCTTCCAAGCATAACTTCTGGAGAATCTCGAAGAACAACCTGTTGAATACGACGGTACAGAATAAGACTCTACCAAGTATCCATAGCAAACTGTCGGAGAGCTGCTTTTTCCAAAGCAAGAGAGTTGGAATGAGGAGAGAAATAGGCTCTGGGTCGATCCCTTACGGGTTGATCCATGGCACGGGCTTGTGAGCTTTCAGCCTCTGGGAAGCCCGAACAGACTACGACTTATCTGTAAGTTTTAATGAACCGAGAAGAAGGCAAGCTGACGATGATAGTGTATCCTGCTAGTAGTTCGTTCCGAAGGGAGATAAACAAGAAGGAGGAGATTAATACAAAGGACAATAGTGAGATTCCAGGGTATTAGTGCCGTGGGATATATATTTGGCTATCTGGTGATTGGATGCATATATGTGTCTTTTCTTATTGTTGGGTGAATATTCAGTAAACGAGATAATGTTTGCATGCGTTAACTTCGCTTATCGCTAGAATGAAAACATGGTTGAAGCTCGTCAATTATTTGTTAATATATTAATTTTATTCTCAGAGAGACTTTAGAGACACCTAACCCGCCTTATAAGTAATAACTGTTTCATTTATTGTACGTTACTGCGGTTATTTTACCGATAAGGTTGCTCTGCTGTACACTTTATGTTAAGACTAAAACATTTTGAATAAGGGCTGAATCCTGCTACCTTTTAATTTTCATAGCAACAGGAAAGGTAATAATAGTCATCCTAACCTAGACACAATATAGACGTTTTTCCCAAGAAGATAGTATGATTCCTACTCCTCAGCGGTGAAGTAAATCTGTACAAGCCACCCAGATACAAATCGATCATCCACCCTAGATCGATTGAAAATCTGGAAATAAGATTAGCTCACTACCAAGATCGGTGCTAAAACCAAGCTCTAATCTCAATTCGGAACATGCCACTAGTCTACAAGAGTCATTGACGTCAGTAGCTCAAGTCAAGCCCGTCATGACTTTTATTTTATAAAACCAGTCCAAAGCCAAGAGATATTATTTACTAGGCTCAATGACAAAATATTCTATGACTCTGTTCTTTGATTAAGCTATTCATGTCACAGACTTACAATACCGATATTGAGCACGATAGCGCTGCACTTATGGCTCAGAACGGAGAGACAAAAGCTAATAATGGCCGAAAGCGCGTCCTTGTTGTAGGGGCAGGTGCAGCTGGGTATGTTCTTTACTATCATCATGTCTTCTTGTACTAACAGGAACAGAATGTCTACAGCTCACCATCTATCAGAGCATCCGGATAAATTTGACGTGACTCTCATCGATGCAGTTGATTACTGTGGAGGTCAAGCATTCTCTATTCCCATTGACAAAGAACGGCATGGCGCGTCTTGGTGCAATCAGGGTGTTCAGGGAGGTTCTTATATCTTCCATCACACTGTCACCATGTTCAATCGTCAGGGCTACCAGGCGGATCCTTGTGAACTTCACGTGTCTTTCGGAAAAGACGAAACGTTTTGGAACAATGTGTTTCCTACCGAGCTGCTCGTTCGCCATCAAAAGGAAGTCCGTCGTTTGACAACTCTTCTGAAGGTCATGCGATGGTTCGAAATCTTCTTCGCTCTGCTTCCGCTGAGGCTAGTGTTTAAACTTTTCATGTTTTCTGAAGAGTTTACGAACACTATCGCCCTTCCTATGACGGCCTTGTTCCTTGGCACTGGAAACGAGACACCACGGGTCCCTGCTATCATGTTTGAGAGGCTTTGTACTTCGCCAACCTACGGAATGTGGTATCCTTCCGACAAGAACACTGTTGTCAGCAACAAACCCCCAATGATTGTGTTCCCCAAGTTCTCGGAATTCTATGAGACTTGGCGCAAGGATCTTGTCTCTCGTGGTGTCACTGTCCGATTATCAACCGAATTGACTGAGATTGTCCAACGAAACAAACACGGTGTTGTTGTCAAGCTCAAGCCTAGAACTCCGATGCCCGATCACCACAACCCAGCAGGAGGAGATCCTAATGCACCTGTCGGAGAAGAAAAGTACGATGAACTTGTTCTCTGCTGTCTTGCAGACACATCGAAGCGCGTCCTCGGCAAGACGGCAACCTGGAAGGAGAAAAAGGTCCTCGGTTCAGCCAAGTTTAGTGACGATATCACCATCACCCACAACGACGCTGATTACATGAAGAAGCATTACGAGAACTTTTACCGTGATGACCTTGCTGTCGCCAACGTCAACGGCACCGACCAGACAGCGCGCCTGAACTTTGCAAAGACTGAGTATCGACCCATGTACTACATCAAGATGTATCCCCAGGACAAGTCTAAGCTGGAGATGTGCTTTGACTGCACAAACTACCAAAGCCAGTTCCCAGAGAAGGTTCCCTTCGAACAGCATGTTTTCCAGACGATCTATCTCAACAAAGACCGTGATGGAAAGTTATGGTCAGACAGTGAGATTGCCGAGGATAAGATCATTCGAAAGGATTTGTGGCATCAGCTATGCCACAGCTACACACACTACCTCTTTGTCGTCCCTTGGATGATGTTTCTCAACGCCAAGAATCACACTCGTTTTGCAGCATCATGGACTCTCGTCAATGCTCATGAAGTTGCCGTCATGTCAGGTATCGCAGCTGCTGTTGACCTAGGAGCTATGTACCCCGAGGATCTAGAGAATGACAAGTTTGCTTTCCTTTGCTTCAGACTTTACTACCTCCTCACATACGGAAAGTGGTATAGACGAAACTTTACTTCCAAGAAGTATGTGAAGGAACATGGAGAGACGCAAGCTGCTAAGGACGGTAAGAGTTGGGCTACTGGGCTTTATGGAAGTGTTTACAAGGGACCTGGTGTTTCGGAGATTGAGAGGAGTGCTTGGAGGCAGGAGATTAAGCAGGGCTCTAGCACTGGTAATCTGGCTTAGGATGGCGAAATATGAGCGACAGAGGCTGCTTCATGTAACGTTTATCTGTAAGATACGGTAATTGCGGCTGATTGAGAAGTGTGTTTATTTTAGTCTAGATTTGCGCACTATTGGTTGCGAGTTGCCTTGTTTCCATACCAGTTGTAGACTACTCTAAACCTTGACAGGGGTTTAATGGTCGTTAGGTTTTGTGATATTTGAAGTAGGTCTATGTTTAATATTTATTTAATGGCTAGGCTTTCGATCGGGTGCTATTTAACTTGCATACTGAGAATCAATTATTGCAATTATTGCATGCCTATCCAATCCAATATTTGGCTCGATTTAATAATTATTTTTGCAGTTATCTTTCTCTAGCCGCCATAACTACAGGTGTGAGTGCCTTGGCGTAGTACTATCGTCTCAATAGCCTAAACCACTGCAAGCCACCAGACTCCTATTCGTCCCACGTCATTGAGGCTTGAACATGCGGCAGACTTTAGTGGTTGCCTCTTTTCGTGCCGAAAAGCCTTATCAATCTTGACAGGGGTCTTGGGCCGCCTTGCTCGCCCTGCATATATTTGGGATATCCAACGATTTCCTCTAACTCTTATTCCGCTTATTTCTCCCTAATTCTGTGTAATTAGTCAATATCGAAAGTATGAACTCGTCAATGTCGCCAACGTGGCGTTTCCTCTACGTCACCATCATCATATATACAACGTCCGCACTCGCTCGCTTCATCGACTATCCTCTTCCAACCAATATCCAGGGCGTTCACGAGTCGATACCCGCCCCAACCACACGAGGTTTCCATCTCGAAGCACGATCGGACGATGGCGCACCGGAATACACGATAACATACGCATCTGATTCAGTCTGTGGCTATCTCTCTGGTTCAGTACAGATACCCATCACTTGCGAGAATAAGAACAGATGTCTGTGGGAACTTGAATCGTTCAAGTTTATCGCCTGTGAGCTGGATGGGGAGACAACCGGTATTGCTCGGACTAAATGTCTGGCAAGAGATGAAGCTCTTGACCCAAATTTATGCGATGATGTATGCGTGAGTAACACGTATAATCTACAATGGTATGTTCTCCCTACTGCACAACTGTCTCGCTGTGTAGTTACTGACTTCCTCCCAGTACTAACGATACAGCACCCTACTGTCGTACTTATGCCTACCCCCGGGGAGTTCACGATTATCGTTGCGCGTCCACGCCTGCTACGAGAGTTTCTAGTGTGGATTTTACCTACGATGGACAGAAGTTCCCAGATCTGGATGTATCCACAGTCACGGGTGTTGATCGGCCTCGCACATCAGCCTCAAGTTCAACCGCCTCAACCACATCCGAAGCATAGTCAGCATCGACGACCACTACAAAGGCAGAGCCGGATGCAAATGAGAAGGGCCTGTCGGCCGGTGCCATAGGTGGTATCGTAGTTGGTGCAATATTTGGCATCATTTTTGCGGGCGCTGGTATCTGGTACTATCGGACACACCCCAGAAGGACCCAGGCTAATACCGGTCTTTCTGAATCGCATCCTCCGGGAGGCAAGACGGGTCAAACTGTTGTGAATCAGCGACCAGTTCCGGCAGAAGATGGGATAGAGGTTGTCGAAGAGATATCCACAAGTACATAAGATCTCAGTAGAACATCCCTGTTAATAGCACGTCGGTATTAAGGAAACTTGTCCTCTCAGTTATGTCTCAAGTATCAAGATGCCGATATTCATCACTATAGATTTGTATACTTTTCTTACACGATGATGGCTCCTACTGCTAGCTTTTCCCTGTTAGGGTTATTAGATAGTCAACTGGGGCTCTGTAGTGAACTAACATTCAAGACCTGTAATTACAGCATGATAGTGGAACCAACCCCACATTGAATTACATATAAACATAACGCATTATGTTGAAGCATCAAACATGTCGACTGTAGTACTATTTGCCAAGGATCCTGTCAACGGGCGAACACTTTATAAATATGTGTGAGTCCCACACACATCTCCATCATCAGTATCATCATCATATTTCATTATCTACTATATGACCCAACTCGACAATACAACGATAATGACGGCACCAGACAACGCTTCGCAACCTGTATTGGTTGATCCTGAATACAGAGTCTTCAAGGAGATGGTCGATCTCCAGATGCAGCAGCTCGGCCCACCCCCAATGGATACTGTCTCGGACATCCGCAACGCCACGGACGGTATGCTTGCAATGGTCGCCTCCACCGTTCAGTATCCAGATGGTATGCAAGAAAGCGTCCATTTTGCACCTTCTTCATTGCCATCTTCCAGCGCAGCGCATCGCATCCCAATTACACGTTACATCCCCAACGCCACGGCTTCTGCTGCTGGACCTCAGCGGGCCATCATCTACATACACGGGGGTGGTCTAATTGCTGGCAGTGTCAATGCTTTCAGACCATGGGCCGCCGAGTTGGCAGAGCGCTCAGGAACGCAAGTCTTCTCTGTGGAATACCGCCTGGCGCCCGAGTTTTCCATTGCTCCACCGTGTTCGAAGGGCGAGTCACCCGCACCCTTTGCAGTCCACGACGTTTTAGACGCTCTATCTTGGTTGCAGTCTTCCGATACATCGTCCGAGTTGGGCATCGACCCAGCTAGAATTCTCCTCTCTGGGAACAGTGCAGGTGGGGCAATTGCTGCCGGCGTAGCCCTCTTGGAACGAGACCGCAAACGAAGGGGAGAAAGAGGAGATCTTCCACCTATTACAGGTATCCTTTTGAACTATCCCATGCTGGATGATAGGACAACGGCAGCGGAAGGCGCTGCCGAAAATGAGTGGCATGTGTTCACGGACAAGGTGAACCAGATTGGATGGCAAGCGTATACCGGGTTTGAACTGCGTAAGTCATTGCCAGCGCTCTTTCTCTCTTGATCTTCAATGCTAATGACACGAACCAGATGAACGAGATGACCTCAAAGTATCGCGATATACCAGCCCTGCCCGATGTGACGACGTAAGTGGGATGCCACCTACACTGATCGATGTCCCAGCTCTGGACCTGCTGAAGAGTGAAGGAATTGCCTTTGCCACTCGTCTTGCTGGGGCCAATGTCGCCGTTCAACTGAACGTTTACCCCGGCATTGCTCACGGATTTGATGGACAGATACCGGAACACCGTCTATCAAAGTTAATGAAGTTTAACAACGAACAGTTCACTCAAAGAATGTAATGGATGATAATGAAACGTCAGTATAATAGCCTGTTCTATTCAGTATTATAGACCTGCTTTATAACCACTGATTTCATTTACTTTTCTTCCTTTATAGGTTTAACCTAAGTAATTAGGAGTATGATACCTATTGCAATTTAAATTCATTATCGTTTTTCTTACATATCTATTCAAATACAAGCTCAAATCTTTTCAACTTCCTTCCAAGATATAATAAGGTATTTAATAATTGGGTACTATGTACTCAAGCCTAAGAATATACGCAGTGACTGATAGGGCAATAACTGAACTCTATAGTAAGGGTAACAGAAGAATGTTCCGAACTGTATCCATAGTAGCTGTTTCTTCCTACTATGAACTATTGCAGTACTGTATTGATTTAAAAATCGTAGGGCCTTGACGCAGGTAGTCCTCCGCTTTCTGTTAGGATTGAGCATGTCATGACGAATGAATTTGAGAACATCCACCATTATTGTCGAACATTGTCTGTCCCGTGACATGGAAATCAGTTTCCTAATCCACTGCATTAAGTCAGTTACCTTTCGCTCCATTCAACTGTCAAAAGTGGTTATCGCTTGGGTATCTTACATTTTTGACGCTGACCTTGAGTTTTGGTACCTCTTGAAAGTGTTTCGGACTTTTTGAAATTGACTGTCGGCTTTCCACAACATGAGAAGCATCGCTTTTGATCTTAGGGTTACGCGGTCGAAGCCTTTTAGATCTAACTTTAGGCCTACGTCGACGACCTTTACGGCGTGGTGTTGTGGTCTTCTCAATATGTTTCAAAAAAAAGTTGTCCTCATTCCATTGTGCCGTATCCTCAGTGGCACCGGAAAATGATAGTTCTCTTTTACGTTCTTGTTGATACTCCTGGCGTGCATTCCCATCAAGAATGACCCAAGTCATCAACTCCGAGAATACGCAACCTAAAGCCCAGACATCAACCTTTTTAGACATGAAATAGCCGATGTCATGTTCTGGAGACCGGTACGTTTGAGAGGCCGCGTATGCAGAATTGCGATTCATCATGGTTCTGGAACCGCGTCTGTGGAATGTGATCAAGCCGAAATCAGCGATCTTGAGATTCCCAACACGACAATGGGCTGTCTCTTGGCTGAAGTGCAAGATATTGGCAGGCTTTATATCCCCATGTATCCCGAAGTCCTTACATTGGCTAATTTGGTTTCCATCTTGACTTGTGTTTGAGTGCTTGATACGCGTGTCGTGAATTGTGCCAAGTGCTTGAATCAAACCCCAACATTGTATGGCGATCCAACGCGCAAATTCATTGTCTGTCAAGTAGTAGGCTTTGAGAAAATACGTCTTGGGCTTACTCATCAAATCTTCTAGGCTTCCGCCTTCAGCCCACGGGAATAGTAACATGAAGTTGTCACTGGGTGCGATCTCTAGTGTCGCGCACAATTCAACCAGGTGAGGTCCGGGTCTCATTTTGTGGAAAGCCGAAATCTCCTGTTGGAAGAACTTGTAGTCATCATCATGACAGGTTCTTATCATAGACTTGAGGGCAAATGTCTCGTATTGTGTCTGCCGACCTAGTCAGAATTGTACTAGGAAAGAAATAACATTGAACCTATGAAGGAGTGATGATCTTGATGCATCTTGACTTTCTCGACAACTCCAAATCCACCACTGGTATCTTGCTGGCCGATATACGTCCAAGGAATGACTGTTCCCAAATTATATCGAAAGTTGAGGGCTTTGCGATTCTCCTTGTCCCAGTCCAGGAATGGAACATGCACCCACCACTGTTTGGTGTAAAATTCCCGCATCATCTCTGCATCTCGTGGATACTTCAAGAACTCTACAAGAATTAAGCGATCCGGTTGGCGATACCATAGCTGTGTGTGTCTTTTGTTGAAGGTGAATGGCAAGTTATCATCAGTGATTCCTGCATTTATGAAGTCTGGCAGAAACTTGACCTGGTTGATCAACACAAGTGCTGCGAAGATCTCTTGGGCGAGCTTCTCGCCCACATAGGTAGCATAAGATTCTGCATCGTACTCATTGTACTCAAAGGCAATGAGTTGATCGCGTACAGCAGATTCGTTGCAAATGGCCTTCAGATCCCCATTCGGTAGGAAATGTTTCTCATCGTTGCGCTTATCGAAATGTAATGCACGGTTAAGAAGTTCCTTGAAACGTGCTTTGGGGTTTTCCTGGAGGTCATTGATGGCATGCGGCCGCTTAGGGTGATCATCAACCCCTGAGTCTGGCAACTCTGCGAGCACTTTGACGTCTGTCTTTATTTCTCCGACGTACACTTCTTCCATAGTCATAGACTATGGAAATCTCACTGTTGACGTTAGTAACCACATATGGCCTTTGAGAATCGGTCGATGAGGCTGAGGTTAGAGGGTAGATGGGCAAGTTTCTTTCATAATTGTTACCGTCATCATTCGACTGTGTACCATATGTAAGTATGATGACTCACAAGAGCGGGCCATAGAATGAGATCGTTGGACTTGGAATAGCCTGCCTTACCGGTTGGGAGTCGAAGGTGTCTGGTGTCATGTTTGCAGCTTTCCGATTTGTTGGAAAAAATGCCTCTCATTGATGCTTTGCACAAAGAGCCCCGATACAGTATTTCACAGCTGGAAAAGGAGGTATTATACTTAGTGTTTCCCCCAACAACTACATCATGTGATGAAGCCCATCTGATATAGATGAGTTGTATTAAATTCCCATCAGAGGAAGGGAGCAAGTCGTCTAAGTCAGGTTGATGGCCTTATTGAGACAGTAATCTCTTTTGTCTTTTCTGAAATCAATGGCATACCGTACATTTCCAACATATACATTGGGCTTAGCTTGCTGTCAAAGAGAGGCATAGGTAAGGTAGGAAGCTTAACCGATATTTAACCTGCGACTAATCTAATTAAATAATCTACAGAATTATAGAAACACTGATAAATCAGCTCTAAGCTATAGAAGGAAGAGATTGCTACGACTGACAGCCAGATGATTGCATTAGCCGGAAACTAAGCCCGACGAATATGGTGCAAATTTACGGTGACTCTGTCTATCTTCCTTGCTCTATTTAATATTTAAAGAAAGGACAGATTACTTGGTCTTAAACCTATAATCTCTCTACATACCTATCAGGGCTGATCTCAGACTGTTCCTGGTGAGACATGCTGCCTATCAATATCGATATTCGATCTGGTCTAGCCTTGTTTTCATTAATTAATGGCGCCACCGTAGGTCAGCCCTTGTCCTGATTGGTATGAATTCCCGTTCCCTATTGCTCATAAACGACATGTTTTCGAGAGGAGGGTCTGAAAGATTGCCACAGGCCAAATTCAAATTCCAATTGGTGTCTTGGCATGCAATCATTATGTTCATGTCCTGGCTAACCGGCAGTACACATGATGCGTAATATTACGCATCAGGCCACATGATGAACCACAAATCGGATTCAGGCTGACGGTAAGTTTTTCGTATATAGTGGGTGCCCCCGCTATCTGTTACAATTCCTTTGACAAAAACATCACATCTTCTCAGGTATCGCCACCACCAAGACAACTGGCCATTGCTTTCAACATGAGAGCACTTTTTCGTCCAAGAGAGTCGTATAGCTGTCGAAGAGAATTAGACGGCACTAATTTGAGTGCTGTCAAGTTGCAAAAGATCTTGAGTCGCCGTTGGAGTAACAGATACACCGTTGAGGTAATATTGCCCAGTCAGTCTTGTATATATTATCTTATTGACTGGCATAGATGCAATCCAACAAACTTACAGTATACACACCCGGTGTGCTCTCTGAACGTGATATTGCCAGCTGTTATCGATGATTTACCTGCTGCGTTGGCAATTACTTTCTGTTGCTGTATAACTTGTACGATCACATGTATCATCAATATGGAATGGCGGATGGAGATGGATATTTTTTATGTCTTGTTACTTTCTTTACGCATTGGAGATCGGTAGAGAATTCTGGGTTAACTAATTTGAGGGCAGAATGCAGGATCAAGGATCGCTAAATTGAAAAGGATCACATTTTAATCATGCATCAACGGTGCTTGACATTCCCATGGTTCCCTACTGACTCAAATGTCGGTATTAAATAACCAACTAGTACAAAGCACCTTCCCAGCACGACTTCTCGGTTTTTCAGTTTAATCGGTTGGTGAATAATGTCTCTTCATATACAACCTGATGTCTCGGATTTGCACCTGAAATGCATGGTTAGTGGCTGCTTCCGTGAAATATTATGGTGGACCAACTTCACTCAACTTTTGAGAGACAAGAACTACCCAATGGTTGTTCGAACGCTACTAATTGTTAGATGGTGTATATGGATGATTTTCATGATGACGCACTTCGACAACCCGAAAGTTACCCGATCCCAAAATGTCACCTAACCGTTCCTCAAGCTTTGTCTTGTTGCCGTAGCCGAACGGAAGGACCTGTGACTCCATGATGCTCCTTTGTAATTTAAATGTTAAGGTCAAAATAAGCTGAAGGATGGTGGTATGTGATAGATCACAGTCGTTCTGCCTTGTCCAGCCCCTTGACATGCTTGCTTTATACCTCATGGTCAGGGATAAACTAGTAGAGCCTCATTTCACAATTGTACCTCAAAGCACCATCATGATAGCCTGCTTTTGTGAGCATTGACCGCTCAAAAGCTGAAGAGTGCTGTGCTTACTTCCACCGGCAATAGTATACGGTGATATAGTCACAAAAGACAACACATGATGCATTGTGTGGGGGCTTTCAGCCATCATTTGACACTGTTAGATCAGGCTACCAATAGATATTAGTTACCAAAGGAGGCTTTCGTGTCTAATGCAGCAATAAGACATGAAGGTGGCGGTGGGAAGTGATATAGCCATCTTTCAAGCCATGTTGTCTCAGATATCAGCGTTCTACTGGCGCATGGTGAAATGTAATTGTAATAAAACGCAACGCCATTCCAGACCGGTCTTGACTGCAGGTAATGAAGGAGTAGCGACTGTCATTGGCCAGGTCTTGGGGGCAAATAAGGCGTCGGACGCTGGTAGGGCGAATTTGGGTGTCTGACGTCCAAAGTTTGGTTTGGCCCTGTTTCACTACTACAAAGTACAATGTAAGGCTGTGATAAGGACGCCTCAGAGTCTCGGATTCACTCTTCATCACATGCCCCTTCCGCTATAAAGTTGGTAGTTAAGGATTGCCGAAGCGATAATTTGGTACCTTGAATTGTATCTAAACAAGATTCATAGCCCTTCATCATGTCCTGGCTCAACAGGCATCCGAATCTGCGCAGCGAAGATTGGCACCTTTTAGATTTCGAGCCACATCCAAATAAGGCATTTACTGTCTCAATAAATGATCAATTATCCCAATCAGAAGATACCAGCATTGGTGATGTTGGATCTACTATTCCCCCACAAACGGCTCGCAAGGTCATTGACAAGGAGTCCGACCTTGAGCAATGGTTAAAATAGGTAACTCACACAAAGTTGAACCATAATACTTTACTGACACATATAGATATCCGATAGTACCTTGACTGGTCAGATAAACAATAAGTCCTCAACTATCAATCTAATATTGGCATCACAAATGTCATCACTTGATCAACTTCCGTTTACGCAAAACTCGTACTCCGATATCATGAGCCAAATGAGGATGCACAGATCCATTGTCCGTGTTATCAATCGCAATGTGCAATGTACCTTTTCAGCCCTTCCTTTCGATTGGTCCTGCGCTGACTCAACTATCACATCAATCGGTATATACTATTCTTGCCATTATCTTCTATTTCGTACTAACCTTGTATAGTTTATAATTGCCGAACAGCAGGCTCTTGGGAAGGCGATATGGCACTTTCTGTTACGTTCTTCCCAGAAACTTTAACAACCAACGCCGTCTGGTACGGCTGTGATATGAAAGAGAATCCTTCATATGGTCACAATTTGACCGGTGCCGACATCATCACTGGCCGTTTAACAAATTTTGAAGGCAGCTGCTTTCACCCATTGACCCTCCCAACCATATTTGCGGAGTTTGAAAGGGAGAGGCATGTTGGCTTGGTCAAGAAATACATGACTCAGTCGGTTCAAAGAGTTCACGACCTCGCACGCCCGAATTTACATGTAAACAATAGGAGTGATACCGAATCACGTCAGCCGTTGGACAAGATGCAATTGATTGATTACGAATCTACTAAGCCAAAAACATTGCTATCTCGTTTTCGATTCTGGTCAAGAACAGAGGGATCTGCTCCTGCAGTAAATATCCGCCTTGGCCAAAACGTCGGCTGTGCGCGTCCATTGATGGCAGAAAGGGACGCTCCAAAGCCAGCTGCTCTTTTGTGGCACAACACTAGCTTTCTGAGTAACGGCCTACGTAATTGGCAAACACAATTACGGAAGATCCTTCAGCATGCCCAGGACCTCGACAATACAAGATTTGGGATTTCGACAGCTGAAAATAGCAGCGAGGTCGAATCCAAACTGTCCAGACTTGGCGGAGTTGGACTCCGGATCAAGACAAGAATACAGGATCTTATTGATGAGTACGACGAATATATACGACAGTGCAGTCACATAACCGAAGGTCTTAGGCTTGCAACACAGCTCGTAAGTGATCAATACTATAAAACACACAAGGCCTAACAGAGTACAGGAACTCAACAATATCGGGCAAAAGGATGCTAGAACAAACCAAGAGATAGCTCGTGAAAATCTCAAGGTGGCTCGAATGACACGCGTAGATAGTAGCTTGATGAGATATATCGCTACACTGGGAATGATATTTCTCCCGGCTACGTTTGTATCAGTGAGTAAAAACCAACACTTAACAGACACTACTGACACATTTTTAGACTTTCTTTTCCATGGACTTTTTCAAGCGGTCCGAAGAAGATAGCAACCAGGAGCAGAATTCTTCTTACTTGTGGGTTTATATCGTGGTTTCATTCGGGCTTACGGTTTTGACAATTTCTATTTTCTACACATGCGTCTTGCGGGCTCCTTCGGTCGAAGTTGATGAGGAATCCACGTGCAGCTTGGACAATATTCCAAATTGAATAACAACTAGTTAGCATTGTATCGGATAGTATCTGTCCTATGAATATAGCTATTCTTTATATTGTTCCTCGCATTAATAATAGCAAGTGCGTGATTTTGAACATGATATGAACTGTCCGTTGCATGTGAGCTAAAGATCATGATCTGAGGCTAATTAAGCTAATATCTCACACCGCTAGGGTTTAAAGTTTAAGATGAAACGTGCTTACATAGATGTAACCTGGACCCTAAGCTATAGTCCCTTTCTACTTAGTTGGGAATAGTGGCATTATCTTAGTTTTTTTTTTTCTTGTAGCGACTCGCGCTTAGTGGCGCGCTTCACAAAGAGCGGAGACTACTACTAACGAGCTGAATGAACATATTCAGGGGTCCTAGGTAATAACTATTTATATCCAGCATCCGACGTCCTCATAGTGAAATTCCTTCTACTTCAAGTATTACGACAATCCTCAATTAACACAACATGGCTCCATCCTGGCTTGAGAAATTCATCGTCCGTGAGGATGCAACACCAGATCAACGACGCAGCACGGAATCATCGGCTTTCCAAATCTACTACACCGCTCTTCCAGGACACCAGCGAATTCTAACCATGAAAGGCGAAACAACACCTAGTTACGAAGTGACAAGAAAAGCAGTCCTCGCCGTCTGGGGAGATAAATGCTATGTCAAATCCGTGAAGGATGACGTGGAGATAGCGATGATGGACTTTCACACCATGCCGCCCAAAACCGAGGTCAACTTTACACAACGCAAACACAAGATCAACATCAAGGGGAACACGGGACCATTTCAAGCCAGTGGAGGGATTGGGGAGGTGCATTGGAAGCCGACGGGTATGGTCGTGAATGGAAAGGCTTCGTGGGAGCTTAGAGATGAAGGGAATCTGGTCATGTCGGTTTCTATCGATGATCAGCAAGTGAATGGCGTTATCGATCTGTGGAAGAGTCATCTGGATTCAGATACTGTCGAGGAACTAATTGTACTGGGGGTTTCCAAAGTTGAAGAGTACAAGAAGACACTGAGGAACGCTAAGACGTCTCTTGTATCGGTTATCCATGGCTGAGCATAGTTAAATTGTTCTTGAATTATACAAATATGTTGAACATAGATGGCAAAGCTGTACTAATGTAAGCATGCAGCTCCCGTTCTACATTATCTCTGCTTGAGAATACATGCTAGCGCCAGTATGGCCTATATTACCAACTGATCCTGCCTCTTGTTCTTTCCATTACGGTGCCTCGTAGATTCTAGGAGGGCTTTTAGGTCGTTCCAAAGGTAACACCACAGGCTCAGCCGGTAGTTCACTCTTCGGTCTCTCAGAGTAAGGTTGGTCTTGATTGTAGTCCCCAGGAAGCTCTGCCGCTACCCCATCATTCTTCCTTCTCGCTCTTCTTCTCCAAAGCATCCATCCAATACCACCAAGACTCAATAGGCCCCCAATTGTGGCGCCGACTACTACACCTGCAATTTCACCTCGGGATAATCCAGGGTTCGAATTGGGCTCTGATGTAGAACTTGCTTCATTGCTCGGCGATGTATCCGTTGCGCTCATTGTATTCTCCATGGTGAGAGTTGTCGATGTCGTAGATGCAGTGGTAGTTTTCGTCTCGTCGGATCTCGGCGCGCTGACATTTACGTATTGAGACTCCGCCAGAGTCCCGTCACTTTCGCTATCTTTCACCTCGAACCAATAAATGCAATCCTCGTTATTCTCGGTCACGTTCGAGATATCGTACTGAGCCTTCCAGTTTTCGGGATTTGAGTTACCATTGCCTAGACAACTGAATTAGCATGACATTGAACTAAAGAGACTAGTTACCCCTACTTTTTAACAGAGCTTTCGTACTCTTCACAGAGTCTATGGTGCCTATAACTTGCCGAATATAGAGATCAACCTTTTTAATGTTCGTGTCAAAGATGATCAGGATGTTTTGTCCATCGGCATATTGGTTATTTTTGGTCATATCCTGGTCGGCTGCTTGATCTGCGTCCCGCTCTGGGGGACGTACGAACTTGGTAAAGCATGACGCCCAGCTCGCGAATAGAGAGAATATTAGGCCGAGTTTCACGAGAAACGACATCCTAGGAAGGAATAACTGCACGGTTTGGCCAAGCAAGATCGGTATCGGATAGCCTACTCTCCAAGCTTGGCTTCAGTTGCTAGTACAGACTCAGAACTGCGAGGTGGACATATCTGAGAGGCGAAATTGTTATTTCTGAACAGGGAGGGGATGCCAATGATATATGTATTCATCGTCCGGGTATCCGAGCCAACCTTGTCAAAGATAACCAAATGAATCAGGAATATATACCCAGTCATTATGCAGTAACAGTTCGTATGAAGACTAGTCGCAGCTGGGGTTGTCAACTTGTGATCCGGGTTTATTCCCCAAATGAGGGTCGACTAACCCATCTTTGAACTTTTCCTACGAACAGGAATGGCAACGAATAACGCTCAAATTGACAAGACAATGAAATATTAACGTTTTAAACTCAATATTTAACTTTGAATCATGAATAAAAATGATGAATCCCTGTGTCTGAACTCTCACATCGTTGCCTGATTTGCCTAGCTGCATATAGAAGTGGGACAAAACACAACCAACAGCACAACAACCAACAAAGCGTTACATCAATAGGATCATGAGGACAAGGTCCGACAACATGTGTTACCTGACCTGGGTGATGGTTAAATTAAAGCTGAAAAAGAAAGGGCAGGTGTCAGTAAACCCCTGCTATTAGACAGGTGCACTGGATGTGACTACAGGAAATGTTTAACCGACAGAATACACATGTCTTTGAGCTCCGTGTTCGAGAACGAATTAGGTCAGCCTCCCCACCGCAAATACAGTCATGTTATAAGAGAATAGAGATTTCTATTAAACCGATTAAATGATGTTTTACGTTGAGTATTGTAGATACTAGATTGCATTGGGGGTTTTCAGAGTGGTATATATAAGGCACTGATCTACTAAGATATACTATATCAACTCACAAAATTCGCTACTACCAGTAGATACCTACCTTGTAGAAACCTTCCACAGTTTTAACAGGTTAGAAAAAGCGGCCAGCCTGCTCTGTCAGGACGACAAAGCTCTATTACCACCCTATTACCGTTTTATGTCCGGTCAGCTAATAATCAGTCTGATATTTAATGTGGCTCGACTCCACAGGCGCTAGCGGATTTATCCGTCTTCAGGTTCAGGGTAACCGGTACGAAATATTGAAGGCAGCTACTAAACTGCAGGATATGTGTCCAAATAACCATCAAAGGGAATAACAAAGTAGCTAAAACCTGTAGCTGGCAGGAATGAGCGAATTAATAGAGTTAGGTCGAAACAGAGGAAGGAAACTCCTTTTCTAGGGATTAAATGTTCCTTGTTGAGCTGTCTTAATTACATTGCCTGAAACTTATCTCTATACTCGTCTAATATCCAGGTGAGCGAGTTAAGAAGAAGTAGCTTGTTAAATGATTTCGTCCCACTTTACAACTCACTTCATTGAACCTTGTCGCAAGAAATCACCTTTGGGAATGGGTATGTACTGCAGTACCTAATATTCTAGACCGTTTTTAAGGAAAGGGAAAACATTTGAATCAACAGTGCCATGTTTAGCTTGAAGCTGGTACTTAGCTTTTGTGTCTCACGTGATGAACCAACCAACAGCTGAAGTCCAAGCGAAGAGGCTGGTATCACTTCTGAAACAGGATCCAGGGCTACTGAAGCACCCATTACCGGTGATCAATCACGCACAACAGAACTTAGTACAGGCAGCGACGGAACTGGCTCACCAGGCGTGACAACAAGCGTTGCTTCTGAAGGCATTGGCGCAACCACCGACGAACTTACCTCCGTCGGACCCGGTGCCATGAATACTGCTCCAGGTATCCAGACGACGGGCGGGACATCAGAGGGTCTTAATGAGAACAAGTCTTCTGTCCACAGTGAGGATATCGACAATGGATCGGCAACAACCACCGGCAACCAAGACTCGGATATTCCTACCGCACCGCTTCCAACAATAAGTGGTAGGTTCTCGACAGATCTTCCTAATGATGGCACAAGAACTTCATCTGGCTTACCAGATCCAAGCACTACACTTTCAGGTGTCACTCTGAACCCTCATGAGACTTCGACAGACAATGAAGTTTCCACGATTCAATCCCAACTTGAGACTGCCTCAGACGCCGATGTCTTCGTGACTTCGTTTGTTCTGATATCGCCTAAGGCCGACAGCACTCATGTTGGAGATGATGCCAGGACCATTACGCTTCCTAGCGATCAAACTTCTTCCTTCAGTGACGGTACTCGTCCTGGCACTGAACCGTCGACAGAGTCGTCTTCATGGTCTACTGAAGAGGTTCTTGGCAGTACTGATGCTATCTCTGACCTGCCTGTATCCACAAATCATGCGACAGAAAGCAATGGAGATGGTGAATCATCCACAGATGCAGGATTGGACCTGACGCTACCCAGTTTGCCAAGCATCGACTTAACTTCTCTGCCAGGCACGTTACTTCCCATTCAGACAGACGAGTCTACGGTGCTAGAGTCGATCACCAAGGAACCAATCATTGAATCTTCAACGACGGAGGGCGCAGTTGGTGCCATACCTGTCCCGACCTTTTCTGACGATCCTGCCGAGGAGATGAGCACTCCTGATGACTGTCTGGGCAGAACATGCACGGTGGACAAGGATTGTAACGATATTTCCTGCACAAGAGGGGGCGACTGCTTTGGACCAAACTGTACAAAGGCTGGTGTATGTACAGGGCCCAAGCGCACGCGTGGTGGCCAATGTCGAGGAGAAAAGTGCCAATTTGGTGGTGGATGTGAAGGTGTTGGATGCGTGGTGGGAGGAGGTTGCTTCGGTATCAACTGTATTTTTGGCGGAACTTGTGTCGGTCCTTCATGCCACCAAGGAGGGCCCTGTTCTCAAAAGGCCTTGGGCGATTGTCCTCCCGGGAAGTGTACTGGGAAACAATGTGACGATGAGGGAGATGAAGATTGCACTAGTAAAACAACCGCCGAGGTTTGCACTGAGACAGTCAGCAGCACTGTGATTACGACAATCCCAACAACAATTTCGTCGACGACAACCATGATCTCTTGTCGAACGCTAACGGAATGCGACATAACCGACTCAACGACAACGACTACGATGACAGGCACTGAGGAGCCAGACCCACAGGCGACACCGGAGGGCTTTTACGATTATGATGTGGAAGAAAAGACGCCTGATTCCTTCTGGGATGATCTTGAGGATGACTATGATGAATGGCTTAGTGAAGCTGACCGGATACCCACTACCACCACTACAACACAGCCGCCAACAACGTCTGCTACGTCGACGAAACCCCGTAGCACTGTGACAGTAACAGCACAGCCCGATCCAACGCCCGAGGCAAAATGTTATCAGATGGGCGCAGAGTTATCTTGGAAATTCGAGATAAGTGGTATCCTCAACTGGGCTGATGATGGAGGGGCGAAGCTCAAGAAAGAAGAAAGCGGTTGTGGCGGAATCACATATTGGGAATGGCAGAGTGGTGATAACAGCAACCTGGGTCATATGGCCTCTTTCCACCTTCCATTGTTTATGAAATCAGGTTGTGTGGAACGGGCTATCGTGTCGGCGGGAGGACCCAAGATTAAATGTAAGTGGTGGGCTGGCGGTGTTGGTCCGGATCTGGGCTTGTTTGCCGCGAATCAGACAAGATTCCTTTCTACGTTTGGAGACGTATTACCTACAGAGGCACAGGGTGGTAGTCCAAAAACACTACCCACACATAATACCAACTGAACAAAGCTACTATATATTATTTGTTTTAGCCTCATATCTAGGATCTAGCTTCAGCTTTCAATATTACAATCAGTTCCTTTAATCCACCAATTACTTTTTTATGCCAGGGTATTTCACTGCCTGTCATCAACAGTAGAATGAAGAAAAGAATCTAGACCAAGCTAATGACAGTAAACAGATCTCCTGATTCAGTTTTTATCTTGTCTCCATACAAAAGTCGAGCTGAAACTGTCAAGCCACCAACACTTCAAGACCATCGGACCATGGATTTTATGCATAGGTATGTTGATTCGACCTCTATATCCCTGACATGATCCACTTGGTCTAGCTTATTGAGCTAAGTCGGTTCAATAGCTCCCAAATACAAAATGAATCTATCGATTTCGTTAGCATCTAGATTCCCTTGGCGACAAGCCTCTTTTGTTTTCACCGACTTCAAAATAATTAAACCCATCTCTTTTATATATTTGAGTTCTCTAGAAACAAACCGCACTTCTTTTCTCAACTCTCAACGTCGTCATGGTAGCTCTCAAGTCGTGTCTTTTGTTCCTTGCGCTAGGCGCACAGACGCTCGCTGAGCCAAACAAGCTGGCATCAACATGTTCTACCATTCTTGGATCAAAGACAGTAAAGAATGTCCCAACTTCAACGGGCACACTGAAAAAGAATATCACTATTGTCAAGAAGGTTATTCGCAAGGTCAATGTCGTTGTTGTCCCACCCGCCAAGATTACAACCACCGTCGAGACTTCGACTGTCAAATCAACCACTACAAACCTGGGGCTCACATCCACTACAACCACAACAGGTAAGCCACATAATGTTGTGTCTCTGCTTTGACCCCAAGTTAACCTGCCATGCTTCAGTCGACTTATCCACTGCTACCGAATTTAGAACCTCCTGGAAAATTGAGACATCAACCACCAGTTCTGTCACAACTAAATTCATCACCACGACGATTGCTCGACCTCCTTCGTGGATACCTATTAAGGAAGATCCTGATTGGGTACCAAGAAAGCGTGCCGAAAAGAACGATGGGTTCGTTGATGTCGAGGCATTGACGAGTAACCAACTCCCACAGAGCGTTCGTTGCGTCAAAGAGATCCCCAACTACTCTACCAAGACAGTTACCTCGACAGTGAAAGGACCCAAGATCACACTCAAAGCTGCCACCAAGACCAAAGTTTCTACTGTTCCCACAACTATCACAATCACGGATTATCCCAATGCCAGAGTAGGTAAAACTGAGACTGTGTATCGCTCTGTGACAACAACTGTTCAAGACGTTACCTCAACTAGCACTATTCCCGAGACTGGTAAGCTTTGTTCTCAACTCGGTTTATCTGCGCCCAGTACTGACAATATCCTACCAAAGCCACTGTCGAGAGTCTCATTCCTACAGCTACAGCCTATGACATGTGCTCTGAGGATAACATCCTAACTACCGCGAACGGAGGAGTCAGACCTGGATACATTAGGCTGCCTCATCCAAGCCTTTTTAACCCTATCCAGATAGGGGTTGGCTATACCGGAAAACCATGCTGTATAGCATGTGCATCCAACCCTCTTTGTGTCGGCTCGTATATTGAGGACGGTGTTTGCAAGATTTATGTTCCCAAGGATGGTGATGTGTGCGCCAATGGTCGTCAAGACGAGGTTGGAGGCTATATGACATACCCGGAGCAGGACTCCGGATTTGATATCCTATTCAGCAATGGACCTTGTGGTCAATTTAAGAACTACGGTATAAGTGACATTTCAGATTAGCCTAAACTTAGGGGGCCTCTTGTTTAATGTCTGAAATTGGGAAAAGTCGGAGATAGAAATAGAAAGCAGATCCTACATAGTATGGACGTTATCTTATAGTGAAAATATGATACCTGTTCTTGGGCAATTACTTCATCGTACAATTATAGAAGATTGATAATTAAATAGATGAATTAAAGATCTAAGTGAAAGGACTACAAATAAAAAGGACAAATAAATATTGGAAGAAATGCCAAGCACTTGACAATGCATGGGAAACGGTCAAACCGCAACCTCGGGGAATACAAACCGACCCCGAATTCGGTGGATCGCCAGTAAATTGCGGTGCAAGCCAAACTCGTCAAGGGCCCCTTTTAGCCCTGAATTGTCTTAACACCAGCGCTGACTGAATCTATCGAAATGTGTGCCTGCTGGAACATAATCTAGACTCAAAAATACAGCCTCTCTCACCTGTTGACAGGGAGGAATGTAATGGAAAACTTGATTGATGCAAGGTCTAGACTAACAAATAAGCATAAATGTCTTATGTTTCAGACAGTGGCGCAGAGGAGTGCTTTTTGTTCCTTCAGCTGCCCTTGTCATTGCCAATGAGAGCCTTGAGCGAAAACGGTCTGTCACATTCCTTCCAACAGTATAGCGAGAGTTCCGTCATGATACGGAGCTGAGAGGCGGGATGATCTCATAAAGACAAAAGTCAAGGAAAAGACTTGTTGGTCGTTATTGCATGATAAACCAAACCAACAGGCACTACCCTTCACTCTGCGATCATCTACCTGTCAAGTCTGCCAGGCTCATTATCATGAATAACAGTCTTGTGTACAAGCTTTTGCAGTCACTAACAGCTCAGTGCCATCACTCTTCTTCTGCATAATGATGCCGTGAAAAAGGCGGTAACTGGCATAAGGCACACATAGATATCCTCAGCTATCACATTTTCAGCAGCAGGGAGGTTTGTGGCTGGCCGGCTGACTGAGTACATGCAGGGCAAAGTTCAGCTTTTGGTGCCACCATGTTGCCCAAGGCATATTTGCACATTTGAAATAATTGCACCTCTTTTCTACTATATTATCCCTGTAATATTCCCAGGTAAATAACAAATTGTCCTCACAGAAATCTCTCTCACAATATTCAACTTTTCTTGCTTCCCATTTCTTCTAATCTTCCTTCACAATGGTCAAAGACTACGGCGTCTGGCGCGCGAAGCCTGTCCGCTACACCTTTGAAGATCGGTTCAAGGATCCACATTCACCTCACCTCTCGCTTTACTTTGATGATGATCAAGGTGGAGAAGGCCGAGCTGCCGTCAACATCAAGTCAGGAAACAAGGAAGAGTCCCGCCTTGCCTACTGGACAGTTCCAAATTTTACTCACAATGTCACCACCAAGCTAGCTCAACTGACCAACGGCTTCCACCCTCTTGGTCCATTGGAGCAGAGACTTGATGGCCTTGCGCTGGACTATATTCGAAGTAACCTCTTCAGCCGCGGCAGTGGCCGCATTCTCCCTCATGATGTTGATGGAGCAGACAATGATATCCTCGATCAGTTGAAGCCTATCATCGATAGGGCCATCTCAACTGAAGCTACAGTTTATATCTACGGCTCGGAATTCAATGACGGCAAGGGTATACACAACGTTCACATGAACCAGGGAAATTCTGGTCGCTGGCTCAAAGACAATGGAGTCTTCCAGGACGGTGCTCTCATCTTCCAATTTGAAGATCATTGGGAGGCTGTTTTCATTGGGTTTGCCTCTCAGGCTGTGCATACAGAAGACGGGGGTAAACGCGCTGGCTACCCACTGCCCGACCAGGATTTCATGACCTGGGCAAACTTTCTTGCTCCCGAGCGGTCTACAGACGACAAGAGGAAGGATGACGTTGCAGATTCGTCTGTGTTCATTGCAAAGGCTCTTGTCAACCCACCTGGTCCGGATCAGCAGCCCGGCACTGCCCCAGAAACGATCACTCTCAAGAACAGAACCGGGGATGAGATTGATCTCAGTGGATGGAAGATTCGTATCAAGACTGGAGATACTCAAATTCTACCCTCCGGTACGCGCATTGGCCCTGCTAATAATAAAACTATTGAGACCAGTGTTCCACTCTCTAACAATGGTGGTATTATCACTCTTCTCAACGCGGAGGGATTCAAGGTACATGGTGTTAGCTACACTAGGGCTGAAGCAAACGGAGCTGTGGTTGTCTTTTAATAGTCCCTGGATTTGAGTTTGTTAAATGGTCTTGGATACAGCTAGAGGCACAAGGTAGTTTCTTCAAACAATAACGAGGTGTGACTTTGTTCTCTTATAAAGTCCAAGTGAAAGATTTAGATATTCGCAATTATGAAATTGGACAAACTTCATACCGAGAGCAAGTGGCTAGTTAAACATCTTACTAGCCTAGCACACGGTACTTGACGCTGAAGCATGAAATATAACGACCATGACATTAACACATATATTGAAAGATAGTTATGTAGAAATCAAGCTATTACATACTGTCATATAACCCACGAAGCATATCCTCCGACTTATCCAATCAAATATGTACCATGATTGTGTGTACTGCTCTCCTTTCCCGATGTAGGTAATGGAACGTTAATCAAAGCCTGAAAGTCATTGACACCAAGGCGTCGACTTAGATAGCTGTAGCAAAGCCAATACGGGAGTTGGTGGTATCGTATACAGAGTAATAGTTCTCGAGGAACTTCTGTCCGATGATAGTGTTGACACCAGAGGAGCCTCCATCGGTGATCCAGGCGTAGTACTTGCTAGAGCTCAAACCAAAGTTAGAGTACTGGGCAGTAGGAACCAAGTACTGTGCGGGCGTGAGAGTATAAGTTGTTGACCCAAACTTGATACCAAAGTTGGCGGTAGGCTTCTTGGTGAAGGCAACAAGGCCGGATGAGCTATCAGACGAACCACCAGTGGCAGAGAGGAACTTGTTAAAGGCACTGGTAGGAATGTAGATAAGAGTAGTGCCAGTGTCGACAATACCGCTGCCAGAAGTACCAAGAGTTGTAGATCCGTAGGTAAAGCCACCAATCGAGATACCCCAGTACTGAGAAGCTGTGCCACTAGAAAGGGCAGGGAAGTAGGTGATGGAACCGGAGTACTTGGAGCTGTCGACACCACCAAGGGTCAACTCTCCATTGGTGTCACTGTCATCACTGCCAGACTCTGGTCTGAATGAGACACCGAGAACCTCGGATGAGATTGAGCCTTGGCTGTAGAGGTTGTCCATAAAGGTTGGGACGGTGTTGACGTTGGAGACAGTGCCCGAAGTGAGACCAACGGGACCAAAGCCGATGATGCCATCTACACCTGAGAAGCCGGTAGCGCTACTGGCAGCACCAATCGACTGTGCTGAAACAGTGAGGCCGCCAAAGCTGACCTTGTCGGTGTACTCTTTGCCAGAGAATGACCCAGAGCCGTAAGAAACGCTGACAGAGCCGCCTGTAGACTTGCCGGTGGATGTTGGCTCGCACGAGGCTTGAGCACCACACCAAGTGTTGGAAGCTAATTCAATTTAATGAGTGATTCGATTCATGTTTGGGAGTATGTAACGTACATCCAGTATCGACAATGAGGTTCCAGGTCTTGCCTCCAATCACGACAGGAGCGACGTAGGAGACATCCTCGTTAGTGACAGAGCCAGAGCTAGAGCTGACAGCATCGAGGTGGAAGCTGGCCTCTCCGTTGACCTTTTGAATGCGGGCTTGACCTTTCTGGACGATGGCCTTGATGGAACTAGCCTTGACGACGTGCTTCAAGGGGAGAACGGCAGTCTTGGCCCTAGGCTCAAGTGGCGATGCCGAAACGGCAGCCGCAGCGGCAAGAGTAAGAGTGACAGCGAAGAGCATATTTCTTGATAATATGAGAATCCGGAGGAGATGGCTAGAATGTTGAGATGTTGATGAGATGAGTTGATATTGAAATTGATAGATGGACTGCCAGCTTATTTATATCTGTTGGAGTTTATGATATGTCTTGATCTGTCTATGACTTCTCGGAAAACCGGCATCTTGGACTATCTGTGAACTTCACAAGTAAACTAGGATGTGAACATCTCGCAATACTCTAGATGTTCATGAACTGATAGAACGATCGTCTCGTGGATAGCCGCGTTGGATGCTAGATGCCACTAGCTTAACGTGATAACTAACACCTACCGCATTGGGGATGTTCCGTGTTGGACTCGTCAATGTGAGTGGGTGCATGGTCGGTGCAGCGCTCAGACTAATCTCCCAGTGCCGAACTGTTCGTCCAATTAGCTTCCGTCTATACAACAGTGTGCCATTAGTACCCCAGAGTCACGCCTTTGATCTACGGAAATCGCTTGGCATCGAATCTGGATCTTCTGATATAAAAAGGTGGTCCCTTGTTGCCGTAATTGCCGAAGATCTTTTGAACGAGCAAATAGACCGAAACATAGAGCTTGGTCACAGGGCCAGTCGCAACCATGTCGAATCAGCTTGTAGATCGGGTGACTCTATTTCCATTAAACACATGCTTAAATTACTACTTTGTCCATAGCATACAAGAAGATACGAAATATGTGTTATGGAAAATATTATTAAGTAAGTACATTCTAAATTATCATAATCCAAGATCCTTTATTTTCTATAATGAATGTTTTTTCTTAACTAAATCCCTCAACTTCTTGCAAAACCATCAATGTCGTCAGACTTCACAGCTTCCCTTTATGTCATTGAAAGCTGGTATTATTCAAAGAAATCTCCGATTGAATGCTACTCTACATCGGCTAGATGTGCCGTCCCTTATCGTTGACATGCGATAAAACATCATTTACCTATTCCGCCCCGGGCATGTTGAGAAAAGTCCCTTATCTGCACTCAAGTGTGCCCTATCAGCAACCGATATTTTGGATGCCGAGTTCTGAATCCGGTAAGGCCTTGCTTGAGTGCTAACAGAAGTTCCCAGTGTTCCTGATTCGGTTTGCTAGCCGAACAAGACAGGGGTATATGTCGAGCGTGATGGATATCACGTGTTTTATCACGTGACCATATCATACACACATGGCATCTCTTTCTTGTCTGTAGTCCTTCAACTTAGGTCTTCAGTCAATTCATTTAATCATCACTATCGCATGTCAATAGCACAATCCCACTAAGATTTACACTTCCAATGCCCAATTAGCAGAATACCTTAAAATAATACAGGCAGTCCTAGGGTAAGTAAAGATTTTTCACTGTCGTTTGTGCTTATGCTAGGATTTGATGCATTTTTACTAGATATACTATACTGTAGGCTAACGGAGTATACACGATATAACTCATGACCGCATGAAACGCTTTTATAGGTCTCACTATGATGTATTTCCCTGAAAAATGTCATAGCGGATGAAAAATCCATGTCAACTTTGCGAGCTATTTTAGAATTTCGTGGAATAAACCATCGTATGAACGCACGGCCCGCTCCTTGCGTCATTTAACAATAACCTTACATTGCAATTAACATATATTTTCATTGTAAGTTAGCGTGAGACTTGAGTCTATGCGAGGAATATTTCCTTCCACGATGGACCAGGATCTATACTAAACTCTACGGCACCTTGGTGAAGCAACCCAAAGCCTCTTCGTTCAGCACTGCCTTCCTGCCACTCCAAAAGCATGACATTATAAAACTCCCATTGATCCGCAGCCAGAGGGTACGGGGCTTCCCATTTTGTAACGTGATCCTCTATCTGCTCTGAACGTGCCTCAGACAGAAGAATTATCTCAAAAGGGCCTGGAGTTTCGAAGAAGGTTGTCTCCTCAAAGCCGTCTAGGGAAACGAACCCGCATGTTGCCTTGTTGGAATCTTCAGGATGGGCAACGGCAGTGAAAACACCAATATCAACGATTTTGTAATAAAGCGAAAGTGTCCAGAACTGTAAGAGAGGGTACGAAGGTACTTTCCGAGGGAACCACACCTGCTCGGTAGACATGGTTTGACTTGCGTCTAGCTTCCTGGGAACGTATCGGCCGTCGGAGAAGGGTCGACGGTGACGATATCCCACGTATTCCGTATTTGACAACGGAAATAACGGGTTCACAGCTGGGTCCCATACAGGATTTGTGATTCCAGACGGGCTTCGCTTATACCAAAAAATCCATGTCCTATCCTTCAACCATTCGTTGTGTTTCATTCCCAAATCTAGGTAGGCATTGATACGACCGCGCCGCCCTGTCCACCAGTAGCTTCGAAATACAGAACGCCGCTGCAGGATGGAACAATGCGCGCGGATTATAATGAACCGGTCAAACATAACCGTTGGGAGATCTTGGAAAAAATTGCATTTCATCGTTTCGGCGAATTTCCGCATGATGCCGGCCATAGCACGCGATGCGTCGTTCTGATCTGTCGTTGCCCTTTGAGTGTAGTAGAACAAAATCACAGTTAGATCGAATACCGGATCGGTCATAGATAAGGCTTGGGGCAGAAGAGATCCTAGAGATGGGCCGACGTAGCTTTGCGGCAGTATGTCTACAAAGTGCTCTGCGTGTTCTGCGGCACGGCAGCGGTAAAAAAAACCTTGTTATTAATGAAGTAGATAACTCGTCGGGAAAGAACCTGTTCTTGGAAACTATAGTATGTTAGCATTTGATGTCTGATGTAACGGAAGACGCCTCATACGTCCATGTCCTCGATTCATAAACTGATTGTTTGAGCAGTCCGTCGAGTCCTTCAACTATTCCCATTTCAACACCGGGGGCCACCTCGAGCGTATTAAAAGAACCAATTCTAGTCCCTTCTTGAACGCCAGGGAGACGCGCACTAGAATCATGGTCACATGCCGCAGCAACTGTCTAGCTCCAGGTCCTTAGCACCCAATAACACTAAATTTAATAATAGCTACAGATTAAAGATATCTTATATAGGGAATTATATTGATATAAATCAAAGTTTAAAAAAAAGTTTAAATGTAAAAATGAATAAAGGAAGTTATGATATAGAGGAGAATATAAAAGAAATAACTACGTAATAGTTCTACTCTAAGATACTATGTGTAATACTGCACTGCAAATAGTTATAAATAAAAACAATATATTTAGACCAGACGTCATTCCTTCTGCTACATGAACTGGCGTATTTGGAGTATTAAAAGAAATTCCAGTGGCTGAAGTCGTATGAGTACCAGATAATTTAGTATCTCCAGCTTTCTCTGTAGTAGTAAACGACGCTGGTCTTGGAGGCTCTACTGATACCACTCTGTCTATACTACTTGGCATATCTTGAGGCCTGAAAAGAGTGTCTGGATGCATGGTTGGGCGATGAGGGTGTACCTCTGATGATTTGACCTGCTCCTTGTAGGGATGAGTAGACTGTTGAGGATCCTGTCGATGAGCCCAATAGTCGTCGGCATCTTGGTAGTCATCCGGCGACTTATTGTTATTGTTTGACTCGGCACTTGGCTGCTGTTTCAGAGCTGGGTTGGCATGTGTCATGTACTTAGGGCCCATGCCATGTGGGTCAACTTTGATATCGGGACGGCGACTTGGTCCATCACTCTGACAGGCAGCAGCTGGAACTGTAAGCCAAATGTTGCTTTCGCCTCGTGGACCGCACGAGTTGCATGGCACCATAACGGTAGTCATATCGATAGCCGGCAGAATTTGATCAGCGCAGTTGCATGGCGTATATCCCATCGTCACAGCAATCTCTGCAGTAATGAGTTGATTCGGATCGTCCCGGTCGACCGTGGTGTACATAACTGTAGTAACAGCAGTGGCAGACGCAGGTGCAGCGGCTGTCTTGGTAATGTTAAAGCCCTTAGTCCAGCGCATCGTAGGCATGAAGCTAGGACCAGCAGTAGGAAAACTAATAGGGAGTCGAGCTTTGGTTGTCTCGGTATCGGAGGCTGTGGGTCGAAGTAGGTCTACCGGTGAAGAAATGGGTTCGGCGGCCGAGCTAGTACCCGAATCTTCTGTTGTTACGCCGGTAGCAAGCTCACCAGCCGCTGCAGTGGTAGAAGCACCAGCGGCTAGACTGGAGCTGTCATCCTCCGCGGCATATAGCGTCAAGAGTAAGTTGGAGCTTATATCGCGGCGACGCCGTGTTCCACTGGTCGTTCCTCCGCAGAACAGCCCCGAGCCTCCAGGACAGCGGAGATTGCAACTTGCATCAAGAACAAGCATAGACCCAGCGAGGGAATCAGCGGCGAAACAGGATCTGAATCAGATATTAGCTACTTCCTTCAATGACTGGAAGCTTCAAGTAAGGACTTACCCCCGATATAACCCGATGTATTTACTTCCGGCTGCTAGAGACACGCATTTCTCTGTTGTCATGTCTCCGTCGTCGTTTGACACGTCTGTGAAGGTCGGGTATTCAGCCGTGGATCCGAGACAGCCAAAATAAGCGTATTCGCCAATGAAAGGTAGGTTGAAGGCGGCATTCGATGGAGTTGAGGAGGGTGAGTCTACATTGGATGAAGAAGGCCGTAGTGTGATACCCGTTGAAGGCTGGTTCGCAGTATCTTTTAATGTACTTGTTGAATCAACTGCAGGTGTAGCTTCCGAAGTTATAGCAGAAGTTCGCTCAATGCTAGACACACACAACTCTTAGTGCCAATAAACGCAACACACATGGAGATTGGCCAACTTACCTTGTCGGTCCCTCTGCGTCTGTAGCTGCAGTTGTTTCAGATATGAATGAGGGCTCTATGGTGATGCTGGAGCGAGTTTGCTGACTGTCTGATATACTTGTTGTATCCTTGTCGGTTGATACTACGTCAGTAGACCCATTTGTCGAAATGGTTTCATCAGATTCAGCGACCGTACTGGTCTCGGTGACATCAGAAGGGGTAGCATTAAAGGTAGAACTACTTATAGTTATAGGATCAGTGGTAACCTCTGTCGTAATGTCGCTGGTAGTGCTCGCAATAGTTCCGGCATCAGTGCTTGTTTGTGAATCGGCACTACTAGCTGCTTTGGTGGTATCCTCGGTAGTTGTACCGATACTGGTATCATACGTGGCCGCTGGCTCCTCACTAGTGTGCATGGTGGTCTCTGTGGTATCGGCAGTGGTGGTATAAGAGGTAGCGCCACTAGTAGTCGTACCGTCTGCCGCAACATCAGTAGTACTACTGCTTTCAACAAATGTAGTATCAGTACTTATTTGTGACCCAGAAGTCACTTCAGTGGTGTCTTCGGTGCTGGTGTCGGCAGTGGTATCAGATGTAGGTGTCGACTCTGCAGTAGTGGTCGCGGTATCAATTGTCGGCTCTCCAGTAGCTGTTGTGGTGTCAGCCTCCGTAGTCGAAGTATCCGGAGCTTCTTGGACGGTGACTAAAAAGGTGCCTGAGAAGGTACTATACGCCTTGATGGTCTCTGTAGTGCTCGTTGCCACCCCCGCTGCCACGGTAACTGTGCTCGTAACACAGTTGATTTTGAGTTCTTCATCGCATTCTTTACAACCTTGGATCTTAAACAACAATCCCGTATCCAAGTAAGGGTCATTTGCATCGCAGGCGGCAAATACAAGGTTATGTGGGCCCGTGGCAGCAGGAATACCAAGAAGCAGGGGCGGTGAAGCTTCGTTGAATTGAAGATCATTGTTGGGCTGGGAGATAACAACAGGACCCTGGAAGTAACTCGATCTTGCATCGATTTGCTGTCCAGAGCTACCCAGGGCATATTGGACGCCATCCAGCCAGATGGCGATAGTATCGGGTTCCCTAACATGCTTATCAGTATGATGGTCAGAAAATGCCTCGGGGCTCTTCTTCATACCTATCATTCTCCGCAGAGGCCGCGATAAACTCGACCAGAACTCCATTGTAGCCATCCTGAACGTCGACTTGAACTGTCCAAACTGCAGCGTCAAAGGAAGTGACATCCCCGCAGAAGGCCGAGCCTCCAGTACCCACGTCGTTGTTGGCGAATCCGCCCGGTACAGCGTCTTCCGCATAACCTGACGAGATAATTACGCCGATGCCAATCCCGAATGGCCCTTCCCTGAAAGACCTAATTGAGCCTAGATTCCCGACGAAGCTACTGCTGGCAACAGTCACGCCCGGGCCGGAGACCAAAGAAGATTCTAGGACTCCGTTCTCAACAATAATGCTCAAGCATTTTGTGATGAGCAGGGCCAAGGAACCAAGAAAGTACCGAGGGACTTCATTTCGGAGATTTGAGTGTCTGGTAATGAAAGCAAATCTGTTGCAACTGATAATGCAGTTGCCAAGCCCTTATACATATACGTATCAAAGGAATTGATATGTTGGTTGGTCCTGATCTCATTCCTTCAGTAAGACAGCATTTTCTCTGGAGCCCTACGGCTGAAGGTCTCGAATCGGCCACGAAGGGAGCACAGTAATATTAGGGGAAATGCAGGCCTAAGCTAATATATGGAGACAGCATAATTGCTTCTTTGTTCCAAAGGAGAAAACTGTTTTAATTTAAAGTGGTGATGTTAACTGAGTAGCGACCCAAGACGCTGGCTGAATGCATGGCTGTCAGGTGCAAGGCTATAGCGGAGTGAAACATCTCATAACAAGCAGCTATTATCTCCCTGGCATTAAACCCTTGTTCCTCGGAACTCCAAGTTCTCTGAGGGAATTTGTCAGCCCAAGCTTTAACCAATTCTCAATCTCTTTCTCTGTAGCTACGGCAATCACCCCCAACATTCCCAAAGAATTCACACCGGCCTCTTTGTTGACAGCCGCACTGCGACGAGGGATGACCACTATCCAGCGGGATGTGAAAGCCACATTATGCGGGCACGCTTGTCCCTCTGGCACATTCTTTCCTGTACTAGCCTTCCAAGCTTCCGTCGCCTGCTGTAGAAGCTGTAAATAAATCCCGGTCCCATCTGAACGTGCTGTGGTATTGTCTTTGAACCTGTGGTAGAACCATTCGAAAGGTAGTTTCGGTTTCTCGGTGCTGTTTGAATCGAGAAAGTCGACGGCAAAACCGCTGGCGGGAAGAGGCATCAGCTGTAAATGCTTGTGCAATCTACTGCATCCACCAGCTTTTCCGCAGTTGAAGAAGACAACATAGTCCGTTGTTACATCATTCAAGGACTCCAGACTGCTCCACGCAGCATCAAAGTCCTTCTGGCCCAGAGGCTCGTATTGTCTGCGATACCCATCGCGAGTGAGCATCATGAGGTGGGGTCGCGAGAAACAAAACTTGTTGGCAATAAGAAAGTGAGTGCTGTCTACGCTTCCGCCCATCTCGAAGCCGGTTGTATTGATGTCGCTACCCGGTAGTAGCTGTCTGTCGTGTGGCAAGCCACTTGTGGGTACAGATTGCGGTTCTGGTGTAGATAAGGTCGGCTTCTTGACAAGAGCGTTGGTGAGAACAAAATGGAACTAAATGTCAACCAGGCCGATGTTAGCTATTTCAATATTTAGAATTGGCTTTAATGCACGAACGAACCTTCAAGTCTCCATCAGTGTGCTCAACAATTTTCTGGTTTTCATCGTACAGAACAAGGCCTGATTTAGTCAGGGCATCAAATCTGGATAACATAGCTGACTCATCTCTGATAAACTCAGGGCGATCGTAAGTCATGTTGTCTGTAATGTGGTAGGTTGAATAAGAATGTTGGAGTGAGTTTTTTTGTGTAAGACGAGAGCGAAGAATTTTGGGGGGCACGAGGTTATCTATATGGTGAATGAATGACTAATCTGCCTAAATCATTGATGTGCTCGTGCCAGAGGTATGTAGAAGTTCCCTATGGTACAGTCGTACAACGTAATGAATTATGTAATACTGAGATTTGCCATTCTATACTACAAGAGGCTGATTTGATATTTAGCCAGATCCCTTGACGCCGTCGCCCTTTTCACCTATCTCGGCCGCATTAGATGGCCCGGAAACCATTGGCTCTGCTACCTGATTACTCCCATCATCGCTCGAGTGTGCTTCCTCAAATACTCTATCATCATAAGCACGGAACACCAACCAGAAGGTAGGCGCCGTGGTAATCATTGTTAAAGATAAACCTGTGTAAAGATAGAGAATCTGCGGGTCTTTTGACAATGGTGAGAATGCCATTCCAAGCGCCGAGCCAGCGCCTGAACTCAGTTGAGCCATGGCCTGTACCAAACTCCGCATGTTTCTTGGTGCCTCAGAATAGCTGTACTCTGCCAGAGTTGTGAAACCAAGAATCTCACCAACACCAAGTAGAATGTAGACAGGCGATTGAATCCAGACACTCAAGTCGTTGGGCGACTTTTCACACTGCAAGGGTTTGTCATAACACGGTCCCTTGGTGTATATGAGTTTTTGAACTCCAGCAGCATATGCCATTGCCGTACTCATCATGATGAAAGCCCATGTGATGCGGGCAATAGGACCAAAAGCGAACCCACGACCGCGGACAATCGGATAAACGAATCTCTGCATGATAGGACCAAGTAACACGCAAGCGATCGAGTTTAGAGCTTGGATGGTGTCGTTAGGAATACCACCGAGCCTCATTTGTCCAGCTTGTGATACAAGATTGTTTGTGATCTGATTCATACAAAGATGAAATGGTACAAAGCAAGCCCTGACGTCGGTGAGTTAGCATACAATTGCATAAAAAAAGACATGGGCAAGAACTCACATAACCTTACATGCTTGAAGACCCCGCCTAATCTCAAAGACTAATTTGTCATCCCATTCGACCTTTCGGCCGTACTTCTCCGACTGGTAAACTGGTGTAGCAGCTTCCCAGTTGAACTTGTTTCTTCCTGCACACGCGATGACACGGGAAGCGCGGGGAAGAATGTTTGCTTGAGGCTTCTGTTTGACTGTATAATTTAGTAATCATAACGAAACTGAAGAAAAGATGGGCTTACCAAGCAGCTTGTGAAAGAAAAGAAGTAAAGGTACCAATGTCCAAGTCGAACAAAGTGGGAGGAGATAAGCAGCCCAAAACCCAACCAGCTTTTCTAAGTATGTAGATGCTACAAGTGACAAGCTTGCTATGTTCGTAAACCTACAATCAAAGTGTCAGTTCAGTGTCTTCTAATCGTTGTAGAAGTCCTTACCAGTATGACACATTGTAAATATATTGCAGTGTAAGCGCCCGGTCTGCAATGACGCGCTCGCCTTTCTTGGTGGTAAATACTTGAGGGGCAGCTTCCGCGTATTGGTCACCTATGAATGGAGAGGCAGTAGCCTTTACACCAGCCGTGCCAATTCCAAGTATGATCATTGCAAACGCCAATCCCACCACCTTGGTGACCTGGGAATGGCTAAAAGCTGGTAGCGAGGTAACAAAGATAATCAAACATCCACAAAAGTTCAAGCTGCAGTCGTTTCTCAGTACCTGATCAGTTTGAGTTTTTGGAAGATGCGAACTTACAAGTAGCTCAGACACAGCGTTTTATATCGCCCCAGCCAAGTGTCAGAAATGACAGCCCAAACAGTTGGCAGAACAAAACTTAAGAAGAGAAAAGCACTTGTGATATTGGTAGCTGTTGCTTGTCCGAGACCCAAAGCACCAGGGACGGCAACACTATCAGCTGGATTCTGGATGTAATTCTCTGTGTGAAAAATGAGTTAAGGAAGATAAGGTTGGATTACTCTGGGTGCATACGCCAAGGTGTTGTTACAGCATAGAATGTAAATCTCTCGGTGGCATTGGTGATGAGTGCGACCCAAACAGCTACTGACACTGAATCAACAACGTGCGGCAGCTCTTCGATCTCCTTTTCTGTAGCGTCTCGCCTTTCATCTTCAGTGTGCTGAGTCACCATGATGAGTCCTTCAATGTTAAAATAAAAGAATTGTTAATTCAAGATACTTAACAATCGAGCGAATACTTGGGGGATGGTCCTATATTGAGCTACGAGTCACGCTTAAAATTTACGAGAAAATTAAAAAAGACTTGAATGCAATACCCATGAGATTCGCAAAGTGCGGGGGATGAAAAAGTCCAGTTAGTATTACGTACTCTCTCTGTAGACTCTGTGCTTGTTGGTTCGGATCATGATACAACTCTGGCCAGTGCAGGTACTTTTGAATGTCGGTAGCCTCGACCAACAACATATGTTACGTAGGCCCACACTTGTAGGGTGTGCACACACACACACACATGAAACGGCACATTCAGTATCCGATCGGAGCTCCGTCGGGTCTGACCTCCCTCTATATTTGTCATGAATATATATCAATGATAGGATCAAATCATGAAAAGAGATCCTGTAACTAGGCCACCACAGAAAAAGCGCCGTATTGTGGTCAAATTAACCTTGTCCTACGATGGTCTGGGGTCTTTATTAGCCGACAGGCTAGTTTGCTCCCGTCGAACTTACGATTGATCGTCATCACGTCAGATATTTTGATAGCAAGACCACTTGCCCTTTTGGGAAGACGGTATTACGAGAGTTGTGCTCTCTTACCTACCTCAAACGTAGTCATTGGTTTTCGTAAGCCAACAAATCGTGCATCAGACTTGCAAAGAGGCTCGACAAAAATCATGCAGTGATTCATAGCAAGGAATCGGATGATTATGAGATGAAGAAGTGAATCAGCGGTTGATAGCGTATGTGTTTCTCCCATAAATTGACCAACGGCTTGGACAGTTCATGTGTGTCCAGATACTAATTGTATGTAACGAGCGGTGAACAAGCCAACAGAAAGACGCTTGAACTGGATAACCACGTTCAATAGCTCAACATGGCAACCAATGTACCTGTGAAGTATGATATGATGAGGTACTCTATGCACTGCGCACCCTTCCCTCCCGGATTCCAATTAACATGCAATACAGGCGGCTCCGAGTAGCTGACTATATCACGCTTTCCAATGGTAGGAATATTGAAAACCTTATGAGATTACTGGTGATGATCAAGCTTACCAGGTTTGTTCAATGATGTAGGCTTCTGTGGAGGTAGAGTATTTCCAAAAGCCAAACAATAAGTTGAATTGGTAATTAATTTGTGTTAGTTCTCGCCATTTTCTGTGCGATAAACAAATCTTTCCTGTTAGCCCACTTCCTCATATTCCTTGGCTATGAGTTTGACCGTTTTGACGGTATAGTGGCAAGGGCCAGGAATGAATGTTCCGAGATGGGGAAACAGCTGGATAGCTTTTGCGATTTGGTGAGTCATCTTCCATTTGACTTGTTCCAACGAGCCATTCTCACCTTTGTCACCAATCTCAGGTCTCCTTTTGCGTGGCGCCAGCAGTTATTATCTATTGCGCCGGTTTTGATACCATAGTCGATCAGCTGGCTTTGACTATTTATGTCTGTTCAGGCGTTGCGCGTCTCTCAAGATTCAACATCGCCGCGCACTTGGTGCCCAAGAGTGATCAGGGGAAGGCTATGTACCATGAGGGTCTTCCCACACCATATGCGGGTCTTTTATTTTCTACAGCCGCTGCTGCTGCGGAGTGGACAGGGTTTTTGGTTAACCTAGCTTCTCGCTCTCATTATCCAGTCATTATTTTTGTGCTCATTGTCAGTACCGCCATGCTTAGCAAGCGGCTGCACTTATACATTGATGGAGCCTACAGCGTACCAGTTATCAGCATGTTGGTTTTCGCAGGATGCTGGACGCAGTCGCCAATGTCAATCAGGGCTGTGCTAGGATGAGAGAATATCTCAGTGATAAATGCAAGAGAAGTGGATAGAGGATTCTAATTGGGGCAAATTGTATACCGCCAATGCCAAGTATTGGAGATTCAATGGGCAGCTGAATCAGGGGTCAGGGTAAACAGATGTGTGCTTATTATGTATGTACAAGGCGAAACATTAGGGTTGTTAAGGGGTTGACAGACAGAGTAAACCAATAGAAAACGTGCGACGTATTCTCGTGAAGCATAAAAATCTTCAAAACCCTAAGTAGTATTTATTCTCTTGCTGACTTTTGTCATTGCTCATGTCCCTACCCGCTCTTCATTCTTACTTATCCACTATCATGTCTCTTCGGCCGTACTTTGAAGCTGCCTTCCGAGAGGTTCGTTTGTCTACCGAAACTGCACTCAATCCATTACAGAAGCTAGATTGTCACTTGAAAAAAGGTCAAGACAACCTCATCCTAGTTTACGGTGGCTCTTTCAACCCCCCGCACCGCGGGCATCTGGACGTCCTACTGTCGGCATTGCACCCTTTGGTCAACGCCGTGGCTGTGGTGGTTCTCCCCAGCGAGGATTTCCACCTACGGCACAAATTGGCAAATAGCCACCCAGAGTTCTTCATGAGTCGGAAAACGAGGGCTGCACTTTGGGCCGAGATGCCCCAAGTCCCTAAAGATAATGTCTGGATATGGTCGGAGACATGGTATCCATTTCTCACATTCATGGAGGCGGCACACCGGCTTTGCGAAACAGATGGCTACAAGATTGTGTTTTCGCACCTCATCGGGCCGGACAATCTCAACAGAGCCGATGCTCTTAACAATTTGCCATACAGGTTACCGCGAATACTTGTTACCAATAAAGCACGGCATGAACCCTCCCAGTTCTTGCCCAGCGGACAGCCGACTACATGGAAGGGCTTTGGAGAATGGATTCCACAAAAAATGACATTTGATGGCAAAAGTAAGTACATTGAGTAATCTTCATCTCATATGTCTCCGGCCTTCTAACAACTCCAGATGGGCAACCTGAAGAAGAAGCTGAGGAGGCTAACCTATGGACTTGTCGAGGTATCGATAGCCTCGGCCAGCAGACAATGGGTTACTATCTGGATATCGCAAAGAAACCCACTGGGTCTGATATCAACTCGACCTCCATGAGGCGTGACCTCCTTGAGAGACATTCATTGAACGAAGACATTCTCAGCCAACTCAGCACCACTGACATTCTAAGCATCCTAGAGCCAATATTACGTAAGGATTAGACTCATTGATAGGACACGTTACTCATTATGTCAGACTTCTCAGCTAGTAACCAGCTGTAGTCACAGATTTTCAATAAAAGCATTACCTAAATTACTTGATCAAATACTTATTTGTCATATGACAGCATATACCCCTTAACGTAATATTGATTTGGCTACATGAGCGGCATATCCACCTGCCACAAGCGGAAATGACATTAGAACTGGGGGAGAACCTGACAGACCCCAGATGAAAGAGTCGAAAGCTTAGTTGGGAAAGACATGATTGTAGTCTCGTATCGATACTGACTCAAACAACAGGTACCATCAGAGCTTATCACACAACCTAGAAGAGTCATGGCAGCTGTTGGTTCACACAAGGAGCTGCCTCACAAGCGGCTTACTAGTTGTCATAATGAGGGAGGCGAGGCGAAAGTGTTTTCTTGGGGAGATTGGTCGCGTGCAAGTATATATTGGCATCTCTTTACTGCATTGAAACTCAAATTTTGCCATCTAAATAAACGCATTATCGAATACTTCATATCTTCATTTTACAACAGAAAACATGGCAGTTTTGAATGGGTACTTTAGACCAAAAGTGGCCTTTGTCACTGGTCAGTAATATACACCTTCTGAGGAATGTTCCGGCCATCTAACAATCGAGACAGGAATCACTGGTCAAGATGGCTCCTATCTGTCTGAGCTCCTCTTGGAAAAGGGATACGAAGTTCATGGCCTGGTACGATCGACTGCGTCCAGGCGTGAAGCTCTAAGCAAGCCACTCCGGCCTGGCTTGACTATGCACCTTGGCGATATGTCTGACCTGGGCCGCCTGGTCCAGATTCTGGGCAGAATCAAGCCTGATGAGATTTATCATCTTGCTGCTCAGTCCCACGTGGCCGTCTCATTTGACACTCCACTGCAGACCAGTGACACCAATGCTATGGGAACACTTCGACTGCTTGAAGCAATGCGGATGCTAGGCTTGGAAAAATCGACAAAGTTTTATAACGTGAAGTTCCTTCATCTCACATTGGCCCATCGGAAAATGCTAACATAGTAATGCAGGCCTGTTCATCAGAAGTGTTTGGGTCGGACATGCCCGCTCCACAGACAGAGGAGACCACATTCCACCCTGTATCACCATATGCCGTAACCAAATTGTTCCAATACTGGACGACTGTCAATTTTAGAGAGGCATACGGCTTCCATGCTTCGAATGGTATTCTCTTTAACCATGAGTCACCAAGACGAGGTACTACTTTTGTCACCCGAAAGATCACAACACAAGTGGCTTTAATTGCCTGCGGAAGGTTGAATTTCTTCTCCCTCGGAAACCTGGATGCTGTCCGAGATTGGGGTCATGCAAAAGATTACATGCAAGGCGTGTATCTGATGCTACAACAACCAGTCGGAGGCGATTATGTTCTTTCAAGTGGAAAGTCTTACAGTGTTCGCGACTTTGTCGAGGCAGCCTTCAAGGTCATCGGAGTCACTATCGAGTAAGTTCATATTCACGATCATATAATCGCAGTAGCTAACACGTTTACTAGATGGTCTGGAACTGGTCTAGACGAGGTCGGCATTGACTCAGCTAGCGGAAAGACTCGCGTCAAAGTGAACCCAGAGTTCTACCGACCACTCGATAACCAGAACTTGCTAGGCTCCGCAGCCAAGGCGAAGAAAGTTCTCGGATGGAAGCCGACATATAGCTTCGAAGCATTAGTCGAAGAAATGGTACTTTGCGATGTGGACGCTGTTAACACAGGTCGTATCTTCTCAAACAGCTATCTGGACTGGGTAGTCGGTAAGGCCGAAAGCGAAAATGGCGTCGTTAAGCACAGTCCTCCCAAGTCGGTTGGTGAGACTCACAGCGTCACTACAAATTCGGATGGGTCTGAGAAGATCAGCCTGGGTGAAGTTGAGGGGTTGGATGCATAGGTCACGAACCAGAGTTAGTCATGTTGTCAAAGCTTTAAGGCACTAGTCATTCATTCTACATTTCTTTCGAATATATCGATAGTCGGATTCGTCACATATTACCATATTCCATTCCGTTGTATGTACTTGGTGTTCGGTTATTCTAAGCGAGAGCGGAGTGGTAGAGGGACCTAAATGTAGCGTCAAGTTGTTCAACCAGCACTAATTATAGATCATCCTGAAGTTACTACCCCCTATACACGCGGCTTGGGATCTAGCATTGACGCTTCACAGCCTCAACATGCTGAAAAAGCCTCGCTGACTGTCTCTTACCCCTCGGTGTTGGTTGGGTCTAATTGTGTATTTGTGATTACGCGCTATAGTTCTCTCTTTCCTCTATAGCACTATAAACGTTAATTTTACTATCTAGATACTAGTCTTCTCTGTTTTGATCAACATGTACAACCAAGTTGACGTTTGAGCTGCGCCACACTCCTTATGGGGAAGGTACCATTTGCCTGATCGTCCATGAAGATGAGGTGGTGTGGGGGTTTGACATTGAGACACGTAAGCCAACCCAACGCCGTAACTTCGGGTAGGGGTTTTTGAGTTAATTAGTCATATCTTGCTCTATATTTTGTTGATTGTGAAATGAGCAGTAATAATCCGCTTGACCAACAAGTTTCACCGCCACTCAAATTTAACCATAATGTAGATCGTAGCTGAAAATTCGACCTTTCTTACGGCAGGTGTCATGGGAAACTGAACTACGTTATTACGAAAGAAATGGTTTGACAAATCTCTTAAACCTGTGCTGTAATCAATGCGTGATGTCTAATGCAACCGCTTTGTGAAATGACGGACAAATTCCATCTTAATAAAGGATAACAAACCTGAAACCGTGCTATTTCACAATCCTTGCCCCATTACCCAATTGCCTTCATAGCTCAAGTATTCAGTACCGACAGCCAATATGGGAAGTCGATTAACTCCAGAGATGGATGGATTCTTGTTCTCCGAGACCTTCTCGTTCAAGACTCTCGGTAGTGAAGGTAAGCCTCTTTGCGACTTTCCACCAGTAATGATTGTTTGATGCTGACGCTTTGCCCTCCCTATTTCATAGCTACCTTGAAAGCCGAATGCCGTTGGAGATTTTCACCCGCTTTCTCTCCCAAGAATATAAACTGGAGCGATACTCTACACTACAAGTCTATCGATCTCGTTTTCAATCTTATATCCTCGGAATATAACGACACAGATTTTCTTGTCGACTGTACCGAAACGCCATTGGGTGCTATTATCAAGGAGTTTCTGGCATCAAAGTCGTTTTGCTCCGAGGGCAGCGGACTAAACCACGCCGCTGAGGTTTTGATCAAAGTGTTGATGATTCCACATGATGGCTATCTCTGTCGATATGACATTCTACAGTTGAGAATGGTGCATTCTGATTTTATTGAAATCGTCGTTCCCTTGTCTGTAGATGGAAAACAGTATCCCGAGGCAACTCAATCTTCAGCCAGTCTGCTTTCTCTCTTGCAATACTCCCCCGGAGCTTTGATCTGTAAACGATCCGTCCAATTGGCTCAAGGACTTGGGGCATTTGATCTCCTCGCCAAGGAAGTCGATGAGAGGCTTTCGTTTGATTGGGTGCTCCCGAACAAACCCTTGGCATCAACTGTGGCAGTCGTTGGCGGTCGCCCTCTGTTCGATAGCACAACCGGGGGTTATGGTTCAGAGGGACCATTTGACGCGGCGAGAGCGCTGGGAATAGCAGTCATTGTCCTTGATCGCCCTGGCCATTTCATGGAGGACAAGAAATACAACCACCTACGAGATGACTTTATTGCTGTCGATATGACAATCAACGACAGTCTACCTCAAAGGCTCGCAGTAGCCGTGAAAAGCCGCAAAATAGACGGCATCATCACCTTCTCGGACGAGTACGTCATTGCAACTGCAAAGGCAGCCGACATGCTGAATCTTGAAACGGAGCCTGTCGAGTCTATCATTACTGCCCACTACAAGGACGCGACCCGCAAGGTCCTTAATACTCCCAATATGCAGTCCTTACGGTTAAAGAACGCCGCTGACTTGGACATCGAGGACATTTCTAAGACGTTGGATGCCTTGAAGTATCCTTTGGTGATAAAGCCGTGTCGTGGTGCCGCCTCTCGAGGTGTCAAAAAGGTTCAGAATCACCACGACCTCCGAGAAGCAATCAACCAGCTGGAGAGCGACGGCCTCACAAAGTACGGGATTCTTCTCGAAACTTACATAAGCGGGCCAGAAGTAGATGCCAACATTGCTCTCTGGGATGGTGAGCTCATGTTCATGGAAATCACGGATGACTTTCCTTGCACGGCTGATGCCAACGACGCCACAATTGCGGACAGCTTTGGGGAGACTGTCATGATATCACCAACTTTGTTGTGCCAGAAGGAACAGGAACTGTTGAAGTCATCTCTGCACCAAACCCTAGTCAAACTTGGTTTCCGAAATGGGGTTTTTCACGTCGAAGCTCGAGTCCAGAACTCGAGGATGCAATACAAGGATATCGACGGCCTTGTTGACTTGGCCAACACAGACATTCCACCACCAAGCGAGCCCGAGGTGTATCTCATTGAGGTCAACGCGCGTCCACCTGGCCTGGACTGTGCGTTCTCGACCCTCCATGCTTACGGGGTAGATCTATGCGCACTACAGCTACTACAATGCCTCAATGATGGCGATCGCTTTAAAGCGATGTGTAAGCCTTTCCTCTCCGAAACACAGTACTGGAGCGCGAACTGCCTGATTCCAATTCACCGCCACAACATTCTGGTACCAGAAGGGTTCTGCGACAAGGTCTTGCAGAATATTCCAGACGCTGCTCCTTTGGTTTATAGGTCTGAGCTTTTTAGACAGCCTGGAACTCTGGTATCACCGCCGCTGGGTGTTGAGTTTCTAGCTTATTTCTTAGTACAGTCTAGGACTGATCGGCGAAAGGTGCTGGAGACTTACCATCGCCTCATACAAACTTGTAGAGACGTTTTAGATAAAGTTTGAGAACAAGCGTTAGAGATAGGCATTAAATCAACATGCAGTTACAACCTCACTGTCTTCGCTTCCGATTTGCAAGTAGCATTTGGTGACAACTAGTTATATACATCTCCTCCCTCATCTTTGCATGACTCGATATCCGATCATGCCAGGCGGACTTGAAGCATAATTCCAAGCATAATTTATGGCACCAGCCATGAACAACACTTAAGGTCGGCAATTATCTCATTGGATGGAATATCCTCGTGGAGTTAGGCTGCTCGGAACTTTTGTGCTAACAGCTGCTCCAAACCGGGTCGGGCCGCATATAGTTCTTTCTAGTATCCAAACAGGTTAAGGTTTATATAGCAACAGTCTGAAAATCACACAAAGGTCCAGGTCATGTTAGCTTTTATACACCAAAATGCACACCCGGCATGCTCACTCAACCGATGTGACAGCTCCTGGCAGTTATCAGTCAAATTGTTCAAGCTCTACCAACATAACAAAGAATACGACCAACAGAGGTATTCGCGACTGATATGCAACCGAGTCCGACCCAGTCAATCTTATGGCGGATACTATGAGGGCTAAACGAGAATTACTTTGAGAACCTTGCAAAATTGAACGCGGGGGGCGTTCTCGACCTGCCAGAGTTGCCTTCTTGGTGGAGAGTAAGTGGAGATTTGTTGGCAGTAGAATCAGGCGATTGGTACGTAATTTAGGCCGGAACTTTTGAAAATGTCACACAGCTACCAACAACATAACCAACATCATGAGCATACCTGCTTACAACGTAAAGCTCCTTAACGTTACATCTCTAATCATTTAAGTAAGTAAACGATGGTCGCGTGCTTTGTTACTATTTCGACGCACAGCATAATGCACAAATGCGTCCAAAAGTCAGTACTATTACACCAGAGGTCTTTTGTCTTGCAGCTGCAGTCGATCCAAGAGTCTGTGGAATTTTGGGTGCACTATGTCGGTCACATCTCAATCAGATGCAACTATGAATGTTGTATTCGTTGGCAACCCGCCTTCAACTCATGCATCTCTGGGCGCCAATGTCAACGCTACCGATCCGGAGTCTCAAGGGATCACTGACCCTAGGGCTAAGAAACGCATGCAGAATAGAGTAGCCCAGCGAAGTTACCGTAAGACTGACCTCGCCTCGATAGTCTTGGCTTGCAATGGTCACTAACGAGCTAGAGCATAGGGCGTCGCGTCAAGTCCCGCATTGCCGATTTCCAAAAGAAGGTGGCTCAGTATGAAGATGCAAATTCATCGAAACAAGGTCCAGAGACGGGAGATCAACCTCGTGTTCATGAAGAGTCTGTGCAACAACGGATATCATATACATCACCCGAAAGAGCCAGTCAGGGACCAGTTGGCTCTCGACCAACCCGCGAAAACCTCCAAGAGAGTTCTACTCACGGAAATTCACATTGCACTTTTTACCCAGCAGTGTCCCTCGCTCCTGGGAATCAGATATCAGGCCCCCCAGCGATAAAATCAGGAAGATCTAGTCAGCAGGTTGGATCAGGCTGCGAGGCGCAGCAGAATCGCCGTTTAAGCTTGGTAACCGAACCTCATGAGGCCAATGGAGACCTCCGCCAAGCCCATTTTGACGATATTGTCGTGAACCAGCACACCACCCCAGCCATATTGCAGTCTTTTCCTACATCAACCTTTGATACGGCTGCTTCTCATGCCCCATTTATAACTGATGGCCTTGAAGGAGAATTAGATATTGAATGGATGATAGCAAACACAGAGATAGAGGCACGAAAGTCATGCTCATGCGACAAATCACCAGACCAAAACACGAAAGTCTCTTCCACCAAAGCCATTTCACTAATGAACCAATCATCCACCACAAGACGACCGAGCTACGTCTCATCTTCAAGGTCACCAGCAACCGCGCCCGGGGAATCACTAAACGCCAGATTTCAGAACATCATGGAATGCGTCGGCGCAATGGGTTTCGAAAGCTTTGATGATCTAGTGACTTCATACTACACCGACGAGTTTGAAGAAGCATCCAAGCTCTCCCATGAGCAGCGATTCAGCAGGATCAGAAGACTCCCTGGAGTATTCGCCGAGATTCTGGAAGGTGCAAGAAGATGGGAGCCTTTGGAGTGCCGTGGTATCGGTGAAGAAGTTCTCAAAGAGTCTGAAGCGGTTCTTATGCTTGAGAGTAGCGACGCTTGGCAATCGTTACAGTCAATCACGGATGCAGCTATAGCACAAGATGATATCTCTACGGAGCGGTTATATCAGAATTTCAGCACACTCCTACCCATTGAAGTAGGTCTCATACAAATGATAGCAGAGTGGAAAATCACGCTTCTAAACAGACTCGACTCGTTCAAAACTGACAGAAATATAGATGCCGAAACTATGGACCTTATTGATGGCGCTTGTCGCATCTGATTGTCCCGCATGGCAACGAGATTGTTCGGGTACTGCACTCGCTATAATTACGTTGTTGCATTTCACAGGCCGAATACCGAAGTGCAAAATGCTCAAATTGATATCTCTTTGTCTTTCTCAGTAGTTAAACAGCTACCATTATACAGAACTCTGCCGTAAAATAGCCCAGATTAAATATTACTTGTTCTATTGTAGTAATGAACTCGTAACTTTATAGTATACAGTATTAACCTGTGGAATTCGGCAGCGCCTATGGAGTCAAGTCACCTGGCAAGTGAGCTAGTAATAAGCTCATCCGGATACGATGCGGCAATAGAAAGGTTCTCCTGCTGACCACGCATAGAACCCGCACAACGCCCGCTTTTTCCAGCTTATAGTATCCACAGACACTACCGAATTCTGCAAGTTGGTAAGGTACTCGTATTATCGGTCCGCGAAAAAAATCAAGTACAGGGTATGACATCCGTCTCTACAGCCTGTACCAGAACCAAGATTATAGCGCCGCAATATATTCTTGGTACTGTTATTGAGTACGAGGTGCTCTGCGGCTTCGAGATTGAGAACGTCTGCTCTAGGAATCCAAATAGATTTAGGTGTTTTTGAGTTTTGTTTCCCAGTTGAGTGATGTATTCCCGTGATTGGCGATAAAGTCCTTTTGAACAGTGTCGAGACGGTTTCGATTGGGGCTGGAGATTATGTCTGCCAATGTCGGAATCATAACGAATTCAGTATAAGATATCATTTTCTCTGATTGGATTCAATTATCTAGTTACAGTGATATGAAAAGGAGCTCGAGTCTAGCAAAATTATGTCGCCAGCCCGTACATATGAAAGATTTCACTTAAGCTATCTCAGACTAACAATCTAGAACAGCCTTATCTTATCGCTCGTCTGGTCTAACTACAACAGCAACAGGTAGTGCGGGGTAGCGCGATCAGACCTTCAGATCCTCACGATTTTCTTGATTCAGGCCGCAATCTTTCCCAGCAGTAGCTCCAGGGTAAACATGGCTAGGACCCCATTCGGGCAACTCAGTAGCTGAGTCTGGCATTGAAACAGTCTGAGCTGAAACTCCCACAGTCAGGCCAAGGTCATCAGTTAGCTCAACATTCTTAGTATCCTAACAAAGGTTAGTGAATTCATTCAGGGCTTGTTTCTCGATGACTCACCTTGACAGCTCTCCAGGATAATTCTTTCTTCAAATAGGCAACCACAGCATTGACATCGTCAACATCTACACCTCTTTCTTCCAACGCTTCATTTAGTGGGACAGTTCCGGTAACGAGGATATCATTTTCAGCTTGCGAAACACAGTTCGCACACTGGCGTATCGACCGATTGGACAACATGGTAACTGATCCAACACGGTTCTCCGAGAGGAACCAGTCTGCAGTCGACTCAGGTAATTCCCCAAGGAAGACATGAACAGCCCAGGTGCCGGTAACAGCAAAGTTCTTGACACGGAGAAAGACTTGCCAATGGTGAGTCTTTGGTCCAGGGTTGGCCTCAACCGGAGGTTTGACGTCCTGGAAACCACCCTTGGGCGGAGGTGGAACGGCTCGCTTCGGCTTTGGGGCATAAAGGTCATTGATTTGTTGAGTTGTGTACGATTTCATGGCTTCCTGGTCTTTGATGTACTCTAGCGGAGTCTCCGGGTAGTAGTAACCGCCTTCGAAAGTGCTCGTGAGTTCCTTGGTGTCATTGGCGATATAGTAGTCGGACATAGAGTGCTGATCAGTCTTGTGCCAGGGCTCAAGGTTTGACTTTCCACCCTCCATTGTGCCTTCCTTAGCTACAAAGCGAGGCATTCGGGACGACCATTCAGCAATGGTGCAGTCGGGATTGAGAGCTTGCCAAAGCGCGGTGAGCCTGTCGCAGTTGACGTGGTGAAGCCAAAACACTGGATCAAACGAGCTAGCTTGAACATCCGTCATGTTGCCCAAGAGTCTAGTGACCTCGACCTCCTCCTCGTCGTTGAGAATGGTGTCGTTGGTGCCGGTGTAGTTATGGATGTTGTTATGCATGTCTTCAACGGAAGTGTATGCGTGGGGAGATTCTGTAGGTCGCCACGCCGTACAGGTGAACTGATCAAAATCTTTGATAGCGGTGAGGGCTTGGTAAGTTTGCGTCTTGAACTGCTTGAATGTTCCAACTTGAACGTTGGAAATCTCTTGATCACTCTTGCCATCGGCATCAGGGCAGCGCTTCGACTCGGTCCAAACCTTAGAGTTCTCCCAGTTCATCTCCTGCTGCATGAGTTGGATAGCAGTTGGAGAGGTGAACTTGTAGGAGTACAGCGGGTTGTGTTCAAGATACTTTGTATCGTTGATCCCCTTTGACTCTCCGGGTACAGTTAAAGTGATATCTGGGGACATAACAACGGCCGGTAGGTTGGGCTTCTTAGCCCAGTCCCAGTAGCTATTGTTTCAATCAGTAAAACAACCAATGTTTATAGTTACGTACTTACGGTAACCGAACTTGTAGAAGAGCCTCTTTGTAGGCCTCAGCCGCATATCCAGTAGCCTTATTAGCGATCTCTTCAGCGTAGGAATGGATTATTTGCTGGGCTTGTCAATAAGATAAAACAAAATGCATTTGTTATTTACCTCGTAGAGCATCAGGTATGGTCGATGCCATGGAATGAACAGAGTGCTTCGATGCGTACAGTATCCGATGTTCTCGACAGTGCCAGCGGTGGGATCGTTCTGCCAAGGTACATACGGCACACCGTGAACACCTAAGTCTCTTAACATGTATTCTTCAAGTTTTATAGCTTTGTAAACTTACCCACGATCTGAAAGTAGCTTGTTCCATTGACATTGTCCTTGTCAAATTCCTCGTTGCCGTTTTCTTGCCAGGCTAAAAGGGCCTGGATGTACAAGGCGAAGGCAAAAGGATGGTTCTTTTGGAAGACATCGACAGGGAGGCGCGGGCTGGGCTTTCCACCTGGATTCTGAATACCAGTGATGGGTGTTGGGGAAGGGATAGTTGGGGCCATGATGAATGTCGCGTGTCTGCGTTAGATGAATGAGAAAGGTGAAGGATGAGTTTTTGATCCGAGTGAGAAAACAGGTAGATAGAAGCTTCATATTTATAGTTGTTCTTCTTTTTCAATTGCTACAATGGCCAAGGCCTAACTCTCCACCCTGTTCACGTAGAAGAAGGTCCTATATGCGAGCCAACTCGAATGGAAATAGATTACCCCTCTTCAGCTGAGCCAAGGTCAGCCATGTCTCAGATGATCAGAAATCCCGTCGCCTCATATATACTGCTATGCCTCAAAAATAAAAGGGTGCCCATTCGGGAGTATTGCCACAGCCACTCACTTCTTGGCTATCCTCTCCGCACTACTGGTGAGCTCGACAACACTGAGTATTTGGGAAATGAAACCCACGTTCTCCACAAGTTGGTACCCTTAAAGTGATTCTATCGAGGCTACTGCGATATGATAGATGTGCGATTGCCAGGCATTCACAATTGGTGGATCGCTCAAGAAAATGTTAAGAATAGTAGTAGTTCAGGTCATCGGACAACAACCCTCCTACCCCGAGAGGAAGAAAAACAAAGTGTCAGTGAGACTATTGATAACTGCAGTAAACTATTGAGTGACTGGCCACTCGGCTTGCTCGATTCTTTGCTGGTGGCCGATTTAGGTCAAGCTCTCACCATGTCGTATGTATAGTAGACTTTTAGCGTAGAGTTGTTGAGAACGGTCTTTGCATAGAGATAAGACATAGGTGTTATTCCCATTGGGTAGCAATAATTGAGAGACTCTGAAATCTTGTATAGGTATATATCGATGGAAAGTCATAGAAGAGAAGCAGGCGGGGGAGGAAAGAGGGATTTTATTAGATTTCGAGTTAAGAAAGGCTGCTAGATGATTTTTCTGAATTGGAACCAGGTGATTGCAGGTCTAACAACGCAGTTTACTACTAAGGCTTGCATGAATAAACTAGCAACTTCAATGCCTCACATATTGTCCTAGATGTAGTTAGTTATGCAATTAGTAGTAACATTCCTATAGATTGATGCATTGTATGGCTCCAAGTTTCATTGCCACTCCAATTCAACTAATAATGTAGATTCTCTACATCTGTCATGAAAACGATTCAGCTTCTACGTAGTACCAGTAGGTAGAATAGACTGTCTTCTCTAGAACATTTCGATATCCATATCAGCGTCAGTTTCTACTGGATACTCTTTCATAATTTGTTTCAAAATATCGATCCACCATTGTCGATACCGAGAGCCAAACAAGGCCTTTCTATATTCCCACCACTCAGGCCAGAAACCTGCCATTTATCAATCCACAATACCCGTCACAGAGCCTGTTACAGGATCAAGAAGAATATTCTCCCACGAGATATCTGCATGCGCAAAGATGATACGATAGTCATCAGGGAGCATGTTGCGCTACGTAGCAATCTATTCAGGCCGTGGATAGTTCTTGATGAGTTTAACAAGGAAGTCGTGAAACTTGGCAACAGACGCAAATAGGCAACATTTAGACATATTATCCAGCCGATGGTCATAAGCGGGACCTCCAGAACAAGAGCCAATCCAGCCAGATCCAGACGGGCGAAGGTGATGCAATTGGCATAAGTATGATTGAAGCTCAGAGATCGTCTGTGCCATTGCTGTTTCTGTCATTATTAGCCATGCTTCGTCTAGCTATCGTCCTGGGACTCGTTCCATCGAAGTCCAGCCCGGCTTATCGTCGCTCACGCCGAAATGCATGTCAATAATTGACGGTTCAGGGATTGAGGTGTGACTTCGTACCTAGTTCATGGCTTCGGCCTCTCTGCGAAGCCAAAAGGAATCGGCCTCCTTCTGGAATAATATTGAAGGATGAATAGAAAGTTCAGTTTCATCATGAGGCATCGCATTTGCGGTGGTAGATGTATTAGCCATTTTTAATTTTTAATATAAAAAATGGAGAGGAACAGGTTTTGATCAGCGAGAAACGCGCCACTGAGCACTCTTATCTCTCGTCCAATCTAACTATAATGAGTAATGTAGGGTAATATAATCAGGCCTTCAAATAGTTATTTGTAGCACTATATTGTACCTGCCAGCGTAGACCGTTTTATATAGTTTAATGCACTTCCAGCCCTCAACCATTTGATTTGGTGAGCGTGGTAAGAGTGATTAAGCGGTGCAGTCCATAGACTACCATCCTTTGTTTTAACTTCCATTGTTACCTGCTTACCAGGTTGAAGATCACTTCCATCCACGCCCAACAGACTGATGACATCGCCTTCCGTGATTCTGTCATAATCTTGAGAGTCCGCAAATGTCAAAGGAAACATGCCTTGCTTCTTAAGATTTGTTTCGTGAATTCGAGCAAAGCTCTTAGCAATGACAGCCACACCTCCGAGGAAACGTGGCTCCAGCGCAGCATGTTCTCGCGAACTACCTTCCCCGTAGTTGTTATCACCGATAATGCACCACCTGATACCGGTCTGCCGCATGTCTTTGGCGACTTGAGGCACAGTCTTAATCTCCCTATTCATCGTGCTTCTGGCCTTGCCAATCATATTGAGAGACGTGGCGTCGGGGAGAAAACTGTTGGTGGCACCCAGAAGCATATTGTTACTAATGTTTTCGAGATGCCCACGATATTTGTACCAGGGTCCTGCGGGTGAAATATGATCTGTTGTGCATTTGCCTGCAACCTTGATGAGGATTTGCATGTCCTTCGCGTTTCCATCTTGCCAAGGTGTGAAAGGCTTAAGAAGTTGCAGCCTGTCACTATCCTTATCGATAACAACTTCGTGTTCCGAAGTATTTGTGAGGACAGGAGCTTGATACAAGTCATCTCCATCAGAGAAATCCTGAGGCAGCTCGCTGGCTGTTGGAGGTGTGAAGCGGAACTCGGAGGGTGCGCCGGATCCATTAATGAAAGGCACGGCATCGGTAATAGGGTTAAAAGTAAGATCTCCAGTGTAGGCAAAGGCTGTGGCAATTTCGGGAGAGGTGACGAAAGAATGGGTGGCTGGGTTGCCATCATGGCGACCAGTAAAGTTGCGATTAAAGCTCGAGATGACCGAGTTACTCTCTGCTCCAGCGACATCAACATCTTTTCGATCCCATTGCCCAACGCAAGGGCCGCAAGAGTTACTCAGAACAATGGCGCCAGCATCTCGAAGTATGTTGAGAATACCACTCTCCTCCGCTGTAGCACGGATCTGCTCGCTGCCTGGGCTGACCATGAAGGGTGTTTTTGTTCGGTGCATGCCCGCATCCTTGGCCTGCGTTACAAGGTTGGAGACTTTCTCAAGATCTTCGTACGAGCTGTTTGTGCAACTCCCCACCATGCTGTAGCTGATCTTTGAGGGCCACGAGCTTTCCTCGACGCGCTCCTTGAAGATAGAAAGTGGGTGCGATAGATCGGGTGTGAAAGGACCGTTGACGTGAGGCTCAAGTGTTGAAAGATCAATCTCTATAATCTCATCGTAGAAATCCTCGCTTCCAGGGTCTGCATTAAGTAGTGTTTCCTTGAAGTTGTCTGCATATTGAGCAATGTCCCCTCTTTTTGTCGCTGAAAGGTAACGCGCCATGGCTTGGGAGTAGGGAAAGATGCAGGAGGTTGATCCAACTTCGGCGGACATGTTACAAGGAGTCGCCATGGCTGTTGCACCCAAAGTCTGGGTTCCAGGCCCAAAGAACTCGATAACTTTTCCCTTTCCTCCAGAAACGGACAAAATACCAGCCAGCTTGCATATTATATCCTTGGAGGAACTCCAACCCGATAGGCTGCCTGTCAATCGCACGCCTACGACCTTGGGACAGACAAGCTCCCATGGCATACCAGCCATGGCGTCTACAGCATCTGAGCCACCGACTCCAATCCCAAGCATACCCATGCCGCCGGCATTTGGTGTGTGTGAGTCAGTTCCAATTATCAAGCCGCCAGGGATAGCATAGTTCTCGAATATGGTCGTGTGAATTATGCCAGCGCCAGCCTTCCAATAACCAATGCCGTACTTTTTCGCAGCGCTGCTCAAGAACTTATAGACTTCGCCATGGTCGTTTGCAGCTCGATTGAGATCTTCTTTTGCGCCGTATTCAGCCACTATGAGGTGGTCACTGTGTACAGATGTCGGAACTCGAACGCGCGGGAGGCCAGCGCTGATGAACTGGAGGAGTGCCATGGTTGCGGTCGCATCGTGGCAGGCGACGCGATCAGGTCGTAGTCGCAAAATCGTCTCGCCTCTTTGTATCCTATCGAGGGCCCAATCATCTTGGTCATGTATGAGATGGCTGTAAAGGATCTTCTCGGTCAATGTCAGGGGTCGTTTCTTGGTGCCTCGGACGCGGTGCAGGGATTCTAATTGGGAGCCGTAATCGAGATGGTTGTACTGGCTCGCAAGTTAGCAGGCGACCAGGGCTTGTGGATGGATCAGTATATACAGGTTCAAGAGGACTGATGGGGATATGCGACGAGTGCGTGGCCAAGCCACGGATATGAAGCCATCGTAGCTCTTTTTTAAAGGAGCGCCGGGTAAGGGTAGACCGAAGTGCCGTCAATGTCATGCTTACTGTCAAATGCTTGTTACAGCATCCCAATGCTAAAATAATTCTGGAGAATGACCTCTGGTCTTTATTCAACAGGATGACAATCTAAGAAAATCCCATTTGTCAATATTTCATGACCGAGCCGAGGCGATAAATGCGACTCGATGCTATTCCGAGGCCGTGCGGAGCAACCCGCTCATCGTTCAACTCCCCACACGGACTACTCCGCACCCTAGCAACTCCAACTCAGAAACGGTTGTTCGGATGCATTCCGAATTGATCAAGATCGCCGTTTCCATTCAGAGGGAAGCTCCAGGTAAATTCGGATCTGTCAAAGTCGGCCAGAAACATTTCAATTTCTGGCATGAAGTCGACTCTGGCAGTGTCAATGCCGTACCAGATGGCCTGGTCATCGTCGACATCTACTCCCATTCCTTGCCATGACTTATGCATCTCTTCAAGCGGCAGCTGGGTTATGCCGTCCATGTCTTGAGCATTGTCCACCACCGTGATGGAGTTGTCTTCCAGCGCCCCTCTTTCAGCCCGACGGCTGGATAGTCCGGCGGCGGTCGAGTGAATTGACAGACGCGGGGCCTTGAACGGGGGTTCATCCATGTACAGCTTTCGCATCGTCAAGCTAGCCACTGAGTCAAAGCTCTCTTGTCCATTCTTAGCAGATGGCCACCATTCGCCGCCAATAGTGAGAAGGCTGGAACAAGTTCGTACGTCCTTAGACATTCTAGGTATAGACACACTTTTACGGACTTCTTGTGAGGTCCAGAATGAATAGATCAACGTTGCTCCAGCAGCAAAAATATTTTGCACTGCCCTCCAACCATAATGAAGACTTTGGAGACTGTACAACCGCTGGTAGCCTTCAAGGATGCTTGAAGAACTGTTGAAGCAAATCTGTAGTGCATCTGCAGATGGGCTTCGTACCACTTGAGAGGGCTGGAACAGCAAAACGGTTATCGTGTAATACTTAATTCTGAGCTTGAGCTTCCAGACTTCTCGTTGACGAGCGTTGAGACTCGGAAAGTCGAATGTCTCTTGGGAAACTTCTTGCCACCAGCCATCCAAGGTCTCTTTAATTCTCTGCTGATGTTCGATGGGGTTTTCAGGCCAGGGAAACCAGCTAGAGTCTTCTGGGAGATGATAGAAATGAAGCTTGATGTCGGACACGATCCGGTCAAGCTTGTAAGTGAATGACGCGTATCGAGTGACGGCGGCCATGAAAGACTGTGGAATAGCTCCATCCACATCATCGTCTTCGGGTGGTGGTTGGGGAAGCTTGATATCGAATGTTTCATCTCTAAAGCCAAGAGGACGGCCTTGGACAGAAGAAATTGACCTAGGGAAACAATATGAGCAAATCACCAAGAGTTTACCCCAAGGGCAGCATACCTATCAAGAGAGTATATGGTGAAAAATGTAAATCGTCTGATCTGTTGCAGCGCAACGTCTTCCGGTTGTACATTCTGCAGTTCGCGATGGATGCCAAGCTCCACGCAATGAGCCAGGGCGATATGAACCAAGGTCCAGAGATTTATCTCAGCTGGCGTAAGCATGCTGTGATTAATAAGCATAACTAAGGCCTGGATTGTGGGAAGTGAAATCTGTGAAAAGGCCTCCTTGGAAAAAAGAACGGCTGCTCTATAAAATTTCTGCGGAGGAAATTCATAGACTCTAGTCCGGACTTTGACTATAGCTGCAATATTGAAGACCATGAAGAGAATGAATGCAATCACGGGCAGGGTGGTCCCATGATTTTCCGAAACTCCAGGTACGATTGTTCGTCCATTCCACCGGAATGGAGGCATAGTACTGGGCCAGCCATGAGGTGAACTACCCACCTCTCCAGGTTCAAGAACGCATAAATAGATCGCATCTATAGCACTTAACAAAGACGAAGGCTCTAGGACCGGAAAATCGGGGTGCACCCAGCGTATATATGTATGGGCAAGAATGAGAGCCTCTGGCTTTGTCGGTAGTTCCTTGTAGCACGGTTAGCGAAACAGGAAGTCTAATTGATTAAATGTGATCACCTTTTGTAGAGAAGCATATAGTGCTTGATAGTAAGTCTTATAGTCTGAGCTCTTATCTGTGTCCTGCCACTCCGAGCCACCCGCATTGATACTATCATTAATACACTGTGGTGTAGACCCGACACTTGATGGTGAGGCTCCAATAAGATTCGTAAAGAGTAAACCCGAGCTCGAACCAAGGTAATGCCTCTCAGGAGAGTCTGAGTTGAGAGAAAGCATACCCAGGTTAACGGCAACTGAGTGAACCCGTTCCGGGAACGACCCATCATGATCAGGCTGTCCAGATACATCTGCTGATCTCTTCGACGGAATTCTCTGTAAGGCTGGACTTGTAACCGCAGGTGTTTGTGCTGTTGATGGCTCACCATCTTCATCTCCACCTACATTCGGAAACCTTGTCTCGTGCCCAAGAGCCGGCTCAACATGAGGCCCCGATCGCAGATCAACATCAGGAGCGCGTTCTTTAATGATGTTTTCAAGCCACTGTATCCTTGCACGAGCAGCTCCGGCAAAGCTTCCATATTATTAGTAATCGCTATGGGTCGAGTGTTGAATTTACTCACTTGCGAGGAATAACAACGTCGGAGTTTTGGCTGTCAACATCCAGACATACCTGCCCAGCCTTTGCGCAGTTCGTGCACGCAGGAACTTGACCGTCGCACTATCCAGTATTCAGAAAAGATTTCTTGAGGTACAGTCAGTCGCAGTTCTCACCTTGATGCGCCGCGATCGACAACGACGGCAAGCCAGTCGGACCTTTTTAGGCGTGTTGGTCCGTGCCGCCATCTAGATTTGCCCACAAAGAGCGTTTGACTTGACAAGAAAGAAACAACACGGGGTTAATTGGCTTTACGTCAATTCTTCGTGGATTGATATTTAGGCAAGATGCTGCGTGTCGTGATGATGAGTCCAGCTACTCGGGTAAGCTAAAGTGAAAGTCAGGAATGCAATAATGATAGTGCGGGGCAAGGAGTTAATTTAATCCATAAAATACTGTACTAACTCATCGCCGCACTAGTTACCTGCTCTCTCAGTATACCTACTTTAAAGACTACTATGTATCAAAATTCTCACTTTTTGTAAAATTCCTTACTATCTTTAATTTAATCAACTTTCTTCTATACCTTATTTACTTTTAGAAAGATTCTTTCATCAAGTCCAGTACATTCTGATAGATCGAAAAGCTGAGTGCTCCAGAAACCTAAGAAAAATGGTTTTAGTCAGTGCTGTTCTCTATCACAGTAACGTGTTTACTCACAGTCAATCTCACAAGTCGAGGTGTTGTACCCTTCCACAGGCCGGGAACACCAGATTCCCTGATTATAGCAGTTAAAATATTAAAGGTTCCCTGTTTGTCTCCTCCTACCCTAACACTCTGCATTGTTGTCTTGATAGTATCAAAAGGCATTGTTGCATATACCGTGACAACGCCTGCCGACCCTCCAGCAATCGGAGCTGCGAAACTCCCTTTGCTGACTTCTTTCAATCGTGGTTCTATCAAGTCAAATAGTGTATGATAAGTGGAAAACCGAACTAGGGCATTGCTCGCTTGCTTCATCGTCACAGGTACCACTCCACGGTAGAAACCTCGTATCCCTTGATGAGTCGCTGTCCAACGAATGACGTCACTGGTTGACTTGAACTTGCGAGGACCTGCCCTGTCTTCAACGATCTTGGTCTTGAGGCTTTCACCTGGCGTTACCACGCTGATACTCTCTGTCACTCCAGCAACAACCCCAGCAAGCATGTTTGATATAGGTGTAGGTTTGCGCGTTTTGCCATCTCGAGGGAGTCTGCTACGAACTGCATCAAATGTCAGGAACCTGATGCCTGATTTCGAGGCGTTGGAGACGCAGAAAGCCCCTGCGCCTGTATAGAGAACGCCGATGCCATGGTCTTTGACGGCCGAAATCATAATGCGCAGAGGCGACGGTGAGGATGCGCCCAGGAGTTGTTTTCTTGTCTTGACATATTCGGTTGGGTACTAGTCAAACCACCATGAGTTGGGTCCGTTGCAAGGGAAGTGAGTTCAAAATAGGTTCGGGTGAGACTTACAGTCGCGAGAGATTCAACACCACCAGCAGCAGCTCCAGCTAGAATCGACTGTAGTGGAGTCGGTGCATTTGACGATCTATCTGCCATGATGCCTTGTCATTGAATTATCTTAGTCGACAAAGGATTTATTAATTTCAGCCTAAGCCTCCTCAGTTTTCTCCTTGTGTAAATGACAGAGGATGGCACTTATGTTTGTATTCGCCCTTATCTTTGAAACCCTCGTCAACCCTCCAATCTCTCCGGTTACTTCAATCCGTTATCGGAATGTCCCCGCGCTCCGAATGTGGCCTGTCAATCATCCGGGCCACCAACGAGGCTACTGGCTGGGCTACTCCGCCTCAGTCTCGTCTACGGAATAGTCCAGAAATATCCACTTAACGAAAGTAAGGGGCCCCAGGAATGCGACAACTTTACCTAGCGTCAATTGTTATAGAAAAGACAGCCTGTGGAGATATAATTTAATCAACTTTGATTCGCAATCGAGTATCTTCACTAAGTAAACGCATTCAACGACTATCAAAGTGTAAATCATGGCACCCGAAAGCCTCGTTCAGACCAGTAACGCAGACCTCTTTCCTAGAGGAGGATGGGACACTCACCACCATATATTTGATCGTATGTGATGCCAATATACTGGTATTTCGATATGCAGTTCTAATTTATACCAGCCCAGTTGTTTCCTTACAGCCCCACGCGACACCTCACACCTCCTGCAGCGACCATCGAGGCTTTCGAGAACTTCCGGAAGAGCTTGGGTATTACAAACTCAGTTCTTACTCACGGGTTATCCTATGGCGATGACTGCACGTCTCTCAAAGCCTTCGTTGCCCAATTGGGACGACAGTCGACTTCGGGAGTAGGAGTCATCGATCCCTTCACAACTACTGACGATGAAATCCGAGATATGCAAAAGGCTGGGATCCGGGGCCTTCGTGTCAATCTCTATCCTCACGGGGCCATGGAAGATGTAGAGCTTCAAAAGAAGACCTTACGTGCATACCTTGAAAGAGTTGTGAAGCTTTCCCTCTCCTGGAGTCTGACGATGACGACGATTCGGACTGAATTCTGGAATGAACTAGAGCCATTTGTTCGAGCGGAAGTTGCACCGACAGGTAGAGCGCTCATCACTGATCATTTTGGTCTTCTCAAGGCGCCGAGCTTGCTTTCATCAGAGTGTCGCAACGATCCTACGAAACAACCTGGTTTCGCGGCCATCATGAGACTTGTCTCGGATGGGCTTCTCTTCGTCAAACTGAGTGCACCATACCGCGTGAGCGAGCAGAGTCCACACTATGAAGATCTTGAGTTCCTCGTACGAGCGTTTGTGGATGCCAACAAATACCAGATTCTTTGGGGAAGTGATTGGCCGCATACGCCGAGGATGAAGGTGCGCAGTCACGAAGAAGCGATGAAGGAAACTCCGTTCTTGAAAGTGGATGATGACACGTGGCTCCGGAGCTTGAGAAGCTGGCTATCATATGAGGAGTGGGACTTGTTGATGGTACAGAATCCGAAGAGACTCTTTGCATCATAGATCATGTATGTAAATAGTGATTGTCTAATGGTAGTCAAGACCAAATGCTCAGTTCTGTCTGTCTTCGACACGTGCTATCTCACTCATGCGATCTAATGAACAATCGTGTATTTCCATACAGCTGTGTTGATAGCTTAGATAAAATTGAGAAGGCCTGGACAAAAGCTTAGGCGTCTAAATAAACAAACAGTATCTCCATACAGCTTTGAATGACGACACTAGATGCCTCTATTACTTGTTCTTACGGATCGTCTTAATAAGCTCTCCCATAGCAGCCCCCTTCCTGAGCTCCGCAATCATTTTTTCATCTACCTCAGCCCTTTCTTGACATAATTCAGCAACGCGCTCGATCAATGATGGAGGCACAACGACGACGCCATCAGCATCTCCCACAAGCACGTCGCCTGGGTTGACCCATAAATCGCGCTTGAATTGAAGAGGAACGTTAACCAGGGACGCCCTAGTAAATGTATTTGAGCCTAAGATCGATTGACCACGAGCAAATACCTTAAGGCTATTAGAATTGTTTATAAAATGAGACTAAATTTTCAAACATACGGGGAACTTCATTTCCTTGTGCTCATTGATGTCCCTCATGCGGCCATCAATAACAACAGCTTTAGCCCCCAGGTACTGTGCTCTGGTTGACATTAATCCACCCCAGCAAGCTGATGGTAGCCCTTTGGGTTGTTGGATATACATGATGCCCCCGTCTTGGTTGTGATCGACAAATTGTTTGTCTAATACCGGGGCGGATGCATCGCTGGACTCGACCATCTTAATAGTCACAGCTGGGCCAATGACGCGAGCTTCAGAGTCCGGAGAAAAGATGCGAATGCCATCTAGAAACCCACCGTAGGGATATCTCAATTTGACCAAGGCATCGCCAATCTACCAATTGTGAGCTTTTTTCTTGTCGTGTAGAGAGCCAAGATGGCTGCCGTAATGCCTTACATCACAACTTGTGAACCTACGCAAGAGGTTGAGTCCTTTGGGGTAGGCCATCGGGAATGTATGTGTAACAGAGCGATAGTCGGAAAATGGAGTGCTAACGGGCTATAAACAGTGATCGATCACTTTGTTTCTTCTAGGTTGGCGGAATTGGTAGCCAGTGTCTCTATTCAACATCTTCTCCTTCTGAAGGGCTACTCCGTCTCGCCTTTGCCCCACGCTTGGACAGCTCCGAAGCCACCGGGGAGACGCTAAAGCATGTGATTGGCCAATCTTTAGCACTCCGCATTTTGCCACGACGCCATAATTCCCCATGGGGATCTGAAGCTAGTTCGAATAGTATGTACAGTCAGGCGTCAAATAAGTCCCTTCCGATTGGTTCTACCTACGGAGCAGTCCGTAGACCTTACTTGCCGGCTTGAACTTTGTACCCCATCGAATTTTATTCTCGTCTACTAACATAGAATCGTTCGTTTATGGCCCTGAACAATATGCGGGGGATGGACTGGTGAGATCTCTGGGGAACTGGATGGATAACACGGCGCGTTCAGTTAAGAAAGCAACATATTAAAGGGCCATCTCCTACGCTCTTCTGCTCCATTCCGCAACCATCCCAAACAACAACTCATCCTTCATACTTGAACTTGGAACCACATTACTCCTGCAAGGCCAATCACTTCTCTTGCAATGGCAAACACTAAGAGCGGTGTCAAACTTGACCATCTCCGAGGTTCATCGGATCACATCGATGAGGCCTTGCCACACAATGATAAAGATACCATCGTTAAATGCAAGAGCAACGAGCTTGGCATGACCGAAGAGGAATATGACGCAGCTGAGACGAGCCTGGTCCGCAAGCTGGATTATACCCTTGTGCCCATGGTCTGGCTACTTTATCTGTTCAACTATCTTGACCGAAACAACATTGCGTATGTCATCTGCAAGATACCTCGCGTGTTCTTGGAATATCGTTAACGTTCTAAATAGACAGGCACGACTGAGTACATTCGAACAAGATCTTGGCCTCAAAGGAAACCAGTTTAACGTAGCAGTCTCAATTCTAAACGTAGGCTACATGCTTATGCAGTTACCTAGGTACGTTTTACAGGAAAGAACCGAGATCATGTAGATTGACCCTTTGGCTAGCAACATGCTGCTTACACGAACCCGACCGTCGATTTACATTCCATTTTGGACAGCTCTGTGGTCTATCATCTCTGCTGCTACCGCAGGTGCTGGCAACTACTCTCATCTACTTGTTATTCGGTTCTTCTTGGGTATCGCCGAAGCCCCATTCTTCCCCGGTGCAATGTATCTCCTGAGCTGCTGGTACCCTCGAAAGGAACTGGCTCTCCGCACAGCGATTTTGTATTCTGGTGTCCTCCTTGCCACAGCTTTCTCAGGTCTCATCGCCGCTGGTGTGCTATCCAATCTTGAAGGTGCACGGGGAATTGCTGGTTGGCAGTGGCTATTCATTATTGAAGGCGCAGGGAGTTTTGTGGCAGCTCTCCTAGGCTTCGTCCTCTTGCCTGATTTCCCTGGTCAAAAGTCCGGAGTGATGAAATGGCTCCTAACGGATGATGAGCAAAAGGTCGCAGTTGAACGCATTCAGAGGGATCGTGTATCCCTGCCTCAGGCTGATAGCAGTGTCTGGAGTGGCCTGGTAATGGCTGCAAAGGACATCCGAACTTGGGTTTTTGTAAGATCCTCTTCGTCTGCTTTTTATAACCACAGAAGCTAACCGTTTATAACAGGTAATTATGCTCACGGCCAACCATAGCGCATACGGCTTCAACAGCTTCTTCCCAACCATCGTCAAGGGCTTCAAACTCGGAGACAACACTCTAACGCTCGTTCTGACAGCCCCGCCGTACCTTGTAGCTACTGTCACCGCCTTTGCTACAGCTTGGTCCAGCGACCGTCGCAAAGATCGTGGCTACCATATCGCGGTGCCTCAGTTCGTTGCTTGTATCGGATTCATCATCTCGGTCTCGACCCTCAATAACGCAGCTCGATATGCAGCCGCTTTCTTATACATCTGCGGATGCTTCTCTTCCAACGCTATGGTATTCAGTTGGGCAAGTTCAACCTTAAACCAGACACCTGAGAAGCGAGCTTGTGCTACAGCCATCATCAACCTTCTCAGTCAGCTGGGAAACATCTGGAGTCCTTATTTCTTCCCATCTAGCGATGGTCCACGATATGTCAAGGCTAATCTCTTGATGATGGCTTTCTCACTACTTTCTGTGCTGACTTGTGTGGTGATGAAGATGATGCTGAGGAAAGCGAACAGAAAACTCAAGGAGAGCGGTCAGGATGTTAATTTGTTTACGTTGTAGATATGAGGACCACTCACTCCCGACTTTGTGTCCAAATTTATGACTAAGCGGGTCATTCGGCATGGCAATTATCCGTAGATTTACCAAGTCAGCTTGGTCTTGTAAGACTTGATCGTCCTTGGCATAATAAGAAGTCTCTGAGACACTTTTTACACGTGTGTTTTACGGGGTCGTGGCGCGAAATGAGTACCCGTTCGAGTGTCTCGAGGACCGACGCGGCGCGTCTGATGGAGGATTGATCCTCCTTATAGACATGAACATGGTCCATTTCTGCCTCAAGACAGAACATCCTCATCTCTCACAATCGTTTGCGATTTGTACGGAAGGATCCATCTAGTTTCAATAATTATTTTTTATTATAAATCCCAGCACTGCTTTAATGACACGAGGCCTCGCTGGGTGTTATTGTGTGTATTCAAGAGTGACCAAGCTTGGTAGAAAACACGTCTTCTCGCTAAACTAACCGGGGTAGATAATAAACCTTAGTATGGAGTAAAATGTGTTGGTCTGTTGCTGGATCTTTGCTTTTGGCTTAGGCCATATTTAAATTTTACCAGTTAACCTAAACTTTTCCGTAGCAGTTTATAGGGACCATTTAGCATTCTTGATGATTGTCCAATTTAGCCATAACCAGTAGTAATGTAGGGTAACGCGATTAAACCTTCAATTTCTCACGATTTTCTTGACACAGGCTAGAGTTAGCCGTAACTCCAGGGTAAACATGGCTATGGAAATATTTTATTGCAAGTCCAACTATGCAGTTTACTACTCAGGCTTAAGCCAATCAAGGCGTTTGTTCTACAAACTCTTATCAGACTTATTTTCCTCATCGATGATCTTCTGTGCAGCTGTCTCGGCGATTCCATACACGGCTGTCTGAATGTGTCCTGATAGCTGGACCGGAATGATGCTAGCGTCCACGATACGCAAGTTCTTCGTACCATAAACCTTCAAATTCGAACCAACAACACCACCGTCCTTTTTAGGAAGCATCGCGCAGGTACCGATGGGGTGATAGAAGCTGTTGACTGTCTTGACGACCCAGTCACGTAACTGTTTATCGGTCCTCGTACCCAGACCTGGTTCAAATTCAGTAGCCCATACAGATCGCAGAGGCTCTGTGAAGGCAACTTTGCGGGCATACTTGGCACCTTCAATGAGTGCTTGTATATCGTGCTCATTATTGAGATAGTTGAGGTCGATAATTGGCTTGCCGTTTGGATCTTTGCCGTTGATGTGAACACTACCGCGGCTCATGGGATGCATCACAGTAGAGAAGATGGTGATGAAGTTGCCTCCAGCACCAGGGTAGCCTTGAGCGCCCACGTAGTTGGCTTCAAGAAGAAGCTCCAGTTGGGGAATAGAGGGGTCGCGAAGGTACTCAAGTTTCTTCTTATCCACGACAGTGCCATTCTTAAAAAACCCGTCTTTTGCAAGTTTAGTGATGTCCTTCTGCACCTTATCGCTAACTTGGGCCCAGTTGAGAAAAGCGTAGGCGCTGCTGGTGTAGTCATACCACGATTTCTTGTTCTCAAGCCAAAGGTTGAACTGCTCCGTGGCTGCGGTGCCTTGCGCATCGAAAATGAACTGATCAAAGGACTCATAGCCCTCCTTGAGTATATATGTGTTCGAGGTCCGAAGATGGTCCTGGTAGTTTTCGCCGACGCCGGGGAGATCGAGAATCTTGTTTATTCCAGCTTTGGCGAGCACAGAAGTTTGACCAATGCCAGACATCTCAAGCAGGCCTGGACTCTGGATAGAGCCTGCCGAGAGGATAACCTCTTTTCGGGCCTTGATCGTAGAACCATCTTGAAGAGCGACGCCAGTCGCAACTAAGCCCTTGCTCTTCTCAGAAGAAAAGAGAACTTTAGCAACGTGGGTGCTGGTCTTGACGTTCAGGTTAGACCTAGCCTTTGGTAGGTAGCTATTGGCGCTGTATGACCGGGTGTAGTTGGTCACGTCAATATTGGTGGGTTGAAACATAACACCCACAGGCTTTCCTCCCAGTGAGCCTCCATCGTTGATCGGGACGCCCAATTTATTGACAGTAGACTGCCAAGGCTTCAAAACATCAGGGACGATACGATTGTAGGTAGAGCTGATTGGACCAGAGTGTCCATGGATATCACCGTCATTACCCGTAAAGTTCTCAGACTTTTTCATTCCATGGATCATAGTGTCCCAATTCCAACCTGGACTTCCTAGTTCGCTCCATGCATCATACTCTGCAGATGCAGCACGGTCATAGCACAAGAAGTTCATCGCGGATGATCCACCGAGAACTTTACCGCGATTGACACTGATTGATCGCCCATCGAGACCAGGTTGGGCGATAGAACTGAAGTTCCAATCAAGTGATGATCCTAAGATTGAACCGCGCATTCCAGGTACGTTGATTCGTACATCTTTGAGAGCCGAGGGGCCTGCTTCTAGAAGAAGGATCTTGGACTTGGGAAGACCGAGACTCAGGCGGGTGGCGAGGGCTCCTCCTGCGGTTCCACCTCCGACGATGATCTACATCAACATTAGCAGTCTTAAAGTAAGTGACTTGAAAAGAGACTTACATAGTCGTAGGTCTCGGTAGCAGCAGCAGCTGTCACCAAGCCTGATATAATCCAGGCGCAGATTTGCATGATGGATATAGAAGGTCTCAGCAGTATAGTTCAACTGATCATTGAATGCGAGAGAATAGAGATACACGCCTTTCGCACGCCATTTTGTACCCGTAGACCCTTGCTGCACAATTGTAGTCCCTGCATTACCCATGTTGTCCAACCCCGCCGGATATTCAAGTTGCATGAATTGCCGATGCAGTCATACCTCAGGGACCATGTAAATGTCTTCTAGACCGAAGGCACAGAACTCAAACCCAGATTAGGTAAGGTCTAGTAAGGCGGTCAATAGCAGTAATACAACTTCAGAGAGGTAATAATAGGTGGAAAACTAAGTTTTAGAGGTACTGCATCATGCAGATTATATTTACTAAAATCTTACTGTATAATTGTTATTCATATACAGCCTACAGCTAGGATGACTGACTTGCCAAGTCGCATCATGAGCGGATCTGCTGCACGAGAACGAGACGAGGGAAAATCAGAAGCTTCAAATGGCGCTAAGCAGGGATTATGATCCCATTATCGTCTGCCTACTCTACCTCGCCAGGCTTCCATATTGCTGCCACGTATATCACGCTGCGAAAAATGGCAAAAGAACTGTGAGCTTCAACTTTAAATCAAAGACCACCATGTCCACGACCTTGAGAAAAGAGACAAATATTTCAAATGACGTGCATCTGCCACCTGAAGTATGGTATCGTGTATGCTCATTTCTCCCCAAATCAGATCTCGTCAGCTTGAGACTTGTCTGCTCCATGCTGGGCAGCATTGCACTAGCAGAATGCTACAAGACCATATACATGGAGATACATCGAGAATCCTCGCCTCGAAGACTTTGCGAAATCGCTAAATCATGCAAACTTCGCCATCAAGTTCGAGAATTAGTATTGTACGACAACGCAGATTACTACTGGGGGTTCAGGAGCGATTATAGCCGTCAAAGTTTTCTCAACACACTCCCATTTGTCCGTTTCTTCAGCAGATTAACCTCCCTTCGTGTCCGGTTTCGTACATACCCCCCGGACTTCCACAATCGAGATAACGATCTCGCCATTCAGCATCGGCACGCTATGCTGGATACAATATTTTTTTGGATTGCGGGGATGGGGAATACAGATACTCGAGAGATGATCGACTTCGATGCTGGTTCTCACGGAGACAAGATCCAAGAGGATCCAGACGGAAGAATGTCCATTTCTGATTTTGCGGACTTTTCCCAGCCAGCTATACCACTCCAACAACTCATCGTTACCAATTTACCAAGCCACCATGGTGTCCGATTTAAAATTTCAGAAGCTTTCTTAAAGATCATATCAATGGCTAGTCTTAGGGATCTCAGGCTCCATGCTGAGGCACGGAGAGACTCAATTCACCCCCTCGATGCACCGGAAGTTTCTTCACCATACAGCCCAGGGACGTACAAGTTTTTCGATAGCTTGCATGTCTCATGGCTCGCTCCAGAAATCGCCAATAATCTGCGGATTCTGACTCTCCATTGCCAAGACTTCTGGGGATGGTGTCCCAGGATGGATCTTCGTCGCTTTGAGTTTCCCCAGTTAAAGGCTCTTTCTCTTGGACGATATGTCTTCAGCCATCAGTGGCAGACTGACTGGTTCGCATCTATTGGGAAACGGAATGGCAGTGAAGGGTTAGAGGAGCTTTATCTTCATGATTGTCCCATCCTTTATGAAGCTACCCAGATAGGCCCCTTTGACACATTTGATCCCGGATATCCTCTTACAGAGTCAGTGCTAGGCGATATGCAAGACCATGAAACCCACAAATATCCAATTCGATGGCACAATATCCTCTCACAGTGGATGAGACTGTTAAATAAGCTCAAGGTCTTTCATATGGCACAAAGGACCTACCAGAAAAGTCCGCAAGATATGTTCACGAAGCATAAATATGTCGAAGAAATTTCGCTGCGTCATCGAATCTGGTATGATCTTCTAGAAGAGCTAGGAAGCCCTTATCCTTCAGGACCTGTGACTCACTCAAGTCTGGAACACGCATCGAGTTTAAAAAGGCAACTGACCGGTATCAAATTTGATCAACATCGAGATGTCCGGATGAAGTATATCAAATACGACATTCAGAGAGAGCCTGATAATGCTCATTGGCCATGGGATCATCCAGAGGATTCCTATGAGGGTTTGGCACCGGAAGAAGGTACTGTTATGAGAGACAATGCCGCTTATGGGATGCTCATGGATGCGGTTAATTCAAGGGCTGTGTTAGGAGGCTCCGTCTAAATCGAGATATGAAAGAATGATAAGTAAATAGGTTATAGGTTTTAAAACTCCCCAGTTAATAACGTCACGAATCTCTCACGACGGGAGCAGAGTTTGAAGGTTATATGACTTGAGATAACTCCTGTCGCACGATATTAAGTAACTGACGTCTGTTTATGTAGAACAAAGTTAACATTCATTCGAATCTTAATAGATATATATAATAGTTATAGATGAGCTTAGCGCATTTCATAGAATATATAGTAGATTGCCTTATTATTTGATTGTATATCCAGATTAACTTACGCCTCCGCCGATCTACATCATTAGAACGAGAGAACCTTGCATAAGTTAAAAAGGCACAGAACCAGTTGCTCCTCCCAGGTGTATCAGCTAAGCCCCAAAGACAACACTAGTCAATAGCTTATGCCCCAAGTATCCAGTACGCCAAGAAAAAAGTGAGAATGAAGCCCATGGCGTGCATGGAATACGTCATTGAGATTTTGTCACTCGGTGCAGCGGCAGTCTGATCAGCAGTCTGAGTTGGCATGGCAGTTGTGGCAGTAGGTTCGGTGGTAGTTCCTGGTTTTGTAGAGGCTGCCCGATTGTTTGATTCGGACGTGATTATGGCAGCTGAGGTTTCTGAAGTTATTATGTCGGACGTAGTAGCTGTTGCCTCTGCAGCACCCCCGGGGCATATATCCCCTGCAGCGTTGCAAGCTGAGGCAACGTCAAAAAGCTCTGGTCGTTGTAAGTATAAACCTCGTTTAAAAAGAAAGGGAACGAACGCGTAAAAGTGACTAAAGATCTGGCACACTCTGCGTATGCAGTGTCTATGTTTCTTGTTGAGTCACAGCAAAGGCATGAGGCAGCGGCTTCTACTGGAGCGTTGGCAGGGACCTCTGTGCTGCAATGCATCAAGACAGACGAGACTGTAGCACAAGCAGCCCCTGCTAGTACTTTCGGGTCATCGGCGACTGCAAAATTTGGAAAGTCAGGATACGAGAGTGCGTAGTACGACAGAGACAAAAAAATAAGGAATTGTTGCATCATGGCTAATCAGATATGTGATAATTGACCTTGGTTATATAATATAGATGAAGAAGGAGTTAGGAAGTGAGAGAAGTGAGAGATAAAGAGTAAAGATAGTTAAAAACGGAGCTTTGAATACTTATAGGATATACTGAAGTCTATAATGAAGTTGCGGTATGGATGTAACCCTATATCAAGCTCTGAATCCCGGAGTAAGCCCTCTGTTTAATAAAATGACATATAGATAGTGTCAACATGTGAATCTTAAGAAAAGGCATTGTCTCTCTTTGCATGATAAGCTATACTGTAGACCTGAAGCCAGGCTTGGCTATTACGAATTAATAACATGTTTTCAAATACAGCCTGGCTCAGACATAAACTCAAAAGCCGCCGCCTAGATTGTTTCCTTTAAAGTTAAAATTTGGGTTATATTTAAGCTTTAGTGTCAAGGTGGGAAGCATAGTTTGTTAGTATCCCGCTACCTGACGGAGGCTCTGCGGCAACCCTAGTGTATACAGTGCAGAGAATCTACGTTACGAGGCTATACCGTGTTATATTGAGAGAGGTATTGTGTTGGGGACATCAATCATTATGGCTCAAAGTGTATTCATAGTAGTGTTTTTTCAACATGTAACCTTGATCCATCGATAAGGGGATATGCAATAAGGTTAAATACAAAAACAAAACAAAATACGTTACGAGGGAGGAATGATGGTACAGCCTACAGTGCCTCTCCAAATTTAGTTGGGTTCTGGAAGTGGCTTCTTGGCCTTCCGCGTTTCTGCGGACCACATGCAAGACCCTCACATCAACATCCACCTTCGGCCCATCGCCGGTTAGCGCAGGCGATGGGCCCGATGTTTAGATACTCCCATTCTTTATCGAATAGCCATGAGCTCAGAGTAAGAATTGCTCTAGTTGTGGACTAGAACTCGTGTTCAAGAGGCGATAGAGGTATTCAAGTTGGACAACTACTGGACAGAAGTGATTGGGGTAGTCAAGGAGTTAGGCACTTTTCAGAAATATCGAGTCCACTGCAATGTATAGTATGTCCACTGAGTAATCAGTTATCATAAACGGCACCACGTGGAATCTTCCCGCTTAGGTGCGGAGGCAGGGAATTGATGCAACCCCCAGTCTGTTCAAGGTTTTAAAAACGCCTTGCCAGCCAGCCACTTTCATCGATCAAGCTACTTTGAAAATCTAGAACAACACCCCCGATGCCACCACCTACTCCCCATCGTGTCTGATTACTTGTAGTTAACTGTCTCAGTATAAGACTGTGTCGTGCAAGGTACCTGTCTCCTCTATTCTCGCTTCAGACTCGGAATATCAATGCGTCTTTTACTTTGTCAGACTGATGGGCCTTTTCGCGCATGAAAGAAAGTTCCCTTATGTATTGCCCTTATATACAAGGGCTTGAGAGACGACTGTTGGGCGAAGTTTACATAGGTAATGCATCTGCAATTCATCCGGTCAATATCGGACGTGGAACTTCATCTAATGTATTTGAAGTGCAAATACTCGACCTTTCGGTACTGTGGATGAGTCAAATCAGATTAGCTTCAAAAAACTGCTAATTATAAACTCAATTTGAGAATTTTGAAAGAATTGAAACAGTACTGCAATAGTAGGGCTTGAGTGTCACGGTGATCTTTTGAGGCGCTAAGCCTATTAGAGGGTGAGGGTCACATACTTTCGACCTAATCATTCAGCTCACAAAAGCCACAAGTGCAATAATATCGTTGATTACAGCAAGCCAAGGCCTCGAACACCCATCCCATGATTACTTTGAGGATTGCCCTGTGAAAGTGAACAAGAGAGAAGAGAAAGAAATTACCAACACCTGGGCGTTACATGAGAGGCTTCTTATTGGAGAGGGCAGCTATGTGACAGCCCTTCTGTCTCGCAATGCCGCCATCTCCGCCCGTTTCCAAGCGGAGGATGGTCCACGACAGCACTTGCAAATGATCAAATGCGTCGTACAAAACACCTCTCCGGACATCTAGATAAGTTAGATATTTACTAAATTGTCCTGTTTTCTTTCTTGTCCTACTAGTATCAAGAACATATCATCACATTTCAATACGGTCAGAGTACGTAATGATGACTTCTCAAATATATTTGCTTCCTCTTCTTCTTCTTGTGAGCTGTGTTTTAGCCGCTGGGGGAAGGGCGGAGCCTGCTTGGTCGTCCCCCAGGATGACGGACCCAGCCGAACAGCTTGAGAAATTCGAGAGGGAAGTATCGCCAGCCCCAACATCTCCACCCACGACTCTAGAAATGAGATTGTTTCCACGGGATTACTCCCTGCCGTCGGACTATTGTGGTTGGAATGTTGAACTCAAATGTGAGTACTTTCCACTGTCTTCGCTAATCCGGAGAACAATGTGCTAACAAATTGAAAGCGGACGTTTCGACATGTGAAGAAATAGGAGCGTCATGTATTAACTATGGCAGTATACGTGGCTGTTGCAAAGGGGCTGTCAAAGATTGTGCTTCTTCGACATTCTTCTCTGTTTGCATTCCTTTGTCGTCTATAGATAAAGGAAATGCCACTCAATGTGGAAAGGCAGGAACCGTATGCTGGTTTGTACCCGTGTATGTCTTGAGTATCTGCAACCTGCATGCTGACTTTGTCCATCTAGCAGCTACACAGGGTGGCCAGAATGTGCTACCATCTACATGTCGTCGAGAGCAAACCGAGATACTACATACACTGCCGTCAACTGCTTCGTGAAGGACTCTCAAGAGTCATACTTTCTACAGGATTACCAGCCTGTATCCACCACGATCGAAACGGAATCTATCTCAACCGACACGGATACTTCAACCACTACTACGACTATTCCACCAACATCTCCGACATCGCATTCAACGCCCGTCGGCGCTATTGTCGGTGGTGTCGTCGGTGGCCTCGCAATAATTGCCCTCCTAATCCTAGGGATCTTCTTCTACCGCCGGAAAAAGCCCACCCCCAATGTGCCCCCGGTTGAACAAATTATCAGCCCAACTACACAGCCGCCATACTCGCCAAGCTTTGCTTCACCACCCGTATATAATGCTCAAACAAGCAACCCCGCTTGGCTGTCTACTAGTCCTAGTCCTAGCTCGCCAACATATAACCCTGCCGGTGTACACTATCAAAACATGCCCTCGACTTCTCCCCAACCTGAGCAGTTCACTAACGCACACATAAACTATGAGCCAAAGGAGGTGCCAGCTACTAATCCAGTGGGAACGGGTAACAACCGCGCTGAATTAAACTGAGGCGAGAGGTTCAAGAGATTGTGTGGCGTTATGATATAACTTCAAAGTAATGAGAAAGGCATTTAGTAATTGTAGTTAAAGTGAGCCCGTTATATAACTAGTTTTCGATATAAATTGACATGTCATTTATCTCAATGAATCAAGCTCTAGGTAACTCAGCGTTGCAGTGCTTCTTGCCATTCTTCCAAGTCTCAACCCTTCCGGTGTTTTATTGTCACTGACATTTAATAGCGGTCGGTTTAATAAACTTAACGCTGAAACTTGGCACTGCTATTATGTAGACTAATTAGAAATATAAACCTATACTAAGAGGTAAAAATATTTAAATATTTAAGACTTTTAATTATTTTATAAAGGAATAAAATATTTTAAAATAATATACTTTTAATAATTTAATAATATGACAAGGCTGTAAGCATTAATTCATAATACAGTTTAAAAATTTAATATCTTAGTGTAAGTTTAATAATGGAATTTTAAGATAGTATAACGTATTTGATAAGCGAGCGACGCAGATAAGCTAGCGACGCACTTTTCCCTCTTACATCTAACTTTTTATCTGATCAATTAGTTTTTAACAACCAGTAATGTCACAACCTTCAATTGAAGCAAGAACAGTACTAGCCCTTCAGGCCATTCAAAATAACCCAACATTAAGTACCCGACGCGCTGCAAAAATGTATCAGATCTCTGAGCCTAGGCTACGTCGCCGTCAAAATGGCATTTAATCGCGACGCGATTCTATCCCAAATTCGCGGAAACTATCTGATCAGGAAGAGGATATAATAGTCTAATTCATTCTTGACCTAGATTCGCGAGGATTTCCCTCTCGATTGCGTTTTGTGGAAGAAATGGCTAATTCCCTTCTTGCTGACCGCGATGCGCTACCTGTTGGCATGCGCTGGGCTTATAACTTCATTAAGCGACAACCAGAGCTAAAGACGCGTTTATTTCGGAGATATGACTATCAGAGAGCTAAATGCGAAGATCCTATGATTATTCGTGGCTGGTTTCGGCTTGTAGAGAACACAATCGCAAAGTACGGTATCCGATCAGATGATATCTGGAACTTTGATGAGACTGGCTTTATGATGGGCATTATGCAGTCCGGAATGGTCGTTACAGGTGCAGAAAGGCAAGGAAGGCCAAAATCAGTGCAGCCAGGAAACCGTGAATGGATTACTGTGATCCAGGCGATCAGTGCCGAAGGTCAATCGATCCCACCGTTTATCATTGGTGCAGGCCAATATCATCTTGCGAATTGGTACCGAGAATGCAACCTCCCCGGCGATTGGGTTATTGCATTGAGCCAAAATGGATGGACAAATAACCAGCTAGGTCTTGACTGGCTGAAGCACTTTGATAAGTCTATAGCTAAGCGAACGAACAGTCGCTATCGCCTCTTGATCCTCGATGGTCATGAAAGTCATCACTCTGTCGAATTCGAGAGATATTGCAAGGACAACAAGATCATTACCCTCTGTATGCCTGCTCATGCATCTCATCTACT